TTGTTAATGGGGGTTAAACATTGAAATTGTCTCCCAATCCCCCACGCCGTGGTTTGTTTTCGCGGGCGAACCCGAAAACAACCCCCCACTACCCCCCCCCAACCCCCCCCCCCCCCCCCCCCCCCCCCCCAAGGGCCTAATCCGCAACACCTCCATCCACGTAGGCATCCGCGCGCCCCTGATCCGCCGCAAGGGCGACCTACGCAATGACCGGCGCTGCGGCTTCGATATAATAACGGCGCGGGACCTCGACCTCCTCGGCGGGCCCGGCGCGGTCGTCTCCCGGATCCGGGACCGCGTCGGCTCTGGCTCCGGTCATCCCGTCTACATAAGCGTCGACATCGACGTGCTCGACCCGGCCTTCGCCCCGGCGACGGGCACTGCCGAGCCGGGGGGCTGGACGACGCGCGAGCTGCTGACCGTCCTGGACGGGCTGCGGGGCCTGCCGGTCGTCGGCGCAGACGTCGTCGAGGTCGCGCCCGTGTATGATAACCCCGGTGAGATAACCGTGCTCGCGGCTGCCGAGGTTGCGCTGTCGTTGATCGCGCTGATGGTCGGCACGCCTGTGCCGTCGGGGCCTGGTCCGGAGTGAGAGAGATCGCTATAGCTGCGGACTCAGGGTGTAAAATCAAGGGATAGTTTATGTGGAGTGGATTGTTTTCCCGCATTCTAACGTACAAGGCAGCTGTTTCCCTAATTCTGCCCCCTTGCACTGGCTGGCAAGCACATGCTCATTCTAAACCTCCAAACCCCATTAGAACCCCCCTCCCGAAACTCGTTGTTGCCATAACAGATCGGGTAGATCACAATATATGTGTACAGGGTGATAACGGGAGCCGGGGTGCTATATGCTACATGACAAAAGTGACACTCTATCTATAGAACACCGTAGATTATCACAACGTCCAGGGAATGCCCGGGAAAGGGACATGGACCACACACAACTCCCCATCGGAAATGCCAGGAAACCACCAATTTCCTCAAACCACAGCAACCAGGGCCCCCCCATCTTTAGAGGGCCTACTTGGTCCTCTTCTCATCCAGCTCCTTCTCGTACTTCGCGATGAGCTCCTTCTGCAGCTGCATCGGCGCAGCGGCGTAGTGGCTAAACTCCATGCCGAACTCGCCCTTGCCCTGGGTGGCGGCGCGGAGGTGCGAGCTGAAGCCGAACATGGCGTTGAGGCTGCAGTCGGCCGTGAGGGTGAAGTCCTCGGGGCCGATCTCGGTGTCGACGATGGTGCCGCGCTTGTTCATGAGCATGAGGATATTGCCCTGGAACTCGTTAGGTGCCGTGATGGTCGTCTTCATCAGCGGCTCCAGCACCTGCCCGCCGGCGTCGGCGAACGCCTTGCGGAACGCCAGCTGCGCCGCCAGGTTGAACGCGTAGTCGCTCGAGTCGGTCACGTGCGTCGCGCCGTCGTTGACCACCATGCTGGCCCCGATGACCTTGTGCCCCAGCAGCGGGCCCTTGTCGCACGCCACCTCGAAGCCCTTGCCGCAGGCCGACAGGAACTTCTCCGGGATCATGCCGCCCACCACCTTGGACTCGAACGTGTTCTTCTCCGCGTCCTCCGCGTTGGGCTCGATGTAGCCCATGACCCGCGCGAAGTCGCCCGGTCCGCCGCTCTGGCGCTTGAGGAGGTAGTCGAAGTCGGCGCGCCTGGTGATGGTCTCGCGGTAGGCGACCCGGGGCTGTCCCGTCTCGCAGTCGACCTTGTACTCGCGGCGGAGGCGCTCGACGTAGATGTCGAGGTGCAGCTCGCCCATGCCGCTGATGATGGTCTCCTCGCTCTCGTCGTCGACGTGCAGCCGGAAGGTGGGATCCTCGCGCTGGAAGCGGTTCATGGCTTTGCTGAAGGCGTCGGCGTCGGAGCTGCGCTTGGGCTTGATGGACAGCGAGATGACCGCGTCGGGAACGTACATGGAAGACATGGAGTATGGGAGGTTGCCGTCGGTGAAGGTGTCGCCGGACGCGCACTCGACGCCAAACACGGCGCAGATCTCGCCGGCACCGACCTCGGCCACGTCCTCCATCTCGTTGGAATGCATGCGCACAATACGGGGGATGCGGACCTTCTTGTTGTTACGGCTGTTGAACAGGAAGGTGCCTTTCCGGAGCGTGCCCTGGTAGACCCGGATGTAGGTCAGCTGGCCGTAGGGGTTCTCCTCGAGCTTGAACGCAAGGCCGACAAAGGGCAAGGAATTGTAAGGGATGAGCTGGACCGATTGTTCGTTGTTGGACTGATCCAATGCCAGGTTCTCGATATTTGACGGGTTCGGGAGGTAGTCGCAAACTGCATCCAACATTGGCTGGATGGACTTGTCGGCAAGAGCGGAACCCATCATGACAGGCGTGAACTTCCGGGCGATGGTGGCCCTCCGGATAGCAGCCTTGATCTGCGCTGGCGTGGGAACCTGCTCGTCCAGGAACAGCTCCGCCATCTCGTCATCGACGTCGGCGAGCTTCTCGATCAGCTCTTGCCTCTTCTGTAGCGCAAATTCCTTGAGGTCGGCCGGGATTTCGTTGGACACGCGGAGATTAACGCCCCTCTGGCCGTCGTTACGGATGGCTTTCATGTCGATCAGGTCCACCACGCCCTCAAACTCCTTCTCGGCGCCGATCGGGATCTGGAGCGCCGCAGCCGGAAACTTCAGCTTGGAGTTTATCTGTTCAACCGCCTTCCAGGGGTTCGCGCCCATCCGGTCCATCTTGTTCACAAAGCTGATCCGGGGGACGTCGTAGCGCTTCATCTGCCGGTCCACGGTGATGGTCTGGCTCTGGACGCCACTGACAGCGCAGAGGACCATGACGGCACCGTCAAGCACTCGGAGGGCTCGTTCGACCTCGATGGTAAAGTCGATATGCCCAGGGGTATCGATCAAGTTGATATGGTAGGATGCCATCTCGCCGTTCTCCTTTTTCGACCAATCGCAGAAGGTCGCCGCAGATTGAATGGTGATGCCCCTTTCTCTCTCTAGTTCCATCGAGTCCATCTTGGCACCGACGCCGTCTCGCCCGCGAACCTCGTGGATTGCCTTGGTTCGGCCGGTGTAGAAGAGAATTCGCTCGGTAACCGTGGTCTTACCGCTATCGATATGTGCCTGGCACGGGTTAGTATCTGTCCCTCGCAAAGCCAACCAGCCAACCGAATGTCCTACATACCGCAATTCCGATGTTACGCACTCGCGACAGCCTCTCTGCCTCTTCGGGGCTCATCCTCGCCGCGACTGCCTCGGGGGTCATGTTCGCAGCAGCGAGTTCCTGTGCCTGCTTAAGACTGTTCGGGCATTGGATGTCAGCCCAACTGCTCAAGGCCACACGTCGATATGGTTCTCTCTTACGCAGCTTGCGCAGCGCCCGCAGCCGCCGCCCTCAGATTGGAGGAACCGCTGAAATAGCGACACCTGTCTGCCCGGATCACCGTCCATCTTGATGCGCCGGCTGCTGTTGTGACCCTGCGCCCCAAGCTGAACAAACGCGCTCCGCGGCCCCGGCCGGCCATTAGGCCGTCATTGAGCACGGCCACGGCTATAGGAACCCTCATCCTCAAAAAGAATGAAGAATTAAGGGGAATTAAAAGGAGGGACTGGGAGAGAGTTGAAGAATTCACATTTGGTGATCGGAATAATTTGCGAGGACGATCGAGGTTCCGCGAACAATTTTGATGTGGGTCCTTATCGACCTGCATTAGCGCAGGCCCGTTCCTGCTTATCGCACCCCACACCAAGCAACGTGACTTGGAAGTACCTACCTCAGGAGGTCATGTAGGAATCGCAACCCTAGAGAACGCGCCCGGGTTTCTCATTTGGAATGGCCTTGACTGTATTCTATGCCAAGAGCCAAAGGCGGCCTCTTAAAAATAGCCTCGGGCAGACGTACTATATTTTGTAGAACTGCCATCCCTTCCGGGGAGGCCCGGTAGACATGCCCCCTTACCCCTTTCCGTAACTCCGGATATTGCTTAAACCGTACTCGCCGCCTCTCTAAGTGGGTATAACCTCCAACAGCCATCACTAACGCTCAGTACCGACCTTCCTACTAACATATCAAGCCAACCCTTTCATGAGCTCCGCACCTGCCAAATTCTCAGAACAGGAGGAATAAACCCGAGCCGGCCACTACAGAGCCCATTACAACACTCAGCACAGCGAGGTGTGTAAAGCCGAATGGCTCCAGCAGTGCGCCCGCGTTCTTCGAACCCCCGGTACTACCGCTCCCACCGCCACCATCGCCACCCGCCGCCGCCGTCGTGGAATCCCTGAACCCGTCGAGGGCCGCGTACGTCGGCATAGTGACCGACGGTCTAGCGGTGACCTGGCCCTGGTTCCGCGCGGCCGTGGCGCTGGGGATGTGCGCCGAGAGGCTGGGGAAGGGCACGATCTCCGAGTCGGTGGCGTTGAAGTCGGTGGCCGCGATGCCGATCTGGTGGTTGACCAGGTCATAGACTACGTACGCCGACCTCAGGAAGGTGTCGCCTAAGAGGAATGGGTCGCGGCTGAAGTTCTGGATGCCGAACTCGCAGGCCGCCTGACCGCGATAAGGCCCCGAGGCGAAGTTCAGCGGGGGGCCGGACGTCAAATCTAAGACGAGCTCGTCCATCTTGACGTGGATCTCGGGCCCGTCGGGACCGGCGAAGCCGAACGAGAAGTATCCCTTGCTGCTTGCCATGCTGCAAGGGATGAGAGCCAGGTCCATGTCGCGGGAGTAAATGGCGCCCACCTCGTTCCAGATCTGCATGGCAATGTCGGTAGGAAGGTAGGAGAGGGTGGTTCCAGAGTCGAGAACCACGGGAATCGGAAATTGACGCGAAGCAAGCGTATCGTTTCCACTGGGGCTAACGGCGTGGAGCGAGGTGAGTGGGACGAGGAAGGAGTTGTGAAGCCCGGTTTGGCTGTCTGGGGAGATATTGATGCGGGTCAAGTCGCCGACATATTTCTTTGTGTCAATACCCCCGAAAAGGATATTGCCCGTGGCCGCATCTAAAAGGATTCAGCATGACAGGCCAATTGTCTCAACGCATAATCTTACCCAGGTCGTTCAGCCACAAACTGTAGGCGATGGTGTTGATCAAGCCCTCGTTCATCATGGTGACGGGCAAGTTGGGGTACACCGACTTCGCACCACCAACGATAGCCTCATTCAGAGCATATCCAATCCCCACCAGTCCATAGGAAATATCTGTGTCGAGTCCCAGACCCATGGTGACATTCCCAACGGTGGCTCCGCCAATCTCGAAAGCATCGGTGAAATAGTCGCCTTTCGAATAGGTCCCGTCAACATACCCAATGTCAAACTTGTCGGAGCCGACAGTTTTGAATGACGTTGAGAGGCTCGAGTCGACTGGAAGGAAGCTCCGTCAGTCAATCGAACCAAGCGGGGTCCAAGTTGGGGGGAGGGGGCGTTCTGGGCTCCACGAACAGGTTCCAAAGGTGCAACCTTGGGGGTTATTTTGAGTATCGTGGCAAACCTCTGCATCCGAGTCTGGAACCCATGTGTCACTGCTGCCAGTGTCCAGCTGAAGGGTCAAGTTCTGGCCGGGGGTGCCAACTGAACAGGTCGCGAAATAACCACCCCGCTGCAGCTCGTTGGTAATGATCTCCTCGTACGTGGATGCTCGCTTGTACAACCCCTTTGGCGGCGCCTGTTTCCTCTCAATGCCCCATTGCACTATTCCTCCAGGATTTTTTGCACCGACCGAACAGGTAAGGTATGCGCCGACAGCCAGTACGGCTGCCGCTTTCATCTTTCGAATCGTGCCAAGTTCGCGAGGCTGCGGAGATCCGGCGCGCCGAGCGATTAGGTATGGGCTCGACCTCAGGCGAACACTGGAGAATGTTGTCGCAGGCTTTTGCACACCAAGTACAACAGTACAACTAAGTCAAGTGCCACTTGGCTTATTGAGAGGGGGCGATAACAGAGGAAGAAAACCCAAGGGAGATCTTTTAGAGGATGTCGTCTCCAATGAGGATGCCGAGGCGCCCCTGGAACCTTGAAGAGTCGGAAGCGGACAAAACAATAAAACCGAAGAATTGAAAAAGAATGCGGAGAGCAGACGATGGAATCATGATCATACTCTTCAAATGGGGAATGAGAAGAGGAAAATAAAGCGCAGGTGCTGGTCAAGAAGACATTGGAAATTACCAAGAAAAAGCCAAGCTGCTGAGGCGCCTGATGGATGACGCCAAGCACGACAACCACAGGCGGCCGACGAGAATGGGAGCTTGGAAGCTTGGAAGCTTGGAAGGATAACGATCCTGGCATGAGAGGAGTAAGAACAGTTGCTTGCCGCAACCAGCTGGGTGGTCGTCTGTGTTCTTTACTCCCATACATGATGCTATGCTGCTGCTGCATCTCTTAACCAGGTGGTGTTTGAGCACATGGAGGGAGACCATTGGGTTTTAACTCTGCCGTTTACCTAGTATGTACGTACCTGCATAAATACAAACACATGTATGGTGGGGCATCCAAGAGCCCCAAGACCAGAGCTCCACTATGTGGACGACGGCAGGACGCATTTCAGTACGTACCGAATTTGAGGCACAAGGTGCTACTCCCCCACATGGAAGCCACATCACCAAGCGCCTTATGCAAGCGATAATAACGAAGTGTAAACACAGCAGCGGGAATCCGTATACCGATTCTTCTGATTTCTATCTTTTGTACCTCAGCTCGCGGTTTCCCTCCAACTTGAGCTTAGTGCCGACGTCAGGGAGGGAGGTCCTTTTCCCGGATCCAGCGACCGCAAGTAAAAATCATTCTCTCCGCGAATAGATCAAGTGAGAATGGATGGTGAATCAGCTGCGACAGTTAGGCGAGGAGGTATAAGGGCTTGCTTAAACTACAAATTCTCGTAAGTATGCATTATGCAGTTAGAGCAAATCCCACCGTCTCTTCTTCTCCTGCGCCTTCTCTACCGTTTCTACCCGTTCGTCAATCTTCTTGAACGACCAGCTCTCAAACGCGGCAGGATACAAGAATGGCCGAAGGTCGAAGCGAAGGTTGTCTGGGTTGGCAGATTCGGCCTTGTTGTGGTACGTTAGTGCTCTAGTTCCATTGTCTTGGTGGGTTGAGGGCTGTGTGCTCACTTGATATGCCGGCGTTGCGACTTCTTGCTTATGCCTGTTGATTTGGTAGCGCTATTCAAGCTCCAGTTAGCAACTGATATTTCGAGTTTGGGTGGTCAAGTGCGTTTAGCTGCTATCTCCAGGACGGATGGTCTGGTTTGATAATGGGACTTCGACTTACATGATGAAAGCGCTTCACTTTGTCAGCGATCTCACGTGGGGACAGCTTCTCTCCCCATTCATCCTGCAGTCTGAGGTACATTCCGTATGGACCGAGTCTGTATTGCTTCCTCAGTGTGCGAAACCCTGTGATCCTCGTCAGCCGCTCTATTCCGAGACGTTGCATAGATTGCTCGCCCTAGCTCAGAACATTGCTCCCCACGGAAGTGGCAATAGATGCATTCCAAGGACCGCTGGAGGCTACTCACGGGCCAGCTCCACATACGTCATCCCCATGTCGGCCTCATCACTTTGCCTATTCGTTTTCGAGTGTCAGCGGCTGGCTTTCCTGAAATTGAAGCTGAGCAACTAAAAGAAAATTTGTCCAAGGGGTGACAGCCAGCTAAGGTAGCCCACGGCTACATTCTCCTTTCAACCATGGGAAGTGGAACGAGGGTGCCATACACGTAATTTTCCGTAATTGGTTCAAGCTCAGCGGTTGGCGTTGCCTCGAGGAACTCGACCAGAACGGGCATGTCGAAACTCTTTGCCGCCCACGCGATAAACCGCGTGAGGTCGACCTTGCTGAAGGAGCCGATAGGGTTTCTATTACGCCCCCAGGGTTAGCAGGAGCCCCAACAATGAAGGCGGAGAACTAGACAAGCAGCTGTGAGAGGTATCTGCCAGGGGGTAGATGCCTCGTGAGGGTACAGCTGGTTCCCTGTGCTGTTGAAAAGGGCAAGATAAGACATACATATCGGCGCTCGAACCTGGAATCGTCAAGATCAGCATATTTTTCCAGGTGAAATCGGTTGTCGTTTGGGGAACCACTGACAGTCATATTTCGTGAGATAGCCACTGACGCTCTCATCGGCGTTGCTTTATACAGTCAGCAAACCAGCCAGGCCACCATAATTACGGCTTGCCACGAGGGGGGAGGGGGGTTACCTGGAGCCGAGTACCAAACAGCCCCCTCCACCAGGGCGTTCCCGGACCGTTGGCAGCATCTGGGCATAATAATAGGCGGCGCACATACGAGCCCTGAAGGACCCATCATTTAGTCCCAATGATTAGAGGATTCCATTCCGCAGCACTCACCTGGCCTGGATATTCTGCAAGGCAATATTCTCCGTATGGGTTCCCCCATGGGCCGTGAACTTGGGCTCAAACCCAGTTCCCTGTTTCAGCAGCCCCTTGGTGGCGTGGAAGACGTCGTCGATGTTGAGATCTGTGTGATAGCTCCCAATCCGCGCAGCAAGGTCCTTCGCGCGCTGCCTTGTCTCCTTGCTCGACTGGCTGGCCATCCCTAGGTACACAGTATGGAATATCCGATTGCAAAGCTCCTGGTTCGAGTTTTTAGCATTTCTTCACGTTTTTGAGGTCGTGCTTGCAAATACCTCAGGGGTGCTAGGCATGTTGTCCTCGGTGGGTGCCACAATGCGCTTTACGTCGGCAATGACTTGTTCATCGCCCCCTTTGACAGCAATCATGACAAGACGACACATGCTGTAGACGACGATGGCGGTGGCACAAGAATCAAGGCCGCCAGAGAGCGGGAGGAGGAACCCCGAAGCCTTGGACCGCCGCAGATAATCCCAAAGCCAACACGCTGGGCCGTAGGCAATCTCCTCTTCAGGGAGGTGATATTCCGCTGGTTTAGGAGGGGTGGGGGTGGGAGACATGAAGATAGCGGGCTTGTGTTTGGGCTTGTGGTTGGAGAGTGAAAATTCAGCGTTTATGGGTTTGGAGGAAGGTTCCTGGGTTCCTGAGGAGCCCTTTGGCAATGCGAATCGGTAGGCCCGAACCTCCTGGAGGTCGACAGTTGCTGTAATCACCTCGACATCTTCCAGCCCAAATTGCCTGCCCTGAGCCACAATGTCGCCATTGACCAAAATGAGAGAACACTCGTCATGGTACAGGCTGTCGCCGTCACAACCCTATGTCAATGTTAGCACCATACCTACCTACCCCCGCCAAAGAGGATGCGCAAGAAATACCCGCTGAGTGCTGTAGAGGTGAACACCTCCGTTCTTCCGTGTGGCCTCCTGGATAAGCTGGATCCGCTGGTCTAGCTTCGTGAGCGAACGATGACTCCCGTTCGAGTGGGTGAAAATCTCGGCGCTGCTTGAGGGGCAAATTTCGTCACCATTGTCTGAGGCTAACTACAATTATGTTCAGAGGCTGCCTTCATAGACTAATGGGGGGGTTGGACATACACAGGTTTCAAGGGTGTTTATCAGAACATCCCCGATCGGGACATGGCTTTTACCATGGATTTTTGCGAGCCGGGGAGGTAGAGAGTACTGCTCGACATGTCCAGGTCGCGCCCACGGTGTGAACCTGTTCAGCTGTCAGTAATCTGCAATAATCGAGGCGGAAGCGAGAGGTGGCAGTACCATCGGTTCTCCCGGGAGTTATCCCCATAGATCTTGGGCCTGAAACAGAGGATTTTGCCATTTACAATAATGGCGCGGGCGTTATAAGCGCAGTTCTTGTGCATGATAGGAATTCCAATGTCCAGGAGGATGTCAAAGAGAGACTCGTCAATCAAGATTTGGTCGAGCATATCCAAGGCCTGGTCATACAGGTCCATCTCCAGGAAGTGGTCGAGCTTGGGAGTCGATATTCAGCATCATACATGAATACCTAGCAATGTGTAGGTGTAACAGAGGAGGATGCTGGCTTACACATGAATAGCCTATCGGATTACTCGAGTTAGTACATGCCTCCTTCACCCCGGAAACGAGCATCTGAGGGCATCAGATTGACGACACTTGTCTCTGGAGCAGCCATCTAAGAGGCGATACATAATCGGCTCTATAATCTGACATAGAAAGGTAGGCATACCTGTAATCTCCAAGCTACATGTTGCTGTTAGCTTCGATGTTACCGCTGCCTCTCGGCTGGGGAAACGCACTCTGGGCCGACACGCAAGGTAGCACCGGCTTGCTTGGCTTTCAGGATGCTTTGCTTTATCCGACCAAGATTCCCTTCCCAATCCAGCGCGAACTGGTTCAGGCTGCAAGCTGCCAAGGTAACAACCGGCTCCATGGTGAATCTAGAGCTAGGCAGTCTGCCCAGGGACGGAGGATAAACGAGGGGCTGTGAAGAGTCGATTGGCAAGGATGGGTATGCGCGATAGCTACCTAGGTAGGTAGTTTGTCAAGTACACGCGTGTAAGGAAGAATATTCAAAGGCAGACTTCGCAATTTTGAAGAAGAACGGTGGTAGTGAGGTCAGAGGTGCAGCTCCACAGTGTTAAGGATTTGGATGCACACATTGTTGATATGGAAATAGCGTTTTTCGGTCTTAAAAGCTTCTTTCCTTCGGCCTTATAGTTCTTGGCGAAGACCCAAATATTGTCCCTAAATCTACATTTGGACGGAGACTTGATGCTTTTCTTCGGCGACTGACCGCGGTTTGACCGGACTGGTCTAGGTTTTGATTACATCATGTGTTGTTCGATATATCCCCCAAGCCTCAGCAGTCCCTCCTCAAGTATTTCAGTGTGACAGGCATAACCAATCCGAACGTAGCCGTTGAAGTCTTTGCCATGGCCAAAGCATGGAGTCCCGGGAAGGAAAAGCACCTTGGTCTTATCCAGCACGTCGAGAACAAATTCCCCATCATTTATTGGCCGACCTTGCTTCCTGAATTGCACAAACGCCGTCGTGCCCGCGGTCGGCTTCGCCCAAGAGCAGGTAGAGCTGTACTTCTGCACAAATGCATCGAGCAAGGCCAGGTTTGTCTTGGCCAAGTTCATATTCCGCCTCAGCAGGGATGGACGTACGGCGTCGGAGAGCGCATAGCTAGCGACTTGGTCATCGAGCTGGGAAACGCTGATGGTGGTGTAGTCCCGGGCCGAACTGACGGCCTGGATGATGCTCTTGTCTCGAGATGCAATCCATCCCAGGCGGATTCCCGCAAGAGCAAATGCCTTGGACATTGAACCTGTCGCCACGGTCTTCTCGTAACTCATTGACAATATCGACGGAGGAGCTTCCGTGCCGTCGGGAAGACTGTGAAAGAGCGGGCTATATACCTCGTCGGCAAACACGATAATGCCTCTCTCCTTGGCGACATCTACCACGGCCTGTACGATGGCTGTTGGTATGGCCGCGCCGGTTGGGTTGTTTGGATTATTGATGACGATCATCTTGATAAAGTAGCCCCTGTCAGTGTCTCGGAGGGCGTAATGGTGCCAGGAGTTTCCCCCACCTTGGTGTTGGCCTTCACCAGCCCGTCCAGCTCACCAATATCTGGGACCCAACCATTCTCCTCCTTCAATTTCCATAGCGACACCTCCGCCCCTAGAGACTCGGGTACAGCATAAAGTTGCTGGTACGTCGGATAGACACAAATAACATGATCTCCTGGTCCAACGAGGGTGTAGAAGAGCGAAAGGTTGGCCAGGATGGCCCCCTGAGTTGCGACCACGTTCTCGGCCGGAAGGGGAGCTGAGGAATGTTCGCCCAACAGGCGCGAAACATGTTGACGCAAGCTCTCAGAGCCCCTGATGGCTCCGTAGGTCATCATCTTGGACAGGTCCAGGGGCCCTGAGGCATTCTTGTCCTCGCATAGGCCGACGAGTTCGTCGATTGACACTGGCGCCGCGCAGGTTTCGGCAATGTTGAGAACCCCTGGCGTCACTTCCAGCCGGTCCATCCACTGTTCAACCTCAAAGGGCTCGACTCTCACCATTTTGTTCAGTAACAGTGTTCACAATGGATCTCGGTCTGTGGGAAACAGTGACGCTTGTGACGGATGAGAGAACGGAGTAAAACGAGGTACCTCTAAAAAGAAATATATGTGTATTATTTGCGTCTCTAGAAGCTCTAAGTTCGAAGGTCATTCTCCCAGCCTAGGAGGCTCGGTGGATATATTTTTGTCCATGTCAAGTAAAGGGCGCATTGGGTTTGCGGGGCATACAAGATAATCTCACCGGTAAGTCTAACAAACTGATGGTGACGGTGTCAAGGAGTTGAGGATAGACGAGTTGCTGTAACTTAGGTTCTGTCTTCTTGCCGAATATTTATGCAGAGAAGTGAAGACTCGACTGGATAATAAGCACAAGCTTCGGTTGTGTTGTTTTATTAGGTATGAAGGTTTCGGAATAAACGGGTTTCAGGGCCGCCCACCGTTGCCCCGGAGTGCCTAGTCCCTAGCGCGCTAGTGCCTTTGGCCTACTCCACATCGACATCATCTGCCTGCGCCTCCCGCCGCCCCTGACCGCCCACCCGTCCCGCCAACTCCAGCCCCCCCATCTCCAGTTGGCCTAGAGGGTCGAGCCGCATCTTCATCATCTCTGTCCACAACTCTATCGCGACCATCTGTCTCCTTTGTAATCTTCTTGATCTTCTTCCCTCTTCTGCCTTCAGCGGCTGTGGCACGTTGCGCCACGAAACGGGTAGGCATACCGGCTTGCCTGTGGTTGTGGTGAGCCTGGGCCTGGGAACATCGTCAAGACACCACCTCAACCTTCGCAACCATGGCGCCACGTATATTCGGTGCCATCGCTCTCGGCGCCGCGGTATTGTCGTTGTCATGTGTTGCATCCGCTTCCAGAAACCAGTCATCTATCGGCGTCATGCCGGCGCAGTTCTCCCTCTTAGACAACCGCCCAGAGGACTGTCCACCATGGTATGCCATCAATCCTCGGAGAGTCCTCGGAGAGATAACAGTCGTTGAATGAAGCTAATATCGCTATGCCTACAGCTTCAACTGCCACCTACCTGCCTACTCCTGCGGCCAATATGCCTCGTGTAATGAATACAATGGGAAGTGTAACTGTCCCGAAGGCTTCGGTGGCGACGATTGCCTGGAACCTCGTACGTTACCTATCCGTCCTTCCTATACCAGCGCAGCTTCTTGACTGGAATACTCATATTTGCCAACAGTGTGCGGCTCCCTTGGCCGAGGACAAGACCGCCCAGTGCGAAAGGAACGCACCTGCGACTGCGACGAAGGCTGGGCCGGCATCAACTGCAACGTCTGTACCAACGACCAAGCCTGCAATGCCTTGATGGAAACCGGAGAGGGTGGGGTTTGCTACCAGCGCGGCGAAGTCGTAAATCACAATTACCAAATCTGCGATGTCACCAACAAGGCCATCCGGGAACTACTCAAGGAAAAAGTCCCCCAGGTTACCTTCACTTGCAAGAGGGAGGATAAGAAGTGTGACTTTCAGTGTATGTGCCCAGTTCCCTTGGCCTAACAGGTTGATGCTGACACAGTCCAGTCTGGGTGGATCAACGCGAGTCTTTTATGTGCCATCTCGAAGGCTGCGATTCTAGTGCCGAGCTCGACGAACACAAGAACAGCACCTCATACAAGTGCAACAAGATTGCGTGTGAATGCATCCCCGACCGCATGCTGTGTGGAGAGAATGGCTCCGTGGATATCACCGATTTTCTGGACGAGATGATTCGAGGCCCGGCAACGTTCCGCTGTCTCCAGCTTGAGGGTGGTGTCAATAAGTGTTATTTCGAAGAGCCCGAGATGAACAACCTTATCCAGAGCATGTTCGGCGACGACAGCATCGCCCTCACTTGTCGGTCTGGCGAGTGCCTCCACCATAGCCAAGTTCCGGGCTACAAGTTGCCAGTCCCCAAGATCAACACCCCGCTCATTGCGGGGGTTATCGCCGGATGCTCACTATTCCTCGTCGCCGTCATTCTTCTGACCTGGTACCTGTCTCGACGGAAGCTGAAGTACGGTCCTATCCATCTGGATGATTCTGACGACGAAGCCATCAAACTCATGACTGATCACAAGCCCGCGTCGCTGTACTTTGAGAACATCTCATATCACTTGAACGGCAAACAGATCCTCTCCGACATCAGGGGCGTAGCTCATCCAGGCGAGCTCACCGCCATCATGGGTGCGTCTGGTGCCGGGAAGACCACCTTCCTGGACATTCTTGCGCGAAAGAACAAGCGGGGCCAGGCCAACGGATACTTCTGCGTCAACGGCGAGAAGGTTACTGACTCAGACTTCAAGAGTGTCGTTGGATTTGTTGATCAGGAGGACACAATGCTCCCTACCTTGACCGTCCACGAGACCATCTTGACCAGCGCACTCCTTCGTCTCCCCCGAGATATGGGGCAAGTGGCAAAGGAGCAGCGAGTCTTCGAGGTGGAGAGGCAGTTGGGCATATATCATATTCGCGATTCCCTGATCGGGTCTGAAGAGGGCAAGGGTCGAGGGATATCTGGCGGCGAGAAGAGGAGAGTCAGCATTGCCTGCGAGCTCGTGACGAGCCCGTCCATCCTCTTCCTCGACGAACCCACCAGCGGTCTGGATGCCTACAACGCCTTCAACGTCATCGAGTGCTTGGTTACCCTCGCCAAGACGTACAAGAGGACCGTCATCTTCACAATTCACCAACCCCGCTCCAACATTGTCGCCTTGTTTGACCGCCTAATCCTTCTCGCCCAAGGGAAGACGGTCTACTCCGGTCCTTTCTCGCAGTGTCAAGACTATTTCGACCACGTTGGCTACAGCTGCCCTCCTGGTTTCAACATCGCGGATTACCTTGTGGACTTGACCATGCACGCCGGCTCCACGACTTCTTTCGACGATGGTACCCTCTCCACGGATGCCGTTAGTGTCGGGCCCAGTAGTACCAGAGCCGTGAAGTCGATCGCCAGCGTTTCTGGTGGCAGCATTGCGGAGGATAGCGGCGTCGAAGCGTCGTCTTCGAGGCCCCGTGTCCCACGACGCGATTCAGTCAGGATCAAGCAGGAAAGAGAATTGTTCACCAGACGGAGGCAAGCAGTCGATACGGCCGCCTCCTCAGATGCGGGCGGGGACGAGCTCGGTGCCTACAAGCTGCAGAAACAGAGCCTCGGCCATGCCCCACCGCAGCCGATTGACGAAACTCACGATCTCCCGCCGGCAGCGACTTTCGGCACAAACCTTGATGCCTTGGTTGACGCCTATAACAACTCTAGAATTTCTAGAAACATCCATGACGAAATCCTAGAGGCCGTCCTCGGCGCTCGAAACAGCAACGGCCAAAACACAGATGATCCCACTCCGGATGGCGCTGAGAGCAATGGGAATGGGAATGGGAATGGCAGTGCCATTGGCAAGGGCTATGCTCGCATCGGATATCTTAGGCAATTCGTGATTCTCGCCCAGCGCACCTGGAAGAACCTCTACCGCAACCCGATGCTCATGCTCACGCATTATGCCATCGCTATCCTGCTGGCCGTGTTCTCCGGTTTCTTGTTCTACGGCCTGACCAGCGACATTCCCGGCTTCCAAAATCGCCTGGGCCTATTCTTCTTCATCCTGGCCCTCTTCGGCTTCAGCACACTCACGAGCCTGAACGTCTTCTCCGCCGAGAGGCTCCTGTTTGTACGTGAGAGGGCCAACGGGTACTACTCTCCCATCACATACTTCGCCGCTAAGGTCTTGTTCGACATTCTGCCGCTCCGCATCATCCCGCCCATCTTGTTGGGGGCTATTATATATCCGATGACCGGCCTCGTCGCCGACGCCGAACACTTCTTCGTCTTCATGCTGGTTCTGGTCCTCTTCAACCTGGCAGCTGCAGCAATCTGTCTATTTATCGGGATTGTCTGCAAAGACGGCGGCGTAGCCAACCTGATCGGCAGCCTGGTTATGCTTTTCAGCCTCCTCTTCGCCGGCCTCCTCCTCAACCACAATGCGATTCCGTCGACGGCGGTCTGGCTCCAATGGCTGTCCATCTTCCACTACGGCTTCGAGGCTCTGATCGTCAACGAGGTCAAGTACCTCACTCTTGTCGACAAGAAGTACGGCCTTGACATCACCATCCCTGGAGCCGCGATCCTCAGCTCCTTCGGTTTCAACAACGCCGCCATGTGGCCAGATGTAGTCAGCCTGGGCGTGTTTGGAGCCGTCTTCATCGTTCTTGCCTACGCCGCTATGCATATACTCTTGGTTGAGAAGCGGTGAGGTGTTAGTGTGATTGGGTGGAATACATCTGCGAGCGAGAACTTGAGATTCGCATGTAGAATATTGAGACTCGGAATTGTTGGCATAATATGCGAGTTCATAACCGTTATTGGGTGAGGATCTCCTCGCCATATTTCCTTTAGACTAGGTACAGAAACATTCCCAAGAGGGAAATGAAACCATGGCATTTGGGTCCTGGGAGCATGGGGTCTTTGCATGTTTCTTTGTTTGGCCTTTTGGCTAGTAACAGTGCCGGTGGTGATACATGGGTAGATAGTCGTATGGAATTTGATATACACAATACACAAAGGTTGAGCTGCAGCTCTGCTCCCAACACACGCCTCAAGGCATCTTTCCACCCGTGAGCTCCTCGGCAACGACCTTCTGCCTCTTGGCCGTCTTGGTCGACTCGGCCTGGGACGCCGAGAGGAGGCTGGTCTGGGTGCGGTTGACGGCCGAGACCATGCCGGCGATGGTGATGGGGCTCCCCCTGGCGTCCCAGATGTTGGCCGAGTCGATGGCCACGGACCCCAGCTTCCGGAAGTAGTCGTCGGTGAAGATCTTGTCCACGGCCTCCTGCAGCTCCTCCTCGGTCACGATGAAGTCCCTGGCCGAGATGTACAGCTCCGCCAGCGCGTCGCGCCGCGCCTCGCTCCTGGCCTGCCGCAGCGCGGCTGTGCGCTCGGCGCTCCGCTCGGCCGCCGCGAACCGCTCCGGGTCGGGCTGCAGGGCCGCGCCCAGGGCCGCCGCGGCGGGCACGCTGGGCCGCGTCAGCACGTCGTCCAGGCCCTCGGGGGCCATGGCGGCGCGGCGGTGCGCCTCGAACTTGGCGGTGCTGCGCGCCCGGCCCAGCGACTCGGACCGCTCCTTGCGCCGGTACAGACCCTTGAGGCCCGTGGCCAGGGACCGCCGCCGCGACTCGGCCATCCGCCGCCGCCAGGCGTCGAGGTCGTTGCGGGGCGGCTCGCCGAGCTGCTCGGCCTGCGCCCGGGGCGCCGTCCGCTCCATGTAGCCGGGCGCGACCTTGCGGGCGCCGTCGCGCTTGGAGAAGATCTGCCGCGGCACGGGGAGGTGGCCCCTGATCGGGGGGAGGCGGGTCTCGGAGGACTGGGGCGGCTCGGGGACGGTGATGAACTTGGGGGACTCGGGAGGGATGGTGGCGGGGTTGTTAGGGGTGGGAGTCGTGCTGAACGCGTGGCCCTGGGTCGGCAATCGGGAGTGGTTGGTGAGGGCCATGAGTGCAGAAGAGCTGCATCTCGAGGCCGGGATGGCGCCCCTTGACGAGAGATGGTCCCGGAGGGAGCATATCGGCGCCCGTGGTATGGGAGGCGGCATCTTGACGGGAGTTCTCGATGTTGCTCAAGGGTATTTGAGAAGAACCTTTCCCCCCTTGTGCGTGAGCTGTTGTGTGGCCTTCGAAAAGCTCAATGAGACGACATCAAAGGGAAGTTTCAATGGACCCAGCCCGGTTCATGGAAATTCTTAGTATATGGATATACGTTTGCCCGGTTCCGAAGTCGGGCTTCTTTCTGCCGGCCGCCGACCAAATTTTTTGGATGGAGAATTGAACTCCAACTCCACCATTGTGGTTTTTTTTTTCACCGCTCAACCACCGCCGTCTGAAGTCGTTTTCGTTTGAGCAGGCTCGACAATGGGTAATGCTAAAAAGGAAAAAACCCGCGTTGCCCGTCAGGGCAACGCGGGTGACGGCATGGCAAACGTCAAGGTGAAGGGCGAGAACTTCTATCGGTGAGAATGATACCCTTCCCAGCTCAGACGAGGATCGGACGGCTGACTGCTCATTGCAGCTCGGCGAAGCAGGTCAAGACCATGAACATCTTGAAAGAGGGCAAGCCAATACGCAATTCCAAGGGGAAGATCGTACAAGCGGCGTCCTATCAGTCGAGAGGTTCGAATTTTCCGCCCTACTTGAGTCCGGTCGAAGCGACTAACAATCCTCCCAAAGATCTCCCCACTGCTGTCATTGAACCAAACCGACGATGGTTCCAGAACACTCGCGGTATGCAGCCCTGCAGTATCTGTTTGCCGCATCCGACATTGACCAAAAGCAGTCATCTCACAGGATACGTTGAAGTCGTTTCGCGAGGCAATGGCTGAGAAGGACAAAGATCCATACCAAGTCCTTCTCAAGAGCAGTAAGTGGACCCGGATACTGAACGTTGGTTCGACCGAGGCTTGGGCGTTCCGACTGACTCTGTCTAGATAAACTTCCGATGTCTTTGATCCGCGATGGCCAAGAAACCAACGGGCTCAAGCAGCATGAGGCGAAAATCACTATTGAGAGTTCTCCCTTTGCGGAAGTGTTCGGCCCAAAGGCGTCGAGGAAAAGGGTGAAGTTGAATGTCTCGAGCATTGCAGATTTAGCCGACGATGCAGGGAAGAGTCTGGAGAGGTATCACGATCGGCAAGAAGAGTTGAAGCTTCTCAGCGGCAATTCTGGTGTTGATGCGGACGGTACCGAAGCAGCTCCAGCAGAGGAAGACTTTTCTATCTCGCTTGCCAAGGAGCCCATTTTCAGGTTTGTTACTTTTCTCCAATGCACACTCACGAGGTGACGCTGACTTTCTTCTCCTTACAGCAAGGGCCAGAGCAAACGTATCTGGAACGAACTATGTCAGTCTACTTGAGCTGGCCACTGTGATGGGTTATTGCTAACAACATGTTCAGACAAAGTTATTGATTCTTCAGGTAACTTCCCAGTCGCTTCTTCTGACTGAACCGACTGAACCGGGTGATGTTAACCACTGTTGAACAGACGTTATTCTCCACGTCCTTGATGGTAAGCCAGCTTCGTGCAGCCCTGAGTGCTCACCCATAGTATTCTAACATACCCCTTTTCAGCGAGAGACCCATTAGGAACGAGGTGTCGAAGTGTGGAAAAGTACCTGCGAGAGGAAGCTCCCCACAAACACATGGTTTTTGTCCTGAACAAAACGGATCTCGTCCCCACGAGCGTAGCAGTAAGTGACTTCATTTTTTTGTTCTTTGTCCTCCCCCCAGTGGTTTTAAGTCAGGGTACTCCGTCTTTTTCAGTAGGAGATACCCGTTAGGCGCTGGAATATTGATATCCACACCCAATTTCCTTTTCTTCGGATTCAGGATTGATGGTCTCCGTTTTGGAGTGCTATCGCGGGAACCGGACCTGTTTCGTTTTGAGTTGAGGGCGACATTCTCCTTCCGGATGGCCCATTGTTGCCTTCTTAGTAATGATTCAGACATCACATCACACTTCCTTACACAGCTTTCCCCTTGCTGTCAGCTATCCACCTCTTGATCCGTGCTGATCAAAAATAGGCAAACTGGGTCCGAACACTGAGAAAAGAGTATCCAACATGCGCTTTCAAAGCAAATGTCCAGAACTCGTTTGGAAAGGGTAGCGTTATTCAGCTCCTGAAACAGTTCAGCATATTGCACAAGGACAGGAAGCAGATCTCGGTTGGGCTTGTCGGCTACCCGAACGTGGGCAAGAGTTCTATCATCAACACCCTCAGGGGCAAGGTCGTCTGTCCCACCGCCCCTATTCCGGGAGAGACAAAAGTCTGGCGCTACGTGACTTTGATCAAGCGGATTTATTTGATCGATGCTCCCGGCATTGTGCCGCCGAACCAGCAGGATACACCGGAAGATATCCTCCTCCGTGGTGTGGTGAGGGTGGAGAATGTCTCCAACCCGGAACAGTATATTCCTGCTGTGCTGAAGAAGTGCAAGCGGCATCACGTGGAGCGGACATATGAACTTACAGACTGGGAGACTCACATCCAGTTTCTCGAGCTGCTGGCTAGAAAGGGTGGGCGGTTGCTAAAGGGTGGAGAACCGGATCTCGACGCGGTTGCAAAAATGGTACTCAACGATTTCATGAGAGGCAAAATCCCCTGGTTTACTCCTCCTCCGCCTGTGATCGAAGGGGACGAAGCGGAGGCTCCTAGCGACCGGACTGGCCGACTTGGCGAGATGCCAAGGAAACGGAAGAGAGAAGAGACAGGCAGTGTCTCTGGAACATCAATGGGCGTTCCCACGACGGTCAACGAAGAAGACGAGGAGTCATCGGATGACGATGACTTTGAGGGTTTTGAGAGTGACAGTGAGTCGGACGCTCCGGTTGAAGGGGTGGACAAGGCGGCCAGCGAGAAGAAAGGGGCAGAAGACATGATCCCATTGGATCTGACGAGTGACGAGGAGGCCGATGAGGATGATCCTTCAAGTGATGACGCATCAGATGACGGCAAAGGCACTTCCACCGTTGGTGGCGTAGCCAGCGGAGTCTCTGAAGAGGACGGCGAGGACAATGAGGACCAACGGAAAATTTCGCCGAACACGAAGCGCCGTAAAGCTGGCCGATGAACCTCATTGTTTTCGAGGCACGCTAACGCGACTGCCAACTCGGAAAGAATATGAGGTGTGGCCACCAGGCAGCTTTTAACTGTCAAGCTGAAGGATTCTTTTGTCGGACAAATGCCTGTTGTGTTTCTCCTTCGAATACCTAGTCATCAGTGATATATTGCCACGAGTCGCCAGGTCTTCTGATCTTGGTGTACGCTGTGGTCGTGAGTTGCCCTCCAAGAGCCCGCTCCGCGCCATACCTCCCTTGGCCCTATGTGGCGAGGACGGGTGTCGGGTCTTTGACCCTTGATGCGAGGACAGCTTTGGCATAAAGCCAAGAGGATATCACAGAGCCAAATATATCACAAAGCAAATGAATGCCACACAGCCAAGTGTTATCGCTATTTTTGGTCTGTTTGCCTCAATGACGTGCCTACATACTTCTGAGTCCGATTGATAAATTGCCAAATCCGCTCAACCCTCTGCGTCTCTACAATAACTTCTATCATCCGTCTAATAAGACACATGTCTGAGATCATCTTCGATCCTCCACGATGCTAAATATACTCATTATTGCGTGGACTCTAATTGTCCATGCTTGCCTAGCATCCCCTACGCCTCCCGGCGACCCCAGAGTGTGCAACTTCGGTATAACAGCACATGGTGACGTGACCCACAACATCAGTCTGCTTGATAACGGCCAGGCACGAGGAGCACCAAACGCGAACAAGATGACCTTCACTTCCCATTACTTCAAGAAAGGGGTGACTACTCTTGTCGATGACAGGGGCAGATCTTGCGGGTGGTCGCGTAAGTTTACCCACCCGCCCTGTGTCCGGGGCAACTGGACACGATGCTAAAGGGGAATCACAGTTCCAAGTTCCGTTCTCGTCTGCGACTCCGTGCCGCCAGAGCAGCCATCAACAGACTGGAATGTCGACTGCTTCGGGCACCTGCGCTGGAGGGGACAGGATACCTTTGCGGTATGCTGGACTGGCGAGAGCGATGAGACCAATTTCTACCTGTGGGCGCCGAGCCCCGCTTGCGCGAAGGTCCAACTCAAGGTTGACAAGATATGCGTATGCGACCTTATACAAATCCCTCCGCACTGAGCGAAACGATTGACTGTCTTCTTACTGGCACTGGGAGTACATAGAGGCTAGCCACTTCTATCTATTTACAAGAGGGGGTTTGTCCTCCCCGACATGTCCCCGGCGTCTCCTCGGTCAACCTCCCATTGTCGACATGAAGGAAGGGAGAAATGGAGAGGGCAGGATTAAAAGCGGTTAGGCCAGCAAGAAGGGTATTATCATTCAGTAATCTTGGGCATCGCTCAACGAGTCAGGCTTTGACATTCTTGGTCGGGTGGCCATATAGCTTAATGCCAGAGATTAATGTTGGCAGTGGCAATTTCATACACAGAATCTCGCGGCTGGAAATCCATCCGACTTGAATATGTGTGTTTGTGAGACGTAAAACTAGGCATTTGTGGCCATCTTCTTAGTCCATAGCAGATGTTCAACATCTTGAATATATTTGCCCCTGACGCTAGTTGTCATGACCATGTTCTCGTTGTCTCCCCAGCCGGGCTTAACTCGGCTCAACTCAAGCAAGCCCATAATCCAGTCATTCCTCCAATCCCCTTGCAGTTGGCCACTCCGTCCGCAAACCCCAACGCAAGAGTACTGTACCAAGTCCGCACCGTCCCAGACAAACTTCATTTCCCCGTTCTAGCCTACAGGCAACCCAGAAAGAGGTCAGCCCCGACATTGCTCCATCTATACACCCCTTTCCCAATGGCACCAGCAAAAAAGGGGGGAGGGGATTGCATACCACCGAAAATACGCGCCCCCCCGTTTCCCCCCCGTCCAAGTTCCAAAAAAAAAAAAGAAGCCCGAGTCTTGCGAGAGAACCCCCTTATTCCTCGCCCTCGAAGGTAAGCGCCCCGTCGCCGACCACCAGGGCGGGCGAGTAGGCGCCGAGGTTGATGTTCAGCGAGGCTCCGACGGTGGCCAGGGCTGCGAGGACGGCCACGACGGCGGCGGACCGGGCGAGCATCTTGGTCTTTTTGGGGGCGTGAGTTTTGTGTTTCTTTTCCCCCCCAGCGTTGTGGGTAGCGTTGGGAAGTGTGCGAACGGATGAGACCGTGTGTGTTAATGCGGATGGATTTTTAGAGTCTCGATCCCGTATTACGGTTCTCCGTACAATGATAAATATATACTATGCGAGGAAGACCGCAAATGAAGGAGAAACAAACAGAGGAAGAGTAGAAAGATCGGATGGTGGGCGGGGGAACCAGGCAGGAAAGAAGTCGCCAAAAAGATCGCGAGACGTCCTTCTGGCGTGGGGCAGATCTGATGTATAAATGTATCAGTTGTCGAAGCCTTACAATGCACGAGTTGTTCGTCGTCTCCCCGCCAAGTGTCCAGGGCTGAGACGCAGCAGCCCCTGCATTGTTCCCGCATTCTGGGGATCATGGGCCAAACCAGGAGCCACATTTGAGCCTGAAACAATGCCCAGTGATCTTCACGCCTCAACAATCCATGCAGACAAGCCGTGGAAGGAAGCTGACTTTTACTTTTTACCCGTCGTGTTCTTGGCCTCAATGCTAACCTCGCGCATCTTGCCCTCCTAATGAGCACCGGAGGTGTAGCAAGCTTGATGAAGAAGGTTGAAGGTTGTGAGTGCCCCCTGCGATGTCGTCTTGTCCGTTGTCGGACGACTCTGTTTCGCCCTAATGCCCCGACTCCTCATGGTGCGGATTGGCCAGCCAGTGGTGCAAGTGAAGGCCTTTTTCTGCCGAGGGTGACCACGGCCGGCAATTGCCGGCGACTAAATGTAGTTTTCGGTGCAGGTGGGGCCAGCTTCGGGATAAGTGGGGCTACTCTCGGGGCAACCGGGGCTACCGGGGCAGCTATTGGGCCCAGCTTTCCGCCTAGGTGCCATTGGTAGTATGAACCTAATTTCCTGGGCCAGGTTTGATATTCACCAATATGTCAGTCGAGCCCGTGCGATGGGCGGTTTGAGAGGATATTGTTCCTCTGAGGCAAAGGAAAGTTGAGCACCTTCTCCCTCTCTTTGACAAGATGACAGAATTCGTTCGAATTCAGTGAAATCTTACCCAGGGGAGAGGGAAGAAGCCTAAATAAAAGAGAATAAGAGGCAAAAACAGGCTCCATCATTGTGCATAGCCTACTAATGGGCAAATAGAAGGTAAAGTGTCATGTCATTTGGACATCTGCGTTGGACCTTGTTGACATGCGCACAGACCAACCACTTTACCCCTTTTCTTCACTGCCTCTTTTCAGTAAAGTTCGCGCCACCACCATCCAATTCCCCCACAAACTCAACCATACTACGCAGTAGGTTCATGAACTCAGAGGCGGCTGCAGCTGAGGAACCCAACTATACAATCCACTGGGTACTCAAAAGTGCATTTTCCAAGTGGCAGCGTCAGAATTCTGCATGTAGCGAGTGTCAATGACGGTAATGACTGCTACAACCAGAGATGTCAAGAAACGGTGTAAGAATAGCAGGTTGAGAGGGTCGTCCATGGACCTGCTTGGGACCAGGTTTGGTGCGAAACAACAAAAAGTAAAATGGTGTTGAACCCGCAGAACATTATGCTTTCCGTAAAGCTTCCCTAGGGTGAGCTTGTCAGGTCTACATCGAGACTTTTTCGAGAAAAAGATTCTAAGCTGCCTATACTCTATTTATGAGCCACCGACTGCTCAGGTTAAAACAGCGAAGGCGCCCACCCATTTCCTGGACGGAGAATCTACTCATCTCTCTCCTGCAAATATCAGCCCCCAAGACATTTCTGGACTGCAGATGTCCTATTTTCCATCTACAATCACGGCAACACGATGCAACCCAAGCTCCAAGAACAAGAACAACCAGGCGACCCCGCTCCGCCATACACCTCTTCCGACGCAAAGACATGTGCACAATGTTCCTGCCCTTGCCACCGCCTAAGCCCAGAGGCCTCAGACCCAGACTCAACAACATTGGTAAACAGACTCAGATTTTGGATCCATCCCAAACTCGATGGCAATTCAATGTACGACACCAGCAGAGTATCTTGGGAAGTTAAACTCGAGGTCACGACCAAGAACATTCCACGGCTGATGCGAGAGGGCTTTCGTTGGACGCCGGCCAACATCGGTCCAGAAAAGGGCCATCTACGGCCCTTTGACAGCGTGCACGACACGAAAGACAAAGGCTGGGAGCATAACCGGCGCTACTTCCTAGTAGACCAAGCTGAGGCCCCTCAATGTACCGCATGGATGATCGTCTATGCGAGAGACATCCAGGTTCTGGCGCAATTTAGAGTACAAGATCTGTCTCCTGATCAAGTCTCCAGCGCCGTGGCAAGGAACGAACGCAAGGAACTCATCTATATGTACTCTCATTGGGATTCGGGGGCGAACTTCAACGCCACCTACAACGACACACTGGAAGGCTGGTGGCCGTGGCCAAAGAGAGCACCGGAGGCCGCGATAGAGGTGCGCAAACGCTGAGAAAGGAGAGCTGGAAGGGCGAAACTCTAGGAGAGCTTGATCTGATGGTGGTTCAGGGACATAATTGTACTTAATCAGAGAGAAGCAGGGGCTAAGCCTACCTACCTAGCCCGCCAGTCAAAACGCGGGATCATATCACAAGTCGGGATGGAGATTTAGATAATCCTTCCCAAAAATGGAAAGGTGAGGTTGTGTGTCAGTGGATGTACGTTCCTTCCCTACCTACCTTGGTATCTGAGACCGGACGGCCCCGGTTGCTCACTGAGGTACCCAAGAAGATACCAGACCGAAGAGCCTGCCTTTTATATCAGGAATACGCAATTTTAGGGAGAAGGATGGATGCTCCCTGTCTGTTGGCTACCTACCTAGGTACCTGCTTGGGTAACCAACCTTTGTTCCGATTGTGAGAGGCTGCTATCATTCTCACCTTCAGGAAAGCTCAACCTAGCTATGTTCCTTCCCTAGGCTAACTAGGTCCTGTCATTAGTCTAACTAGGTCCCTTCCTGAGTCTAACAATGCCATATTCCTCCCTCAGCCTAAATTTTCCAGCTCAATTTCTCTCCTATCCTTGGTTCATCCTACTTTCGCCAGGAAAGAGAACCCACATCCCTCGCGATCCTTACCTCTTACTTCGACTCGAATTTCCTTACCTGCTCAGTCGCTCTTCCCCTTCCTGCATCCGCGCCAACAAGGCTGCTGCTCCTTACCTTCCTCCGTACTGTTAACTACTGAGGGCTGCAATATCAGACGTGGGCCGCGACTGCCATGATACTACTGTCAAGACCTTGGACGTACTTTCTACTTCCCTGGGCGGAGCAGTAAAGGCGTTAGATCTCGGAAAGAGCTGGCTCGTGGGAACTCAGGAGGTATGTACCTATATTAATAGCGATAAGGTCCCGCGTTCATTCAGGCTTCTGTTCTCTCTCCATCACCAACCACACTCGCTCTTTTGAGGGGTTTAAAAAAAAAAAAACATGAGCAAGTAAGTTCTCTCTATCTATGAGCCTTCACACTTTGGGATTACTCCATGTATGCTGACCCTCCTTCAATAGCCAGTATCTTCTCTTCCGCGTCGCACTCCGGGTCTCTCCCGCTCCACCACTTCCACCCGCACCACTGGCTGGACCCCCCATCCTCTGCCAGGAACGATGTAGGTCCTGCCTTGACCTGCCTTGTTCAGCCTTGACTGCAGATGTGATGCTCAGATTGCTAACTCCTTCGGGATTTTTTAAGTCACAATGTCAAGTTCGCGAGCACGCCGAGCGAGGCAGAAGGGGGCCCTTGGGAGGAGGAGAACCAGGGAGACCGGGGGGAGGGGGGAGGGGGGGATGGGGTGGTACAGTCTTTGGTGCGGGCGGGGGAGGGGGCGGGGGGAATCCGGTGTGCGTCGACGTGATGGCGGGCACGTGGGGGCTCGTTTTGACCTTCGTTTTGGTGGCGGTGCTCGGGGCGGCGGCGGAGCCTTGGGCGGTGCGGGCGACGGGCTGGCCGCATATTTTTAGAGGATAAATATCATGAAAAAAAGAGGTTGTCTCCGTGGGCAGAGGCAATTAGGTATTCGGGCAGGGGCATTCAGCTATTCAGGCAGGGGCATTTAACTATTAGGGGAGGGGCATTTGGCTAGCCGTCGCTGTCGATATTGCTGTCTCTATTGCTATTGCCATCGCCATCGCCATCGCCGTCGGCGTAGTCGCTTGTTCCGTGGCCGGCAGCTGGTCCGGAATCCCTTCCCAGCACAGACCCCCTGCCCGAATAGCCAACTGCCCCAGCCCGCAGAGACAAGCTCTAAAAAAAACAGCGTTGATTCACTCGATGCAGCTACTGCCGAGTCTGGGAATTGTTTGTGTCAACAGTATCAGATGAGAAAAAACCAAGCTACCGGAGATATACATACATTTGCGGCCCCCCTGAAGCTGCCCACCCGGCCATGTTGTTCAATTCATAGCAGGACACCGGTGCGCTGCGAAGGTAGTTGCATATTGGTTTTCTATTGAAATAGATAGATAGACTGCAGGGCCCCCCAATTCAAGGCCTACGCTACCATTATGATATGCTCGCCGGGTTCGGATATCCAAATGCAAACATACAAGCACATGGATTATGCGCGCGCGAACCCCCTAACGCCTAGCCTGGGTCTATCCCATGATGCACCACACTTCGTAAGTTCATTGTACATGCATCCGCCCCGTCCATATAGGACGATCCCTTCCAATTTGACTGCTGCCCCTTGATTCCCCTGTTGAATGTGGAGTGAGACACCACAGTGAGACCGTCCCCGAGATATAGCCATATCCATTGTCCCAGACGACAAAAGTGACATCTCGAACCCTTTAATGCACACCATGCGCAACACGCCGCGCCGCGTTACCCCAGGCTCACTGATGAAGGAAGAAAGGAGCTCCCGCGTCAGGCGCGCCGCTTCGAAGCCTCCTCCTTCTCCAGCCTCTCCATGTTCTCCTCCGTCAGGGCCTCGCCCACCGGCAACGGCGACTGCAGCGAGTGGGGGAGGGAGTGGTGGCCGTGCTGGGCAGCGGCCGTCGAGGTCGCGGCGAGGTCGATGAGCTTGTCGTCGCGGGACTGCATGGCCAGCTCGTCCGACTCTGGGAACCTGACCGTCTGGATCGACTCGGGCCGCGCCAGGGCGTTGGCGAACGCGAAGTGCGTCTCCTGCATGTCGGTGCTGGTCAGCGGCCGGGACGCGAGGGGGCTGCGCCTGTCCTCGCTGCTCTCGGAAGAGTTGGGCCCGAATGGGGGCGTGAGCAGCATGCTGTCGTGGCTGACCCCCGGGATGCCGGCGTTATCACAGTGCTCGTTCGCCTCGGAGCAGTCTGATGTTTCCGATCCCAGCGGCGGCGATAGGGTGGGCCGTCGCTTCATGGTGCTCCATCTCACGAGCATCCTCTCCAGCGTCTTGCTTTTGACCGGTTTTGCAAGGTAGTCGTCCATGCCGGCCTTCTTGCACTTCTCCCTGTCTCCCTGGATCGCCGAGGCCGTCATCGCAACGATCGGCACATTGCTTATGAATGATTTATACGGCAGGTGGTGTCGGAGGAGATGGGTACATTTGTACCCGTCGATGACGGGCATTTGGACGTCCATGAGGATGATGTCAGGTTTTTGCCGCTTTCCGTCCTTGGCGGCGGTCAGGTAGTCGAGAGCCTCCCTGCCGTTCCAAGCAGCGGTCACGTTGAATCCCAGCTTCTTGATGGTCTTTGTTGCGATCTGCTGATTTATCGCATTGTCCTCCACGACTAGGATGTTGATCTTGGAGCGATCAACGGGTGCGAGGTCGTCATCAGACAGAAGCCCCGGAGCGAGGGTACTGATCGACTTCTTATGCCACGAGAGTCTCGGTTTCTCCAACGGACTTATCGCATCGGGCGGAGATGGCCCCATTATATGTTCGTACTCTGAACTGTTGCAAGACACGCTCATTTCCGACTGCAATCGGTCTGGGAGCGGTTCGATCCGAACCGAATGAGACGAGTGAGATCCTTGCGGTTTGTTGAAGGGGATCCAGAATGACGCCGTGGTGCCTGCGCCTAGCGTCGACTCAAGAGTTATCCTTCCGCCCATCAGTTCCAAGAGATTCTTGGATATAGCCAGACCCAGCCCGGTCCCCCCGAACATCCTTGCTGTCGATGCGTCGCCTTGGCTGAATGGTTGGAACAGGCGCCTACGCACGTCCTCCTCGATCCCAATGCCGGTGTCTTCGATGACGAACCTGATCTCGACCACTTCTGCGGTTTCTCGTTCTTTCAGAACTGAGAACTTGACGTACCCCTGGTTCGTGAACTTGATACTATTTGTGAGTATGTTTGTGATGATCTGTCTCACGCGGCCCGGGTCTCCAATGACGACGAGATCGTTCTCAATATCCCAGGCGATGTCGGATTGGAAATCGAGACTCTTGCGCTCCACGGCGAAGCTAAGCATTTTGCTAACGTCGCTGATGATGACGGAGAGAGAGAATTGCACCTCCTCAATATCTAGTCGGCCTGATTCGACCTTGGAGAGATCCAAGATGTCATTAATGACAGTAAGAAGGGCGCTCGCCGAGCGATAGATGTTCTCCGTGTACTCTCGCTGCTCTTGACCGAGTTCAAGGTCGAGGAGGAGTTCAGCCATGCCGAGGACTCCGGTGATTGGTGTGCGGACCTCGTGAGACATGTTGGCAAGGAATTGGCTCTTCAGCCTGCTCGCCTCCTTGGCGGCGGCTTCATTGGCCACTAGCTGCTGCTTCTCCCTCGCCTGGGCTTCGATATCCGCCTCCTTAGACTTCAGTTCCGTCACGTCGAGAATCACGCCGATGACGCCCTCAAGGGCAGAATCGTTAATCCTGCCGTCGATGTTCCTTTTTCCAAAGACAGGGAGGAATCGTGTCCGGAAGAAATGTCCATCTGTTCTCGAAGGTTAGGGCTTTGAAAGACGAGCTATAAGTGCAGAGCAGGGGGTCTTTACCTATCTCGTGTTCTTGGAGATCCAGGTCTTCCGTAGATAGGCCAGACAGTATGCATTCGATAGGTTCCAAGAACTGCGGTCGCTGCCCATGTGGCAGCTGGGAATTAAGGCGATTGAAGACCTCGTACACGTTCTCCCCAATATACCATGGCGACCCAACTCCATCCAGGGCAGTGTCCTCGCCCAGGGTATCCCATATCAGCGCCCCTTCCAACATGGTGACTTTCCGATTTAGATCGACGGTGAAAATAGTGACATGGGAATGGGCGATGACGCTCAAGAGCTGTTGCCGGGTCTGCTTGGCCATGAGCCTGGTCTCGATACTTTCGTTTGCATCTGTGCAAGTGCCTAGTCGCCTTGTTAGTGCGGGAGCTCGAGTTATGTCTTGGCGTTCGTATCAACGTACCAAACCACTTCTCGATCTGGCCAGTGTGCTTATTCTTCAGTGGCAGGGCCCGGCCAATGAACCATTTCCACTGTCCTGTCTTGCTTCGACACCGATATTCTGTCACATATGGCTCGCCAGTTTGCAACGAGTGGTCCCATGTCCTATCGGAATCTTCCAGATCATCCGGGTGAAATGCACTTCTCCATCCGAGTCCAAGCGTATCGGCCTCGGAAAGGCCCGTGTAGTTATACCAACGGGTGTTGTAGAAGTCATGCATCCCGTCCGGTGTAGCCGTCCAAACAAGTTGTGGCATGGTATCACACATGAGCTTGAATCGTTCCTCGTCCTGCTCCTTGATCTGTGTGATCATATCGGTCACCTTGGTAACATCCCGGGCAGTGATGACGCCGGCAAAGAACTCGCCGGTAATGTCGTCTCGTATCACTTCGCCGGCCACTACAAAGGCCAGTTTGTTCCCGTCGCTGTCGTACATGCCGATCCGACGACCCGTAAACGGCGTCTCGGTGCGGAGGAGTACCGACATAGGATACTCGGCAGGTTCAAGCTTCCTGCTAAAGTCCTCGTTCCAAACATCCCAAGCTGGCAACTGCGACAAGTTAACTTACAAACCCTGGCGTGACGTGTTCGTGACCTACGAGATCAAATCCGTCCATGCGACTATCCATGTCGACTGACTTGCTAAATAACCTCCGGGCGGCTAGATGGTGTTAGTATCTGTTTGCCCTAATATGTAATACGGAAATCGGGGAGTCGCACCTCTGTTTGGGAAGCCGACGCTGCCATCCTTCCACATGGCTAAGACAGGCGTCTGCGTGTTGTCTAATAGAGCGTCTTTCATCACGATGATCTTCTGGAGAATAGACAGGGCACTCGACGATGACGACCTCGATGGCGTGCCCGAGGGAAGAAACGGACTTGACGACAGAGAGACCGAACCCGGGCTGATTCTGTGTGGTGGCACGCCGGGGTTGTGGCCAGGGCAGTCAGAGGGTGGGTTAGAGCTCGGTACCGACACCTGTTTGGCCGCGTCGATAACAGCAGCACTTGCTACTCTCGGGAGCGGGTAGGACAGGTGCTGAGATTCGGTGATGGTGAAGGTGAGGGTGAAATATGTTTCATTCTTGTCAAGCTCCCAGACGGTGACGATCATTTTGGCGCAAATCTGAAAGGGGGTGGTGTTTGGATAAGCTCCCGAATCGAACGTGGTCTTGTTGAGATCCTTCCTGGAGATGATGACTTCGATGACTGCGTTCTGCAAAGGCGGATGCTGATGCGGATGCGTGACACTTGGTGGTGAAGGGCCAGTTCCGCCCGAAGTGGAGGTGCGGTCGTCGCCTGCAATATTGGGGGTATAAGTATCGGTCTCGGTCTCGGTCTCCCTGGTCCCCATCTTGCTTATCAGGGCGTCCAGAAAGTGCTCCCAGTCAACCCAGATCGGCCGGCCTTCCTGGGCCATGTCGACTCCTACTTGCGACAGAGATTGGCCAAGTAACCCATCCATTACGGCCGCCGTGCTCTGTTGTCCAGCCCCCTCCGGTATCATGCCCAACAGCCTCCCCAGAGCCTCGTTTGCCAGAACAACCGTCTTCAAGCTGCTCAACACGAGTAGCGGGACCGGGAGGAATTGCATGACAGAGAAAGCGAGCCGTCCCGGCGTTGTGTGCGGTATCGGAAGTCGGAGGGGGCTCGGGTATGTTGGCCTCAACCCTTCGGGCGCAGCCGCGGAGGCGTCGAGGGCAGAGAGCGCCCTGGGGGGGGATTGCGAGGCGCCATGATGTTGGTCTTCGGCGAGGCTGGTCGGGTCGCGCGCGTCACTAACTGAAGCCGGCTCGTTGCGAGGGTGCGGCAGCTTTGAGCCCTGGTCCATCGTCACAGATCCTTCGGCGGCGGCATGATCGCTTGAGGAGGAGTGACGAGGTGACATATCGCGCCCCGGCAAAGCATGGGGGGTGTATCTTGGGAGTGCCGGAGGAGTGTTGAAGGAATCCAGAACAAGGGAAGAATGCTGGCGGAAGGGGCAGTCAGGAGTCCACCATTTCTCAGGTGGGTACGCTTGGCGGCAAGGCGGAGTTGCGAGCTTCTCTGATTGCTCAAAACCCATCACGTGTGACCCCTAGCCTAGCCCGGTATCAGCACCTAGTGGGGACTGGCGGCACCGAAAACTGCAACACCACCTGGGATGCAACTTCCTTGCTGGATCTAGTGAATGAGGTATCTTAATAAACCGCCCTAGTTGTAGATCTGGATTTGAAAATTTTAAGACTCAAGTCTGCCGATACCAAAAGGAATAAATGCATGGCGACGAGCTGGACATATGACTGAGACAAGTGATAGTAGAAGGATGCTAGTGAAGGTACAGTACATGTATGTATGTACAGTACATGCATTGAATCGATTCCCAGCTGGTTGGGACTTGGGACAGCACCCAAGCTCCTCCCGACCCCACCAATCGAGCTCGCTAGAATCGAGTCTCTCGGCTTGTTGGCGGAAGACCAAGACAAAAAATCGAAGAGACCGACAGAGCACGGAAAGTAAGCTCCGTTGATAAGTAGTAGAGGAGCCGAGTTCAGCGAGCTAAAATAGGTTGACCGACTGATTCCATGTTAAGCCACCGGCAATTTTTGGCCGACAGTTGTGGGGCCGACATGATGACGTCCCGGCCCGTTGCTGACGGAGCCGATTCTCGGGCGTGATAACCCTCCCTGTGTCTTAACTTAATACGGATACAATGCGGCGTTCCATCTCTCGCCAAACAATCTAGATAGGCACCCAGGTTTGAAGGAGGCAGTTGACAAGGAAAATGGATTCCTTCACAAGTCCGGGTAACACGGCACAGAAACCCCACACTACAAAACGGCCCGGGTGACCAAGCATCTCTCCGCCTGAGGGTAGGTTAGGTAAACTCCAATTAAGGCCAATCTATCCCACTGCCAAGTCGGCGTAACTACTTATGGGGGGAACCGTTCGTGATCATATCAAGGAAAGACGGGAATGACAACCAAATAGTCGCATTCGAAGGGTATCTTGGTAGAAAACGACGCTTTAGAAATACATCGTCGAAACCCGGCATACCAATCACGTTCCGTAGTCTCATCTAGAACTGTCCTTCATCTTACCACAGGTCGAGCAAGTCCACCATTGTCTCTCCATCTTATTCCCACAGAAAGAGCATTGCCATGTCGCTGGCGGTGCAGGGGCTCGATTTTGAGCAATATCCGTGGCCTTGCTCTTTGCAGCCTTGGCCCGGCTCCCTGTCAAGTCAACAACCGCTGCTGGCCTGGACCGTTTCGCTGCTTTCTCTGCTGTCCTCTCAGTGCCACAGGCATCACAACACAGAAACTCTGTGGGGTTGTGTAAAGTGCAAATACCACAGGTCCACCCAGAAAATGGTCCAGAGGAGGCGGGCGGCACCTCCGGCGTCGACGAGCCTGCAGCCGACGGTTCGGGTACATGCTGTTGCTGGGTCTGTAGTTGGCCTAGGTTGTCTTGGGTGGAAACTACGGCTCCCCTACCACCATTTCCTGCCGGGTTCTTAGCGCTTGGCGGGATGTACGAGCTCCCATACTTCGCCTTCTCATCCTCCTGGACAAGCTCCCAAAGAGCTTGGGCGATTGCTGCCTCGTTCGCGGCATCCTCTTCTGCCTGCGTCTTGAACCCGTTCCGCGAGGCGGTGTCGGAAATCTCGCGGATCTCGCTCTCGTTATGGTTGGTGTTTCCGCAGCCCTGCAAGGTCCGGTTTCTCCGCTCGATGGCGGAGGCGATGACCCGGCGCATGTCCTCGCCGGGCCGAGGCGCGGCGCCGCCAAGTCTCTGGCCGGAGCCTGCAGAAAGTGCGCGTCGCTTTTCTGCAGCCGCCCTTGCGAGGCGGCGGGCCTCGTGCATGGGGATCCGCTGACCGCCAAGGCGTTTGCCGTCCGAGAGGAATCCTTCGCCAGTGTAGCCCTTCCGCACCAAAGCTTCGTGCTCCTCCCGCAGTTGGTTCCAGAGTGCGTGAAATTTCGCATCGTGTGGCCCGTGGACAATGTGGGAGAGCTCGTGGAGCATGGTGTCTGCCACCTGCTCAGCGGGGAGGAACAGGGTACGGTCGCCGGGGTATCGCAACCGCAGGAGGATCTTCTGTCCTCTGTTCACATTTAACCCTGCGCACTTTGTGGTTAGCGGTCTATAGTGGTGTATGGGACGGCTGGCGTACCTACCCAGCAAGTTTTGCTGATCGGGATAGAATTCAGCTAATTCCCGAACCACCCATCCTCGAGCCCGCATAATAGGTTTCACCAGGGAAGCAACTTTCCTCAAGGCATGGAGAGCCTCCTTTTCTCGAGGGAAGTCCTTCAGGTGAGAGTAAGAAAGGACGAAAGGGTCGTGTTCCGGCATCGTGGAAGTTTGCTTGTCGGTCTGGCCTTGTAGCGGAGCGTTGGTCGTGACAACGGGCGGGGGAAAGAAGAGAACGAAGAAATGAAGAGGGCTCCAAGGCCAGCCCGGAATCGTCTAGAACATCATCTCCTATGCCGTAAGCAAACAGACGTCGATTTCCGGCATCAACCCATCGCCTTCTATCTATCGCCTCTGCGTGACCGTGTGAAGGGGTGCGTCGTAACTATATAGTTGTTGCCTTAGGTTACTAATTAGTTCCCTTCGGTATGGTCCTCAAATATTTAGAGCTACCCCTGCCGCATGTCAAAGCGCCCCAGTGACGTCAGCCTATCGCAGCTCAGGGGCGTGAGGGTCAGGGCGGGGCGGTGGTGCTGCCAGCAGGGGCTGTCTATTGATCTATCGCCACATATTGCTGTCACTGTCTACCGCTATGGAGGTCGCTACCAAAAGAATGGGCCACCGCCTTTTAATGCCGGCAGAATAATCTCAGTAACTTATAGGGTACTTAGGCGCTATGTCCACTAGCACTTAGCACATGTAAAAATTGTTAGGGGGTTTGTGCCACAGAAGTTCTAGCGACCCCAAGAAAGGCGGTGGGCCCTTTCATTTGGTAGCGACCTCCGTACTCTTGCTACTACTGTCTGTTGCTATTGCCGTCGCTATCTATCGGTTTTGCTGTCGCTGTCTGTAGCCTTTGCCGTTTTTGTTGCCTCGCCATTGATTATCGAGCACTATGGGGACCCACAATTCCCGATGCAGCTCCGCATGCTGGCCGAGGCGGTGTATCGTCGGGGGTCCGGGAGGGCAAAGCGGGAAACAGATGAGGAAGATGATGGCCGCAATGGAGGGGGCCGGGTGGGAACCACGGTGAGCTTCTCGGGCCTGTAACTGTTGAGCGGAGCATGTTTGGCGTCGGAGCTCCCTGGAGGGAGGCAATGCCACTTTAGGGAGGTGGCTGAGCCCTAGGGGTACGGAAGCACAGGGATTAATTACAACTTCCAATCCATCTCATCACAAATTGCAAACTGCATCAACTGATCCAACATCCAGTCGTGTGGTCCAGTCGATAAGCTCACATCGTTACCAGAAACGCAAAGCGAGTTTCCTGTGACCAAGCACGATCCAGACGGTCCAGACGGTCCAGAACTCTGAAATGAAAAATCGCGTCAACTGTTTCGGGTCACGCGGCTTTCGTGTCGAGGATTGAGGTGATTGGATAGTGCCCATCCTTACAAAAAGCACTGTCGGCGACTAATAGGGACGATTGGCGCTGCCTTCATATATTTCTACTGCCGCAGATTAATCAGGCCGACCAAGAAGGCGAGCCGTTATGAATCTTTTTTCACGCAACTGCGGAAATTAACAGCCTTGGAAGCCGTAACGGGGCTCGTTCTTGACGATCTACCCGTCACATGTGTCGGCCTTCTTGCCCCAAAAGGCGCCTCTGCAAGCTGAATATCCTGGGCCCCCCTGTCCCATTTCCCGCCTGGATCTGCGACATCCTCACACATCACAATGCAAATGCCGATACTGTTAGTTGCTCGGTCTTGGCTCTTCCACCATGATCGCCAGTTTCGTCAAACGCAATGCTTGGCTGCCTCTGTTAAAGAATCCCCCCAGCGTTGTGCATCCTGTGATAGGCTCATTTGCCCAACAGGCAGATCTGCCACAGTGAAACAAGGTACTCAATTAGGACAATGCAGGAGAGGAGATCAGTTGGCAAAAGCTTGTCTACTTCCCTCTCCGATTCCATGTCTTGGCTTCTCTTCCTCGTCCGTTCGTCTTCCTCTAGTTCTGCTGTTTCTATCAACTGTTGCAACTTCCCTTCTTGAATATATACTTGCACGTTCCCTTCCTTTCCAGGAAGTTGTGTTTACCCCCCCATCCGCCTCTAGGCATCATCGGTGGCCGCCTCGTCTTACCCTCGTCTTACCTTCGTCTTACCCCGTCCCATACATCATGAAGTTCTCCGTCTTTGCCGCTGTCGCTGCCGGCCTGGTTGCTGCGGCCCCCAGGCAGAGGGGCAACCTCGCGGCTCTTGAGGTTGCTGTTCTTGGTGGTGCCAGCTTCAAGATCTCCCAGGTACCCAACCAGAACTATAGGACGCTTCATCGGGGACCCAGGGCGCTTGCCAAGGCATATCAGAAGTTCGGCGTGCCAATCCCGAGTGACCTTCTTCAACTGCTCCAGGAGATTCTGTCCGAGCTCGGCGTTTCCGTCCCGAGACTCGGCGGAGCGGGCAACGGGACATTCGGTGGAAATGACACTGCCGACGCTGGCCAAGGCAGGTAAATCGCGGCAGACTCGAGAGTGACTATCTAACGTTGGGCAGGCGAGGTCTCGGCTATTCCCGAGCTCTTCGACAGCGAATATCTGGCCGAGGTCCACATAGGCACCCCGCCTCAGAAGCTCATGCTCAATTTCGATACCGGTTCCTCGGACCTGTGGGTCTTCAGTTCGGAGACGCCGGTGAACCAGAGGAACGGCCAGAAGCTGTACGATATAGAGGCGAGCACAACCTCCAAGCTTCTCAACGGCTCAACCTGGAGCATCCGATACGGCGACGGCAGCAACTCGGCCGGAACTGTCTACATGGACACCGTCAGCGTCGGGGAGATCACGGTTGCAAACCAGGCTGTCGAGTCCGCGCAGCGAGTCTCGGCTTCGTTCATGAATGACACAGCGTCTTCTGGCTTGCTGGGCCTCGCTTTCAGCCACATCAATCAAGTGACTCCAAACCAGCAGAAGACCTTCTTTGACAATGCGATGGAGAATTTGGCGATGCCTCTCTTTTCCGCGAACCTGAAGCAGGGCGAGGGTAAGAAATCTGGGCCCCAAACACTCCCCCAAACATCCCCATGCCAAGTCTGGGACAGCGCACTGACGGTTTTGCTTAGCTGGCAACTACAACTTCGGATTCATCGATCAGACCGAGTTCAGCGGCGAGATCGCCTTCGTCAACGTCAACAGCACCCAAGGGTTCTGGCAGTTCTCTGCGGGCGGCTTTGCAGTCGGCAGCAAGGCGGCGGTGGCGATGCCGCACGAGGCCATCGCCGACACGGGCACTACCCTGCTTCTGCTGCCGACGCCCATCGTCGAGGCCTACTACGCCGATATCCCGTCGGCGGCGTTCAGCGCGAGCGTCGGCGGCTTCGTGTACCTGTGCACGGAGAAGCTGCCCGACTTCACGCTCAACATCGGCACCTACAAGGCGGTCATCCCAGGCCCCATCATCAACTACGCGCCGGCCGACTCGGACGACTTCGCCACGGCCACGTACTGCTTCGGCGGCATCCAGGCCGCCAACGGCTTGCCGTTTGCCATCTACGGGGATATCTTCCTCAAGGCGCAGTTCGTCGTGTTCCACGGCGGAAACAGTCAGCTCGGGTTCGCGCCGAAGCCGACATAAATTGGATTGTGGGGGGTTTGGGGGGTCTCGTGAGCCCTTGCTTATCTTCTCCCTTGCCACTGGCGTTCTTCGGGTTATTAGGGGGTGGTGCTTCATAAGTTGGTTCACATGTCTTTCGTGGGTTATCAACTGCCGGATGAGGTATTGATTGACCCCTGTTGATAGAAGTGTGGCTGTTTAGAATAGGTTGTAGATCTTATGGCTGAAGCAACACTGAAGTACGTACATGCATGCCCCTGGTGACATAAGCTAGGTATCTAGGTAGGTACCTAGGTACTCTCTATCGTGACGGCACAGCCCGAGAAGACTTCAACTTGTTAAACAACCATACTTTAAAAGGCATAGTTCCGCCTTGCTCAGTCATTCATAAGAAGGCCAACACTGTTTATTTCAACCGTGCAAAGGAAGAAGGTTTGAATTCGTCAAATTCTTGCATAGCGAGAGGCACAGTTTAATTCAAGGGGCACGGCGTGCTATCAGCTGATGTCATGAGATCAGCCCACGTCACTGGATAGTTGATATAAGACCTGACAATCCAACTACAATCTGCCATCCAAAAGATAGATTCTGTTGATCGTGTTGAAGCCAGCATCCTCCTCATCCCGGCATTGAGTCAGCCAGTTCAACCCTGCATGGTTACTCTCCCTCTCCCAACACCCTCAACTCTCACTCTCCCAACACCCTCAACTCTCCATCTCCATCACACCCCAACCCCATCTCATTTCTTACAAACCCATCAAACCATAACAACAACAACAACAAAAATGCCCCTCCCCGCCCTCCAATCCTACCTCCCCAACCTCCAACACCCCTCCACCCGCACCACCCTAGCCGCAACCGCAACAGCCCTAACCATCCTCCTCCTGCCCCCCCTCCTCGCCCGCGCCATCCGCTCCTACAACGGCTTCATCGCCCTCGGCCCAGGCGGCATCCCCCACAACCTAGCCGGCTGGCTAGCACAGGCCTGTCTTCGCCCCTTCGCCCGCTCCGACCTCTCCGACGCGTCCCACTACTCCCGCCCGCCCGTGCTGGCCGCGTCGGGCCCGCTGACCGGCAGCTCGTTCCTCGGATCATCATCGCCGCTGCCCGAGAGGAGGGGCGGCCCGCCCGTGGTTCCGGGATACGTCGCGCCGCAGAGGCAGGTCACGGAGCGGGCGGGCGCGGAGACGAGGGCGCGCATGGAGGCGTTCGTGGGGGCCGTTGCGGGGGAGAATCAGGGGGTGCTGGAGGTTGCGCCGTCGGGGCTCGAGGGGGCGTGGATGCCGGCGCTGTGGCTGCGTGGGGCGCCGGGCCGCCGCCGGGGTTCCGTGCCGGGGTTCTTGGGGATGACGAAGGGGGAGATTGTGCATGTGCATGATGAGGGGAGCACGCATGTTACGCTCAGCCCGGCGGATGCGGCGGAGGTTCTGAGGAAGGGGTGGGGATTGAGGCATCCCATGAGTGGTGTGAGGGGGTGGCTGCCGTGGAGTTATGTGTTGGTGTATGCCCCCCGGGACCGCGAGGAGTTTGAGGTCTGGATGCGGCTGGTGGTGGCGAGCTGCTCGTTTGTGGTGTCTAGCGCCCACGGGCAGGCGAAGGAAATCAAGTATGTGTGGGAAGACAGTGAATGGTAGAGCAGAGGTCGACCTCCACCTGTTGTAATGGGGAAGAGGATCCCGTTGACCGTTTGGGTGCTGGATCACAGTTCAAGGGCATGGGATACACCGATATTGTCTCGATTTCAGCAATCTTAGGGGGGGTGTTGTTAGTGTGATTTTACGGATTCACGAAACCTCTCACCGCTAGGCTTGTTTGTATTCAGGTACAAGATTGTCTCTCCTCTCATCGACTTCATTGGTGGTATTCTACGAAGACTTGGGGCTGCTATACTATAGGAAGTTAGGATGGCACTGCGATGGCTTCCTAGTTGGAATAATTTCTTGCCATATCAGTTCCCCGAGCACGGGGAATATACTCTCGGTTGGAGACAATGCCTTCAACGCTTCCGCTTCCTCCTCCCCTGACTCGAGAACTGCTCTTACCGGTCCGTCTCAATATAAGGGAGGCGCTGCCAGACGCAAAACATCGTATTCTTCTCCCATTTACGGGGGATATTCCGAGTCGAGGTCGCTTCCTGTCCTAGCTCACAGCTGGACGATGGCGCTCCGCCTATACCCCCAGCAGGGGGAGGACGTGAGGTCACATTCATCCCATGACGCACGCCCCTATATTATCGAGGCCGGCTGTCTGGCCATGTCCAGAGATGGGTAGACCTCACGCACAGCGAACCGCTCCGAGTCGATCCACGTAATCATGCCCCCGTTCAACTTCGCGGTCGGAACCAAAGCAATGGTTTCGAAAGCAGGGAGGGCTGCTAGCAAGGGTGCTGGGTACCGCGAGTTGGACGGGTGCTGGAACAGGCCCACGATCTCTTTGGTGCCAGCGATGGGGCGGCAGCTGGCTCGGAAGGTGGGAAGCTCGACGGTTATGGTCAGGTTGGTTGGAGTGTTAGACCCGGGTGAAGAGTGGAAGCAGTGTAAGTGTAGGTGCCATAGTATGCCCAAGGTTCTCGGGTATAATTAACACATGGAGAATGGAGAAAGCCCGGAGACTTCGCATTAGCAAAGCACAGCTCGTTCGGCTTGTAAACAGGGGGTTTGCGATCTTCGTGCCGTGGATTTTTACAGCAGAGTTACGGAGACAGGGGCCATCTGTCAATGTGCGTCTCGGGAGTGGTTGGGAGATGGGAGAGCTTGCCATGCCGAGCTCGTGTTGGTAGGGGATTCAGCTAGAGCAAGCAGCTTGATTCGCGCCTTTCTTACGAACTCGCAGCGTGAACTGGGGACCCGCACCAGCATGAACCAGGACAATTTTAACCTCGGATGGTGTGCGTGCTGCCTGTAGGGCGATCAGTGATGATGCACGAGACCTGTCGTATACAGCTAGCTGGTCATTATCATACACACTGGTGGTGGGCTCAATCAGGCTGGTGGTGCTCATAAGAAATGCCTCACACTCTGCTGCCGTTGATACCTAATCACTGCAGTTCTCTCCAATAATCGACGGGAAGGAATCACGGAGGATGAAGGAAAACGGCTGATATGTGACAACTCAGCTGCAGACCCACGTGACAGAACGCGCTTCAGAGCAAACACACCAGCGAACTACCCAGCTGTTTGTTGGCCCAAGGTCAACCCATGTTCAGACCAGGTTTGTCAAGGGGTTGCCTAGGTAGGTACCTAGGTATCAGGCAAGTCGTAGATGGGATGATCCTAGAAATCAGGGTTAGGGTTACTGCGTAGGCACTTGGTCCTGATTGGACCGGCCAGCCGAATATAAGGACCAGGTAATTTCTCTTCTCATGTATCAAAGGGAGGGAGGCACCTACCTAGCCCAAATGCAGGTTGGGCGGCAATTCGGGATGACTTGTAGGTATAGGTGGTTATGCAAGGTGATATAGAGGCTGGAACTTGTAGGGGGGGTGTTTGAGACCGGTGGTTGGCTGTGGTGCCCTCTCCTCCAGCGCCAGTCGATAGGCGTTCATACACATAGGTATATCACAGGCAGCAATGCATGAGATGGGGCAGGCGTGGGGGTAAGCAAGCCTGAGACAGAGTGGAACAGAAATACCATAGCGCGCGAGGGGGGTCCTTCGAGTGGGTGTAGAGATAGTGTTGAGAGACTTTCACATTGCCAAGGTGCTTTCTTATATGCATGTATGTTGATGGTACATTGGTTAGATTATCCTAGTTAAATGAAGCTTATCTTTGAAACCGGATATGTAGTTTGGAAAACTTCTTGTTCCCAAGAAAGTCCTGCTAGCATGAAAGTCCTGTTAGCAAGAAAGTCCTTAATAGGCAAACTAAAAAAAAAAAAAATTAAAAAAATTAATTAATTTTTATTCCAATTTAGGAAGGTGAGTTTTTTTAGACAGAAGGAACAACTGAGATTTTTTTTCAGGATTTTTATTTTTTAATGTCACAGGTGGGAGTTGAACTTGGAACCTCAAAATTTTAACTATACTATGTACTAACTAGGCTATGGAAATGTACTACATAGAATGTCTTTGTATCCTGGCTTATATGGTACAATATTGCCTAATTGCATTTTAGACTCAACAGCGTTTTGGATGAACAGCTAGTTAATTAACTAGGAATTCCAAGCAGAAATGGCATCAATACACCTATCGCATCAATAGAAATACGGTAACCTACCTGGAATCCATACTACAGGCTATTGCCACCGAAGGAATAGCTATACTTGGGCATGACTTCCAAACCAAACCTGTACTAAGAGGCTGTGAGGGTAAGGGTGTGATTCCATTTGCAAGGGGTTTGCCTTGTAATTACATTTTCAAGCTGCCTGGCTCACACTATCCTACTACTTGCATTTTTCTGAACAACCGCGCTTTTCCCAACCCACACCCTCTCCACATCCTTCCGAAGGACCCCCCTCACGCGGTATGGTAATGGAACTTGTTTATTATTAGACAAAGTCTGGCGCAGGAAAAACTTCTGTCAATCGTTGGTAGATTCTGGTACGAGGTAGGAAGGGGAGCACGTGGAAGCGGAAGGAGAGGCGGAAGCGGAAGCGGAAGCGCACTTCTTATTCCGTCGGTAAACGGCTGGGCAGATCAGCAAATGATGCTCCCGCGTTCCCCACCCCAACTTGGTCCCCCAAACTTCCAAGGGCTAAGCGGGATGAGCAAATCAAGATATCCCGAGCCTCAAGTGTGGGGCAGCCACGGAGACACTGCAGCCGGCCCTCGACTCATGGGGAAGGAGTCGCAGGAAGGTTGGTGTGACAAAGCGGCAAGAAGCGGTCACCGAGACGCTCATCATTTCCTCCACCTTCACCGTTTTCGTGGTCGAAGACCATCGTAATACTGGCGTGGTGAGGTGCGAGGTTCTGAAGGAAGAGGGCATGTTCAGTGCTATTAGTGAGCGAGACATGCTCCAGAACTTAGAAGATACCTGCCCAGCAACAACAGAACCAACTACTCCCAGTGAGGCTCCTGGCACGGTCTCATCGGGTTGTCAGGGCGAGACAGATTTGTGCACTTTTCCTGTCTCCCATCGCGCTTCGCTTGCTTGACCGTGAAGAAAAAGGAACGCAAGAGAGGGGTCCCTCTGTGGATCTGCCTGTAAGTGGCCTATCGGATTGTCAGGTGCGGTGAGGCTGGCGGCATGATTCGGTGAAGGCCATCATTGGACGTCGCCAACATGGTCTTAGGGCGGGCTCACTGGGGAACCAGCGCTGAGGACGGCCCAGAGAGTGCGGCATCTATGTGGTCTATGTGCGAGACAGGCCAGATTGGACCGGATTGGACTTCAATGGGCAGCGCTCGAAAAGTGAGCCAAACGGTCGACAGTGAGGTGGCATGGAGGGACTGGCGGAGAAAAGCCAAGCGGGTAGAATTGCAGGGACCACGTGTTTGCTGCCCACATATCTGGGTCGACAAATGACACCAGCTCTCAGTAGTGAGTTGCAGCCCCCTTGCCCAAGTTCAGGCAGAGCCTGAGCCTATCGCGCGCGACTCAAAAATACTATGCAGTAGGTTGTCAGTCCAATTTTCCCCCCAATTTTCTCACTCGCCAGCCCGGCGTCTCAAGTTCCTCAATCAATGCCTTCCCCTCAACCATGTCCATGTCTCCATGTTCATTCGTGTCTGCTCCACACCTTTCCCACGCTGCTGTGCGGGCGTGCCGCCGTGATTCACACATTATCTGCCTACATATCCCGGACTGACCGACCTTTGAGTCAGTTCAGTCATTCAGTCACTCCCGTCCTCGCCTTCTAGATCCCATTCATCCCCTGACAGGGACACATCTGTTCTCCACAAAACGACCCTTGTGGTCCGTGCCAGCGTGATCGAGCATCAGCATTTTTTGTTTCTTTTTTTCCCATTAAAAATTAATCTTTTTTTTTTTTTACCTACTTAGACAGGGTCCCCAGGACCAATTGCCAGGACCAGTGCTACTGACCCGTGCTTTTTCGGTCCTTGTATGTACCTACCTGCACCATTTTATTTTATTTTTCCCCCGCCAGCCGCCGGGTCGCAGCAATAAGTTCGGTTCGGGGGTCACGATTTGCGATTTTGGGGGTGCACCAGACGAGCTTCGACTGACACCAGACCACCCAGACCGTTGGCGCGCTATTCCTCCGTCCTCGGCACTCGGTACGAGTGGGCGGTCAACTTTTTTACTATCTTTTTCTCTTTTTTCTGTGTGAAACCACCGCACACCTCGAGTCCTATTGCCTTCCCCGGTGCGGCCCTTGCCTCTTTAAATCCTCGGCCCTTCCCTTCTGACCTCCTGTACACCTTTCCTCACCGAACAGGTGTTCAATCCACTTTTTTCCTTTTTTTTTGCTTGTCGGCTTGGTCCTCGATTGGCTTCGCAGCTGGCCTCCGACGCGACTGCAGCTCTCCCACTTATCGCCAGGGGCTTTTGAGCAGGGTCTTGAGGCTGTCCCGGCCGTTTTGACCTCGATCATGGGATTGCGGCACCCCTGAAGACTTCCGAGTCAAAGGATGCATCCAGCCCCGAGCCTGGCCGAGGCCCCGCCTAGCACCAATGAGTCTCGACCCGGCCATAATCCGTCCGCGAGCCCTGCATCACACTCGCCCCGTGACTCTCATGGCCCCGGCTCACCGTCCTCCCCGCCGGTGAGGAAGGACACGACTTCGTCCACCTCCACCATCGCAACAACCGCAACCCTGGCAACTGGCACATCCGGCGAGACTGCCCCTACTGTGTACGGAAACCTTGAGGCGTCGCCCAGTTTCACCACCCAAGCTGTCTTCTCTGTTAAGGACGGAGCAGATGCTGCAGCAAACCGCCGGGCTAGTCGGCGGCGAACCGGCCCGCTGTCCGCCGTCCAGAGGGAACGAGCCGCTCTAATCCGCAAGCTGGGAGCTTGCTCCGATTGCCGACGCAGGAGAGTTGCCGTAAGTCCAATCCGTTTTCTGTTGAGGTGGAATTTATTTGCTCACCACCCCCTAGTGCCACCCCAATCACCACAACATGACCTGGGAAGATGCCGCCCGAAAGTACCGGTCTCACAGCCCAAACGTGCAGGAGCTTGTTCCGGTGTCTGGCCGCCTCAGCCCTGCACCGATGAGCGCCAAAACCGTCTACCATGACCCTCAGGAAATGGACCTAGACGCTTCGCCCGCGCAGCAGCCCGGCCGTCCGCCTCTAAGCGAGACGCGCATCCGGACCCCTCTGCCGTCAGGCCCGCGGCTAGACAAGCCTGCATCCGTCACGTCCCTGCCGGGCATTGACAGCCTGAAGACTGACCTCCAGGGCGTGGCTGCCAGGATCGTATCCGATCCTTATGGCAGCCGGTATGCCACGGTGCAAGCCCTGCTGCTGCATTGGCAGGACGACGACGATCAGAGCGTCCGGGCCGCCATTAGCGACCTGGCCAACGTGCTCGAGTCGTCCTACCGCTATACGTTCAAAATCAAGTCCATCCCATCGTCCTCCAATTGCAAGAGCTCGTGGAGGTGGCTGTCACGCGAGATAAACGAGTTCATCGACTATCACGATCAGCGAGACGTCTTGAAGATTGTTTATTACAACGGACACAGCTATCTCGATGCCAACCGAGAGATGATATTGGCAAGGTCAGCACTGTTTCCCCCCCCTTCTCCCCCTCCTTGCTGTCGTCCCTGATCTGACACTCCCTCACAGCTCGAGAAATCCCGAAACGGCATCGCCCATCAGGTGGAGCGGTATCCAGCAGATACTGGAAGATGCGTGCTCGGACACGCTCATCATCATGGATGCTGCTTACTATCCATCGTCAAAACTCGTGCGCAAACAAGGTGTTCTCGAGTTGATCGCCGCATCAGCTAGCGAAGACCATGCCAAGTTGCTCGATCGCGGCTCCTTCACACGCACCTTGGCCGACCTGATGCACACGAGAGCCAGCCAAAAGTTCATGAACCCTCTGTCTGCTGCAGAGCTTCATGCCAAACTGCTGTCCTCCTACCCGAAGATGATTCAGGATAGACAGCCGGAGAAGGAGGTGCTCACCAGCTTCCCTTCCCCTCTGCATGTGCAGATAAGTGGCGATAGTCGGCTTCCGTCGATTCTCTTGGCACCAATCCACAGAGGCCTCGCGCCCTTCGTGTTGGATGCCGTGCAGAGCGGCCCTCAGCTGAACTTCAGCTTCCGGTTGACGGACGACAGCAACTTCAACGCGGAGGCCTGGTCGGAATGGCTTCGGACCATGCCGGAAGGAATCAGAGACGTCAAGGTGGAAGGCCCCTACCGCAACAATACGTTACGATGACCTTTGTCATCGGTCCCCCCAGTCGGGCACACACGTTTATTTACCCCCAACGTAACGAGTTCGACAACATTAATTTCTTGGACCTGACGAGTCTTGGCTGCCTGATGCCGGGGGTCATCAGGGTGCCACTCGTCCGCAACAGACAAAACCAAAAGCCCACAAAAAAAAGGAGAAAAGACACGAAAAGAAAAGCCGCCAAAAAGGAGGAACAGGTTCCAAAGTTCTGTCACTCAAATCTACGACGAAATGAATCGCAGACGATGATTCGATGACCAACCTTCTCCTATCGGGGGAAACAAGACGCTTTCAAGGCGATATTCATGACGAGCACATATGATACCACTTGCTAAGGGGAAGGCGGCCTAGCGAACGTGGGACATTATCCCACGGGAACGGAGCGGATAGCGGCAGACCATTAGGCCCCAAGATGATGATGGATGGGAAATAGACATGTCTAGCATTGCGTTACGTTACGAAAATGAAAGACCCCCCTCTTCCCCTCTTTTTCTCAGAGTGCAACACCGAATCTCTGGCATGTTATACATACTGCGTTGCTGCCGTCTTGACCGCCGATGTGCCGTAATTCCATGGCTCCTATCTAACCCATTGTTTTTTGTTGACTCAACACGCCCAAACAACCCAAAATAAAAACCCCTAGCCCCCCCTAATTATTCCAGGTAGTGACATGACACAACCATCTAAATAAATACAGTGAGCCCCTATACCACAGAGTAAAAATGCAAACCGCCCAACACATGTTCCACATTGCACAAGCACCACATCATACAAACAACCAAGCAACCACCCCAACGACCAGCCCCAACACCAGGCGACCCATACCCCCCTCCCCCGCTCCCGCCGCCCCCGACTTGGAACTAGTAGTCCGATCCCCAATCTTAAAAGGCGGCTCGTAGGCGCCCGCGGGCTCCCTCGCGTCGAGCGTGCCGTTCCAGCAGTACCGGGCGAAGCAGTCGGCGCAGCGGGCCGGGACCGGCGTCCCCGCGCGGGCCAGGCCGCGGCTCAGGGCGGCGCAGGCGAGGCAGGACGGCCAGTCGGCGTCGAGGGTGCCGTTGCCCTGGGTGGCGGCGTTGTAGGCGTTGAGGATGATGTCGTCGCGCTGGGCGCGCGGGTACGAGGGGTCGAAGGTCGAGACGTTGCTGAGGGAGGTGTAGGGCGCGTTGGGGAGGTAGACGATCAGCGGCGGGACGGGACGGTCGGCGGTGAAGTTGGAGGCGTCGCAGCCGAAGAAGGTGGGGCGGTTGTTGAGGCCGAGGTTGACGAAGGTGTTGGCGTCGGGGATGGCCGGGAAGGCCGTGCCGTTGGCCATTGGGGAGAGGGAGCGCTCGTAGGTGGCGCGCAGGGCGGTGGCGTTGGGCCAGTTGTACTGCGTGTCGGCGGACGAGTCGACGGCGAAGATGACGTCGACGTGGCGGATGGGCTGGACGAGCGGCGTCAGGGGGATGTTCTGCAGGTCCTCGCCGCCGTCGACGAGGGAGAGCTCAAGCGAGGAGGAGTACGGGTTTGTGTCGTTGTTCCAGTCGAGGAAGGGGTTGGGCAGGTACTGGGCGATGTCGTTGTTGTCGCGGCCGAGGACCTTGAGCACCGCCTCGATGGTCGACACCACGGGGCGGGGGATGTCCAGCGACGAGAGGTTCTGGAGGAGGAACTGGTTGAACAGCGAGCTCGACGTGCCCATGACGAAGCCGAACTGGTCGAAGCCCTCGACGCAGTGGCCCGAGGACGGAATCTTCCCGCCACTGAAATTCGACGCGAGGTACCGCGTCGGCACGAATCCGAACACGGTGGGGTCGAAGCTGCCCATCTCGAACGGGTTGAATTCGAAGTTGGTCGCGTTCAGGGAGACGATGAACTCACCCGGCGCCCGCCCGTCGGCCACCAGGATAGGGAACGGGGTCTGGCCCTGTTCAAAGTCGGGCGTCAGGGCAATGCTAGAGAAGGTGTACGCTGGCCCGCCATCCGTGTCGTTCACCAGCTGGTAGCTCAGGGCGCGGCCCCAGTAGTCGGTGATACTGGTCTCGAAGCCGGCGTCGGCTTTGCTCGACACCTGGTCGGCAACGTCGCCCCAGTATGCGGCCGTATTGAAGAGGCTAATGCCACTCTCCTTGGGGCCCTGGAAGATGGAGCTGCTGAATTGCCATACGTGGGGGTCCAGCTGCAGACTCTCCACGCTTGAGAAGTTGTTGGCGAATATGCTGCCGACCAGCCAGCCGCCACCGGAAAGGCCGGCAAGGTAGGTGGCCGACTGCAACAGCCCGCCGATGCCCCCACTGTCGGTCGACCCGGGAGTCCGGCTATCCGCGGCCTTGAGGAACCCGGCGCCGTTCATCAGGGCCCGGTAGCCGCCGCCGGAGACGGCGATGGCGATGTTGGGCAGCGCCGAGATGTTGGACGACGCGGCCTTGTTGATGTAGGACTCGACGTCAAAGTCTGGGATGTTTGCCCTCTTCAAAAAGTCGATCATGGGGGCCACCGTGCGATTGCGCCGCAGCGGTAGCCACTCCGTCTCGTTCCGAGACAGCGCCGACGCGGCCCGGACCGTGGGTCGCGCGGACGGGCATGATACTATGGCCGGAGCGTAGTCGCCGCTGGGGGTGTTGGGTAGCGCGCGGTGGGCATAGTAGGCGATGTCTACTGCCACTTGTTTTCCGGAAGACAGAGACGATGACCTTGCCGTCAGGTCGGATAGACCGGCAGAAGCAAGCACAGCTTGCAAGAGGGAGAGAGGTATAAGAGCGTGAAGCAACATAGTGAAGTGGGAAGGATGTTTGACGACTACGTCAGACTAATTCAATTGATAACAACGTCAACAACGTCAACCAAGCCAGACACCTGCTTGTGACCGTGGGGAAAGGGGAAGAGGTCGGTCGCATCTGACGGGAGAAGGAGTGGAGATGGGAGAACCTTTAGAAAGATATAGCAATCAATAAGACATCCGTCGGGAAATTCCTAACCTCATTGCTCCATTCGAGACTGGAGTGATCAGTGATCCAGCGTGTGGCGCAGGTCAAGGTCGGTTGACCCTAAGCCGTGGTACTATTTGTGCACCCATCTGAGACCTTTTGGGGCCTGAATCTGGCCGCTGAGGCTCCGCTTGGGACTTGGGCCAGGATATGACTGGTTGACGTCAGCCCCAGCCCCCTTGCCTAGACAGGATGATCTTATTCTTGTCGCTCGGAACGGCCGGGTTTCGAGTCAACACTGGCATAAAAGGACTCGTACGGATTACTTCTGAGCCCTTCCGCGTACCTAGTGTATTCGTAATTACGCAACCTTTGTGCTTTCGCTTTCCCGTTCTCGCCTCATTCTCAGCTGACCTCCAACTCGATCATGGGCACTCGGCCACTTCTGCGAGTGCCCCATGTCGGCACGTGCAATGTTGCCCTCTCTGTCAGCAGATTTCAGCTGGCCGTGCCTTCTTGGCACGCGTGACCCATATCGCAGCCGCAAGTTCCGAAATGAAGCAGTATCAGCAGCGGGCCGTTGCAGGCCGGCACTTCCTCCGTAGTGCTAGGGTAACTGTCAGCGTCCCGGCCCCGCAACGATGCCCGGCGCCGGGCAGCCCAAGGTAATAATTTCAATGTAGTCCACCATTCATATGAAGACGGGAGTCCGAGCTTGGGGTGAGCACAGACCGTACCGCCTCGCCGCAGATACGAGTACGAAGTAGGAGCCGGACCCCAGCACCGCTTTTCACACCCAGCGCAGCAGCCTAGAGCATCCATTCATTCCCATCCACCCAGTCTAGCAATGCTTTCTCTTTACACATCACACGAATCAGCTCATCCAATGTGGGCCAACTAACGCAGAAAACCCCCGTCATGGCTCCGTTAACATCGGACCCGCGCCAATTGCTGGTCGTGCTCAACCCCGCCCGCCGCAAGGCCCTGTACAATCTAGCCGATGAGATCACAGCCTACATGCGCTCGCAGCTCGAGCTGCCACGCCCAGAGGGAGGACCGTCCGACGCCGCGGCCGCCCGCCGCCCCGGCGACGCCCCGCTCTTTGCCCACCCCGCCAGCGACGCACCCACGTCCCCGCCGGCGGCAACGGCGGCGGCCGCGGCCGCCCCGCCGAGCCCGGAGCTGGCGCGGCTCCGGCGCGCGGCCCTCGCGCACTTCGACGCCTGGCGCAAGGGCGTGCTATCCAAGCTGAAGGAGATTCTCGCCGCGCCTGACGACCAGAAGATCGCCGACGAGCGCCGCAGGCGGTCGGACCGCATCGCCGCCGCCCGCGCCGAGCGGCCCGGCGCGGGGGAGGACCTGATCGACTTCGGCGGACCGGGGCCGGGGCCGGGGCGCGTCCCCGACGGCGACGCCGAAGCCGTGGCCCTGCAGCTCCTGTACCACCCGATCCCGACGCGCCTGACGACGATCCCCGCCGAGGACCGGAGGGAGGCCCTCTGCGCCGTGCTGCTCCTGCTCCTGTCCGGCGGCGACTACTCTGCCGACTCGAGGACGCTGGCCGTGTACCTCGCGTCCGCCCTGGAGCTGCCGCTCGCGGCGCTGGTACGCGAGGAGACGGAGATCGCGCGGTCGCTGGTCGAGACGTCCACGTCCGAGGCCGCGCAGCAACAGCAACAACAGCAGGCCATGTCCGCGGACGCGGAGGCGCAGAAGCGCAAGCAGGAGAACCAGAGTAGCCGCTTCTGGAAGGTCGGCCTGGCGTCCGTGGCGGGCGCAGCCCTCATCGGCGTCACTGGGGGGCTGGCTGCGCCGGTCGTGGCTGGCGCTATCGGCGGGCTCATGGGTACCGTTGGTCTCGGGGGGGTTGCCAGTTTCCTGGGCATCTTCTGGATGAATGGTGCCCTGGTGGGAACCCTTTTTGGGGCTTTTGGGGCCCGGATGACGGTGAGTTGGCGAATCCCCCCCAGCGTTTGCCCCTGCGGATAACGGGGAGGCTCGAGCCGGGCGCTAATCCTCTCTACAGGGCGAGATGGTGGATCAGTACGCCCGCGAAGTGGAAGACTTCCGCTTCCTCCCTCTGACGGACGAGTGGGGTAAGGAGTGCAAGAAGGGCGACAAGGAGTTGAGGCGCTTGAGGGTCATCATTGGCATAAACGGCTGGCTCACGTCGAAAGAAGACGTGACAAAGCCGTGGCGATTCCTCGGGGACGACTCCGAAGTGTTCGCGCTGAGGTACGAGATGGATCGGCTCCTGACTCTGGGTAAGTCCCTCGAAGGCCTTGTGTCGTCCACCGCCTGGTCTGTCGTGAAAGTTGAGATCCTCAAGAGGACCGTTCTGGCGACTCTGTGGTCAGCACTGTGGCCGGCATATCTGCTGAAGGCGGCTACATTCGTCGATAATCCCTTCAACCTCGCTCGCAACAGGTCCGAGAAGGCGGGCAAGGTCTTGGCCGACGCTCTGATCAACAAGGTTCAAGGCGAGAGGCCGGTGACATTGATCGGCTACTCCCTTGGGGCGAGAGTCATCTACTCGTGTCTTAAATCGTTGGCTGCTCGGCAGGCGTTCGGCCTGGTTGAGAATGTCGTCTTCATCGGCGCTCCTGTTCCTTCCAACCGGAGTCACTGGCAAATGATGCGGAGCGTCGTCTCGGGGAAGATGTATAACGTATACTCGGACAGTGACTACATCCTGGCTTTCCTCTACCGCGCGACCAGCATCCAGCTGGGCATCGCCGGGCTACAGGAGATCAAGGACATCGAGGGTGTGGAGAACCTCGATCTGAGCCAGGAGGTCCAGGGCCATCTACGGTATCCGGAGTTGGTAGGCAAGATTCTGGTTCGATGCGGATTTCCCAATATCAACGGATCCGACGGGCCTATCGAGAAGGAGACCAACGAGATCAGCCTTGAGGACTCGGATCGGAGCCAAGTCGGCACGCTCATCGACTTGGGCGACTTGGCCATCGCCGAACCTCCACAGCCCCAGCCGACCACGCGGGAGCAGGAAAAGGAAGCTGCGCCATTTCCCAGGCCGAAAGACTATGGCAGGAAGATGCAAACAGTGCTCACCCGGTCCAAACCCCAGGCCCTCGATGCGACTTTTGACCCCTTGGGGGTCCAAGCCGGGCCATCGCAGGAGCCGAGCCCGCCTCCTTACCGCGAAACACAACATTCCGTAGAATCTAGAGGCGACTCCAAATTCGTGATGGAGGGACCGAACATCAAGTACAGCGGCTCGGTCCGGGATTTGGCAATGGGGAAGCCGCCACCAGCGCCGGCCCAGGAAAGCTCTCCAGCCTCCAGCAAAGCAATCACAGATGAGTCCGGGCCGTCGTCGGCCGCTGCATCGGCTGAGAAGGTCCAGAATGACGATGGCCACGGGGATAGCAGCGAAGATGAAGATGGCTGGCGGATCAAGCTGGTTGATAACGATGAGGATGAGTTTGCGTATATGGAGCCAATACCCATGGAGGATTAGGATCAGTTTGTTTTAGTCGCGAGTTCCTTTTTAACCTGAGCCTATAGAGTACCTACCCTACCTATCTATGAAAGGAGTAGTGCAGTCGAGGCTCCAACGTGAATTTTGCACATGCAACCGTCACCGGATATGCGCAGCCACCCGGTGCACACAAAGTCGTACGTTACTCATCGCTATCCTCCTCATCATCCTCATCCTCATCATCTTCAATGTCGATCTCCTCTTCGTCGCTCCCCCTATTCTCTTCCTCGTCTGCCTCCCCACCGTTGCCGTTCAACTGCTCCCGCTCGTCTTCCTTCCGTTTCCTCTCGTCCTCCTTCCGCGCATCCTCCATCATCTTCTGCTTCTCTGCCCTCAACGTCCGCTGGGACACGACGAATGCGCCAAGCGGCGTCTTCTCCCACTCAAAGTCCTTGAGGAAGGCGTCCACCTGGTTCCTGTCCCTGGGCGCAAAGTCGACGCGGGCCCGCCTCTCCTCGATGAACTTGGCGTTGGCCTCGAGCTTCTGCACCAGCAGCACGAGGCTCGAGACCAGCTTGCCGTTCTTGTTGCCCGCGGACCTGCTCCGTGCGTCCTTCATCCAGCGCTTCAGCATGACCGTCACGGGCAGGGCGAACTCGGGGAACGCGATGTTGGTCGACCACAGGACGAAGTACTCGGACAGGAGCTCGACGACCTGGTCGCCCACGCCGTCCTGGTACACGCGCGTCCTGAGGTACGACTTCGGGGCCTTGTAGGCGACGTTGAAGTCCAGCTGCTTCAGCGTCGACGACTTTGGCGGCTTCTTCATCTCGGCCGAGTTCAGCACCTCGAGGAGGACGGATGCGAGGGGGATGTATGTCCCCGTCGAGCGGGAGAGCCGGAGGAGAGAGCGGATGAGCTGGAACCGCAGCGGGAAGTACATTGCCGTAGGGATGAGACGCATCGCCCCCAGGGTGACTTGGACGAGCGGGTATATCAGCAGCTTGAGCTGGCTTTCCTTGCCGGCTTCGGCTTCCTTCAGCGGGCTGCAGTGTTCCGAGAGCACGCAGGACCAGAAGTCGAGAGAATGGACATATTGCCAGTTGTAGACCTTCCTGTACGAGTCGTTCTTGTTGTGCACGATGCTGTTGCGCAGGTGAATCGCGAGTTGGCGGATGAAACTGAAGGCGGTCGTGTAGCCGATAGCCTGGTCGATTCCCCAGAGCTCGGCAGCCGAGTTCTTCATGAGGTTGATGCCTCGTACTGTGTTGACATTTGTGACGCGACACCCCTGAAGAAGGCCTTGATACGCCGCCCTGAGAACGGATTCTCTAATGCCCTTATCCCCGATCACCATCAGTCGCCGGAGGACAAGGAAAGCCGTGATTTTTATCGTTTCGCTGCTCGCCGACTGAGACCAAAAGGCCACCACGGTCTTGATAAGTGATTTCAGCAGCTTCCTAAAAGATAGGAGGTAAGGCAACAACGGGGTCAACGCCGATAACGTCAGCTTGAGCGTTGCGTCGTCGGACAATGTTCCGAGGAGGTGGATGATGGAGGCCGTGTAGCTCTTCATCAGGATAGAGAGAGTCTTGAACTTCTTGGTGTCGACAGAGACGTAGACCTTTCCAGCGGCTGATTCTTTGACGGGAAGGTGGTGCTGGAGAACCTCTGGGATCTGCTTGAGAGCGACGACGAGGATATCGTGGAAGACCTCGGGATCCGAGATGGAATAGCGCTGCGGCTTGTCGTCGTCCTCGTTGAGGTGCGCGGCGGACCGGAAAGCCAATACGACCTGGCGGGAAGCTCTCAAAGAATGGGTTTCAGCCATGGACTCCTTCCATTTTGCAACCAGTTCCTTGGTGAGTTCGTTGCCTTTTATCAAACCCTCGACTGAGTCGTCGCCTTCTTCGGCGGACGCCGCTCCCTTCTTCCTCTTCTTCTTGGGCTGTTCCTCCTCTTCACCGCCGCTGAGCTCATCGATCTCGGCAAGGTCTGCATCCTCGTCGAAGTCTAGGGCCTCGGGGTCATTCTCCTGCAAGAACTTGTAGAAGTCCGGGTCGTCTTTGGCGAGCGCATCCATGGCCGCCTTGCTCATGCCGGCATCCTCCTCGTCGCCATTGTCCGATTCCAGGTCGCTGTCGCTGGCCTCTGGCTGCTGTTCGGCCTCCGAGTCGGAATCGTCCTCTGATTTCTCTGCCTTCGCGGCAGGTGCTCCGTCCCGCTTCCGTTTGCCGAGTTTGCCTGCTGCCTTCGTCTCGGGCTTTTCACCGTCGAGGATCTCGAAACCGCCCTTGAAGAAATCATCGACGCTCATCTCGCTAGCCTTGGCACCGTTATTCTTCCTACCCGCTGCGGGAGCAGCTCCCTCCCCCTTCGCGCCTTTGAAGAACTGGTCATCTTGGGATCGCTTCGTCTTCTTCTTATCCTTGATTTGCATGCGCTGCTTGATTTTCGCCGTGGATTTCCTCCTCTCGAGAACCCCTTTCAGGTGCTTCTGCTCAAACTTCTTGGTCGCCTTCGCGTTCTTCTTTGTTTGAGCCATGGCAGCCGGGTATCGCTCAATCAATGGCTGGCTCGACTGCACAAGTGTTGGCACCAAGTAGGTATTGCTGCTTCAAAGTCAAAACTTTTTTTTCCTCTCGGGGGTGGGGCGTAGCCTTATCGTATTTCTTATCGGAAATGTCACTAGGCTATTTTGGGGTAAGTTTCCTTCCTGCACAGATCACGTACTACGTACCTAGTCAACTCCTCGTGCTGGGGCAGCCATCAAGAATCCTGTGACTTGACTCAATTCGAAAACCCCTTCGTTCAAGTTGGAATAAGGGGCATCTGGCAAGATGAGAGATACTGGGGAATCATTGGTAGATGAGTCTTAACTCTCTACCGCCTCTAAGCCCAACCTGGAAGGTAGTTAGTCTCGTTCTCGCAACATAGGCTATTTAGGGCAGGCAGTCCATCTTCAGCTGTGCTTTCGCCTCGTCGTTCCCCCGCTTACCCGACGTGGCTGAGAGGGTTGGACTTAGGAGGTATAGGTCGATCATCAGCTGGTCCGAACAACTTTGGGCTTTGTTCAGTAGTTCAGCCAGGAACTCCATTATATATATCCTGCATGTGGACAGAGTCGTAACCTCCTCCAGAGGCAGTAGAATCTAGCCCAGGTATCCATCTACACACAGCCAGACAATTCACAATGCCGTACGACCTCAAATCCACCGAGACGTGGCTCGTCTGCACGGCCTGCGGGACCCAGTTCCCCACGGCCGACCGCACTGCCGTCAAGACCTGCTTCATCTGTGACGACCCCCGCCAGTACACCCCGCCGGCGGGCCAGTCCTTCACCACGCTGGCCGACATCCGAGCCGCCGGGCACCGCAACGAGTTCCACTCCATCGGCACCGGCGGCGGGGGCGCGGGGCGGCGCCTGACCAGCATCGTGACGCAGCCCAAGCTCGCCATCGGCCAGCGCGCCATCCTGATCGAGACCCCCGGCGGCAACATCCTCTGGGACTGCCTGACCCTCCTGGACGACGCCACCGTCGCCGAGATCACCTCCCGCGGCGGCCTCTCCGGCATCGTCATCTCGCACCCGCACTACTACTCCACGCACGCCGACTGGGCCGCCGCCTTCGACTGCCCCGTGTACCTGGCGGCGGAGGACCGGTCGTGGGCGGCGATCCGGAGCCCGCGGCAGGTGTCGCTCGACGCCGTCGAGACGTCCATCCCGGGCCGGGGCGGCGCCGAGACGGGCGTCGTGGCCGTCAAGCTTGGGGGCCACTTCCCGGGCAGCCTGGTTCTGCTGGTCGGCGGGGGCAGCAGCAGCAGCAGCCTGCTGGTCGCCGACACGCTGCTGACGACGTTCGCGGGGATGGGCGGCTGGACGACCAACGCCGCCGGGGAGGCGAGGGCGCGACCTGCGGGGATGAACACGTTCGCATTCATGTGGAGCATCCCGAACTTTATCCCCCTGAGTGCCGACGAGCTGGCGAGGATGTGGGGGATCTTGGGGAGGTACGAGTTCCGGAGCACGCACGGGGCCTTCCACGGGCAGGACATCGAGGGTGATGATATGAAAGGGCGGGTTTTGGAGAGCATGCAGATCCAGACGAGGTATATGGGGTGGGGGGAGCACCCACTTCTCCAGGAGAAGGTGTAGGTAGGGTCGCTCTATGGTTACTGGCGCGGTGACCAAGATTGATATGAACCGAAGTTGGTGAGATCTCTGTACAGAAGCGGCAGGAAAATAAAAATATATACAAATGCTGCTGATGCTGTCACTGAGTTTACAGATCATTGCTACCCTACCCAAGTTGAAACCCGATCTTGTCCCTATCGTCGTCTATCAACCTACCCCATTCCAGCAGCAGCCGGAATAGATAGACCTCCATGTCCTCCCGTCGTAGAGCCCTAGCAGCCCACCGCCTCCCCTGGTCCGCGATCCACCTGGCATCTTCAATCCTAGCATCCATCTCGGGGTCCCGGCCGTTGACCGCCCCCCTGCCCTTCAACCCGGTGAAGTACGCCAGGGTGCTGTGGAGCGCGTGGTACCGTAGGTCGACGGGCACAAAGTGCACCCAAGGCATCACGCGCTCTGCATGCCACTCCCTGAACACGGACGTCACAAACGGCACGCTCGTCGAGCGCAGCGCCGGCACGAGGCCGGCCGGCGGACCGTCGTCGCTGTCCGTGAGGAGGACGTATCTGTTCCCGAGCGGTCTCGCTTCCGGCTTGAGGCCCAGTTCGTGCTGGGCCGCCTCGCAGGTCGCCTCAGTGCTGCTGCTGCAGGCTCCGTAGTCCTGGATGCCGACGTCGATGGGGAGGGCCTTGTTCACTTCCGAAGCGGGAACCGATTCGTAGGCGAACCGGTCCTTGTTCTCTTTCGTGGACAGTAGAAGCATTACCTTGTCTGATGCGGACGAGTTGTTGATGAGATGGACTAGTCGCTCCTGGTGCCCTCCATGAAGCAGCTCGTTGCTGAGACCTCGCGCACCGACGCTTCCCCGCCAGTACAATCTGTCTGACTTCATGGTAAAATCGGCTCCCGCATCGTCCGCCACGACGGTGTCGTTCGGTCGGGCCAGAGGTATGAGGATATCGCTATAGCTGCTAGTCTTGGATCTGCTAAAGACGGGCAGGAGATGTTGGAGGGGCATCAGGTCCGGGGGAGAAGCATGGAAAGCATGGAGACGATAGATATCTGGCTGGTGGCAAAGGTCCTGAGCGGCGTCCCACCCTTTGAGAAACTGCCCTTGTGACTGTGGCTTAGCACAGACTGAGCAGAAGTCTCGGATATTCCAATGGACGCCAGATCTTGCTCTCGACCCCGGGGGGCAAGTCAAGGCGGTCATTTGCCGGAAGGTTCGTACAGAGGTGGAGCCCGTATAGTCGACGAGTGGTACTTCTCCCCTTGGTGATGCCCCAGGTTGGGTATCCTCGACAGACGGTGGCGCTTCAGACCCTCGAGAGATGAGCTTTCTCAAACCGTGGTGCTTCCCGGTTTCGCCCAACCTATGCGTGCCGATCCACGGGGCAAGGACTCTCGGTCTTTCATTCAGATTAACTGCAATCTCCATGTTCGGCAGATGCCTGCCAAAGGTACTGATCATGCCAACGAGGTTATCCAGCACGGAGTGGTGGGGCGAGTCTTCAGGCTGCTTGTGCGAGGCGACGCCATTTTGAACTTTGACGAGTGCGATATCCGGCTGTGAGGCAACCAAAGCGACGGCTTGCCGGATCTCCTCGGGTGGAAAGGCCCAAAACGGGAGGGTATCGCTGCTAATCTGCGCAAAGTGATCGATAATGGGCGAGTTCCGTTCAGCGGCAAATCTGTACCAGGTGTCGAACTTTGGTGGAGGGTCGCGGCCATGGTTTCGCTCCTTGTATTCTTGCACGGCAACTTTCAGCGTCTTGCTCACGGCTGCATGGACCAGCCATCGATCTGCCTCCACGCGTCTGTCGTAGATAAGTCTCTCCAGCGGGTGGCTATCGAGCGACGGCTTCTTCACTAGGGAGAATATGGCGGAGGCTATAACAAGGATGAGTAGGAGCCCAACGAGGAATACGCGCCCCACGAACGCAACCGACCGAAGCCCGATGGTGTAGGCAAAGAAGACGAAACCGAGGCAGAGCAGAGACAGCGCAATGTTGGTTTCTAATCGCCATATATTCTCCCAAGTTCCAATAAGCAGCGTCCTCTGGGTCGTGGCCAGCAAACCAGACATGAAAACAAGAGTAGCAACGAATTTTGCGGGACCCTGTTCACACATGATGAAACCTGACGAGATGCAGAAGACGGAGAAGATGAACCCATCTGCAAATATGTCGAAGACATACAGCGAGTCAGGGGCCTTGTAATGGTGGGCGGTGGTATTCGACGGCCCGAACAGACCCAGTGTCAGGGACAGGAACCCCATGATCAGAGATGAGGACACAAAAATGCCGCTGAGGGTTTTCAGCCGGCTCCTGGTTGTTCGAGCCCAGGCGAGAATCCGCCAAAGCAGGATGGCGATGGTGGCATCCAGGAATAACCCGAGCCATTGCAGCGCAACAATAAGGGAGCCGCTGTCAAGACCGGAGCAAAAGAAAGTCGACCTGAGGTTTCGCTTCGAGATCAAGTGGGCGCCATAGGTAAAAGCTAGAGTGCTGATGACCAAGATGGGTCTAGAGTGCTTAAAGCTCTTCAGCCAGTCCAAGAAGTCCTCGAACAGTGTCTTCGGAAAGTCGTCGGGCTCATTTGCCTCTTGTCTAGACTTCCGTCCGGGCAGAAGTTCGTAGAAAAGAATGATCACGGGCAAGAAGCTCTGCGTTCGATCTATCATGAGACACACGGTCTATTGAGCTGTCACGAAGGGGAAGCTTGGCATACCTCGATGTCTGGAGCTGAGCACTGGAGGTCATAGGCAACTCGGTGGAACAACTCGAGCCTCAAAACGATGGCAAATATAAGAACAGGGAGGAAATAACGGCGTGGCCGTTTTGGCAGATTGCTCTGGGTGCCCCTGAGGAAGGGGGCGCTGCTTAGCTCGTCATCTGGGATGGAAGAATTAGCGATGAGGCTACCGTCTGAACGATGAGTCGCTGTCTTACCGAATCTCCCATTGGCGCCTGGCAGCCACACAGAGAAGAAACTGACGGCGAATGAAGCAATTCCCGTTATAAGGAGAATGAGCGAAGCAGAGAGTCGAGGATGATCTACAAGCCGCGGTTAGGAGTTTCGCCATACTTTAGAATTGACATCTCACTTACCTATTAAGGGATGTCTTTCGATGCTGTGAGACAGCCAAAGAAAGGAAGCAATAGCACTACAGCGCAGGTTGCATCAGCCACTGCGGCTCTCCGCGAGGATGAGGCCTCAAGGGTTTCGAAAGGGGCAAATACCAAAATGCTGCAAGCTGGGCCATCGTGCAGGCATCGACAAGCTCCAGGATCTTATACTCGGAGGGCCTATTAGTTCATCCCATTTTAAATTCCGACCCTAGATTGGATGATGAGGCCCAGTCTCTAAATAAAATCCATTTTATCAAGCCGTGATGATTATTCCTAAACTAAACCCTGTAACGGATCTGCCATTTGACGCGTTACACTCAGGATGAGGCGAGGTGTCGCCAAGTCACTAAAACCACACCCACACCACCTATCCCATTGGCGGACGTCATCAGCTGCCCACCACAGGTAGGTAGCTAGGCAGGTATTCATTCCCTCGACTCCCGACCTACAATTCGCATCTCGCATCACGCACGACAATGGCACGATGAGCTCCCTCAAAACCGGCCCTTCGACCCGAGGCCTCCAGATATTCGCCATACCAGGCGTCTGTCTCCTGGTGCTCTTCCAAGGCTACTTCTCGCAATGGCTCTTCTACACCTCCCCCGACCTCGCCCCGGGCCGGCTCACCACTCGTGAGGCCATCACCTTCAACGCCCTCCTCCTCTGCCTCTGGTGGACCTACTACAAAGCCTGCACCGTCGACCCGGGCCGCTACCACTACCCCACCCCGCCGCCCACCGACCCGGCCACAACGCCGACCACCCCGTCCACCCAACCCCCGCGCCGCTGGTGCAAGAAATGCCTCCAGCCCAAGCCCCCGCGCGCGCACCACTGCCGGCACTGCGGGCGCTGCATCCCCAAGATGGACCACCACTGCCCGTGGACCGGCAACTGCGTCTCGCTCGCGACCTTCCCGCACTTCCTCCGCTTCCTCGTCTGCGCGAACCTCTCCCTCTGGGCCCTCCTCCGCCTCCTCCTCGCCCGCGCCTCGGCCCTCTGGTCCGCCCGCGCCCTGCCCGCCTACCTGGGCCCCACGCCGGCCGTGATGGTGGCCGCGACGGCGCTGGCGCTCGTGTGCGCCGCCACGGCGCTGGCGCTGGGCCTGCTGCTCGCGTCCACGGTCAAGGGCTGGGTGTTCAACACGACCATGATCGAGGGGTGGGAGATTGAGCGGCACGAGGCCGTGCTGGATCGGTACGACAGAGGTGGGGGCCAGGGCCAGGGGGAGGGCCCGCCGCCGGTCCGCCGCGTCGAGTTCCCCTACGACCTCGGCCTGTTCGACAACATGGCCCAGGCCATGGGCACGCGCAACGTGCTGATGTGGTTCTTCCCGCTCGCGGGCGGTCCCTCCGTCGGCCCCACTGGCGCCGGCGCCGGCTGGGAGTGGGAGGAGAACGGCTTCAATGACGAGGAGGGCATGTGGCCGCCGCCGGACCCGGAGAGGGCGCGGCGGGCCGTCGTGGGGTGGCCCGGCGCCGCGTCGAGGATTGCGCGGGGTGACGGCGGTGCTTACGGCGGAGGCGGTGCGGGGTTTCGGGAGTACGCCTCGCCCGAGGAGGCCAAAGCCGAGTTCCGCAGGCGTCAGGAGGACGACCTCCGGCGGAGGGGCCAGGGACAGAGGTCCGGGATTATCGCCGAGCTAGAGGAGGACGAGGAGATGATGGTAGGCGACACGCGCGATGTCGAGTACGAGGGCAATGATTACGACTCTTACGAGGAGGGCATGGATGGGGAGCCTGGCTGGACGAATTCCGATGGTGATAGATTGCGGGATTACGGTGTGGACGAGGAGGTGGAGGATGAGGAACTGATACCCCTTGATCCGGACGAAGATGTCCCTATTGCGGAGTTGTTGCGAAGAAGGAAGGTCCTGACACGGGAAGATGATGTATAGGTATAATTTACGCAGCAAGAAATGGCATTCTTCTTCAAGACTCGGTTTACGAAGTTGCTTTGAAGAGGCGTCATCTTACCAGGTTTTGCCAATCAGACAAGTTTCCAACAGTGTCAGCTGCCATGGAGAGATGGTTCACAGAACGGAAAGGAAAGACGGTAGTCAATCTTGAACCGTGAATGGTCGGTCTATCACAACTAACAATCCATTATCATGACACAAATTCATCCATTCATGGGACACAGCTCAGCTACCAGTCCTCATCGTGATCCTTCTTAGCCATTGCGTTCTTTCGCGCCAGCAGGGCTTCGGCTAGGCCACCCGCAAGACTAGGAGTCGGGGTGGTGCTCCTGCTGCTCTCTGACCCATTGGCACCGTTCATGCTCATGCCTGAGTCCCGCTGTTGAAGTCCCGCCGGCTTCCTCCCGGCCGCAGGCCGTTTCGCCGGCGGCTGTGGGGCGGCGGGCTTTGCTCGTGCGGTGCTGTTCTGTGACGGCGGAGGTGGTGGTGGGCGTGGTGCCACTACTGGCGGGGGAGCCTGTTCTTCGACATACGCAGCTGGGACCCAGGCTTGTTGCCCTCCCTTCTTCGCAAGCCACCAACCTATAGAGCCGTTAGCAGACACATTCAACAAGTTCTAAACTGGGTGTGTCCTCAAAACTTACCGTTGCTCTCCTTTTGAACGATCTCGACCAGTTGGCCAGCCTTGATGGACATCTCATTCTCCTTCTGGCCTTCAAAGTCGTACAGCACTTTGGCCATTATCTTGGCCTTGGCTGGGGGTGCTGCGGGTGGAGGTGGCGGTGGGGCCCTGACAGCTGAGGAATTGGACTGGTGTCGAGTGTGGGAGGGTATGCCCACAGATGCCGCCGCAGATGCCATTGGGTGTTGGGGAACAGGGCGTGAGGATGATGCACTGGGCCGAGGCTGAGCACTGCGGTTCCCAGTTACCCGCGATGGTCTGCCATTAGGGCCACCAGGCTTGATGAGTTTGCCTCGTGTGATCGGTCTTGGTGGGACTGGCTTGCCCTTGGGTGTCGGCCGGGAGACCGAGTTCGGCGGTTCCCCTGGCTGAGTGTGGACAGCACCGCTCTTGTAAAAGTCCGCCGGGCTTGGTGAATCCTTGAGGACCTTGACCATTTGCATCTTCCCGGGCTTCTTGGCATACTCAATGCTATCAGCAATGCGCAGATTGAAGCCAGCAGGCATTACCCTCTGCATCTGTGTGAACATCTCTGTCTTGAACACACAGGTCAGAAGAGGATCAGCCTCCTGCTGCGAGCCAATGCCGAGAGAAAACCAGTCATCCCGGCAAGTGGAAGTACCAATAAACTTGATAGCCCCAAGGGGGACGGACCGCTCGATGGCGATTTGCACCTGATGCTGCACCATCATCTGCGCAATGACGTAGAACTTGCCGTTCGTCACAACGAGGATACGAGGGCTTGGCTTGCTGGATCGTCCAAACTTGGCCTCTAGGACCTCGCCCCGGCAGGAAAATACGGCCTTCTCGTTGTGACTGAGGTTGATGGCATTTCGAATCTGGGCTCCGGGACCCGTGCTGGCATTGATACCGAGATAGTCGCCCAGGAAACGTCGGGATCCCAAAAGACTCATTCTCCGTCTTTCCTTGCGTCCTCCGAGCACCCTGTGACCGTGGTCTCTGAGCTGCAGGTACTCGGCACCGACACGCTTCTTTCTCCAGAAGCGCTGGATCCGGGTGGCAGACTCTGCCCGGTAGGCGAGGTAGGCCCTCCACATGCGCTGGATACGGGTGGCCATGTTGTGCCAGTATCGATCTCTCATGTGCTCCAGGGCGAACAGGGTCTCCGGGGCCTTGATAAACGCCTTGGTGACGCCCAACTGCCATTCCTCCTGAGGGATGCTAGTGTCCTTGAGGATCTGCTTGACAGCGGCTTCGTACGAGCCTTGCCATGTGTATTCGCCAGCATATGAGGTGGCCGGAGAGAGCAAGAAGAAGCGGTCCACAAACTTCTCAAACGACTGGCGGTAGGCGAAGCCCGCTCGGCGAATGCGCACGTTCTCCTGGAGGCCGAGGTATTTGATCTGGTGGAGGACGTTGGGCACATTGTACTCGGAAGGAGACTTGTTCTCGTTCGGCTTAATCGTTCGGATATAGGATGGCTGGCACTTCATCAGCGTCTCAACCAAGGCGTTGGCTGATTGCCTAATCCTGTCTCCGGCAGATGGCGGCTGCTTCCGGTTGTCCTGGTCGACCTGGTGCGGGAAGATGGTGTGGACGAAGGGGTTTTGACTCGCTGAGAACAGGTTGAGTAACCCCTTTAAGAGTTGGTCTTTATTCTTGTCCGTGATTCCCTCGACGGTATAGCTAACATCACCGGCGTAATGCTTGACGATGAAACTGCCTTGCCTCGGCGTGAGATGTGGGTTGGACATGCCGTTGATGCTCTGCATGAAGGTGCGATCGCAAGCAGCTGGGTCGGCATGGGCCGTCTTGGTAGCATCCTTCATGGCCGAGAAGACACCGGGGGGCCTGATGGATTCGATCAGATCGCACACCACCTTGTTGTCAAAGTACGAGATGGGCGTCCACTTGATCTGCTCCCTCGCATATTCCTCCTGCTCAGTCTTAAGGGTCAACTGGATAAAAATCTGTTGCAGCTTCTCGTTGACATAGTTGATGCAGAGCTGTTCAAAGCTGTTCTTCTCGAAGATCTCGAAGCCGTAGATATCGAGAATGCCGATCGAGTTGGACGCCGCTTGCCTGGCCTTCAGCGATTGGTTTATTCTCTCGACAATCCAATCGAACAAATTGCTGTAAATAGCCTTGGCCAAGGCATCCCTGGTCGCCACGGCCTGGGCGACGTTTGCTGGGGATTCGATAACCTCGCCGCTCCGCGGTGTCAGGATCCGAATGGTGATGGCATTGACCAGCTGCTTCGGATCGACCTCAAGCAGATACGCCAGGAAATCCACGACAGACTGGTCGGAGACGGCGGCATATCCGCTATCGTCCTCGCGGAATACCAAATTACCCGTCCACAGGACGGCGGCGAGCATACGGAAGATACTATCTTGCTCAGCTTGCGACAGACCAATAATCTTCATCGCGTTGAGAGTGTCGTTGAACTCGGCCAGATCGTCGATCCCGTCGACATTGAAGCACTTTGACCGGCTCGTATAGATGTATGTCTCGGGCGTCTGGACCCCAAAGGACTCCCGGTAGTGCTGCGATGCCCCCTTCGTAAACTGGTAGAAGATGTGGAAGTTCCGCTCGTTGGCAATCTGACCCACGACTCTCGACTTCTCCAGAAGGTAGTTGGTGATGTCCGCCCCTATCGGTTCACCCTGGGTATTGAAATGGATCTGGAGATACTTTCCGAAGCGGGATGAGTTGTTGTTTCGCAATGTCTTTGCGTTTCCGAAGGACTCGAGCAAGGGGTTAGTAGCCAGCACCATGTCCTTGATTTCCTTGATGTCGCCCGACTCGCCGCCAGAAACATTTGCGATGTACTGCATGATCCGCTTTGCAGCCTCGGTCTTGCCGGCGCCCGATTCCCCAGAAATGATGACACACTGGTTTTCCTTGTAGGCCTTCATGTTGTAGTATGATGCCTCGGCGATGGCAAACACATGAGGGGGCATCTCCAGCCGGTTCTTCCCCCTATAGCTGTCCAGGACTTGGTCGGTATAGATGCCCAGGTCCCGGAAGGGGTTGACGGAAACCAGCACATGGCCAATGTATGTGTAGATCTCGGCGCCCTCGAACCTCTTCTTCAGATTCTCATTGATAGCCTCGTTGGAGACTTTGCTCAAGAGGGTCAAATCCGAGACTCCGATCTGCTTCTTCTTGGTGGTCTCGAAAGTCGCCTTCTTCGGTTTGGCACCAGAGCTTGCTTGGGCGCCTCCTCCAGCAGATCGGTCTGCCCTGGTGGCCTTGTCCTTTACGCGTCGAGTGATACCCTGATCGTTCTGTTAAACAAGTGTCTGGCGGCATCTGCGACGAAGCCCGACTTACCATGTTGGGCGGGACTGGCGGAATGGAGCGCGAGGGACAAGCAAATGATAAAGGCGCGTCTCTCGCAGCACTCCTGCCAGAGACGTGAATGGAGCGACAGGTAGTTTGGGGGGATTTCTTTTTGTTTCGTGCTCAAAGTCAAAGTCGGGAGTTAATCTGAAGCCTCGATGAGGCGTAATTGCTGCGCCTCGTGTGAAACATGGTGCCTGACGATGGATCGAAAATGACTAACGCCGGGGTACGTAATTAGTGCAAGACACCACCTAGGAGTGGCGCAGGAGGTGGGGCTGGATTTCTCCAAAGATGGCTGGCGCCAACGCTCCAACTTGAGGCGCCAGCGTCACAGCAAGACTCAGTTCAACTGATAATCAATCATAGATTCCTACGTTCTTACAAGTCTTCGCCGTTCAACTTAGAGGTTTGCGTATAAACACACAAGAATTGCATGGATCTCCCATTTACAACCCTCCATGATGTCCATACTGGAATTCCGGATCTCGAACTTCTTGACCACCTGGGCCGAACTCCCTCTGCTTCTAGGTAGATAATAAAGGCATGCCTACAAATAACCTACAGAGGGGCTTCTTTTTCCTTCATTTTTCGGAGCCAAGAATTTCGACTGCAACAAGTGGAGCCTCCATGATGCAGCTTCACCGGGCTACCTGCAGATATATTATAGCAGGCCTGGGAAGGCCCCGCCGTTACTATTGCCCCTGATGTTGCTTGCTGTTGCCATCATCGCTATCGCCCTCAATTGCTGTTGCTGCTCTCGTCAGTCACTGTCGCTGTCGCCGTCCACCTGGCAGGAACTAATCGGCATGTGAACCTGCCATCCATCAACCTTGGAGGAAGTGCCTATTCATCTCAGAAGGAAACCATACTTTCCGCGTCTGCAGAGCTTGGCCTGCTTATTCTTGTTGTTCAGCGACGTCCCTTCCAGGGTAACCAACCTTTCAGACTGAACCGTTACCCTAGCCGTCCAAGTGGTGGTCGATCAGACCTTCCCTGCACCGTTTAGAGGAGACGGGCTGATGGCAACAGTTGCATGTCATCAATGGCGGTACTGCGAATGCACCGACTTTGTACGGCACTCTGAGCCCACGATCCTTATCATTCGAGGCCCTGTTCCAACCTTTTGCGCATTGCCTGGCTGTGGGAGACTCGCAAACTAGAGATCAGGCCGTCTTCCCAGTCGACAGGTATTATCTACCGTCTGACTGTTCGCCTGATGTCAGGATGTTGACTCCCTTGGCTCGAGCATGCTACAGACAGAGATGGGAAGGCTTGAATCCAACACATGAAACCTCCGTGAGGCCTTTTAAGCCAAGCCGGGCAGCATCGAATCAGAGGTGGCGCTCAATGCGTTCTGTCAGCATGATCGGCATCGACGGTGCGCAGTATCCAGTCCACACCTTAATGGCAATAAGAACGACAAGCAGTCGATCTCTAAACACCGCTCGAATGACTGGGGGTGCAGAGAGAGAACCTGAGCACGGATCATCCCGCTGAAGATGCAGACGGGAGCCAACCTGATTAGCCAGAGAAAACCAGCCTCATCCTTCATCCCTCATCATCCCACATCCCACCCTTGATCTCATCACTGGGTCATATGATGATGAGGCCACAAATTCAACAAAAGGATGGTCACGTCAAGCACAAGCCTTCCACCTCTTGGTGACGGTTAGGGGCCAAAATCCAGGGGGGCAGAAATTCCAAATCAGGCGAAAGCTGGCGATGAAAGCTTCTCCGTGGCATACATGGCATGTTTTGCAGTACGATGATGAGCTGGAGAACAGAAAACCTCCGTGGAGATGTCCCAGTCCCAAGATGACTCGAGATGCTTGATGAAGGCCATCATCATTTCTTCTATTACTACTGTACGGATAACCTTCGGGTTCTTCCACGGGGTTGCCAAGCTGAGCCAAGATACAGCGCCGCACGGCCTGACAAGGATCTATCTCGCTTAAGGACCCCCTTCCCCTTGGGCCTTTTTCCTCGTGGGCTGAGTTGTTGTGATTGGCCAATCTTGATAACCTGCAACAAGACTATATCCGAATTAAGTCTAGTGTCTCTAGCGTGGCTTGACAGGACACTCTGGAACACTCACCTGGCGAATCCGGTCTCTTTTGCTGCCGGCTCCACTCTGCCTGTAAGCGCCCGAGACTTCGGTCACAGCCTAGCGCAAGTATTTTTGGGTTTCCATCTCTCAACTTTGGGGTAGGATAGGATGGTTCTCATGGGAAGTGTTACCTACTTCTGTGAGCCGTCCCCCCCGAGCTCATGTCTTTTCCTCTTTCCCTCTGTTAGACCTCTCCTTAAAAATTAATGCAAAATGCCGTTTTCTAATCCATATGTATGGTATAAGCAGTGACTCGTCTTGACAATCCTGGTGTCTTTGGTTGGCACCAATCCTTGTGCACCAACCCCCCCGCCCCACCCCTTCTCCAAGCCGAAACACCACAATTGTGCCCTCATCAAAGCGTCTCTAACACGGCCCGTGTCAACATACTCCTGGTCATCTTGTCAGAAGTCCCTGCCATCTGATAGCAGCCTCTGTCGGAGGGCCTTGATAAAGGCCCCTGTCCTCAAACCCCCTCCTACTTCGTACGTCTGATCTACCATCTTCCTAGGCTAGGATCATCCACTAAGTCCTCGCCTCCCGCTCAGAACCCCGTTGCGGACTAGGAGGTTTCAAGGACAACTGACATCCGAAGATTTGGCCCTCCGGTCTGCATTGCTGTGGGGTGTAGCCCGTGCAGACAACCCCATACCGGCAACAACCCAAGCTTGCGGTCGCTGCAGACCTCCTTTATGACTTTCTGCCCACCCTCTCATCCCATTCCGGATCCTGTTCTTCCTTTCTCCCTTCACTTGGCGAGGTAGAAGAATCGACGCTCCTGTTTTGGACTTCTCTCTTCTCCCCACCATTCCTTTCCCCCTAGCTGCTGGCTCAGATCGCTCTTTTTTGGTTCTCTTATACCTACCGGCTCGAGTCGATTCCTCGCTTTAGTCGTTGGACATTGTAGAGTTGTTGTTCTTTTATTTTAATTGGGAGGAGCTAGATCAGGACTTTGGTTACCTGGGGAATCGCCTTCGTCACGCTCTCTTCTGCAGCCGCAGCCATCCGAGATCGTCGGTCCCGCCTCCATCGTGGTCCCGAGTCGACGCACCCGAGTCGCAGGTCGACACCTAATTGAGTGGTTTTTCGAGCAAGAGGAGGAGCCGTCGCCATCATGCCGTTCTTGGAGCTGCTGAAGAAGCAGTTCACGGGGACGAAGCTGCTCTTCCATTTCCTGTTTTGGACTTTCCACTGGGGTATCTTTGCATACGGATGGTATGTCTCTGGCTCATTGCGGGCTTTCTTGGGCAGCAGCCAGATGCTGACGGCGTCGTTACTAGGTATAAGCAGGCGGCCGATCCACGCCTGGCAGGCTTGAACACCCTGCAATACTCGGTTTGGATATCCAGAGGAGCCGGCTTGGTCCTGTCCGTCGATGGGATGCTCATCTTGCTCCCGGTATGCCGGACCATCATGAGATGGGTTCGCCCAAAGCTCAGGTTCCTCCCACTCGACGAGAACATCTGGTTGCACCGACAGCTTGCCTACTCCATGCTCATCTTCACCATCTGTCACACGACGGCCCATTACGTCAAGTATGATCCCACCCGCCATCTCCGCTTTGGCTGGCATGGCCCACGAGTCATCTAACATGCTTGCAGCTTCTACAACGTTGAGCAGACTCAAATCCGCCCCGTCACCGCCCTGCAAATCCATTACACACAGCCCGGCGGCATCACCGGCCATCTCATGCTCTTCTGCATGCTTCTCATGTACACAACTGCCCACTATCGCATTCGTCAGCAGTCGTTCGAAACCTTTTGGTACACCCACCACCTTTTTATCCCCTTCCTGCTCGGTCTCTATACCCATACCGTGGGCTGTTTCGTCCGAGACACGGCCGACGGCTTCTCGCCCTTCGCCGGCGCAGACTACTGGACGCACTGCATTGGCTACCTCGGCTGGAGATGGGAGCTCTTCACTGGCGGTGCCTATCTTTTCGAACGGCTCTATCGCGAGATTCGCGCACTGCGCCAGACCAAGATCACCCGCGTTGTGCGACACCCATATGGTAGGATTCCCTCGCGCGCCCCGCCTTTCTGAGAAACGGGAGATTTAACAATGCCCTAGATGCCGTCGAGATCCAATTCAACAAGCCCTCGTTCAAGTACAAGGCAGGCCAATGGCTGTTTTTGCAGGTCCCATCTATCTCCAAGTACCAGTGGCACCCCTTCACCATCACGTCTTGCCCGTATGACCCGTACGTCTCGGTCCACATCCGCCAGGTCGGTGACTTCACGAGGGCACTTGGTGACGCCGTTGGTGCCGGTGCTGCGCAGGCCAAGCTCTATGACGGCGTTGACCCTTTGGGAATGTACGAGGTCGCGCTTCAGAACGGGGAACAGATGCCTACTCTGCGCATCGACGGACCATATGGTGCCCCTGCCGAGGATGTCTTTGAGAACGAGATTGCCGTTTTGATCGGTACCGGTATTGGTGTCACGCCTTGGGCCGCCATCCTGAAGAACATCTGGCATCTGCGGAATGGCCCCAACCCACCCACCCGCCTCCGCCGTGTTGAGTTCATCTGGGTCTGCAAGGACACGACCTCGTTCGAGTGGTTCCAGACGCTTCTGTCCTCGCTCGAACAGCAGTCAACTGATGCAGCTCGAGTCCCTGGCTCGTCTGGCGTTGAATTCCTGAAGATCCACACCTATCTGACCCAGAAGCTGGATATGGATACCACCCAAAACATTGTCCTGAACAGTGTCGGTGCCGACCTCGATCCTCTCACTGAGCTCAAGTCCCGGACCAACTTCGGCCGCCCCAACTTCAACAAACTGTTCGCCGGCATGCGTGACGGTATCTTGGACCGAAGCTATCTCAATGGTCTGGAGGGCAGCATGAGGACGACTGTGGGTGTGTACTTCTGCGGTCCTTCTTCAGCGGGTAAGTTCTCTTCCTTCGTCCCAAGCCTTTTTTCCCTCCCCTCGGATATCCCCCACTAACGCATGATTACAGCTCGTGATATCAAGAAGGCGACCAAAGCGGCAACGGTCCGCGAAGTGCAGTTCCGCTTCTGGAAGGAACATTTCTAGTTGTACATATTCTACATTCTGTGTGTCCTCCAAACAAGCCGTCGGTGGATTCATCACACGGTGGATTCTGTACAGCTAGGGAGAGCTTTCGCCCCGGAATCGACTGGGCCAGACATCCCAACTAACGGCGAAGCGCCGAGGAGATGGGGGAGCGGGTTGCCCATTGGGGGGCGAGGATGGCGTTTCATGCACTCAAATCACACAATGTTGCATTTCATCTACACTCTACCTACGTCAACAATTCGACCGCCATCTCAGGAGCCTCGTGGGGAAGGAGAATGCGGGGCATGAAGCGCCTTGATTTCCACCAACAGGTCAACGAGTGCAAGCTTGCACAGGCTTGTCAGGAAGCGCCTCTATCTTGTCATTTTAGAAGCTCTGGATTGTAGATGAGCAGATTTCTTCGAGAAGGGGAAGGCTGTATGTTGTACGTACATGGTCGTATGTTGATCATCATAAACAAGGAAACACTTTCTCTTCAGCGTTGTATTGCAAGTTTGATCCATCAACGACGTCCTGCACTGATTACCCCCTATTCTCAAAGCTGAGAATGAGAATATGGGCACCGGCCGGCAGAGCCTGTCCAAACCTGTGCCGAAACATGGCCCGATCAACCGAGTGATATCGAACCAATCGAGTCTCAGTCAAGCCCCGAAACGTTCAGCGTTACAGGTTCACAGTGTCCGGGGAACGGCCCCCCTGGCTAGCAAGGGCCCATGGTGAAACTGGTTTGATGTTATCGGCAAGTGACACTCATATCGAGATCTGAAGATGGGAAACCGAAATTGAAAGATGGGAAACTGGCAAAGTCGCATACCTGTGTCGCCACTGTTTTTTGATCAAATCCCGCCGATCATTTCCTTATACTGTACAACTTGGTGGTACCCAGAGATCCAGGTCGAGGGCGACCTGGTCAAATGTCCAATGTATACCACATGCGCGCAATGTCTACATTTTGCAGCTACATTACATGGGCCGTCTCCCTCAAACTGATCCACATTGCTAACTAGAACAAACCAAGCGGTAAATGGTCAAGGCTACCTACTCCTACATAGGTTGTCACCCTTTCGGCCTTGGGAAACGACCCCTCAACCAAGCGGCAAATGCAACCAGGTCCTTCTTTGTCGCGGGGGGGGAAGGGCGCCCCGCCAATTCGCGGGACGAATACAGCAGCCCAGGCCGGCTTCGCAAGTTCTCCACGTGCGAGAAATACGCCCCGGCGGGGTTGAAGACTGGGGCCTGAACCCTACCGTCGATGAGCAGGCCAGCGGCGCCCGTCGTCGGGCCGAGACACCGGGCCATGGTGGCGGACGCGTGGAGGGTCATGGCGTCCGCCCGGCTGCCGAGGTGTTCTCTCGCCCACCGGTAGGTGGCGGGCGGCGGGCGCCGGCCCCGGATGGTGAACAGCTGCGCCTCGTTGACATAGCAGTAGAGGTGGAAGTCCGGGTCCGGATCGAAGGGCGGTATGTCCAGCAGGTCGAGGCGCTCGCCGGCCGCCTGCAGCCGGTGACGGATCAGGGCCTCTCGCCTCTCGGCGATGATGGCCATGCGCTTCTGCTCCAGGAGCCACTGGGTGTCGGCCTCCGTCACCTCCCTGTCCCTCTCCGGCAGCCCGTGCCAGTAAGTCCGGAAGAAGTCGACGACGGTCAAGTCGGGCTTCCTCCTCTGCTTCTTCCCCGCCTCCGCCGCCGCATCCACTATCACCCTCACCTCCTCGTCGTCCCCGGAGGTCGAGTACATGGAATTCAGCGCCGTCGTCACCATCTCCACGTCCTCCCCTCGCACCATGAACAGGAACCTCTCATACGCCGGCACGGGCTCGACGACCCCGCCGGCGAGTTCGCGCGCCCCGTACTCGATAAGCTCATCCAGCTCCCTCATCCCGGTCCTATCGCGCACCTGCACCCTGGACCTGAACTCCGCCACGCCCGCGACCTCGACCCTCCTCTCGGCGTCCTCCATCTCCCTCCTCCAGCCATCAAACCCCCCCAACTTGTCCCCGTCCCCGTCGCCGTCACTGCGCCGCAGCGCCTGCAGCTCCCTAAGCCATCCCACAAAGCCCGGCTCGGCGCGCGACCACGGCGGCGCAAGCGGGCCGGCGTGGCCGCCGGGCCCGGCGCGGTGCATTACGGCGAGCTGCAGGGCGAGGCGCAGGGCCGCGACGTCGCCTCCCCAGAAGGGGTGCGGCAGGAGGCGCAGCAGGCCGGGCCAGAACCGCGGGGGGTCGAACAACTCGTGCTTCTCACCACCACCGCCACCAGCACCAGCACCACCACTGTCGTCGTCGTCGTCGCGTAGCAGCTTAAGCCCGTACCGGAACAGGTCCGGCGGCTCGCAGCCGAACAGGGCCGCCATGGCGCGCCAGGCGAGGACCTCTGCGTGGACGGGGGTCCCCGGCTTGCGGGCCGCCGGGTCGCGGGGCCGCAGGCGGGCCGCGAGGGCGGCCTCGTCCGAGGGCGTCCAGCCCGTCTTGCGGAGGGCGTGCTCGTCCTTGACGGTCCAGTGGCGGCGGGCGATGATGGGCGCCGCGTGGCCGAAGGCCGAGCCGGGGAGGAGGGCGGCGAGGGAGGCGCGCGTTAGGCCGGATACGGGCGGGTGCGGGGAGGCTCGGCGGCGGCGCTTGCGGGGCGGGGGGGCGAGGAGGGAGGTGGTGGTGGAGGAGGTGGAAGAGGAGGAGGAGCCTCGTCGCTTGGGGACGCTGCCGAAGTTCTTGGGGGATATCTCCCCTTCAAGAAGGGCGGTTGAGGCGGCAGGGTTGGCGCTCTGTGCCTGTGACGGGGCTGGCTGGGCGTGGTTTGTGTTCGGCCCCCGCGTTGCTGGTGTCTCGTTCTCCTGTGCTTTACGCTTCTGGCGCTTGGCGGGTTGGGCGGTGGCCTCGGGTCCTGCCCGGCGCTTTCCTTTCTGCTGATCATTGGCCGGCATGTTGTTTCTTGTATTAGTTGAGGAGCGTTAATCGACTCTTGCCCTGACTCGGCGGTTGCTTGTAGGGTACCTGTGAGGAGGGTTGATCGGTCAAGTGAATGATGATTGAACTCGATAATGTTTCAATGCAATAGGGGTTGTAGCGGTAAGCTGCTTCTGTTTTCCAAATACCCAGAGTTGTCACTGTCTAGTTGTACGTGATGATGGTCCAAGGGTTTGTGTTCGACTGGCGGGTTTCCCGCAGTTATCAAGGACTCTTGAACGCAGGGTGCCGGGCCTTCTTTCTTTGTCTCCTCAGAGGGCTATCGCCGCAAATGGATCGTCTTCTTCGTCCTGCCTGCCTATTTTTACTCCACAATGACTTTGAAGCAGACCCCAGGTTACGGACATACGACAAAGAGAACGGTAAGCTAAATTCCAGGCGTCTCTGGCGGTGTGACGAATCCAGCCAGTCCAAGAAGACCTCGTCTCAGTTCCCTGCTCTCTCATTGTCCTCATATGGAATCGCATGCGGTCAAGGTTGAAGAAACCCCAGCAGGGCCTGCTTTGATATTCCCCTGACATGGCCTTGAGAAGTCGATGCTTTGCCAGCTTCTCAATATGCAAGCGTGCTCTTAGTCCATGGCCTTCTGGATGGGGAGACAGTTCGTTGCCACGCACTTGCTCTTTCTGCACCAAACAGTAGGGAGTTCTGGACTATGAGATCACGGCTCCCAAGTCTGGACGGGATTCAGACGTAACGGAGAGGACTGTAGCTGCGGGAACCCAGCATCGGTGCTTGGTAAAACCTCGAGCTGGGCTTCCACGGAGCCCCCATTTCATTTTTGGTACTCTTTGTCATTTGAGTCTTGCTCTTATTGGTAGGTCATTTTAGCTCTAGAGTGCTTGGTTAGAGTTCAGTCCTTGTTCTCTGCCTGTGTTCAAGTCTTCTTACACGATATTCTTAACCGTGTAACCCAGTTCTTGTTGGTTCGCACACTTTGTCATTGCATAATCCCTCACCCCTGGGACTTGGATGTAGATGTAAACTTTTAGGTTGTGTAAACCTACATGTCGAGTAGACGAGGGTATCGAGACCGGCAAGGGAGTGTTGAGGACTTCATCCTAGCCATGGCCAGAGTTCAGGATGCGCATTGCGGCTCTGGAAGGGTGAAGTACTAGCTTTACCCTCTTGCTGGATACTTGACGTCTTTCGTGATGCCGAGAGTTGGATGCGGATGTACCCCGCAAAAAGTGGGAGGATGTTGACGATCTCTATTCGCACCTTCCATTCTGATAGAATCAATGGTTGCAGCCGGCCTTATTTCCTCGAATTTCTTCGGAGCTCATCCACACTCTCGTTAGTTCGTATCCAGCCGGGCGGATCTGCTGCTGGTGTAAGATGGAGACTGTTCTTCTGCTATCTATATGTAGACATGCACCCCTTCCCCAGTAGATAGGTATCTAAGGGTCTTGGGGTTACCATAGAAGAATAGAGCGGCAAGTACCATTTAACTTACCCCCGCCCCTCCCGGTGCCATGGCGTCCAGCACACTCCTCATCTTGCTCACCGCCCTCCACCTGCCCACCTCAGGCTGCCACCCGACTCTCCCCCGGCGCGGAACCGATGGCGGCGCCAGCGCCCCGTACCACGCCGGTGCCGGGGTGCTCGGCTTCGTCAACCCCCTGATCGGCACCAAGGGCGTCAGCCCCAACGACAACGGCGGCATGATCCCGTCCGTGGGCGTCCCCTTCGGGATGACGCGCTGGACGCCGCAGACGCGCGAGAACTACATCTCGCAGGTGCCGTACAGTGACGGCGACAGATTCATCCACGGATTCCAGGCCACCCACCAGCCGGCCATCTGGATGGGCGAGTCCGGCCAGGCGGCCCTAGTTCCCGGTTTGGATGCCGGCGAGGGGGTCAAGGCTATCTTCCAGGAGAGGGGTTTGCGATTCCGGAAGGAGGATGAGAAGAGCACCCCGTATGTGTATGAGGTCTTGTTGGACGGGGAGACGACGGGGACGCAGGATTGGGAGCTCACGGAGGAGGCGGCCGGGGAAGGGCCAGTGCCCGGGGGCGCAGGGGATGTGCCGGATTCTGTTAGAGAAGGGGCCAATGGAAGAGTTAGGAGGAGTGAGGGCGAGCCATATGACAAGAAGGGGACAGTTCGTGCTAAACAATCGGAGAAGAGGACTGAGACGTCGCTGGGATATGAACATGCGATCCAGGTGAGTTGCCCTCACTGCATCCAAACCAAATGACTCCCCCTTGTGATCGAATTAGGCTGACACGGCCAGGTGGCAATGAGCGCAACGGCTCACGTTGGTCACCTCCGTCTCGATTTCATCGACAACACCGGCGTGGTAGGCCACGAAGCGGCCGAGCCCTATTTGTTCATCCAAGCAACCCGGTTGAACTGGACAGGCCATGTCCAGATCGATGCCGAGAGCCGCGAGATCTCCGGAAGCAACTCCCAGCGCCAGGACTACCTCATCGGGCCCGACAATCCAAAGTCCTTCAGGGGCTATTTCGTCTCTCGCTTCTCTGAGCCATTCACCTCGTTCGGCACTTCGTCCGGTGCCGAGACCCAAGAGGGCAACCGTACTGTGGATGGCAAGTTCGTGGGAGCTTACGTCAAGTTCAACAGGAGGGTGGAGAGGGTCGAGGTCCGCACTGGCGTATCCTTCATCAGCGTCGAGCAGGCGCGGAGGAATCTAGACATTGGGATTCCCGACGGGGCAAGTTTCGAAACAACAGTGGAGAAGGCCAAATCCGCGTGGTTGGAAAAGCTGGGGCGTGTCGAGATCGAAGGCGTGAACCAGACAGACCCGGAGCACGACCCTCGCACGATCTGGTATACCGGCCTCTTCCACGCCTTGCAGTACCCTAATGACTTCTCGGAACCCACCAGTAGAGAGGACGGCGGCATCCGACGGTTCTATAGCGGTTACACCGACAGCGTGCACGAGGATAGCGACTCGTACTACCAGTCCTGGTCTATCTGGGACACGTACCGCGCGCAGCACTCGCTGCTCACCATATTCGCCCCCGAGCGCGTCAACGGCATGATGCGCTCGCTGCTGCGCATCTTTAACTGGTCCGGCTGGCTGCCCATGTGGGCCAACGTGGTCGAGACCAACATCATGATCGCCACCAACGCGGACGCCGTCCTCGCAAACGCGCTGGCCCGCGGCTTCCGCGGCTTCGACGTCGGCACCGCCTGGGCCGCCGTGAGGAAGGATGCCTACGTAGCCCCAGACCGCGACGCCGAGCTGCTGTACTACGACCGCGAGCTGGGCACGCCCTATGAGGCCCGCGCGGGCCTGACGGCATACAAGGAGCTGGGCTGGGTGCCCAACGACGGCTGGGCCGAGTCGGCGAGCCGGACGCTGGACTACGCGTTCGACGACTTCGCCGCGGCGGTGGTGGCCGGGCACGCCGGGGACCACGGGGCGGCGGAGGAGCTGCTCGCGCGGAGCTCCAACTATGCCAAGCTCTGGAACAACCAGAGCCAGTTCATGCAGGCGCGCAACGCCAACGGCAGTTGGGCCAACGACAGCTGGGGGTGGACCGAGGGCGACAAGTGGGCGTACACGTTCGACGTGCTGCACGACGCGGCCAACGGGCTGGCCGGCCTGTTCGCCGGCGGCAGGGCAGGCATGAAGGCCAAGCTGGACGAGCATTTTGCCGGCGGGCACAACCTGCACAGCAACGAGCCGTCACACCACATACCGTACCTGTACTCGGCCATCGGGTACCCGGCCAGCGCGGCGGACGCGATCCGCGCCGTCGCGTGGGACAACTACAACGCCACCAGCTCGGGGCTCAAGGGCAACGAGGATCTCGGCCAGATGAGCGCCTGGTACATCTTCTCCGCGCTCGGCTTCTACCCCGTCAACCCCGCATCGGACGAATACGTGGTCGGCTCGCCGTTCTTTGAGAAAGTCACGATACGGCTGCCGGCCGGGGCTTGTACCGGAGGGGACGAAGGGGCCGAAGGAGGAGCGGAGAGGACGCTTGTGATCAGTGCACCCGGGGCGACAACGAAGCCATACGTGAGATCATTGAAGATTGATGGGAGACGGGTGGTGAGGCCGGTCTTGAAGCATCACGAGATAGTTGGAGCTGGGAGTATCGAGTTTGAGATGAGCGAGGAGCCGTCATGTTGGGGTAAGATGGGCATTTCCTAAGAAAATAGAGCAGATTCATCACATTCCATATGGTCAAATCAACATATCCAAAAACCATAAACCTCGTTCATCGAAGAATATCCTGGCTCGATGGCTGTTCGTATATCCCCTTGATAGTCGTGCTCACAGCCTTGAGGGTCGCAGGCGAGTCCTGAGCCGGAGCTTACTGCGTAGGGCTAGCAAGACTGTAATAAGATGAGATTGGGACCGAGAGTCGTGGTGTCGCGAGTCATGATACGAACGGAGAGGGTAATTAAAAAATGCTTCACTGGCCCGCCCCCACGTACCTTGCAGGTGGGCCTGTGCATGAACCCTGAATGGGCAGAATGCCCCCAAGATGGATCGAAAACCCCCATCCCAAATATGCCAGTAGCTATCCAAACTGCGACAGAAAAGGCGGTGGGTTTTAGTGAGCTGTTCGGCCAAGCTGCCCGGGCATGAGGACTTACATGCAGACCCATCTTTCGCTGATCCCCTGGCCTCTCAAGGTCTGGATCTCTGGCAGAGTAGCCGGATTGGGATTGAACCATCCATCTTCTGCAAGTCTCGTGAACCAGATTCTGCAGGGTCAGCACAGGGCAGGGAAGATCAGCGCCAACTTTTCACAACATTCCTCTGGCTTGGCCACTTCCAACAACTCAAGAGGGCAGAACAACCTAGACAAAACTGTGAAGAGAACTCAAGTGCTCGCATTTCAAGACTCTTTTTGGCCCAATTCCACTGGTGGAAATTTGAGACCGTAAAAGTGCCCAATTGACATGTCCGTTTCTTGATGTAATCGCCAGACGCGTTTGTATCTCTAGTGAGGGTGGCCCGGCCTAATTATCGAACATCGTCATCAAAGATAATATTCGACTGACCAGATCAAGATAGATCCCCCCACGGCTCCCGGCCCCGAGATTTCTGTGCCACCATCAGAGCCTAGAGCAAACACGCACCTACCTCTCTTAATTCGCCCCAGCTGAGCAATTTTTCGCCTTTTCTTTGACAAGAACAACAAAATAAAATATGCTGCGATGGTAAAGTGCCCCTGGCGGACCCGTTTCGCGGCTCTTATCGAGTAATTCTAACCATACACACTGCAGGTACCAAGCCCGGTTAGCGGCGCGTCCGCTGCTCACGCAAGCCGTGACGACCTCGATACTGTTCGCCGTGGGCGACATCGTGGCCCAGCAGCTCGTCGAGAAGAAGGGCGTTGAGAAGCATGAGCTCGCCCGGACGGGCCGCATGGCTCTCTACGGCGGGAGTAAGCTTAGCCACCTTTTCCCCGAACTGTCTACCTATCGGCCTAGAGACATACAACAAGACTCTAACACCCCCGTCTAGCCATCTTCGGCCCCGCCGCAGCGACCTGGTTCAGGTTCCTGCAGCGCAATGTGAACTTCAAGTCGGCCAACGCGACCATCCTGGCGCGCGTGGCCTGTGACCAGGGCATCTTCGCGCCGACCTTTATCGGCATCTTCCTGTCCAGCATGGCCGTGCTGGAGGGCACCTCGCCCAAGGAGAAGCTGGAGAAGAACTACACCAGCGCCATGGCCAGCAACTACTGCGTCTGGCCCTTTGTCCAGCTCGTCAACTTCAAGCTCGTGCCCCTGCAGCACCGCCTGCTGTTCGTCAACGTCATCAGCATCGGCTGGAACAGTTATTTGAGCTACCTGAACAGCTCGTGAAGGGGGGGCGGGGGGCATCGATGGGGAAGGATAATCGAACGGGGCTTGCTTGGTTTAGATCATTTCGTCATGGGATGTACTGTACAATCCGCTATAGATTCGGACGTTCTACCTGGAGCCAGCGTCAGGGTCAGACAAGGCGTTTATGGATAGGTCTGGCATTGCGGTGCATTATATCAGGCAAAATTGACTTCCATTTGTGTCATTCAAGGTTTTTACTTTCAAGAACGGTAAATCTCCAGTAAAGTAAAAAGTCCAACAGACGGGTCACACACGCCCTCGGCCACATGTCTAATCCTTTCTTTGACCAAATCCTCTACATCACGATGCTATCGTAACGCCATGCCCTTTCCCTTATTGCTAGCCCTACATCCTAAACCACGGTTTTTCATCTACGCCAAGACTGATGGCGCGGCAACGGTCTTTCCCTTGAAGTTCTCAAGACCCTCTCCTCCCTAGAGTTGACGGTTAGCAGGGGAGATCATTGGATCGGCTTGGGGGGCGAAGAAGGATTACTCACATAGCTTATCAGCGGGCTCACTTCGATCCCTGCTTCGGGTTCCTTGTCCACAATGGTCGCGCCCGCGGCCTGCACCCACCTCTTGCCCTGCGCCATGATATCGCGCTTGCTCGTGTCGGGATCGTCCTCGCCGGTGCCCCTTGCATTCTTGAGAGGGCTGAACTCGTCCTCCCGCCTCACCTCCATGCAGGCGAACTTCTCCAGTTCCAGCATCGGGAAGACGTCGAAGACGAACTGCTCCAGCTTGATCCCGTTGGGCTTCTCCGGCTTGACCGTCTCGCCGCTGGTCACGTCTGCGTAAGGAATCTTCTTGCGGGCAATGTGGTGCGGCAGGTTCTTGACCCATGACGGGATGGTGTCGAGGAAGCGGAACGAGTAGTAGTGGTTGACGATGTTGGCGGCCCGGAACTTCAGCACGCCCGGCTGCTTGGGGTCATGGGCCTCGGCGGTCTCCTTGTCGATCTCGCTGTACTCGACAACGTCCGGACGGCCGTTCTTGAGGACGATCAGCCCGACCGACTCGGTGGCGTTGCGCTTCCTCACCACCTTGGTCGCGATGTCGACATCCTTCGCCGCGGCGAAGCCGATGAAGACCGGGTCGGCGACCTTGACGAGGCAGTTGTCGACGCAGTACGCGTGGATGTGCTCGATCCCGCGCCGCCGCATATCCTCCAGTGCCCTGGAGACCACCAGGGCCTGGTAGATGCCCCCGTTCCCATCGGGAGCCACAGCCACCCTGCCCTTGGACTCCAGCAGGATCTTCCCTTCGTTTGAAATGCAGGGCAGCACGCCCTGCTCGAAGATGATGACGTTTTCCTTCTTCAGGCCAAAGTACTGGTTCTCCTCGAAGAACTTCTCCGTCGGCCCCCTCGTCGGGCCTGACGTCATGACGTACCAAGGCACGCAGGCTTCGGCGCCGGCGCCGGCGCCGACCTTCTCGGCAGCTAGCTGCTCGATCTTGTGGATGCGCTCGGCCTGGATCTGGAAGAGGGATTTCTCGGACGGCAAACCAATGTCATAACACCCCTTGGGCGCCGAGCTGCCCAGCCGAGTCCCCTGCCCGCCGGCCATGAGGACGACGGCGACCTTGTTCTGCGCAATCAGGTCGAGGCCAGAGCTGTACCATTTCGAGATGTCCTCGGGCCTGGAGTCCATTATGCTGGCGGTGGCCGACTCTGGGAGAGGCTCCAACGAGGCCACCTTGGACCTGCCATCGTCGGTCTTGGGCGGGTTAAGCGCCTTATCCGTGATCTCCTGGATGTATGTGGGGTCAAAGAGAGAGAGTTGTTGATAGAGGGCGGCTCTCTCGGCGCCGGAAAGCGACTCGTAGAAGGTAAAGACATGTTCCTGGCCCGTTTTGGTGTATCTCTCCTTGAGGGAGGCCAGTTCCTCAGGCGTCGGCTCTCCAATATGCACCATGATGGCGGGGTATCAGGTTAGTCTTGGTGGGGTGACAGGACCTCAATTGCTACGTAGGCAGGAAGGCAGGTTGGCAATGGTCCGTGGACCAGGAAAAGGAGAGAGGCGGGAGGAGTCTGGGACCCAGGTATGCGGGGACAGGCGGACAAGCATAAATATAAAGAAACAGGAGCAGCTGAAGTTGGAGCTGAGAGACCTCAGGTTCGTATATACCTATATATATAAAGTCAATTCCTTGCTGGCCTGCCAGCTCCGCCAGCTTAGTCTTGGCCGTTCAGAGGAAGGCTGGGCGCCAATTCGCCAGGCCCGGATCCACATGTTCATTTGTCGGGAACGTGCTGCTGTGGTGGAGCTTACGCGGGCTGTACAGATTACTGGTGGGTGGTGGAGCTGCCGGCAAAACACGATGCACTGCAGGGGGGGAATACGACCAGTAGAGAGTGGAGAATGTCGAGCTTCAGAAGCCAAGTTACATTCCATCAGAACCAACCCGTTTGACCCGTTCTTTCGAGACAAGACCGGGACTCAGGAGACCTGTGACGCTTCCTTTTTGAGGGTCTGGAATTAGAATAAAAGGAAATAACGTCCCGCCTGCTGAACCACCGATCATGGTCTAGCCCCTGGCTAGGTACCTACCCACAGGAGGTGCCTGGTACATACCTAATTTGGTGGCGAAGCCTAGCACTCAGCTGGCGGGCTGACAGCTCTGACTCGAAACTGCATTTCCGAACGACATCCTGGAGGATTCTTTCTTTGCTGGTGTTCGGATTCTGTAACACCTCGCGGCTCGTCCCAGTACAATAAAATGTCATCTGAGCCAGCCGCTGAATCGCCAGTCACCCCAAGCTTCGAGGGTCGCCTCAAGCTGCACGAGTTCATGTTCCAGGATGGCACAGCACCTCTGGGCAGCAGCACCAACGGGGCCATTCGGCGAAGTAGCCGACTGACGACTCCTTCCGCGGCGGGAGCCTCACGCTCGCTGGTCCTGACGCCAGAGGTGTCCACAAACAGGACTCTGACGCTGTCGAAGCGGAAGGCAGTGGCAGGATCAGGAGATATTTCCGAGCTCGGGATAGCCTCACCCGCATCCTCTCCCTCGCCACTAAAGCGGCAGCGGAGCAACGGAAACGGCAACGGAAGCGGCAACAACAGCAGCGGCAGCAGCCCCAGTCGCAGCGGCAGCCTGGGCCGGGGCCGGGGCCGGGGCAAATCCGGGTACGCGCCGCCCAGCACCTACGCGCACCTGTCGCAGCTGCCGGACGCGATGGCGCCGAACATGCTCGTGCTCTTCGTGGGGCTCAACCCGGGCATCGAGACGGCGCGGCAGCAGCACGCGTACGCGCACCCGAGCAACCTGTTCTGGAAGCTGCTGGCCTCGTCGGGCGTGACGCCGCGCCTGTGCGCCGCCTCCGAGGACCGCTCCATGCCGCGCCTCTACGGCCTCGGGCTCACTAACATTGTCTCGCGGCCGAGCCGCAACGGCGCCGAGCTCAGCAAGGCCGAGATGGACGCCGGCGTGTGCGTCCTCGAGGAGAAGGCGAGGCGCTGGCGGCCGGAGGTGGTCTGCGTCGTCGGGAAGGGCATATGGGAGAGCGTCTGGCGAGTCCGGCACGGAAGGCCGATCGGGAAGGCGGACTTCAAGTACGGCTGGCAGGACGAGGCGGAAAACATGGGCGTCGTCGGCGAGGCGGGGCAGAAGGACGAGGAGAAAGAGGATGGGGTGGAGTACAGAGATGATTGGAAGGGTGCCAGGGTTTTTGTTGCTACGAGCACGAGCGGGCTGGCTGCAACGCTGAGGCCGGCGGAGAAAGAGGTGATCTGGAGGGAGTTGGGAGAATGGGTCGAAACGAGGAGGAAGGAGAAGACGGCTGCGGTCACATCCTCATCGTAAATCGTAAATTAGAAATCGGGATGGAAGGCAGGCATCTCGACTTTTGTAGAGACTACTAGTCTGAGAAGTTTGCATTCAACATTATCGACGTGTTGCGGAACTTGATCTAATAAATAATTACTTGGAAAAAAGTGCGACGCCCGCCCACGCAGGGGTGTCCTATCCAGGACATCCCATGAGCCAGGCGTCGCCGTAGTAGAAGTTGCCCCAAACGCCGAGAGGGTAGTCCTTCCCAGGGAGAATACATAGCGAACCCGTACAGTGTAATACTCATGTACCGTCATCACCCGACTTGGCTTTCCACGTTCTTAAGCCCTTATCATCCTGCAGTCTGTCTGTCTCTTTAAGAGATGAAAACCATGGCGCAGACAGTAGCAACCACAGGCCACCAGCCAGCGGACTGGAGAAGGAAGCGTAGGCCCGCGGCGGCATTTGCGTCTTCGGTGCCACCGCTGGCCGTGGTGCCGTTGGGCAGAGTACCGTTGATGAGGATGGTGCTCGTGCCGTTGACATCGGCGACGTCGATCACACTCTTATTCAGCGCAGCATAGCTGCCGTTGCCAATCAAGTCGCTCATGTAAGTGCTGTTGGTATTCTCGTCGCAGGCGCATTCCGATGTAGGATCGCAACCACAGGTGACAGGCTTGGTCTCGTTCGTATCGCTGGTGGCGTTGTAGAAGCCATACGGGTGACTGTAAGGGTACATGTATGCGCCGTGATACCAGATACCCGGCCAGAAGGCCAAAGCCAGCCCGGCACCGAGGAAGATCGGAGCGATACCCGAAGGGGATCTACTGCCGGATCTGTACGGGACCCTAGCGCCGCCGCCGTAGTAAGCACCTCCGCCATATTGGGGTGGTGGGCCGCTGCCGGTCCTGGTCTGGCCGCCGACTGAGGAACCCGAGGAACCTCGACTATAGGGAAATGCTCATGTTAGCAAGCGATACACACGCTCTTGAAACGAGAGGAAAATCCTACGACGGTGACGAAGAACCACCACCTCTCCCTCCCGAGCGGCTAGCTCCTCCCCTGCCACTGACAAGGCACGGGGAATGTCAGTGCCAACCTGCACGGCCTGCCGCCTCCCCATGGAATGAAATGTAGGATGAGAAAAGAAGAGAGAACTCACCCGCCAGAGGTACCTCCGCTTCCTGAGCTCCCTCCGCCTCCTCTGCCTCCCGAACTGCCTCCACCAGAACTGCCTCCACCAGAACTGCCTCCCCCGGAACTGCCTCCACCAGAACTGCTTCCTCCTCCTCCTCCTCCGCCCCTACCACCTCCGCCACCTCCACCTTTGCGCTTCCATAGGTCTTGGTAATAGTCCGACTGGCCGTCGGCGCGCTCCAATGGCTGATGTTCGACGGCGTCGGGTGCGCGAATCGCAACTGCCGATGCTAGTGCGTCCGACGCAAAAGTCGCGAGCAAAAGGGCGATGCTGAACTTCATAGTCGCGTATGCCGGGGGGAATCGAAGTTCTTGAAGATGAGATCCCAACGGGAAATTTGGCGAAATGCTTGTCGAGAGGACTTCTTCAAGAGAAAACTTGGCGGATGACAAGGAAAGATATACCTAGTACGGAAGTAAGGTATGCAGTCATGCAGTCACCAACCAACCTGCCAACGCTTTCGTTTGCGGGCAAATAGGGTTCTGATTATTTGATTGCTTCCCGCTAAGCTACAGGCAAGAGACGGTTCGACCGCTCCTTCTCCGCACACCAACACCCTTCACCAAGGGGTAATATTGGAACTTTGGGGGCGACGCTAAACTCCCTACAGTAATCCGTGCGACCATCACGTCGGGTAGTATTTACTACGCAGTAGGCTCTCTCTGAAAAACACCTAGTTTCGTGGCTTAGAGAGAGACAGCGGATTACAACGAATTGGTTGCTGCATTCTGCATGGTAAGCCGGAGGGTCTCAGATGATGATGGCTCGCCACATACAGAAAACAGGGCACCTACAGGTAGGTACCTACCTTAGGTATCTAGTATAGGTACCTTAGGCTTGCCACTTGCTAGGTGGGTTGAAGCTCGCATAACTGTGCCGGCACGTGTCGCCATGCGACCGTCTCGCCTCGGCCACACCAGGACCCTTGAGCATTGCCACAGCAAATCAAGAATGCTAATGCTGATCTTTCTTGATGGATGTCACCCGCCACAACCACCGGTGACCGAAGAGCTCCAAGCCCCCTGTCTCCACCCACAAATCAACTCCACTCTCTCTGGGATCCGTTGATGATTGATGGAATCGGGTGGCTGGCTTCGCTCTCCCGGCACTTCTTGATTCAACATGGCCAACACTCCACCGAGATCCGACCGCAGTCTATTGGAACGACTGAACGCACTGAAGCCTACAAGCGTCAGTCTTGACAGGGAGCCAATGTATGCGTAAATTTCCCAAAGCTGTCAGACACCCCCCTTAGGTCCTCGTGCATTAGGCTAAACTCTTTCCTAATGCCGCTTAAAGTTCAAACACCGCCCAGTCGGATGCGGCGTTGTCCAGAGACGATGCCCTCACAGCCCGCCTCCGGACCCTGCGGAATCTGCCTAGCGGCGGCCGTGCCGGCGCCGGCAGCGGCAGTGGGTCCGTCTCCGCATCTCCGCGGGCCGAGGTAGACTCGCCAGGCCAAAACCGGCGAGAGCCTGGAGTGCGGCCGTCCGTGGCACTGCCGCCGTGGGCTGCGCCAGTGGGAAGTGGCGAGGATGGCGGCGGTGGTGGTGATATCGACCCCCTATTCCTGACTGATGACGCTGCGCTGGATGAACTCCTCGAAGGAATAATAGATTTCGATATTAGTGTCTCTGATGATGTGGGCACGAGGGACTTTGACCCGGCCGCCGAGTCGAAGAAGGTTTCCGAGGCCCTGGAAAGGCTCAAGGGGAAACATTCCGTCGGCCCGAATCGGGGCGCACCAGTGGGGCACAGCCACGACGATGAATCCGAGGGCGAGGACATGGCGCGCGAGATTGAGCGCATTCTCTCCCAGGCCTGCGACGAGGCGAAGGTGAAGGATGGAGAGCAATGGCAGGGCATCCCCGGGCAGGGAGAGTCTCCTGACCAACCCCCCGCAGACTCGGCCGGGCCGAAACCGCGCGGGGCAGAGTCTAAGTCAGACGAGGCAGATGGCTTCTCTCTTCCATCGGTCCCGTCGGCGCTAGCCGACCTAGGCCCACCCGAGGCTGAATCGGAATCCCCCGACCACCAGACCAGGAGGAGTCTTGATTTCGAGGAGGACATCGCCACGCGCATGGCGGCGCTCAAGGGGCTGGGTTCCGGCAGCAAAACCAACTCCTTTGGGCTGCCGTCTGTGCCGACATTCAAGCCCGAGGATCGCCCCTCAGCGAAGATCGCAAGAAAGCCAGGCTACACGGACGAGGATTTGAAGACCTGGTGCATCGTCTGTCTGGAGGACGCAACTGTGCGATGTGTCGGCTGCGATGATGATGTCTACTGTGCCCGATGTTGGAGGGAAATGCACGTCGGTCCGGCAGCAGGCTATGAAGAGAGGGGTCACCAATGGGTCAAGTTTGAGAGGAGGTAGTCATATCGAAATCCTTAAACCTGTCCGGTATAGCCTGCCTACATATCACACCTTACAATTTCATGTATCGTATTGTACAAAGGCCCATTGCGAATAACAGATCCATCCAAGCAAAAAAAACACCGCCCATCACAAACCAGTACATTCCACCCTCGTGTATGCCCTTCCGTGTTCCGCCTAATTCCTTTCCAGAGATCCTTTCCAGAAATCCTGTCATTAAACACGTTACATTTTCCTGCAGGGGTACAATTTATTGGCATGGGCTCAGTTCCTTTCTGAACAACCATCAATTGCGGCGAAGCCTCAGCCACAGACTTATAGCCTGCCGACCATCCTTTACGCCCTAGAACCAGAGCCATTTCCATTCGTCCCATACGATCCATCCGGCGCCTCCGCGGAATGGTTTCCGGCTCGGCCGGTGACGTCCTGCCAGTTGGCGCCGAACCTCCTCCTCGTGCTCGCGAGCAGGCCCTCCTCCTCGTCCGCCTCGGCCTCCTCATCCAGCTCGCTCAGGTTCAGCCTCGGGACCCGGAATAGGCTGGTGACGAAGACGATCAGGAAGATGGCCAGGAAGGCGAACTGGGCCCAGAAGCCCACGTCGCCAAAGACGGGCCAGTTGAGCGAGATGCGGTTGAGGAAGGTCGACATGACCGACGGCGTGCACACGTCCTTTGCGGCATCGTGTTTGAGGCCTTCGGAGCAGGGCACGACCATCTCGGGGTGGTCGCGGCAGTCGGGCCGGTCGCCGGGGTGGCGCGTTGGGTTGACGCAGAAGGTCTGCGTGCCGTATATGGCGTACTGTGGCGCCACTAGCATGGCGATCGAGTAGTTGATGGCGAGGATGATGAGGGCCAGCATCACCGTGGCGATGAGTAGAGCCTGTGGTGCGGTTCGGCCCTTCCTGATCTGGAAGACTCGCACCCAGAGGAAACGGATCCCCACGCTCGCAATGCCGGAGATGGAGCTGGTGAAGAAGAAGAAGACGAGAAGGGCCATGAGGATATAGTCGACGGGGAATGCGTTGGCCGACTTCATGAAGATCCAGTTCATCGGCTGGAAGATGTTGATATGGCCGAGGATGTAACCGCAATGCTGCTTGCAGACCGAGTTCGCAGCCTTGTCGATTCCTGTAATGAGCATTGATACCCAGACCAAGATCGAAACCAGGAGCAAGAATATGCCTCCAAGTAATTTCAGAGGTCGGAAGACTGCCTGGAGCTTGGTCCAGGCCCTAAAGACGTTGCTGTGTCCTTCTCCACGGGCGCCGGCGGCGATCCGTTCTCGGCGCACCAGGGTGCGCTCCTCTCGCATCAAAGCCTCGAGCTCGCGCTGGTCTTTCTGCGGCATGCCGTCAGAGCGACCAGCATTGCGCATTTCCAATTGTCTTTGCCGTTCCCGATTCCGCTCCAGTGCCGAAGCCGTGTTCTCGGAGACCTGGGGGGCCGAGATGGAGGGTGCCGACTTGATAAACGAGATGGGAAGTAGGGCGAGCCCGGCGCCGGTGTAGAATACGTGGAGCAAGGTACCCAGTGTCATGAGTAACCCGAGCGCAAACGTCAAGGCCTTCTCCCCCTTGTTCTCGGCCAACAAATGCCTGAAGTAGTCCAGATCCAGGTGTTTCCCCACGCGGTTTCCGGCAGCGGGAACGAAGAACCCAATCAAGAACAGGATGACCACCAAGATGACGAAGGTTATCGTGTACTTCAAGGCTCCCCACAGCCGGCTCCCGAAGGTCCTAGTTCCTTCTTCCTCCTCAACCTCATCATACTCCTCGTACCAGAAATAGGCGAAGGGGATGACGATGAGGCAGAGTAAGGCATCAAAACTGTAGAGGCTGTAGTAGACAATCTTCAACGTCAGGAGGATGTTGGCAACTCGTTTATCCGTTGCCCAGTCTTTTCTGGCACCAAGGGTAGTCGACGTAGTCGACGATACAAGTGCGATGTCGACGGGCAGCAGAAACACGGTTGCGAGAAGGGCCGTCAGACTTATTATTGCGACCAAGCTAACAACCGCGGATCGCTCGCGTGGGGTTTGCCAGGTAAATGAGGTGATGATGGCCACCAGGAGGGCCAAGACGACTGCGACCGCATAGGCGACCCAGATGAGACTGGTCTGAACCAGACTGGAATCAGCCATGGTGATAGCTCTTCAGTCCAGGGACCTGAGAAGTTTATCAGCTCGTTGTCGAGAGATTGGACGTGTAACTGTCCCAGCGCATTCGATCGTAAGGAATGGTCGTCACTTCTTGATTGTTGTGGGAAGGAAAGGGAAGGGGGGAAGGCAGTGTGACGACATGATACAGGAGCTTGTGTGGGGCAGTGTCTCTGCCATTGGTGCAACCTAAGCTCCCTTTGCGCCGGTTTCAATTTCTTCCACTCCGCCAACCGTTGCGGCGGGACGGGACGACCTCTGTCGATCCAATAATACGTGCTTTGACCGCGTTTTTGGCCAGGAACTTTTTTCAAGATAGCAACACCAAGTCCCGCCAGTCTGCCGCATCCAAGCGATATGCTCGTAATTGGTGAGACATGCAGTGCTACACCGAGCTGACGCCCCCGACGGCCGTCACGCATTCCGTGGCATTGCCATTTATCTCGGCACAGAGCAACACTCTAGTGGTCGCAAAAGCCTCCCTCCTCCAGATCTTCACGACAAAAGCCATATCCGCCGACCTCGATAGCACTCAGAGCACTGCCCAGCAGCCGACGAGGCTGTCGAGCAAGTATGACAGCCGCCTCAATAACGACGACGACAAACTCGAGTCTTCGTTCCTCGGAGGCGATGCCATCATCTTGAAATCGGACCGTGCAAACAATACCAAACTCGTCCTCATTGCCGAGATACCTCTCTCGGGCACAATCACGGGTCTAGCCAGAATCAAGACACCGAGCACAAAATCTGGAGGCGATTTGCTCCTCATTGCCTTCAAGGATGCAAAACTCAGTCTTGTCGAATGGGACCCTGAGAGGCATTCTCTGAATACAGTCTCAATCCACTACTATGAACAAGACGAGCTTTACGGAAGCCCCTGGGCCGCCCCTTTGAGCGATTATGTCAACTTCCTGGCTGCAGATCCCGGCAGTAGATGTGCCGCCTTGAAGTTTGGTCCCAGAAACCTGGCAATTCTGCGCTTCAAACAGCCCGATGAAGACATGGGCATGGATGACTGGGATGAGGAGCTAGATGGTCCCCGGCCTGTCAAGGATTTGTCCTCAGCAGTCGTAAATGGAACTAGCAACATAGAAGAGACACCATATTCACCCTCATTTGTTCTACGGCTGCCCAATCTTGACCCTAGTCTCCTCCACCCCGTGCATCTCGCATTCCTCCATGAGTACAGAGAACCGACATTCGGCATCCTCTCCTCCACACAGAGCCCGTCGAACTCCATGGGCCGCAAGGACCACCTCTCATATATGGTCTTCACCCTCGACCTTCAGCAGAAGGCATCGACCACCATCCTCTCCGTCGGTGGCCTGCCACAGGACCTTTTCAGAGTCGTCGCCCTCCCAGCCCCGGTTGGGGGTGCATTGCTCGTAGGGGCCAACGAGTTGATTCACATCAACCAGTCAGGAAAACCCCATAGCGTCGCCGTCAACCCCCTCGCAAAGCAGTCCACTTCGTTCGGCCTGGTAGATCAGTCCGACCTTGATCTTAAGCTGGAAGGATGCGCAATCGATGTCCTGTCTGCCGAGAACGGCGAGCTTCTCCTCGTCTTACAAGACGGACGGCTAGCACTGATTACCTTTCGAATTGACGGCCGCACCGTCTCTGGTCTCTCAGTCAAGCTGATCCCGAAAGAAGCTGGAGGAGAAACCGTCCCCTGCAGCGTCTCCTCGCTCACCCGGATTGGTCGGGGCAACATGTTCGCCGGCATTGAGGATGGCGACTCGCTTGTACTTGGGTGGACCAGAAAACAAAGTCAGACCTCCCGGCGGAAATCGAAGATACAAGACCTTGGTATGGATGTCGACGACGAAGACTTCGACGATGACGAAGATGATCTTTACGGCGATGAAGCCCCTGGAATTCAGCCTACGGCTTCTGCAGGAAATACTGGCAAAGCCGGGGACTTGAGCTTCCGCATCCATGACAGGTTGATCAGCATTGCGCCGATTCGGGCCATGACCTACGGCAAGTCCGCCACGCTCCCGGGCAGCGGGGAAGCAGAGGCAAATTCTCCCGGAGTTCGGAGCGAGCTGCACCTCGCCTGTGCAGTCGGTAGAGGCAATGCTAGTTCTCTCGCGGTCATGAACCGAGAAATTCAACCGAGAATCATTGGACGTTTCGAGTTCCCCGAGGCGCGAGGTTTCTGGACCATGTGTGCTCAGAAACCCCTTCCAAAGTCGATCCAGGGGGACAGAGGCGGGAGCACGGTTGGGAATGACTATGGCACTTCGAACCAGTACGACAAGTACATGATCGTGGCTAAGGTGGACCTCGACGGATACGAAACTTCCGACGTATATGCCCTCACCGCTGCGGGCTTCGAGACCCTCACAGGCACCGAATTCGAACCCGCTGCAGGTTTCACGGTCGAGGCTGGGACAATGGGAAGGCACTCGAGAGTCATTCAAGTCTTAAAGTCAGAGGTCCGCTGCTATGATGGAGGTAAGGTCTAATCTAATTCCTCTCATCTCCGAATAACTGCTAAACGATTGCTTTCAGACCTTGGACTCAGCCAGATCCTCCCCATGCTCGACGAAGAAACCGGGGCTGAACCGAGAGTCATCACTGCCAGCATCGCCGACCCCTATCTTCTTTTAATCCGAGACGATTCTAGCGCTTTCGTTGCACATATGGATAACAACAGCGAGCTTGAAGAGGTTGAGAAAGGCGACAGCCTGACGTCGACAAAGTGGGTTACCGGTTGCTTGTATGCCGACAAGAGCGGTACATTTTCGGAGACTCAGTCAAATGGCGACGCCAAATCAGGGGAGAATGTGCTTATGTTCCTCCTGGGTGCCACTGGTGCTCTCCATGTAAGTTCCCACGCTGTATGTATCTCTATATCATCTCTAACTGGCCGTAGATATATCGCCTCCCAGATCTCTCAAAGCCCGTCTACGTAGCTCAGGGACTGTCTTATATCCCGCCTTCCCTTTCTGCTGATTATTCAGCTAGGAAGGGGACAGCGAAGGAGACAGTGCGAGAAATACTCGTGGCTGACCTTGGAGATACTACCCATGATTCTCCGTATCTTATTGTACGCACGCTACACTTTGTCATAGTTCGCAACCATCCGCTCACAGTCTTTTAGCTTCGACACGCAAATGATGACCTGACTCTCTACCAACCTCGGCGAAACCCTCGCGGTGGTCCTGGTGATCTGTCAAAGACTCTTTCCTTTCAAAAACTGCCCAACCCGGTATTCGCAAAGGATCCTCAAGAGGTAGTCCAGGACGACGCAACACATCAGCCCCGGTTTCTACCTCTGCGTCCTTGCGGCAATATCGCAGGATATAGCACCGTCTTCCTCCCCGGCGCTTCCCCAAGCTTCTTAATCAAGTCGGCGAAGTCGATCCCGAGAGTCATAGGTCTCCAAGGCTCGGGGGTGCAGGCAATGAGTTCCTTTCATACCGAAGGTTGTGAGAGAGGCTTCATCTACGCCGATTCTCAGGGAATTGCACGGGTGACGGAGCTGCCGAGCGACTACAGCTATGCGGAGATCGGGATGGCGGTGAAAAAGATCCCGCTGAACATTGATTGTAGCGCTGTTGCCTTCCATCCCCCAACGGAGTGTTACGTGCTTGGCTGCAACTCCTCAGTGCCATTCGAGCTCCCCAAAGACGACGACTATCACAAGGAATGGGCGCGAGAGTCGTTGACCTCCAAGCCAATGGTCGACAGAGGCATACTCAAGCTGCTTACCCCAGTCAACTGGTCGGTGATCGATTCCGTGGAGATGGAGCCCTACGAGATCGTCATGTGCGTCGAGACTCTGAATCTGGAAGTCTCTGAGTCGACCAACGAGCGGAAGCAGCTGATCGCTGTGGGCACGGCCCTCTCCAGGGGCGAGGACCTGCCCATCCGTGGCCGGGTATACGTCTACGGGATTGCCGATGTCATCCCCGAGCCCGGACGGCCCGAGACAAGCAAGAAGCTGAAGCTCGTGGCCAAGGAAGATATCCCGCGCGGGGCCGTAACGGCGATTTCCGAGGTCGGGACCCAGGGTCTGATGCTCGTCGCCCAGGGCCAGAAATGCATGGTTCGTGGTCTCAAGGAGGACGGGACCCTCCTGCCTGTGGCATTTATGGATATGAACTGCTATGTGACGAGCGTCAAGGAGCTTCCGGGCACAGGCCTGTGCGTCATGTCGGATGCCTTCAAGGGTTTGTGGTTCACGGGCTACACCGAAGAGCCGTATAAGATGATGCTCTTTGGCAAGAGCGCGACGAGGCTAGAGATACTCAACGCCGACTTCCTCCCCGACGGCAAGGAGCTCTTCATCGTCGCGAGCGATGCAGACGGCAACATCCACATCCTCCAATTCGACCCCGAACGTGAGCTCTCCCGCCCTTCTCCCTTCCCCCGCACGCCACAGCGTAGGTGCTTAATTTGCTAACATGCCTCACCCGGTTCCTACAGACCCAAAATCCCTCCAAGGTCACCTTCTCCTCCACCGCACGACCTTCTGCGCCGGAGCCCACATCCCAACCAGCTCCCTCCTCCTCCCCAACACCGCACCACCGGACCCGACGGCCACCGACACAAACAGCGGCCCCGCCGACGACCCGGACGCGTCCGCTCCGCCCAAGCAACCGCCCCAACTCCTCCTCCTCGCCTCCCCAACGGGCGTCCTGGCAGCCCTCTCCCCGCTCCCCGAGTCCTCGTACCGGCGCCTCTCGTCGCTGACGACGCAGCTGGCCGGCGGCTCTGCGCCGCCCGCCGCGGGCCTCAACGCCAGGGCGTACCGCGCGCCCTCGGCCGGTGCTGCCCCGGCCCCGGCCGTCGACGCCGGCGTCGGGCGCAGCATCGTCGACGGCGCCGCCCTGGCCAGGTGGGCGGGTCTGGGCGCCGGCCGCCGCGCCGAGATCGCAGGCCGGGTCGGCTTCGGCGGCGGGCCTGGCGAGGTCAGGGCGGAGCTGCGGAGGGTGTTGGGGTGGGGTGGGTTTGCGTACTTTTGAAGTTTTAGGGGGGAGCGTTGAGAGATAGATGTGCGGGGGTGGTCTTGGGGATGAGGGTTTTTAGCAATTCGGCTGTTTAGGGGGATGGAAACGGGGTTTCATTTGCACTATTCCAAGGGCGGGGTGTATCAACATCGTTATCTTGCAAGGAGAGTAGACTGAGAAATATACTTTCAGTGGGGAACCTGCCTGCCTGTCTTGAGCGTGTGACCAGGTGCTTGAACCATGCTCATCGTTCCCCTGACTCGATGTGAGTGCATTTATAGACGGCCATGTTGTGTTGACCCTTGCCATTTTACAGCTGCCTACCTAACCATGTTTTCTGACCCCTTGCCCTGTCTTCCATATCAAAAGAAACAAATGCTATCGGCTATCGGACTGGCCGGTTAGGATAAGGGAAGTGTAAGACCAAAAGGGAGGACCTATGCCCGGCCTGACACGCAGTAGCCATGGCAGGTTGACAGATGGGAGAGAACAAGGACACAAGCACGCAGTTCGGGCAGGGTGACCTATCTAACCTACCATGGTACATTATATATATTACTTCCCCGAGAGTCGGAGTCTTCCAAATATACGAGGAGAGAAAAAAGGTAATAACAAAAACTCATATAATGTGGTGGTGAGAGGTTGGGGGTTGGATGATCTACCTACCATCCTGGGCGCTGAAAAGGTTGTCTTCTATGGGATGCCATTTCTGAGCCTCACCAGGGGATACCTCTTCACCGTTCACCAGCCAACAAAGAATATTTATTGAAAACATAATTTCTGTATGCTTGAACGGAACAAAGTGGGACATCAGACTTCAATGCCATGGGGTAATCAAATCCATATTAGACGCTGAAATCTAAGCTAAGCTAATGATGCCCAACTCAAGCAACGCCGTGCAGCCTTTCTCACCTCCTCCCCATGAGATATCATCGAGGAGCCCTTTCCCAAGCCCAAGTTTTCCCGAGGCCTCCGAGACCGAAATGCAATTCTTCTCCGCCTATGGCGGTTCATATTCGCGATATCAAGCGACCGCCCCAACCTCAACGGGATATTTAGTGTATGCTCAGCAAGCCGGGATATGTGCAGGAGATAGCCCGGCTGGGAGGCGGGTGTGTCAAATGTAATGACGAGCCACGTAACTCTAGACCGTGAGCTTGGCCTTTGCCCGGGTGCTTCCGCTGTGGGCGCTGTCCGTGTGACCCGAGAACTCGAGGAGCTCTGCCGGTTGAAGCTTGAGCACCTCCTTGAAGCGGCGGCCGATGGCCAAAAGGATCTCCTTGCCCTTCTCAGCAGACCTACCCTTGCCACCTGCTACATCGCCATCTCCACGGCCGGGGATGTTCTTGCCAATCGTGCGAGTCCACACGCCGATACGGAAGAACGCCTTCCTCACATTTACGACGACACCCATGACTTCACCGTCCTCCTCCTCCTCCAACGTCTCGCCAATGGCAGCGAGCATCGTGTGGAGCCAAAGGTCATCGATGTCGATGTTGCGCTTATCCTTGAAGCTGTATGACCACTTGCCGCCGTGCTTGTTCTGGGGGTCCTCCCACTCAGGCCGCACACCTTTCTTGAAGAGGTGATAGTCGGACTTCACAGCCAGTCCCGATACAGGGGCGATGTTGTTCTGCGGTTTGATCAGTACGCATGGGATTTTCGACTCCAAAGGACATGACATACGTATACGCCCCAGAACTCCTCAACGGACTCGAAGGTGATGACCTCCTTCAGCAAGTCGTTCCAATTGTCACCCTGCAGTCAAGAGTTAACCTCGCGGCCCTACAAAGTGTGATCTGAAGGAATTACCAACCTTGCCGCTAGACGGCTTGGTAAACCAAAGTGTCCATGCGTTTGCCAATGGGTGCTTCACGTTGAAGTTTTCCGGGTTGTGGAAAACCGTAATCGTCTGCTCCCCGGTCGGGCCATCGCTCGTTGAGGGGCCGCCGTTTGCGCCGTCAGGCGAGATAGGGATTGTCGACAGGTCAACCTGTTCAGACATGTTGGGATATCGGTGGCGCGAGATGCTTCGGCTCAGATAGAATGGAGGCAGGCAAGGCAGTCCAGAATCTGGGAGCTGCGAGATGGAAGAGGGAGGATGGGAGGGTCTGACGGATCGGTAGAGGTGAGTGGTAGGTAGGTAGGTAGGTAGGTATATCCGTGCCTGTTGCCTGGGAGGTAGGCAGGTAGGTGGGACGTGATTGACGAGTGGTCCAATCTAGCTCTTGGGGATGAAGATTTCGAGGACCTAAATGGAAGGAACTCGGGACTGGTACCAGGTGGGGCTCGTCCTTTTATCTTCGCAGAAGGAAAGTGTGACTTTGCGCCAGGCAGAGTTTAGAGTTGGAGATATCGAGTGGTTCTGTCAGGCGCAAGTGCAAATTCGATCGCATAAAACGTTAAAGCACAGGGCACTCGCATAAAATCCTCGAAGCAGAGAGTCATGTGACCGCACCGCCTGGCCCTCGATAAGATAAGAGCGTGCTTTTCCTGCTTTCCCCGATCTGGAAAATGGTGGGGAAAGAAAGTTTGCTCTGGTTGAAATTTTTAAAAATTGAAAACCTCCTTGCCTTGCCCCACGCCAAACCAGCACTTTCCATATATTCTGCGCCCCAAGACCCCCCAGACCTAAATCCTCCTCCTCAACACAATCTCCATCCTCAAAAATGGCGGAAGAAGTTTATGATGGTGCCATTGGCATCGATTTGGGTGTGTATCCCGACGGGCCTCTGCAATCCCTCGCAGAGCCTTTCGCTTGATTCAATTCCCGCGGTGCCGCATGCTGACCAGGCCGCCTTTTCACTTTCTAGGCACAACCTACTCTTGCGTCGCCACGTACGAAGGCAACAATGTCGAGATCATTGCCAACGAGCAGGGTAGTTTCACTACCCCCTCGTTCGTCTCTTTCACCGACAATGAGCGGTTGATTGGTGAGGCCGCAAAGAACTTGGCCGCCATGAACCCCGTGAACACCGTCTTCGATGTGAAGTATGTGGAATTTCCCACTCCTTGCTCTGTCGGCCTTCCCACTGACCTTTTTTTTCCCCTAGGCGGCTCATCGGTCGGCGGACTGATGATCCTTCCGTCAAGAAGGACATGGAATCGTGGCCATTCAAGGTCGTCGATGATGGCAATGGCAACCCGAAGGTCCAGGTTGAGTACCTGGGCAGCACCCACACGTTCTCTCCCCAGGAGATCTCCGCCATGGTCTTGACCAAGGTACGTAAATGCACTGCTGCTGTTCCTGGGCATCCAAGCTAACATGTCCCCAACAGATGAAGGAGATTGCCGAAGTTAAGCTCGGCAAGAAGGTTGAGAAGGCGGTCATCACCGTCCCTGCCTACTTCAACGACAACCAGCGTCAGGCTACCAAGGATGCCGGTGCCATTTCTGGCCTCAACATCCTTCGTATCATCAACGAGCCCACTGCTGCTGCCATCGCCTACGGCCTTGGCGCAAACAAGTCCAACAAGGAGCGAAATGTCCTGATCTATGATCTCGGCGGTGGCACTTTCGATGTGTCTCTCCTTAACATCCAGGGTGGTGTCTTCACTGTCAAGGCCACCGCTGGTGACACCCATCTCGGTGGTCAGGACTTCGACACCAACCTTCTGGACCACTGCAAGAAGGAGTTCTCCCGCAAGACCAAGAAGGATCTCTCTGGCGATCCTCGTGCTCTCCGCAGACTCCGGACGGCTTGCGAGCGCGCCAAGCGTACTCTGTCGAGCGGTGCTCAGACCACTATTGAGATCGACTCGCTCTTTGATGGCGAGGATTTCAACATGCAGATCACTCGGGCCCGCTTCGAGGACCTGAACGCCAAGGCCTTCGGCGGTACCCTTGAGCCTGTTGCGCAGGTTCTCAAGGATGCCAACATTGAGAAGTCGGGAGTTGACGAGATCGTCCTCGTCGGTGGCTCTACCCGTATCCCCCGTATCCAGAAGCTCCTCAGCGAGTTCTTCGATGGGAAGAAGCTCGAGAAGAGCATCAACCCCGACGAGGCTGTCGCCTACGGTGCTGCCGTCCAGGCTGGTATCCTTTCCGGCAAGGCTACTTCCGCTGATACCGCCGACCTGCTCCTGTTGGACGTCGTTCCCCTTTCTCTCGGTGTGGCCATGGAGGGTAACATCTTCGCCCCCGTCGTGGCTCGTGGCCAGACTGTCCCTACCATCAAGAAGAGGACTTTCACGACTGTGGCCGATAACCAGCAGACTGTCCAGTTCCCCGTTTTCCAGGGTGAGCGTGTCAACTGCGACGACAACACCTCTCTCGGCGAGTTCACTCTCGCTCCCATCCCTCCCATGAAGGCTGGCGAGCCCGTTCTCGAGGTCGTGTTCGAGGTCGATGTCAACGGTATTCTCAAGGTTACCGCCACAGAGAAGACGTCTGGCCGTAGCGCCAACATCACCATCTCCAACTCGGTCGGCAAGCTCTCGACCAGCGAGATTGAGAACATGATCAGCGGTAGGTTCCCCACATATCTGCGTGTTAGCAGCGTGCCATTTACTAATCGTACATTGTAGAAGCCGAGAAGTTCAAGACCAACGATGAGGCCTTCAGCAAGCGTTTCGAGGCCAAGCAGCAGCTCGAGTCATACATCTCGCGCGTTGAGGAGATCATCTCTGACCCCAGCCTGTCGCTCAAGCTCAAGCGTGGCCAGAAGGAGAAGATTGAGCAGTCGCTCAGCGAGGCTATGGGCCAGCTGGAGATTGAGGACTCTGGAGCCGATGACCTGAAGAAGAAGGAGCTTGCGCTTAAGAGGCTGGTGACCAAGGCCATGTCCTCGCGATAAATCCTCGGGGCTGGACTCTGGTTCTCGACCCTCTGAGCGTGGCGGCATTCCGGCGAGGGGTTTGAAGACATACAAATATTGTCACTTCGGGTTCTGATGGAAGGCGTCTTCGTCTCATTTCTAAGGAGGGGTAAAAGTTAAAGAGGCATTCCTAGTCTGCTTTTTGGTTCTGTGGGGTTCCCCAATCCTTTCATGATGGGAGATTGAAGGGGGGTCTTACAGATTGAACAGTCCACCTCACCATCCATCCCCTTCCCTTATCACCACCACCACCTCTATTACGGCCCTCGGTTTCCCTTGGTGTAATGCATGTAGAATAGCGAGGGTGTTAGCCTAAAGAAAAGATGGATGGTACATGATTCTAAAACCAGGCAACTGCTCTGCTATGACTGTCGACCTCGGCCGCCCTTGAACGTGATGACTCGTATCAAGTATTAACGAGCAGCGCGAGAATCTCAGCCGAGGCAGGCAAACTCGGCTGGCGTGGGGTGGCTAATTAAACCAGAATTTTCTTCTTTTTTATCTTATTAGCATCCAACCGGGCTTGGACTTTTGTGTTCCGGATGGAGGCTTGAATTCCCACTGTAACGGTTCCAATGGGACGGGGGGTTCCGTTCCACAGTCGCTAGGGCGTAGATCTTCTGTGATCCACTTTTTATAATTCTGCCATGTATACATCCGTAGCCATCCATCCCACGCACCCTGCCTCCCTGCATCTAGACCCTCAGGATCCTGGATTTGATATATACCTGCCGCCTGAGCCGCCCCTGGAGCACCTTCTCCAGGACATATGTCTCCGCCCCCAACACGCGCCCCCCAGCTACGTCGCGATGGCTTCGAGCCGTCCGTCTTTTTCTTCTGCCTTCTTTCGGGGCTCGCTCGCATGCCACGCCATCTCCTGCTTGGCCGACGCGCCGTTCCGGGAGGGGAGGAGGGAAGGGGCGGGGGGACCACCGGATCCGGAGGCTGCGGCGGCTTGGGCGGCCGGGCTGGGAGGCGGCAGCTGGCTCTCTACTTGGAGATTTATCTAGGAGCTGCTACAGATCCAAGATGGGGGGCGGTTTCGAATTCCATGATCGGCGGAGCGTAGGTACGTGGTGAGCGACAACCTTGATGTATCCTACCGGAGTCCGCGAATCCAGTGCCTGTATGGAAGTGCTACGCAAGCAAACAGAAACCAATTTGATCTATTGGCCAGGCTGAGTAGTTGTGCACCCTCGTTAGCCGACGGAGTCCACCACTTCCTTCCTCCCACGCGAAGAGCGGTTGTTCCGACTTGGGTATTTACATACATAAACGAGAGCCCACAGTCCCTGCAGAGAGGCTACCCAATCCACACAAGAGGGTAATAATTGGCTAGGTTTTAGCCCACAGGAAGAGGCCTAGACTAACATAGTTGATATCCAAGAGCTTGACCGCTAAGAAGATCCTGCATCGATGCAACCTCAATGTGCACCACGTCATAAACTAATTGGTAATGGCGCATACGTATGCACAACACAGTAATGTAAGATGTGTAACCCTCCTCCGTCTTGCGTCAACTTCCATCCCACAGGTTTGGTACCTCCTCACTCAAGTCGGACCATTCTCAGACCACCCTGTCTCAGCGACATGACGAAAAAAAAACTTGGGATTTTCAGGTTTGCGGGTGAAAAGGCCTCACAGAACTCCCCCCGTCCTTCGATTCGTCATTTTTTGCTTACTTTTCATCGCCGGTTTCCTCCCCCCCCTTTAGCCCAAGCTATGGGGGGTTGACATCAACCTGATACTCATAACCCCCAATTAAATCCCCAATTAAGAGTGTCGTAGAGTCCCCAAAGGCGTAATGGGCCCGGTGTTTGTTGACATTTTGGAAAGGCCAAAAGTAGTGTGAAACGTGGGTGGGAGTGGGGGAAAAAAAGACGTAAATTCGTAGCAGTTTTTTTTCCTTCGGAGGGTTTTCACTCGACAGCAGCCTCGTGCCAGTCTGACTTGTTGTCGCCGGGATGCTCGCCCCAGTGAACGGGGCCGAGCCTGAGGAAGCGGAAGCCGACGGGGCTCTTGCCGCCGCCGTCGCTGCTGCTGCTGCCGACGCTGGACGCCCGGCGCTTCACCTGGTCCGCGCTGGCGTCGACGACGACGGCCTCGGCGGGGAGGACCGCGGGCGTGACGGGGGGAGGTAGCTCAAGCTGCTGCTGCTGCTGCTGCTGCTGCTGGGGCTTGGCCGTCTGGGATGGGTACGAGGCGGACGTGGTTGGGGCCAGGGGGAGGAAGGCGGAGAGCTGTCTCTCGGCGGCCTCGGGGGGGAAGGCCTGGGCTTGCTCGCTGAGCCGCCGAAGTTCCTTCTCGGAGACGAACGTAGCCATGTTTTTAGGGGACACGAGAAACTAGTGCGTCTCTGTTCGGAGTCGATATCGAGGGAGGGCCGGTGACAGCTGACGGTCTGAGAGGAAACGGCGCGCTAGGACTCGTGGGGAAGACTAGAGAAGGAACTATGCGAGAGGGGAGGCGTTGCGGGAGGGGGAGAAAGCTTGATGGGGGAGACGAGGAACGAGGGAAATCCAGAGGGTACCACGGAAAGGGCAACGGGGATATTTATCCTGGAGTCGAAGGACAACACTGGTGACCCCAACTTTCCTTCCTCCCTACCTAGGCATTCCACCCAAGTGGAGGGGGGCTCACATGGGTTGATTGGGGAAAATCCTGCTGCACACTGTGCGTTTCACAAGCCTGAAAAAACCATTAGCCACGGGACCAGACATCATGATTGGCTTTTTTTGGCTTTTTCAAAGTAAGACGAGGTGCCACCAGGGTTCCTTCACGTGGGGTGATTATTGGGTCGTGCAAAAAGTAATTCCAACAGGTAATCAGTTAGCCTAGGTTATCCGCGCCGACCGCGGGATGCGGGATACCACCTCGAGCGAGGGGGGTTGCAAAAAATCCCAGGCCTGGCAGAGCGAGAGCCCGGGTGAAAAAAAAAAAGTGCGCGCCATCGTGGACTGATGTCAACAAGAAAATCGGCGGTAGTGTCTGATGTCGGGAGAATGTGGAGAAGGGCACGCGGCTCTGTCAAATGCTCGGCGGTGCGGTGTTCCCTGCTGTTCCCTGCCTCTAGGCCCTCGCGGCCTCGGGCCTGGGGAGCTCATGATTGGCTCACCGGCAATGGCTCGAGGATATGTCGGAAGCTATCATGATGACGGTCGGGCCATGCCTTCTCAGGAACACAGATTGCGGGGTGCGGGGAACCCCTTCCTCGGTCACAATCGTCACAATCGCCACAGCCTAGCGGTGATGTCCGTGTCGTTGAATCGCCTTACGCATTCATTGTGGCTGTTTGTATGCCCGTGTCTAACCGGCCGCTAACTAGACTGTTTCATTCTCTGGTCTCTTCCGGTCGTTGACGAGGTTCTGGATTTTGACTGCCGCGGCCGTCGAAGTGAAAGATTCCTTGACAGTCTTGCAGTAATTGCTGTTAAGTTATATCTATAAATGTACTCTACCTGTCGTAAATATCTACCTATATATTTACATGCATCAGAGAACTATTTGGCCGGCTAGCCTGCTTAATAGACTAGGACAGTGGGTTTTCAACATCGTGAGGCTAGCCGCCCCTTCGAGGCCTGTCAGACAACAAACAGCCCTTGCATGCCAGTCTGGTTAAATGCGGTTGCTAGTGGTCCAAGCAGGACACAGGGTCACGCGCCAATGCTTCTAGGGCTGGTCGTATACCTAAGAGGTATCCCGGCCTGTTATCTTCTGCCTCCCTACGGACGTAGTCTGTACGGTCCTCCGTGACAGACATCTCATCCCATGCTGCCAATAGAGGACGCTAGTCAGCTTGGGACGGCCCGTGTCGCATATATTGCCAACTAACCAGAAAAAAAAGGGAGAAACTGCAGTTGAACTCTGCGGGAGCTAAAACTCTTCCTTGTGGCAACTGCATACCTCCCAAGGTGAGCCTGCATGCGAGGTGAGGGATAGCGATCTGTACCAAGGTGCAGATAAGTACCTCTGGCTCGACGGGACCGCTCAGATACTTGTGTCCACCAGGCGAGTGCAGCTGGAGGGAAGAACGGCAACCCATGCCCGAGACTAGGTAATCTTAATCGGAAGCCTGGCCGGCAAGACGGATCAGCAGTAACAGTGTCAAGTTCCGAAGCACAAATTCAGCATGGGGGCCTGAGACCTGCTGCAACAGCTCTATACTGGAAATATGCCGGTCGAAGATCCTGGTTCGGGCCAGGGCGTTGGCCATGATTCAGGCAGTTGACGTGTGTGGTCGAGGTGTGCACGAGAGTCTGGTCCCTGCTTGGTCAGCGGGCCCTGTCCACCCTCCCAGTCCACCCGTCGGTCGGCTTTGGCTTGGATGGCATCCGGCTTCCAGCCTGAAGGCTAAAGGACTTGTTGGTGATGGTTCTTCAGACTGCAGATTCCGTCTCAAGGCATGTCGGCACAACTGAGAGAGGAGCGAGGGCGGGGGCCAGATCCTTCCAGAATGTCCCTCCGCGCCCCCCTCAAGGGACACACGCACACCCCTCAAGCCCGTCGGGTGATCTCATGGCCGCCCCCGACGTTGCCATGTCAATTAGGCAAGTCACCGGACCGAGAAGAGTCCTATCATAGGCCCCCTCGTCATGCCTTCCTAGGACGGTGGATCCAACAGGTCAGGCAAGGTCCAGTAGGTAGTGCCACTTCAGCATATACTGTCTGCAGCGGCAGTGCATCTCATTAATCCGGATGTAGTCTGCCTCGCCGAGTGTTATCGTGGCCATGATGACTCTGTTGAAGATGGAGGCTTGTGGGGTCGTTGTACCGGTTGCATTGGGTTCAAGCCACAGCGGTAATCGCTACCGGCGCCTAAGGCGAGCACATGATTTGTGCAGGCGGCGCCCACACTCCGCTTAGGCTGGCAAGTGCGCGGCCATCACGCAGTGTAAGGATGTGGATGGTAAAATATTGGTCTCCGACTCGGTGGGATATGCAAGACGTTTGTCGGGGCCATGGGACACCTATCATTTCGCGCGTAGTTGCACCGGTAGGATCTGAACGATCTGTGATGAAAGATTAGGAACACTGAAGCGAAATGATGCATAGTTTTAACGTAAGAGCGGATATTGGAGAGCACCAAGAGCGAAGACCTTCTTACTGTGAAGGTGTGTTGTAAGGTTGCAGAATATCAGTTGTGTGAAGACAGTCAATATTGCTGCACGGAACCTTGGCGTAGGTTTCATTAGGCAGGGCAAGGATCTCATGGATCTCGTGGATCTCAAAGCGTCCAGGCCTATTTCATATCCGGCATATGCTCCAAGGTCAAGGTCAAAAGACCGTTGAGTTTGTTGCAGCGGTGTGCAAGGATTCCGAAGATGCTGATTGTTATCAAAAATTCCAAGTTCATTCTATCGAAATCAGAGTGCCTTTCGTAGGTCCCTTGGGGGGGAAGTACGGGACCGAGTGCTCAATTCCTGGCAGGCAATGGAACGAGTCTGTCATGACAAGGATTCGCGAGTCCGAGCGGTCGGGAAGCGATTGTTGGACGAGCGACTGCGGCAGGTACCTCTCAGGGTGGAAGGCGAGAGCCAACAGGCTGGGGTGGGAAATCACTTGAATGATTGCATCTGTGAGCATCTGGGGGGCAAGTCCGGGACCAAACCGTTGGTTGAGCAAAGGGGGAAAGGAGGCATCATCCGGGTAAAGTTGTATCAGTGATCTCATCGTGCTTCGACTTTGGACCCCAGGCCGCAAGTAGGGGCAAAGACAAGGCTGGATAGCAGGCAGCAGGCCGGCTTTTGTGGCAGCATTGAGGCTGGGAGTGCATTGTAAGCCACCCCAAGGCTGCAATCGCGATCTTGAGATAGTATCATGGGCAAATCCGTAAACGTTGGTGGTAACTCGACAAACAATTGACGGCGATGCAACTTCTTCCGGTCATGGAAGATTTGCAGTTATCCACGATCCTGCCCTAAAAGTTTCGGGGGGGGAGGGCCAACCAACAAACAAACAGACAAGGGCCCCTGAACCTCATGCAAGGACCTCCTGAGCTGCAGGTCGCAACTTCCCTGGGGGGCCGAAGTTGTGCGCTAATAATGGCAGACAGATTTTCACTAGTGAGACCTCTCCTCCCTAATCTGTACCTCTTTTGGCTGCTTGCGATGGAAACAACGATCAGATGAACCAGGGTTAAGGTTAAGACAGTTCAGCCAATTACGTTTGCATTGATGGGGCGTTAAGCTAACGAGATTCCACAGCTCCACTCATCGGAGGTTGAACCTTGGAGGAACCATCAGAACCGCAAAATACATGGGTTTTTTTATTTTATTGTTCGCATCGGCCACCTTCGTGAATAAGGAATTTCGCACCCACTGAGATGTCCGGGGTCGCCTCTCCAGTGTACCCACTTAGCAATGACCAAGGGTTGGGCCCCCAGCCTGGCCGCAGAGACCATCTCGCGCATGCCATCTTGCGGCGGTTGTTGGTTAACTCTGGGCTGTTTGGGACTCTGGGAGACGCCCAACAAGCGAGGACATACTACCCTCCGTGACGCACAATACGAACAACCAGAGACCTATCAGGGATCAGTGATCAGTGATCGGTGACGGAGACTTTTGATGACAGTGGACGAGATACCTAGCCTACCCAGTGGTCCGTGGTGTCCTGTGGTCTGTGGTCTGTGGAGAAAGGCTTGCCAGGATACACAGTCCGGATCACCTTCCGCTCCATTATGCGCTTGCCAGGTTACAACTGTACCCGTCACTGAATGGCACTTGTCTGGCGGCTGCAGTGACAGGTTACTAGGGCCCCCCAAGTCACTTCCACGCATGGTCACACAGCAAAAGAGAAGCTTGGCTTGAGGAACACATGGCTAAAGGGCAGGGACAAGAACAGGAACAAGACTAAAAGCTGGAAGAACAAGATCAGGGAAGCTTGACCCGGCCACCACTCCATTCGCCGGAAGGGGGGGACACATTCTTACTCTGGCAATCGATAGGCGCAGGGATCATCCCGTACCTGCCTCAATATCCCCCCCACCCAGGCTAGCCCATCTAGACATAGATCCCCCTGATCGCGACTGATGATGTTCCTACTACCCCGTAAATGCGTGGTGAAGAGGAGTCTCTTTTGCGCCACAACCTCCACTTCCCTCAAACGGCGAGTCTTGGGAAGCGTGCAACATCCCTAGAGGTACGCTAAGGCGCACGTCGCGGATGTGGAGGTGGCCAGAGAGACATGCCCCCCGATTCCCCCCTTTGAACGTAGTGGCTTGACCTACTGGCCGCCACGAATCGGATTTTGTATTCGAGAACGCCCACCCATGACAAGTGGATGCGGCACGCTGGACAGTGGACACACAAAGTGCCCGACGGTCTCCCCGTCTTTCCAACTTTCCCCTTCCAGTCCTCACAATCTTCTAGGCATTCGAGCCCTATGGTCGGCGAACGGCCACGCACGCAGACAAAGACCCAGTTGGAGGACCACCCTTAGCTAGGGGAGGGGCTCCCAAGGTAACTTTCGTGCATACTCGCCGTACGGAATACATTCCGGCTCAAGGCTTCCTCCACTGGCTAGCCCGCGACCCATGTGAGGCATCGATCTCTCTCCCCCTGGGGACTGCCATTGACATCGCTCACCTTCATTTGGACTTATCTGCCTCTGCACCCTCTACATCGCAGCGGCATGCCCCGAACCCCACTCGCGCTTGTTCTGGGCGAGTGGGTAGGCTGCCTGTTTGAATGATTCATCACGGTAATTACCTCGCATGGCGGCCGTTTTGACACCACCATCGTTGGAGCAGGGGTCCGTCTTCCATACCCTAACCTGCTTCCCGGACGTATGTTCGACATTTGACTAGTCCTTGCGTCTGCGGCCCGCCCTCCATGTACCTGGACGGCGTGAGGTACATTTCTCTACAATTGACACACAAACTCCAACAACTGCTCAGGTTGCACACCATGACTGCCTTCCCAAAGGTGCCGGCCCTCGACTGACAACCAACGGGGCCATCCAACGTGGGCAGGGCACTCACTCGCAGCGGCAAATCTCGACAACCAACAAACATTTCGCGGAGTCATCTGGGTCCTGGCCGAGAACCACCCACCTTCCGCGGTGCACATGATAACAGCAACGCAATAAGGGTAGAGAGTAAACGGCAAACAACTTTCTGCCTTTTCGCGGGCTGTTCGCCATGCACCAATAGGCTGCCGCACACGAACGTGTGACCAAGGATATAAAGGTCCACGATCGATCCGATTTCGAGTTTGCCCAAGCAGGCTGCAGACTCCCCCCTCCCATCTCGATTTCCCACCAGCACATCAGAACCTGCGCAAGGACAACGCACAACCGCATCCTTTGAGCAAGCACTCTTATATTTTCCGCTACTGTCGCCTTGCGCCCAGTCTCTGCGTCCGTCCATCTCTTGACTTCCTGCTTGGTCCTTAACCCAGCTCGACGCTTCAGATATCAGAGGACCAACTCAGAATCGCGAAACCCTCGAAGTCGCATCCGCAGAAGCAACACACATCATCATGTGTCACTACAGCACTTACGTCTACACCTGTGGCTGCACTGGCGAGTCCTTCTTCGTCGAGTGTTCAGCGAAAAAGGCGAACAAGAAAGGCAAATGCCCGAACGGCCCGCCCCGGCACGAGGAAAACTCTCTCCCTTTCCGCTGCTCTCGGCACTCTCAGGGGTAAGCGCCGCCCGAGCGTCCACAACCAAGCCGAGCTAACGTCTCGCAGGAGATATCGCTGACGAGCCGCGAACCTGCCGTTTATGTTCTGCTCCCTGGGGCGGGCGATCGTTCGATCGGCTTGCGGGGATGGGCGGCTTCCCCTCGGCCACATCCGTCCTAGATCTAGGACCGCGCCTCTCATCCTGCCATCGAAGAGGGGGGGAGGGCGGCGAAGTCAGTTGGGGGTGTAAAAGGGGGATCCTTACAAGGAGAGTTGGGCTGACATTGTGGTTCCAGAGTGGGATTGTTGCGGTGGATTCGTTTTTCTGGTAATGAGGTCGAATTCGTGGTACTATTTTTGAGCATCTTGCTATTCTTTCTGTCCTTACTGGAGGCCTGAGTGGCCAATCATTTATTCAATTCGATTCAAGAACCCTTTTCTACTAGGAGTACTGTTACTATATCCAAGGGCGAGCTGAAGGGCGAGTTGTCTGGCAATCTCTAGAAGGGCTAGGAAGCCGGTACAAAGTGACTTGATTCACGAATAGCGAACGGGTTTGTCCGTTCCCAGGGTGAATACCCCCTTTCCGGCAGTGACTGCAACCAGGTCCGCACCAACAGCCATCTTACACCAGTTGGCGGAGTGCAGGGCAGGTAGCCCGACCTGCCAGGGCGGACCAATGGGCGCTCCGAAGCCCCTAGCCAGGGCCGAAAGTGATTATATGGGGTCCCCATCGATCTCCTCCGCCCACACCAGCACGGAGAATCCTATGACATCAAGCGGGAATGGTGGGGTGCTGGGGACCAGGAACCGAAACGTGCTGGGTATTGGACAAAAGGGCGAAGTTGGGAAAATAGGGGGGGTAGAGGTTGGTGAGGCGAAGATCCCCCCCCCCGGTTGTGTCACACACACACACACACAGAGAGGCAATTTATGTCTTCTCGGGATGGTGGTGGGCTTCTGCATCCTTGCTGTCAGACCTGTCAAGTGGTTCCCGGCCCGGGACGCAACGTTGGACAACATTACGCAGGGCCAGGAAGATAAAGTCGGCCCTACATGGAGGTTGCAAGCTCCCGCGGCAACAACGGGCCCGTCCGTCCCCGCGACGACCGGGTGCATCGCTTCCTTGCTGTTGTTTGATAGGGACACCCGCCCACGACCAACCAACGGGCGATAATTTTGTAGGGTTGAACTTATTTCTTGGAAAACGGCTCACTACCGGGACCAATTCCGTTTCCCCACCCGTTCCAGTTTCACGACCCACACTTCTCCCACCCAAATCCCCAGAGCCAACCCAAAGTTTGATGGCTGCCGAAAAATCAGGACACTCTCGTTTTGAACATCTCGATCCTCACTCTCTACCTTTCCCGTGCGCTGCCAATTCCTTGTGGCAGTTAGCAGGCTCTGAACCATTCTAGAGGCTGAGCGCCTGTCGTTAACATGTGCATCCGCATGGCGAATCTATCATGTGATGAGAGTCAAGGCGCGCCCGAGAAACAGCCTGCGAACATGCAAGGTGGGGCTCAGCTACAGCCCAGCCGACCGTTTTGACGGCCTGGCCAGGCGCTTCCGCTATTGCGCCTTGTCCACTAACAACCTAGGTATATTTCCTTCCCCCCCAAAAAAGAACATACATATGAGAAACGAAGGACAAAACCAAAACGCCTCGGACCACTTGTTGATTACCAACAGCATCCAAGGAAATAAAGACCCCTGTGCTCAATCGGGAGGTAGAATACGAGGAGTTGGTCATACCCCCTACCTGCCTGCTCCTAGTTCCTTTCCTGCGACCTTCCTGCGATCCCGTCACGGCCCGTCCTGCATGATCGCCAGCGAACAACCACTCACCCTCCACGGGGTAGCCGCCAGCCTTCCCCACATGATTTGCCCTACTCATATCTGTGTCCGTGGTTCTCTCCCCTCCCTCTCCGGACTGCCAACCCCTCCCCCCCCCCACCCCCCGGCGGATGGGTGGCCAGATAACCAGCCGGATTGATGCGTTGGACATGTGCAACGACTTGCATGTGCCCGACGTGCACAAGGTCGACCGTGGCGGGCGGGGGAGAAGGGATACACGTAACGCACAGATGCAACCTTGTCCTCTCTGGGGGAACGTGCCTCACCGCGCTTCGTTGAAGCTGCGTTGGCACATCTACTAGTGTAGATCCTCCCCCTTGGCCGTACCGGCCTAGCGGGGGTTCTGGACCGCCCCCGGAGCCCCCCTCGCATATCCGGGTTATTGGACCCAATATGGGACTGGCGTGTCAGGCCGAGGAGCATCCGTTGGGAAAGAATGTGATCCCATGATCGTCGTTGGTTGTGGAACGAGGTCCTCATGCTTCTTGCTAAACTAACATGACTCCATCAGTGCGCGGTTCGGCCACATTGCATCTAGGCGGCTTGTCCGTGCCGTGGCCATCATACATTGCGGTTATTTATTGGGAGGGAAAGCCAGGTTGTGAGAGGCTTGTGCTTGACCATCTACGTTGTGTTAGTGGTCCCTGTGGGAGATGAGAAGCGCGGAGGCACATTGTAACCGTAACTGCCCCGCCGACATAGCCTTGGGGGTGCCGTCAGCCGCATGTTCAACATAGAGTAAGTTTGTCCGTGCCAAGTTTCCTGAGAACCCATCTTAAGAGCCAGAAATGATTCGGGTGATTCTGTCCTGCGAAAGAAATGAAAAGAACCCCTGCCGCGTTCGCAAAACCACCTATTGCGGACGCGGCTTACACCTGAGCGTCGCGACACTTCTGGGATTGGCTCACACCCGACACGGCTCGGCACATCGCCCAGCCGCCAGAGGCAACCACTCGCCAAGCTTGGCCACCCACCCTGCTGCACTAAGTACCGCGATACGTCGTGATACAAGCGACATGGTGCAGCATCGGGTGGGTCCTCGCACATTTTGACAGGTTCGATTCAGCCTATTGCGGCTCAGGAACGCCTAGCTCAGGTCTAATAGGCGCCTAAACGTCTAACGCGCGTTACCTCGCAATTTTAAGCGCAGCCAGATTTAGGTCGCCTGGCCAATCCGCGGCCACCGTGGTTCAACTGACAAAACCCCATTCGCTGAACCGCACCATGACGGCACGAGGTGGCTAACAGATCACGTAAAATATTGTGAATAGTCCACCCCAAAACAGGCAGAAGCGAGATTCCTCCTGCGTCAATAAGTGCCATACTGACCCAAGACTGGTTCGTTGTACGAAGGAAAAGGAGAGTGAGGGGGAAATTTGAACAGGGCGCAAGCCATTGCACGATCACCTAGCCCCATAGGCCGGGTGGCCTCGAACATCACGGCCACCCGGCCACCTGCCCGCCCCAACAACGCCTCATCTCCCCTTTCCCCCCTGCCCCTGACCTCTCAAGCGTATCCCGGCTTCGCCGCCAACGAGATGATCCCCCCCCCCAAACACAGAACACGCAGCCTAGATATTCCGCCGCGCCTTTTGCGGTAGAGAGCCTGTGCCCCCGCTGAACTCCGTCCCCTCCATTCCCTCGTAATTTGGGCTTTGAACCCCCCTTCGACTCGTGTGTTGTGTATATCACGGCTGGACAGCCCCGGGGGGGATAGGTTAAGGGATATCTAGCAGACCAAGAATCCTTCCCCGAGTCAAAAGAGTCACGGACGGGAAGGGGAAGGGGAGGAGTCACAGTTGCCATACTGGCAAGGGGAACGGGCAGTCTGATCAGTTAGTTGCCTCCCGAGGTTCCGTAAAGAGACATGCGCACACTCGACAATGCGATGGATGATGGGATGGCCTCACAATTTCGTTTCAGTCGTAAAGACGTTGTAATTCATTTTGATTTGCCAGTCTGGATACGAGACCAAGGCACGCAAGCCTCTGAATGACTCCTTCGCCCTAATTTACACAAATCATTACAACCCTCCCGGCTGCCCCTGTGTGCGCTGCTAAATGCCAATCAACTTTCAACTTGCTTTCATCGTCTTTCCCCCTCCCTCCCCCCTTTTTTTTGGTTGGTTCTGATAATGAGGCGCCGCTCCCCCCTTTTCCCGTCAGGTTCAAGGAAGGAGTCCTTCCACGTAAGTGCCATGTCTATTTTAGGCAGACTCGGTTCGCGAATATCAGGAGACAGGGAAGCCAAAAAAGAAAGAAACCGATTAAAAAAATACCCCTTTACACGTTCGCCTTTGGGGAAGACATCCTGATGCCGTGCCGCTATGCGCCAGCCCAAGACATTAATCATTGGTAGGCGAGGTTGGGGAGCTAGGGGTCAGGATGTTAGCAGGTGGTTGCAGGAATAGTGGCCGGCTGGCATTGTACTTACTACTGGTCATTCGTTGCTCCGCCAGACGCACCTCTACCCGGCGAGCGCGGGGAGAAAGATGGCGACGTCGGGGAGTATCCAGGGCTGGTTGGAGAATGCTGGGCAGGCGAGCGTTGGAAGGTCGGACTGGTCGGCGAATACGCCTCTGGGGACGTTGGCGACCAGGTAGGCGACGCAGGCGAGTACGAGGGTGAAGTCGCATGTAGGTTGGGAGACGCCGGGCTGTAATTAGGGCTCGACGGCGAGTAGGAAGGCGAGGTTGGCGAGCTGAACTGAGCCGGCGAGGTGGGGGAATAATGCCTCGCCGCAGATGGCGATCCAGGCGAGTAGCTGGGAGACGTCGGGCTGTAGTTGGGGCTAGCCGGGCTGGTCGGTCGCATCATTGGAGACGTAGGAGAGAATGAGGGCGACGATGGGCTGAACTGCGGAGACGAGGCGTAGCGACCACCAGCGTCAATGAGAGGAGACGTCGGCGAGTAGCCTGCAGCAGGTGAAGAGGGCGAATATCCACCGTAGCCACTGCTGAAGGGCGACGTTGGCGACGTGCTGAAGGGACTGGTTGGGCGCGGGCTGGTCGCGGACGCGTAGGGGTTGACTGTGCTGGAGCCAAACCCACCACCGTATTCTGTAGCGAAGCCGGCGGGTGTCTCTGACCCGGCACCGACAATTGGGGAGAAGTTGCCGAGGGCAGGAGAGGCCATGCCCATATAGCCATTCTCTGCCATGGGCGAGCCCGTGTCGTACGGAGTGGCGGATCCCTCGAGCTGGGTGCCCTTGATTGTCATGCCGGGCATCAGTCCCATTCGGGAGTTGTCGGAGATGACCGTCTCGAGCATCTTTGGATCGAGGACGACATCGAAATGGCCCGTGCCCATGGGAGCTGCCTGGCCAAGCATGATGTTTTCCGAGACACCTCGGCAGTCATCAAGCTCGCCCATGGCAGCGGCCTCGAGCAGGATTTCGACCGTCTCCTCGAAGGAACACCTCATGAGAGCACCAGTGTCCGCCCTGTTGATACCATGGCGGGTCACGGCGGCAATGCTGCCTCGGTAGGTCATAATATCAACCAGGAGCGCGAGATGTCGGTGGTTGACGTAGGAACCGTCGAAAGCCAAAACCTGGGTGAGCTCGCGCATCAAGGCGGATCGCGCAGCTTCGATGCCGAAGACCTCGACGATCTGCCACAGATCGTTGGTGTAGGTTCGGGAAGCATCGACGCCTTCCACCGTCAAGACTTCGCGCATGGCTGTGCCCTGGGTATCGAGGTACCACTCTTGACACCTGGCGTCATTCTTGTCGGCTATCAATGCGCCATCCTCCGTCTCAACAAGCCTGGTTCCCTTGTTCAAGAAAGCCCTCTCGATGCCCTCAACGCCTCGGAGAGTACAGCTATCGAGAAGATGCTTCTCGAGACGCTTGAGCATAACATCGTCCTCGATGGTCTTGCTGCCGTCATCGTTTTTGTCGTCATCCTGCTTGATAACCCGAATACGGATGACCATCTCCTCGGCGTTGTTATCGCTGAAGACAACGGCAAGATCCGACTTGTAGAGCTCCTTGATACGGTGAGCGACATCCTCCACCCGGAGCTCCTTGTCAAGCATCTTCTGACGATCCAACGTGAGACGCAGCAGCCACCTGGACTGGTGATCCGGCGTATCATGGTGCTCGTCTGGGATGAGGAAGTAGGATTCGACAATGTCGATATCTTCGGGGATATTGGTCGACGTGATGTCCGGATCATAGTAGATCTCGGTGATGGCAGTGACCGAGCGGAGGCTGGTGTGCTCGACGGCGCTTCGCATCCCCTTGGCCTCTTCTTGGGTTGCGTTCTCGCTGTCGAGGTAGACGACCATGGACGGAGTCTTGATATCCTTGGCGACATTGAGAATCTCCTTGAGACGGGGCACACCGAGAGTGACGTTCTTGGAAGACACACCGGCGAAATGGAACGTGTTCAGCGTCATCTGGGTGGCGGGCTCTCCGATGGACTGAGCTGCCAAAACTCCCACCATCTCGCCAGGAGATACCATGGCTCTCGCCCAGCGACTCTCCACCTCTCCGATGATGTGCTCAAACGCGAGCTTGTTAAGGCGCTGCTGAACAGCAAGGCGCTTGAAAGCCAGTCGCGAGCGAATCTGGGCTTTGATAAGGATGGTGGCGTTGTAATCGGCTTCTTTGGAGATCGGGTCCCCACCCCGGACAACCGTCATCCGGTCCGTCAGACTTTGCACGGCTGGTATGACATCCTTGGGGGTCAAGTCGCTCCGCTGGGTATCATCGAGCTTAAACAGCTTCTTGGCCGTGTCGATGATGCGGACAACATTCAAGGGGAGTTGCATCATCTCTTCATCCTTCTTTCGGGCGTTGATGTCTCGGACGAGCTTACGGTCTGAGACCAGCTGGTCGTACTCGGCATCGAGGAGTTCCTGCACCATGGGGTCACTGGTCAACTCCTTCCCATACTCCAACATCTCAAGGGCAGATGCGGAGGTCGACTCGTCCATGACGTCAAGGCGGTAACGGTCATCAAAAGCCCCGGCAGACATGTTTAGATGGTCGACGCGCTGTTTCTCGATGTGAACGCCGTCGAGACCGTCCTCGCCGTAGACGAACTGAATGATATCTCCCAGGGAGTTACGAACGGTGCCGTCGTACTTGGCGCTGACGTCCTCCAGGGCCTTGACAAGCCGACGCTGGATGTAACCCGTCTCTGCCGTCTTGACGGCAGTGTCGATCAGACCCTCACGACCAGCCATGGCGTGGAAGAAGAACTCGCTCGGTGTCAAACCACGCAGGTACGAGTTTTCGACGAAGCCGCGAGCCTCGGGCGAGTAATCGTCCTTGGTGAAATGGGGAAGAGTCCGGTATTTGAATCCGAACGGAATACGCTTGCCCTCGACAATCTGTTGGCCGACCAAGGCAGTCATCTGTGAGATGTTGATGGACGAACCCTTGGATCCGGAACGTGCCATGGTGACCGCATTGTTGAGATCCTTCAAACTCTTCTCCGTCGTCGTACCGGCCTTATCACGGGCCGTGTTTAGAGCCTTTGACACCTTGTTTTCAAATGTCTCTCGGATGTTCATGCCTGGCAACGCTTCAAGCTCATTATTAGTGGCCATCCGCGTGAGTTCTCGAACCTCCTCCTTCTCCGTGTCGATGTGCTCTTGAACCTTCTCGATGGTCTGGGCATCAGGAATAGTATCGCCGATGCCGATGCTGAAGCCATTGTGGAGAAGCCAGTAGTTGACCACGCGCTGGCAACCATTCAGGAAGTCCATCGCTCCTTGAGGTCCTATCTCATTGAAGCAGATGTGAATGATACCTCCGCCCGTGGCACCGACGTTCTTCTTGGACAACAAGCCGTACATGAGCTCGCCCGTTTGGATGAGCACCCCTTCATCGTTAATGGGGTTGTCAACCTTCGCGTCGTTGCCCATGTGAAGGCTCACGATTTTGGGAATAATCATGCTAATAATCTGTTTTCCGGTCCACCGAGGTCGCGGCTTGACGATCGCCGGCAATGGGATAATGCCGTCCCATTCGGGAACCCAAAGCATGAGATTCATCACTTCCTCCTTGGTAATGAAGACGTCTCGTCTACAAAGCTTGTAGACGCCGGCAAGAGTATCTTGCACGATACCCATTAGAGGTCCATTCCGCTGCGGAGAGACGATGTTGAGAGGAACCATGCACAGCTCCTTGATCTCGGCTCGGGTTTCCTCGGTCTGAGGAACGTGGAGATTCATTTCGTCACCGTCGAAATCGGCATTGTACGGTGAGGTGACGGAAAGGTTCAACCGGAAGGTCGAGTATGGCATGACACGGACTCGGTGACCCATCATGGACTCCTTGTGCAAGGAAGGCTGACGGTTGAAGACGATGTAGTCGCCATCGATCAAGTGGCGCTCGACTTTCCATCCGTACTCCAGCTGGATCTGGCCTGCTCGGCGGTGATGACGAAGGTCGATGCGAGTGCCATCAGCACGAACGACGTACTTGGCACCTGGGTGTTCGTTCGGGCCGTTCTGAACGAGCTGGGTGAGCTTGCCAATGTTGTAGGGCGTCACTGTCTCGGGGTAGGTCAAGGTGCGTGCAATGCTGCGAGGCACACCGACTTCATCAAGCGAAATGTTGGCGTCGCCAGTAATGACAGTTCGAGCCGAGAAGTCGACACGCTTTCCCATCAAGTTGCCTCTCAGGCGACCCTCCTTGCCCTTCAGGCGGCCACGAATGGCCTTGACGGGGCGCCCGCTCTTTTGCAACGCCTGAGGTTGACCAGCGATATCATTGTCCATGTAGGTTGCGACGTGATATTGAAGGAGATTCTCGAAGTCTGTCACGATGTGCTGGGGAGCACCTTCCGCAATGGCTTGCCTAACGTTTCCATTCGCACGAAGGATGTCGCCGAGCTTGTACGTCAGATCGTCTTCATTTCGCATGCCTTGCCCAGTGCCATCCATCGAAATACTCGGCCGAACCGGGGGCGGGGGGACAGGAAGGACGGTGATGATCATCCATTCCGGGCGAGCATACTCGAGGTTTAGGCCGATATCGTAGAGGTCCGCGTCGGTGATACGGCGGAGGATGTTGTGGGCCATATCGGGGTTAATCGGCTTCTTGTCCTTTGTCTTGCCACCCTCCTCCTGTTTGACGTCAAACGTCGCGAAAAGCTGAAGGGCCGACTGACGGACAGCTGGCTGAATATTTCCGCAACCGCCGTGACTAGCAGCGGGCTTTGATGGATTACTGCCGGGATCGAATTCCCCATCATCTTCCTTCTTGGCAACCTCATTCTCGCATCGCTTCTTCTTCTTGCAGACATTCCAGACGCGATTGAATCGAAGCTTTGGATCTCTCGTGTTCACCGCAGCGAGAAACTCGGGATCACTCTAAGGTCTGGGATTAGCATCGAAGTTGGTCATATTAGCGCATAGCATAGCAACTAACCCTGTCAGCCAACACCTTGCTGCAATTATGGCAGACGATCTCGAGGATCTTTTTGACTCTCTTGATGAAGCCAGGGTGGTAGACAGGCTTTGCCAGCTCGATGTGGCCAAAGTGGCCAGGGCATTCGGACATGTTCTCAGTACACGTCTTGCACTTGAACTGCCGGTCAACGGAACCAAGCATAGGGTCGTTGAGGCCTTGATCGCGAGGCTTTGTTCGGGTCTCATCCATAGTCTCAGGATAGACGATGTGCGCAACGCTCATGCTCTTGATCTCCTCGGGAGAAAGCAGCCCGAACTGAATCTCCTGGATGATCTTGAGAGGCGCACCAGAGTGCGGGAAGTACAGGTTCGCCATCTTGTCGTGTGACGTTGATTACGGTGTTGGGAAAACTTGGGGGAAAGGGTTGTGGGAGGGCAGAGTTTGAAATCGGTGCGCAGAAGGTGAGATCTGGCTGACGAGCAGAGTTTTGCGATTCCCGGCCGAGCAAACCTTATCGAGGCCCAGAGAAAACGTCGCAGAAGGTAAATCTACGACAGGATTAATAGGCGCGTCGATGCGAAATGCGTCCTCCGATGGATCTGTCGATGGTGCCGATCGGTGATGTCCTCCAGGCTCAACCCAGGCCTGCGGCCCCGAAGGAGCGACTCTTCAATTTCGTCCTCTCTCCAGTGTCGCCTACTGCTCAGACGCGACTCGATTTAAAAAAGGCCGTTTATTCGCTCGAAAATCGTGTCGGGAGGCCGCGAGCGACTGAAATGCGCGGATTCCGACGCGCTTTGCGGGTGTTGGTAGGTGTGTTGTTTGGTGATGAATCGTTTGAGGGCAGAGGCGAGACTGAACGGGGTTGAAAAGTTCGAAGGCTGAGGACCCGGAAATACGCTAGTCCTATTTAGTAAGCAATTCACAGCCAGGACATTCCCAAGTAGTGAGTACTTCAATATACCCCGTACTTATGCAGCTCTACATAGATCCACACAGGAACCATGCCAATTTTACCGATTGCAAAGCTACGTCTTGTATCCTACAAGTATACATACGCCCTCTACCCTTAAAACCCCTTTACGCCTCATCCGTCGCCGGTGACTCAACCACAATTTGCACCATCGCGATTCCAGCTTGATATGCGCCAACCATTTTTATCTCGCGGCTTTTGACGGTATTTTTACGCTGTAGCTCCCTACAGGAACGGCTAGCGCACTACCTACTCTCATAATTGGCAGCGATGCGGCATTCTTCGAAACTTGGTGGGCTTCAAGCCCTTTGTTGGGTATCTCTGGGCTGTGGAGCGAGCATCACTTCTTTCTTCCCCTCCCTCTCCCTCCACCTGCAGCGGGCTTTTTGCCACCCCTCTCCTCTCCCGCCGCCTCGGCATCTTCTTGATCTCCGGGGCTCTTACGCCTCAAGGTGCCGAGTGATACGTTCACAAATTCCTCCTCGCTATCTGACTCGCCCAGGTCAAACAGTATAGGCATACGGAATGCATCCACGTCCTCCCCAAGCCCTCCGTTTGCGACAGTCAGGACATCGACGTCCTCATCTTCCTGGTCCAGTCTACGCTTCTGGATCTCCTCTTGGGGGTGAATGTCGAACTCGTCTTCCTTCTCGATATATTCCACGTTCTCCTCCACCTCGACAAAGTCGGGGGCGAGAGCGGACCAGCGCTGCGGACTTGTCACGGACCATATATTGATTCTCCCCGTCTCCAGGCCGCAAGCGGCTAAGAGCGCCTTGTGGGGATGCCATTCTATGACACCCTGCTCCTCCTTCGGCCCCTCGAGCATCCTTACCAAACTCCCGTGTCCGCGTTCCCAGATATATAACTCGTGGTTATTGTATGTGGAAGCCGCCACGTACTCTCCTGTTGAGCTGAACGCCACGTGGTTCCACGATAACCTGTTGACGACGTCTTGAAACTTGTGCTCCAGGGGTATCTGGATCGTGTCAGGGTCAAGATCTGCTGCCGATAAATCCGGAACCCGGAATGTCCTAATGATGCGGTCTTGGGCATTGACAAGCAAATCCTTGCCGGATTCTGTAAGACGTAGTGTTGTTACTATCCCGCCGCAGATCTTCTCGAAGTAGATGATCTCTCGGGTTTTCGCATCAATTATATTAAGCCGGCCCTTGTTGGTGCCCGCTAGAATGTGATCCCCAGCCGCCGTGTATATGATCGCTGTCGTCATATGCCGTGCGTCTTCTTTCGCATGCTTCTCCTTTAGCGCGGCGTCCGTCTCGACATTCGCTCGCTTGGGGACGGATGGTAGAACGTATCGCACATCGACGGGTTCGGTGATATCGACTAAGAGCGGCTGTTCCTCGAATAGAGCAACCGCAAACTGATGGCTGAAAGCTGTTAGGCTCCTTGCCTTTTGTTGAGGGCCAAGTTCAGGTACGGGACTTACGGGTTCCAGGGGTGAAGCTCCGCGCCGTAGACGGGGGCACGAAAGCGAACCTCGCGATATCGCGTGCCATCTTGAAGATCCCACAAAATGGCCTTCCAACCCTGACACGCGGAGAGCAGATACCTGCCGCATCGCGACCAGCTGAGCGAGGAAATGTTCTTAGAATGACCCCTGAGTTTGCGCGCGACGCCCATCGTCTCGAGGTCCCATATCACGACGGTACCGTCAACGCGCCCAGAGGCAAGGTAGTCGCCCTTGCGATTGAAGCGCACACATGTCGAATGCCCAGACCGTATAGTGTTGGTTATGTTCTCGGGGTAGTCTTGAAGGAGGTAATCGTCGGACAGGAGAAGATTCATTTTCGTGTTCGCGTCGAATTGCTGAGACAAGCAAATTCCCGCCTCGGCATTGGTGAACGTGATGTTGAAACTTTGGAAAGCTAGAGGTGCTTTGAGGCGCGATGTGGTTCTTCGATATGCTGTAAAGGGGGTTATCCCGTTATTCAGACCGAAACGATCCTGACAGTACTAGGATCCCAATATTATACGCACGTCATTGGTGTAATTTGACAGCCATATCCTTTACCAGCCCTTCGTTATTTCTGCACCTATCTGCCAGTAAAATCTGGTGTCAATACGACGTTCTTTCATCATGAAGGGGCAGGGTCTGTCCTTTACAAGTTGTTATGCAGTTATCAAGTCTAACTCACACCCCGCGGTGTGGCAGGTACCTGCGTACCACTTGGACAGCCAAGGTGGGGGTGGATCTCCAGCCGTGTAGTAGACCCCACTTCATCCGTGTAGTAGACCCCACTTCATCCGTGTTAGTGCGGCTCACCATGAGATTGGTGGACTTCAAGCTGCTGCAAGACTCTCAATTTTATGTACTTAATCAACTGGTTCAGCGTTGCGGAATATGGCCAACTCAAAGTAAAGGCTCTTTAGGATTAGCGATACAGGGATTCATGCTTACGTTTTGGGTACAGGTTCGAGTATGTCAGGCAGTTCGAGCAACTGGATACCTTGCTGCCCAACACATGGATCGTCGTGAGGATTGATGGCCGAGGTTTCACCAAGTAAGGTCTGGAGGTATGGGGTTAGATTTCTCCCAGTCTAAAACTTTTCTCCAGGTTCGCAAACAAGTATGCCTTCGAAAAACCAAATGACAAAAGGGCGCTGGAGCTCATGAACGCCGCGGCCAAGGCAGTCATGGCCGAGCTTCCAGACATCACAATCGGATATGGGATCAGCGACGAGTACAGGTGTGATTTACTTCTGAATACGGGGAGACAATTAATTTCTCTAACCCAAAGATCTGATATCTAGCTTCGTACTTCATAAGACCTGTACTCTCTTCGAGCGAAGAGCAAGGTACTTTACCAATCTGCTGTGTTTCGAAAGGGGGCTAACAGGCCACAAGTAAGCTCATTACAACCATAGTGTCGACATTCACCGGGTATTACATCCATTTCTGGCCGACCTACTTTCCAGATACACCACTATCTCCGCCGCTGCCAAGTTTTGACGGCCGCGCCGTCTGTTACCCCAGTGTCCAGAATCTGAGAGACTACATGAGCTGGAGACAAGTCGACTGTAAGAGGCTCGGGGTCAGAAAGGCCGCAATTTCTGCTAACGAAAGAAACAGGCCATATTAACAACCTCTACAACACGACCTTTTGGGCGCTCATCCAACTCGGCGGCCTAGATGCCAGGGAGGCAGAACAGACCCTTGCTGTGAGTTTAAATTTGCAGGGGCACCGCGGAGAGAAGTGAGCTAGCTGACTTATATAGGGGACTCTTGCTGCCGAGAAAAATGAGATCTTATTTTCTAGGTTCAAAATCAACTACAACAACGAGCCAGAAATGCTCAAGAAGGGAAGCGTTATCTTCAGGGGTGTGAGTATCAACCCCACCCGGTTAGACGGGGTAAAGGATGTTAATCAGACACAGTACGAGCTCGTCGAACCTGGGTCTCATAACGTGGCAGAGGATGTCGAGAACATTGCGGAACCCATCCAGCAGTCCAAGACGCAATTGGAGAGCGATAGGAAGAAGCGCGTAAAAGCTCAGATCACGGTTGAGCATCTCGACATCATCAAGGATGAGTTCTGGGATAGACGACCTTGGATATTATCGAACAAGCCCGGGAAAATCCCAAAGCAACCATAATGTGGCGAGCTCCCATTGCTCATTGCCTCGCAGCCTACATGCTCGAATCTAGATATGGTGACACATTATCTTCTAATGCTGAACCCCGGCCGCGCTATGTGGCTTTGTTTCGGGCTTTCCGAGAGACCTCAGACGTCCTTGACTGATCACGAGCCCGCAATCATCGGGATATAACCCGAACTTCGCTTAGTTTCCCTCTGCGATCGACTCTTCGGGGCTGGGATCGGGTTGCTTTGAAACTTGAGTGTACTCGCACGTTGGCCTGGGTGTTCACCCCCCAGCCGCTTTCCGTGCCTCCTTCGCTTGTTTCCGTGCTTCCTTCTCTTGTCGCTTCTTCCGCCTCGCCTCTTTCCTAGCTCGCCGCTCGGCTCTCTCGGCCTGTCGTTCAACCCTCCCGGCCCGCCGCTCAGCTCTCCTAACTCGTCGTTCCTCCTTAGTCTCGACGAGCAACTTGCGTGCCATTTTCTCGGACTCCTTGCGCTCCGCCTTCCCCAGCATCTTGGCTGCTTTTCTTGCCCTCCGCTCCTCCTTGGTTTCCTTCTTCAGCCCGCTCCGGAGACCGGGTACGGATTCCCGGTTCTGGCTGGTAGGCGTGGCATCGGTCGTCTCCTCAGCCGAGTCGGGAGTCATCGTCCCTTCCAACATCCCACCTCTTACAAAGGTTGCATACAGCGAGCTCGTGCCCGAGAACTTCCCATTGCCGGCAGTCACCAAGTCCAATGCGCCATTGGTCACCGACTGGACCACGCCTTTCCCGGAGGTGTCGAGGCCCTTTAGTTTCTGGTCAAAGGCATCGAGCCACCACTGGTCGCTCGTGAAGTGCTTTTTCTGGCCAATGCCGCGGCCATCGCTATTTCGGGAGAGCAGGAGCGGGTTCGCGAGCCCAATCGAGTTGTCGGTGGGGTGGAGGGAATGGCCCTTTCCCCTCCAACCTTGCGATTTGAGGAGTGCCGCGGCGTCCATGTATAATGGGCGAGGTTCGCCTTCTTTGGTGAACTATGCGATCCGTCTCATGATAACGGCGTGGGGAGCTCTCGTTGAGTTTAGCATTTTCTAGGTAGGTAGCTACGGAGTTCTCGACTTGTCAAAAATTTTGGCGGTGAATCGCGGCCAAGTGGGGCTCCCGCCAGGTACGTACCTTTGCGACAATATTTGGGGGCAAGGGTGGGGGGACTGAATGGAAGCCCCTGAATGTTCGAAATTCATGAGAAAACAAAAATAAAGAGAGGAGGAAAAGAGAATTGTTTGAGTATTGCGTCTTTGGGGCAATAACGGATAACCGAAGGAAAAGGGGCAACGCTGGAGTGGGAGGGAGAAATGACCCTTTTCAAATTCAAAGGCATATCCTTCGTCAACCGCGATGCTACCTACTCACAATTACGACCTGGAGGGACACTGGCTCAGCCTACGATGCTGTTGTAAATGAAGCGTGTTGCGCAATCCCAACAATAAATCACAGTAGTTGACTACCTCTACCTACCCAATCGATGCATCCCGGAGATAAGACTCAAGCCAAGAGAGACCGCCTCCGTGATTAAAGCATACATCAGACCTCCGAAAACCCCCCGCAGTGAAGACTCAGGCCGCCTTAAACTTCCAGATACCAGTGGGAGAAGACACGGGACCAGGAGTACCAATCGGAACCGAAACCGTCTCCGTAGCCAGCGGCAACGGGGCACGACCCACGTTCCCAGTCTGACCAAACACCCTCCCCATCAGGTCCCAGAGATAGAAGAGCCACGACAAGACGTCCCTCCACGCCACCGCCACCCAAGCAAGACCTCCCTCCACCAACCCCCGCGCCCTCGCCGCCTCCGCGCCAGCCACGCCCCCATCACCCCCGACACCACCCAGCAGCACCAGCACAGCAAAGACGAGCAACCCCGCCGCGACGACGGCGGCCGCCGCGGCCGCCGCAGCAGCAGCACCCAGTGCGAAGGGCCTCACGCGCCGCCTCCGCCGCGCCGCGCGCAGGCCGCGCACGTAGTCGGCCAGCTCCGGCACCGCCTCGGCGGCGTCGGCCTCGTCTCCCGTGACGCCGGCGTAGTAGACGACTCGGCTGCGCATGATGGACGAGACGGTCTCGCCCGCGCCCGGGCCGGGGTCCCCGTCCCCGTCGGGAAAAGAGGGGTCAGCTGCGGCGGGGTCGCCGACGGGGGTCCAGCGCTGGAGTTCGGGCCACTGGATTATCTGCACCTTGGCTAGGAGCCAGGGCTGGGCGGCGAGGTTGCCCTTGGTCTCGGCACCGGCGCCGTCTCCTTTCTGCATAGGGGCCGCCGCCGCCGCGGGCATCGCGGCAACCGCGGCGGCCTTGGAGGCCTCGTAGACGTCGTTGTCGACGTTGTCCTGGTCGAGCTCCCACTGCTGGCCCGGCAGCGGCGTGACGAAGCGGAAGATGGACCCGGACCAGCGGATGGCGATGGACAGGTACGCGGCCTCGGCGACGACGTGGTGCAGGTCCTGGTGGACGGCGCGCAGCGGGTTGGCGGCGCGGCTGCCGGCGAAATGCCGGTCCACGAGGTCGAGCGCCGGGAGCAGCAGGGCCAGGAGCTGCATCGTCAGCGCGTCGACGGCCGGCCAGAAGTTGGGCGTCACGATGTCGTCGCCCATGCAGGTGCGCACCGACAGGGCGCGCAGGTCGGTGCGGCGGTAGCCTTTGCGGGGTGTTAGCCTTGTCTGTGCATTTCGATCGCTGGAAAACTTGCGAGTGAGGGCTTGACTCACCTTCGGTCTCTATTGTGGCCTCGTCTTGGGCAGCGAGCATCTCCTCCTGCACCTTGTCGGCGCCGAAGAGCAGCTTGTCGAAGACGCTGATGCCCAGGACCTTGGCAATGACGCCGATCACCAGAGAATTGCGCGTGGCCTTGGACGTCAGGATTGCATCCCATCCACCGCGGTGCTTGTCCTGCCTCGCGATCGTGCCGGCGTAGTAGATGAACTCGTCCGAGAAGCCGTCGAGCCACGGTGACTCGCCCGGGACGGCTGGGATGTCCTCGAACTTGAAGTACTTGTTGGCAAAGTTCTGCACGCGTATGAAGAGGTCCATGTAGGCCATGTCGTACCATCCATCGGGGAGCTCCTCGTTTGGCCACTCCTTCGTGAAGCGCATCTGCGTCGGCCTCCATCCCCGCAGCGCCTTGAGCGTCCGACGCCGTCTGGTTGAGCCGGGCTCAGCCTGCGGGACCAGCCGGCTCTCTTCGATGCCGAGGATATCGAGCAGGTTGCGAGCATACTTGTTCTTTGGACCGACGGCGTATGCGGTCTCGTCAGGATTGTAGATCCTGGGTTTCTTGGTAAAGTTGTCCATCGTTGGGGAATTGCAGGTATTCCTCTCCGTGCTGTCCTGGGTTTCGTTCTCAGCGCCTGGCGTACCGGGAGAGGTTGGCCTTATGTAAAACGAGCGTGGGCTGTAGGTGGTGTTTCTTCCTTCCCCAGCCGGTGCGGGAAGATTCCCTCCTGGCAATGACAATGAAGTGCATTGCATTACGATGATGCTTGTGGCAGGAAACCATGAGTCGCATCCAGCCAGGGCTCTAGCAAGAACAATGAAAAGTTGGGAAAGTCATGCCCGCGAACGGCGTGTGAAAGAGACAAGAATCTAGCCAAGGGGAAAAACGCAGAGAGACGTGCGAGCTGCATGGCCAACAAAGAACGGTGAAATGAGAAGCAAATAGCTTTATATCGCATTCCAGAGAAGAAGTCCGCACCCAGTTCAAAGCCACGACAAAGCCTCATGGGTCCTGCATTCCTGACAGATCCAAGAACAGTAACAATCAAGGGGCGGGGATAGCATCCTGCCGTGGAGTACGGCTTCAGACTTGACAGAAATGTCTCATTGGTCTTTCATACAAACTACTTACACCAAGCACCTGACACCATAGCTTAGTCCATGATGCCACAGAAGGTTTGAGCTAGCCCTCGGATTCTAAGCCCCGTCTGTTGTCAATATCACAAACCGAGGCAACCAACAAAAAAAACACGGAAGCAAACCAACACCTCGCAATCGAGCGATGGTGACAATACTCCATACAACACAGGATTTCAATGCGCACCCAAACCCTCGTTGGGTCCTAGCGCAATAAGAGCGCAATAACAGCGCGATATGCAATTACCGCAACAGCTGAGCGATGACCCTCCATTTCTCCAGTTCGCACTCTTCGCCTTCTGGCAATGACTGGCCTTTGGGGAGCGCCGCAATCAAGTGCACCTCGATCCAGTTGATGCCGGGATGCAGCGTGGCGTCAACGGTTAAAGTATCAGCCGTGATCTCGAGATCGTCTCCGGGGATCGGGATGTGAACTGAGCGAGGCAACGTGATGCCATTCACCATGACGTAAAGTCGATAGTGACGCTCTTGTCTCTCAAGTGGAGCAATCGTTAGGATGATCTGCAACTTGGACTGGTTACTCGGAACGAAAGTAGTGACCGTTTGGTGGCCCAAGAAATGCTGAGCTGGCAGCTCAAATTTGAATCTCGTGTCCACTGGGACGGCTGGGTGGCCGCGGATGAGCAGGTTCTTGATGAGCGCATCGGCGAGGTCTATACCCGTTGTTAGCAGAGTGCGCGCTAGACTGAACATAGCCAGATAAACCTACCTTTTCCTGGGACTCGGTAGTCCTTGTCGTAGACCCGATTCGGGGGGGCCGGAGGAATGCGTTGGATACTATTCGGCGCTGGCATAGACGGTTGATGTTGCGGGACAGCCTGTGCCGGTAGGGCCTGCGCCGATAGGGGCTGTGCCGACATGGCTTGTGCCGGTATGGCAGCACCATTCGGAGCTTGGGCGGGATGGGTTGGCGTCCCATTCGAGCGGGGGATCATGGCCGGCGATTGGCGAGTGAGTTGTTCCTGCTTTACGCCAGCTAGGGATGGGCTGGGAGATACGACCGATGCGGACATGCTCCCAGCAGTTTCGGGGTGACCCATATTCATCGCCGCGGGCGGGCCACCACTCGAGGCTGGCGGCAAGACCTGCTGGACTGGACCACCGTTCTGGGACATCTCTGGTGGAGGTGGATTGGAGTTGGCTGAAGAGCCCGCTGCCGGAGCTGGGGAAGCCGCAGTGCTGCCCCGAGAACCTCCAACGTGGATGGTGATGATCTTCTTGGGACCAGGTGGCGCTGGGGACTCCTGTGATGGCGCTACCTTGAGCTTGATCTTTGGCTGAGGTGGCTCAGGAACCGCAGCCTTGGCTTTCTTGAGTTGGCCTTCAAAGAATTCCTGAAGCACGTTAGCATGAAGCTAATCTCGCAGATTAATCGACGTAGGGAGACGTGCCTTGAGTTCTGTTGCCAAGTTGTAGATCGAGCTGCCTTCCTCGTTGAAGTAGTGAGCATTGCTCCAGAGTAGACTAGTTTTCTCTTCGAACGCAGCCCAGCTCTTGAAGTCGCTAACGCCGGTGGCAGGCTGCCGACCATGGATGCCTTTCACCAGTTTCTGTAGAGCCCTCAAGGAGATGGGATCGGTGATGATGCTGAAGTACTCCTTCAGCGATCGAGGAGGGAGATTCAGGAAGGCCTCAAACTTCATCCAGCCGGGCTCACTAGCACATTGTTAGTTTCATAGACTGCAAAAGAGCGAGGGGTCACACACTCTTCGTCCTCTTCTCGGATCATCTCCTCGACAATCTTCTCCTGAGCCTGCTGAAAGCTGAGTCGCTTGTAGGAAACACCTTCGTATTCGTGATCCGGCTTTGCTTTCCCTCCAGCAACCCTTTCTGGCACCTTCTGGACTGAGCTCCGTTGTGACCGACGGGAGTTCCTTCTCCCCGTTGGTCCAGCATCTGCATCATCGTCAATGTCGTCTTCGTCATCATCGTCTTCTTCGTCGTCTTCCCCACCATCAGTATCCCCTTCCCCTTCGTTTCCTTCAGGCTCTCCAGACCGGGCTTCCGACTCGGGAGGGAGGGGGGTTGGCTGGCAGCTGTAGCCAGGAATGAGCTTATATGCCGGGTTGGTCTTGACCATGTAGTTGCTCAGGGCCTTTCGAACACGCTCTGAATCATCATAGACCTGGGAGCCTCGGTTATAATATTCTTTGGCATTGGTAACCATGCGCTTGAAGTAGCTCTCTAGTTCAGCAAGGGTGGAGAATTCACGGTTGTTCAGCTTCTCCTCGATAGTCGCCAGGGAAATGGGCATTTGGATCTTCTTGTAGTAGTCCTCATTCTTCTTCTCCGGAAGGAGCTCTTCGAAATAACGGGCGACAGGTCGGCCACTGCAGGGAGATAAAACATATCAGTTGGGGTGGCTCTCATTCGGATAGGGCATTCGAGAGAGAATGGGGGAGCGAGGTAACGTTGAACAAGTTCAATTCTGGGGGAAGGGGGAGGGACAGTGTAGATTGATAACCGTTGCGCAGGGGGGTGTTATGTGCTAAGCAAAGATGCTTGGGAGGCAACGCACTTCTTATCGGCTGTCTTTCGGATCTGCTCAAGGAAAATCAATCCGTAGGCTGTCGTCGATTCGGGAGATTCGCCTTTCAAGAGATCAAACTGCTGGGGCAACGGCGGTGACTGGTGCTGCTATTGTGGTTGGATTGACCTGTTAGCTTCCTTCTGTATGCAATTACTTTTGACTTGGTTGAAGGTCAAGCTAAAAATGGGTGTTGAGGGGCTGGAGTTGATGACAGTAAACTTGTCGCATAGGCTGGTGCGGGTGCGCTTGATGTGCCCACTCCGCACCGGCCTTGCCATGGTCTTCTACCGCGAATAGAGAAAGAAGCCTGGCACAATTGTCCCCATCCCAACAAAGGTGCAGGTTTCTTGAAAGGGTGTTTGAGGGAGCGCATACCTTTCGTCGCTTGACGGCTCGGTCCTCACCGTCGGTGGGACCAGCCTCATTTGCGCCAGCAGCCTTGCGCTTGTTTTCCATGGCGCGGCGATAAAAAGGTATCGCAAAGTTGAGGACTGCAGTGCAAATTCAGAGGAATTATTGTCAGGAAGGTGCAGGCCCGACAACTGGTGTGACTTTGCTGCAGGCCTAGCTAGGTTGGTGTTCTGGTGTAGACGCGTTGGTGATATTTTGGAGCCGCCGCCGCGTGGGGAACAAATGGGCGGTTCTTCAAAACAGAAGAGTGCGGCGGAAAACAACACAAATCACACCTCTGCGTACCAAAATTGCTCAGGGACCTTGAGAGAGGAAGTGAATCTAGACTCAAGCTGATTTTGGCCTCAAGTGACAATACCGCGTGGTACCCTTGAAATCTTGAATCCATTGCATGGTGAGGTATCTGATATCTTGGCCTGGAACGCAAGGCATCAAAAATGAGGGATCATGTGACTTGCACCTGATGTTACAGTCGGAGGCTGCCGAATACTGCAGCCTGAGGCAAAAGATTCCATGCAGGCCCTCGAAACAGTGGGGCCGTAATCGGGCTTTGTTTACTTCGAACTTGTTGCCGATTTTGCAACTGCGTTTCTGCCCCTCATCCTCACGACAGTGAAAAGAGAAACGCCCCTTCAGAAACCTGAAATTGTGGCGTGTACTGAAATCAACATTTATGCCCACATAGACACATCTTCCCTACCTCAACCTTGGAAGCTCTTCCCAGATCTTCCCTTTTAGAACTGCCTACAATCTGCTCTCCACTGCGTTCGAAGCATCGCATTCAGACAGACACCGCCCGACCTCGAGACGACGCGGCCCATCGAATTTCGCCCCGGCTTCCCAGCTTAGAAGTGGCGACGTGTTCTCCAGCGCGGCAGCAGAAGGAATTTTGAGGCAGGACATCGTTTGATTCCAGCTCACGCACGCGGGCAAGATGGCGAACCACAATCAAATGGGCATCGACACTAGCCGTCGAAATCTCGTACCACGGCCTCTGTCAGACTCGGAGCGCGCGAAACTGGATGAGTTTATCGATTCCATCCACTACTCTGCTCGGTGCGTTTTGCAGCCCCACGCCTCTTATGACTTCTGTCTGCTTACCCACTAGCCTAGGTATTCCGATAGCGAGTACGAGTATCGGCATGTCCAGCTACCTAAGCCAATGCTCAAAGCCATCCCAGAACAGTTTCACGACAAGACCACTGGCACCTTGAAGCTTCTCTGGGAGGAGGAATGGCGCGCTATGGGCATCACTCAGGTGAGTTGGGCTTGCACACGCCACCGCCGATCGCCACAATGGCAGCGTCTGACGTTTTACTACAGAGCCTCGGTTGGGAACACTACGAGGTCCACGAACCGGAGCCGCATATCTTGCTGTTCAAGTAAGTGCCACGCCCATCTCTGCGTCTTGAAAGGGGCGCACATACTGACCGAGTTTAGGCGGCCCCTGAACTACCAAGCCCCAGCCCACTGAGCTACCAGTCATGGTGGATGAGAAGGGACCTCGTCGCGTCTGTATTATATCTTGCATCTTCCCATCACAACACACGGCTGCATAGCGATAATGGACCACACCTGTACCCGGTATAATGTACTTATGACGATTTCCATGGGCGAGCACTCGATCGCACGACAACCCACATGCCCACTTTTCCCTCCCTCTATACCTGCTTTCAGCAGTAGCCCTCTGGTTGGCATTGCGGCTGCTCGGCGTCAAAACTAGTCGAGATGATCGGGGGGTTGACGAAACGGGCAAGGCAGTCTTGTCTGTTCTCTGATGCAGATTCTGGGGATAGGCTAGCCCACGAGCATCTTTTCTGCGGTGGGCGTTGGCGGAACGGGCTCGCTGAAGGCGATCATGGCGAGTAGTGAGGGTTTGTTTGGGCAAGGCATCTGGCTGTATGCACGATGCCGTTGGTTATGTCGAAACAGGACAATGAATTGATACGAAATTGGCATGACCCTGCCGAAGCTATCGATGCGCCCAAAGGCAAACGGCTTCATTCCTACTCCTCGAGGTAATGCGATGGATCTACCCGAGAACCTGACAATCAGAGTGAATATCCGTTTGCAGCTAACAAGAAAAGAAAAAAAGTTCGAGCATCTGGTCCTACTCCAAAAAGACGAATGCGGACACGGACGGGACCGCAGCGGGCCCGGCTGCACCATCAAAATAAGTGGGGGTCACTCCTCCTGTTGAGTTTAACCGCCTCCAGCCCCCAACATGCCAGCCAAATTTACAGGCTCTCTCATGTGCTGCCTCGTACCTGCGATCTCGGGATGGTGCAAGTCCATGGCTACGAGCAGGCTAGGGCCCGGGGGCTCCATTCCCGGTTATCGTGGATCTCGGGTGACGCACATAGCCCTTGAAACAGGCCTGCAGAACAAGGCACACCTCGTCCAGCTAGCACTATATTGTATGTAGGCTCGCAGACGAATATTAAACCGGTTGCCCAGTCGCTCCCCGTCCTCGCGGCCTTCTCTGTTTCTTCGTCTCACTTGACAAGGCGTCGTCGGATTTCGACCGAGTGCCTAGGCAGACTCGCGCCTGGTTAGCAAAAAGGGCCTTCCCACTCGCTCTTACATAGTACACGGATTCCCTCCAGTCCTCTCGTTTTACCCCTTTGTTGTCTCACATCCCTCGTTCGCTTCCGGCCCACGACAGCTCACCAACAGTCGAAGCCTGGCTGGAGCCGCGCTTCACTCCTCGTTGCTTTCGTGCCCTGCCCTGACAATGCGGCTCCTCCTCCTCCTCATCTCGTACTCGCTCGCGGCAGCATTGCCCCTCGTCACCCTGGTCTCTGCGACCCCCATATACTGCTCCGACGTATGTTCTAGACCCCGACAAAGGCTCGGCCCCTCACTGGTGGACCTCTTTCGTAAATTGAACTAACAACCCTCACCTTCAAGATAAAACGAGACCTCATCCTCAAGGGGGATCTGCCCCCCGAGGCTTGCTGTAGCTACGGGAAGTGTTCCAAGGGCGTCGTCGTTCAGAGCGGCTAGGGACTTTCTTTGGTCGGAAGCTTTTGGCGGCCGAAATGGAGGGAGGGAAGGTGTTCTCCCGCATTCGGACGTCGGGCATGGTGGCACACACAAGTTGGTGTACGTATGTACGCATGCACGACAGGACGAACCGGAGAGCATTGGTTTTTGGCGTTACTGGACGGGGCTATCTAGGTATGCGTTGGGACTTGGGACACCGTTGAATATAAAAGGAAGGAATTGCGGCGCTCGGCCATTTCAAAAAGGGGGTGTTCCTTTCTTTGTTTTCTTTTTCTTTTTCCTTCCCGCCTTCCAAAGGAACTTCAGCGCATGTACTATCTATGGTTGGACATAACAACGGTCTCGAGGACAGCAATTGCGTTTATTTGTATGGGCCGGGGTCACGGTTGACCAGGACACGGCCGAGACAACGACTAATTACGGAGAATGAGCGCGTCTGAACTTAAGAAAATCCTGGAGAAATATGGAATTGTGGCGTTGGACCAGACAGTTCATTGGCAATCCATCGTCATCTTTCGCAAAGCTCTTACCTTACTTTCCCATCGGACTCTTCACGAGAATCAGCCTCACTAGCTGTGAATATTCCAATTGAGTTACAGGTGATCTCGTATTCCAATGTGTCGTCCAAGATAGGCTCCTCTATCACGAGGCGTCAAGCCATCGGAGCAACGCGAAGCATGGTGGACCGACCGGAGGAAACCAGCCGCCGCCACCTCCTCCAAGCTGATACCAGAAATAGCCCGACTACCACGAACGAAGCGGCTGGCCTGTGGAGCATTATAGGCACGTGTCGACGACCCTACTGCTCACTGCCTACTCGACATTGATCACCTGTCTTCCTCCCCTCGCTATTGCGAGATCGGATCCACCGCATCGTGTCAGTTGAGATGCCAAGACATATGGTGCTTCTGGTAGTGCTTCACATAACCAATACTTTGATTTGGGCAAAAGGTTTCCAAGGTATTGGACATTGCGTGCATATGGTTATTCAGCTGGTTAAGTTCATCCGCCCGGAGGATATGTTCTATTTTCCGTGCCAATGAGGTGTCTACCTATATTGGAAGGCTATTTAGTACGTGGCGTGTCTGAGGCTCACACTCTCAATAAATAAGTTAACGTGGGGAGCTGCTGGGGAGGTGCGGATGCGTCGCGAATTCGGGTCTGAGGAGGCCGATTAGCATCCAATTATGTTGGATAAAGTCCAACGGTCCAGGTCGAGCAAGGTGAAGAGTGAGTCCTGCTCCTGTAAGCCCGTTGCAAGGAACAGGGATAGCCAGTCCATTGGGAATGGCTTCATGGATCCCCCAAATGGGAGAGCGTGCCTGTGCTTGCGGTTAAGAGTTTAACCATCCTTCTAGAAGGGGTGAGGGTGGGATGGACGCTTGGCGCTCTCGCATCGGAGAATTTGAGGTAATGTGGATGGTACAGAGTAATCCGTACTGCATAGCAAACATGTCTCGGCAATGAGAATCGCTAAAGACAATAAATGGGAGTCAGATGAGAGTGGCAGACAATTAGCTGCCGGTGGGCGAATGCATGCCTCAAATAAACCCCTCGGGAGACACGTAAGAAAAAAAGGCCCAAAAGGTCTGCCTTATAGCTGCCGTACGCACGGGAAGGCAAAGGAAGGGAATAAAACCAGCCCTCGTGATGTGGAGACCACTGGATGGGATCTGCGAGCTGCTCGAAGTCAAGGCAATGATTGGAGCGGCAATGATGGTTACAAGACCGGCCGAATCAAGCCCGCCATGATGTGGGGGGACGACCCCACATCGCGAGCTTCATCGCGGTATGTAGCCCGATGTTGCATGGTTGCAGGCCTGGAAATGCTCCGACGCACCGATAAACACTGTGCTGCACCTTTGCGCTTGTAGAGGAGACACCGCCAGCCGGGATAAAGAAGGCCAACACATCCTCAGATCCCGATTCCCAGATCCGAGAAAGCAGGACACCTGTGAGATATCGACCAGACGGCGCATCACTCTCGAGAAACGACGTCGGCGTGTATAGCCTCTTGAGATTCCCGGTCGAAAAGCCTCGCATATTCTACTTCCCCCATGAGCCCTTCAGCCATCAACAGCGCGGCGTCGGCGGTGTCGGCGCCGAAAGCCTCGAAAGCCAACATCGGCGTGTTTACAAACCCCAACCATGATCTGTGGATAAGCGATACCGGGCCGACACTGGAGAGTGTGCAGAAGGGAGAGGGGCTGAAGGAGGGACAGGTCACAATCGCCATCAGGAGCACGGGCATCTGCGGGTATGGCGAATAGCCCCGTTTCCCTGCACAGACAGGTTATGAGAGGCGTTGTCCGTTGACCCCCCGTTGTTGCAACTGCAGGTCCGACGTGCACTTCTGGAAGCACGGCTGCATCGGCCCCATGATAGTCGACGGCGACCACGTTCTCGGCCACGAATCGGCGGGCGAGGTCATCGCGGTACACCCGAGCGTGACCGCCCTCCAGGTCGGAGACCGCGTCGCCATCGAGCCCCAGGTGATCTGCAACGCCTGCGAACCCTGCCTTACCGGGCGCTACAACGGCTGCGAGCGCGTCGACTTCCTGTCGACGCCACCCGTGACAGGCCTGCTGCGGCGCTATGTCAACCATCCGGCGATCTGGTGCCACAAGATCGGGAACATGTCGTTCGAGAACGGCGCCTTGCTCGAGCCGTTGTCGGTCTCTCTGGCCGGCCTGCAGAGGGCTGGGCTGCGACTGGGCGACCCGGTGCTCGTCTGCGGGGCTGGTCCCATCGGCCTGATCACCATGCTCTGCTGCCAGGCTGCAGGCGCCTGCCCCCTCGTGATCACGGATATCGACGAGGGCCGGCTGAAGTTCGCCAAGGAGGTCTGCCCATCGGTTATCACCCACAAGGTCGAGCGCCAGTCGGCTGAAGACTCAGCCAAGGCCATTGTGGCCGCGTTTGGAGGGCTGGAGCCGACGCTGGCCATCGAGTGCACGGGAGTCGAGAGCAGCATCGCCGCCGCGATCTGGGCGGTCAAGTTTGGTGGCAAGGTGTTCATCATCGGAGTGGGCAAGAACGAGATCCAAATCCCCTTCATGCGCGCCAGCACCCGCGAGGTCGATCTCCAGTTCCAGTATCGGTATAGCAACACCTGGCCTCGGGCTATCCGCCTGGTTGAGAACGGGGTCGTGGATCTTTCGAAGCTCGTAACCCATCGTTTCCCCCTCGAGGACGCGATCAAGGCTTTCGGCACAGCGTCGGATCCGAGCACAGGAGCCATCAAGGTCCTGATTCAGAGCCTGGATTGAGAGATACAGGCTGATCCTGGGGAGCTGGGAATTGGGAATTGGACATTCTTCTTATGGTCCGGAGATCTGCATGGATGTATTGCATTCGGAATAGAGTGTGGATAGGGTCCTGAGCATGCATCATCTTACTTCACTCTTGTGGCTTGGCTCTAATGGAGGGACTGTCGATGAGAAAGTGTGTAGCCCTTATTCGTTCATGGCATCCAAGGCGGTGCTCGAACCTGGATTAGTGTCATAACACCAAAGTACGCACTGTTGAGGGATGGGTATATCCTGTGGCCTCCGAATTCGTACCGAAGTTAAAAGAGGCCAGAGGAACATCTTCAGCAACCTATCTCCCGTATTTCTGTCAGTGCCGAGGCCAGGTTGCAGTCGGATGCCAGCTGCCAGCAAGCTCCCCAAGCTCGAATTGGCGCCATCTCATTGGCTTCAATCCCCTGCTCGCCCCTGCCCACAGCTCGGTTAGCGGGCAAGCCGCGAGATCTTCCGAGCTTGTCCCATCGGTAACACCATTTTTTTTTCTCCCTCAGACCGTCAATCATACCTACTACCTTAACGCAAACCTCCGCAACCCCCGATCTCGCAACCCCCATCCGCCCGCCGGCGACGTCCAATTGCACTTCTCTCACCCCTCCCGAGCCGAAAAGAAGCGCCGAGATTTATAAACCCCCTCCCCCAGAGAAGCCATGTCCCCATCAATCATGCTGCGGCGGCCGGCCCTGCAGATGGGCCGCCGCATCGCCGCGCGGCGCCTCGAATCGACATCGACCAAGGCGGCCAGCGAGGGCGCCAAGGAAGCCGCCTCCAAGGCCGCGTCGACGGCCTCCGAGTACAGCTCCAAGGCCGCCCAGGGCCTGTCGCGCGTCACGTCCGCCGCAGGGCCCGCCATCCTCGGCGCCGCCAGGGGGGTCACCGGCGCGCTGGGTCGCGTTGGTGGCCGGACGGGCCGCCTGGTCGCCTTTGCTGAGCGTACGTTTTATTCTAGGGGTTCTCGGGTAGTTGCGGATATGGGTTGCGGGATCAATGGCTGACTGTTTTGGTGCTGCAGGCCAGGTCCCGTTCGTTGTTTACTACTCCAAGGTCGGCCTTGAGGTGGCCAAGCTGGTCTTCCAGGGCCAGAAGATGACACCACCGTAAGTCGCCAAACCCTACGGGCCGCCATCACGCGAGGCGTGCCCCTACCTATTTTGCTTTTGTTCCCCTGGCTTGTTTTTATTGACAATGGACCTTCCTAGCTCCGCCTCTACCTTCCAGGTATACTTCCAAAACGTATGGAAGCAAGTGCGGAACCCCGGCTCCCTCTTCCAGACCGCCCAGAAGACCACGGCGCAAGCGACCTCGCAACCAGCTTCGGTCCTGCAGCAGGCGCGAAATCTGTCCAGTGCCCAGCTCCTCGCTGGCGGAGTCATCCTCGCCGAGTGCCTCGGCTTCTTCACGGTTGGAGAGATGATTGGCAGATTCAAGATCGTCGGCTACCACGGCGAGACTAGTGCTCACCACTGAGGGGATACTCCAGTGCCAGTTGTGGAAAGGGCCCAGCTGGAGTTGAAGTACTCCGCAGATGATCTCGGTTTCTTCTAGAGAGATCAGGCAGGATTATGGCATAGACGGAACGGCAAAATCGAGGGGGATAGGGAGGCCCATAGGGGCTTCCTGTCTCCCGCCTCTGGGATGGAAAGGACCACAGGATCCCGGCATTGGCCCCTTTTTGGCAGCGGCCGAAGCGGAGGATGGCTCTTAGTAGCTGGATCCGAGGTGCAGGGTAATTACCTACTTCCTCCCTTGTATATTTATCTCGTCAGTCAACTGCGGGTTTGTTTTTCTTTGTAATCGCCCTTTGTAATCGCCAATACACTGTTCTCCCGGCCAGGTTAGGCGGCACTCCTTTACTGCTTGTCTTCCTTTTGCCAACCACCCCGCGACTGTGCCCCTCTTCCCTACTTGACTCCCGGTCCTGACCTTAGTTCTCCCACTCGGTCTCTCGTCTTTGGCCAAGCAACAACACACACTAGGCTTTGTGCACCAGGGATCAGGCTTACACATGGATCCATCGACATCTTCCCCATTGCCTCATTTTTGCTGCATGGCAAGGCAATATCGCCGAAAACCAATAGACACAGTTACGTGGCGTCTGCGTAGCCCAACGAACAGGGCTCTACATTGCCAACCACCCTTTAAGCCAGGCCTAAACATGAAATACTGGTCAACATTAGATCTGTGGCTGTCCCTTGGAATACTTCCAGTCTTGCACAGGAGCTTGGTGATGTCAGCGGAAGCTCATGGCAATTCGCCGACAAGGGCTTGGCTCCTTACGAATTCATCCAACACACGGCGACTCGACCCAATATTGACGGCTTCCCGTCCTTCCTCTCCGAACTGCAGGCGGTCCTCGAGAGCCTAGGCCTGGCAGAGAAGCTCGGAGTCTGCGCTCTGGCGTGAGGGGACCTAGACGTAGCTACGCAGGTCGAGTTCACCCAAGGGCAAGCAAACATGCGTCTTCCCTTCGACAATGCCGAGCAAGGCAAGGAAAATTCAGTTGAAGCAGTCTGGCAGTTCGACCTGTCTCCTGTCCAAGGCACTAGAGGTTTACAACGCTGCTCATCGCGTGCTCGGGGAATAACCAAGGGCAACAGTCGCTGGTCCTCACCCAACCCCTATCATACTCGAGAAATGCAAGGTTGCTTGCAAGGATGGGAGCTTGTCTTGTCCTGACATCGTTAGGCCATGACACGCGTGAATAATGACAATGATTTCCAGTGACGGAAGCGCAAAAAGCATAAGAAGTAGTTCGACCAGCCTATAAATCGATCAAGAAGTGGCTTGTGACTCACTAGCAGCCTGACCTGCAGCTGTCTTCTATCTGGTGTTGGTTAGTCAGTGCGTCCTTGACTGCTCAACCTTCAGTACAGGTATTATCAATAAGGTAAAGAATAACAAGGGCGAAGGTGTCAAGGTCAATCAATACTCTCACAGCACCTGATCGTGGTAATATCTCATTTTGGTAGCTCGTCCGCATCTGGTGGCTCTCCTAATCGGGCGATAGTCCAGGAATCGTCCCCTTTTTGCCCAATGGCCCATAGAGGCGCTCCTCCGGCCCTCCCCCCTCATACTCCAGACCGTTTGGCCCCTTCGCCGTCATCGGCTCCATGACGGTCTAGGTATTACGCTGGCCATCGAACTCCTTCCACTAAACGCTTCTCTGCCCCTCTCCCTCTCCGCTTCCTCCACCGAGCCTATTGTGTGGCTATCCATTTTTCTCACCGGCCGTTTCTCCTTTACTCTCCGAGCTTTGTTCCCACCGTCACACCCCCTGTCAACCGTCTCAAACTCTTTTCTAATCTTAGATTCACATGGAACGGAAGACCTCCAGTCAGCAGCCAACATGGTTTTGCCTGCTTGGCACGGGCGGTGTTTAAGACCTGTTTAAGACATCGGCAGACCCGGCCCATCAAACATGCCGTCGTAGCTGCTGACGGATTGTTAATCCGTACTTGGATAACTATCCGCTGGCAACCGGAGCATATCATCTATCCCCCAGGCTTGGCACGTGAAAGACCACCTCAACGGAAGGTGATTCCGTGGAAATAGGGGGGGGCAGGTCAACGAAAGCGGCCAGACCGGTCACAGGCATGTGAGCACAGAGATAACGGGCGGTACAGTACGCCCAACTCGCGCAGTGTACCTCCCCACATCCACACCCCACTCACTTCGTCGTGGGGACGGCTCCTGCCTAAGTGATGCTGCTGCTGCTGCTGCTGTTGTTGTTCTTCAATATTGGCTGTCCTTAAATGGCGGTGGTCATGGGATCTCCCCCGGCCGCCCCTGCTGTGCGGCCACACAGGCAGCCTTCTTGGCCTGCATGGGGACACGACACGTTTTCCTGCAGGACCGCCGGGGGGGGGAGCGGTCGCGCGAGGTTGGGGTACCTTACTGTACTGGCGGGTTTGGCTTCTCGTTGTCGAGTACGTAAAGTATACCATGGTCCCGCCAACCTGCAGTGATAGACCTTCGGAGCTGTGCGCCCTAGGTGAGGCGGATCTCCCTCTCGACCGGTCTCCGATGATAGGCATAGACGGGTACATATGGAGTTTTAGAGGGGGAGAGGGGGAGGGTGAGGTGGAGACAATGTGGAGGTCGAAGCAAGTCGACCTGCTCAAGGATGGATAGATGACCACTGGTCGCTGATTTGTGGAGGGGCAATAAGCTCGTCGAGTTGGCGTCGAGCATGCAGGACGAGGAGAGTACTCGGAGAGTCCGAGAGGCATGTAGCGGTGACACTTGGTATTGATCCTGGTACAACATGCCCATTGTCCCCCCCGTCTCTCTCACAGTTCCCTCGCAGTCGTAGCTCCCCCCCCCCAGCCATGTCTCACCGCAGGTGTTGACGTGTTGGTTCGGCTTGCACGGCCCTAACCTAGACAACGCAGCAAACATGCCCGGGGGCTGACCAGTTGCACCGCTTGGTTCCCCCGTAACGTTCCGATTCCCCACCCTGTCGCCGTCGAGCAGCTGCACACCCCGGATGTTGGGAGGAGACCAAGGCTTGGCTAGATCCTAAACCCATCGAGCCGGATATGATGTGGCAAAATAGGGGGGGCAAGGGGGGGGTGTGGTGATGTTGGGATGCGTGCTATCTCCTCCCTGTGATAGGTAGTTCGCAGTGGGGATATCAAGATGGTCACCGGCTCAATGAGAATCGCCAATGCAGGAATATTTTGACGGATGGCAGCTGGGTTGACCGCTTTTGGTGTGTTGTCGTTCGGAGCGGCGAGTCATGCGGAGGCAGAAGAGCTGGGCTTCATGCCTGGCCCCTTTGGAGGCCCTCGACACCTATTCGCCCTGCTAGGGCGGTGGCCGATGGCGGGCCCATGTGTCGACCAAACGGAGCGACGTGAAGTGGAGGACAACTAGCAGAGGTAGGGATAGAGGGATGGAGGGATGGAGGGATGGAGGGATAGAGGGGAGAGATACTTGTTGGTCTAGGTGCAGCCCCCAGCACCATGTCTCGGTAGGCAGATGGGGGCCTGATCATCATGTTTATGGCTTCACGTATACTTCGCTGACATCAATGCCGACTTCGTTTATTTACACAGCGAGGTATCAAGAAAGGGAACGCCACGATTCGCCATATCTGTCAGCTTGTCCTGGTGCGCGTGTTGTTGTAAATATACAATAATGAGATTGACCTAACGCAGCCGCTTTTCCAGACCAGACACACGCATTCTAGAGACCAAGCCGTTCTAGGCAAAGCGGCCATGCATAACAATAGCAAGCCAACGCCCTCCCGGTACCGTGCCGTCTATGTCGTCAAGTGCGTCGATGATGGGATGCAACGCATATCGTGGACTCCTAGGATATTATTATCTTCCTTTATCGCGGCTGTTCCCACGCAAGTTCGAGCCAAAAAATGGGGACGGCCCATCCCAGGACAAAAGTGGCAGAGGAATGCATTAATGACGTGGTCCGGACCGCCTCTTTTTTCCCCCTTTCTCTTTTTCTTTTTCTTTTGCCGCTGACATGTGTCGGGCCATGGGAACACCCGCGTACCTCATCTTGGTTGATTGGCATGCATGAAGCAAGGTTCGAGCCGGTTGATTTGCGGCCCCCTCCCCACCCTCCCCCCAAGACAGAGAGGTCTCATAACCAGATGAAAACAAAAAAGAGAACAAACACCGCGAGCAAGTGTGTCGCGATTGAGGCCCGAAAGCCGGCCAACTAGTGCTCCGGGAAAGCTCAAAACGGTCATGTAGTTTTGAGAGACAGAGAGCAAGAGAATTCTCATTGGCGAGCGACTCTTCATCGAGTTGTTGTTGTTGTTAAAAGAGTCTCGTCCAGGGTGGAGCGGCCATTCAGAGGGGCCACCCGCGTGGAGCCCGTTCCCCACAACAAAACCATCCATCATCCCCTATGCTTGGCGGCAGGAGAGATAATCCCAGGGGTCGGTCCCTGAAAATAGTGTCGATTGCGGTATATAGGCAACAAAACGCAAGAAAATGAGAGCAGAAAAATAACACACCACGAGGTCAGCCGAAATGTAACCCCCCAATGTTGCCGCGGAATAACAACTCCATGTTTGGGTCAGACCAATTGGGAAAGAGGACGTTGCAGGGAGCGGCTACTTTGAAACCGCTTCGCCCTCTCAGGCGGCGGCTGCTTGCTCGATCCCGCAGCACCGCAGAGATTCCGGGGATGGCCTGGGGGGGTGGGGGGTTGGTTTCGAGGCTGCCTGTTGAAAATCGGCCGCTTTCTTTCGTCTTGAAATGTTGCTAAGCCACAACACGGGTTCGGCAGATGCCGTCCGATTTTCGAATCATCCTTCGCTCTCTTCCTGCACAGTGGGCTATCTTCCCTGGTTGTCCAGGTGACTGACCATGAGTAGTGCGGTCGCGACGCTTCCCTCCAGCCTCCCTAATCTCTTATCCGTGGCAAGGGCTCAACGCGGCCGTGCCGGCAAGCCCCTCTCCTCGATCACTGGGGTCTTCTTGCTGTCCACACATACCTGCATATCTCGGTTAGTCAAACTCGGCAGGCGTCTGCATCCCAACATTGCAACTTACAGCAAGCAAAATGCGTGAACGTTCCTAGAACACGCCTCCATTTTCACCTTGTTCACCAGCTCGGCCACTTCTGCCTTCGTCCTGTCCTTCATCCTCGTCAGGGGCGCTAGCGTCAGTCCCATCAGGCCGTTGGTGAATCCCAGGTTGAACCATCGGCCGATGTCCCGTACAGTCTTCTCGGTCGGCCATCCGCTGAACGGAACCTTGATAACCTCTTCCTTGACGTCGACGAACCCTGCGCTCAGAAGTTGGTTGATGGTCTCCTGGCTGTCAACCCTCATCGACCGGCCGTGATCGTCCATGGCGCCGAGAAGCTCGTCAACCCATAATCGAGTAATAGATCGCTCCGGAAGAGTCCCGTCTTCGCACCGAGGAGTCCAGTCGATCTCCACCTGTTCGATATGACCGTAGTACGGTTTGAGGTGCCTGACAAGGCTACATCAATATCTGGTGTCCTCTGCCTGTCTGAAAAGCATACCTGAATATTTGTGCGTATAGCTGTGGCCAAGATTGGATGCTCCCCTTCAAAGTGCGCATATGGATCAGATCCAACGAGTCCAAGTCCATCCCCTGCCAAGGGGTTTCCACATCCATCTGCGCGAACTCGATGTTTCGCGGGATCCTGGAGGTGGAAGGGAAACATCAGCAAATGAGAACCGCAGTAATGGGGTTGGTGAGACAGACTCTGCGGGTTGCATTAGTGTCAGGTCGAGTCCTTTGACGTGGGCCGCATTATCATAATATTTTCTAATGTGAAAGGAGATTAGTCTCTCAAGATAGTTCGAGGCGAAAGAGCGACGCATACTCAGCCATATCGATTGCCCATATTCCCGTTCCACATCCCAGATCGAGAATGCGATGCGGCGCCTGGTCTGGGAGGAGGGGCGCGGTGTGAAGCTCGCCTCGTCGGGCTACACAGAAGAACTTGTGGAATATGTCCAACCTGTCCTTCTCCTCCTGCTCGGGGTTGCACGGAGTTTAGCAATAAGTAGCGGGTGGCCGAATGGCGAATTAAGGTGGGAAGAGGGGTGGGGCGCGGAGGGGCCTTACTTCGTCGCAGGGGAACATATACTTGCCCTTGCGCCAGGAATGATAGAAGCGACCATTTTCCTCATATTCCTTACGCTGGGCTTGGCCGAAAGGCGAAGGTCGGCCCTGATCGTACATCTCTGCCGAAGGAGATGCGCTGTTTCACAGGGTTTCTCGTGTTAGTACTTCCTGTCCTCTCCCGCGCGTCGCCCAAGGCTCGGCTGGGGGTGCGCTATAATTCGAATTTGGAACATGTTACACACCTGTGATATGCCATGCCCAGTGCCCAATGGCGGTCGAACACGTGAAGGAGGAAAAAGGGAAGAGAATCCGGTTTAAGGTTGCCGCGTAGGACTAACGACCTGGAGGGAAGGGCTCTGGGGATAGCCTGCCCTCCAGTTCACGCAATGGCAACGCCTCCCAGCGAAGCGATATTTGATGTTTCTGAGGCACCAAGTTAGGTGGGGCGGTCTATGAACAGCGAGGGAATGATGGTGGTATCGGGGGGAAAGAGCAAGAGGATAACAGACGTGAACTTTCGAGCCAGATGCCGGGGATTGTGTGCATTTAGTAGGCGAGAGAAGCTCAAGGAAGGAATAATTAAATATAGGGTTTGATGTAGCGCACCTAGGTACGTAGCATGCGGGCAAGGGGGGGGGGGGGGGTGAGGGGGTTGGTGACGGCTCCGCTGAAAGGCCCCAGAGGACGCGCCAAAGCCGCATCCACCAGCATCAGCAGACAGCAGGGAAGCTAGAAGTAGCCGATGTGACGACGTGACGAGGGTCGGACAAGAAGAAACGAAGCAATCATTAAGATGCACCCGGGTATATCCATGCGTAGTGATTCTGACTGACTCTGGGCGCTAATATGCTAGCTAGCACTTGCTAGCAACCTAGACCAGGGGAGGAAGAATTGATCAAGGCTGTCAAAGTCATGTCGTAGGTCGCCAACAGGGGTAAAAGCGACCGGAGGACAAGAGAGAAATACACGCAGGGAGGATACTAACATGGCTGACGCAGGGCAGGGGCAATCGGTTCCAGGCGATGCCAGAGTCGAGGTTCTTGATTAGGGATGAGGATGGAGCGGCGGGGAGACAGTCGACAAGCAAAAACGAGCCTCTGAGATTCGAGAGGTGATACACGGCGGAGGCGTGTTCGAGGAATTAGACCGATGAGGGATGAGGCGCCCTTTTAAGACCCAAAACCTTGTCGGGTAGGGTAGGACCGGGGTATGTGGACAGTGTGGCGGACGAGCTTGCCAGCCTCGATTCGACAGGCATTGGCTGTTGGTGTTGGTGTTCTTCCGTGTCGGCGTCGACTGCCAAGAGATGGTTGCGCTGGCAGATCGGGAAATGCTGGATTTTGGGTCGGTACCCAGACAGGGGGGAGCACTCGAGACAAAGCTTCTTGGTGTGTCTACGCTACTACGCTATGTCGAGAAAGACGCCTGATGGGAATGTGTGAGGTGAGAGGTGAGACGAGGTGGGCACTCAATAACCTTTCCCCAAGCAAAAATTCTTGTTGGTTGGCGGTGGCCGCAATCCCCCAATCACACACCCCGCGCCATCCCAGAGTTCCATGCCAGCTCACTGCGTACAGGATACACAGGAGGCGGGCGAAAGCAGGTGCGGCCCACCTATACCTGGAGCTAGGTACTTTAGGCCCCTGGCTCACTGATCCCAGTTCCACGATTGCCCCTCTTTGGGCTGCTTTTTACGCAGTAGTGCCCGCTGCCTTATTGGCTTTCTTGGGCGGCCTGCGATGGAACTTCCACCAAGTTTTGCTAGGGTACCTTACATGGGGGTCGCTCCTGTGTGGTACATGTACATACCTACAAGTCCGAAATAATATGCCGTATCGCGTATGCGTGTGCGAGTACCTAGGTACCGGACCTCAGGTGCCTGCCTCGCCTAATTCGATGTATTCCAATTTTCTGCTGTCGACCTGGGAGTGACAGGTTTCGATGAATTGATGCGCGTGGCCAGGTTGGCTCTTTGCAGGTAAACCCTGGGCAGGTAGGTAGGTAGGTTGCCTATGTTTGTTTATTATTCTTTTCCCTCTAGCACTTTCCTTCTCCCCTTTTCTCTTCGCCCCCAAAGAGTATGTTACTTTCGGTGTTCGTTGGTTTCCAGATATTTAAACTTTTTTACGGCGTATAGACTCGACCGGGGAAAGAAAGCTGTCCATCTTCCTGCTGTCAGCAAAGCCGACCAAGTATTGCAGCCTGTCAACAGCTGATTACAGCAGCAGCTAACAACATGGAACTCGCTAGACTACGCGGTGTTGGGTATACATGTTGTGCAAGCATACCTTTCTACGTGGAATGGAAGTACCGTACACTAGCTTGGTAGGTAGCGCATGGAGAGATACCTATGGCGGGGTCCCCTGGCGGAAGGATTCGGAGTCGTTTCCAGATTGTCGGGTCCGTGACTTCAGCACAGCACAACCTCCCATCCCATGGCTAAGACAAGCCAACTTGCCAACCGCATACAATGAGGCCGGAAGCGGCTGCCGACCCAAAGCTGACTGGCTCAATCTAGGCTTGTGAGTGCCGGAATTGGTTGGCCGGTAAATTAACACCACACCTCGTGTCTTCCACTCACGACTGACACGGGTCTGGAAACGGGACGTCCAGTTGTCTTACATATGTAGACAGGACACAGCAAGCCTCGAGCAGCTGACTGCATAATTGCAAGCTCTGATTTGCCTACATTGTTTCCCGTTTTGTTCTTTTGTCCATTGTCCAATTTCGACAAATTTAATTTACTCCACAGTACTCCGTACCTTTCGCGGATCTTACATACCATAGGTACCGACCTCTACTAAGTCTGTGAGCAACCCCCCTCGTGCCCACCTGGGCATCCACCAATGGAAGAACAGACGGCTCCCTCCTACTTGCCCGACAACCTATTGACGACAGATCCGCTTTGTCGGGTCCATCCATGAATGTGAGGGGGTGCCAACTTAGGGGATTGGAGGGAACCAAAAGAGACTAGGTAGGTTAGCCGTGGATGATGCCACCAATCATGTCTGCAAACCAATGGATGTCTGAGCTGACGGCACGGCAAAGCACGTCTCGGCCGACCCAGGATTCGGTGCCTAAGGAGGAAACTGCGTTTTCATTAATTAACTTAGGTAAGTAGGTTGGTACAGGAGTCCCTTCGAAAGATGTAACCATTCGTAGTAGAGGTAGGCTCCATGTTGGTGCACACGGGTCTCGCTCGATGAGTCAGTGGCCACTTTTAGGCTTGAATCAGTGCCTGTGCTAGTAGACATGGAAGGTGGACACGAGGGTTTCACGAAAGTATTACCTACCTACCTACCTAGCCGCCTCACCACCCACCTACACAACTTCCCTACGGGTAAGCGATAGGTAGGTATGTTAAAATGGAGGCTACCGGCCTAGTACGGATGGTGCACCATCGTGTCGGTTCTGAAGCGACCAAGGAAATGGCAACCCTGTTCGTGTCCCGACCAATAGACGCCAATGCACATCCATCTCGTAACTATCATCCACAGCTAGGTAATTAATGTCAGACCTCGCGAATAACAAGCCATGGCTGACCGGCCAGACACAACAGCTACTCACCAAGACGTCTGCCTAAACACAGCCAACATGGCACACTTGCCAACATGTGAAAACTTCCCATTGAACTCAAAGGAGCAGAATTGGGCTGGTACGTCCTGCGCAAGGGACCACAGGGCCAGGGGCGTGGCCCAGGAGTCAGTACAGGAGCTCCACATTTCCCCAAGATTCGTGGCTTGCGCACGAGCAATTTCCTCGCATTTAACTAGGTCAGTAGCGTCCGAAAACCACAAGCCCCTTCTGACCCACCGTTACCGACACGCTGGAACACATTAGCAAACTGGACCGCCACGGCAAGGCCATAAGCCACGCTAGTCCAAAACTGTCGCCCAAAAGTCATAGCGCATGAACTGGAGTGGCTTGGAGTCCCCAAAGGTGGGAAAGACACCCAAGTAACGGGTACCTCCAGTGTTGTGATCAGTCGTACCTCTCTCTCTCGCCCTTATTGAAGTGATCGGCACTGCAAGCTGCATCACCAGGCTCGTGGGCAGTGGAGACTTGAGACTGTGCCGCTGCGCTGCATCCTGGGTTGTACAATACATAATCTGCATTGCGTATGGCTTCAAATACGGAGCGCCTCAGGGCTACCGCGTGACTTCCCGAATGCCCATTTTGTTGATCTGTACCTTCCATGTCTCTAGAAGGCCCTTTTTGCTTCCATGAGCGGCCCACGAAACAGCGGCCCGCCCATGTCGAAATGGATCCGGGCCGTAGCTGAAACAAGCACGCTAATAATAAGTTCCACTGGAACATGGCCCGTCGGGATTCTTTCCAGGACGGGTCGTGTAACCGGGCCACCCCAGAAGGTTTATCGCAGCTGATAATCTCGCGAGATGATCTGCAGAACCTCATCCCGCCATCGACGTACCCATACGTACACTCCCTAGGTAGGTAGGTACCTGCTCATGTACTATGATAGGTATACGACTAAAACTACTCTGTATCTAGCATAGCGCGGTGGAAGGACCGAAGCATGCGCACTTCCAGCCATTTCCCTCCCCCCTTTCATCTCTGGCTGCCTCTCACAGCTATCCAAGATACATACATTCAAGTGGATGCGGATCTGGATCGGTCGAGAACGACCTGCTATCTATTACACAGTATCACCTTGTTCCCGAGTCCTTACAAACGGGCAGTCAAGGATCCTTCCCACCCATCAGACCTGCGCTGCTTGGCGTTTCCCTGGCAGAATCTCTTCCTCCGATCACATTTCCTGAACCTGGGTTGGGTTACCGCGGCAAAAGTAATGACAATCCAGACGATCGGGGCAAACCACCTGGCTAGTGGCCGAGATTTAAGAGCGCAGTTAAGCTGTCTAGCGTAATGTGCAGGGCCGCGAAGTCACCATCTAGGTACCTGTTTCAGGCTAATACCAGTGAGCCTATATCACAGACGTGGTACATACAAAATAGTGCCGGGGGCGCCTTCTAGTCGACATGGGGTGCCGCCAGGTCGGTAAATTCGCAGGAAGCACCTGGGTACACTGTGACTCTCACAAGGGCCATTACGTATCGTTATTGATAACAGGGTCGCCCAGCCGCCCGAGGAGAGACCCTACCAGGAGCACCTCACTTATTATCACCCTCGAGACAGATAACTTTACCAGCTTCTTGGTCAGGTGATAATACACCGATCGGGTAATAGTCCAACTACACTACCCACGAGTCTGGTCTCTATCCCGTTTCGATCGGACCTCCTCTAGGCCTCCAGGGAGTCGGAGCTTGCATGCGAACAACCTTGCCGTCAAGTGTGCCCAAAGTGCAGAAGGTCATCGCCTAGTCTTGACGGGGAACGGCTCCAACCTAGATCTATGCTCGCCCTCTTCTACCGAAAATAGTGAACCACCGACAAAGGCCACTCGCTGCTGGTCTACCATACAGAGGGCCTTCAAGGGGCACTTCAATTCCGTCCTCGCCCCGTATCGTCACCGGATACAGTCAGAACTTGGCCCAATCCTGACCGCTTCTCTGCAACAGGGGGGGGCTGGATCTCGGTCGCAATCTCGTGGACTAACCCTCGTACGCGAATCATCTGCTCGCATCTGGTGCTTTGTTCGGTCCAGTCATAAGAGCAGACCAAGTAGAACAGGGATGCCTACGGACTTGCCTCGAGTATTCGCCCTATCAGGCTTATTCCTACCGCCACAACTAACCGAACAAGAGCCAGGTGTAAGACGTTTGTGTTCTAAAACGGTCATCGACTCGCTTCCCTTGCCGCTACATGATAGCTATCAGCGCAAGAAAATCGAGGAATTTTCAAGAACCCCTCGGATGATAATAGGGTAGCTCTCAGGTCTCTTGATGGCACCGCCGTCGATAACTCAATTCATTGAAAGGTTTCTGGTTGGCTCAGGTGGGCTCGTCGATTGAATGCCCATGGAATCGACAGTCAACCCTAGCATGTCGTCGTCTGTCTGTAGCCTCTATATTCTTGTTATTACATACTTCTAAAGCCGGGATCAACACCAGGGCAGTCCTGCTGCGTACATATTTGCAGGTTGTTGTCCTCACCGACCCCCCCCCCCCGGTTTAACGGCTGGACGTCAACTTCGCTGTGGCCGACGTCCTCTTACTGCTGCACCAATTGCCCCCTCGAGAGGATTCAGAAACTATCTATTCCGACGACTCGCCATCAAATGTTCTGACTCCAATGCCACCATCCTGGTGGATACTGGTGTCATCTGCCCAGATAAGACGAGGCGACTCTCATTCGGCGACGAGCCTCTCACTCAACTGCTAGACGGGGCTCTAGAACCCACCGATCCCAGCCTCAGCCAGCCCGGCAAGGTGCCCCAAGCAACGTCTAATCTCACCGCTACATGCCTCATCCTTGTGCCTTCCCGCTACCACCCCAGGCTCGTACACCTCGCGCTCCGTCACTGCCGAAGGCAGAGGCGGCCGCCGTTTGGCCCCGTATACGCCCCACCGGTCCTTAAGCGACCTGGTCCTTGGACCGACGAGTCGGGGATGGTCCATGGGCGAAACATTGTTCGGGTCAGCCGGGCCAACCCTACCCTTCCAAGGGAGCAGCTTCCGGCGAGGTGGAAGAGCCACTGGGAGCTCATGGTCAGGTCGGAGGGATAGTGGAGGTGGAGGGATGCCCTAGTCACTGTAACGAATGTGCCGTCCATGGGAAGCCCGATCCGCTATCCGGCGCGCCAGGCTCAATTCCTACTGCTTTTGCTAGAGGTCAAATCCAGGGGAGCGGCGGCACTGCTCAGGATCGGCGAGGCCGGAACTGGCCGATATAGCTTCGCAACCGTATATGTGGCAGATCCCTACACAGGTACCAACCGGGGGTACGTAGTGGAGGGACGACCCCCCGGCCGTCGCTCGCGGGATGATGAAACCTCCGCAGTAGTGAAGCGTAGCGTATGGAGCACGTACGACGATAATCGTGTTTCTTTTCTTTTTCCTTGATCCGCCTGATCCACCCTTCACTCGTGTTTCCTTTGCTCACTCTTCCCGAGCCCCACACCCAATCTCGTGGACTAGGGGTGCGTGGGGTGAAAGGACCAAACGCAGGGGAGGATTGAAGCTCTGGGCCTCTCCGCCCCCTGCATCAGGGTGTTGGTCGAAAGATTTGAACGTCGTCAATGAACGGGACTTGTCATGATCAACCCAAACATGTTGCTGGTGGCTTGGCTTGGCTTAGTTGCCTTGCCCAGGTTTGTGGCGCCGGCCGACTGGTTTTGGGACCTCCTTTTTTTTTTTTTTCCCGCTCCCCTTTCCCGACAAATTCCCAATCGGCTGCACGACGGCATGCAGCGGACCGCTCGGGAGTCCGTCATTCCCGCTTTCCCCCCCCTCTTCATCCCCCCTTCCCGCATGGGAGATCCCAGCCGCCTGGTTTGGCAGGCCACCCTCCTAACCCGGGGAAAAAAATACGGAGCAAAAGGAAAATGGGGGGAAATAAGAAAAGGGTGTTTGTTGGTCGCGCAATGTGGCGAGTGAGTTAATACAAACATTTTAATTTTTGATGAACTCCCTTCCACCACCCTGGGAGGCGACTCGCTCGTATAATACCTACCTACTCTATTATTATTATTACACTGGGAAATCCGACGCGGGTATCATTTCATTCGTGCCTGCTATCCATCCCCCCTTTTTTCTTTTTCTAATTGAGCGGCGGCATCTTCTCCGCGCACACCCCCGTCAACTCTTGACCGCCGCATCCCCGGTGCTGAAGAACCCGTACTTGGTCTGCCCGGCGGCGACGCCCTCGCTCTGCAGGTAATCCCGCACCTCGATCATGAACTGCTCGGGCCCGCACACGTAGTACTCGGTGCCGCCGTGGTCGAGGAACAGGTCCTCGCGCCCGAGCCTCTGCAGGTCCATCCTGAAGTCGTAGCCCCCGGACACGCCCGTCAGGCGCCTGCCGGCGAGGTCGGTCTCGAACATATTGACTCGGAGGTGCGGGAGCGCCCCCGCGCGCTTGACCTGTCGCACCTGGCTCTCGAACGGGATCCCCCTGCGCGAGCCGTGGATCCACGACACCTGCCGGCCGGGCTGCAACTCGGCAACCGAGTTGAGCATGGACATGAGCGGGGCGACGCCGACGCCGGCGGAGACGAGGACCAGCGGGACGCTGCTGGGGTTGTTGGTGTCGAGGTAGAACTCCCCCGCCGGGTGGGAGACGTTGACGGTGTCGCCGTTGGACATCTGGTCGACGAGGATGTTGGACACGATGCCCGGGTGGAAGTAGCAGGACGAGACCGTGTTCGAGTACTGCGACCCCGGGTCCCGCTTGATGGTGATGCGGTAGTGGTCCGGCTTGGGCGAGTCGCTGAGCGCGTACTGCCGCGACTGTAGGTATCCCAGGGCCGGCGCGTCGACCTGCACCGATATGTACTGCCCCGGCAGGAAGGTCGGGAGGCTCTTCCCGTCGACCGGGACCAGGCGGAACGACCAGATGTCGTCCGACTCGGCCACCTTGCCCTCGAGCCTGAACTTGCGCCATCCCGTCCACTTTTCGAAATCCCGATATAGCTGCGCCTCCCGGCCTATCAGCATCCGCGCGAGGATCCAGTACGCCTTGTGCCATGCGGCGTGGACTTCGGGCGTCATGGTGGCGCCCAGGATACGGGCAAATGCCTGGAGGAGGTACTTCCCCACGATCTCATAGTGCTCTGGTTTGATTGCCAAGGAGCAATGTTTGTTGCAGACGCGCTCAAGCTTGGGAATGAGCTCGCTGGTGTGGCTGATGTTGGCGGCAAAATGGAGGATGACGGCAGTGAGGGCTCGTGGTTGGCGGCCGGTCGCCTGGTTGACGGTGTTGAAGTAGTTGTTGAGCTCGGGATGATCGTGCAGCATGGTCTTGTAGAAGGTGGAAGTGAGCTGTTCGCCATGCTCCTTCAGGATCGGGACCGTCCCTTTAATGATCTTTGCCTCCTGGTAGTTTAGAGCCATAACTTTGAGCTTGTCAAAAAATCGGGAACGAAGGGGAAAGCGGAGACTGCCTGCCGATTAGACCAAGGGAGTTAGGAGACGTTAATATTGCACCGGACGAAGCGGTCCTGCCGGGATGATATATATCTCAGGGCGACACCTTGATGCGTGCATAGACTGGTACCTCGGGATAGAGGTCGTAGCGTACACGGACCCCATTCTGCCATTCTCGTCTGATTATGAAGAGAAAACTCGGAGGCCTACGCACAGATTGTCAAGGGACCACTTGGTCCCGCGACAGCCTCGAAAACGGGGGCGGCTAACTCGCAAAATATAAAAGTGGTGACGAGCATATGATCGTACCATCGTATCATGGAGATTGTCCGCGTGCCCAATATTGTTATCCCTGTTCCTGGTTCGTCGTTATTGTCCGGTAGTGCCTACCACAGTAAAACGGGACGTGTGTAATCTCATCTTGTGCGCTAACTAGTAAATATTCGTATCCCTGGGAAACTGCTCACTCAGTTTAGATGTTAGTGCGGCAGTTGTCTGCTTACGGTTAGGTAGGGAGCCTTAACATGTTTGAAGATATCTCCCGGCAGGCAAGGAGTAGGAAACCCGGGGCAGGCATTGGTGCGCGAGGGAGATTATGCCGTCATGTTCAACACGAGAGAACATGAAGTTTGTTTCGGCACTCGCCGGCACAAGCACCCTGAGCCATATTTAGCAATATCCACTGCCGGTGGAGCAGGAACTTCTAGAATTTCATAAAACGTGGTTATTACATGGCGGCCCGGGCGGGGATGTCATACGATTGTGGGACAAAAGAAGCCCTTCCCGAGCTCCATTTGGTAGAGCTGGGGCCGAAGCAGCTTTAATGGAACACTGCGCTGGTAGGCTGGGTTCGGCAACTTGGATCACCCCGATGTCGAGGTTCCGAAATCCAAAGGTGTAGAAGGAAAGAAAAGAGAAGGAAAAAAAAAAAGAAAAGAAAATAGGTACGAAGCGCGAAGCGCGTATTCCAATCAGGACGCGTCGTGATTGATGGAGAAAAATATCGCCGTAGAGCCGCTCAAACGGACAAGATAGTCCCAGATCGAGGCTTGGAGGAATGGATGCTCGCAGTTAAAAGGGGAGGCAATCCCGACAATCCCGACAACTCGAATCTACTGAACGGGACATGATGCCCTGTCTGTCGCATTGGTAAAAATTCCACGTGTAGATTATCATACGAGCGTGAGCTTTACGTTGTATTTGCGTCACAAATGCCGGACTTGAATTTAACCCCGGGACCCCCACCCACCTTCCAGAACCCGGTCCTGCGCGGGTTCAACCCGGACCCCACTATTTGCGTGGTGCCCGCAACGGCCGAGAGCCCTACGACCTATTTTCTCAGCACCTCGACTTTCGAGTATTTCCCGGGCTGTGCCATTTACACGTCCACGGACCTTCTCAATTGGAAGCTGATTGGCCATGCCCTCAACCGCAAGTCTCAGATTGACCTTAGGACGCCCGAGCCGGGGGCCGGGAGCTGGGCGAGCACGCTGAGGTACCGCCCAGATGAGAAGCGCTTCTACCTTGCGAACGGAATCTTCCACCGATACAGGCCCGCTTCCGATGTGCGTCAATATCTGCCAGGCGAGGTCTCTCTTCCTTCCGGTGCTAAGATATAATTTAGGAACGGATATTTCCCCGTGGATTCTACGTCTACACGGACAACATATGGGACGACAATGCGTGGTCAGACCCAATATTCTTTGACAACCCCGGCTTCGACCAGGATGTGAGCAACTCTTTTACCCTCGTCTCCTATTCCACACTCCCGGTCTTCACGGCCAGCTCTAATCCCCTGTCCAGCTGTTCTGGGACGACCGGACATCCAAGGTCTACTTGTCCACAACCCACCGGCTTGCCATCCGGCCCCCAGGCTCGACACAGAAGGACTTCGCAATCCACATCTCGGAAATCGATCTCGCATCCGGTCGGACGCTGACGCCACCCACTCTGATCCGCACTTCCCCGCACGGCATCGCCGAGGGTTCCCACATCATCAAGCGCGGGGAGTGGTATTACCTGTTCACGGCCGAAGGCGGCACCGAAGCCGGGCACCAGGAGTGGGTGTTCCGGAGCCGGGAAGGGCCGTTGGGGCCGTGGGAGGGAACGGGACGGCCATTGTGGTACAACGGGCCGGACGAGGAGGTGCAGAGGACGGGACATGCCGATGTCTTTGAGGATGGGAATGGAGATTGGTGGGCTGTCCTCCTGGGTGTAAGGCCCGTGAGGGATGGGGTGAAGTGGCTCGAACCTCAACTAGGTACGCCTGGGAAATTCCGGGAAGTAAGGGGTTTTATAGCCGCTGACTGATACGTTGTAGGTAGGGAGACCTTCCTCGTCAAAGTTGACTGGGCGGACGACTGGCCGGTCTTCAACGAAGGGAAGAACATCGCCCTCCTCACGCCTGGGAGAGACCACGTCCAGGAGGCCCAGGGAATCCAGCCAAGAGTCCAAGGCACGTTGGTATGGAGAGCGGCCCTGAACCAGCCCGACTTGGAACTAGGATGGTATCAGAAAAGTAGGCGCAGCCGATCTTGTCTTTGGGATCCGCAGACCATCTAACAAACGCCACAGACACGCCGATTAAGAGGTCGTACACCCTCACCGAGCGTCCCGGATATCTGCGGCTCTACGGTGGATGCTATGACCTATCCAGCCCAGAGGCTCCCTCGATGCTCCTTCGGAAGCAGCTGTCGCACAACGAGTGTTTCCAGGCAAAGATGATGTTCAAGCCCGAAAAGTCGGGATACGAGGCCGGCATGGTTCTCTGGTGGAACCAGTTCTCATACTCGACTATCGGCATCACGAAAGTTGACGGCCCGCTTGGCACCGGGCCGGTATCTATCACATGCCGGTCCCCGACAGGCCGGGCCGGGGAGCTGAATGTAGATGCGCTCTGTCCCACAAGTATATGAAGCCGGTTTGATTGCTGACTTACATGTAGCTCTCGCAAACTCCCTTGGGACCGGCTGTCGACGGCCAAGTCATCGAGCTTGCAATTACGTGCCGACCAACAAGCTACACGTTGAGCATTGGAGCCGGGGCGGTTCAGCACAACTTCGGAGTGTCTACTGCAGACTTGACTGTCCTTCCGCCGGTTGGAGGGGCCTTCGCAGGAGCCATGTATGGAGTCTACTCGTTCGGTAAAGGAGAGCCGGTGTTGGATCCGGTCGATTTCACCGATATCCTGGTTACGAAGACTGGGTGAATGTGGGCAGTCAAGGTGGTTGGTTGGCTGTCCAGGAGAGATACCACCACGCAATATAATATAAGTTCCATAGTGGCAGCCACCGAATGGTCGCGAACATTTTGGCCGCCTACCTTAGGTAGGTAGGTATGTTCTCTGTATTTTCAACTCGGGTTACCCGTTTCAGCAAGTTCGGGGCAGATGCCATAAGCCGACTCGAACAAGTTAGGACAGTGTTCGGGGAAGAGAAGGAGAGGGCCGGACGCTGCCCTAGACAAATCCTTTCCCCTCCGCACCCGCAGCGGCAAGTGGCGCTAGGCTGGCTGCGCCTTCCTTTCCAAGCCCGCGCCTCCTATTCGGGCGGCCCCCCTTTTTATGGTTACACCCGCGTCTCCTTCTCCTCACGCTTCAAGAATTGTGCTTCCTCCCGAGTTTTAAGCGATAGTTAAGTGTCTCTCGCTAACATAGAGCCCGCAATCCAAGCCCGAAGCGGCATTGGATGACGCCCCAGTTTCCACTTCCAGGATACCTAGGTGATAGGTAGACAACAGCACGGGTGGCTATTGTTGCCGAATAATGCATTCGGGGTGGCACCCAACGGCAGCTGTGCCGGCCGACCAATGCCGGAGCTGCGAGCCCGCAGTAGTGCGATAGCCTGCAGGCGGCCGAGCATCTCGGAGCCCTGCATGGTGGGGCCGCATAGAAGAGTCAGGTCGTTAGGGCCATCTGCCGGAGCATTTTGAAGCCCCTCTCGACGCAGAACCGAGTCTGGACGCCTCGCGCTGCATGGATATACGGGGATTGATTGGATTGTGGATGCAAAGGGAGCTATAACAGCAGCCGGATAAAAAAAGATTTGTTGCACACGGGGTCGCGCCAGTTGCTCTGCACCCGGCCTGGCCGAGGGGTTGAACGCTGTTAACTGGGGGCTCTCCACCCGGGTTACTGTATTAGGAAACCCGCCGGGAGCTTGGATCGATCGCTTCTAGCATCCCTGGACCCCGCATTGATTGGCCCGCAGACACGCAGACGACGATCAATGATCCGGCTAACCAAGTCTTTTGCGTCAGAAACCTTTCGATCTATCGACAATCTTTGGAAACCAGATGTGCCATTGACAGTTGAATTCCCAAATCGCCTTCCGCCCCTCAAACCAATGGGGCTCTTGGAAAGAGGCATGGCGACAGATTCTTGTCTCACCGAGGGGGAGGACGGCGTTCTCACCCGGCTGCACCTGGGAGAGCTTCTAGTTTCCAGTCTGGGCCCCTAGGCCCCTCCTCGCGTCTTCCATTCCATGCTGTCAGTCCGCGATAACGCCGCCGAGGGGCCATCCATAGTAGAGAGGTGAGGGGAAGACTTATTTTTGGGAGTCCAGATCCTTAGCTTAAGAGACTAGGCACCTAGGAGGTAGGTCATATGGACATGACGAATCTTTTGCCCCCGAGTCGATCCCCCGCGAGCTTTCAACCAACATCTGTTTTCGTCCCACAGCCTCGTGTTCTCGTGTTCCTTCCCAGATAACTGGGATATATCATCCCCCTGGACCGCCACCCCCTCTCGGCGTCGTAAACAGTAGTCCAACTTCCTCAGTTAGGTTAGGGTTGCATGTGCAATCTCCTGCTTTCCTTCCCCTCGCTATTCGGCGTTTCGCCCAAAGTCATAAACACAGCACCACTACAAGCTAGCTAGCTTGCTTGTCCTCAGACTCCCAAAATCCTTCCATTTTGCGTGGTCGACTCCTGTATTTGCGCTTGCGAAGAGCCGGAGAGTCGAGAATGCACCCTACAACGGCCAGAACATGGTCAATGGCCACCCGACTAGGCCGGGTTACACCGCGAGCAAGACCTGCTCTCTCTGTCCCTATACTCAACCTCAACCACCAACCCCTTCCGAGCCATAAGAGCTCTCCCAGACATGCACCTGCGGCCAGAGCCCTGCACAGCACCCCTAGCCGCTCCCAAGCGACCCCGACCCCGAGCGAGCGCCGCTCCACTCTCCCCGAGTTCAGCCTCAAAGACAAGGTGATAGTGGTGTCGGGAGGCGGCCGCGGGGTCGGCCTCGTACAGGCGGAGGCGCTGCTCGAGGCCGGGGCGGTCGTGCACGTCATCGACCGACTGCCGCCGCCGACGGCGACGTCGGACTTTGCCAGGGTGGAGGCGCGGGCGCGCGACGAGCTCGGGACCACGCTCGTCTACCACAACCTGGACGTGCGCGACTCCGTGGCCCTCAACGACGCCGTGGGCGCCATCGCGGCGCGGCACGGCCGCCTGGACGGCCTCATCGCCGCCGCGGGCATCCAGCAGGAGACGCCGGCGCTCGAGTACAGCGCCGAGGACTGCGACAAGATGCTCGGCGTCAACGTCACGGGCGTCTTCATGACGGCGCAGGCCGTCGCGAGGGAGATGGTCAAGCGGAAGCAGAAGGGGAGCTTGGTCCTCATTGGGAGCATGAGCGGTACCGTGGCCAATCGCGGGCTCATCTGTCCGTACGTAATCTGAGAATCCCCCAAATACCTGCGAGGGAGACGGTCCCCTCGGATCGTTTTAGGAGACTAACACTGAGGAATGACAGTGCCTACAACGCATCCAAGGCAGCGGTGCTGCAGCTGGCCCGCAACCTCGCGGCAGAATGGGGCGAGCACGGCATCCGCGTCAACACCATCTCGCCCGGCTACATCGTCACGGCCATGACGGCGGGCCTGTTCGAGGCCTTCCCGGAGAGGAAGACGGATTGGCCCAACGCCAACATGCTGGGCCGCCTCAGCTACCCCCACGAGTATAGGGGAGCCGCCGTCTTCCTCCTCAGCGACGCCAGCAGCTTCATGACGGGCTCGGACTTGAGGATAGACGGAGGCCATTGTGCCTGGTAAATGAAGGACCAAACCTAGGTTCGGCAAGGTACTGTACATACTTCGAGCATCTTCGCACCATGTGGAGGAGTTCTGGTTGGAGCGGCGAGCGCGTACGGATATATATCCTCGTTGCCTGAACTTGATAATAATAAGCCGGGGGTATCATTTGGATTTGTTTTTTTTTGTACGGTAGCCAGTTAGTTTTACACAGGTGATGACAGGTTTAATGAGTAATTCCCACCTCGTCGCACTCATAATGCCAATTCATTTCCCCATACTCCCACCAAGTCTCCATCCCCTACCACCACCCACCATCACCGACATCCACCCCTTCACGCTGTCTCCCCACCCACCACACTCACCACCACCCCCGGCGCCCCAAACCTCCCCACAACCCCCCTCCGAAGCCCCAACCTCGCCTCGATATCCCCAGCCGCGACCCCCCTCTGCCGCAGCACAAGCGCGTCCCGAATAGTCCCCACGTCGAGGAACTCCCTCCCCTCCCTGCCCCCACCGCCGGACAGGAACTCCCTATCCGCGCTCTCCTGCAGGCGCCGGCGCGACTCGAGGACGCCGAGGGTTGCGTTTTCGGCCGCGGGGGGGAAAGACCCCGGGCCGGGATGGGACGACGACGACGGTGGTGGTGGTGGTGGCGGCGATGATGATGCTGCTGTCGACGAGGGCGAGAAGGTCGGGTTCGGTTGCGCCACGCCCATGCGCCGGAGGCGCGCCGAGAAGGCCGGGCTGGCGCCGTAGTCGGAGTCGGGGGTCGCGCCCGGGTTGATGGAGTCGGCGCGGATCGCTGCGGGTGGGGTGGGAGGGTGGTTAGTTCTGGGTAGTTCTGGCTGAGAGGCGCCCGGGGGGGGGGGGGGGGGGTTTGCTTACCTTCGTCTTTGGTAAATGAGGCTTGAGCCCGGGGCGGCGGCGGTGCCGGACGGGTTCTTGACGGGCGCGGCGGCGGTGGTGGTGGTGCTGCTGCTCCGGGGGCTCTGGTTGGGAACTTGCGCGCACCGCTCTGGGCTGCTTTGGATGTTGAGGAGCCCATTCTTCTGGAGTTGGGTTCCTGTCTACTGCTCAAGAGAGGGAGCAATTTGTTCGATGTCTGGAGGAGCCTGAGCTTCCCAGATGGTGCCCGTGCAACGTCATAATTACTAGAGTGGGGCCAACTTGTCTCGCTCGCGGTAACGCGATATTTTCCATTTTTATTTATCCCATTTTTCTGGGATTCCTCATCACCACACCTTCCATCCATCCTATCTGGCCTCCATGGGCATAAAGATAAAGTTCCAAGCAAAGTTGATGACGACCTTTCCATCGTCGATTTCCATGTCCCAACCCTGACGACTGTCAAAGACCAGCGACCATGCCACTTCCCATTCGTCAATTCCGAGACTGTGTCATGATTCGTTCCTTTGTCCCGTTTTTTCGTTGACCCCAGGTACTTTTATGTTCTCCCCTTGTCATAATATTATTTTACCCCTTTTGCGCCGTTGCTTGGAAGTCCATATGCAAGTGCAGCATTGATAGAGCCTTGTCTAGACCAGAAACAGGAAACCAAATGAAAAGCAGATTGAAAGAACGCGCAAATTCCCTCCTTCCTGATCGTAATTCCTCGCAGCTCCTTGGAAAGATGATGAGCAGCAAGTCCCTTCGGGAGAGGATTGGTTGGTGAGGCAGGTCGAGCCCCAATGTGGCACCACTCCCTATCCGTTGTCGATGAGCTGGTATGCAGAAGTATGCAGCCGAGTCGAGCCTTGTGGTTGTAAAGGGAAGGACCAAGTGGCAAGACAGAGGTAGGCCATCTTCCCAGCCAACGAGATCGATGGAGATGTGGAGAAAGAAAGAAACCGTGAAAGGAGCAAGACTCATGAGAGAGTCAATGAATACTAGAAACGCCGAGTAAGATATGCGAAGATGGGTATCATAATGGGAAGTGAAAATTGCCAAAGCAAAATATCGCCGCGCCTCCCACATGAATCCCATTCGCCATGCATTCCCCTTGGGGGAGCAAGCCAGCCATGCAGCATAGTGCGTCTAGCCACGAACCTGCCCACCTCGAATAGCAAGCACAGTGACCAAGATGGTGAGACCCATCAGGTACGCAGCCAGGCTGACATAGTTGAGGATCTTGATCACGCGGAGTTGGCCGCGATTCAGCGTGGCTGTCTCGCCCTTAGTAACCCACGACAGGGCCGAGCTAAATGCCCCCTTCTGGACCAGCAGGGCAAAGAATGGGAAGATGCACAGGGCTGCCATCACATAGAAGCAGAGCTCGCGGCGTCTCCTGGCCTCCTAGGTCAGGTAGGCGTCCTCGCTGGGGATCCCGAAAGCGCCCTCGGGATGCTCATGGACCAGGTTGCGCAGGTCCATGTCCACGTTCACGTCCATGTTGTGCCGTCGATTCCTGTGATCTTTTGACTGCAGGTGCGCAGAAATGCGCGGGGTGCCGCCAGCGGATCTGCCCGTGCCCTGCGAGGGGCCGCCAGCGGTTGGTCTGAAGGCATTGTGCTGCCGACTAGGCGTGTCAGGAGTGGCGCTGCGGAGTCGGATCATTGGGAATCCAACTGTGCCAAAACTGCCATGAGCTGGGGTCCGATCTATTCATCCACCATGTTAGCACAGTTCCTGTCAGGAGAAGTGGGTATGGAGCATCGCGCATCACAAACCTGTTCGCCGGGTGAAAAGGCCCTGAGAGAATCGCCTGAGTGGGGCCTCCATGGCAGCTGCCTTCCGAATATGGGCCTTCACAAGTTCCGAGATGGGCGTGCCAGAACTCCCAGTTCCTGGTGTGGCACTCTTCGAGGATGAGTCGCCCAATTTCTTGCTGCCAGTATTTTCGATGAAGGTCTGGTCATCCTCGCCCAGCTCGCGCCTTCTAGCTTGCAGTCTTGCAGCCTCCGGAAGCGGAATCAGGGGGAAGCTGAACTGGGTAGGGCTGCTAAGGTCGGAGAACCCGTCGCTGGATTGTCTCACCGGCTGTGGAGCCCCCCATCGATCAGCTGCCCAGGGAGGTGGCAGGGGTGAAGTTGGGAAGGCCAGATTGGTCATGGCATATCGGCTCTGCTGTGGACGGGGCGGGGCTTCCTCCTTTGCTTTCCCCTTTCCTTTGGGATCCTCTCTCGCGTGGGCGACGATGAGCCGCTCCTCTTGGCCATCTGAACCGGCAGAATCTCGGAAGTCGAACTTGGAGGCCATTCCCAGACTCTTATATTTGTTCCCCAGAGCCGTGGGCCTGTTCCTCATGCCGTTTGGTCGGAAGGCTTGGGGAAGCTTGTCGGCAAATGAATCCTTGGAAGAGACTCCAGCGCTGTCTTCCGTCTGGTCGGTGGGAATGCGGCCAGGGTTCTCTGGATACCCATTGACACGGTGTGTTCGTTGCTGAGGAGGAAAGTTGGGTCGGCCGGCCTGAATGAGGTTCCGGGGGTTGGATGGTCCAGGAACACTCTGAGCTGGGCGATTCTGGATAATGCGGTCTGTTGAGGATGAGAAGGCGTCGTAGGTTCCTCCCATGTGCATGCTTTGCTCGTCGGAATAGTCGGCTATGCTGCTTCCAGTGATCTTGGCTCCGTAGCCACCGACGCCGACGGCATATGGGTTCAACGAATAACCCCGGTTGCTGTTTGGAACACCGACGCTGGTTGCCACGGTCTCCCAGTCGTCACCGTCGCTCATCATGTCTCCCGCAGTGGCGTTGTATGGGGACGGACGAGTGGGCCCGTTGTTGTCAAAGTGAAGTCCAGCAGTGGTGGCCCGCTTTCTAGCTGCTTGTCCGCTCGTCACTGCGGCTGCCCTGATGGGGATCTTCACCTGGAAACCGCTCTTTTCCATCTCCAAGGGAGGCTGCACACCTGGGCTCTGGTAGAACCCTGGATTCTGAGGGGGCTCGGGCTTCTGGATGTGCCGCTCGGCAAGCTGCTGCATGGCCTCTTGTGTTGGGAGAGGCGGAACCGGGGGGCGAAGGGTCTGATGGATGGGAGTACCATCCGCACTGCAGAGGGTACCTTGGCTATGGGCGGTGCTTACGCAATCGACATGTCGCAGCGCAACACTGACTTCTCTCTCCTTGGATGGCTGGAGGAAGAGGGGCTGGTAGTTCTTGTCGTATCGGAACGGACCACCTTCTTCGGTGTCCGTCGTCACGCCGCCAAGAGAAAAGGCGCCCTGGCTGGCAAGGCTGTCCCTGTTGTTGCCCATCGCTGGGGAATCGGGCTTATCGTGGTCTCTGAAACCACAGCGAGCGACAGCTCCTTCACGCTGGAAGGGCTCTGAGGTGGGCCCGTACGGGCCATCGGTCCCGTCGGCGGCAGGGGTGGTGGAATAAACCACGGCCGGGTTAAAACCGCTCGACGACGACGCCGCGGCGTGCTGCCCGTAGATCTTCTCCACGGTGCTCCCAGTTCCATCATGTGGAACAAGGGGCGGCAGCGCGCCCTCGACATCGCCGTCGTCGGTCGCCGAAACGCCAGAGGCGGGGGCAGCGAGAGGAGAGAGGGGAGCGCGGGCAGGGTCGTGCACCGAGACTGGCTCGGGAGAAAAGCGGGGCTGGTCGGTGTTGGCGCCGGGTAGGTCGCCGGCAGCCGGCTTGGTGGGGCCGGGCCCAGAGTCGGAGGCCGACTTCATCTGGTCGGCGGGGTTTCTTCCTGCCATGGTCAGCGCCGTGTCAACTAGTCCGCCGCTATTAATCGCCGGGTCCACACTTGGAACACCAGGCAGCTCGGCGGCATTTGTGCGGAGAGAACGAAAGTGACCAGCGATGGCCTGGTGTGCTTGGTCGAGATTCGGGAAGATGGGGCTCTTGGGAGTGGTGCTTCGACTAGGGGCAGGGTCTGTGTCGCCGCTTCCTCTGCGGAAACCCTGAAGAGCTTTGGGGTGCGATTCCCCGAACTCTCCGTGAGGCTTTCTCGGCATCTGCAAATCCCGGGTCCACGTTAGCTGATTACCCCTGATCAAAACAAATAGGTGATGTAAATAAAAAAAATCAGCTCCCACGACAACACCGGCGACAACACGTGTGTCACCTAGAAAGTAGCCAAAATCGAGGCCAAATGAAATCAAAATTGTAAGCACGCGTATACACCGACCACAAAACGGTCTCCTTACACTTCCTGCTGCACTCGAAAGCTTGTGAGTGGATCTGCATCCAAGGTACAGGTGACCATTGGAAGGTGAGATGGAGCAAGTGAAGTAGGATATATCACTCACCTTTGGAAGATAGCAACCAACTGGAATGGATGCTGCTGCTGCAGGCGCCAAGACCCCAGCCCCTGAGGAAAGGGAAAGGAAAAAAGACTAACCTTGATGACCTCTGGCCCAGTTGTAAGTAAGTAAATAAATAAAACTGGGGGTGATGGGGCGATAAGGTGGAGGGGGGTGGAGGGGGGTGGAGGGTGGTGGGAGTCGGGAAACCTCGACACGTGTGTGTGTGCATGTGTGTGTATTGTGAGAGAAAGGGAGGTAAATAAAGCCGGGAGACATGTGAAAGGGCAGGACGCGTGAGACGGGTAGGAGGCGTGTGAAGGCGTAGGGAGGCCCACAGGACAGAATTCACTCACCTTGTGATCTTAGCACGGAGCTCTGCGGCGCTGGAGTATTTGCAAGTAGAAAACTGTGAGATAGCGAGTTAGTGTTCCGTCGTCCAGATGGTCGTCCCAAGGTCACGTTATCGACCCGAGGAGGAGGAAGTTCGGGGAGGGAGAGTGGAGTGCTGTCCATCGGCTGAAATGTTGAGTGCAAGGGTGATGCGCCTGGGATGCCTTCTTCAGCATGGCCAAAGCGGCCAGTGAAGAGGGAGCAAGGGCAGCCAGAAGGCATGGCCAAGCCTTGCTGGACCTGGGGAAATATGGAAGCTGGTGGGAAGTGGTAGTCATGATCTTGGGCTTCAAGGAGTGGGACGGAGAACAGCAGAAGGGAGGGCCAGGCCCTCGAGCGTCTGAGGCCGCCAGAAATATTTGAGTAAACAGAGAAAAGGGGACAGAGCCAGAGAAAATACATGATCCCCTAATCCATGAGGCTGGGGGAAGATGAAGTAAAAATATGCGAACGAACTTACCGCGGTCGAGGATCTTGAGGTTGGTGAGTGAGGTCGGGGGAAGTCGAGGGAAGAAGGGCGAGGTGATAGAATAGTAGAGGAAGTGGGGCTAGAGGGAGAAGTACGGATACCTGGCCGGGAGGCACGATCGAGCTGTCGAGACCTAGGGGGTGGAAGTGACAGGAAGGTGAAAAGTGGTGATGTTCTCCACCTACCTCTCCAACATCGCCAGGCCCCGGAAAGCAAAGCGAGGGACTGTGTGAGTGGTTAACACTGAGCAAAAAGGGGAGTGAGGCTTGATACACACGTGGGTTATCTTCTGGAAAGATAGGAGGGCGAAAGAGACGTTGACTACCTTCCAGGTGAAGGAAACAGTGAGGAGTTGAATGAAGGAATTCCCTGCCAGTGACCTTAACTACCAGACTTGTGCACAACTGTGCCAGCTGTAACTCAAAGGGTCATAAGGTAGTGCTGGATCCAGTCTATCATGATCAAGTGACTGGCAATATGATGAGGCGTAAGGCGTGTACGCTTCTCTAGACAGCTACAAAGGTGTCGTTAGACATATAATGACCTTGCACTATCAACAGACTCATTTTTACTACTAAAGAACACATGAAAAGAGCAAACAGTGTGATCATTCCTCCTCGAATGTCGAAATATCCTAGGGCTATATTAGACTTGTCTCCCCAAAGACAGCTCTCAGTAGCGTCACAATCGGTTGCAGTGGCTTGAGGAAGGATCTCTGGCTATCTCCTGGCCACATCACGGTTATCTAGGGCGGACTCTGACAGGATATATGATTCTTGGACATCATGTAATCCGTATTTGGAGGCTAAACACTGGCGTAAGGGCATAGAAAGGATCAGGGAGAGGGTGCAAAAATTACCTAGATCCCAGTTGGCAGATGATAGATATCTCTGCATGCCCTATTCCATGAATTGAATCAATTGTGCGATACACATTTCTAGCACTTGGGGATAATTGCCGATATTACTCACGATATTCCGAGTGGTGGATTCCCATCTGCATTGTCGGTATCATAGTGCCAGCCAAGAGGATAACCACCTAACGGCTAGGTTATCCCCTAAATGGTATCGGACAACATGTTACATCTAGTGCAACATCATTATCTGTCCAGAATGCTTGCGAAATATATAAAAATGCTAGTCTATGGCTCTGAGGAAGGAAAGGGGGAATCTACCAAGGTGGTCGGTCTCCATCTCCCTCCCTGTTCTGCTATCTCTCACCGCCCATGTTGTCCAAGGGAGGCGACATCCATGCAATGGGCGGGCGGGAACTAATAATATGCAGTACGGGGGCACAGTACCTACCTGTAGTTTTAAATGGAACGCACTAAAACAACCAAGGTGCGAGATTGAAAATAGTTGCTAATTTTGGCTTGATAGCTCCATCTCGATGTTTGCCTTGAGATTAGAGGCGAATGTGCCACTGTAGATTTATTAAATACCGGCTCTCCCACTGCAACTGTCGCTGGTATACTCCTTGTACTCCGTACTTGGTTGTTACCTGAGGCGGAGGAGATCTGGAGGGGTTGCAAACCCCACATTCCAGATGGTAAGCCGGCGTCTTAAATCGCCACTTGCTTCCGCCCCCCACGTTGCCTGCCCCTTTAAATTGTTGGACCCTATCAACTTTGTCCTCTTCAGTCTTTCTTAGCTCCGAAGTACATGATTAGACACGGCCGGAGGCATGGCAGCGGCCAATTTGTCCAGCCTTCCTGGAGAGATTTTACTCCAGATATTATCATGTAAGTGGCGGCACATTGAACGGGGAAATTGGCCTTGGACAGCTTGGCTGACGCTGACACCTTGCAACCGACAGTTCTCTCACCGGCGCATATCACCCAGCTTCAGTTGGTCTCAAAAACATTCCTTAATATTGGGCGGGACAGTACCTTTTGGCGCGAAAGATGCTTTCAAGAATCCTCCTTCCTCGAAACCCTCGATCGGCGACGCCAGCTCGGCGCGAGTAACCCCCCACAAGTCGAATATGACCGACCTCCCCAAGACCCTGTCGGACAGGCTGCTTTCAGGGGATGGAGGTTGTCACTGGCCGACAATGCTGGCGCCGCGCCAAGCGAGGATACTCGGCAGGTGGTGCAGCTGAGAGAGCGCGAGAGGGTGCGGATCATGGCCAACTGGGATCCATCGTATCCGTCCGAGCGAGTCTCCTGGTACGACGAGTACATTCAGCGACATGGTCCTATCTCCGTCAGCTGGTTTCAACAACCTCGCGCTTATATATCGGGAAGCTCAGAGCCGGAATACGTTGAAGCGAGAGGGGTTGCACTTTATCGACCCGACAACCCTCGCGAAGACCAGGTCGATGTCGAGACCGTACTTGCTGTATCGCCGCTAGACGACGGCGGGGTTTGCATATGGGATGTAAATGGGACGAAGGGTCGAAAAGGGGCAATTATCTCCAGAAGCAAGCCCGGCATCTTGTTTATCGATGGTCCTGGGCCAGAGAATAATAGGCGTTCCAAGCGAGTCGATTCCGGAGTTACCGAGTGTGTCAGCGTGGACAGCCGACAACATCGGGCATTCTTTGCAGTGCAGAGTCGTAAGTCTGGTCGCGGCGTTCGACGGGGAGCAGAGAGACTGATCAAGGTGCCCAGATCTCATCGATATTGATCTGCAAAGCTTGTCAGTAGTTGGCTGTGAGTCTTTTCCATGGTCCATTACAGCTCTGTCGGCAGCGCATCCCGCGGTGCCCCTTACCGTCGGCACAAACTTGGGAATCCACCTGCACGATTATAGGTCGAGGGCGCCGTATCGAACCGAGAACCTGGACAAGATCGACAATGTTGATAACGCTGGGAGGTTCGGGGCCAAATACTTTTACGACCGTAGCCTGAGGTCTCTCTTCGACGAAGACCCTCTTCCGCCATACGCTCCGCTCGCCCAGCCTGGCCCCCTCAGTATCCTCCATCTGCAGAGGCCTGGCTCTGAAGTCGACCTATCCGACGACATCTACGTGGCGGGAAGGTTTTCCAATATTCTTCACTACGATCGACGAAGATTTCCTTCCATAAAAGGCTCAATCCATTCCGGCGCGAGGCTGTGCTGCCTGACCTCATTGCCCTACCCCTTCTCTTCACTTGACCTTGACTTCAGGCGGAGAGGGGAACTCTCCCTAGAACAGATCCATACATCCAAGACGCTACCTGGCGGACGTACTATGATTGCTTGTGGCGAATATAATACCAAGGGGTCTCTGGAGCTGTACGGCTTCGCTGCGCCGCCAACATCGATGCCGGATTTCGGGGAAAGGTTTGGAAATTCAGTGCTGAAGAACCGGCAAACGTCGTCAGCAGCAAAACTCCTCTCCGTGACCAATCACGGCACTCGCATAGCCGTTTCGGACGGCTTGGGCTACGTGAAATGGTTTGAGCGGGATGGATTCACAGAGGTCCGCCGGTGCCGAATAGGACACAGTGACAAGAGAGCGGCCCCCTCAATCTTTTCCTCGATGGCGGTTTCCGATGACATAGCCAGGAAACTCGTCCCGGTCAGGCCCGGCGGGAACAGCAGTGAGCTCAGGAACGGCGACCTGCTCTTCTGGACAGGCGAGAAGCTGGGCCTGGTTGGCTTCTCGTCCCGACCAGGGTTCGCGGCGGAGGAGTTTGAGGAACGGGTCCCTTCTACTCAGGATCCCGAGATGGCTGAGGCGGAGCGGGCGCACAGAGAGCAAATGCGATATGCTCTGGAAAGACAAGCTGACGATGTCCGATTTGTGAGGAATCTCGGGCTCGGCAGCGGCCGAATGTCGTAGTCTGAGGTGCAGTCTTCTGAATCGAGGGATCCTCGGCCTTCCCAGCACCCACTGGTCCGTGTTGACCACCTGCGAGGGGTCAGCGTTCTCTTCCGCCGCAGTTGCGATAGTAACTGCATGCCGTATACTCTAGGCCCAACCCCAAGATCGGCAAAGTCGAGTCCGACTTGTTGGCCGTTCCTCTGGCTACTGTCATCCGGAATTCCGTGCTCCCGAAATTGAACCCACTGGCTCGAGAATAAGAGAGGCTCAATTCGGACTGGACAATCTGGGCTTTGGAGCCGAACCTTCCGGTAGTGGGGGAACCTGATCAGTCGTGAACGATGCCTTTCCCCATCCTCATGTGCTTCCCGGCAGCGCCACGGCTGGCTTTACCGTGTTGTAACGATCAAAAAGATTACATCCGTTGATAGGTTCTGGGAGATTGATGACGCGGAGCAGACGGCACTCGAGGCGGATGAGGATAGTTGGCCCTCTTGTATGAGCGATGACGTGATGGTTTACATGACCATCCTACTTCCAGACTGAAGCCTCGCTAACCATCATCTACAATTCACCAAGATGACCCTCTCGAGTGTGGCATCACGCCTGCAGATCTTACTTCGTCAAAGCTACGCTGCCAAGTAATATCTCCTCCAACTCCTGTCTGGTGGCCTCCGGAACCCGTCCTGATAATCGTCGAGAGCCTGGAAAACTGCAGTGCTCCAGAGGTCTCTCCCGAATTAACATGTAGAGGTTTAGCAAAAACTACTCCCCTTCGCTACCACATCTCGGTACAGTCAAGCAGCCGGCTTTCTCCTCCTCATCGGGAGAAATATTCCAGGGCGCGGAGTTCCGCTCATGGGACCCCAGGCGGAGGCGTCAACGACTACTAGTTCTATCACTTTTAGGTTACCTGCGCCCTTCCCACCGGAATATTGAGAAACAAGCACGTTCGATATTCTTACCTGCCTAAAATAGAACACTAATGTACGACGATCCATTTCCTGACGGGCAAAGATCATCGACGACGAGCTGGGCTATAGCATGACTGAGGCTAGCAGATGTCGTCTGGCTGGCGGCAAAAGCGAAAGCCCTGCCTGATATGCAACAGCCCTTTCAGATGTTTCCCGAGCGGCACTCCTGCAAGCTGCCTGAGTCAGGCGTGGACACTGCGCAGGAGAATAGAGATTCGCATGGACGTTGCACCTCCCTCCATTTTCAGTGGACGGGAATCGGTGCTGCGTATGCATCATCTTCGTGTGCTGTCACCATATTATGCACCGGCAGCCAAAGAAGCACCTGGGTCGGGCTCATTGGCGTGGGTAAGGTAGCCGCAGGGACCTGTCCAGGTCTGTTGGCAAGCCTCGCAACTCAAAGCTTGGCCAGAGATAGGGTTGTCGGGATCACTGATCAGTTCATGAGAATCAAGGCGACCAATCAACTGAATTTCTGAGGAATTAGCGAGTCAATTTGCACGAACTGCACCGCAAGTTGCAGCCCGACCCCTCGCTGGCCCCGTTCCCCACATCGGGATGGCCCCGTGATTTTTATATATTTTCAGATTTATTATTTCCTTTTCTCTCTTGTCTCTCAACCCCTCTCTTGAGTGTCGATCACATAAAACTCCCCAAGATCTGTTGGATAAACTTTATATTCCAGGCTCAATATTTGTTTGTTTCTGGCGGTGTTTCAGCTGATTGGCCCAAAACTTTTTGAATCTTTTCGTAGGCACGCTGATTATCTTGAGAAGTTAAGAGTCCCCTTGGACAACACAACACAGCTCAACGTGGCGCTACTGCAGCCGCCGCATGCAAAGTGCATTGCACCCGCTGGGGCTCGTCCCCTCCAGCTCACACCGCTTATGCCTCACGCTGTCGCTCCCGCTCAGAGACCTGCCAATGATGCATCTAGTTCAGACTCTTTTATCCTGCATTCTTGGACCCATCCTTAGCCAGGGACGACCACGTTCGACTGGCCACTAGAAATCCCCCGTAACTGAGACCGCTGATGGTTCGTTCAGTGAAGAGGAAACCAAGTGAGGCGAATCTATCACTCATTTACCAGTCAATATCGATATTTGTCACGCCTTTGCCCACCCTCATGCTCTTCCTGCTCATCACACGTAACTCACACCAAGTGTATTGTCCGACCCTGGGAATTTCGTTCCCCCAGGCTTTCCTTCTTTAAATTGTTCCATTCCCCAGCCTCTCATTCTGATATACTCTCTCTCTTCACCACAAGCCAATTTTTCCGAGCATGTCCGATGGCAACCCAGCCTCTTGGCAGGGGTGGCCATCGTCTCTCGATACCCTCGCTCGACAGGGTTCGTGGCTCGCAAAAGAGGCGCATAATCTATGTTGGGGATGATGACCTGGTGGATGATTACCCCGACCACCTCCACCCGGCCAAACGGTGCAGACCCTTCGAAGGCGATGTTCATTTCTGCTCTGAACAACCCCGGCCATATCCACCCGATCATCAGCAAGGACCCCCGGAGTTTCTGGTCCTCCGGGAGGAGCCGCTGCGCACCGTGCCCACCGACTTCGACGTCTTGGAAAGGACTGCCTCGGGCCTCTCAATATCGGCTGATACGGCCGACAGGTGTGCCTCCACGGAGCTCCTGGAGGACGAGGCAGCCGCGCAGAGGGTCAAGGACCACATGGCGACCTTCCGCCAGCGCTTCCCCGACTCCAAGCATGAGCGTATCCTGAGGAGCATCATCAACCCCAAGCCCTATGCCGCCGAGTACGCGATCGACAACGAGGCCCTGGGAAGCATATTCTTCGCCGCGAACGAGATCTTCTTCAACGGCCGCCTGAGCCAGCGCGTGACCTGGGACTGGTCGCACTCGTCCAGCTCCCAGTACGACAGCAGCGTCATCGGGACCACGGCGCTGCGTAGGGCGAGCAAGAGGGGCTTCGAGACGCTCATCGTACTGTCCTCCCCGATCCTCCAGGACAGGAAGTACAGCCGGCGGCTCCTGGTCTCGACGTTCCTGCACGAGCTCGTTCACAGCTACCTCTTCATCTGCTGCGGCTTCAGGGCCAGACACCACGGAGGCCACACCCCCGGTTTCCACAAGATAGCCAAGCTCATCGACGACTGGGCCGGCCCCGACAGCTGTCTGTATCTCTGCAGGATGGAGGCGGACCTCGAGAGCTTCCGGGTGAGGGGCGGCGAGGAGGGACACGACCAGGGCACGCCCGATCCCTACCACCGCCACGTTTATCCCTGCTCCGAGAACTCCACGGACAGCCGGCGGGTCCAACCCCGCGGCGGGCCCGGCAGGGACGATTACGATTACGATTATGATTACGATTATGATCACGGCCGGGACTTCTGGCGGACGCCGAGCCCGCCTCCTCCCTGCTGGCAACGGTGACTCCTTCAACAAGGGGCTCGCCACCATACGTTTTAGCTATGCAATATATATTCGCAACCATTTCTTCTACGAGCTGCTTGTTCTTTCCCCCCGCCGCAAATCCCCTCGTTCCGGACATATACCCCTGTTTGTTTAAAAGTGTTGTGGAAACTTCTCCCTTCCCCAGGAGACGGGATCTAAGGATGTACCACACCGCCTAGATTCCGACTCCAGCAACTCCCTCCTACTTTCATCTTCTTGTTGGGCTGCATGGCGACGGCGTCTCGAATGTCTGTTTCTTGTATTAGCCCCAATAGCACAACCATCTCATATATATTTTTAGGCTAGGTAGCATAGGTTAGGCTGTCTGTCAATCATCATCATTATCATCATCATCGTCACTATCACCATAGGGTTGCTGCACATCTTTTTTTCATCCATGGGCTGTTGAACAGCACTTTGTCGGCAATTTTAGCAACCGAGTCGAAATCTAGACCTGCATTCGTGCTCCCTGGCTCGGGGTTTCTCTTCGCTTCTGGAGCGAGTGTTGCACCCGGGATACGAGTCGTAACAGCACAAACAGCCAGCCCATTGTCTACCTGTTGAAGTGCTCAAAATGTTGCATTGGGGCTAAGCCCCTGTGAAACAGCCATGTATTGATTCTCCGATGGGAAATGTCTGAGATGTTGCGAGCGAATATCTGCCCCCCCATCCCTCCCTTGACCAACCCTGTTATGGTAATCGACTATAGCTATAGAATTGCATGTGTCATGTGTCTGTCTGTCATGCGCCCGCAAGTAACCCTTTGAACTCCTCGCCCTCGCACCAAATCGATCAACGCAAGCACCCCCATATCCACAACCTAGTCCTCGACGTTGTAAATGCAGTCCCTGCAGAGCAGAGCCATCTTCTTGAAGAACCGGCGCCACTCCAGTGGGTCGCCCTTCATCTTGACGAACCTGACCTCGAGCAGCTCCTGGCCCTCGGGCATGTAAAACCTGTCCACCATGATCTCCCCGTGCAGGCTCTGGCGCCTCCCGTCCAGGGCCTTGACGCGGATGCTCGCGACGTGGTCCGCACCACCACCACCACCACCGACCGGCGCCACCACCGCCACCGACGATGACGGCAGCGGCACGTTGAGCTGGTGCAGGGCGTCGCCGAGCATCTGCACCAGCAGGGCCGGCTGCACGTGCGAGAAGAAGCGCGTCAGCGAGTACGCCGGCACGATGTCGCGGAACCGCCGCGCGTGCTGCGTCAGGCTCAGCGGGATCCCCGGGTTCTGCGAGAACTGGCTCATGGTCGGCTCGTCGGCCAGCGCGTCGCCGAACCGGCCTCGCGCGTGCTGGTGCTGGTGGTGGTGGGCGGATGGGGCGTCGGCGGCCGAGGCGGGCTGCGTCGACGAGAATGCGTGCGTGCCGCCGAGGGCGCGCGTCGTCGGCCTCTCCCAGTCGAATTGCGCGTCGCTGATGGGTGCCTCGGGCTGGCTTGCCGGGAGTCTGGTGGACCAGTCGCTCGGGTCGACTTCCATTGATTCGCCCCGGAGCTGCTGAGACGGAGTCGGTGGGTTTTGTGTAAGATCGACGCGCAATGATGCCAACATCTGTGTTGCCAGCTGGAGCGGATCGGAGATATTGCCGTCCTCGGTGAGCAACGGGTTGCGCCGCGTATACCATGGGTGTTGGCGGATCTGTGCGAAGGAGAATCGTTTGGCGGGTTCGACATTCATCATACCGCGGAGCAACGACAGCGTGTCTGAGGGGATCCGTCCCCACAGCGAGTCTCTGCTTCGGCCATTCGTCTTGACGTATTCCTGGAACTCCCAGCTCCCCGACGTGGGTTCGTCCCACGGCGTGTTACCGACTAGCAAGACGAACAAGATGACGCCGCAGGACCAGAGGTCGACCAGATCAGAAGAATATTTCACCGCGTCGGGAGATCTCCTATCCGCCTTGGAGCAGGTCAATACCTCGGGAGCAATGTAAGGCGGACTCCCACACATGGTCGCGCTGAGCTTCCTCTGGCCCTTGTACTCGAACATGGTCGCCATACCGAAGTCTGCAATCTTGAGACTGCCCGTGTCCGAGAGAAGGATGTTTTCGGGCTTGAGATCTCTGTGGGCAATGCCTTTCGAATGCACGAAGCTGACGCCGCTGATTAGCTGGAGGAAGTACACGTGTGCAATGTCCTCGTGCACGCCGACATCAGCCTCGATCTTGTCGAACAGGTCGCCTCCCTCTGCGAACTCCATGGCAATCCACCTCCACACCTGGTCCTCGCCCGTAGCAAACCATTCGATGACGTTTGGGTGTTGCCCTATGTGAGAGTGCAAGGACACCTCCATGGCTATTTGCTTGGCGGATACCCGGCCTTGCTTGATAGCATAGCCCTTGTGGATCAGCTTGACGGCAAATACTGGTGACCCTGAGTCCAGGGGTATCGCCTTCTTTATTCTGGGAGTAGGTTAGTCGTGCCCATGCACTTGCATCATCATACATGCAGAGCAGGGAACCCACGAAGCATAGGCACCCCTCCCTATGGTCTTGGACACGATCCGAAAGGGGAGATCATTGGGTAGAGGATCTAACTGGGACTGCATCGTATTGTTTAGCAGAGAACTTTGCGTGTTTGTGGTCACTTATTGCCCACTCGATCGTCAAGGTGAGAGAGTGAGGCTCTCAGGCGACTATTAGAGACATCCGACACTGGTTCGGCTCTATATTAGGTAGGTACCTAACATGGCAGGAATTGATTGAGTGGCCTCCACTTGGATCCCGAGTGCCTCCCTAACAATTTCTGGATCCCTGGGGAGGTAACTGAGTGGTTTACTGGGTAGGAAAACTGCATACCATTGTTCTTTCTGCCCGTCACGCGCGGCGGGTCGCGTCTCCAGTAACCAAAGGATTAGTGAGTATGATACTGTTTTGTTTGAAGATGAGGAAGCCAAACACGTATCGATTGGTTGACCGGCGCCGAGCTTGCCAAGGAAGTGCAGGCCCGGGGCCCGGGCGCGCCTTATCTTGGTTGCTGGAGGGGCTGCACCAAGTGGGCTGGGTCCTTCCATGTAAACATTCGCTGTTTTGCCGCCAAATTCCTAGGCCTCATCCTCAATCCCGAGCTTTGATAACCAACGATCTCCGCTAAAAACTGAGACACTCACTAGGCTTAACAGTTTATTCGCCCAGGTAAGCTTCCCTTGTTTTCGACGAATCCGTCACCCCTAGTTTCTTACGTGCCATGCCGTATTAATACACCCGCCCCCGATTTGAAGCGTCGAAAGGAATTCCGCCTTATTGACTGACAGCTTGCTTTGTCTCGATAGCCCTCCTACCGACCCCAATTGACGACCAACATCATGTCCTACAGCATGGAAGACAGCCAAACCCCAGCCCTTGGGGGTTTCCAAGCTAATAAACTTGGCGGAGCAAGAAAGGGCGCAGACGCTGGACCGAACGCTGCGAAAAGGTAACCTCCCCAGACGGCTCTCGCTCCCGCTACGGTTCATGACTACTGACATGAACATCGAAGGTTGCAGACAGAGCTCATGCAGTTGATGACGTCTGCGGCACCCGGCATCTCTGCTTTCCCTTCGGCTGACGGGGACCTGCTTATGTGGGGAGCAACAATCGAAGGCCCGGAGGACACTCCTTACTCAGGCTTGACATTCAAGCTCAGCTTCGAGTTCCCGTCCAACTATCCGTATGCGCCGCCCACGGTGCTATTCAGGACCCCTATCTACCACCCAAACGTCGACTTTTCCGGCCGTATCTGCCTGGATATCCTGAAGGACAAGTGGACCGCTGCCTACAACATCCAGACCGTCCTGCTTAGCCTCCAGTCCCTTCTCGGAGAGCCCAACAAGTATGCTATTCTTACCCCACTGCCGGCCTCTGGCAAATGTCATGAGCAAGTCTGACCCTAGAGCCAGTGCATCCCCCCTGAATGGCGAAGCCGCTGAGCTGTGGGACAACGACCCTGCAGTGTTCAAGACGAAGGTTATGGACCGACACAAGGACATCGAGGAAGACTAAAAAGGCGAACTCATAAGTGGGACACGCATCTGGTTTTGGAGAATGGGAGTCGGTTTGTATGATTCTTGGCTTATGGGCTCGTCTCTGGTTTATGGGTAGCGGACGGCATTGCATCTCCAGGGCGGTTAGGTTCACGAATATCCTGTGGTCGTTTGGTCTGCATGCTCTTCATTCAGTTCGCCAACGCCCAGGGCAATAGGTATCTTGCCCCAGCAAAAGATAACTCCACCAATTTGAGCATTTTGGCAACATCGGGTTCTCCAAATCACCGCCTGCAGAGATGACACTCTGATCTGGTGCGTCGAAGCACGAATCCCTTTATTCGTAATGCGAAGCTAGATGCCAGACGAACTCCGAAAGCCCAATGCCGTCCTGAACCATGACAAGTCGCCCTCCGTAATTTTTCTTTACTCCTCCACGACCACGGTGTGCAGGCCCTTGGGGTTCTTGACGTTGACTGCTTGGACGTAGCTGTACAGCTTCTCCTTGGCGCCCTCCTCGTCGTTTCGTCTCCGCGAGATGCGGACGCGCAGTCTGTACGGAACGCCCTTGACACCCTGCTCCCACACCTTCTTGTTCAGCTGAGGATCGAGGCGGACATCGGAGGTTCCCTGTGATCCCATCTTGATCAGCGTCTCTTCCGGTACTGGTTGCCTGGATATATGTATGTCCCGTGCTCTCTCGTCATAGGCGCGAGGCACGACTCGGGAGTGGACTGCATACCATTGACTTGAGCGCAAACGCCTTGATCTCCTTGATAGCCCTCGGTGCCCTCTTCTTGAAGCTGACGCCGTGCATGCGCTTGTGGAGGTGGATGGTGTACTCGCGGATGATGACATCGGCAATAGCCGACCGGCCGGGCTTGCCAGACGTGTTCTTCGCTTTGGACGACATTCTGAGGGTATTCTAGTCAGTGCGACAGGTTCATCCCAATCGAACTGCGAGGTGGAAAGCACGTACTTGGGCTCGTCAATTGTCTCTGAGGTGGATCGACGGAGAGGAGACGTGGATTTGCCCTTCAGTTGGTGGTGGTGAAGAATTGCCAATTTGCTCGTCAATTTTCTGAATGTGTGGCCGCGCCCTCCACCCTTCGCCTAACGGCCCTAAACCGGCAAAGTGCGAATTTTGAGCCAATAAGCTTCTCCGGAGCTGAAAAACGAACTTCCGTAGATTGTTTGTCACGGGCAACTAGGTTCCCGTCACGTTCCAAGGTGGCCCGTGTACCACCGTACTTAGTCACATGATCCTGGCTTCCGTTGCACCAAATGATCGTAACCGGGGGCCAACAGAAGTGTTTATGCGATACAGGTTCTGCGTTAATCCAAGACAGCTCCTGCCCATCATCCGGCCATCCATCCCTCTGTGCGCCGAGCGCACTTTTCGCTCGTTCCTTTTCTTCTAGCATACCAGCAAATCTTTACCATTGCGAGGACGCGAAGCTGCGCGAGACCAATGTGAGCGCAGTCTCATTTAGAGTGGGTCTGACTTCTCACGGCAAGGGAGACTTCACATCTCGACTTCTGCTCTTCGAGGGAGCACCCTCTAAACCTACTAGATTTCTGGATTGTCTCCCCTTGCTTCAAGAGTCAAACTCGCCGCCCTCGTCATCTAAACCATCAAAATGGCGGATCCAGGCTTCGCCCCAACCCCCTCTCCTCAACCTGATCTCCATCGAAACCGACTACCGACCCTCTTTGAGGTCCTGAGCCGGCGTACCCTCCCACCGGTTGATCTATTCTCCTTCTACATTTACATGCGAGACCAGCAACGCTCTGTGGACTACCTAGACTTCTGGTACGTCACTTTCCATGTCTGTGGCTTTGCACCCCTACTGACACAACTGAAGGCTCGATGTTGCTCAGCACATGTCGCTTTGCCGTCACTATGTACGCGAACTCCGACGGTCAGTCCTCGTGGGAACACCCGACCCGGATCGATCAGGCTCTAGGCGTTCGTCCGCCATCTTGGATGGGATGGGCGAGATGAATCACCCGGCTGCTGGACCGTCCATGTATGCCACGGAGAAGGAGAGAGACCAAGATGCCCAGATGTCTGCATTCCTCCGCGAAGACAGGGGAGGAACACACGACTCTCCGCATAGCAGTAACGGCCGAATGCGGAGACCAAGTACGACCACGAGCACCCCCCGTGATCTCACGACTGATTCGAATTCGCCAGCGCATATGGTAGCACGGCAGGATATTCGGGCGTCGGCCGAGAAGATTCTCTACACCTTCTTGCTCCCCGGCGCTGAGCGGGAGATTACGCTCCCCGGGTCGATTACTCAAGATGTCACGACTTCGATTGAGGAGTTCGGACGCGACGACCCCGAGGTCTTTGACGTGGCTAAGGACTACGTCTTCCAGGCCATGGAGCGAGACGCCTTCCCCGGTTTCCTGAGAATGAAGGCGCTTGGGAACGTGATTCCGCCAACACTGATCTTGAGACTCATTGTTGGTCTGCTGTCGATGTTTGGGGGTTTCTGGACCGCCTTCGTCCTCGTCTTCCTCGACGCCTCAAGGCAACGGAGGCTCTGGGTAGGTCAAGGTGTTATCGTCACGTCCTTTGTACCAGCCTGCTAACTGCAGACACATAGCTGATACTCCCATTTACCATCGGGGTATACAACCTTGCCTCGTACCTATATTCGTTGGATCCGATCCTCGCCCTGATAGGATTGAGCGAGTACACGCCTTTCAACTTTTCCCGCGTACGAGAGCCCTACATCCGCAGACTTCTCGCCCAACGAGCACTCGTGGTTCTGGCTGTCACTATTCTCGCGGACGCCGCCCTCTGCGTCCTCTTCGTCCTCGTTCCCGGAAAGAGGCTGTGACGCCACATGCGGGAATAAAACGAAACGAGGAACGCGTGAGATGCGGCGTTCTCCGCGCAATATCTCGATCTCCTATCCGATAATGAGCATCTGGTTCCCATGAAGCTTAGCTTATCTAGCTGTCCGCTCTAAGAAGAATCTCTGTTTTTCACGAATGTCATGATGAGTATGGAAAATTTGGTCGGTTTTGATGGGGAGCAACTTTCTCCCCATATCGAGGGGTACCAGGTACCAGGGCTAGTCCTTGAATCGCGAGGACGAGGGGACCTAATCGGCGTCAGGAGGTAGTTTTCTTCTCAGTTGCGTTTGCTGCGTTCCGTTTCCGTCTGCGTGGGCAAGATCCTGCTTTGTACGATATCCTTGCCTGGTGCGGAGGACTATCCTTCGATCGGACTTAAGCTTCCGCGGCTGTTGCACTGCTGAGGCATGGCGTGCTCTCTACCGGCTTGTTAGTTAGCTCATTATTATCAATTATCTCGCAAGGGGAGATGAGTCCAATTTTGTTGCACCAACCACGTGCAGCTCCAGACTCCTCAACTGAGTTAAAAAGTGGCGAGACTTTGTTTTGGGTCATCCCGTCTACTGTCGGTTATTTCTATCTTGTATCTGGAATGGTATCGTATGCACTCGTATCGCCTTCTAGTCCCACTGGTATGGAAAGGCGCCAACATGGACGGTCTACTCTTCTGTTCTACCGAATGGTCGCGGATCTCCCATTCCATTCGACCCAATATGCCGGGGAACCCAAGGAGGTAAGTCATAGATAGCAGTTTCATCCCTGCTGCAGCTTCCTCCGACTCGACCGCTTCTTCCCATCCTGCGGCTCTTCCTCCTCGTCCAGATCCATGGCCTCGTCGTCGTGCCCGCCCGATGACGCGGCCGTGTCCATCTGGCCGCTCCCCCGCTTCCCGAAGCGGTGCTGGTTCCTGAGCAGGGCGGCGATGCCGGTGCCGGAGCCCTGGTTCTGGCTGCCGCTGTTGCTGCTGCCGCCGCTGCCGCCGCCGCCGCCCAGCGCCAGCGACGCCAGCTGGGGCCCGCGGTCGGGGTTGTCGGCGCCGGCGCCGGAGCCCGCCGGGCGCGAGGAGCGGTTGTGCTCTTCGTCGATCATGCGGGCCTTCTTCTCATCCCAGTCCCGGCGCGCGGCCGCGCGGCGGGCGGCGGCGTCGCGGACCTCGTCGATCTGCCGCTCGAGGTCGGCGAGCGTGGAGTCGCAGCGCGCGGCCCATGCGGAGAGGCTCGAGAGCAGGCCCGGGATGGAGCCCGGGGCCACGTCGCGTAGTGCGGCGACGCTGTCGACCTGGACGAGCTGGCTCTTGGGGTCCAGGGTCGCCTTGACGAGGTTGGCGTAGATGGAGGAGACGACGAGGTCCTCGAGCGCGCGGCTGGTCTGTAGGCCGAGGGCTTCCATGAGGGCGGCGTAGCTGAGGGAGCCGTCCTTGGCGAGGGTCATGAGGGAGAGCTGGCGGAGCTTGAGGGCCTGGGCGTCGTTGAGGGGTGGCAGGTTAGGAGTCCCGGTGTATGAAGCGTACGTGCCATAGCTGAAGATCTGGAGGAGGGTGAGGTAGGGGGCGAAGTCTTCTGATGACCCCAAGGCCTGGATCTGTGTGGTCTGCAGAAGCTCTGTAAACAGGAATGTATTCGGGGCGGAGGTCGCTCGGGTAACCAGGTCAGCAGCTGCCCGTGGGGACGTAGCAGACTTGGTGAGCGCTACAAAGGGCTGTGATGAAGGAGGTCAGTTTCAATTTCGTTGGGTGCTTCGACAGTATTAAACCAAACATCTGAGGTGGAGATGCTTGCGGTATATGGCTTGAGTGTACGAACCTCTAGAGCATTCAGAGCTTTTACTTGTTCCATGATGAGGATAGGGGCGAGCAGTTGTCGACACAAAACACAGCTTTGGTGGTTGTGATGTCAGGATCCAAGGTCCCCTGCCGATTGTAGCCTTGGTGGGGCGGTAAGGTAAGGCTGGAGATATGTGGCTTAGCTCTCTACTCCACACTGGCGTTTCCGGGCAAATCTTCAACCTTGCGGAATTAGATGCCGTGGCGTCCGATGGGATGTTACGTTGAGGTTTCAAGTACCGGAAACGAGAGAATGGAGAGGACACCGTCTTCAGCAGAGTCAAATCTGTAGTCTTATTACGTGCCCATACGGTTAGGTAAGGTAGAAAAGTAGGCACTTTTTCGTAGGTGCGCAGAATGGCTCTCACTCAACGTTACCAAGACTCCATTTTGCAAATGGATAACCAGGTAGCAAGAATTCATTTGGCAGTCACCTGCGGCTAGGCGGCGTGTCAGGTAGGTTTGAGCACCCCTGCCCTTCGTACTAGAACACCTCCTTGGAGCTCGTTGTAGGTAGCTGATGTGCAATCTGTAGATCGTTATTACATTACACGGGAAGGACCGTAACTAAAAGCTTCGGTGCCGAACTATTTTGCGACTATTGATTTTCTATGCTCGTGGTTGCAACGTGCTTCGGCGCAGTTCTGCAGATGTGCCAGTGGGATCCTGTCGGCATCAAGTCTTTGATCCAATAGCGATGCTCGCGCTGTCCTCAAGATGTAGCCCCCGGTGGTCACGCAAGCGGCCCGGCACAGAGAGCAGTCACACAAACTGGCCAGCCTGGCCAAAAGCTTAGTTAAACTTAGCACCATGCACACACTGTACGAATGCAGAATACGCAGGGGGATAGTAGATGACAGATGGTGGTGATGGTGATGGTCCTCAACCCCGAACCTTCTTCGGCTGCGACGGAGGAGGTACAGTACTTACACGAAAGCATCCAAGGTTTACCCTGTTGGAGATGAGAATTGCACTGTGGCGACTGTCGCATGTGACCGACCTCAAGCAATCAACCACACATGGAAACAATTGCCGGTCGGCGAGTTAAGGTATTGAGCCACCCGCCAGTAGGATCCTTTTCTCTTAATTGTGCTTCATATCCTTCCCAGAGGTCTTGGCATCCGAAACGAACTCAAGACAGAACCACAGTGCGCACTGACAATCCCCTTCAAACCCCCAGCCAAAGGGGGACTAGTGTATCTACCTAGACCTTTTCTAGCTGTAGGTCAAGTGAGGTCCCCACGTCCCGTTGCGTGCTTCGCTGCGACCTTTTTTTACTCTCACCCAAGCGCCACACACGGGTGCTGCGACCTCCTGTACATACGGACATATATTGGATCATACATAGTAAGCCGGGACTTTCCCCAGGAGCTGGGCTTCTGGTCTCTCTGGAAGATTTGCCGAATCTCTGCACGTCTTCATTGCCATAAAAAAAATCACCTCAAATGTTGCCGCTCGCATAGCGCATCGCTGTACCGTCAACCTCTTTGGCGACCCATCCCATCCTCCAGATCCTGAGGCGGACGCAGGTTCTCACGCTTTGCTGTATTACCGGGGCATCCGAGTGTTGCGATCATGGCGCCCTCGCGCATCCAAATCCCCGGAAGCGGTCCAAGGGAGACCTTGACGACGCCGACAGCGCATATGGCTACCACTACCCTGAGAGTGGACGGCATGACGTGAGTTGTAGCTCTTCCTTGCCATCTCATTTCCCTTCTCGTCAGCGTGCTGATGGCAACCTCGCTAGTTGCGGCGCATGTACCGCGGCTGTTGAAGCAGGCTTCAAGGGCGTCGACGGTGTTGGCAGTGTATCTGTCAGCCTGGTGATGGAACGAGCCGTGGTGATGCACGATCCTCAGCGCATCTCCGCCGATCAGATTCGGGACATCATCGAAGACCGGGGCTTTGATGCCGAAGTCCTGGCTACCGACCTGCCCTCCCCGAGAGTCTCCCACACGCCCTACGACGACTATGTGGTTGAGGAGGAGGGGCCTCCGATGATGGTGACAACGGTGGGAATTGAGGGGATGACTTGTGGCGCGTGTACATCAGCAGTTGAAGGGGGATTCAAGGACGTGTCCGGAATCAAGCATTTCAGCCTCTCGTTGCTCGCAGAACGAGCTGTGGTCGAGCATGATCCAGCCCTCATAAGCGCTGAGAAGATCGCCGAAATCATCGAAGACCGAGGTTTTGGAGCGACCATCGTGGAAAGCACAGAAGTGGCGCCCGAACCGAGGACATCATCAAGGCACAACCGGCAGGCCATATCTGCCGCGACCACGACCGTTGCGGTTGACGGCATGACATGCGGAGCATGTACTGCAGCCGTTGAGGGCGGATTTAAAAACCTCGAGGGATTGTTGAAGTTTAACATCAGCCTACTTGCCGAGAGGGCAGTAATTGTCCACGATCCATCAAAGCTCACGGCGGACAAGATCGTCGAGATCATTGAGGACAGGGGTTTCGACGCCAAGTTGCTCTCGACAACCCTCGACGCCGATCATTCCAGCACTTCATCGATTGCTCAATTCAAGATCTACGGGAACCTGGACGCCGACGCCGCAACCCGGCTGGAGGAGAAGCTGAAGGGATTGCCCGGCATCTCGGCTGCCACTGTCTCACTTTCCAATTCGAGATTGAAGGTCAGCCATCAGCCGACCGTGACGGGCCTTCGGGCAATTGTCGAAACTGTTGAGCAAGAGGGCTACAACGCTCTCGTTTCCGACAATGACGACAACAACGCGCAGCTCGAGTCTCTCGCCAAGACCCGGGAGATCACTGAGTGGCGCCACGCCTTCCAAATCTCTCTGGCTTTCGCCGTGCCCGTCTTCCTTATCAGCATGATCATCCCAATGTGTCTGCCGTTCATGGATATGGGCAGGGTCAAACTTCTCGACGGCCTATACCTCGGCGATGTCGTCTGTCTGGTCCTTACGATACCTGTTCAATTCGGCATTGGAAAGCGATTCTATATTTCGGCCTGGAAGTCGGTCAAGCATGGCTCCCCTACCATGGATGTCCTCATCGTTCTCGGCACTTCGTGTGCCTTCTTCTTCAGCGTCATGGCCATGCTCGTCTCGGTCTTCATCCCGCCTCACACCCGGCCGAGCACCATCTTCGACACCAGCACTATGCTCATCACCTTTATCAGTTTCGGCCGATTTCTGGAGAACCGCGCCAAGGGACAGACTTCCAAGGCCCTCTCGCGATTGATGTCTCTGGCACCGTCCATGGCCACCATTTATGCCGACCCCATTGCCGCGGAAAAGGCCGCAGATGGTTGGGCTTCAGGGGTCAACTCCGGAGAAGCGGCGACGGACGGAAGTGCCGCGGAAGAGAAAGTTATCCCTACCGAGCTCCTCGAAGTTGGAGACGTGGTGATCCTGCGTCCCGGAGACAAGATTCCCGCAGACGGCGCCTTGGTCAGGGGTGAGACGTATGTGGATGAGAGCATGGTTACCGGAGAGGCAATGCCCGTGCAGAAGAAGAAGGGAAGCAACATGATTGGCGGTACCGTGAATGGTCACGGTCGTGTCGACTTCCGGGTCACTCGGGCAGGTCGCGATACCCAGCTCAGCCAGATTGTCAAGCTGGTTCAGGATGCACAGACAACCCGTGCCCCTATCCAGCGGCTAGCCGACATCCTCGCCGGCTATTTCGTCCCAACCGTCCTGTCTCTGGGTCTCCTCACCTTCGCCGTCTGGATGGTTCTAAGCCACGTCCTGACAAACCCGCCCAAAATCTTCCTCGAAGAGGCCAGTGGTGGCAAGATCATGGTCTGTGTCAAGCTTTGCATCTCGGTCATCGTCTTCGCCTGCCCCTGTGCCCTTGGTCTGGCCACACCAACAGCTGTTATGGTCGGTACTGGTGTGGGTGCCGAAAACGGCATTCTTATCAAGGGGGGAGCTGCTCTGGAGAGGACAACAAAGATCACCCGAGTCGTCCTCGACAAGACGGGCACCATTACGTACGGAAAGATGAGCGTGGCCAACGCCAGCCTCGTCTCTGTCTGGCAAGATAATGAGTGGCGTCGACGCCTCTGGTGGGTGATTGTCGGCCTTGCGGAGATGGGAAGTGAACACCCTGTGGGCCGAGCAATCCTCGCATCAGCGAAGGCCGAGCTGGGCCTTGATATTGATGGCAACCTTGACGGCAGTGTCGGAGATTTCTCTGCAGTTGTTGGGAAGGGTATTAGCGCTGTCGTCGAGCCTGCAACTGCCGCAGAGCGGGTCCGGTACAAGGTCCTCATCGGTAGCGTGCGCTTCCTCCGCGAGGGCGACGTTGAGGTTCCCGACTCGGCAATCGAGGCTTCTGAGCAGATCAACTCGAAGAACTCCAACTCACGGAAGCCCTCTTCAACCCCGTCCTCTGCGGGCACGACCAATGTCTTCGTCGCCATTGATGGTAAATACGTCGGCCACCTCTGCCTGGCCGACAAGATCAAGGAAGGGGCATCAGCCGCCATTGCGGTCCTCCACCGCATGGGGGTCAGGACGGCGATGGTGACTGGCGACCAGCGCAGCACGGCTGTGGCGGTCGCAGCCGCCGTCGGGCTCGATCTCGATGACGTGTTCGCCGGTGTCTCCCCCGACCAGAAGCAAGCCATCATCCGCAGGCTACAGGAGGAGGGCGAAGTTGTTGCCATGGTTGGCGACGGCATCAACGACTCCCCGGCCCTCGCCACTGCCGATGTCGGCATCGCCATGAGCTCCGGCACTGATGTCGCCATGGAAGCCGCCGACATTGTCCTCATGCGCCCTGACGACCTCATGAACATCCCGGCGGCTCTTCAGCTGGCCCGCACCATCTTCTCGCGCATCAAGCTTAACCTCGGCTGGGCGTGCGCCTACAATGCCACCGGCCTGCCCTTCGCCATGGGCCTCTTCCTGCCCCTCGGCTGGCACCTGCACCCGATGGCCGCCGGCGCCGCCATGGCCGCCAGCTCGGTGAGCGTGGTGGTCAGCAGTCTGCTCCTGAAATTCTGGAAGAGGCCTAGGTGGATGGATGAGGCCGTCCTCGACCAGGCGGGCGGCGTGCGGAGGCGCGGGCGCGGCTGGGGCCTGGACGGCATCGTGGTCAGGGCGCAGGACCTCGCCGGCCGGCTTTCCGGCAGGCGCTTTGGCGCCCGGAAGGACGGCGAGGGCTACGTCCCGCTGGCTACTTTGGAGGGACCCGAGCGGGATGTATGATTTGCGGCTGTGTAGAACAAGGTCTGTTAGTGAGACGCGGAGTTCGGCTGTTCTGAGTGGTCACCGGTTCGGTCCGGTAGTTGTATGTTGCATTTTCCTAGTTACCTACTTAGTCTCTCCCGTTGCGGCATGGCGTGGGAGTTTTACGAGTTCGACAACTCTCATTTTCCTTTGGATACCTAAAAAAGAAGTTTCCCGATTCATTCATTGTTCCACATCGGCAGAAGTGATACAAATGCGATATTCCCTAAGGCAGCCTTGCATGTTGAGCTAGACCTTGACCAAATCCAGGATCTTGCAAGGACAGGCATGCGTCCTACGTAGAATGTACAGGGGAAAGAACAAAAAAGAAAACAAGAAGGTCACCAAACGCCTGCGCTATGCCGCGAAATGTGCCGACTACTCTAACTCTACTCCATCCCTGGAGGCTCCCCAACAGACTCACACACCAGCAAAAGTAGTCCCGACATACTCGGCCCCACAGACGGCGGCCCTCTCGCGCTCGCCCAGCGCAGCGCTCCACGCCCTCAGCTCCTCCAGCGCGCGGGGATCCAAGCCGGCGACGGCGGCGGCCGAGGGGTCGGGGAGGCCGAGGAAGCCGCCGGAGCGGGGGCCGCCCCACGCGACGACGGCTCCGCCGTTCCCGTTCCCGTTCCCGTTGTTGTCGCCACGGCCGGCGCCGGCCCTGGCCAGCATGCCGAAGCGGAGGAGGACCTCGGACACGGTGACGAGGATGCTGACGAAGATGAGGACGATTATGATCCAGGTGATGGCGCTCATCTTGGAGTCGGCGACGCTGTCGCACAGGATCTCGGCCAGGTCGAGGAAGACGCGGCAGCGCTCGTTGAGCACGCGGATGCGCGGGTCCGTCTCGAGGTACTCGCGCACGGCGACATAGAGGGGGTGCAGCGTCGGCTCCGACTCCCAGAAGAAGTTTGGGACGTCGAGGATGTTGGATGCTGAGGGGGGCATGTGTTAGTAGGGTTGTGCTCGTTTTGAAAGAAAGGAAGGGTGAGTCGGGTAACTTACAGAGGTTGATGTCGACGCGGCTCTTGAATAGTTGGCCTAGGATCTTGACGATCTCTGTCCGGGTCATGCTTAGCTCGCCTGTCAGGGCCAGCCGCTTGGGGACGTGCTGTGCGCCGAGCATCGTCTGAGACATGCGCTCTTCAAAGAAGCACAGCTTGGTGCTCTGGGCGATGGCGTGGCTGATGGTAAGCTTGACCATGTGGCCGGAGCGCGGGAGTAGCGTGATCATGTCGTTGAAGACCCGCGGCCGCTTGACGTCGGGGCTGTACTCGAAGTGGAACTCCTCCGTCTCGAAATCGCTCTCGTCGAGCGGGCGGGTCACGAGCGAGACGCCCGTCTCGTTCTGCACGAAGGTGAGATCGGCCAGGATGTCCTTCTCTTGGTTCTCGGTGAAGTTCCAGAACACAACCACTCCGTAGGAGAATACGAACATCTCGGCGAAGTTCTTGGCGTCCGTCACCAGGCCGGTGATCGAGCTGACGGGGTTGTCGGGATCGTCCGCGTAATGATCGCGTCCACGGTCCTCGGAAACGGTCTCGTGTAACGGGAACTGGCTTGCTTCACTGGGGCTGCTGGCAGCGCCAGACACGCCATCTGCGTCATAGTCGAAGTACCCCTCGTGATAGTCTCGTCTTTCGCTCCGCTCAATCTCCAGGTCCAAAACCGTCTTCCCTGTCCCCGGCGTCTTCAATATCGGTCGGCTGCGTATCCTGTACCCGTCGACGCCAGCAAGGAGTGGTAGATGGTAGACAGTGTACAAACAGTCGTCGTACAGCTTCGTCTTCGCCTCATGTTTTGTCCGTAGGTACTCTGCCGTCGGCTTCATCCTGTACGCCTGGGCCGTGCAGTACGCCGTCAGACGCGCCACCTTATTCCCCCTCTCCAGTTTCGGCAACCGTTCCGCATAGCTCTTCCCTCTGATCCCCCCCCGCTTCCGCAACACATCCAGTTCCTCATCCCGCAACGGTCGATTCTCGTCCTCGGTAGCGCTCCTCAGCATGGCGGCCTGCTGGGCCAACTCGTCGTCGCTCGCCACCCCGTCCTTCTCCTCTGCGGTCTCGGGAATGAGCACGAGTTTCTCGCTAACTTTGGTTGTCCGCGACGGCACGTTCTGTTGCCCCGTCCTCGCGGAAGCGAGGATGGGCAGGCCGCCGCCGCCGTGGCCGCTCCGACGGGCGACGGCTCGCATCGTTCGGTGGCCCGGGGGCACTCGTGGTTGGCCGGATGGTATATCCGAGGCATATTGTAGAACATTGTCGACCGAGACGAAGCGCATGGGGGGCATCCGGCTGGAATTGGCGCCGGATGAGCCAGGGCGAGGGCCTGGGCTTCGTATCAAGGGTCGTTCCCGAGAGTCGGTTACCTTGAACCAGTGTCAGTGCTTGTCTCGCGGATAACCTTCGATGTGCGGATCATCCAAGACATACTAAAACCGAGGGTCCTCGTCTTGAGGATGCCATTTTGGCGGCTGGTTAAGCCTTCTTTTACGCTGTTGTCAACAATTTAAGAGGGCAGCGAAGACTTCGCATGTCGTCGATGGTTTCGTGGTTGGTTGGTTAGGATTTAGTTCTAGCTTCGTTAGTGCTCTGTACGCTAGGATTGCTTGTTCTGCTGTGGATCTCAACGACGTCATTAGCACTGAAGCATTGCACTTGCATTGAAAGCCCACCGAACCAAAGCACCCCGCAGTTCTTCTGGTCGAGTTGCGGCTCAAATTTGTCTAGGTATATAGGTAGGCGGCCGTGTTATTCTTTAAAACTTACTAGCATGGCCAAGAAGACACGATGGAAGAAGAGCTCGTCAAGGCGTTTCTCGATTTCAACCATTCGATGGCAAAGTCATTATACAGACAGGAGCTTGCATACAATAAATAGAAATAACTATCAAACGTCTGAGCAATATCGAGTCCGTAGTCAACGCGGCAACTCATCCTTCTATGTCCCGAATTCCGAACATAAACTTGACTCCATAACACCAGCTTCCGAAACAATGTGATTCGGGTAGTATTTCAACCCTATGATAGAAGCATGTGTGGTATGCCTCAGTCCCGAGTCACAACTATCCATACCTCATCGGTTGATTCGGATTCGGCTGTCCATGCCCAGGCGGCGGAGCGCCCTGCGGCTGCAATGGCACGCCTCCTCCGGGTCCGGGTCCGCCTCCAGCTACCCCTCCCCCTCCACCTCGCATCGCCTGGACGTCCTGCCTGTGTTCGAGCGGTTGGGCGAAGTTGCAGATGTGGCAGGTGACGTCCTCGTAGCCCTTGAAGGAGAGAGGTATCAAAGGCTACGCACGCCGTTAGAGCCGTCTGGAAATGGGGCGATGCAGCTGCACTATGGGATCGGGGCTCAACCTACAATAAAGCAGAAGGTAAACCACGGGTGGGTCTTGACCACGCGGCCAGAGTAGTTGCCGCAATTGTAGCAGCGACAGACGACGCCCTCATACCCCTCGACCTCCTTCCGGAACGTGTGTTCGCCGCAGGTGAAAATCAGGCACATGACGACGGTGGCGTGCAAGAGGACGCGATCGAAGAGTTGAAAAGAGAGTCGGAAGCAGGTAGGTGGTTATATCGTACAACGAGGGTTGTCTGGACAGGCGAGAAGCACGCGCGATGGAAGGTGGCTTAGTCGTGCTCTTGACGTCGTGTTAACCTTGGATCAGCCATGTATCAATCAGGGCCACCTACGTAGTATCCAGGTTTCATTGCTTGGCCAAGGAATGCGATGGCGGAGTCCGCACTAACGCGGCGCTGGGCGAGGTACCTAGGTATAGGACCCACTGTACCCCGAAGTTACCCCGCCAAAAATCTTGAACTCTCAACCTCGAAGGTCGGAACTTTAAGCATCCCATGCTTGGACTCTCTGGTACGCGCCATTGAGCGACAATGACCACCCTGGGCCCGCCTATATAGCAAAGCGCAACGCACGCGAGCGCCGCCCAAGATGCTCTACGACCTCAATATCGCCTGGTCGCCCAGCACCAGCAGCGCGCAGCTCCAACGGACCCTCAAGTTCGCGTCCTCGCTGGGCTACGACGTTGTTGCCCTGAATCACACCGTCTCGGCCCCGATCCCCTCGCAGGTCATCAACCCGATCCCCCTCCTGACCGCGCCCCCGCCTTCTCACCCGCAGCCCAGCCCGCTCCCACCATCATCATCCTCCTCCTCCTCGTCCTCCTTTCCAGACAAGCTCCCAACGACTCTACGGCGCGCCACAGTCGTCATCTCCGACCCAGCAACCAACCACCGGCTCGCCTCCTTCGCATCAGCCTACGACGTAGTAGCAGCGCGCCCGACAACAGAAAAGGCCTTCTCGGCGTGCTGCACGACCATGGCCGAATTCAGCCTGATCAGCCTAGACCTGACAGCCTCCCTGCCCTTCCACTTCGCCCCGCGCACCTCCATGGCCGCCGTGAGCCGGGGGATCCGCTTCGAGATCTGCTACGCCCAGGCCCTCGGCGCCGAGGACGCCCGGGCAAGGTCCAACTTCATCGCCAACCTGTCCGGGCTGGTGCGCGCGACCCGCGGCCGCGGCCTCGTGCTGAGCAGCGAGACCGCCAGGCCGCTCGACCTCCGGGCCCCCGCCGACGTCATCAACCTTCTGGCCGTGTGGGGGCTCGGCACCGAGAGGGGCGCCGAGGCGCTGGCCGCGAACCCCAGGGCCGTCGTCGTCAACGAGGGGATCAAGAGGAGGGGGTTCAGGGGCGTCGTCGACGTCGTCCGGGCCGCGGGCGGTGGGCCCGCGGGCGGGAAGCCGGGCGGGGACGGCGATGGGGACGGGAAGCCGGGCGAGAAGAAGAAGAAGACGAAGGGGACGGATGGCGGCAAAGGAGGGGGTGGCCATGGACGGAAACAGAAGGAGGGAAAGGCCGGCGCCAAGGCGGGCGGCGATGCTGCCCAGGGAGAGCCGCGCCAGCAGGGGCAGAAGAGGAGGGGCGAGGACACCGAAAACGCCTCCGAAGAGCCGATGGCGCCTGTCAGCAAGAGACAGGCAAAGAAGATGCGGATTGGTACCCAGGAGGAGGGTCCTCCGGCGGGCAAATGAAGGGCGACAAAAGTCGTGGGTGTTGAGGGGGGTTAGATCGTGTACGAATGTTTCCGGGACTACGACGGCGTCTGTCTTCTAGAGATACCCACCCAAAAACTGAGCATGGGCTCAAGCATAGGGGAGGCAATGCCATCATAGATTTCTAACTCCAACAAGAGCTGAGGGGGTCTTTCCCTTGGACTGTTGTAACAAGTTCATTTTTCTCCCTGCCTGCTTGCTTTCTTTCTTTCTTTGCTTTGCATTCACGATCCACGGCGAACCTCGTCTGCAACCATATACAAGCTATCATTTATTTACACTAAAATTTGTCCTAGCACGCATGGGTGCTGGGAAGAGGATGCAGGAGCGAGGTCTTTCTGCACGAATCAGCGAGCTCTCTCCTCAAAAAAGACGCCGCCGTTAACCCAAAAAATAAAGCGAATACTTTATATATATAGAAACCAGGGGGGGCCCTTTAGTATATGCTTCGTCTACTGTCCCGCCAGCGCTGTCTGCCGCTTCGCCAGCTGGTCGCCCTGCACGAGGTTGCCCAGGTTGAGGACGCTGTTCAGGGTCAGGCCGCTGACGTCGATGCTTGGCTGGGCGCCGGCGTTGGCGATCTCGGGGGCGGCCGTCACTGCCGGCGCGGCGACGGCTGGATCGCCACCGACCGGCGCGTTACCGGCGTCGATGCCGCCGAGGCCGACGGAGGAAGCCAGAGAGGGCGCCGCCGGCAAAGAAGCGGCGGGAAGCGGGGCAAGTGACGCTGCTCCGGCAGCAGCTGCGTCTAGGAATATGTGTTAGTGGATGCCTGGTGGGGGATGGCTAGGTTTGCGGGAGAAATGGCTTACCCGTCTGGAGCGGAGCCAAAGGAGCCAGAGGAGCCAGAGACGCCCCGGACTGGGCCGGGGCCAGCGGGGCCAACGAGGCCGCAGACTGGGCAGGGGGCAGCGGAGCCAGCGCGGAGGCAGGCACGCCAGGAGCAGAAGCCACATTGTTGAGTGTCGGGGCAGGGACTGAGAGGACCGAGGTGGAGACGCCGCCAACTGGAGCCAACGCAGACGAGGCCTGAGGCGGTGATACTTTGGTACTCGTGTGCACGCTGGCAGGAACAGACACAACAACAACACCAATGCCACCTGATGGCACGCCGGCACCTGGTGGTGCTGCTGCCCCGACCGCCCCACCTGACGCATCAGTCGCCGCCGCTCCTGCTGCTACTATAGCAGAGTTCGAGGCTTGTACGGCGCCCTGAGCCTGGCACGGCGCCGTGACAGTCTGAGTGACAGTCGATGCGAGCGCGGTGATTGTGACGGTCGCTGCCGAATCAGCCCCCACAGCGGCACTAGGGATCGTTAGTACGCTGAGTGATCGTTTAGGATTATGTTCGGGGGCCGTACCCGTTTGCAGCAACTGGTGATTCCACAGCGGCTGCAGTAACGGTCATGGTCATGGTCATGGTCGTTGCATTCAATTCAGCTCCAACACCCGAGTCTCCGCCCACCGTCACGGTTTGACGCGCCGTCTCCGTCATGGTGACCGTCTCGCCGGCGCTTCCCCCTCCAAATATATCCATGATTCCGTCCAGCAGGTTCCGCTTGGAGGGTTTTCCATTCTGATCAACGGCAGCAGCCTATAGACGAGGTAAGTCACTGTGAGTCACTGACTGGGAGAATTCCAAGAGGAAGACGTACCTGAGCGAGCGACAGATAGCCCAGAAAAAGCCCTGCACCCCTCGAATAGAGCCTCATTCTCGAAAGTAGGGAAGACGAGCTAGTCCCCTGCGGATTCAGACCTCGAGAAGATACACTGAAAGAGTGCTGAAAGAGCGACGCAACAGTCCAGCCGTCGGTAAATGGAAGTTATATCGCACGGGATCAACCCAAGAGAAAGAGCGAGCGTCGCGACCTCGGAGGTACAGCTTCGGTAGGAGGAAGGGAAGTCGGTTCTATGGAACACTTTGCACGAAGGGCCAAGTGGTTTACAACAGAACGCAAGAAAGGAATGACTCGACGTCCTAGACGACCGACTACCCAAGAGCACTTCAACGGCGCATCGAAGGGGGAAAGACAAGTACAAGTGGGATTAAAGAATGAAACTCTCGATAACAGCACTGAGAAGCGAACGGACGAAGAAGAAACGAAAGGGAAGGTCGTCAGGATGAAGCTGGCAGTGCACGCAGAAAGGAGGGCAGACAACCAGGACCAGGGTTACGCGGCGACGTTCGAGAACCAGGGCCAGTATCCCTACGCACTAGCGTTAGGAAAATGATGAGGCTCAGGCTTGTTTCGTCGAGGTCCAGGCCGATGAGAAAATGGGCTGACATGTGGAGCCCATCCTCACGCGCCTTGAACGACCTTGGCCAGATCAAGCAGAGCGCAGGGCCAATTCCCAGTCAAAGTCCATCGGACCCAGACATTCTGTCTGTGATTGAGGCTCTTGGAAAGGGGTGTGAGACTGACCCCTGACGGCCTGTGTTTGATCTTGGCCTAAGCGAAACAAGGTCCCCGGCAAAAGGCGCAGGCTGTGGGGCCTGCCAGCCAGGGCCAGCCAGATCGCAGAACCGTGCTGACACAGCTTCCAAGCAAGCCACCTCGACGAGCACCACGTGAAGGAGGTGATGGGGAAAAGGGGGGCTTGTATCATTGAATTCGAAATTCATGCAGAATCGTGCAAAACATTTGCTATCAATTGGCTCTGGATTTCAAGCTGCCAGGCGGCCCTGTCGGCAGCCTCGAGCCTCCACATCTCGCTAGTGAAGCTCTACCTAGCTGTGACAGCTGTCATGTCAGTTATGGGCAGACCACCCAGGAGGACAGACCTGGTAATTACTGTGTCGCATGAAGCGCCAGGGCCAAAAGAGTTGATGGCCGTCCCACCCCCTCCTTCCCCTGGAAAGACTACGAGGCACCATTCATTCCCCAGACACACTTATCATTTAAAATTGGAAAGCGGCTAGGAAATATCTCGAAAGAAATCACGTCGGCACTGGGCTCCTTTTCCAATCAAGAACGAGGTGAACAGACATTTGTGACTAGGTAGCTAGCCCTAAGAATCAACCGTACTTTTAAGCATGATTCATAGCGCGCCCTTCGAAACCAGGATTCAGGCCAATCAGAGCAGAGCAGGCCAAAGCCCGACCTGTTCAACATCTACCGTGGTACACACGTAGATCGAGTTCTCAAGATCCAGCCTTTTAATACATCGCTTTTCGCAACTCGTAAAGAGGCTGGCCCTCAGATACCGTGAAAAATAAATCTAATAATCTAATAATCTAATTTTAGAGCGACGCAATGGCATAACCCCTGTTGCTGGGTATCCCGAGGCCTCCTCATGTAACTCGCGCCTTCCATCCCCCCAACCATCCATACCATCCTCAAATGAAACGGAGTGAGGCCCCATTCGAGTCTCGTTAGTCGCCGGCCAATGTGACAGCCTTGTAAGAGGGGCGTATTTCACCAAGATGGCAAGAACCATCCATGTCTTGGATGAGTACTATCTCGGCATAACGGCTCTCATCACGGTTGGATACCAGTTGGCATTCTTCGTCGTTGCCTTCTCCTTCAAATTCGACAAGCTGACGGGTGCGGTGTTGTCCCTGTGCCCCCCGCGCCGACACACCTCCGCTAACGAACCCCCTCCCCAGACTTTGCAGGCGGCACCAACTTCATCGTCCTAGCCGCCGTGACCCTCTCCCTGGGCGGCGGCGGGGCCGACGCCCGCCAGGTCGTGGCCACGGCCCTCATCGCCGCCTGGGGCGCGCGCCTCTCGGGCTTCCTGCTGTTCCGCGTCCTGCGGACGGGCAAGGACGACCGCTTCGACGGCACGCGCGACCGCTTCTTCCCCTTCCTCGGCTTCTGGGTCTTCCAGATGCTTTGGGTCTGGACCGTCTCGCTGCCCGTCACCGTGCTCAACTCGCCCGCCGTCCGCGGCCCCGCCTCTACGCCGGCGCCGGCGCCCGCCTTCGGGACCCCCGGTGACGTCGCCGGCGTCGTCATGTTCGCCGTCGGCCTTGTCGTCGAGACCGTGAGCGACGCGCAGCGCTTCGCTTTCAGGTCGCGCAACGACAAGAATGCCGTCTGCGACGCCGGCCTGTTCCGCGTCTCCCGGCATCCGAACTACTTTGGCGAGATCCTCCTCCACTTTGGTAAGGCACCCTGGGACTCTTTGAAAACATCCGGCTGACCGAAGACACACAGGTATCTTCACGATCGCCGTCTCCGCAGCGACCGGCCACATCAGCGGCGCCGCCCGCAGGGCGCTGTACGCCACCATCGCGGGGCCCATCTTCATCACCCTACTCCTGATGTTCGTGTCCGGCCTTCCGCTGTCCGAGCGGCCGGGGGCCAAGAGGCGGTACGAGGGCGCCGCCTCCGCCGCCGACTGGGACGCCTACGCGCGCTACCTGCGGCGCACCAGCATCCTCATCCCGTTCCCGCCGGCCGTCTACGAGAGGCTCCCCGTCCTCCTCAAGCGGACCGTGTTCCTCGAGTTCCCCATGTACGTGTTCGACCCCGCCAAGCACGCCGGACCGGCCAAGCCGCCTGCCGACGAGGGCGTGGGTGCAGGGTCGGCCGAAGCAGGGCACTGAGGGGTTGGTGGGGGAGGCTGAGTCACGGCAGGGTCGGGGTTGAGGGTGTTTGGTCTGGCTTATCCATCCAGTTACGCTGTAATGTCTGTTGCAAAAACGCTGCGAATAGTTTCCATGGTATTGTTGAAAAAAAAAAATAGAATCAAAGCTTTTCCCCCATTTTCGCCCCCTTTTTCGTGTTTTTGTTCAAATCTATTAACAACCAAGAATGGAAATCCAGCATACTCCCTTCCGCTGGAAACACATATATAGAGAACTGCAGGCACACTATCAGACCATATCAGCAGACCCGGCTTAGCTCGCACGCACCAGACAGCGGCTTGCCAGGCACGGCCTCGGCAGCAGACGAGCAATCATCGAAGACCCGTCGGCTGGTCCAGCGTCTCCTGGCAGGTACCGTAGTCGGTGAAGTTCGAGTCCTCCGAGTGCGACTCGCAGCCCTCGGGTATGGGGACCATGGCCGACTTCGTCCAGAGGTGTATGGCGTTCTTCCAGTCCAACCCCTCGATGCAGCCGCCCTTGACCGAGACGACGGTCTTATCCTATTCTCGGGGGGGCCCATCGCGGTCTCGTGTTAGCAGGGCATTCGGGGAAATGGCCAGGATCCTCGTGTGTTAAGAGGGCTTAGGAGAGCGAGCGCCCTTACCGGACTCGTGTGCATGAGCCGTGTGCCGCAGTTCTTACAGAAGTAGCTGTCGTCCAGAATGTCAGCCTTGGGAGTCCCCAAATACAAAACCAATCCCACCGTCGAGGCGAGCCATTGACATACCAGTAAAGCGTTTGACCGGTCGAGGTCGGACGTCTGTATTATTACGATGGGTAGCCGTCAGTCCATGGCATAGAGCCGGGTAAAGGCATGCATCATCGAGCCGAAACCTTCCTGGGGTTACGCCGGGCATCAGCGATCGAGGACGAGAAACCGTCGCGCACTTACGTGTAGCAGCTCAACACGTCCGTGTCCGGGAGCTGGAACCTGGGGAAGATGGCAGAGGTGCCGAAGGCAGAGCCGGTCTGTCGGCGACACTCTACACAATGGCAGACGTAGAGAGCGAGGGGCTTTGGGAGAGGCGTCTTGAAGGAGACGGAACCGCATTGGCAACTGACTTCCATCCTGTCCGTCTATGTGTTTTTGGCCTGGGGGCAAGGCCTGAAGTTTCAATTGGGGGGTAGGGACTAGGGAGAGATGTGCAGCTTCTGTCTGAGGAGGAAAAGCTAAGTCTTATAAGGAGACTCTTCCAATTTACAACCGTCGTCAAAGTGACTCAATCGCTTGCTGAGATAAAATATTTACTCCGTTCTCGCACTAGCTGCTGCAACCTGGGGCATCAAGGGGGATTGACTGGATTGAACGTGGTCCGAGGGTTACGTGACTCACCGCGGCCTTGGGCATGCAGGCTCCGAGATAGATCACGGTGTCACATGAGTCGGCGTCTCGAGGAGACGTCACTGATGCGTCAAGCTCCGTGTCGCCAACCGCGTGGGGACCCCGCAAAGGTCTAGAACCCCATTATCGCAGCCCATCCACACGGGGCAGAAATGCGCCGTTGCTTACGGCCGACCAATGGCCGGGACCAGAACAGTGGCAACTGTTTGCCCGCGAAGCGCGGAACAGTCCATTGAATCGGTACAGTAGTCCATATTCTCAATAGAAACCTCGACGTAGAAGATAAGATATGACACACATAATCTCGATTGAGCAGCATCGCGGCCAGATGGGAATTGACTGAAGAAAAGTCCATTCCGACTACGGCCCCGACCACGGTATCTTGGCTGTGTCCAAAACTTATCCTGCAAGGGAATAATAGTCTTGGTCCCGTGTGCTCTGCTCATTGTTCTCTAAGCATGCCGACTCAAATCCCTTTGCAAGAGCGACGATGGGCACGTCCACGAGTCTCCAGAATATATCAGCCGCCCATATGACCAAAGGCCCGAGTATGAGCAGCCCCGCAAGCCAACTGATCGTCTGCTGTGTTGGACCATCTACTCCAACCAGTCCTTTGATGCCCGCCGTAGGAAGAGCTGGCCGGAAATCGGGGTAGCTAGGGTCGGCCGTTGCAGGCGTGTATGTGATGCCAACGACATAGTCCTGAAACATGGCGAGTACGGGGCCGTGGACAATGTAGACGGCGTAACTGATACGTCCACAGTACTGAGGGAAACGGCCCTCTAGAAAACGGCGGACAGGGCTGAGCTCTCCGCAGGACCACACAGTGAAGATGGCCGCAACGGCGAACCAGAACTTTTGAGGTGCTAAATCGTCCATTGTCGCAAACGGGTTCGGCGTGTTGGCCAAGAGGTAGCGTATGCCGGGCGTCTTGTCGGCATCGAAGTTTGGCCATCCTCCAATAAGCAAGGCACTGATGAGAATGCTCACATGAAGCCCTGCCCGGACCAGTCCTGCGAACGAGCGTCTTTGCGGATAAGTTGTTGACACGTCGGAAAACTCCCACTTCTTCGGACCGGTGGCTTGCGACAGGTGAATTTCAGCAAGGAACATTCCCCCAATAAACTCGAATGCTGCCCATTTCCCACATGCGAGGAAGTACACCATCAAACAGAAAACCGCAGACTGCCGGATCAGCTGTCGAACTCGTGACAAGACCAGTATGACGAGGAACAAGAGCATCGAGTGTGCGAATTCGATTGGGATGGTCCAAAGGTGGACATCGTAACCCGGACGAAGGTCAAAATCCCATCCCCAAGGCCACATAACGCTGTGGAACAGAGCGTCAACCCAAGCCCAAAACTGTGCCGACATGGACGGCATCGGCGTATACAGCCATCCGGACTGTATCAAAAGCGCGATGATGAAAGTAGACACAACGCAGGGACCAAACAGGCGAAAAGGCCGCCTGAAGGCCGAGGAGGACAAGGCCGAGAAACATGCGTCAAAATTGCGGGCGTGAATGGACCGGATGGGCTTGTAAGAGAGAACGAAGCCTGATATGACGAAGAATATGTGGACCATCGGCCGGCCCGAGAAGATGATGCGGAGGAAAGGCAGTTGAATGACTGACGATGGCTTGAAGTCCGGGTTGAGGCCGTGCGGAGGGAGCAGATACTGGTGGTTCTCCTCGGTATAATGGCAGAAGAAGACCAAGATCGACGCGATGCCACGCAACCCGTCCAGATACGAGGTTGGATGGACTTTCCAGCTTGTTCTATGCTCGGGCCAGACACCTTCGGCGACGAAGCTTGGGAGAAGTCCGCGAAGCATGTTGCTGGCCCATGGCTGGGAAGGAGCCATTCAGCCAACACCAGCGAAACGACCGAGTTTATGAGCAGCACAAAAGGTACCTTCACTGCAACTCGAGAGTCGGAGAAACGGGTGATTAAAGCCTGACATTTGATGGGATATCAATGAGTCGACAGCAGTGGGTATTTGCGTTTGCTTCGATACTTCTTCCAGGGAATGAACTGGTGTCGCAAGTTTGAATGAGAGTTTAGAAGTTGATCAATGACAGGGGGGGTTCTTGCCTGCTGATGTGGCTTACGCGTTATCCCATTATCAGACTAGCGTTCTTTTTCCATCAGGGATTTTCTTCGGTTATCTGTTGAACCTAGTAGATATAGTCAAGGTATTGTATGAGACCTCTACCATACAAACGTGATCGGGTCGACAAGTCAAGGGGCGAGAGGAGAGACGTGGATGAATACGGGACGCAATGAATGTAGAGGGAAGAGGGAAGAGAGAAGAGAGACAAACGGAAGATATGGGACAAGCACTCAACACAATGGGCACGGATCCAGTTATTAACGGAAAATGGCTATGGCGCAACACAACTGCGGTGGGACAGTTTGTCCAGCTTCTAAATTTTGCTCTAGCAAAAGCCGCACCTCATTTCATGAGAGGCGAACGAAAAGAGGTGGATAGACCAGCACAGGAGGCAAAGCTGTTTCCCCTCTAGTGCACCTCTGTTGCACAATCACCAGCTTGGGTTCTCAAAGGAGCCATGCAGCCTAAACTGACTAGGCGCCAAGATATATTGCCAAAGCGATCTGCGCCAAGCCAGAAACGGCCCTCTCCCGCACCTTGTTTCGGGTAACTAATAATATCCAAAGATGTTCGTTTGATCCTGACTTGTCTCAAACGCGTCGCAGAAGGGCACTTTTCGACTTTGATTTCTGTCCAAGAATGAAACGGTGAGAGGGAATGTATGAGATATGATACTTGCAGTGTTGCCGATGCGGGCAGCCATATTGGACTCGAGCAAACCATGACCTGTCAGATGTATTCAAGTATTGGCAAATATACGTTGGCTCGTGCATGCCTTCCACGTTCCGCGGACACCCGATACTCGCCTTCTTGCAGCACTTACCTAACTGTACGACGACTGGTTGACTCTCCTGTTTGTTGCACCTGGTCTCCAACCGCGTCCCAGATGAAATGGCTGGTTCGGGTGACTCGGTGGGCTTGATGTAGACAAAGAGGCGAGTCCCATGGAGAGGTAACCGAAAGCGATGGGGAGGAATTGAATAGAGGCCACCAGGACAGTCCGTAAATGGCGCTAGGCAGGAGTCAATGCCGGAGAGAGCCGCAGCGACTGGCAGGCCGTAGTTGCGAAGAAGCTCGACACGATGATTTCGTCGCGTTTCGACAGTCGGTATCTGCAAACTGCTCGTGCCCGCCGAAGGGGAGGCTCGCTGTGCGAGATGCCTGAAATAAAGGCCATCACGGTTGGTTACTGAGGATTCTACGAATTGCGAGAAGGTGTCTCCTTCATTTCTCACTCCTGCATGGCCAGGCCTTAATATTGGGGACGTTTGTTAGTTTTGGCAGAAAAGGCAGACCAAAGCAGCTTCCAACTGAGCCCCCAATTCAATTCCAGCCATTGCAAGTGAAATCCTCTGCAATCTATAAACCAAAATTGCTTGATAGTTCCATATTTCATTGCAAGATTTGGCCAGAAGCCTCGAATCTCGAGTTGACTGACCAGCTCACGCTCTACGAGGAGATTGTATGTTATCCTCGCCTCCACCCTTATATGGGAACCATTGCCAGGAATATCTAGCATGTAGCAGAGCAATCGGTAGAGGGCGGAATTCGAGACTGTGCCGGCACTTTCCCACGGTGATGCTTTTTGTCTTACCTGTGTTCTTATTTGGCTGCTGTGTGAATAGGCCTGGAAAGCAGACAGATGCCTAGAGCATTCAGTTCCTCAAGAGGTAATGGCGTTGCCAGATATAAGACGGCAGCCCATCGCCCTTCCACTCAAGAAACCCACATCGATTTTCCATCCTCCGGCAACGTTAACGAACTACCCGGACTTTCGTTTTCCTCACTCAGGCACAACATCACATCCCAGGGCCTTACCATGGCGCCGGACGCTGATAACAACGGCGACGACGAGGACCCCGCCGCCGCGGCCCTGCGGGACCCTCCCCGGCAGGCCGGGCGCACCTACATAAGCCGTCGGACCCCGTGTGCCCACTGTGTCGTGCGCATGGTCAAGTGGAAGCCCCAGTCCGACGCCGAGGTTACCATCCCGGTTTGCGAAGACGACAACAGTTAAGTTTGCCGACCCCTGCCCCTACCCCGGCGCCGCACCGCTCGCCTCTTGCTGACGATCCCTAGGCGGTGGAACCAAATGCACTGGTTGCCGTGGAGCTGATCGTGGTGATTGGAAGGAATGCGAGGATGTACGAAACAAAACCCCCCTTGAAGTTCGCTCCTGCGGGCTTGGAGCTGACTGCCGGTAGCCTGTTGACACCGTAACAATGCAGTCTCGCAGGCTTGGCCTCGTTGTCAAGGCGATCGAGTCGTCGGGCTACGCCGAAAACAAGGTACAGTCATGGTTTCCGAGTTGTCGCAAGTGACCGGCTGACAAGCAGCGTAGAAGGAGCTCGAGGCGGCCCAAGGTGCTGCGCGACAGGCCCTCCGGGCTGAGCAGGTGCAGAAGAATAAGAGGGCCGAGAAGCGCAAGGCATCGTACAATGATGCCGCTGCGGACAGGAAGAATCAACGCATCGCATGGGAGCGTGCAGCCGATGTCCTGGAGGCCCTCTTGGCTGAGAAGGAGCAGAAAAATAAGACCGTCGAGAAGAGCAAGGTGACGGCCGAGGATGTCGCTGCAAGCAAGGAACGTGAACTCCTTGCCTTGGAGCGTATGGCTGAGGCCGCGGAGGCTTCCGCTCGGTCCCTGTCTGGGCTTCAGGCGGTTTCCGAGCAGCAGGCTGCGCATGTCGCGCAGCTCGTGGAATGCCAAAAGGAGTTTTCCTCTCGTTACACCGCCGCCGTGAGTATCCCTAACAAAGCCCCCCCCCCTCCCCCCGCCAAAAAAAAACCCTACCCGAGGCTAGGCTGACAACCTTCTGCGTAGAACAGGAGCCGTCCTCACGAGGCCGGTAATGATGATGCTGCAAGCCCTGGGCTAAGGAGATCGGAGCTAGAGGGTTCAGTATGAAGAGTAGATAGGAGGTCTGTACCATGGTTGCCCTATCTCGAGCTCAGACCCCGCCAATAGTGAATAATTGGCAAGTCTAGGAATATTCAGAACCAGCTCTTGTTGACTGCCTGGGTATCGAAATCAAACGCTGTAGTCAACCGCGCGGTGCCTAACCACTGAGATGTATATGTGCACCAAAAACGCCCAATCCCCGCCCGCCTCCTACAGCTCCGAACTCCAAGCAAGGTGGAAACGTAAGTCTGTAAAGCTCTGAAATGGACCAAGCCACCCAGGCATCCTGCTGCTGAGCGCCAACATTTCGGGTAGTCGCCGTGGACAGATCATCCCTAGCCATGGCCAAAGCTGCTGCCATGCCCCCAATCTCAACGGGCACGACGGCCTCCTCACCTGCCCGAACTGCCTCGCTTCCCAACATCCTTCACCCTCCTCTGCGACTCCCTTTCGATATTCGCCGGCAGGCTGGCATCCCCCCTGACCACGAACCACAGGATATACTCCGGCTCCACCTCCTGCGCAGCCGGCCCCGCGGGTTGGCCTCCAGCCGCAGGCGCAGCACCACCACCCGCCCCCGCCCCGGCCATCTCCTCGTCCTCATCCTCGTCCTCCTCCTCGTCACTTTCCTCCTCCTCCTCCAGATCCCGCCTCAACCCGGTCCGCACCCTCTCAACCCCCATCGCCCGCTCCTCGGCCGTATACACATCATTATCCTCGTTACGCACATAGTCGCCCACGCGCGCGACACACGCGTCCCGGACATCGACCCACAGCTCACTAAGCGGGTCGCCGGCACCAGCCTCCTCATCGTCGTCCTCGGGCCGATATCCCTCCTCCTCGTCGTCGTCGTCGTCGTCGTCGTCCTCATCGTCGGGATGCCCCGCGCCGGCGCCGGCCCGGGCAGCCGAGACCTCGACGCCGGCGGCGAGGGCGGCGCCACGGCCCTGCTCGACCCAGGTCTCGATGTCCGGCTCGAGCTTCTTGCGCAGGAGCTGCAGGAGCACGGGCTCCTGGGTGCGGCCGGGGAAGTTGGTGGACGGGTGCACGGCGACGCGCTGGAAGAGGTCGGTGTTCTCGGCGATGACCTTTTGGAGGGAGGCGAGGTTCTGTTGGAGGATGAAGGCGGAGGCTTGGAGGGATGCGCTGGGGGGGGGGGGGGGGGGACGGGTTTATGTCAGCTCCGGGGCGAGATTTACTGGGAGAAGGGGTTTCAATTGGTAGGGTGGAGGATGGAGGGGAGAGATTGCATACGGAGTGGGCAGTGGGTTGCTCTTGTAGATGTCATTCTTTAGGCTGCCGATGCTGTTTGAGAGCTGGAAGAGCCGACCTCGAGTCGACTCTATGGCCTTTAATTCTTCCTGGCTGAGATCGAGCGATGCCATTGTGCGGAAGAGAGGCGAGTAGCGAGGCGGGAATTGCTGGATCGAAAGGGCGGTTGTTGCAACTTGTTGGAAAGGAAATTCAGCTCGGCGAGTGGGCGCTGCGCGGTGTGGGGTCATTCAATTGGAGAAGGCAGTGAAGCTTTCTTGGCAAGCCAGTGCTTGAAGTGGAGACTGCCCATTCAGTTTACTGACTATGGGCATGGCATGTTCTCTAATTTTATCTTTATTGTGAAAGATCCTGTCCTGTCTAACTAGGTAAAAAGACGCCTGGAACAAGTTGAAAAGGCGCCTCGCTTTGAAGATAACAGCAAATTTGGCTCATCCGTTGAATTCATCACACATCAGATATCCTCCGTCAGCCCCTTTAAGCCCTTGCTTGACATGGCGAGACCCTAGACCCTTGGGCTTTTCTCATCATGCCAAGTCGCAATTGGCCAACGCTCGTCACCGGGCTCACTGGTTGTGCGAACCGGCTTGGTCAACCAGGATGGTCTGCCCCGTCTCTCGCCCAATTGCATCCACGGCTGGGAACCGAGCTCGTCGCTCGAGGTCGTCGAGTGGGATGTGCGATCGAATGTACCTGCATGCGGTTAGCACCTATGCACCCCACGCCGATCTGAGCACGAAATAATGGAACCTACTTCTCTCTCCCGTCATCCTGGGGATTATAGTCCCAGCTAATGAAGCGGCCCTGGTTCAGAGCTGACCAGACAAGGCGACGCTTCCGTTGCGATAAGAGGACCTGTTCGGTGATCTTCTCATAATCCCAGCGGCTGTTGGCCTCTGCCTCGAATGCCTCGAAAACGGCCTTGATCTTTAGGTCCTCGACCGATAGGCTCGTCGTCTCCTTGCCGCTCTGCTTGCCGACCGCCTTTGCTAGGTCATGCAGCTCGAGGGGGTCTGTCTCGAGATTGAACAACTGGGAGCCGTCTGTGGGGCAGGTGATATACTTCCACGGCCCTCGCCTGATCATCAGGAGTGGGCTGATGGTTCCTTCGCCGGTATACTCGGCAATCACGGTGTCGTGGCCTTCGCGCCCTTCAAGGTGGGGTAGGAGACTAGTTCCATCCATGGGAAGGCCCGGGAACGGCTTGGTTCCAACCAGATCGCACATGGTAGGCAGAATATCCAGGGTTGAAACATTCTTGCTAACGCGGTGTGGCTCAAACTGCTGTGGGTACGATACCAGAAGCGGAACACGGACAGAAGCCTCGAAGTAGCTCATCTTGTACCTGGTGGGGGTGTAAGTGCTTGTGAACAACGAAAATAGCCCATTTGCAGGATGTTCTGAAGTACTTACCATAGCCCCCTCTCACCAAGCATGTCTCCATGGTCACCGCTGAAGATGACGATCGTGTCTTCGTCAAGACGGCATTTCTTCAGGGTGTCAAGAAGCTTGCCAATGCAGTCGTCGACGTAGCTAACGGCGCCATAGTATGCACGGCGGGCTCGCTTGACCTGATCGTCGCTGAAGTCTGCATCCCATAGATCACAAACCTGCAGTAGCCGCTTGCTGTGGGGGTCCTGGTCCTCTTTGGGGATTTTGACCTTGGGCAGGTCAATGTCTACTCCCTCGTACAGGTCCCAGTACTTTTGCTCAATAGTATACGGATCGTGGGGGTGAGTCAGGGAGACCTATGGGAGGTGGCCTTTCTGTCAGCATAAAGTTTATGTTTGATTAACCCTTACCCGGGGGGTTGGGTCCGGGACCCCCAACCCGCACGCGGGTGTGGTGTGTCCATTACGGAATGGATTGCTTTCGTTCAGGTGGATGATGAATGTTTAGGTTCTTTTTGTTGTTTAAAACTTACCGTCAAGCAAAATGGGCGGGAATCGGGTCCCTCTCGTACGTGGTCATACATGAACTGGGTCGATCTGTACATGACTTCCTCGTCGTAATCGAGCTGGTTGCTCCTGACGCAGACTCCGGCCTGAAGGATGGAGCTGGCATTATGATACCATTCGAGTCTAGTGTCCGGCTTCTCCCAGTTGACGGCCCAGCCAAAGTCGCCGGGGTAGATGTCACTGGTCAGGCGGGTCTCGTAGCCGTGCAGCTGGTCCCCCACGAAATGCATCTTCCCCGCCAGGACGGTGTGGTAGCCCTGCAGGCGTAAGTAGTGGGCATACGTGGGTATGTCACTCGAGATCTGAGAGGCGTTGTCATAGGCCCCGATCTTCAAGGGGAGCAGGCCAGTGATCATGCTCATTCTCGAGGGGGCGCAGAGGGGTGAGGGGCAGTAGGCAGAGTCGAACTGCACCGACTTTGCTGCGAGCTTGTCAAGGTTGGGGGTGAGGATTTGCGATTCCGTATTGTACATTTTGAGCAGAGGAGCCGCCAACTGGTCTGCCATAATGTAAAGAATGTTTGGCATTTTGGGCTTGGGCTGACCATGACCAGCACCACCATTCACACCATTCCCTCCCGCTGCTCCTCCCGGCAGCGGCGAGGCCGGCATGTAATTGAGGTCTGGCGCCATGGTTGAAGCAGCAAGTCCGGTTGTTGAAAGACAAGATAGAATCGAGCCAAAAGGCCTGGCAGAAGTGAAGAGCAAGCAGTAAGGCGAACAACAGGGTCCGAGTACGTATGAAGAAGAGAGAGGAATGCCCCCAACAAGCCAGACAGACAATCTGCTCTTAGTCGTACGCAGTAGAAGAGACGAACCCCGCAAACAAGGACCACCCAAGGAAACCTAGCAGGCCACACAAGCAGATGAGACTCTCGGAGTGGACGGCAAGGGAACTTGGCCTTCCACCTCCCCTTTCGGGAGCTGAGAAATCGATGAGGCGATGGCGGGAGCCTGTGGCCAAGATTAGCAGATCGGGTAAACTCGAGCACGCAAGACGGGCTTGATGTAATCCTGATACACTTCCCGGATGGTGCAATCTGGGGAGAAGATGAGGAGGGATGACTGCCCTTTTTTTTGTGGGCGATCTCAGTTAGACCTACATTTCACATAAAAGAAACCGTGCTAGATCTGGGCTGGTCATGTGGTCCGATAAAGCCGGCCGGGGACCCCTTCCTCTAGCGCATTCGCAATTGGTCGCCATGTTGGCGCCACTGCAAGGCAGGTTGAGTCATGGACGATCTGAGTGGTCAATCACTGGCAATCGGGGGAATTATGTGGGGCATCAAGAACGTTCAGCAACTGCATTGGCCAGAGCCGCTAATAAAACCCAAATGGGGGTTAACTCTTCTGTGTTATGCGCGAGGTGTAAGGCGATTTGAGCATCGGATGTGAGGACACGAGGCGTGAAGAGCAACATGCTGAGAATGAAACAACTGCAGAGCGGCAACTCGGCTGCCAGATTAGGGAACAGAAGTACAGCTCTTAATCCTCACCGCTCCTTCTTGTGAGCAGCATGGCCAAGGCGCAAGAAGGTCCGATAGCGGCAATCGCCATGAGATTCTTTGCCGCCTTAGTTTTGGTTGGCAGGTTGGCAGGCCTGGGCTTCCTCTCGATGGACCAGGTATGTACATGGATGGACATGGCCGTTTTCCGAGACCAGAGCTTGACGTAACGGTAAACGTGTGCGACGCGATAGTATTAGGTAAGGGAAATTGCGCAACTCAGTCGGGAATACCGAGGTGAGCTGCTAGCGGATGGGCTAAAAGGTATTATGATTAAATGACTTAAAGGACTATCACCAACCAGGTGGAATGCTGTTGAGTATAGCCCGTCCCTATAGCCTGTCTAACCGCGACGCCGCGTTGTCGGACCGCGGCTCTTTGGCGTTGCGGTCGTGCTGGTTGACGGACTCTCGATAACAACCTCCTCCTTTTGTTTGCCCTTGGCCTTGGGGGTTGGCGCATTCCAATAGTAGACCATCTGCGCAGCGATAACTGCATTCAGGGCGAACCCGGCAATGAACCCGTACAGAATCAGCTTGTCATCCACTTCCTGCAGTGTCGTGAAGATGCGCGAAAGAGAACCGGCGAGGTAGTTGAAGACCTGCAGAGCATCTCGTCAGCACGAATCCACCATCCATCATTGTCGCCGAACAAAGGTGTGGAATAAGGAGGGGGCGACATACCGCAAACGCGCTCAGCTGTCCGGTTCCGCCCTCCTGCCAGATAGCTGCGATCTGGGGGATCTTGCTCGCGACGCCCAGCGCGCCGGCGCCAGCTTGGAAATAGCTCAGCGTCTTCATGTCCAAGATGTTCGCACTGAACAGGGACACCACACTGACTGCGAGTGCCGCAACGAGCAAGGCAGCCATGCTCGCCTTGCCACTGTAGTTGAGGACCAGGACGGTGATGATGACATTCTGGCCCAGGATCAAGGCCGTCTCGCCAAACGTGCTGAAGGGAAACCCGTTGCGGACGTTGTACGCCAGCGAGATCAGGTAGCTGCTCGTCTCGAGGAGGTAGGAGAGGAAGGAGACGCCGCTGGCAGATCGCGACTGGACCAGTTTGATGATCTGCGGCACCTTGACCACGGACGACGCGGCGATGATACCGATGCCGAGACCCTTGCTGATGGCCAACTTGATGCACTCGGTGTTCTCCGGGTCGATGTCGAGGATCAAAGCCTTGTAGCAGGCATCGCCGATGATGGAAACGCCAAGATCGCGTATTGGTCCTGGAAGGTTGTGGGTGACGGGCTGAAGAGCCGAACGAACTGCGTCCATGTTGAGCGGCGGCGCAAGGAATCGGGTCAAGTTGAAAGAGTGTGGTGGTGTGCGCCGGCTGGAACAGCAGTTGTGACGAGACTCGGTGATGTTGAAATAGTTGTGCACTTGTCAGCCTTGCATCAAGTCCTATTGGACCCCCAAAAATCTTTGCTTCTGGGGCCCCACACATTGTCCCACATCTCGGCTCGGCAGGGTACCCGCAGCCTCAACCTCTTGAATCATTTCATCTTGAGGTGTTCCTCCCAAGAATGGCTCCTATGCTGTTCTCACTGGAAGCTTCAACCTCTTACACAATATACATCTACTCTCGTATCGGCTACAATGGGAACCTGATAACCACATACTTCTAATGCTCGAATAATCAGATACAGTTGTGGATGCCAGTATAGGCCCTTAGTAACTTGCAACACGTTATTAAGTATATTCATCGCAACGTAAGCCATGTCGGATTGGCCCGAAACAGGGATATCAGGAAACGTATATCTTTCTCATTGCATCCTTCCATTAATTGCAACTGCAGCTCCCCGACAGCTACTGCAGTCGTGAGAAGCGAGCTTCGACTCGTGTGTAATAACCTGCTATTGAGGAATTAGCCCTGATGACAGGACAGTACCTAGGTCAGGGTCACTTCTGAAGCCGGAGGTTTCCCTTTAACGACTTCGCAGTCCTAGTAGACTTTTCTCGCCTGCTCCATCCCGTTTCGTTCGTTCAGCCAGCGATCATCATTCTGCGAGGAGCGACTGCATGATCCGTCCCCATTTTTGAGACGGCTCTGTTCGACTTTCGATTGAGCAAATATTGCTAGCTACCTACCTATCGGTGGCTCCAAGTACAAGTATGTAGCCGCCTGCCAGACATCCATTGTCGTAATGAAGCTGCCAGGTGTAACCCTTGAGAAGCGGCCCAGAGCTCCGGTATATGCCATGTCAAATGCAGAAGCCGAATATGCCCAGAGAATCAAAGATTGCGCTCACTTGGCCGAGGGAAAAGGAAGAAGCTGCATTTGTGCAAAGTAAACCCCACAAAAGTGCATAAATCGCAAGCAATACGCCGGTATCGACGCCGGTACAATTCCCTGTCGAAGTTCTTCCGACCGCCGTCCTCATTACCGTGGGGGGGAAAACCAAACCAGCCGCCGCCCAGAGCCACCATGCCATCCCATGAGCCGATCCCGAACAGAGAAGTCCATTAGAAGAAAAGTGCACACTGACTAGATGCCACTATGGTCTGGCCTTTGCCTTGCGTCCGGGCTTCTTTTTCTGCTTTCCCTCTCCCTCGTCAGCCACCCCATTCGCAAGGTTCTTCTTCGTGGCATCGAATGCTCGCACAAGGATCGCAGCATGTGTGAGGTTCTTCTTCGGCTCCCAGGTAGCTTCCCCCACAGGGTAACCCTTCCACTTGACGCGATACATGTGCTCCATGGTGTCGGCGTCAATGGCGGAATCGAGGATCTCTTCCACCTCATACTCTCCAGCTGGGGCCGCGCCGCTGGTCTCTCCCTTCTTGGGCCGGCCGCGTTTAGCAGCCGCGCTTGTGGGTTTCTGAGGAAATGGTCAGACATCATGCGCTGGGAGTTGAAGTAAGATATCCTGGAGGGCTTACCGTAGACACCTCCTGCTGCCTCTTCGGGCGACCGCGGGTTTCCTTCTTGACGGCCTTAGCAAAAAGGCGGGCGCTCGTAGGTCCGGGAGGACGGCCACGGCGCTTAGCGGGCACCGGATCAGCTTCGGTCTCAACAGCTGCAGCCTTGCGCTTGCGCCCGCGCCCGGCACCCGCGGTTGTGGGAGCCGAAGCTGAGGCAGGTGCAGACGCTGGGGTTGACCTCTTGCTTGGAGTCCTTGCAGGGGCGGCGGAGCTCGACAGGCGGGAACGATTCCGGGCTTCAGAGGCAGTTGCGACAATGCCATCCTCATCTTCATCTTCATCCTCAGCCTCGCCGTAGTACTCGCCCATGTTAGCAACTGGGGCGGAGTTGCTAACTCCATCATCGTAGCTTACTTCAAGCCCAGGTCCGCCATTAAGGAGGGAAATCATGGCCGGGCCAGAACCAGGCAGGCCCAAGCCTTTGTCTTCGCTAACGGCATCATTCATGCTGAGATTACTGTTAGTTAGCTTGAACGCTAGGAAAGAACGCTGGTTTAAAATGATAAAGATAAATCAGTGCATTGAAGAGATCCGCCCAAAAACCGGTTTGAATGATGTATGATGAAATGAAAGTGCGCAACCCACATCTCCTCGCTGAAGAGAAATTCCGCTCTGTTCTCCTCCTCGATCGCAAAGGGCGGCATGTTGAAGGTGTTACGGAAGACTTCTGATAGTTGTTCTGCAACGACAGGATGAGACGCGCAGGATAAAGTTGAGCGCGACTCAACACATTGGCTGCCCATAATTTGATACTCGGCGATTCTAAGGCTATGTGGACCTTAGAAGTGATGCGATCGTTGAAGAAGTCGCGTCTGGATAACTATTGGGTGATGTAAACATGGGCCACCCATACGTACTCCCCTACCTACCTTATTTAGAAAAAGCAGGGAACTAAGCCAGCCAATTAGACTGGCTCTTCTCAAGACAGTGTAATGTACTGTGTACATTGGCTCTGAGGTTAAAATGGATGGCAGTCTGGCTGTACCTACTCTTACATAGTACATGTCTCAACCTTCAGATTTACCATTGCTGGAGATGGTAGGCTAAAGATCATGAGCGTCACCTGCTGGAATGCTGCTAGATATCAACGAGCATATGGCCAACCTAGTGTCGCGGGCCAATCAAGACACACTGTATGACCTAGATACCAATCCTGACTAGGTATGTACTACCCTGCAGAGAGCATCTTTGATAGCCAACTCGTCAACGACACGAGCTTTAATGACTAGCTTCTGTGAAGCTTGGTTGAAGCGAAATATCTCCTTAGGAACGAACCATCCTGCCTTCCCAGAACGGAGCCTTCAGTCAACCTTTTCAGCAGCATCGGCGCCATCATCATCCAGCTCCTGCACTCGCCCTTCCCTGAAAGCCTTCTCCACCGGGTTCTGTACACTGATGAGACCGTTCTGCTTGAGCCTGGCACCTTTGTTAGCAGGTTCAAATTTAAACGCCAGAGTTGATCAACCAACCGTTCAAAGAGGACAAAGAGCCTCTCAGCCTCTCTCTCCTTCTCCTCCTCGGTCATTTCCGGCAGATCTTGAACCTTCTCCGCGTCCAGATATTGGCCTGTAATGGGATTGAATGCTCTCGCAGCTTCGGCAGCCTCTGACGCCGTCTCCGGAATCGGAATGTTGTTCTGGAAGAGGAACCCGGAAGCAAACCCGTATCCGACGTTATGGACGAATTTCGAGGCATCCTTGTCCGACATCTCGAAGAGGAGATGCGATACGGCGCTTCCGAACTTGGGGATCATGGGATTGGTGATGTTCCGCAACAGCGATGACGACAGCGTCTCTCCTCGGCCCAAGACATCTTGGCGATCTTCTTCTGTGGGCAAGAGACTGTCCCGGATGTACTGCTGCACATTCTTTGGCGCATGTTCATGTACACCCCTGATCACGCAGATCAGGGGAGTGACCGTCTGTTCGAGCTCGCTCTCCCCGTATGCTTTCATCGACAGCCCGAGGAGATGAATTAGCCTTTCCGATACGGAGGTAGGCTCACTCTCTGGATAGAAGGGGGACTGGGCCTGCTCGCTGTCTAATTGTAGGTTTACCAGTGCATTGATGAGTAGTGAGAGTGGAGAGGCCAGGGGTGTGCTCGCAGGTGGCACGTCGTGCTTGTGCAACATGGTTATGATATGGGGAAGTGCTGGAGTGAAGGAGCCGACATGTTTGGGCGCAAAAGTTGTAACGTTGAAGAGCAACTTCAAGGTCTCAGCCAAGGCCATCTCCTCCATTGGGTCTACCTTTGCCTTGCTTGCGTCCTTAGAGTGCTGCCGCGCATGCCTTGCCAGGTTCTGGACGACGGAGTCCGCAAGGTCGAACTGGTCAATCAGAGTGCGAAGATCAATGTTTGTGCCGTATGTTGTTAGGAAGATGAGGCGTGAAATAAGAAACTCATCATCTCGATTGTCGTTCTTCAACTTATTGCACGCCTTTTCCTCGTAGCCCAGGTCTACAAACATTTGCCGTGTCTCCGGCTTGAGAAACATAGCATTGCACAAACATCTGAGGGCGTTGCGGGATGTCGACTCCGAGGCGCTGTCCAAGGCATGCCTTGTGAGAGTTTCAATCCCCTTGCGCTGGCATTAGCGTGGATAGATGATGGAAAGGGTAGCATTTTACCTCTCGAGTGAAGATGGGGCCAGCATCTCGGGGATCGCGACCGTAGACTTTGAGATCTTCGAGTGCATCGTCTCGTTCTAATGGATGTCAGCGTCATGAGGCAAAACTAGAGATACTTGGGAGAAGTACCTACCGGGAGTGGTCAGCTTTTTTGATTTGAGATCGTCAGTCAGCTTGGTCATGAGAGTCGTGACGGCTTCTAACTTGGCTGTTTATCTGTTAGCCAGAGCCATCACACCTACACAGGCTAGGTACACGAAGGTTCTTGTGCTTCGCTTACCAGGGCCAGTGCGGGCACCCTGCGGTGATAACTGGGAAGGCATCGTAATCTGTGGGCATATGCAAATATTGTTCAAGCAAGACAGCGCAGATTATCTGTTGGCAGAAGTGTTACGGGTAGCTGTTAAATGAGAGCCTACTACTTCAGGGAAACCACCGGCAGTGACGTACCGGATCTTGGATCTCACATCTAGGGGCATTTACGGAGTCCGCAATGTGGGGTCCCGGCCGGATCCACGGGACTTACATAAGCTTCGGGCAATATTATGTATAAGAGGTTGGAGAGACCAGGATGTTGGCCCCACCCCTCCTATTTGCAGCACGCGCGACAGCTCACGCGTGCACCGCGTCCGCGTTTAAGAGCTCTTCCCCTGCCTTAATTTGTCAGTCTCCTCAACCTCGCTTCCACGCTCGCCTTCTTCCAGTTCCGTCTCTGGGTTTTCCTTTCGTTGCAAAGTATATTTCGGTCCCATTTTCACTATTTCAAGTTGCAATGCTCATGAATCTGCCCATTATCACGGCCTCCAGATAGCGACGCGGTCATAGCTGTGGAGCTCGGCTCGAAGGTTCAATTTCCCAATGGCAACTCCGGCGGTGATGTTGAACCTCCTGCAGTCCTTACCACCTCGGCCGCCGACACCGCCTCGAGAGACCATCCATGATTCCGAGGCTCAGACAAGGCACCTTGCCGTCTGTCAACCCTCCGGACCACGACTGAACATCCAGACCCCTCCCGGCATCTACTCGCCCAATTCCGAGAGCGACTCCAATTCGTGCTCTTCCCGGCGTGCACGGAAAAAGGTTGGCTTCTCGGCTCAGGCCGAGTACAAGGAACCCCCCGTGTATCCGGAAACCAATACCGGGAAACTCCACCCTACTCCCGTATCCCTTCCTCCAAGCTCCTCAAAACCAGTCAAGTCGATCCTGAAAGTCACCTACTGCCCAAACCCTCTCGATTTAACTTCCTCGACGCCCTTTGATCCCGCCGACGCCAAGGCAAATCTCGCAGCGATGCTAGACTCAACCATACAGCAGCTCGCTGGGGCCGACCGCGAGTCAAGGCTCGATGCCTACATGATGTTGGTGCAGGCTTTGAAAGCCTCTGACAATCTCCCGGACCGCGTTGCGCTTCATGAGAAGATGAGCTTGTTCATGCAATTCATCCAACGAGATATCACGATCAAGGCGTCCAGTAGCACCGTCGATTCATCCCTCGTCAACCACGCACTCAATCTCCTAATCACCTTTTTCAATTTCCCCGCCATCGCATCAGCCCTTTCCAACGACTTTGGCGTCTTTATCCTGGACCATTGCATACGGTCATTTGAGGATACGTCCGCGCCCAAGGACGTTGTCCGCCGTCTGATGCAGGTTGTTGCTGTTCAGAATTTCTCCCCAAAAGTCATGACCTCCGACAGAGTCGCGCGACTGGTTTCGTCATTACACAAGATCGAGGGACATCTGAAGGGAAAGAGCATCATCATGTCTCGGGTACTCATCTACCGGAAACTCGTGAAGCAGTCCAGGCAACTAATGGTGCTGCACTCGGACTGGCTGTTCGATTTGTTCACCGATATGCTCAGCGGGCTGAAGGAGATACGATCTGCTGCAATATCTCTCGGCCTCGAAGCTGCATTCAGCATTGGCAAGGAGAAGGTATTGTCTAGGAAGGTTATGGAGATGCTCAACCTTACCTCTGAGGACAAGACGTACATCGAATACTACGAAGAGAGACTTCACGCCATGGGCAAGGAGAAGGCCGATTCGGCCTCGGTGCCTCAGATATGGAGCGTCGTCATGCTCCTTCTGCGCTGTCCATTCGATAAATGGGACCTGTTCAGTCGCTGGTTACACATCATGCAGACATGCTTCAACAGCAGCGACTTCCCGACAAAGAAGGAGGCAAATTTGGCATGGAGTCGCTTGGTGTATCTGGTCCACCTCGAGGATCGATCGTTCTCCAAGATGATCTCGACGTTGAGCCAGCCGTTAGCCTCGCAACTCAAACGAAAGGGCTTGAACAAGAACACGGAGGAATTACGCAAAATCGTTCTCGGAGGCATCTGCAACATCTTCTATTACGCCTTCAAGCCGACGACCAACCTGACCCTCCTAGACGGATACTGGGACAACTGTGCTAAGCCTCTCATGAAGCAACTCCTCGACCGGAAGGCCGACAATGCACCGGATGGCCTCTCTCAAGCAAGCGCGATTCTAAGCGGGCTATTCGACTGCTCAACTCCTCGATTGTGGAAGGAGGACCACGTCACTCAACACCCGCTGGTAAGGCCCGAAGAACTCCCCGCCATCGACTCAAAATGGGTCCGGCGAAATGCCAGCAGAGTTTTCGGGATCGTCGGGCCTATCCTCGAGAGGGACTTGTCTGCAGTGGCCGATAGCACCACTGCCACTCACAGGTTGTGGCGAGCACTTGTTGGGACAGTCGCTTCTGCAGCCTCGAAAGAAATCAAGGTGTCGATAGACACTGCAAATTTCGTGGCTCATGCTTTCAACGTGCTCCAGAACGTCTGGGCGCGAGGCCCGAAGACAGGAAACGAGGCGGAGAGTAGTTCTCAGTTCCTGAAGGGTGTACTGGCATACCTGGGGACCATGGTCGACTCGCTGGGCCTCTTGCCGTTCACCGAGAAGTTGCTCTCCATGGACAAGCAGAACCACTTTATCCCGATTACGACGCCGACGCATCGCCCTGGGAAATCCCAAGGAATGACCAAAGCCCCGCTCCACCATCTATTCTCCATTCTATCAACCCTCCCTCCGCTCGTTCCAGACGACGACAAATTCGCCAGCTTCTTCGCATCTGCCTTTGCGCCCTTCTTCACCACGAAAAGTGACAAGGGGCGGATGGACCTGGCTGAAGACCTGCTGTCATCACTCCCGATGGACGCGTTGAGCCCATATGGCCCATGGTTACTTGTTGCTGACAAGATCTCGATGTGGTTGGAGGCTGGTCCCAGCAGCGTTCAAACTAGTTTCTCTGGCAGCGAGGCCCCCGTTGGCCATGACTACCGGGACATCGCCAGGGTGCTCGAACGCGGTCTGAAGTCGACCCCCAACTTGCCATGGAAATCTTGGCAGTCGTTGTTCTCCTCTCTCTGTTTCCGCTGTCGAGACGAGGCTGGCGATGCTGGGGTAGCGATTGTCGCCATCGAACCCCTGGCCAAGGTGCTTTTGGATATGTGGTCTGCCGGAGATTCTTCCGAAGTCACAGACCCGGGCGTAATGGCCAAATGCACCGCGGAGCTGCTCTCCATGGCCACTCAGCCACGAGATCGCCAGGCTGTAGATGCCGCCAGGCGCCGTCTCTGGGGGACAGTGGTCTCAGGTACCAGGTCGGCCTCATTCGACACCTTCGACCACCTCTACAAACTAGTCAATCTAGCGCTGGCCCAACTGTACCAGGCAGCCATCCCCCAGACTGCCGAAGGAGTTGTGTCTCTCTTGAGAGAAATCGGAGGCTTCCTGGATCGTTCTAACCCACAACTGGTCCTGAAGTCACTGCTTATCCTCCAAAGTGGCATCGCCTTCTGGATCCAGGACAATGAAGCAGAGACCCGTCGTCAACATGCCGACGTGGTCGAGGCTGTGAGTAAAGACTTGTTGTTTGGTGTTGGACCTCAGCTAATCAAACTACAGGTCAAATCTCTGTGGGAGAAGACCTCGAGCATCCTGGCGACCAGTGACCAGACTCGGCATTTGCAGCTTGATGCCCTGGAACCCCTCCTTTGTGCCGCATTCGGGAGCAAGCACCGGCATATCGTCAACACGACTCTGTCCTTGTGGAATGGCATCTTTGACCAGGCAGGCGACGCAGAGAACCTCGAGTACCCGGAGGGCTTGAAAGCCATCCTCTTGTCTCTCCGACCCTTCGTGGATATCGTGCTGCCGGGATTGGAAGCCTCCAGCATTGAATCTGGAGGTCGTGAGCCATTCTTCGTCGAGTCCCAGGATGATATGCCTCGTCTGAGCAACATCACGTCGACCAAATCTAGCCGGGCAACTCCCCGCCCGACTTCATCGTCTCGTCGTTCCGTCTCTCCATCGCTCAGACTTTTCGCGGCCGCAAAACGACGTCCGGACCCTACTCCCAACCGGAAATCAGGCAATAGGCGCAGCACCACGCCTCGACTCAGACATGATGATTCCCAGGTGCAGTTTGCCGCCATCGAGTCGTCACCGGTTGGTGATGACCTGGAATCCCAAGTCCTCACTGAGCATCAGAAAGAAGTCCGTGAGCGACAGAAGGAAAATGCCGCCCTCTTCCCCGAGATACGGTCCAGTCCTAACAAAGCTAAGAGCGGCTTGGTCCGTGGCTCTTCCCGGGCGTCATCATCGCACAGATCGCCCGTGAACCAGCGGACCGAAACCCCTGCACCCGAGGGTACATTCGACGACTATGTCGCATCCACGCCGACTCCACGCCGTGGTCGGCCATTGCCCATTGCCGATCAGGACCACGACATGACTGATCCTCCATCGTCGCCTCCGGAGCCAAGAAGGAATCCACTCTTGGCTGAGATCCAATCGCGGTCTGCTAGCAGCAGTCTCATGGACGAATGGCAGTTCTCCTCCTCTCCAATATCCGGCTCGCCCAGCCAGAACCGCGCCGCTCCCGCACCAGAGCAGCCTACTAACGGGAGAGACTTGGCGGATGGGTGCCGAGAGCCCGGCCGCGAAGATGATGAAATCGAAGACGGAGAAGATGACGCCATGGATCAGGCAGAATCTGAATTGCCCACGTCGAACGCTGATGACATGGTCGAAAACGATATCCTTGTCCAAAAGCGCGCGGGTTCTTCCTCCCTAGATGCGCCAGAAGAGATAACTGAGCAACTTCCATCTACACCACCGCAATATCCCCGACCTCCGCAGTATCAAGAGACTCCCAAGTCTGACAACGAGGTGTTTATCGACGCACGGGCTAGCCCTTTGCCATCCACGCCGAGAAGGAGCCAGAGAGCCGTTAGATCCTCTATGTCGGTTCAAAGCAATCCGCGTCGTCTAGGCGAGCATTCGCAGAATAGTTCTTTGAACATCAGCAATGTGGATGAAATGAGCGTGCCCAAACTTGTGGTGGAACTCGATTCTGGGAGATTCGATAGCTCCGATTATCGACAGCTGTCTGATTCACCGGATAAGCTAGGCCAGCCGGAGGAGGCCCTCGACTGCATCGTTGTGGGACAGAGTCCCTCTAATAATCCCGGGGAAACTTCATCGAAACAGAGCATCTCGCATCCTGTGACACCCACGAAGCCGTCCACTGAGGCTGAAGAGGCTGCAACGGCAAGCTCCCAAGTCACGTCGGGCTCAGGCAGGAAGAGACGTGGTCGGTCGTCCTCAAAGGCCCATGGAGCAGGCAAGAAGAGAAAGCGTCAAGAAACAGAAACCGAGCGTGCGATGGAAACGGTTGCTGATAGTCAGCACAACGCGGTCGGCGACGTGATCCAACTTCGGAAGGGCCGCGTGGCGAAGAAGAAGAGGCCCTCTCCGGAAGCCGTGGAACAGCAATCTCAAGAGGAACACATTGCGAGCTCTTGGCCGGAATTCCCGAGCCAGGCTCTGCCTGAGGTCAACATGCACGATGCCGTCGCGCCAGGTTCCGAGGAATACGAGGTGCATTCACAGATTGTTCAGGAGGCGAAGGCCCAAGGTGTCCGATCGCAGACTGGGGAGCCGGAAACGGAGATGAGCAGCGCCATGCAGGTCGAGACCACTGAGGCAGGTGCTGCTGAGACAGAAAGGCAAGCCGAGGCTGAAGCCGAAGCCATGGCTCAAGAAGAGCAGGCCGAGGCGGCCAAGGATGGAGGAGGTATATTGTCGAGGATCATGACGACACTCCAAGGCGGACTGAACGCGCTTCGGACCGCCAAGCTGTCGAGAGAGGAGGTCTATCAGGTTGAGGACATTTTCATGGACATGAAGAGAGAACTGTACGAGGCAGAGAGACGTGGCAGAGCATAGTTTAACTTGCATGGTTCAAGGCGTCAAAAGGAAGGCATTCGAATGGATGGTTGGGTACAGGGGCGTCACTGTTAGAATACCAAATAGGACACAGCAAGGAGGAGTGTATTGCTATTTACCTTACCTTGACGTAGTTTTGAGAATGAACTCGAGTTCAAGAGAACAGAATTGGCTGGGGTTGCCTGGGACTCTCTCTTCCCTCTCTGCATGCGTGCCCACAGGCCCACTGATCACGCCGTTAGTTAGGCGTTTCTCTTTGTGATCCTTTGAGCGTCCGTGTTTCAGACTCTGCAGTGGCCACCACTAGGTTGTTCCATGGGCCACGTCAGGAGGCCCCTGTTCTACAATGTGTCCGTTTGCCCGCGGAGCGCAGACGAGGGCAGTTGGAGATTGATGGGGTGTGTGCTGTGTGTGTGGACAGCCGTACCCCATCTGATGATGCATTGCTGAGTGAGGTGGCTACCCCGCCCCCTCAATGCTCTCAAAGCTCACCACCTAGCCAGCTTCAATGGACGCTCCCTCTCCCTCTTTCTTTTCTCCCCGTCCCAGGTACCTACGTACCTTACAGAAACTCGATCGAATAGCTCCAGTTGAATTTTTGATACCCGCAACGCCCTGTTTATAGCTCCAGTCCCCCCCCCCCGTCCTTGCGATCCCCGGAACCGCAAACGCCCCCACTTTTTCGAACCTCCTCCTCCGACACGATGGACAGACCCAACAAGCCCACAGCTCTGGCGAGCACCCCCGCGCTCGCGCCGCAGCCGCAGGTCAGCATCACGCACAGCAACCAGCGCGTGTCGGCGGTGCTGCCGACGGGCGAGAGCGTCGAGATCCTGCTCTACGGCGCCACGGTCCTCAGCTGGAAGGACAAGGACGGCGACGAGAAGCTCTGGCTGAGCGAGGGCGCCAAGCTCGACGGCTCCAAGGCCGTTCGGGGTGGCATCCCGCTGGTCTTCCCGGTATGGACGGACATGTCCCTCTCTTTTTCTGCCTACCCATATATCTGTTTGGAGTGCCCTACAGGGTCCCAAGGCTAACCGCGCCCGCCAAACGAAAACAGGTCTTCGGCGCCCCCCCAGCAGGCCACGCAACCTCGCGGCTGCCGCAGCACGGCCTGGCGCGCACGTCGCGGTGGGAGTTCTTGGGCAAGTCGACGTCGGAGTCGGCGCGGATGGAGGGCCGGAAGGCCGGGGACCTGTCGGTCAAGCTCGACTTCGGGCTCAGCTCGGCGACGCTGGACGCCGCTGCTAAGCCGCTCTGGCCGTTCAAGTTCGGGCTCATCTACAGCGTCACGCTGAACCGCGACAGCCTGACCACGAGCCTCGTCGTCACCAACGACGACGACAAGCCGTTTGACATCCAGGTCCTGCTGCATACGTACTTTAGGGTCAACGTGAGTTGGTGGCGCTTTTTTTTTTTCTCATCGCATGGTTAGACACACACGTCTCTCTTCTTATAGTTATTTTGCTCTTTGCCTGTCAGTTGCACTTCTTATTTTGGCTAACCGTCTCTTCTCTACCAGGACATCACCAAGGTCCAAGTCACGGGTCTCGACGGCGCCGAGTACGTCGACAAGGTAGACGGCCTCAAGACCAAGCAGCAGTCCTCGGACGTGACCATCACGGGCGAGACGGACCGCGTGTACAGTCCCGCGGGCGGCGCTGGGCAGGCCGTGTCGGTGATCGAGGGCGGCAAGGCGGCGCTCTCCCTCGCCCGCGACAACCTCCCCGACGTGGTCGTTTGGAACCCCTGGGCGACGGGGGCCGCGGGCATCGCCGACTTCGCGCCCAAGGCGGGTTACGCGAACATGGTCTGCGTCGAGGCGGGCTCCGTCAGGGGGTGGCAGACCCTCGAGCCGGGCGACGCGTTCGAGGGCGCCCAGACCATCACCTTGTTGTCTTGACTGGGGGCGGCGTCCGGGGCGCGGTTGTGAGTAACCTAGAGTCGTTGGGGATTTACGTGGATGCAAAAAGGAGGGGTTGTAGAAGTGGAAGGACACTCCCCCCTTGGATGTCGACAATTCTTAGAATAAGAGTCTAGAGGAGCTTTCTGGTTCTGAAATCTACCCCAGCGAACAATCTCAACCTAGTGCCTTTTCTGATGTTCTAAGTCGCAACCTGGTAGGCAAAACAGTAACCTTTTCTTATTTTGGGTTTGACTCGCAGTGATGGACCTAGATATCCCATTTGTCCATCGTATCCCATCTGAACCATAACGCCGCAGAAGATGCCACGCAAAAAGTACCGCCCTCTCCGTTTCAGACCGTCATTCTCTCGCTACGGTAATGATCGGCGATCAGGAAGGCCAGCTCGAGAGCCTGCTTCTCGTTCAGCCGGGGATCGCAGAAGCTGGTATAGTTGGTCGACAGGTCGTCCTCGGCCAGGCACTCGCTCCCGCCGAGGCACTCTGTCACGGCGTCGCCGGTCAGCTCGAGGTGGACGCCGCCGAGGTAGCTGCCCTGCTCCTTGTGGATGCGCAGCGTCTCCTGCAGCTCGGAGAAGATGTCGGCGAAGTGGCGGGTCTTGACGCCCGATGCCGTCGACCGCGTGTTGCCGTGCATTGGGTCGCACTGCCAGACGACGGCGCGGCGGTACTCGCTGTCCTCGACGGCGCGGATGTGCTGCGGCAGCAGGTCGCGCACGCGCGCCGCGCCGTACCGCGTGATCAGCGTGATCTTGCCGGGCTCCCGCGACGGGTTCAGCGTCCGTAGGAGCTCCAGGAGGTCGCTCGTCGGCGTCGTGGGGCCCACCTTGACGCCGATCGGGTTGGCGATGCCGCGGAAGAACTCGACGTGCGCGCCGTCGATCTGCCGCGTGCGGTCGCCGATCCAGAGGAAGTGCGCCGACGTGTCGTAGTACTCCTTCCCGGCCTGCCCGGCTTGCGCCTGGCTAGGGTCGAGAGAGGACGGGGAATGGGCCGGGTTGTCCAGCAGGCGCGTCAGGTTCTGCTCGTATTCGAGGAGCAATCCCTCGTGGCTGGTGAAGAGGTCGACTGTGTCCAGCTTGTTGCTCTTGTCGGCTCCAATGGTATGCATGAATTGGAGCATATCCGTGAGGAACTTGACCGCCTCGGAGTACTTGGCTTTGAGAGCCGGGTCGCGGACATGGCCCAGTTCCCAGTCCAAGGGGCGGTGCAAATCCGCAATCCCCGAGGCGATGGCTGCCCTGATGTAGTTCAGAGTCGCCGAGGAGTGGTGGTAGGCTCTTTTCAATCCATGTTAGCTCACTCGCACGTCGCTCCCTAACCCACGGGTACACCTACTTGACCAGCCTTTGCGGGTCCAGCTCCCTCTCTTCAAGCGGGAAACCGTTTAGAATGTCGCCCCTGAAGGACGGCACCTCCTTGCCATCGACCATCTCGGTCGGACTTGACCGTGGTTTCGCGTACTGGCCGGCCATGCGGCCGATCCGCACGACTCGTTTATCGGCGCCCCAGATGAGAACCAGGCTCATTTGCAGTAGCAGCTTGATCTTGGACTCAATGGCGTCCTGCTCACAGTAGGCGAAGAGCTCTGCGCAGTCGCCTCCCTGAAGGAGGAAGGCCTCGCCCCGTGCCACATCTCGCAGATGCTGCTTGAGTGTTACAATCTCCCGAGGGTGGACAATGGGCGGGAGTCGCTTGAGTTCCGCCATGGATTTTGCCAGAGCCTCCTTGTCCGGGTAGTCGGGTGACTGCTTCATGGGTTTGCCTCTCCACGACTCCGGCGTCCACGGCGCCTGCGCCTGCTCGCCCGCATGGCTTGCTGTCCCATTCATGGCTAGAAAAAGTGCCACTCTGTTGTAAACTCGGTATAGGTATATGGGCGGGTGGATTTGAGAGTATGACTGTTGCTTGTCTTTGATACGAGTACTACGGCCTACCTATCTATAAAAGTCCTTCCTCTGAGTCAAAGGCTTTGAACTTGCGGCATTCAGGCCCGCATTCAACCATTGACTACCCAATTGACCAATCAGCAAACCTTGACTAGGTAGGCACGGTAGGCAAGGGCAAGGGACTAACAACGGCCCCACCCCCACCTGCTCAAAGCCTCAAGCTCCAAGCATCCAAAATTGACCGTATTCCGCATCCGACATCAGTATAGCAGTTCGCCCAACAATCCATTACACCCCCCAAACGCAGAACCCGCAACCCAGAAAGAACCCTCCAGAAACAAACAATGGCAGAAGACAGACAACCCTCGACGGTCGTCGAGGGCGCCACCACGACCGGCGACGTCGAGGACGAGGTCCCCGCGGCGGCCAAGTCGGCCGAGGACAGGAAGGCTGCCGCGGCGCTGTCCAAGCTCGACACCCGCGGCGACGACGACGAGGCAGTCCCGTCCAAGGAGGTCGACCACGAGGCCGTCAGCCGGGCCATGGACAGCCTCGACGGCGTCGCCGCCGGTAAGAAGGCGGCCGACGACAAGAAGGACGTTAAGAAGGTCAAGGTCGACCCCGAGGACGTCGCCCTGCTGGTCAGTACAAAATAGCCCCGGACTTTGCCCTATCCCACCCCTTCTCCCCCCCGAGCATAGCAGAGGCTGACCATGAAACTATCTAGGTCGACCAACTCGACCTTAGTAAGACCAAGGCCACGGAACTCCTGAGGGCACACGATGGAGATGCGGTGAAGGCGATGAGAGCCTACATCGCGCCGCCGCTCTAGGTACTGCCCTGGCATTCAACCATCAACATTTGATTAGAGAAGCTTAGCGGGCATCTTATCTCGAAGCGGTAGCTATACCCTATGGCGACAGACCGTGGTGCATCCTTTGCTGAGTTTAGGGGTAGCTCGCCGAATTATTGCTCTTCAGTTATGGATACCCGTATCACCAGCGCATCCCACGATAGATTCTGCCTCGGCACGTTTAGCTTCTTCCCGAAGACCGGCATCGTGGCCATTGACATCGGGCTTCTCTCGCGGTCTGGCTGCGCCATTCCGGATGGACAGGAATGAGGAGGGCCGGAGCTTGTTCATCGAGGTCAGAGGATCACCGTCTAGAAGGGCGAGGGGGCGTTTAGCGGGGACAGTACATAGACACTGTTCCGTATTTTAGACAAAACCAACATCCATCGACGATTGGAATAGATCATCTTTCAACCCAGCCCAACAGCTCCTTCCTGCTAACGATTCATGAACTTACACGACAACGAACAGGGGCTCAGTATGTTGAAGTTGTACTTTATACAGCAAGCATGCAATACACTACAGTCCCAGACTCCTAGACCAGGCCATCTGGGCCGATCCTAACGCCATCATTCCCTTCCCTTCAGAACCCAAACGAGTGACTCGAGGAAACACACACAATAATCGCCCATAACTCGAGCAATTAGACGACCATCAAGCGACCCCAACCAACCCCAGCCCCTGCCTCCCCGAAAGAAAAGAATAAGAAAAACCTCACAACCACCAGCTCAAGGAGCAAGCAAACAAGCAAACCCTCCTACTTCCAAGCCCTAGAAAGCGGACTCCCCACCTTCGGCGCAAACTGCAGACTCTTCCGCCTCGCCGCCATGAGCCGCATCATGACCCGCTCATCCTTGTCCCCGCCGAGCACGCCGTAGTACGCTGCCTCCGCCTCCGCCCCAGTCCGCTTCGGCGGGCACGTGCGCGTCGCCAGTGCCTCCCTCTGCTCCCGCTCGTCGTCGTCGTCGTCGTCTGCTTCTTCCCCGTAACCCCCCATCCCGCGCGGCGTCACGGGCGTCACGTTGGCCGCGAAGCGCGCGATCACCTCGGGAGCCGGCGTCTTGGGCACCGGCGTCAGGAACGCAGAGTCCCACTCCGACGACGTATCGATGGTATTGTCTCCACCGTGGGCGTCGTCGCCATGGTGGTCAAGGTCGTGGCCGCTGTCCTTCTCCTTGTCCTCGTCCTCCGGAGTGCGCATCCACAACCCGCTGTCCCGGCGATTCATGGGCGTGCTGGGCGCCGTGTGGCACTCGCGCGCCACGTCTGGGTTGCCGCTGCCCGTGCTGGCGGTTCTCCTCGCCGGCGTCGTGGCAAGCACAATGCCGTTGAGGCTGGCGAGGGCCTTGGGCTCCATGCTCTTGCGGCGGCGGGCGCCCCCGCGGGGCACGAGCGACGTGTCGATGTAGTACGGCGCCTCTTCGAGCCACTGGTTCTCGCGTTCGCAGCTGCGGAGAATGGTTAGCACGGATGTAAATACCCATGATGGAACGAGAATCGAATCAACTTACTCAAGCACCCAGCTGACCCCGACGCACTGGACGACCCCGGCGCTCTCGCGGACCTTCTCGAGTGTCCGCTTGCCACCGTCCTTGTACACGACGTGGGTGATTCCAATCCTGGACGAGGCCGGCGCGCCTCCGGGCCCCGGCGGGCTGCTCGGGTTCCACGGCCAGCTCTTAACGCAGCGGGCGCCCATCTGGCTCAGCAGCTCGACGAAAATGCCGCTCGCGTCGGCGCCCTCGCTCGTGTGGACGTCCACGAACACGACGGCGCCCCGGAGCAGCGCCGGGTTGAGGTCGCGCCGGGGAGTGCGGGCCGGCGTGCCTGCCATCGACCATCCGCTCTCGGACTTGGTTGGCGTGACGGGAGGCACTGACTGCGCACGACCCGTCTCGCGTTCCTCTGGCACGGACTGCTCCCTCTGCTTGGTGGGAGAGTAAGAGATGACGGTCGCGCTCCTGGTGAGGCCCTGTGTCGGTCGTTGGACTGGCAGGCGTGAGATGCTGTGACTTCGCTTCCTCATCTTGGGGCGAGGGGTGGAGTCGTCTGCAGGCTTGAGCGGGACCTTGGACACGGTGTGGAAGTCCCTCATGATCATCCGTTGAGGGGTAACAGGAGGTACAACAACAGTGGCCTCTGGTGCTGGTGGCAGAAGAGCCGGATCGATGGGGACGTCGTTTTCGTCTCCATACTCTTGGCTGGCGTCCGACAGGGTCTCGTCTGGATCCCCATGGTCGACAAAATCTTCCAACTGCTCAGGGGCCATGAGTGACATCTCGTTGGCCTCCTTGACCAAAGCCAGGTCCTCGGCCGACATGGAAGCGTCGCTAAATTCAGGCTCAAGAACCTCGCCGGTCAGGGGTGCCTCCACTTCGGCCTCAATAACGGCTTCCACCTCAGGCTCAACGGCGTGAGGGTCAGCTGACATTGCCTCCTCGAAGAAGGCGTTCATGGTGGGTGAATCTACTGGAGCCGGAGAATCTTGCTCTTGTGCTGGGGTACCAACCTCGGCATCCTCAGACGAGAGAACATCCGGAGATTTAGGGACCTTGACGGGACTCGAGCCCGTCGTCCATCCGCTCAACTGGTGGATCAGAGGGGTGAAGCCAAATTTGTCATCCATCCTTGGCCTCTTAGCCGTGCTTCGGCCAGCAGACTTGATACTCTTGCCAGACCCATAATGCGCTGTCATCCTCGAAGACGAGGCAGGGCAAGGAGTGGCTGGGAATGCATCGAAGGTTGAAGTGGAATCGGCTTGGCTCTGCCTTGGGTTGGGACCCAGCTCGTCCTCCGACTCGGAGTCGAGATCGTCATGATGATGTAGGTCTCTGCCACTGAGGCTGAACATGGCGCCGGCGTATCTCGGAGGCGAGGCTGGTGGCGTAGTGGTTTCCCGCTCCGTCTGGGCCAGTTCTGCCTCCGGCTCGTCCAGGTGCATTGGGTCACCCGCCTCAGTAATGTCTTCCTCAGCTTCTGACACAACATAGTGTCTGGCCGACTCCACCGCATCTGCCTCATCCCCTTCAGCTGTTTCTTGGACTGTCAACATCTCGCTTGCGAGGGTTGGATCGGCGTGGCGAGGCAGGACGGCAGAAAGCCGACCTGGGAAGCGCCGACTCGGAGAGTCTTGCTGTCCGTCATCTTCCAGCTCGTCATGATGCATGTCGAACTCGTCCTCCATGGCGCCGACATCCTCCTCTCCAACCCCGGCACTTTCCTGGGGCAGGGGGGTTGCTAGGAGAGTCGGCTTCGGTCCCGGAGTCCGGTCAAGAACCTGCTCGTCTTGTTTCCTTGCCGAAGCAAATGCCTTGATGGGGGAGAATGGGCGCTTAGCCGGCGACATGAACGATCCCTTGAATGGCGAAGCAATGGGCTCCTGTCGGGCACTGACTCGGGCATTGAAGGCCTTGATTGGGGACTGAGGTCGCTTGGCAGGCGATTGTAGAAGAGATGTCTTGAATGGCGACTGGCCAGCCTGGCCAGCCTGGCCACTCGGGGCAACGCCAGCGGACAGAGACAGACTCGATATCCCCTCGACCCTCTTTGCTGGAGACTTCATCGCGTCCTTCCAAGGCGACGAGGGCAGGCGCCGACAAGGGCTACCAAGCATAACAGTCGGAATCTTGGTCGTGTCATCTTCCGACTTGGCCGGCGGTGGGAGGTCCGGTTTTGCGATGCGCACCGGGAGCTTCGCTGGGCCTCTGACTCTCGGCTTGACCGGGGTCTTTTCGTCGATTGCCAGTTCATCCTCAGAATCCGCCGCTCTGTTGTTCAAAGCCATCTGAGTAATCTTCTTAGGGCTCAATGGAACGGGCTTATCGTACATTTCCTCAGCCTGGATGGCAGACTTGGTGGCTCTGGTAGCCCGTCCAGTGGCTGCAGCTTTCCTGACGGGTTTTGCACGCAGTCCAGCGGCAGGCTCCGAGGCTTTTGTGGCGGGTTTGCTCTTCGACGCAGCAGGAGGGGCGATGTTCTCCTTCTCCGGCTCCTCAAACTTGACCGTCTTCTTGACGGTGGTCCGGCCTGGCTGCGTTGCCGTCGACGTGGCTCGAGCCCGGGTGGTCGTCTTCTTTTCAACCTCGGCTGGAACTGGAGGGTTTTCCTCCAGCAGCGCCTTTCTTGCACGGGTGGCCCTTGTGGCTCTGGTGGGCTCATGCTTAGGCGGCTCCTCAACGACCTTCTTGGGTCTGCCTCGGGTGCGGGCCGGAGGTGCTAGAGCTGGTTCAGGCTCTGGTTCGGCCACCTTCTTTGGTCGTCCACGGCTCCTGGTAGTTTTCATCACCGGCTCTGGTTCGGCTGGTTTGGCTAGTTCGTCATTGTCCTGGTCTTGGTCTTCCGCTTCCACGTCTTCGTCGGACCGGGCCTTTCTCTTCGTGGAAGTCGAACTTGACGTGGCGGTGCTCCGGGTTGTCTTTGCCTTGGCAGCAGCGGTGATTATTTTCGTGGTTTTCAGGGTAGACTCGGCCTTTGCTGCTCTGGCACGGGTCATCCGCTTTGGGGGTGATTGGGGATCCATGTTGGTATACTGCACTGCTGGATCGTTCGCAAAATATCAAATCAACTCTGGGGATGAAACGGAAGGAATCACAAACGATTCCCCATAAGTAAGTAGGTTCTGTTACCAAGTATGAACAACAAGGAAGGCGCTGTTGACGTGATGTATGATCACGAATTATCTAGTTGGTTAGTCGTGACTGGGAAGGTGCGAGAAGCTTGGAAAAGTGGGTTCTTGTTCTTGTTGATGTTGTCGCGTGGTCGCCTAGGTGACCTGGCCAAGCCCCTGGGTAATGACGCACAGTCCAGTCGGCAGTGACAGAAGTGGGGCACTTCTGTGGGGAACTTGATGATCAGCCTATAACAATGTTTCTACAGCAACCTGCCTCATAAACCAACACCACGTCCTGGCTGAAAAGAAGATGAGATTGAGATATGAGAGGCAGAGTTCTTCCTGTAGCCTTCTAGATTATTCAATTAATGCCTGCCAGTTGGAGCCAAGCTGACCACCAATCAGTGCAGTCAATAGCAATTTAACAATTTAACCCATGATTCTTTGGTACCATGCTCAACAACAAAGCATCACAGCAACCCTCTTTCACACACTTTTAGATAAAGTAAACCAAGCCAATTCGCTTTTCTTCTTTTGTCCCCTCCTTTGCCAGCAGAGACCCCCTTTTGTTCGTTTTCCCAGGTCCCTACTTACCTCTTTACCTACTCAGTCCCAAAAACAATACCCCTGAGCTTATCCCTCTCCCCACTCTCCTCACACATGCCCCTGAATATCCCCTCATCGGCCCCCTTCTCCCACAGCTCCCTCGGCGTGCCGTACTCGGCCACCCGCCCGTCGCTGAGCACCAAGATGCGGTCAAAGTCCGCGATCGTACTCAGGCGGTGCGCGATGACGAGGAGCGTGGCCTCGGTGAACTCGTCGCGGATGCTGCGCTGGATGAGCGCGTCCGTGTGCATGTCGACGGCCGACGTCGCCTCGTCGAGCACCATGACGCGCGGCCGGCTGACGATGGCGCGGGCCAGGCACAGCAGCTGCCGCTGGCCCTGCGAGAGGTTGAGCCCGCCCTCGGACACAGGCGAGCCGAGATCTTCGAACACGTTGGAGTTCTTGGCTACGACGGTCGGGGTCGGGGAGTTGGGCCCCGTGGCGTTGGTCGGGGTCACGTCGCCCGATGTGGGCGCCGAGTTGCTGACGAGGTGGACGCGCTCGAGGCAGTCGCGGAGCTCGGCGTCAGAGTGCTGGTCGAATGGGTCGAGATTCGACCGGATTGTGCCGGAGAACAGCACCGGATCCTGTTCGTGATTAGTGATATGCGGCTGTGAGATGGATGGCTTGAGAAGGATATTGCTTACTTGCGGGATAATGGCCAGACGGGAGCGGAGGTCATGCAGCATGATTTTGGATATATCCTGGCCATCAATGTAAATGCTTCCGGATCGCGCCTCCAGGAAGCGGAACAGAGCAAGTGTCAGCGACGACTTGCCCGCACCGGTGCGTCCGACCACTCCAACCCTCTCCTTCCGGTTGACGGTGAAGGTGAGGCCCTTTAGAACCGGCGGAAGGTCGGGGGCATAGCCGACGACGAGGTCGTCCACCTCAATTCTACCCTCGGTCGGCCACGCTGCTGGGGGGTGCTTCCCGCCCAGAGACTCGGTCGGGAGTTCGGTATACTCGATGATACGCTCGGCCGCGTTCATGTTCAGTTCTACGTTGGCATAGAATCGAAGGGTCCAGATAACACAGCTGGAGAATTCCAGTGCGAATGCCAACGCGAAGCCGGCCAGGGCGGAGTCGATACCAGGGGTCAAGAGAATAAGAATGGACACGAACGAGGCAAACAGGGATCCAACAAGGGCCATCCTCCAGCCCATCCATCGATTGAACAACCACAGGTGCCAGCTTGCCGCTGAGTAGTCATCAATCTTCCGATACATGCGTTCCACGTATACCTGAGCTTTATCAAACCCACGGATGGTGGCGACGCCAGTAAGAGCGGAGCTGAACTGCTCAAACACTGGTGATTTCGTCGTACTCTCCAGTCTCTTGACTGGCCGAGCGCCGTTCAGGTAGAGAACAGCATAGTATAGGGCGATCACCAGGAGGAGAGCAGCCAGGAGGACGATGTAAGGGGACACGAAGAGACTGGCTACCACGACGCCCAGCAAGCTCAGGAAAGCGTTGGCGCCAAACCCTACCGAGTTGGCCAGCTGAGAGTCGATGACGTTGAAATCTGCGGTGAAGCGATTCAGGACGCGGCCAACAGGAACTGTGTCGAGCCACCGGAGAGGCGCCCGGAGAATGGTGAAGTTGAGCTTAGCAAATAGCCTGCGACTCGCCCGCACCGACCCCAGGTAGATGTAGAAAAATTTGAAGGTGCCGATGAGGGATGAAGCGATCGACAAAGCGACGTAGATGCCGAGGTAGAATGTCAGGCCGTGATGGCCCTCGAGAACAGGTCCTGAGGAGCTATGGATGGATGTTTGCTGAAGGCCGAAAGCGTAGGCATACCCGCGCTCGCTCGAGGCATCCAAAGTTTGCAGGGCGTTGACGCTTTCTCTCACGTCTTCGCCAGTCCAAATCCGGAGCCACCAAGAGCGCCCTGTGGATGTTAGAACAAGTCCCTCTCCCTCCCCCTCTCTCAATGACCGACGTACCTATTGTAAAAGTCTGAACAACCAGGTAGATCAAGAGTGCGACAATCCAGAACCCCCACCCGCCGCTATCTTGCAGATATGTGGCATAAACATGCTTCCGGACCGCGCCCTGCTCTCGGGTTTCCTCTTCTACAAACTTACGAGCAGCCGACTTGGAGTCCACCTTCTTTAAGGTGTCGCCAGTCACGTCGTCACCGGTCACGCCTTCTTCCCCATCAATGGAATCATCAGAATTGACCGCGGTCGGGACTTCGTCAGCCTCGATTTCCTCAGCTGTCTGCTCATGGCTCTTGATTTTCATTAGCGTGCCGTCTTCCTGTAGGTCCGAAAGCAAGCCAGCGTGCATGACTCCGCCATCGCCCAGCTCCACGAGATACTTGGTCCTGGACTCGCAAAGGGCGACGTGGTGCGTGACCAGGATTCTCGTCCTCCCGGTAGCTAGCTCGCCAGTGAGGCACTTCTCGAAGATATGCCGGCCAACGTGGGCATCGACGGCGCTGAAGATGTCGTCCAAAACCAGGATGCCGGCCCTCGAGTATATCGCCCGAGCAAGAGTTACTCGCCACTTCTGGCCTCCACTCAAATTGATGCCATTCGCCCCGATCTCGGTGTGCTCTCCGTCTGTAAGCATCACCAAATCTTTCTTCAGGGCACACACACTGACCGTCTTGGCGTACCGATCCTCGTCAAAGGGGAGTCCAAAGAGGATGTTGTCTCTGATGCTGGCGTTCTCGATCCAGGGTATCTGCGCAACGTATGCGATGGCACCAGGGATGATCCAGTTCGCCTTGTTTGCCTTGCTGTCGTGCCGGTCGTGGAGCTGCGGTGCTTTCGGGATGTAAAGATTGCCACCGAGCACGTCTGCTTCTCCCAAGATTGCCGACAACATCAGGCTCTTGCCTGTTCCGGTCTTCCCCGATATCACAGACAGCTCTCCCTTGGGGAAGGTCACGGTGACATCCCGAAGGATGAACCGTTCGCTATCTTCAATCTCCTCATCGGCCGGCCAGGCAATCGTGGCGCCCTCGAAAGCCACCTCTGGGCCGCTTTTGGCGACGGCGGAGACCTCGGGGGAGTTCAGATACTCTTCAATTCTCTTGAGGGAAACCCAGGAATCCAAGAGGTCGGTTGTCAGTTCTGGGACAACAGAGAGGGTGACTTCAAGAGCCTTGAAGACGCCGAGGCTGACGAACGCAACGGATGGTAGGAGCGATCCGGTCAGGACGGCGTAGACGGCCAGAGATATGGCTGCCAGCAAGATGGGGCTGGTGATCCAGCAGCCAATCAGTGCCGTGTCGCACATGAAGACCTCCCAGACGCTTTTCAACTCTCGCTCTCGGACTGCATTAACTTTATCCTCCCACTCTGGCTCCAGGGCTGAGAACTTGATCTGGCGGATCCCTTGCAACGCTTCCGTGACGACCTCCATCTTCTCGTCACGGACCTTCATCAAGCGGTCTTGAGCAGCGGCGTATTTCTTGGAGAAGTAGATGTTGAAAGGCAGGATGGCGAACATGGCAAGGAAGCCGGCTAGGAGAGCCTTCCACCCCAGTAGATGGACGAGAAAAGTAAGAGACACGACCAGCTTGAAGATACTGCCAGGAAACATATTCTGGAAAGAGGAGAAATCCGAGACTCTCTTCCCGTCCACGCCGATCAGATTCACGGTACTCTGCTTTGTCTTTTTGAGCTCCGTCGCTTCGTCCACCTCGGGTGTGTCTGACGCCGTGGTTTGTCCCACGGTAGCTTCTGGCGACTCGCTAACCTGAGCTTTCTTGGACGACGATCCACTACCCTTGACATCTTTCCTCCTCATAGCCTTTTCAAAGATGAGAGAGGCCAACTGTGCCCGAATGGGAATGGCCAACTCGGACCAGGACATCCAGAACACGTATGACTCGAGCCAGGACTGGGCAATGATGGCCACGCCGAGCCAGACGACCCAGACCCAGACATCTAGCTCATATTTTTGGTCGTCGCCATGCCTGGCCTCGAGGATCCTCAGGAGTTGGAGGATGACCCACTGCGGAGCAAAGTTGAGGATCGAGGTGCCAAGGGTCAAAATCCACTGCAGGGCAAACTCCCGCTTGTGGGCAAGGACCAGTGACACCCACAGAGGCTGAGTGAAATCGTGACTCTTCCAGTCATCTGTCACGGCGTCTGCGCGGGTGTACTGGTTAGGCCGCGCGAGATCGGCCATATCGAGAGTCTTTTTCCTCCTAGCGACGCCGAGGACACTGAGCGCCCAGCTGAAGTGGAAGCGGCTGAAGGCTGTGACCGTGTACATCTGATCGACGAGCTGGCCATTGTAGAAGACGTCGGGCCTCCTGGGGATGGCCAGGCCGGCGAAGGCGAGAAAAACGGCAAGCGCGAGCTCGCTAGCCCGGAGCGCGAATGAGGCTGGGTGGTTATACAGATCCAGCTCGGCGACGGCGGTGCCCTGAGTTAGGAGAATGCCTGCAAGGACCACGGACGAGAAGAAAGTATAGATGCCGAGGTTGTAGGCCTGGACGAACTTCCTGCTCGAGGCAATCACAACAGCCTGAAACAGGAGGGCAGCCTGGAGGAGTGGGTGTCAGTGATCATCCGTGAAGACAAGCGATGTATACATACCCAAGCTCCCACACTCAGCCAGTTCTCTAGGGCCAGTTCCTCGTCCGAGGTTGAGAGAATACCGAGAGCGACAGATAGGCCGGTGCCGACCGAGGCAAACAGGAGGATGAGAGCCTTTGGCACCCTGGCCGAGAAGGCCTCCATCGACTCGGCCGTAGCCTTGCCATCGCGGTCCTCGTAAATCTCATTTGTCTTCTTCTCCTTCTTACTGAGTTGCAGAACGAAGCTGGTGGCCGATGGGATGGAACACAATGCAATAACAGTCAGGCCGGTTGCAACAGTGGCTAGCATGGAATCATTGCGCGTCATGGCACCAGGCAATGGCTTCATCCGCTACGAGGGCCGGGTTACCAGTAGTGGCTTCTCGATTCTGGTCAAGTTCACCCGTTCGCAGAGATCTCGGCGATAAGCGGATCTCGGATTTCTGCTCTGTGGGCCAAGAACTGGGCAACTCGGAGGGAGTGAAGAGAACAAGGTTGGAAACGGGGAGTTAGGAGAATCTAACAATGACAGCACTAATAGGGGTGATCAGGGGCGGTGGTGCAGTGCAGAAAAAAAACCATGAGACTACCCAGGTCGGAGCTAGCAATGAGGGGAGAGGTGAAGACGGTGAAGATGCAAGCTCCCCAGAGTGATCCGCACCTATTCTTGTATTTACGAATACCTACCACCCGTGTCGTGCATGCGAGCGCGGCAAAGCAGCAAAGCGGCAAGCCACACGCACCTTCGGCTCCCACCGTCAGCATGGCAAACGGGTTCGTGGGAGTCATACGCCGGGACCAGTCTTTAATGTGCACGGGACTCGGTCGATCGGGAGGTTTTTGTACCCCCGCCGTCTGCCCCGCCGTTGACTCATGCGGTGAGAGGATGAGGTGGATGGGATTGATAATGATGATACCGAATTCGCGGCGTCCGATTTGTCCGTCTCGCACCCACAAAAGTTCGCTGCATATCCATCCCACATCCCATATTACGCAGTACGTACATACATAGCATGCAGCAGGGTTGCTTGCATTAGGTGCACCTGCATCCCGGTCTGCTCCAACTCCTCGCCCACACTGCGCCGTCCCAAACAAGCCTCCCGGGCCGTCGCCATCTTGCCCGCCACTTCCCGAACATCCTACCAAAACGAAAACGGCGACGGAAGCGCGGTGTAAGCGAGTGTGGAGCTCCCTCCAGCCTCCCAACATCCTCCGCCAACTCCGCCAACTTACGCAGTTTCCTGAAACTTCTTTCTGCCTGGGTCTCTCCCAAAATTCCTCCTCTGTAAGTTCAGGTTGGTCTGGGGCCCGCTCCTGTTGGCCCCGAAATATCGGGCGTAGTTAGAAGCGGCCCGTAGTACCATAACGAGCAGATGATCGCTTATTTCGGAGCCTGCTCGGAGGATTGCCCGGTAGAATTAGAATTAGAAGTTGGAGTGGGATGGCGAACGCGCTCCTCCTGTGTGTCGGGCGGGATGGAGTGTGAATTTGATAATGCCTGCCAGGCATCCAGGCACACTGAAGTGGCCCCTTGGTCACGCTGTGCATACGCATAGTAATGCAGATGGATGCCTGGAGATGCTAATGAATGTATCTCCTATAATAAGGGTGGCCGACAATCGGCATGCTTGGTCTTCCCCTCTCCTTCCTCTCCTGGCGGTACCCGTACCTACCTATCTAAGTTAACTGCCGTGAACCGCAGGTTACCACTCGTAAGAATGCATTGTACGCATACGGAGTAATCCAGTAGGCAATCGTCTTCAGGCTAATAGAACCGATTTCTGAGGACTCAAGATGGTTTATTCCTGGTCCACCATTGTCTTTATTTTCTTCTGCTGGCCAATGGGTTGTGCCAGCCATGTCTCGATCAGGTGGGGTTGTGATTGTAGACATGCAGCCGTAGGCAAAACATGGAACTTGGGACACACCCAATGATATGTCGTATCAATGAGAAGGCTGGCCGGAAACGTCCCCAAGTATTGCTCACAGACAATGGAACATACACAACCGTCATGGTTGCCACTTGACCAACATGGAACTCCATGCTCGGTGGGGCGGAGGCATCTGTAGAGTAAGCGCTGTTAATATGGGAGTCGGTGGAGGTGGTTTCAAAACGTGGCTGGGCCTCAGATCACCTCTGTGGAACCGACTACCTATCTATGATATGAGTCAGTGTTGCTGCTCGCTCGCAAGTGAAACGAAAACGAGAGGGCACCATCACAACTGAAGGTACCTACTCTCTCCCCCCTTGCGGCCTGCGGCCTGTACGACAGTAGGAGGAGGTTGATCCGCATAACCAAGAATAATGCGAGGGTGCTGCCTCACTAACACCTCCCCGCTACTAGTAGACACTCCTTAAAGCATCTTGTAACAAGCCCCCTACATTAGTAGACACTCTTCAAAGCGCCAGCGTGTCGGTAGGCGGTGAGTCCGAACCACACTGCGAAGTAGATCAGATCGAGCTCAAAGCAGGCATTTCACGCTCTGCCCAGCACCACCCACGGGCCAATTGGCTTGCCTCCGATTCGCTCTGAATTCAGTCGGCGGATCACACCTTTGCGTCGCGTGTAGATTTGCTGGGATCAGTCAGTTGGATATTCCACCATGTGGCAGGAGCAGCAGGAGGGAGTGAATAGGACAAGAGGACGCAAATGAGGCAAAAAAGAGACAATAGTTTATTGGACCTGTCCAGAAACCAAAACACCACAGATTGTATGCTTATAGCTTATAGTGCGTAACTGTGTCGGCAGTACACCTTCACGGGGGTTTCAAATGTTAGCGCGGGTGCCTTGCGGGGCTATACTGCCATCACTTCCAAATTTGTATTTGGCCCCTGTCAACCTAACGTAGAACGGGTATCCCACTCATTAGGTGAGGTGGGCTGACTGTAGGTATGTAGATAAAATCCTGAGATAAATAGTAGCTTTATTCCAGCAGACTCGCCAGTAATACGTGCCCTCTATTCGTACTACCCGTTTCATTGGTGGGCTCAACTCCGAGCCAACCAAGCGTTCCCCGTCTGAGGTGCACGCACTGGCAGCTCTGCATCGCTACGGCACCACCACAACTTACAACTTAATACTACAAGTCTACAACCACGAGCCACGGCGCCGACCACCCATTTGACTCAATTAGATCCGGCATCCTAAGACTCTTTCTTCAGCACTCTTAAATTTTAAAGAAAATATAAGAGAATCACTCACTCTTCTGTAGCCTTACCGTTTCCCCTTCCACTTCCACCCACCATCAACGAGCTCCGCGTTCCACAAAACCAGCTCCCCGCCAGACAAACGAGCTCCTGATCTCGCGACCTCTCAGATGCCACCATGAAGAACACTCCGCTTATCATCAATTGGCATGACCAAAATGCCCCGATCTACTCAGCTCACTTCGAACCTCACGGCAAGGGACGTCTAGCAACAGCTGCTGGAGACAACAACGTCAGAGTACGTGCTGTGTACCTACTTCGCCGGCTGAGCGCTGCTCGTGGCCTCGCCTTGTTGCCCGCCAACGCCTTACTGATAACTCTGGCAGCTCTGGAAGATCGAGGGGGAGGGCGAGGACAGAAGGGTTGAATACTTATCGACCTTGTCAAAGCATACCCAGGCCGTCAATGTCGTCCGATGGGCTCCAAGAGGTGAGTTATAAGTTCTCTATCTGCTGCTCTTGGCCCGTACTGAAGCTGACCGTGTCTTACCTCCAGGCGAGCTTCTTGCCTCCGCTGGCGACGACGGAAACGTAATATTATGGGTTCCCTCAGACAACCATCTCTCGTCCAACTTCGGCTCCGATGGCTTGGAGGAAAACAAGGAAACTTGGCGGGCGAAACACATGTGCCGGTCGTCGGGAGCCGAGATATATGACCTCGCCTGGTCTCCCGATGCGGCTTATTTCATTATCGGCAGCATGGATAACATAGCACGCATCTACAATGCCGGAACAGGTACGATGTTAAACTAACTCTGCTTTGGCGCTCGCGCCCGTTGACATCAGTCCAAGGAACCCTCGTCCGTCAAATCGCCGAGCACAGTCATTATGTCCAAGGCGTCGCTTGGGACCCGTTGAACGAGTTCATCGCAACGCAGTCGTCGGACCGCTCAGTCCATGTCTACTCCCTTAGGACAAAGGACGGCCAGTATACCCTCAACGGGCACGATGACAAGCCGTCAAGGATTGCAAGCCACATGAAGACCGATCTCCCTGCGAGACGGATATCTTCGCACAGTCCTGCGCCTCCTGAGATGGGCTATCGATCTGCCCTTGCCGCCCTTGATGCAAGCTCTGTCGCCTCTCCCGTCCCCTCAGCACCAGGCACACCGACCTCGATTGCGCTACCCATGAACCCCCCAAGCGTCATCAGCCACTCGCGCAGGTCCTCGTTCTCTTCTCGGCGCTCCGTCTCACCTGCGCCCTCGATGCCCCTGCCGGCCGTGATGCCAATGGAGGCCTCCCCGAAACCCCACTCGACGAGCGCCAGTCTTGGGTTCAAAAACGCCAGCCTGTACGCGAACGAGACGTTGACGTCTTTCTTCCGGCGTTTGACTTTTACCCCAGATGGCAGCCTTCTGCTCACGCCTGCCGGCCAGTATCAGACGCAGCATCCGAATGAGGGCGGAAAGCCAACGTACGAAGTTACTAACACCGTCTACATCTACACCAGAGGCGGCATCAACAAGGCCCCAGTTGCACATCTTCCGGGGCACAAGAAACCGTCAGTAGCCGTGAGATGTTCCCCGCTGTTCTACACCCTGAGACAGTCTCCGGTCGTCACAAAACACATAACAATCGACAGCTCGTCAGCTGAAGATCCGATACCCTCGTTACCGGAACCGCTCACCAAAGCGTCTCCTGCTCCCTCCTCTGTCATGGACCCTCCGCCGCCTCCTCCCGCGACCGAGACATCAACATCCTCTTCCAAGAATCCCAGCCTAGATACGTCTGGCTCAGCGTCGGCACCTAAGCCTGCTATCTCCTTGCCTTACCGGATGGTCTATGCCGTGGCAACCCAAGATTCGGTGTTCCTGTACGACACACAGCAACAGACGCCGATCTGCATCGTTAGCAACCTGCATTGCGCAACCTTCACGGACTTGGCTTGGTAAGTCGGCCTTTTAAAGAGACCTTTTGTTTCCAAGACCCATGCTGACAAACGGAAAAAGGTCGAGCGACGGCTTGACATTGCTCGTATCATCTTCGGACGGATTCTGCTCCACCCTTTCCTTCTCTCCGTCCGAGTTGGGCCAAATCTACACTGGGGAGATCGGTGCCCAGAAGGCAGCGTTGCCCGGCGCCACATCTATCCCGTCCAACCAGAACACGCCAGTGCCAACGCCCACCGCTGTTTTTGCCCCCCCTTCCCCTTTCCCCAGCGGCTCCCATCATCGGCATCGGGACTCGGCCGGTTCTCTAGCAGCAGCCTCTCCGCCCTCGGCCTCGTTTGTCAGCCAACGAGCCTCGTCACCTGCTCGCTCCAACTCAGTATCCTCTGTGGTAACCCAGTCATCGACGGCGCAAGCCGGCGTCATAAGCAACCCTTCCCTAATCATCGGGCAGGTCCCCAGCATTGCCGCTACAAATTCTGGCAAGGTCATTGGGGTGCCTATGACCACCCCGCCCGAGACCCCGCAGGGATCGGTCTCTGGTGCTGGTGCGAAGAGGGATACGAGTGAGAGTGAGCTTGACGATCCCTCTGGCGGTCAACCAAAGAGGAGGAGGATTGCACCGACGCTCGTCAGCGGCGGCGGCGGTAGTTCAACCGACAGCGGTGACCACAAGCCTTAGCCTGCCGACCTCGTGTACTGAGGTACAGGTCCGAAGGCTGTGGGGTGCAATGTGTAATATATCAGGAAAAGGGCGTTTTCTGTGGGCGCTCAGGAGGACAAAAAAAGGACTATGGACACCATTGCGGTTTTGGGAAATACCTGGAACCAAAGGGGCGGCGGTTGGGGGTTTATCACTAACCCACAGGTCCCTCATTCTCATACCGTTTCGTTTCCAGGCTTGGTGTAACGGGCTGCATTCCAGCGGTGTTTAGCAGGACGGACATGGCCTCACTTCTTTTCTTTGTTGTTTTGAAGGGTGTTTTTAATGCTGCAACAGATACAAATCTCTCGACTGTGGTCCCATCACACTCTCGAGGGCGACTCTCAGCTACATACCTACCCGTCTACCTAGATAATTATGCTCCGGGTCGCCTACCGAATAGCACCCTGTATAATAAAATAGGTAGATTACCTAGGTAGTTATGAAACCTCGCTGATATCCGATGTGTCGGCTTCGTGCGGCTTAAGCCGCCTAAGCTAACCCCGCAGACCGGGTCTCCACGCTGCTGACCACCCTGTGCGGGGGAGGGTCCCTTATCCTGGAACCTGGAATCAGCAGGTGCTTGCTTCCTTCAAGTATAAGCCGATTTCTCCACACCACAAGCATCGTAAAGACTGCACACGGACGCCAACTCGTTGGCTCAAGATAGAAAGATTTGAAGGGTCACACACGATTCCATTTAGTGAGATTAGCGGTATGGTGTTCTTTCTAGATTATCTGCAACACCGCCGAGACTGGTGAGTTCCCTCCCCCGCACCACCACCCCCTTGGCATCCGGGGAAGGAAGGGAGCCCTCTTTTTTTCTGACAAAAATATATAAAAACTGCAGCCGGTTCAAGCAGGATGAGCGGGCGGAACGCATCCGGTCGCTGACGGCGTACCACGGCCCTCTCACGGCCGCGGACCGGGAGACGGTGGCCATGCCCATCGCGGACCTGGTGCGCGGCATCCGGAGCGGCACGACGGCGCCGCTGTCGGTGCTACGCACCTACGGCCGGGTGGCCCTCCGCGCCCACGAGAGGACGAACTGCCTGACCGAGGTCATGCTCCCGTCCGCCGAGCGGTGGCTGCTGGACGGGACCGTCAACCTGCAGGGCCCGCTGGCGGGCGTCCCCGTCAGCCTCAAGGACACCGTCGTCGTGGGCGGGTACGACGCCACGGTGGGGTACAGCCGCTTCGTGGGCAACCGGACGGAGCGCGACGGGCCCATGGTCCGCCTGCTCAAGGACGCGGGCGCGGTGCCGTACGTCAAGTCCAACCTGCCCATCACGCTGCTCAGCTTCGAGAGCGCAAACGACGTGTGGGGCCGGTGCGCGAACCCGCACAGCCGGGCCCACACGCCGGGGGGTTCGACGGGCGGCGAGGCGGCGCTGCTGGCGATGGGGGGCCGGATCGGCGTCGGGAGCGACGTGGCGGGCAGCGTGAGGGTGCCGGCCCACTTCTCGGGCTGCTACAGCCTGCGCTGCTCGACGGGGCGGTGGCCCAAGGCGGGGATCCGCACCAGCATGCCGGGCCAGGAGGGCGTGCCGAGCGTGTACAGCCCCATGGCGAGGACGCTCGACGACCTCGCGTACTTCACCCGCGCCGTGGTCGGCATGCGGCCGTGGGAGTACGACCACTCCGTCCACCCGCTGGAGTGGCGCGGCGGGGTCGAGGGCGAGTTCGCCGAGAGGAAGGTCCTGCGGGTCGCCGTGCTGCGGACCGACGGCGTCGTCGACCCGAGCCCCGCGTGCGCCCGGGCCCTGGGCGCTGCCGAGGAGGCGCTCAGGAGGGCCGGGCACGAGATCGTCGAGGTGGTCGACCCGCCCGACATGTACGAGGGGCTCAGGCTGGCGTCGCTGCTCCTCAACGCCGACGGATGCCAGATGTTCAGCTCCTTCTTCCGCGCGGGCGAGCGCAACGACCCCGGCGCGGACCAGATGAAGCGCCTGATGGGGCTGCCGCGCCCGTTCAGGTACCTGTATTACCTGTGGGTCAAGTACGTCCGGCGGGACGACGTGTGGGCCGGGCTCGTCAGGGACTGGCGGCCACACAGCGCGTTTGAGAACTGGAAGCTGGTGGAGCAGCGGGAGGCCTACCGTGCCAAGTGGTTCGAGTGGTGGAACGAGGCCGGCGTCGACGTCCTCCTCACGCCGCCGAATGCCACGCCTGCTGTGCCCCATGATGGGATGAGGGATGCTGTCAGCAGTTGCGGATACACCTTCCTCTTCAACCTTGTGAGTTTCCCTCAATGTCTTTTTCGTTTCTACCCGGGTGCTCGGGGCACAGCTGACCATTGGGGTATATAGCTTGACTACACCGCAGGCGTTATCCCCGTCACACACGTTGACAAGAACCTGGACGGGCTGCCTAAGGACTTTAAGATCAGTAAGCTGAACGGCGTCGCTCAGGGGGCGTACAAGCTGTACGATGCCGAGGCTATGCACGGCCTCCCGGTCGGGGTGCAGGTTGTTGGGCGCCGGCTCGAGGAGGAGAAGGTGTTGGCAGTGATGCAGAGACTGGAGGACGCTTTGGGGGAGGAGAAGTACGAGCTTCTCGAGCTTGACTGACTTTGATGGGAGATGGATTCCATTTTGATATTTCGGTACAGGTCCCGGTCACGGCGTTGCGAAGGGGGCAGGTACTCACTCACTAGTGCTAATTGTTAAATGGGAGAAGGGGTTGCCAAATACCGTTCAAGGCAGAGCGAACAGTCCAAGTTGAAGTCATGACTGGCCGGGCCAAGAGTTGGTGCAGCCGAATGCAGGGCTACGATGTCTGATCATTGAGGACTTTCTCTCTAGATGCCAGACAGCCAACCTCGGTCGGACAGTTGGTAGATAACCTTTCGCTCCTGGATTTGGTAATACGTTAAGAATATGTAGGTAGTGAGTGATATAACTCCCGGTATTAGGTCCTCGTAGTACAACCTCAGTCTCAGCCAGCATTTACTCCGATTTCAGAAAGGAATATCAGATTAAGGGGAGGAGACCCAGTTCATTACCTACACCTCAAATGGTTGGTTGATATGTTGGTAGATCAGCATCAGCTCTGCCATGATTGGTCACTGCACCTCCAACGCCGTATGTGGGGTTTTCTACGTATAAGAGGCAGGCAACGCCGATTACGGAGTGCCTCTCCTGAGCATTCATACTCCTACAAACAGGAAAAGAAAGCAGAATTGAGCAAAAATGTCTGTTGAAAAGAAGGATAACTGGTCTTCTGAGGTAAGAGAAACCTTGGGCACAGCTTTACGCTGTCGTTGCTGATGCTGTCACTATACCAGGCCTACCAACATTCGGCATCGTTTGTGCCGAAGCTGGCCACCAAGATAATGCAATGGTTGGATCCCCAGAAAGACGACGTTATCTTGGACATCGGCTGTGGTGGTAAGCAATACATCCTCATCAGTTTCCGGCGAGATGTGAGAACCCGGACTAACTCGACCAAAGATGGCGTGCTTGACATCGACATCGCAAAGACTCTGTCTCAAGGCAAGGGGTCGCTGCACGGAATAGACAGCTCGCCTGCCATGATACAGGCTGCGGACCAAGCCGCCGCGAAGGACGGACTGAAGAACTGCACCTTTGAAGGCAAGGCCGCCTTCCCTTCCCGTTTCACAGATTTCGTTTGCGGGTCAACTAACCATCAGCTGCTACCCGCCCCGCAGTCATCGACGCAACCGAGCTCGTCAACAAGCCAGAGCTTCAGCAGCAGAAGTTCACCAAGGCCTTCTCCAACGCGGCGATGCACTGGATCCTGAGGCCCGAGGCCCGGCGCGAGGTCTTCTTCCGGGGCGTCGGAGCGTCCCTAGCGCCCGGCGGCCGTTTCGCGTTCGAGATGGGCGGCCTGGGCAACGTGTCCGAGATCCGGGCGGCGCTGCATATGGCCATCGGTAGGCGGGTCGGCCTCGACAGGGCGCGCGAGGTCGACCCGTGGTTCTTCCCGGACGAGGCCTGGGCGAAGGAAATGTTGGAGGGGACGGTGGGCGGGTGGGAGGTGGAGAGGGTGGAGAGGGAGTGGAGACCTACCGTCGCCGACGCGGGGGGCGTCGAAGGCTGGGTCAGGTTGATGGCGAAGCAGTTCTTCGAGGCGCTGCCTGAGGAGGAGAGAGAGGAGTGTATCAAGGAGATTGTGGATGTTCTCGAGGTGATTTGTGCGATGCCGGGGGGAGGGTATATGTTCAGTTACGTCCGTTTGAGGGTCTTGGCACGGAAGCTGTGAATGTGAGGTGCCACTTGGTGTCTCACTGCTTCGACTCTCACTGCTTCGATTACTTTTCCAATCACGAAGGCAGGAAGGAACAGAGATTACTCCGTACAGGTCGCATAAAAAATCTCGGTGCTTCATTTGCTTCTAGAATCTCGGGAAGCCATTAATTAGCCAATCCAGCAGCCAATCGGATACCGCATGACGTGTTTACCGACTAGCATCCACGAGGACCCACATCAGCTGCTGATAACGCAGATAAAGGCTTTTCCCATTTGTCGCGTGCGGATGCCCTTTCCACACCAACCCTTTATTGCCATACCTGCCAGCCGTTTATGTGACCATGTCGGCCGACGACCAAGCTTTCCTAGATATTGTAAGTCGTGGACTTGGGCGAGTCGCCTCTTGTGCTCTATTTTCTAGGACTGACTTACCCCCGTGTTGTAGCTCTCCTCAATACCTACAGACATCCGCAAGTACTCAGGCGATGTCGCCGAGTACATCGACAAGCATGTCGAGAAGATCTCGGAGAACCTGAGAGACTCCCTGGCCTCTTCGCGATGGGTTCCAGATTCTATTCGGCCTCGGCCGCCGCCGCCAGCCCCGGTAGCCCTTGTCATTCCTACTTCGACATACGAGAGGGTGCAGGATTGGGTATCAAGGCACAAGATCCTGACAGGGGTTATCGTCCTGGCGACCGGGACGGTGCTTTACCGGACATACAGGAGTAGTAGACTGGGCAAGAAGACCCGCCGCGCAAGGCGAGCTCGCAGCGGTGGACGGCTCGAGGTTGTGGTCATCGCCGGATCTCCCGCGCTACCCCTCACAAAGTCTCTGTCACTGGATATGGAGCGGAAGGGATTCATCGTCTTTATCGTCTGCAACACTGTCGAGGATGAGGCCATGGTGCATAGTCTATCGCGACCTGACATCAGGTCGCTCACGATTGACACCACCGATGTAAGGGCTACACCGTCCCACAACCTCTGTCAGACAAGCTAACCGTCTAAAGCCTCCAAGCGCTGGTTCTTCCATCGACCGGTTTGCACAATACCTACAATCTCCTCATTCCGCGGTGCCGGGAGCGAAATCACACCATCTCTCTCTAAAATCAGTCATCCTCATACCGTCCCTAAACTACCAAACCTCCCCGATCGCGACCATCCCCCCCTCAAGCTTTGCCGACCTCTTCAACACCCACCTCCTCCACCCGATCCTCACCATCCAGGCATTCCTTCCTCTCTTGACAGCTCGTCTCGGGTCGGGGGAGAAAACGCCCCCTAAAGTCCTCGTCTTTACGCCTTCCATCATCTCCTCCATCAACCCTCCGTTCCACGCCCCCGAGGCGACCGTGTGCTCTGCTCTCTCTGCGTTCACCGAAGTCCTGGCTGCCGAGCTGCGCCCCCTCTCCATCCCGGTCACGCACATACAGCTAGGCACCTTTGATTTTGCGGGTTTCACGCCGGCCGCCGGCAATTCCCGCAGTGGAAACGGAGGCTATAATCACGGCGGCCTGCTCACTGGGGCGCCACAGAATGCCGAGACTTTGACGTGGCCAGAGTCGGCTCGTCACGCCTACGGCAGGAACTTTGTGAACCAGTCGGCGTCGGCCATCAGCGCCGGGCGGATCCGCGGGCTCAAGGGCAGCTCTGTGCGGAACCTGCACAACGCCGTCTTCGACGTCATCGACGGGTCCAACACGAGCGGCGTCGTGCGCATCGGGCTGGGCGCCAGCGTCTACGGGTTCGTCGGCAAATGGGTCCCGCGCGGGCTGGTCTCGTGGATGATGGGCATCCGGAAGGTGGACGAGCTGTCGACGTGGCAGTCCAGCGCGTACAACAGCCCCCGGTCGGCAGGGAGCGACAGCGGGGAAGGATCCCAGGACTTTGTCGCCGTGCCGCTGGAGCAGGTCGGCGAATCACACGTGTGGAAGGAAGGCCTATAGGTAGGTATATGTACGGCCGAGCATGCATGGATTACGCATCATCATTATATGGCAGGAGTTTAACGGCATTCCCCTCCATTCTGTATGCAGCTCGCAGCAACCCTGGGTAATAATGATATATGGGCAATGATATGAAGTACCTTTGCAAGGACCTCTTTTCTCGTAAACGGATTATCACAGGATAAGTGTTTATTGTCTAGGGCCCTGTCATGAACTAGCCAGCAAGAATTCTAGTAGTAATACAAGCCTCGCGCTCTTACCGACTCTCCTATTGAAGAGAAATCCGAGACTCCCCATGATATCAAACAGACAAGATATGTCACCAGGTACGGGGATCTCGACGGGGACCTTGAGGGGTATTTGGAGGAAGACCTCGACGTTAATGATTCCTCCCTCGAAACCTTGGCCCTCCCCCCCCTCTCCCCCTAAACCGCCCTCCCCTCCCGCCGCCTCCAAAGCGGTCCCCGCGCCCTCCCCCCTGCCTATCATGCCGGTCGCCGTCCCTCTCCCTCTCCCTCTCCCGCATGCTCTCGCGCTCCCTCTCCCTCTCCTCCTTGATCCTCTCCTCCTCCTCGGCGGTCCTCTCCTCCCTCACCTTGGGCTCCTCCAGGTCCCTCTCCCAGCGCGGGTGCGCGCCGTCCCGGCACGCCCTGCCCGAGGGGCAGAACCCGGCCAGGTAGAAGGCGCACAGGCCGCGGCGGACGTGCCGCTTCGCGCAGCGCGGGCCCAGCGGGCAGAAGCCGCGGTCGTAGTGCGGGCAGGGCGGCAGGCGCGAGGCCGGGTCGACGTGCAGGTACAGGCACTCGTCGCCGTTGCTGCAGTAGCCGTTGCGCACGAAGAAGTTGCACTCGGGCATCCGCCGGAGGTTGTACTCGTGCAGGAACTCGCACCCCTCGCCCTTCTTGCATAGGCCGCGCAGCCAGTGCTTGCACACGAGGCTGCCGAAGGGCGGCGAGGAGGACGAGGTGGTGGTGTGCGCGCCGTCCTTGCCGGGGGCGGGAGGCGCGTGGCGGTCGGGACAGCGTGTCTTGAGCGGGCAGTGGCCTGATGCGTAGGCCTTGCAGATCGGCCGGTCGGCGGGGAGGCTGTGTTGGTAGGTCTTTTGGAGGAAGGGTGTGAAGGAGAAGGTGTAGTGTGGGGCGGTGTGTGAGAGCATCTGCTGGGACAGCTGCGAGACCGAGCTGGGTGACGTGGCGGTCATCTTCGGCCAAGTCGCGAAGGGTGATATTCGCTTGCTTTTTTCTGTGGCCTCTTGTTTTCCCCTCTCCTTTGCTTTCGTTATTTTGGGGGTGTTTACTGTGGGGGGGGGGCCCGTTATGATTGATATATTTGCTGGGATATGGTGGTTCTGTGAAGCTGGTGGGCGTTCGGCGTGGTGTTGATTGATAATATGAAAACTAGCTGGAGCACGTTGCTCACCGGAGCTTGATGATGGAAAGCGGTAGACTGACCGAGAACTTTGGACGGTGTGCAGCCAATCATCGCCTTTTCCGGTGCCTCGGCTTCGGCGTGCTCCCCGCCTCAACATATGGGCACACCGAGACTTGGATAACCGGGGATAATAACATGGAATACCCATCGAGCTTGTTTTGAACTTTCAATTCGTCATAATTGTTTTTTGGCCCTATACGACGCATCTGACGGTCTTGCGTATCTCTTCACCCCAAAATAATATCCAAAAAGCATAGATCCATCCGAGTTAGGAAGTTCCCCCCTAATATCACGATGCGAGGTATTCAAGTCGAGCAATATGTCAAGGTCCGCTCCGTGCACCCAATACTAGCCGGGCAGTCAAACTAATCCGTCTCCAGGGTCCGCAAGAGCTCAAGGTCTCGGATCTTCCTGATCCTGTGCCCGGGCCGGATGACTACCTGATCGAAGTTCACGCCGCAGCCACAAACTTCTTTGACATCCTCCAGATCCAAGGGAAATACCAAAACCAGCCTCGTGAGTGACATCCCGGATGCGACCAAGGTTTCTGCGTCTTACAATGCCCGCCCAGCCTTGCCCTGGGTGTCCGGGGCCGAGTTTGCAGGAGTAGTGCTGGCCACGCCCGCAAACTCGTCCAAGCCCCAGTTCCCCGTCGGATCGAGGGTCTTCGGGGCTAGCCAGGGGGCATATGCCGCCAAGGTGTTGGCAAAGGAGGCCACGATACTGCCTGTCCCGCAGGGTTGGAGCTTCCAAGACGCCGCCGGGCTGTTTGTGACTGCCCCCACGAGCTACGGAGCTCTCGTGAACCGGGCGCATGTGAAGGCCGGCGACTACGTCCTCGTCCACGCCGCGGCCGGCGGAGTAGGTCTGGCGGCCGTTCAGGGTGCGTTCCAATCCACGACCTTCCGTTTACTCATTCGCTAAAGGTGCATGCCAGTGGCCAAGGCGTTTGGTGCCACGGTGATCGCCACCGCGGGCACTGAGCGGAAGCTAGAGGTGGCCAAGTCCTTTGGCGCCGACCACGTCATCGACTACAGGGACGAGAAGTGGCCCAGCTTGGTCAAGCAGCTGACTCCCAAGGGCAGGGGGGTCGACATTGTGTACGACCCCGTTGGCATGGTGGACAAGAGCACCAAGTGCATGGCGTGGAATGGCAGGATCCTCGTCGTTGGCTTCGCGGCGGGAAGCATTGAGAAGGTGGCCATGAACAAGGTCCTCCTGAAGAATATCAGCCTCGTGGGTATCCACTGGGGGCAGTACGCGGTCCATGAGGTGGAGACAGTGGTCGAGGTCTGGCAGGGCATCATGAAGCTGATTGCCGAGGGCAAATTCAGGAGCACCATCTTTACTGACAAGGAATTCGTGGGGCTGGAGAAGGTGCCAGATGCGCTGCAGGCACTGGGTGGTCGGGAAACTTGGGGGAAGGTGGTTGTAAAGGTCCCTCAGCCGGGGCAGAGCAGGTTGTAGTTTGAGACTCGAAATGTACTGTACCGCCCGATTCTATAGATATGGAGCTGGACTGCCCGGGGGCTCAATTATCAGCTGTGCCCAGCATCGAGAGATGGGCAGTTCTTTCCCGAGATCTAGTTACCCCTGATTTTACTGCCTAGCACGGAAGTTTACTGACTTACTGAGAATATGAACGGGGGGGGGTCGGCTTTGTCCACCATGAGCGGGCAAGTAGGATTTCTTTTGTTCCCCCTTTTCCATCACAGTCGGTATGAGAGATGCGAATGTCAAGGACTTTTCCATTGAGACTGTGCAGATTTCCAAGGATCAATATTGCAATTGAGTACAATCACCACTACCGGCCTGTGCCATTAAGACACCTAACTGCTGCCTCAAAAAGGACTGTAATGAGCTCCACGGGCCCCATCTGTACCGTAAACACCTGCCGAAGCTCCTGGTAACTGACCGAACCCTTGGTACAGAGTTCATTGACGACGGCCGTGCACCTCCAAAGCAAAAGAGAAATGGACGAGAGGCAGGGCGAAAAAGTGAAAGAGGAAAGAAGAAAACTCCACAAACGTCAAATCAGTCGAAGGGGCAAAAGGGGGAAAGGCAACAAAAGAGACGAGACCCGGACAAATCAAGCACCAGCCATCTCCACGTCACCATCAACATCCTCAGCTCCCCCCTCTACCTGTCGGGCCTCGAGCAACGATTGGGGGTCCCAGCTCACAGGCATCAGAGACGGGTCGATCTTTGGCAGCGGGGGATCTCCGCCAGTAGCCGGCGACGAGGACCGGTGGAATGGCAGGATCCCGGACAGGCGCTCGGCCCAGGTGCGAGGGCGTTGGCGGTCTATTCCGATCGCTGTTGGGTTTGAGGCGTTAACGGACTTCCATGCCTCGGATCGGGAGAAGCAAAACAGGCAAAAGGTTTGGGGGAGGGGGAAAAGGGAAAAGTCAAAAAGGGGAAGTGGGTGCCCACCTTCAGCAACCATATTCGTAATCCGCTCCTGGATGACCCTCTGCTGCAGCGGCGTGTCTCCAATGGGGTAGATAGCCGGTCCCGGTCGGAACCGCACCTTCTCCCTCTGGCCGTACCTCCGCAACTTCGGCCGGACAAACGTCCCCGCGGTGCTCTCCTCGGCGACCGGGTCCCACACCATGAGCGGGTCGAGGGCGCCGCCCTCCTCCCCGCGGATGCGCCTCGCCGTCGCCTCGGCCTGGAACGACACGGGCCAGCGGTCCAGGGCGAAGAAGCGCGGCCTCTGCCCGCGCACCCGCGCCGACGCCCAGTCCCAGTTGTGGTCGCGCGCCCACACCTCGGCCAGCACGTCGGGCGTCACGACGTCGCCCCGGCGGACGACGTAGGTGCGCCGGCGGCCGCGGCCCAGCATCGTCGCGTTGGCAGCGCTCTCGGCGACGATGCGCGAGCGGATCAGACGCAGCGCCTCGTCGTCGGTCATGCCCTCGCGGAAGTCGGCCGCATTGGCGTTGCGGACCACGTCGCGCAGCGCCGGCAGGCCCCACACCTTCGCGGCCTCTTTGTACTCGGCCTTCCACTTGGCGATGGTGTCGAAGAGGGAGCTGGTGCTGGCCGGGGCCAGCTTCGCCCACGTCTCCCGCTTCTCCGTCCGGAGGCGAAACATGGTCACGCCCAGGCGGAAGGCGAGGTTGAAGAAGTACTGCCTCACGCGGATCTGCGTGGGGTCCTCCCGCAAGCGAGGAGTCGGGTGCTCCTTGTAGGTACCAATGTTGACCGTTAGGGGCCGCCACAAGTTAGGGTTCCACTGTGATATATCGCTGAACCGGTGCTCCGGATACGTGCCCTGGTACGACGCCATGAGGGTACCATAACATTCCAGATGTTCTCGGAATCTGTGTGGGTGGGTGGGTGGACAGCACTGTCAGTGAAGCTCACGGGGAAAAAGGGAGCGGAAGTCATTGATGATGTTGGGGGGGGTTCATACAATACTCTGCCCTGTGTGTCGAGCCTGGGCAACCAGCACATGGCGTCGGTGACGGAGAACCGGGTCCTGCGAACCGGCCCGTCGCATCCTCGATTCAGAACCTCGAGGAGCTCTTCGACGGTGAGTATACTGTCCTCATGCGGGAAAGGGGCGTCGGGGCTGCGGTCCTCCATGACCTTCTCCACCCTCCTGGCGAAGATGTTGAACAGCTTGCCCTTCTCCTGCAGCGGCACGAGCATCTGGGGATTGATTTGCTTGCCGGACAGGAACATCAACATCTCCAGCTCCTCGGGTAGAATAGCCTTGACTCTCGTCCCGGGCTTTTCATTCTCCCAGTCGCTAGGGTCAAGCTGGATGTACGGAGGCGGCGAGCTCCCGTCGAGGCCGTAGGAGCCATTCGCCGCATTGGACCAGGCAGCGTTGACGAAGACCATCAGATCCCGTCGCTCCCCGCTCCTCTGACGTGCGGCCGCCAGCATCTTCGCCGCCTTCTCGCACTCCCGCAGCTGGTCCTGCGCGACCTCGACGTCCGGGTCGACCATGCGCCAGACGAAGGCGCCGCCATAGGAGCCGCTCGGCGGTACGTTCGCCCAGGCGCGGAGGCCCCCTTGGAGAACGTCAGCGGAGGGGCGGGCTCTCTCCCACAATTCCTCACGCTTCTTGCAGAACTCGTGCCACCAGTACGTGTACGGCGCCGTCTCGAGCTGGAACGGCATCTCGCCGCCGCCGAGCCGGAACGGCTTCCAGTGAAGGTTCTTTCCGATCTCGTGGCGGACCTCGTCCAGCTCCGCGGCCTCCAGCGGGAGGTGCACGCGGCGCCAGGGCGTCATCAGCATCTTATGCTCGACGGCGTTGAAGGACCGCAGCGCTTGCTGGAGGCCGGCGCGTCGGGCGCCGCGCTCCTTGGCCAGGGAGAAGTAGTCGTTGGGCAGCAGGGGGGTGCCGTCCGGGAGGGTTTTCTCGCCGGTCGAAGGGTCCTTGACGACCCAGCCGACCTGCTTGGTGGCGATGTCTTCGTACGTGTCATTCTCCATCAGGAAGAGATTGTCCTCCCTGTTGACCTCATTTACCTCCCCCCACAAGAATTTCTCCTGAGATTCACGGAAGCTGCTGCGGAATTCCTCGCCCTCCTTGCTCCCAATAGGGATCATGACGTTGGTAGGCTTGATTCGGCGAGTGATGACGGACCGGAAACGAAGTTCCTCATCTGGCGCCTTGGATGTGAAGCGCATCGGGTGATCTCTTTTACAACCCATCCAGTCCAGGCGCCCCGATGGCCTCGGCAGGGTTGTCTTCTGGAATTCCAATCTGGTGGGCGTGTAGTGGAACTTCTGGAATTGCTCGTGGACTCGGACCTTGTCGATGGCGTCTCGGTACATATTCTGGACCTCGAGACCGCACGCCTCCAACTGTCGGTCTGGGTCGTCTTTGCTGAGCCACCGGAGGTACTCGGAGATCTCCTGGAGCTTGGATTCCCAGTTCAGGCAGCGGTCGGCATCCTCCTCACGCAGGAAGTTGAGGACGTGTTCCAGGCGAACCCCGAGCGGAGGCTGGCGGCTGCCCTTGTACTTGGAGTCGTTCCTCCATTCTCTGCCTTCCCTCTTCAGGGCGGCAACGGCGCGATCAGATTCATCGTCGTCAACCACCTCTTTGGGAGGTCGACCAGGTCCTGGAGGTTTGCGAATCGCTTCGCGAAAATAGGGCAGCGATGGGCCTGGAGGCTCATCTAACATGTCTTCCTCGTCGCCCAAAGGGTCGTCTAGAGAAAGCTCGTGGTATAAATCAAGGGCTTCCTTATCCGTCATGACTTCATCGGAATCGTAAACGCGCTTCTGTATTTCCCTGAGAGAGGCCGAGGGGCGTGAACCGGGAATATATCCCTTCCGCCTCTTGTCGTCATCCATCGTTGTGTCTTCAGCTGGTTCCCTGGATGTCTGGTCGACAGGCGAAGAAGGTTCCTCTGCTGCCTCAGGTTCTGCTGCCTTTGGCTCTGTTGCCTTTGGTTTTGCTGCCTGTGTTACTGTTGCCTTAGATCTATCTGGGGGAGCGGAGCGCCTTGAAATCAGCGCGCGTAGATCTATTTCCTTACTTTCAACCGGGGCCTTGTCGTCGCGCACTTTGAGGAGCGATAGGCTGTCTGCGGCGGGGCTGCTGTCCGTCTTCTTTTCTCTTGGTTGAGACTCTGTGCCCGGGTTGAAACCAGGACCAAGGTGTTCGATATGCCGAGGAGGGAGGGACAGATCGTATTGACTTAACCTAGCTTTCAGTCCCCCTTTGATGAACTTTTCCATGGAAGGCGATTGAAAGGCTTTTGCAAGCCTGTCTAGGCGATCCGGGATCCTTTCCAGGAGGGGGCCAGCGAGGATGCTCCTGAATTCAGCATCGCATTCCGGATTCGTCTGGTAGGCCAGTAGGAATATGACAAAGAAATCTTTCACAGTTAGATAGATGCATCCGCTGGAACAGTCTAGTTAAAGACTCACCATCGATGGGCTTGAGTTTGGCCTGGCCCTCTCCTTTGCTGCCCGAAGTCCCGGCAGACCCTCGAGCCGCTTCATCTCCGCCTCCCTTCTCGTTATCGTTTTGTTCTGTGTCACCTGGTCTCGGCATCGTGGAAGCTGGAATACTGGCAGGGTGAGTTGTGTTGTGTGGCTAACTGCCTGAAGGTGCTATCCTCAGCTGCAACACCAGCTCTATGATGGGTGGGAAGAACGGAGTAATGGTATTTGTGAGATTGATGAGAGGAAAGCATGGCGAGGAGCCACCGAAGACCGAAAGCCCGGGACGGTATTATTTGTGTCATATTTGTGTTGTTCTCCCCCGCTCCTCTCCTCGCATCCGTCCAGGAATGAATATGCCTTGGTTGGTGTGAGGGAGTTGGCTGCGTTGCATACCAGAGACACACTTCTGTTGGAATAATCCAACAATCCAACAATGTCAGCTCCAAATAGAATGCGCCAAATACCGCCTCTGCATATTTCAGGCCGTCACCGGCAAGCTAACACAATCTTCCCTTCTTGTGTGAAAGAAACGGGTCAAATCCATGGTGCCGGTTCCGGTAAGTGGGAAAAGGGGTCCAAAACCCCATGACCTGGGTGTCGAGGACAAAAACAATTCAAAGAACTCAAGTCGGGACTGAACATGTCGAAAACGGATCATCAGTTATCCTCTCATGGTCCTTTGTCAAGACAATCTATATGAGATAGACATAGAGACAGAGTGTTAGAGATGAAATATGACAAGAAACTGTACTGTCTTCGAACCTCCAGTTGAGAGGAGAACTGTGTGCCACTTGTAACATTGATTCCGAAGAAGTCTTCCAAGCACAAGGAAAATGTCTCAGCAGCAGCATCACGATGAAGAGCCAACTGGAAACGCGAAACCAAAAGGCCCAGGTCCTTCGTCTGGCCGATCAGCTGCCTCGGGCTCAGCGCAAGCACAGCAGGCTTCCCGGTATCTTTCTAGGCGTCAGCCCATTAGAGTCAGGCCCAGCAACCTCAGACGAGCCCGGGGTCCTCAGCTGAGTCGTACAGTCACCGCCGAAGGAGCCCTCCCTTCCACAGAGAGGAGCGAGAGCCCAGCAGCCGAAGAAACATGGGCTCCGTCTCTGGTCATCGGCTCCTCACTCGGCTCCGACCTCAGCACCATCCAGCTTGCCGAGAGGAAGATAACCCAGTGGCGCGCCATCCTGCAGTATCACCAGGAGAACCTCCCAGACGCCGTGGGCCCCATCCAAGCCATGCTAGACGCGGCTATCGCCGAAAGGAACCAGCTGGACGACAGCGAGGCCAACATCAAGCCCCGATCCGCCCTCGCCTCCACCGCCCAGGCCGCCATCGAGAAGCGCGTCTCCCTCCTGCGCTCCACCCTGGCATCCTCCACCTTCGCGCCCGAGGCCGCCAACATCCGCGCCGCCATCGCCGGCTACGCCACGGGCGCCATCCCCTACTCGGCCGCCTTCACGCTCATCTACGCCGGCCGCATCGTCGACACCAGCCCGTCCTACGCCGACTTCTCCGCCGACCGCCCCGCCCGCCTCGACCGCTACGCCGCCGCCCACGGGCCCGGCTGGCTGTGGTTCGAGCCGCCCCTGGCGGACGGGCGCGGCGGCAATGGCGGCGGCGTCGAGTTCGTCAAGAAGGCCTGCGCCCTGAACAACCCGCCCTCGCGGAGGGCTGGTCTCGGCGGCGGCTACTGGAGCGTCACCATGGGCTTCAGGCGGCGCCTCAACTGGGTGAGCCGCGGTGTCGACCCTGGTGTCCCTGCCGCCGCCAAGAAAGGTGCAGCGGGGTCGTCATCTCGCCGCCGCGCCTCGGCAGATAACCCCGGCTCCCGGCCCGGCATCCGCACGGCTCCCGACCCGTCCGCGCCCCGCGTCTTCTTCTCCATGCACCTCGACAGCGGCGCCAGCAAGCCGACGCTGTACCTCGACGACTTCAAGGCCATGGGTATCGACCCGGACCACTACGCCGCGCAGAGCGCCGTGATGGTCCATGGCGTGCTCGAGACGCTGCAGATCAAGATGTTCGAGGTCGACGTCGGCATCTACGGGGGACCCGCCGCCGGCCCCTCCTCCACCACCAGGAGCCTCGTGCCCACCTCCTTTTCCCCGCCGGCCCGGGTCTGGCCCCCCGAGCCCGATGCCCAGGGAGCCACGCACCCGGTGCTCCTCCTACCGGGGCCCCTGCCCGCGACAAATGAACCGCCCGACTGCAACCGCCTCTCGGGCATGCTGCCCTTCTACGCGACGTACCTGTCCTCCGTGCCGGGCACCCACACCATCTGGCTGGGCGAGGACCGCCGCGACGTCCTGGGGGCCGCGCGCATGCCGGGTCAGATGCGCTACGCCGGCTTCGAGACCGCGCGGAGCGACGGCGGCGGCGGCGGGGTCTCGGTCCCGAACCCACTGACGGCGGGCCACCCGCCCTGGATGGGCAGGGACCTGGGCACGCCGGACAGGATCGTGTTCGAGCACGAGATGGCGGACCAGCCCGGTACCTGGGTCAGGGACGAGGATATGGGGCCCGGCCGGAGCCTGATCACGCTGAACTCTAGGGCGGTCAAGCAGAAGGAGGGTGAGGACGGCGGCGGTGGCGGCGAGGAACGGGAGGGGCATCCCTTGGGGGGCCCGAGGAAGGCGGGGCGGGTTGAGCCGAGGAGACAGGCCAGGCAGACTAGGGCATTGAGGGATGACGCCGCGAAGGAGGAAGTGGAGGAGCCCGAGAGCGAAGAGGCGCGAAAGAAGCAGAGTTCGGGGCGTCGGGTCAAGAGACGGAGAATGTCGAAAAGCTAAGGCTATACCTACCTACATTGGATTTAGTATCATTTTCGTAACAGAGACACCTCGTCAAGATTGGGACCGCGATAATGTCATTGGAAGTTGCGCGAGAATTTTACTCTTTTTTTCGTATCTATTTACAGCTAGCTATAAGCGGAGCTGTGATGGGGACTGAACCCAGAGGAACCAGAGCTGTGTACCCGGTATCTGGTTCAAAGGATGGTTCATCATCCGAGGTAAGGCACGCGGTTTATAAACCCGTGTCGTCCTCTCCCCCATCCATCCTCCTCATCAAAGGTCGGTTCCCACCAGGGAGTCATCCGAAACCTTTCGGGGAAGACGACAGTCGCCCATCTCGACCATTGACAGAGTCCGCCATAAGTCGAAATAATCACTTGGGCGCAAAATGTGGCGGGGGTATGTGTACTGAAACGTAGCTCGAGATTGTTGGGTGCAGTGCAGAGGGTTTTTGTCCGTCGGCCAAGCGAGGACCCCGTCTTTCCATCGTCCAGGGAGCTTTCCTTGCTCTCTCTCTCTCTCTCTCCCATCCTGTCTGTATCCATCGCAGAGGGTGCCAATCTTGTTTTATCCATCCCGACCAATTCACTTTTGTTTTTTAACAATCATCTCTTCCTCTATCCAGTCCTCCAAAAACACGGGAAAGTCGAAATTCGTGTCATCTCCCTCCGGCGTGGAGGGAGCTCGGTGCCTGCCTTGGGGGAATCAAAATATGGGGATCTTTTTTTTTTGTGGGTTTCCTTCATGGAATAAGACATCGCAAAAACGCTTTGCAAGTGACTTTTGCTGCCATCAGCGGGTATGATAAACATGAATTTTTGTAGACACTGTCGGCACCACAATCCGTGTGGCCAACAAACTCGCCGGTCGAAGTGGAGGAAATTCGCAAAAATCAACGCTGATGCAACGGGGCTAGATGGATCCTTCAAAAATATGCCGGATGCAAGCAATCTTTCGGACTTCAATTGGTACATTCGATGCCGAACAGGTAGAATGGAGGCCTGCCAATTAGAGAAATAGAGGCAAGCCTCCCAACCTCGTGTTGAACGACAAGGTAGGGCCCGGCACGCAGTGTGACGGCGTGCGGGTGCGTCACGATAGGCTATTGTTTTAATATGCCATGTGTGATGATGGGCCAACGTCGAAATAGGTGTGGCCCTGCATGTGTTGTTGTTGTTGTTGTTGCGGATACCCCTGAGCCTGGCCAGGCGGAGGGGTAGGCGTAACAGGGTATCGGGGAGGTATCTGGTACGAGTCCTTTGCCATGCCCCCGTTCTGGGCGAAGCAGGCACCATCTGGCGTGATCGGCGGGGTCATGTATCCGTCGGCAACGCCGGGCACGGCGCCGAGGCCTTTGTGCGGTGTGCTGTAGACGTCGACAGACTTGGCGGCCATGGCAGGCTCGCACGGAGGGGAAGGTGGCGCTCCCCTCCGGGCAATGGCGGCCTGTTGTGCCAAGAAGTCGGCAAGCTTGCCTGATACCCTCGACAGGTGCGGGCTGGAGTACTTGCGTGACAGTGTGACTGATGGCTGGTGGAGGTGTTGTGATAGCGTTAACAGGGTCACGTTCTCGACGTGATCCCACTCCCCGTCGTTGACCTCTGGCCTGCCCAGGATTGCCCTGGCCAGGGCAAGTGAAGATCTTGCCATGATCGATGGCTTTGTCGAGACGAAGTCGCGGTGATACAGAGCAATCTCGCAAATGTAGGCCGCCATATGCTCCACCTCTATAGAATCCCGTTCCTCGGCCACGATGAGTTGCGTGAACAAGTCGACTGTCGGATGGCCGATGATCCAATCCAGAGTGTTGAGGACGTGCATCTCCATCTGTGTGAACATGCCCGCATCGTACAGGCCGCAGCACATGTTGTTGAGTTCGTTGATCTGGGGTACCCTCTCCTTCTTGTCCCCGTACTTGGCGGCAATCAGCAGGGCTGCACAGCCGACGAGCTGGTAGTGCTGTTTGTAAACCACCCTTTTGGAGCAGTACCGGTCGAGGAGGTTGACAGTAAGGAATAGGGTTTCCGGCAGAAGGGAGAAGGCAGCGTGGGCCTCGATGAGGAAGTCAATGAGGTACGGTCTCATGAACCACTGGATCTCACGTTGCATGTCGATCAGGTTGGCATCAGGTAGAGTTTCGTCCTGGTCTACAGTGAGCAAACAGGCAGCAAGACGGGACGGTTCAGCACTTGTGGGTTCCATACCTCCATGTGACGCATGTGCTGCATGATGTCCTCGAGATATTCGTCGCAGGCGAGCCTTGAGAGCTCGTTGGCGATCATCTCCTGCTTGTTCCGGGCAAGCATTTTGGCGGCATCCCGCATGCTGATCCTCTGATCGTCTGACTCAACGAAGAAAGACGCGTCTGATGTGTGGATGGAGTACGCCATTGTGGACGAGCTCGACCTGGTTGACAAGTCCTGGAGGTGAGGAGCCGGTTATAGATGTTGGCGTGCGCTACTTTCGGAAGAGGCTGCGCTAGGAGGGAGATCTCTCCAGAAATCCGTTGCCGTTACAGTAGGTAGAGAAGGTTGGTTTGTGTATTAAGGTTAAGTCCACAGTAGAGCCAAAGAGTGATATCTCGACTGGGACAACCGACTAGTATTAGAATATTAAGGAGTGTACCGAATATTAAATGTTGGAAAGGAGTGACTGTGGCTGGAAAAGGCGCCGGAAAATGCACAAGAGAATCGAGTTCCTCGAGATGGTGAAAGGAAGGTGGTCGGTGGAATAGGTGGTTTTAAGGAAGTCGACCGAAGGGTTCTAGTAAAGAGTGGATAATCAGCCTCCGTATGCTCATATTCAACCCCTTCATGCAGTTGCGTGTATGGAGTTGTTTGTGGTGCATTTAGGTTCGCAGGGACGCTCAATATCCACAATCTTCAAGGGGTAGGACCGTGTGCGAGCCGTGATTCGGCCGATCAGGCCTGCGGAGAAGCAGATCGGCTAGATCTGGCACGGGGTGGTCTTTGCTCCTGTTGAGTGCTGGCCGGCAACAGGGCAAGATTCGGAGGCCATATGGGGGCAGGGGGTTGAAAAGTCCGGAGAAGGGGGACGGCACCTACCGCCACAGTTGACAAGCTGGGTTAACTCCCGGAAATGAGACAATTCCTGAGGCTGGCGGTGGGAGCAACGAGCTAACGTGTCCCACGGGAGCGAGCCTTCAGATCGACAGGGCGGGACCTGGCGTGAAGTTGAGAATGCCGTCGGATTGCAGAGGAAATCCAGTCGGCATGTAACCTGCAAGGGGGCACAGGGGCGCAATTTAGAACCTCGAGCTTTCAAATTTCGCCCTCCAGAGCAGACCGGCGGGATGACATCACGGGGGTTTGGACAGGAATGATGACCTACTCTCACTTTTCAACGCCGGAGAAAGGGCCAGAGATGGCTTTATGCTCTGGTCGAGATCATGTAGCTATTTCACGTCCAAAGGAGACGGCGAAGGCTATGATCGGTTTCCACGTCTCCAAGCTTCGGGGCCGTGCAGACAACAGACTTCCTCCCAGGTCGGCACTGTGTCGATGGGTTGACAGTCCGGGTTGGTTTGCTCCTGTCAAGGATCCGAGTCCGAGATCGAAGTCGCGGTGACTTTAAAAAGGGAGTGGGCGGGTGGAGATGGAGGATTCCTCGTCGTCGAACCGAAGAATTCCAGTGGGGGATAAGATGGGGTGGATTGGGCGGACGGCCGTTCAAGTAGCTGGGGAAGAAAGGGGGGAAGAAAAGCAAGATTCCTGAGGCTCTTGTTGAATTCCCAAGGTTCCTATTCTTCTACTGGTGGCTCATTCCGCTCTTTCCAGTCCGGTCCAGTCCTTTATAGGGCTGGGGGGTGTTGTCGAGATGGCCCAGATCTGGATCTCTCCTCCTTCCCTCCTTTTCTCTTTTGCAAAGAAAGGGAGTCACGGGGTGTGGGAAGGAATGGTTCGGGAGAGGGAATGAATGGACGCGGATGGAGGAGGGAGGAAAAGAGGAGAAGGGAGAAGGAGATTGATATCTGTCCAGGTTGGAGGAGGACGGAGGAGAGGAAAAGGGATTGGAAGAGAGGCACGGATTGGTTTAACAGACGGTTTAAGACCAGGGACCCAGCTCTCTCACCGGGCACTGGCGGCAGCCAGCCAGGGCAGCGCGACCAAAAAGTGCAGCTCGAACGGAGTACTTGGTGCATGTGGTACACACGCTACAACACGCTAGGTACACTGCCTACGCGGTGCCGTCCAAGGCAGGGGTGTTCCATGTTAGATGGTACTAATCCAATGATACCTGAGGTACCTGGCCCCGGTACATCCACTATTCCAGTCGTTGCGTCGTGCCTGCCCCCCCAACAAGGAAGGGGGGAAAATAGTAATCCATGGAAGTCAGCGAGGGAACAAGTGTACGATTCTCAACGCAAGACAGCAAGACGACGGTACAATAGACAATTAGCATTGCAATTGCACCTATTCTTTCCACGATGCCAAGGGATATCTACTATGTAGGTAGGTATTCTGGAGGTGATCGTATGCCCCCTCAGGTATCTTGCAAGGCTCGCCAGGTACTTGGAGGTGGGCGGGCGTGCCTTGTGCAGAGAGGAGTGGGAGAGCGTGTTAATTGGGTGGAGACGTGCTCTCGGCTGGGAAATTCAGGCCGGCTGTAAGAGAGTAAGAGAGCAAGGATCAACGGGTACAGCGCTCACTTGGTTGACCACTGGCCGGCCGAGATTTGAGTGGATTGAGTGGCCGAGATGCAGCAGGAAGAAGGTGGAACTCGGGAAAAAAAATCATTCCAGGACACGGTACCATAGTACCATACCATACTTTCGTCTGGTGGCTCTGGGCGTTGCTGCAAACGCCCAAAGCGTAAGTACCTGAGGAGATGGTGAATTCCAGCTTGCTGACTTCCATGGCCTGGGCTTGACGCTTGACTTGCGATGGAAATTGAAGCTGCTGGCTAGTCGATGGCGCGAGAAGAAAAAAGCAAAGAAGAAAGGCAATTACGACACACTACCACGGAGGAGCTCTTCCAAGTTCCATCTGTAACCTGTATTTCCACCTATTTCTCTCTCTTGCTTCTTTTTCTTGATGGGGTTCTTCTATTCGTGCCCCCGTCGCGCGTGTCTGACACCCTGACTAGGGCTACCAGGAAAATCCTGTCTGGACTTCGTACGGTGCTGCTCCGTCCCGCTTGGTGGTGCTCCTTTGGCCTGAGGAGGCCAGCCGCCGCCACCACCACCACCACCGTCAAAGTTGAATCAGAGCGTGTATCCCAATTGCCGTTGTTGTTGTTGTTGTTGTTGTTGTTGATGCTTCAACTTGTTATTGTTGATCCGATTATTTGGGTTTCAACTGCATGAATGGGCCTCATTGTCAGGCCGGCTGCCTAGACATACATGATGCCGCTATCCCACTTTCCGGGCGAGGCTCTCCTCCTTCGTGTAGTATGACGGTAATCTGTACTTTGTCGTTCCTACATAAGAGCTGCAGTGGATAACTTGCGTCGCAGTGGAGCAGCGGCTAAGGCCAGCTGCATGGGTCTTGTATCTCTTTGGTGGCTTGACAATGACCATGGCGACATAAATTAGCCATCTCTTATGCTGTTGCATTTTCAAAAGTATCCCTATATGTATGCATACGGATTACTGCGTATATATCTGGCTCTCGATTCTTGAACCGAGTAATTCTTCCTACATAGTATCAAAGACTGACGCTGATCGAGACCTCAAGAGCAGGCAATTTCAATCCCTTTCTTTCCCCCCTCCTCTAAATTTGTTTGCCCCCTCATGCCCCTCTGCACTGCAGCAAAAGCCGCCTCGGTTCTGGTCAGCGGAGGAGGGAAGTGCCTTGTATTGAGGTTCCAAGAGGCACGCCAATGCAAATTTGGAAAGGGTTGGCATCCAATCAAGAGGCCTTGACGCGCTGCTGCACCACCTCAGAAATCCAATTAATTATGCGTGTCAATGACATCCATGGAAGTCAAAGACCGCCAATCCGACAGGACCCCGCCAGCCAGCGGGGCCCAACCCCCAAGTTACGGAGTTTCTGACCATCAACGAATAACCTTGCAATGGTCAGCAAACTCCATCCAGTTTGCATGCACGAGATGGAGCACCAGAGGGCGAAACATCCGGTCTACGTAGTAGTGAAGGTACTAGTTATGACGAAACGGCCCCGCCCTCTGCGCTCTAGTGCATGTGCGCATGTACGCACTATGAAGCAGCTCCGCTCATCTACATAGCAGCACGACAAGCTCTTGTCAGGATCGATCTTGTGTGCATCGTGTAAAATGGCGTCTCTAGCGCGATTCCAAACAGTCAATCGAAAGACGCCAGGGCCAGCTACTTGCAACCTCACACCTCCACCAGCTCAATTGATGATCTAGTGAATCAACATCCGATAAGGCCTATCGGCTTCGGCAGGGTGTCGAGAGGCCGCGGCCGGTTGGCCCGCCGTTGATTGCCTCCTGCAAGTCCGCATGTCGTGGGACACATCTGGGTCCTTTGATAGACGCCGGCAAATCCCACTGCAGACCCGCCCGTCTCGCGTGCTATCTCAATAACCCCAAATTCATCAAGCTGGGGCACAGGCTGGGGTACGAAACCTGATCTTACTATGTTACATAGGTATGTACACTCTCGCCTGTCCCCTTTTCTCCTTCCCTATTGATCCGATTCCCCAGCCTTCCCGGCCCCGGCCCATCACGTCAAGCAGCGCAACACCATTATCACGCGCTGAATAGTGCCAGCACCTACCACTGATCTGGGAGAACCTTGTCCATCCACACACAAGCGAAATATCGGCTCCTACGTCTGCAGCCACGCCAGGATTATGAGTACGTATCTGGCCTGGCCTTCGGTCTGAGACGAGGGCCATGAATCCGCTACTCCCATCAAAGAAAGATTTGCAACTACTACGCAGTAGCCTAGTAGTTTCAGCCAGCCATGAATTTATACGCCAAAACCGCATCCATTATATATATATATATCTGTAGAAATTCGCCATCCCGGGGGTTGGGCACTTCACCAAATCGCGGTTATCGTGGCAAGTGACTCCTGATATACTCCGTACGTACGTACTTGCCATGGCTTGCCATCCTCCCCCAGATAGTAGCGCTCACGGCAGGCAGGCAGGGGTCTCGATCTAGGCAAAAGCATCATCACAACCAGTTACTACAGTACCGTCCACCCCCGTAGATGCCACCCTAGCTCCCAAGATGCTTGAAGAGCGGCCTCCCCCAAGACCCGCTCCACCATCCCTGGCTTTCTCCCATGCTCATCGCAGGAATACCCAGTCTTCGTACGAGAGTACGGGATACGCAGGTTCTCCGCTCTCTCCAGGAGACTTTAGCCGTGCAATAGTCCGGGTTGAGACCGAACGGGAGCCCAAATAGCGGAAGTGTGTGTTTGTAACGTGATTGGAGCTTCGGCCGTCCAACTCGAAACTTTGGTTCTGCTCCACCTTTTCGCTCCCTGCGAAAGAACGCCCCGGCCAATCACATGGTCCAAGTGCCTCTTTCTCCTGTCTTGAAACTCTTTCCACGCTGCCAACACACCAAGTAGGGTACCTATTTAAGTTAAGCTTACCGACTGCAGATGGGCTGAACCACAGAGGGTGGGTGGCTGGACAGACTGCGGTCGAGCTTCCGTGCATGGTGTCGCACAGAGTCTAACGCGATCCACGAGGTGCGCTCCTTCAGTGGTCGATTGGAGCTCTCAAAACAGGTCGAAAACACAAGCGGCCACCAGCGCCAGCCCCAGTGGCGACTCCAACGAAGGTCTTGGCTGGCACAGCTGCAGTTCCAAGGCTGGAGCGTGAGCAAGGAGGAGATGAGCCGACTCCTCTTTGCCATTGTGGGGGTAATGCAACCTCGTGTACGGGGTATGGAGACAAGGCTCACCAATCTAATCTCCTAAGCCGCCAGCTTATGGTCAGTTTCAATGCATGCAGCAGAGCCCTGCAACGTGCAGGTAATCCCAGGTCGAGGACAGCGGCGGCCCTGGAGGTTTCCAGGCTGCAAGGTAATCACCGTCACGTCAACGACAAGATAGCGACATACTTGAAATGGCTGTGTCGGCCGGCCTTTGAGATGTAGATCTGTGAACATCGACCCGGGATTACCGTCTCCACTGCCAAGCTAACAGTTCGGTTTCCGGCCTGGCTGGGCCTATGAATGCTCCCCCCCCCCCCCCCAAGCTGATTACAACTATGTATAACATCCGAGCGAGCCACTGGCTAAGGCTTTGCCTTGCTGCTTCAGGCCTGGCTTGGACTCTGTGCGTTTGTTTCCTTGCGTGGAAATGCCTGTTGGTTGATGCGAGAATCTATCATCTTAACCCCGCATTGCTGTCCTCGGGAGTAGGTTCTCCATCAATACAAGAAGCTGCCCATGCTGTTAGGTGATGTATGTACTTTGATGCTTGGATAAAACATGTCACGAACCGAGTACCTACCAACAGCTGCACAGGCAATGGCTACAGTCCCAAGAAAGAGGCTGCTCCGACTCCTCGAGAGTCCAATACTCTTTGCCGGTACCAAAAGCAATATAGCAAAAAGTTAGACCCACAATACTAGACCATGGAGATCGCCGAAAGATCACCGCTCATATTAGAAGTAGAAAAGTGATTGATCTCGCTCGATGAAGCCAGAGATAGCTTTAAATGTGCCCGCCGCCCTGGTAAGACGTAATTGGCGCCAACATGACACCGACATCAAGCTGCAGGTTTGGCAGGCATGTGTTACATTGACATGGTCATGGTCTCGAGCGTTGGCATCTGACACGCAGCTGGCTGAAAATAAAAAGGACAAGGCTGAAAGCTAGGCTACGGAACCCGGGCGCCACAATGAGGCTGCGGCGACGGCCATACTTAGCTCCCGGCTCTGGCCGGGGACCCCTGTTCCCACCCGTGCCAGCCCTGTCAATGGACCCACATGTCCCCAGCTTGCACCCAGTTTTGGAAGGATCCCTGGACGGATATCTCCTCTTGTGTTGGATGATCCCCACATGGAATAGTGCACTCTCTGCTTCCTGTGGATATGTACAGTTCCCCCTGCAAGTCACAGGCATAAAACTCGTGCATGCTTGCGTGCATCTCACTTTGCTAGCCTGGCGCCGATCAAAGATGCCTTATGCAGCTTTGAGCTATCGAATAAACTATAAGATCCTTTTCTTGAAACGTCTGAGCGAAAAACGCGGGTTGGATTAGCCGATTAGGAAAACATGGCCAGTCTTGCCGACGTCAAAAGGGAAGCTTCACAATTTATTTTCCTGGGCTATTCCCCGATTGATCCATCACGGGATCTCAATTCCTCTTGGGGAGGGGCCCTGCATCAGCAGCTTTTTTCTCTGCAGCTCATTTTGCGGCATCGCAATCAAAATGTGGACCGCTCCAAGTGGGCTCGCTGGGTCAGCGGACCGCAAAGACCAAAAAAACCACACGCTCTTTGACCTCTGGGATCAATGGGACGGATCGTTGCCGTTCTAGCATTGCAGCTATCGGCGGTAACTTCCATGTGTTGCGAGTGGCAAGGGGAATTCTCCGATGAGATTGTTCGTGCTGTGCAGGTAGAGAAAAACTACTAAGCTAGAGAGAGCTCCTTCTGGATTCATCGGATTCAACGGCCAGCCTCTGTCACACACCTCCACGACGCGCCTAGCATGTGTTTCTGAGCCGCCGTTACATTTGTTGCAGAGAGGCGGGATAAAGGAGGCCCAAAGCGCTGAACCTTAATATGGAAGCTGTGGGAGCACGTTACAAATTTGACACCTGCCCGCCCGGCCAAGCCAATGAGCTACCCGCTTTGATAATAGTAGTAACCCAACACTGCCCAGGTTACCCAACAGACGACCCTTTCGTCGTATTTCCCCGCGACAACTCCAGGTCCGGACCTGGCCGGGAAACAGAGAATGAAAAAGTTTGGTAGCGTTCGTGCAGAAGACCCTTTTTTCCAATTCCCCTCTCCTTTTGTCTCCACCAATCCCTCCCTTCCTTCCGCATGGACTCTGGCCCATCTCGACTATGCCAGTAGCCATCCATCTCAAGGCTCTCAACCCCAACTCTGCCGGTGTTTCACCGTTATGGAATCCCATTAGAGAATAGAGCGTCCCATTGCATCCCGGCTGCGGCGGGAATAGGATGCAAGCACGGTCCCCGGTAAATAGCGGCGTCCTCCGGCGCCACACAGGGCCCACCTTCGGAGCATGGGAAAATGGGACGTAATCATCTGGAGAATGGGAGTTCGAAGTCATGGCTTTTCGTTGCTCCATTTGGGTCGAGGGTTCTCATGCATGCGTAGCCAGGGACTTCACCAACGCCAATTGCTTACTGGAGCATCATAAAATCACGATGGAAGAGTCGGCGGCATCTCCGGGGCTATGATATACCGCAGTAGGAAAACCGTGTGGAGATCCGGCGTTGAAGGCAGGTGGGATGAGGCACATGTCTCGAACTCGGCCGATTCCTTGCCAATTGGCCAACGGGAATGCATCAAATCTAGAGCTCTCCGACAAGGGTTCGCGAGCGACGCGCTCAAAAGTGTTTGGCGACTTGCAGCAGCTGCATCATGACGCGTTCGTGCAGCATGCAAGCAGTTACTCCTAGCGCTTGGCAGGAGGCTGGGGTTTCCCAGTTACTCTGTCGAGAAGAGCGTAGCGATCCTCGAGGTATCGACCATCGACCGAGAAAAGCAGCCTCACCCGACAATACGCATGTAGTCTCGCAGTACGGATGTACGAGTTAGACCATTGCTAGCTAGAGCTTGAGGATTTCCTTTCCGAGAAAAGTAAGAAGAGTCTCGCACACCGCAGTCCTAGTTTGGCAAGTTTATCTGACACTCACTGTGCTTCCTCTAGCCTCGAGGTAGTACCGGTGGATCGTAGGCGCCGCCTCATGCAAGTGCTAAATCAAGTCACTTGTCAATCTGATTCTTACCACAGTACAACTCCGCTTCTATTAAGATGAGTTTGAAACGCGCTCGCCTCTGTATCACCGACTTGCCGAGCAAGCTTTTTCCAATGATGCAGAGTCTCAAGCAATGTCTAGCCAAGAGGCCTAACTCGAATTCCGACACTTAGCAACTCGTCATTGCTCACCCAGAGCTACCTCTAGGCATGCATTTATTCATAGCGCCACTAGTCAGGTAATCGGCAGGCCATTTTGCCAGCCAAACAGGGATGTAAGTGGCAATTCGAGGTCCGTCGGGCGATGCGATTGGCTGGGAGCCAGCTGAACAAGGTGCCAAAGAACCCGGCCAGCCAAAGCGCACAGAACATGCTCATACCATTCAGGATTCAAGGGATGGCGCGGGATCTGACCAGAGGTTGATCTTGTCGGCCGCTCCCCGAATCGCACAATCGTGCCCAGTTCCCCACAGAGTCGCAATGAACCAGATCTGACGGTTATGTATAACCCGCTGGCACGTCGGAAAGAAAACGAAGGGATGTCTGTTCGCCGGCTATGATTGAAATAGGCAGTGTTCTTGACCACTGACTGGCCGGGCCAGACCAGGATCACGAATTAAGGCAGAGGCCCCGGTGCAAAGAAGCGAGCTTCATCCAGAAACGCTGGTCACCCAAGTTTCAGAGGTTGCGTGTCTTTTTACCTCTCATCATAACATGCAGACACCCGACCAATCGATCGAGCCATTTTCCTGCTGTCTATGCACGATGACTTGCCATTCTGAGGTCATGGAGATCGAGCGACAGCTGGATTGGAGAGCAAGAGTGGCACCCAATTCATGCCGTCGTCGTAGTAGAAATAAAACCACTTTACGCGTCTGCTTCAGCTCAATAATACCATCGCGCCGCTCCAATGCAGATGCTACCAGGAGCTTCTGCAAGTCGCCCCCTCGGCGCCTCGGCGCGACGGTAGCAACGGATCTATTTTGGGCTTTGACCCTTCCAGAACTCGAGCGTAAGAGCGATCAGCAATCCTGCACCCCATTAGGAACCTTGCAATTAGTTAACCGATAAACAGGCGCCAGCGGAGTGCTACACTCCAAATGGCCCCTACACGTCCATCCCATATCCAATAAGCCAGAAACCCCAGGCTGCGTCCCCCGGCTCCGGTGGGCTTTCATCTCCGGATGGAATCGCTCTCAATTCTCCGACTGGCCGCCGCCGAGACCCTGTGCCGCGCCCCCGCCCGTCGACTCTTATCGCCTGTGCGGCGGGGTGCGTCCACCAAAATGAGCTGACCGGTTCATCTCCACCCCCTTTTCCATGCCGTCTGCCGTCCCATCCAAACCCCTTCTCGGAGAGTGGTCTCGATTTGCCTGGTTTTCGAACGAGAGGAACCAAGCAAAGACATGCTAACCAGGAAACTATCTGGTCGGGAGGGCTGTGTTTCCGATAGGCTAGGCAACTGGAACTGCAACAAGTGCAGGTATGCATACATAATAGATCTCCTCTGACGGTTTGCTTTGAGCCAAGGAGCCTCATCTTACTGCTGCGACGAGCCAAAACCGGGGTCTCACAAGAATGCTTCTCTGGACTTCAGTTTGGCATCAGGCCTTATTAAACGTGCACTCTCCCGCAACTCACGATACTAGTAACCCAAGTCTAGAATGCAACATATAACCGCTCCTCGAGCATGCTAGTCAAGATTTCGTCTCATCTAACATGCTGGTCCAGGGCCCCCCTTACCACGGCTGAACATGGTCAGGGGATAACCTAGTCCGTGGCGTCTGTCGTTGGGCCAACTGAGCAAGCCTATTTGCTCACCCTTCCGAGCCCCCAATGGCTTGTGGTTTTTTTAGTCAAATATCGACGCGAGCCGGCGTGGGGATCGACAGCCTGGAAAGGTTTGGGAAAAAGCAAAAAAGACATGTTCTTCTCGCTCCGAGATTGCGCAATCCGGCTGGCCCCCGCGCGCCACCGATCTCTGAGTGGGCGTTGAAAACCCAGCCCAGCAGGCGTATACCGTACAGCGGCCCTATATAGGGAAAAGGCCATGTAAATCTCTCTCTCGTGTATGCGTATCGCGACTGATCAAGTTCAGTAGTGAACCGACCGTCGGCCCTACCAGGGGGGTTGTGTCAAAAGTTCAGCCTTTGGCCAGCCGATCGCCGACTTCTTTTTGCGGTAATCTCATCTCGCCTCCGCGCGGTGCATGCTCATTTTGCGGCCCGACCGTTGAGCAGCAAATTGAGACGAGAAAGAAAAAGTTGTGCGCAGTGCATAATAAGCTTGACCCCCGGTCTCGAAAAGAACCCAATTTCAAAACATGCAGAACCCAAGGGGTCAGTACCACCGTGGTAGTTCCACGAAGGCGTGCAACGGTCCGACAAGTGTCTCTCAACGGCAGCCTCCTCGCGGTCCGAGACACACAGCGGCTTCTTCCCCATCCCGCCCAACGTGTGTTTCTATCTTGCTTTTTTTTTCCTCTTCGTTTTTTTTTCGTGAGACCGTTCCACCGCACGTTCATGTCCATGTCTTACACCTCCTTTCAGTCGCACCGAGCGCACCGGGTCACTTCCCATTCCCCCATGTGTGTGACTCGGCCTGTCGGGGCCCTTCTCCCGCGCCCGCCCCGAGCCATAGCGGCCCGACCACCCCCTCCTCCCCCCAGTCCTGCCGAGGCGAGGTCGGATGCCAACGAGGGCGAGGGGTAGGCCGTGCAGACCGGGTGCTTGCTGCTGCCGCCGCGAATGTTGAGGCCTGATTTGGGGTTTGGGGAACAGATGACGTGTCGGGGGGCGGTGGTCGGGTACATCCAGCCAGCCAGCCAGCCATTTCTCCCTCTCTCCCGTTCCCCAGCGGGCCACGAGGTGGGTTGTGACTCGGCCGCCCCTCAAAGGAGAGTCGGCGTTCAGTTAGTGACAGCCCGTCTACCTCTCCGCTCCCCGCAGCGTTGGTTCGGTGCTGGTGTGGTGCCTGTTCGTATCCGTCGACTCGAGCCCTTGCTTGCCGGCCGGTCGTGCTCCGAGACGGCGCCCGGGTGGGCTTAGGATGGGTCTGGTTGGTTTAGCATACCCTGGACTAGGTCTCTGACCATGTGCTGGCCCTGGGGTCAAGTCCTCGTAGACAGGTCTCGGGCTGGAACTGTTGTGATGAACTCTCTGATGCAGGGTGAGACACCAGGGGGCGGGCTGTATATATTCTGATCCCGTAGGCTCCATCATAAAGGAAGTACGTCAATAATCCATTTGCATTCACAGCCACTACTCTCGCTCTTATGGTCGCCTCGTGCAAGTCTCGCCACCGTCCCGTATCTATGTATTGTTGGCGTGGACGCATCCATCACGGCCGACAAGTCATTGTCTCGTAGTCGAGACGGCATTATGGTATTATCGGCGAGGCCCGCACACTGAAAAGACTGATTGCCCGCCGGTGGGTGTCGCACATGGTCGTCCGATGCCTCCTCCTACCACGAAGTGGGTGGCTACGCATCACATAGAGCAGAAGCTGAAGAAGACCCCGTGCACCGTCGTGGAGGAAGAGCAACTGCGAGCAAGAGATTTGTCTTAGACACCTGGTCCAGACGCCGGTTATTCAGATTCGGAGGGCGTTGTCGTTCAGCATGCCGTCTCCCGAGATGGGAAAACATCCAGGAGTTGCAGCCAACAAAGTATTGTGTGCGTCCAGGCCACATGTTCCATGCCTATGCGGGGAATAGGGGTTCCTTGGGAATGAAACGGAACGTATGAAACCCGCCCATGTGTTGGAGCAAGACATCGTGAGGCCTGATACATAGGAAACGCACTTGTGTTCCTGACTACAGAGAATATGCGTGCAGGCTTATACCATGCTTATGAAACCAGCTGGGGTCAGACCGGAGGCCCTTTCAGGGAGGGAGATGCTTGTAGAGACTAGGGGCAGGCTTCATCGATCGAGACTGGATTCCATCACCACTTGACTGCGGAGGGTACCCACTCCCCCGAAGGAACACATGTGAAAGCATAGGGAATCTAAGGGAATGGTCTGGGTGTGGCAGGGGGTGGTGCTGGGTGCTGGACACAAATTGATCCAGGGGCTGCCAAAACAAAGGTTGTTACCTGTGGATACCAGGGGTTCACCAGCCCGAAGCAGCAGTTGAAATCTGGTGCCCAGGCCCCATGCCATTGTCGACCCACACATTGGAGGAAACCGTCTAGCGGTTGCGAGTTAAGTAGCCAGGAGTGTATATCTGTGTGATATAGACCGCGAACAATGAACTGCCGACAGGTATGAAGGGGTGTCTACCTGCTTACCGGCCATGACTGATGGCTGCCGGCGTCGAACTCCGCTTGGAGGGGTTATGTGAGTAGAATAAGGGTCCTTGACTTATCTCGAGGCCATCCATCATGTTTAGACGGGGTTCTAGCAGGCGAGGCCGGACAAAGAAGGGGGGAACATCCACCCCAGTGGGTGGCCGGGCAACAAGAGGCATATGCCGGCCGCACACTATCGAAACCCAACAGGGGATTCTTCATCCGCCCTGGGGTACGTCCGTAATGGCCAATGACATTGACGTTGCCCTCGGTTCGGAACCGAACCGAGGGCGTGGGTACCCCACGATAATCGGCACGTGGCGCGGGACTCAAATGATTACCAGCAATGTATGGATGATATCCGACTTGTTCTCGGCTCTCCACGATAAGATATTGAGGGGGCAGCCGAATACCTTATAGCAAATGTCGGGCGGTAGCTGTGCAATACGATAGGGGTCCAAGCCCGAAGCGAGAATCGGTAGTCGAAGACGATCGACTAGCGCCGCGCTGTTGCTGAGCAGGCTGTTGTTGGCACAGAGACAGCATTATAGCCGGACCCAATGCCCGGCTTGCTTGGCGCAGCGAGGCAATATATATCGACGGCTGTCCGAACCCGGCAGCTTATTCTCTGCCGTCCCATCTCGCGTACTGACCCTCTGAGAAAGAGAGACAGGACTCGAGTTTCAAAAAAAAAGGGGAAAGAGGAAAGAGGAGAGCGAGAGTGCAAGTGCACATCAACATGTATCATCTATTTTAGCTCCCTATCTGGGAGCACGTGCTGTCGTTTCGGCAATGGAAGCATCGCTGCTCTCCATTACAGGACATTTCTCACATCTCCATGGGTCATCTTGACGTGCTTCGCAGCCCATAAGCCCATTTGAATCACTACATGTGGATGATCATCAGCTTCATGCAATCCAAGCACATGATAAAACCTCTCAACGCCTTTGCCACGGGCCGATATGCACCGTGTCCGCCCCCCTATCCAAAGCAAACATGTGTTTCTCCTCCCACCCCTAGAACCGTGACAGCGCCGGTACCCAGAATTGCGGGTGATGATAATGACAAAGGGAATACTGGTAGAGCACCTAGATACACTCCGCGACTCGATGGATGCGGGAAGATATAAGTTGTATGTGAGCAGAAGTACAGAAGAAAAATGACGCTGTGTCTATGCTGGTTCGTTCCGGTAGGTGACGACGACGTCGGTAATATTAAACATGGAATTAGAGAGATCGACGGCCGATTTTTATTTCTCCACCGCCGGTACGATGAGGCCGGTCGAGGACTTGGCTGGGCCTTGCCGGCCACGGGTCATGATCGGAAGAGGCCCCTTCATCATAGAGTCGTTCCTGGAGCCGAAGTGGATCACTATTGACCGTGGTCGATGGGTATCTTTAAAGCGCAGCTATGAGTTGTTGACAAGGAACGTCAACGACGAAGCGTAAGATGCTCAGCGTCGAACTGTAGTATGCCGTATTAGCTAACTGGCGGCTGAGATGGCCGTTCAGGGAAGCGGAGGCCCCTGGGACGGGTCGTGAGGGGGCTGGAATTGTTGATGTCGCATTCCATTCTCTCCACGGGCAGCGACCCATTCGGCGTTGCCGCTCTGGCGACCAGGTTGCTCAGCAGGCAACTTGGTATCGTCATTCGAAGCCTGTCCACGCCGACCGTTGCCGCTGCTGCTTGGTCCGGCAATGGGTGACGGGACAAGCTCGGTTACTGCTTGGGTGATGGAGGCGACAACGTAGCTGCGTAGCTCGCGGTCCTCCCGGGAGTCCTCCTTTTCTAGACGGAAGCGCTCATCCTTGCCCATGTTGGCACGGCGAAGGTTCTTGATCTCCTGCATTATGTAGAGAAGGACCTCCTCCGGACACCGGTTTCGCTCGTTGTATTGCTCGGATTTGCGGACATAGCGCCGGGTGACGTCGGTTGCGCCGTCAATGGAGAATGCGATGCAGTACGTCATCTTCTTGCCCCAGCCCTCGGTGTATAGCCGAGGGTTGTCCCAGGCCTCTTCGCAAGCGTCGACGTGGATCCACCGCTTCTGGTGCTCCGAGTACACCTCGGTCCAGACGTGGTCTTCGGCATTCCACACCCATCGCACACGGCCGCCGACTGCCCGGCAGAGCATGCTGAAGCAGTTCGCCCACTCGCCGCATCGCCCGCGCCGCGTCTGCAGCAAGCGCCAAACGTCGCTATACCGCGGAAAACGCTCATAGGCTCCGCAGTTCGCGCTCGAGCACCGGTAGAGCTCAACGCGTAGCGCGCCGCACGCGTTCTCCTCGGGTGTCGGGGCCGTCATGCCCTGGGCTATCGTCGGGGAAATACATACGGGGCATGGTGGGTTATTGACCCAGGTGAAGAATGAGCGTTTGTACCACCTGAGAAGTGAATATTGGTCAGTATGTGTCTTCAGAGGGGGAGAGCGAGGAAGGAATTGGGAGCAACAAAGAGGCCGACGTACCTTAACAATGCTCGGACCACACAGTCTTGGTATCCCCATTCCGGTTTGCGGCCGTCGCCCATGCTCTCTGCTTGTGCTTGAAGCACCTGGTTCTCCTCCTCTGCCTCGCCGTAGATCCTATCCAGCGGGATGACCTGTAATGCCTCGTCGAGGAGGCCCGGGTTCTCGTACTTGGTGGGTGTTAATGATAGCGAGATGAGCATGTTCCTGAACCTCTGCGAGTCTTTATCGTGCGCTGCGGGAGGGCTCGGTATCTTGGGTAGGTTTCGGAGTGATGAGTACGACGGGGGCGTCATGTTCGGGCTTGCACCATGTGATGTCGACGGGCGGCCTGATATTGGCGTGGAGGGTGCTCGTAGGTCGTTGGAGGACGCACTCTCTCGCACTGATGGAGAACCTTGTCGTGATCGCGACTGGCTGAGCTCGTTCAATCGCTTCGTTCGCAATAACTGCTCGAAGCGTAGCCTAAGATCGTGCGCCCATTCCTCCCCATAGTCCTCTTGCCCCGGCACCCCACTCCCCCGATCGGCAGCCATGGTGTCGTCGAAGGTGAGATGGACGTAGAGATGGAGCGAGTCGAAGGGGGAGATATCTCCGACGGTGCTCTCCGGGCAGTCGCGGGACCGAATGGTGACGGTTATTTCTGGGTGAGTCGTGCCAATGGTCCTGGCCTTAAATGGTGTGTGGATTGGTCGGTAGTCGACGCCGTGGGTGATGATCGTCGTCGTCGTTCACAGGCGTGGTCGCCCGGCGTTGGTGTCGGCAACTTACGGTCGTCGAAGTCGATCTCTGAGATTCCGCTGGCAACGGAAACAGGCGACGCTTTGCCTGTTGGCCTCTCGTGGGGAGTTCGCCTAAAACTGGCTGATGTGGTTTTTCCCGTCTTGGGAGTCCAGCGTTGCAGCAGGCTTCGGGTCGTCGCCTAATTGTGGGTGGCCGGCATTTGCTCGTTCGTTTCTGGTCGCGGCGCCTTCTTCTTGACTTGACTATGCCCTCTCGTCGTCCTGTCTCTGCGCCTTTGCTTGATGTTGTCGTCGGCAAGCCAGCAACACTGCCGTATGAAGGAGCGGATACGGTTCGAGGTGGGTTGATGGTGGGAAGTCCTCTCTTTGGTAACGGGATGGATTAGAGAGGTGGACTGGCAGGGGGTGTGCAATAAAATGCGGAACTGCGATAAAAGTTTCAGGGAGCTGGCCAGCAAAAGAGAGCCTGTCGGATGGCGAGTAGTGTACGTACTTCGTCTGCTGATTCTACCTAATTGCGTGGACAGCCCACCCAAGAAGGAACGAGCGACAAGGTATCCTCGGGGCAGAGAATGGCAGTGGAGGGTACCTGACCAACCAAGCACTTGCGGTGGTCTTTGCATTCGCTTTCCCCGTCGCTCTGCGCGAGGAGCACGTAATGGATTTGCTACGTACCACCACAGTGCAGATTGGGATCCGGGGTGGGAGGGGTGTCGCTATTGCAACGATGAGGGGAACACACATCCGTACGCGCGGCCTGGTCCCAGCAAATGGGAACGGTTGGCCAATCACGGCGCATCAGATCACATTTGTAGCTTCTTGGGGCCTTGACCTGTCAGGATACAGTTTTTTGAGGGTTCAGTCAGCAACGGTCGTCTCTTGTTGCGCTCTTTCCTTAGAGGTACCCCGTCTTACACCGAGCCGATTTTCTACCAGGCTTTTGCGAACAAAGGCATTCACCTGGAAAGAGGTACAATATGGACTACGTGTTGTAGTACGATGTGTACGGCGTAAAATAACCATACAGTACCTACCTAGGTAGTCCGGGTATCCATGGCGGCTAACATCGAGTCCAGCGAACGAACGGTACATACCTCCATAGTACGCATACAGTACTTACCTACGCAGTACATAGGTGGCGATGCTTCCGCGGTGGCGCTGTGGCTGCAAGCCAAGCAAGCGGTCCTGCAACGGCTGCACTGCCATGATCAGAATGGGTCCCTCCATCTCACTTTGAAGGTTAGCCCTCGACGGATAGATCTCACACTTACTTGTCGTGTAGGTAGGTAGTTAGGTATTTATGTGCCTGTACCTGATCTCCCACTTTGAGTCCATCGCCCTTCTTCACGTGCGCTTTCTTGGCCCATCGCCGGCATAACTGGACCCTGGCTTGGCTGGGTGGATGGAGGATTTCTGGATGTAGCATGCAGGTCTCTCGAGTCAAGAGGGGACAAAACGAGGCTGAGCCCTTTGCTGCTCCCTTTCGCCTGGCTTTTGCCTGATGTTGCTGGTGGCTGATTCGACGCCTGACCAATGGGAAGCTGAGAGAAATGACGGTGTCATTGACTGAATCCAACAACCCGGCCACAGTGCACTTGGAGATTTGATGAATCGCCCAACTTTGTCACTTCATCGAAGAAGCTACATGGTTTTTGAAAAGGAGCCTCAACTGCCTCACAAATCCAGCTCGAGGCCCGACGGAAGCCTGGAAGAATGTCGAATGCCCCCGTCGTCGCCATTACTTTTCTGAGACCCTGTCAACCGCCCATTACGCCTCCCATGCTAGTCACAGTGTACGCTGGCTGTACCTTGGCCTCCACCTACGTTGTAGGCTTGCATCTGTCAGATGACGACTCAGGAGGCAAGAGTCAAAACGGATATTCGTAGATGCTCACGGCGTTAGGTGGAATGTGGACTGTAGCCTTCTTCACTACCATCTCACCATTCAAAAGCCTTGAAACTCCTGGACTCTGTTGACGTATGCTCAGCCTTCCTCAGCTGCTTGTCCGGGGACGTAATTTTTGAAAGTGTCGATCGCGCATCATCAACGGCAATCACCGACACTGTGTGTTCTTTGGAACCCGTTGTCACTGGGTAGTTCGTTGGGGGAGTGTCTGTAGTATCTGAAGGATTGCGCGGCCTCCGCGTTCCTTTATTACTGGCTTGCGCGTTTCCGCTTAATCGCTGCCCCCACTTTCAACATCGTCTGCCCTTTTACTAATCCGTATGTATTCCGTGGTTTTGACTTCGATGTCTGGAATAGCCTCCTCTGTCGTCTTGCACAAACAGTCCCGCGAGCATGACACCTCTTATGGCTTTGGATTTGTCGTCAATACTATGGGCGGATCTGTCGACGTTCAACCTCCCACCAACCTTGCCACGAGAATCCCCCATGCGGTGGTGACCCGAGAAGAGCGAGCAATACCGTTGCTAAGACTGGTGTCTCGGTTCTAGCGACGAGGGGACTATGTGTAAACTGTAGATTTCCTTATCATAGATCTGCGGCTTCTTTTTTTGATACCTAAAGATACTACTACTACCGCTGTTACCAGTTCCTGGAGCGTCAATCACCTGCATGGCCATCTATTTATCCTATCTGAAAATTAGACTTTCTGATCTATCATCTATGCCTCGTGTCTGCGCAGGCCCGATCCCTGTGCCACGATGATATTGGACACGATAACTCGCTCGTCATGTCTGAATACCTGGGTCGCAAGAACTGGAACGCGTTCTCCCCGTGCTGCTTGCCGACTACCGAGAAGCCGCTCTCACTGCTTTTCTTTCCAACTTGTTTATTGCGCCCCTGTTTGATCTAAAAATTAACACGACGACCGGTTTTCGGTCGCCGAAGGTTCCACAAGGTTGATGAACTTGCGTGGGTCTGCTTGGAGTCTGCTCCTATTTCTGGCCCTGCGAGGTGCTTGCTTGCGTCGACACATACGAAGCACCAAGCCGAGAAGCAACGCCTCCTGATAACGTCTCGGATAACATGAAATGCACATCGGCCTCGAGATGCTCCTTCTCTCCCTCTGCCTTCAGTCGGCCAGTAATCAATACCAGACAGCAGTCGGGCCAGACAATGACGGTCGGTGCGAGAAACCCTCCCGAGTGACGTACTTCAAAAAACCCTTCATCTCCTGTTCCTGTGCCGATGACAACTTTCCCACGGGTGGTGGCTGACGCGCGTCTGGCTCTCGCAATCCTCGCTAGTCGGTTCAGCACAAAAAAAAATCCCCCGCCCCTTGCAGAACACGCCCACTGCCGCGTAACAGCCTATTCGAGCCTGCCTGCCCATGCCGTCCCCATGTGCGTGTCTGCCCTTACTCGTCGTAACGAGAGAAGCACTGTATTTGGACGTACGTACGACCCGCGCGCATGCAGGCGGAACCGTTCCAGACTCCGAGGGATGGGTGGGTAGGTAGGTAGGCAGGGGAGACGGAGTAATGGGCCGTAACCTATCTATGGTCCCTGGACTGTTCAGGGTCCGACTTTGTCGATCCCGCCATAATCTTGGGCATTCATTCATTCTCGGTTGTGAAGCCGAGAGCGTAGACAAATTTGTAGGGTTGCTATAACCCATCGGTTTGAAACACGCACGGGATGCTCGGGACTCGCACGCGTCGCTGTCTTTAGTAAAGGGGAAATATATATAAATTATCGTCACCGTAGGTCGAGACCCTCCCAGGTTTTGGGAAAGCCCCGCCCACGGCAGCAGAAACAAGCATTTGGCAATGAAAACCGGTGAAGATACAGGGGGATCCCCGTGCCGAAAGCAAGTCTCGAGTTCAAGCGAGGGGCGTTGAGGGGAGAGAGTGCGAGACAGGGCTCTTACCATCGAAAGGTAGAACAATCCCCAGAACGACACGCAAGCGGGGGGCAAATGATACGGAGACGGGTGTGAAAGACCCTCCGAGCCCCAACACTGGCTGGCAAGAATGAAAATGTGCATGTTTGTCTCCGTCGGCTTTGCCTGGTCATCGCAGAGTGATCTTGCAATAGGCCGCAGGCTGCCAAGACCTCGAGAAAAAGGGGGGTGGGAGGGAAGGAGGGAGAGGGGCAAAGAGATATTGTCACGGGAAAGACGTCCACAACCTTGGACCAGGACGCTCAGAAGACGTTGAGCGATTTCAATTTTGAATCAACGCATGTAGCCTCGTTCTCGCGACACTCTCTAGTCCCACACCGTCGGCGCCCACAGCCAGGTCAACGCTCCAGTTCGCCTTCTCCAAAGTATCGTGGTGGGAGGTCCACCTCCCAGATTGGTCTCTCGACGAGTGCGACCTCTAGCGGGGGGGACTCATCAGGGCCAACCCCTTCGTGCTCCACATCGGCGGTCCCAAGGGGCACAATGCCCAAGATCGACCTGTATTTGTACGTCTGCCACCACGGCGTCCTCTCCTCCCTTTTCTCGGCACCTTTCCCATTGGCTTCCTGCTGATCCCTCATCAGCTGCAGCTCGCTGCCACCCATGTCCTCGTCATCGTCGTCGTCGTCCTCGTCGTCGTCGAGCCCGCTGCCGCTCTGCTGGTCATCCGCCTCTGCCATGTCTACCTCCACCCACTGCTTCTTTTCCGCGTCCAAGACCATCCGGACGTTCTGGGGCACGCGGGAATGTTTCTCCATCTTGCCGCCAGCTCCGCTATCGGTGCCGTTTCGCTTTCGCTTCGTTCCCTGCCTTTTCTCGCCTTCCTTCATGGAGGATACCATTTCCGGGGTGAGATCCACAGACAGATCTAGCATGCACAAGTAGGACACACCGTAGATCCACACCCTCGAGCCCTGCCACAGAGCGCCCTTGACGAGGTCCCGGGTTGCCCGGAATTTCTCGGGAATCCTGACGTAAGGGTTTCGCCGCGACCAATCCGAGAGGGCGCCGCGTAACGGGTTGAATGTGAACAGCTCCCTCGAAGTCGTGATGGCCAGGAGGGTATAGTCATCAGCCTGAGGCCCGCCATTCCGAGCCACCGACCCGGGGGTCTGACTTGAAAATGACAGACAGACCGGCTGGGCCGAAAGCCTCGGCATTAGCGACGCCCTGGGATTACGAATCCATTGCGGGCCTTGCTCTCCGGTCTGCTCATCATCCGATGAGTCCTCTGACGACGCAGAGGAGATTGCGTCGTCGTCATCCTCGCCGCCTTTTCCATTCTGTTGCTTGCTCCCAGGGCCACGCAAGATCCAGGTGTCGATGTACCCTGCCAAGTCGGTGACGGCGAGCATCTTACTATCGGCGGAAAATGCAACATGCGAAATACTCCTGTCGTAGGTCCCGAGACCACCCAGTAGAGTGTATTTGGAGATATCGCGCCGTAATCGCCTCAGAGGAGAGGGCCGTTGGATGGTGTAGGATGGACCAGCCGCTGACTCGACGGTGACGATCTGCGCAACCATGACCTTGCTGCCTTCTTCGATCCAGCAAATACAATTCTTGTCGGGTGAGATCTGGACCTTCGTCGCGCCACGGCTGGTTGCCAGCACGTTCGCTTTAGACACCTTGAACGAGTCCCCCGGTGACTGGGGGAGGTCAAGTTTGAACGCCTTGACATCCGAGGCCGTCGAGACCACGAGCAGAATGCCATCTTCGCTAATGGTGGCGGACGTGATGTTCGATTCTCCCTTTACGAGAATCCGGCCCAGCTTTTTATGATTGTTCACCGGATCGGGTTCCGTGCTGCCCTTGAGCGCCTCCTTGAACGGTTTGGGAAGTTGCCAGATTTGGACCTCCCTCTCCCACCAGCTAATCATTAGCCGAGCCCTCGGGGCGCTCTGTAGCGGTGCGGCTTGAGGGAGATGAGACAGAGCTCTATGATACTCTTTTCCAGCTCCTCGGAGCGGCAAGACAAGCGGGGTGGAATCGGGACCTAGAAAATAGTCAGAATCGGCCGTGGAGCGAACGTTAGACACCTGGGAGACTCACCTCCGGAAACGACCACGCTCAACCCTTCCCCTTCGAACGAGGCCATGGTCTTGACATCATGGCTGTGATACCGGCGATGCCAGACCTTGGTCCAGCGGCCGGCTTGTCCAGGCATCGTCTCGTAAAGAACTGTCCGCCTGTCCATACCACCGGAGATAATTCTGGAGCCGTCGGAACTCGTGGCCAGACTCAGAACATCCTGTGTGTGGCTCTGAATCCTTTGTGCCTGGGTATATGTCTTGCCATCCCAGATGCAAATCTGGCCCGTCGAATCGCCGGACACTATATCACCGTTCCGTAGGCATTTCAACGCCCAAACGATGATGAATTTTGAGCCGCTACCGTTGAGATCGGATCCAAGGGTCATATGTCTTATTGTCGCGCCGTTCCGGACGTCGTAGGCGCGGATCGTGCTATCTGAACAGCCAACGATGACGACGTGTCGAGATTGGAAGGTCATGCTGACCATCTTCACCTTCTTGGTGGGGGTCTTGAACATGGCTCTTTGGAAGCGTAGGTCGTCATCCTCGATCGAGTACATGATAAGGCTGCCGTCGCTGGTGCCCGCGATGAGCTTCCGGGTTTGGTTGGGGTTGGTGCCTCCAGACGAGAGGGGCTGGACAGCAAGGCACCAGATGTCGCCGTGCTGCCCGCTGGCATGTGTCTTCGCCTGGGCCTTCTCCAAGTCCCATTCTGTGATGGTCGTGGTGTATCCAATGCTGAAGAGCCTTGATTTGCCGTGGATAATCTTCCCATCGGCTAGCACTTCGTCTGGTTCGGTGACCCAGACCAGGCCATCTATGCTCCGGTCTTGGCCTCCGGGTATGACAAGTTCTTGGTACCATATGCCCTTCAGTGGGTTCCAGATTTCAAGGTCGCCGTTTGCTCGTCCGACAGCGAGGCGGACTGCATGCCTATGCGACCCCTTCTTGACCGTGGCAGGAAGCGAGGAATGTGAGAAAGCGACAGCATTGATGGTAGAGGCAGGGTAAGGAACAAAGCGGCAGCGATGGACGTCCATGGTCGCTGGCTTGCAAGCTTGTTTCCTTCTTTCTACTGCCCAGGAGATGCAATTCTCATTGTGAAAAGCTGCTCTCCGGGCCTTGGCATCTGGACATGGATTTATTTTCTTTGAGGCTAGAATTTTTTTTTAGCTTGCAGGTACGGAGGTACAGTACACACGGTACGTACCTGGACCTCAGGGTGTTTAAGTGGGGGTTGTGCACGTGCCATATTCTGCAGGGGGAAGGCTGCCCCTCCATTTCAAAGACCAACAACCCCACCAAGTTTCTATGCTGCTTCCCAGTGTTAGCTCTCCTACTTCGGAGATCAAAGAGTCACGCATTTCAACTCAGGAGGACAAAAGGCCGATTCATCCGAAGCCAATTGCTTCCAAATTCACAAGATTGTGAGAGATTGGGCAAATTCGCCAACATTTCTGTTGTCAATACTGAGCTTCCTGCCTAGCTTTGTCAGTCGAAAAGCTCAAGGCTGTCTGGGAGACAGGGAGGGACCTGACAGGTTCAAGACAAAAAGACTCTCGTGCTTATATAGCCTTGACTTCCCCCACCAACTCTTCTGCCTCTCGGCTATATAGTTGTCCGTCAGGAGTCAAGGTTGGCCGTGATGGATTTCAATAGCTCTTCTCCCTACCCTGAGGGGGTTATCTCCTTCCTCGATACGGATCTGTACAAGTTGACGATGCAATGCGCCGTTCTGAAGTACTACAAGGACGTGCCTGTCACTTACTCCTTCACCAACAGAACCCCGGAGAAGAAGCTCTCTCGCAAAGCCTTTGTCTGGTTGGATGAGCAGATCAGAAGTACAGCCTCTATTTACTCGTTCCTCGGGTCGGCCTGTGGTGGCTCCCGTTTGCTAACACGCTGACCTTCGCTATAGAACTCGGAAACATCTCATTATCAACGGAGGAGCTTCGATATCTGAAGACCCACTGCCCATACCTGACACCCGCCTACCTGGAGTTTCTTCAGGAATTTCGCCTGCGCCCAAGGGACCAAGTTGGCGTGACCTTCCATCCTGCAGGAGAGGACACAGGGTCAGAATCTGATATCGGCGATGTCAATATCGATATCAGGGGGACGTGGTCGGAGACGATTCTCTACGAGATCCCCATCCTGGCGCTGGCATCCGAGGCCTACTTCAAGCACATGGACACGGACTGGGACTACGAGGTACAGGAGGCCCAGGCATTTGAGAAGGGAATGCGCCTGCTCGAAGCTGGCTGCGTATTCTCGGAATTTGGAACTCGGCGGCGTCGAGACTACCACACCCAGGCGCTCGTGTTCAGGGGGCTCACCAGGGCCAGCAAGGAGGCCGAGAAACGCGGCCTTCCGGGCAAGCTCTCCGGAACCAGCAATGTCCATCTCGCCATGCGATTTGGGATACCACCAGTCGGAACGGTCGCACACGAATGGTTTATGGGCATCGCTGCCATCATGGGAGACTACAAGATCGCGTCTGAGGAGGCGCTGCGCCGCTGGGTGGGCTGCTTTGGAGAGGGCGTACTCGGGATCGCGCTGACGGATACATTCGGCACTCCCGAGTTTCTCAAGGCCTTCAGTCTGCCGATTCGATACTCCAACGACGACCTGCCAAAGTCTAACCGCAAGCCGAGCATTGCTGACTCGTTCACCTCGGCGGCTGATGGGACGGCAGGGGGCCAACCGTCGACAACCAAAACATATGCCCAAGTCTTCACCGGGGTCCGCCAAGATTCGGGCAACCCCACCGGGTTTGTGAAGGTGATGCGCCGTTTCTACGATGAGCAGGGAGTCAAGGGCCGGAAGGTAATCGTCTTTTCAGACTCGCTCAACATCGAGCGTTGCCTAGAATACAAGAAGGTCTCGGAAGAGGCTGGCTTCCAGCCCACGTTCGGTGTCGGAACCTATCTCACCAACGATTTCGTTCACAAGAGCACTGGCAAGAAGTCGGTGCCGCTCAATATCGTCATCAAGCTGAGTTCAGCGGCGGGGAGACCTGCCATCAAGATCAGGTGGGCGCCCCCTCTGGACAGTGCATTGCGTGGGAATATGAGAACTGATTATTTGCGGACAGTGACAACATCGGAAAGAACACGGGAGATAAAGAAACCGTAGAGAAGGTCAAGCGCGAGCTTGGATATGTCGAGAAGGAGTGGGAAGGAGGTGACGAGACGGCGAGATGGGGGAAAGAAGGCGACGCGATCCAGTCTTGATGTCGCCTTGTCTCGAAATGGTTTGGTAAAATAGAGGGAGCATTTGCATGGCTGTCAAGTGTACTGGGGAACATATTCTTCTGCCCACTTTGGTATACCATACGCTTTGTATTGGTAGACGTTAATGGGAAATCTCATTCCCTCAGGGCGATGAGCAATTATTTGTCACACCGTACTGGAGCGTCCTGCCCTCTCTTGGTTCTATGAAGATCTGATCCTAGAGCTGATATCGCGTCTCCCGTCAACAGCTTTTGCCCTAGCACGTAACACGGGATATGAAGAGGCTCAACGTTCTATCAGCCTATCGATCGACGTCATGCATTGCATGAGATGGTGCAATATGGCTTGCGTTACCCTCTACCCCGCTTGCTGAGTGATCTTCTTGGGTGGATCTTTCCGATAAGCTGTTGCAGTTCTGCTGACGAAATGCCTCCATCGCAGCCCGTGAAACGGCATACATAAAAGCAGCCCAAGCTCGTGTATTTGAACAAGAATTTCGTCTCATTCCTCACCCCGCCCTTCATCATCCCTTCCTACGACGGCACGAATCCCACCTACACTCATTATCAAACACCCGTAACAAGATGGCTCTGCCACCCAAGTTCAGCGCGTTCCGACTCACCTTCACCGGAGCCAATTCGGCAGCCCCGGCGGCACCGGGCCTGGCGGAGCTCCCCCACACGATCGAGCTCTTCCTCGACTACGTCTGCCCCTTCTCAGCCAGTAAATCCACCCCGCGCATCCCCCCTCCCAAAATGCCTCCCAACCACTAACTGCCCCTTCTCCCCCCTCCCCCTCCCCAACTACACAGAGCTCTTCAACACAGTGTACACGCGCGTCGCCCCGCGCATCCGCTCCAGCCCGGCGCTAGCCAGCAAGGTGCAGATCATCTTCCGGCCGCAGGTGCAGCCGTGGCACCCGTCGTCGACGCTGACGCACGAGGCCGGGCTGGCCGTGTCGCGGCTGGCGCCCCTGCGGTTCTGGGACTTCTCGGCCGCGCTGTTCGCCGCGCAGGCGGCCTACTTCGACGTCAGCGTCGTCGCCGAGGCCCGCAACGCCACCTACGCCCGGCTTGCCCGCCTGGCCGCCGAGGCGACGGGCGGCGCCGCGCCCGAGGATGAGGTCCGACGACTGCTCGAGATCCCGGAAAAGCCCGCCGCCGATGGGGGCCTTAATGTTGGGAACGCGGTCACGAATGACCTCAAGGTGGTTGTTAAGATGGCGCGGCTGGTCGGGGTTCATGTGAGCCCGACGGTGATTTTTGATGGTGTGATCGCGAATGAGATTAGTAGCAGCTGGACTGAGGATCAGTGGATCGAGTGGCTGAACAAGAATGTTGCTTAGGGCTAGCGAGAGACTCGTGTAGGGACTGGCGGTTATGGTCATTTGCAAGGCGGACAATCTTCAACCAGCAACTAATTGTTGGGAGCTGACATATATTATGTTGTGAGCACTACATTCGCCTCGACATAACCTACCCAACGTATCCCTCAAGATAGAGTTCATATGCCCACCCCCTAGTATACTATTACCTCTTAGGCTTTCGCAGCTGCGGCCAACCACTGTTCATTCCTCCTTCCTTGACTTGAAAACGCTCAGCGAACTTGAGGAAATCGGGTCGTGGCCGAGACGGTTAGACCCGCTTACAATGACAAGTCCCACCTCGCCATTAGGCGCCGGCACTGCTTCCCCAACGTCCACAGCCAACCCCAGGCGCCCAACACGGCCGTCAGGCCCGTGCAGATGATCATGGGCCCGTACTCGGACTTGTAGCTCGACACGTCCCCTCCGCCCCATCCGCCGCCCCCGGCGCCGAGCAGGACGCCGCTGACGGGCCCGCTCAGCACGAAGCCGACGCCGCGGCCGCCCATGAGCATGCCGAAGACCATGGCCGTGTCGCCGCCGCCGCCGTCGTCGTCGCCGTGGCGCCTGCGCATCTCGTGCAGGATCCCGCTCCAGGTGGCGCTGAAGCCGCCGGCGAAGAAGCCGTAGGCGACGCTGAATAGGGCCAGCACGGCAACGTGGCGCGCCATGCCCCAGAGCAGGAACACGGCCGCGGCGCTGCCGGCCGAGCTGATCAGGATCACCGTCGTGGCCGCGAGGCGGTCGCCGAGCAGGCCGTGCACGAGGCTGCCCGGCACCGACGCGAGCGAGAAGACGGCGAGCAGGACGGGGCCCGTCAGGTGCGGGAGCCCCAGGGACGCGGCGTAGGAGGCAAGGTAGGTCGACGGCATGAGGTAGCCGAAGGACTGGACGATGTTGCCGGCCTGGAGCATCCAGAAGACGGTGTGGCGCATGAAGGAGAAGGACAGGGCTGGGCGTCTGGATCGGTTGTTCGGGCCAGCCCCGGCTTCTCTGGGCTTGAGGAGGACGAGGAGGGGGAGGGTCATGACCGCCGAGGCCACCGCCCACGCTAGAAGAGTCGAGCGGAGGCCGTAGCGGTCTAGCAGGGCGGTCATTAGGAAGGGCATGACGACACCGACGAGGCTCTTGGCCGCCCACATCACGCCGTAGGCGAGGCCTTTCCTCTCGACAAACCACTCGTCTAGGTACAGGCTGGTTGGGCTGAAGAGGAGACCGCATCCCAGGGCGTAGAGGACGCCTTGAGTGGCAATGAGCGCTGCCACACTGGTGGCGTAGGCCGAGCTGACGAGGCTTGCCAGCGTGACAGCTAGGCCGAACGGTCCGCAGAGGCGGCGCATGTGAGGATATTTGATCAGAAGACCGGACGTGAGTGGCATCATGAGGTACATGATGCCGATCTGGGAGGTGCCGATGGAGGCAATGGCGCTTGGGGAGGCACCGAAAGAGTTATGGACTGTGTAATACTCCTGAAAGATGCCAAAGGCTACGGAATATCCTGCAGAGAAAAAAAGTGAGCAGACTATAGCCGCCAACAAACTGGACGGTTCCTCGGCCTCACCCCATACCGGTGCCTGCATGATGGCACAGCCAGCCAGGACCAGGTAGGCGGCTCTACCATGGTCTGTGGGAGGGAGAGTCTGCGACTGTTCGGGTTCCTGCTCTCTTTGCTGAGGAGACTCTCTAGACCTGGAGAGCTGCTCCAGTTGCACAAGCGACGCGGCTGCCATTGAATGAACAAAGCTTTGGGCATACAGTATAGAATAGTAGAGTTGAATTGATTGGAAATGGAGCGCTACTTGGTGGTCCTGGCTATCCAAATATATTCAGCACCATTTTTGTCGATCTCCTCCGACATCGCCGACTACAGCGTGGCGAGGCAACTGAACGATGGTCCGGACGAGTCTAAAGACTGGGAGCAAAGGATAAACGGGAAAAGGGAATTGAGAATGGAAAGAGGGACCAGATATGCCTCGAATCTCAAGGTTTTTTGCTCGACTCCCCAAATGTATTTCCCGTTACTACTTACTAGCGAGATGTTTCAAGCCACTGTCAATCTTGGGAGCGAGGTGGCGGGAAAGAGGACCAGCTGCCTACCAGCTGGCACTGACACTCGTACATCCTAGCCACAACACCCAACCCCACCAACACTCAAGGCTGCCAAACTTGCAGCAAACCCTCAGCCTCGCAAGCAAACCTGATATCCATCCCACCTACCTGGTAGCTCTCAATCTCCCTTCCCAGCCAGAAGAGAAGAATCGGTCACAAAGCACGGTACCTATAGAAAAGCCCCCTCCAGAAAAAAACCTCCCCACCCCAACAGACCATGGCCGACATCGAGATGGACATCGACGAGCCCGTCGGCGGCTCTCCGCCGCCGCCCAGCGCCAAGGTGGCCGACATGCAGACGCACACAAAGGCGACAGCCGTGCGCTCCATCGAGGGCTGGATCGTCATTGTGACCAACGTGCACGAGGAGGCCGCCGAGGAGGACATCCACGACAAGTTCTCCGACTACGGCGAGATCAAGAACCTGCACCTGAACCTCGACCGGCGGAGCGGCTACGTCAAGGTCCGTCCCCCTGCCTTGCTTTACCTTTTTCTTCTTCTCCTTCCCCCCCCTTCCGCTCTCCCAGACATCCATCCCAACACCGGTCCCCATTTTGCTGACATTTTCCCCAATGAGGGGAACTCCAGGGCTACGCGCTGATCGAGTACTCGACCCTTCAAGAGGCCCGCGCCGCCATCGACGGCGCAAACCAGACCAAGCTGCTGGACCAGACGATATCGGTCGACTTTGCGTTTGTGAGGCCCCCACCCGGCGGCAAGGGCGGTCGCGGCGGCGGTAGGGGCGCCCCGCGCCGCGCCCGGAGCCGCAGCCGCAGCCGGAGTCCGGGCGCCCAGAAGGACGACGACGGTGATGATGTTGTCGAGTGAGGGGTGGTGGTTGGAAACGGTGCGGGCAATGCTGTGGTTAGGGGACGGAGGTGCAAGACGGGCTGGGGAGAGAGAGAGAGAGAGAGAGACCATGTCGGTTTTGTGGATCTGACAGACCCTGGGCAGACTCAAGGCCTTTCTATTGTTACTTGAGATGCCCGTCTTGGCATATCCGTCATGAGACAGGAAATACGCCGATGTGTCGAACCAGAAGGCAGAAAAAGGACACATCGGCATCGTTCTTCTACGCTAAAGAGGTGAGAATCCATACTGTCTCCTGGCGTTTTCTGACCTTGCTTGCTAACTCTCTCAGTGTTAGCCTTGTTGATTTCAAAAGTGGTGACTTCATGTTTAGTATCTGGCGTTGTCCGGGTTATTCTCACGCAGAGACACGCCGACGTCTCTTGTATTATTCTGTGCCTTGGTCCATATCCCCAAGCCTGTGCGTCCCAGGAAGCACGGAATGCAGCCACCTGTCAAGGAGATTGGCTCCATCACACAAGTCACTCGAGCCGTCTTCAGTTGGGAGGTAGTCCGTTATCCTGATATATGACAAATACCCTTAAACCAAAAGTGCTTAGCCAACAAACTTGTCTATCCTTGGGTACCTCGTTGAACATGTCCGTCCAGTCATGAAAGGACGACCCTCAATGATATCCATCTATGTGCATCTTCCTATTCCATCCATACAAACCCATCCCAGTGAATCTCAGGGCCCAAATCAGTCTCCCCCACCGCCCGAAACCGACGGCCCCCTCTTGAGGCTAAACCACCGCTTGACGCCCTGCGCCGCCCCCTGCTTAACAGGCTTCTCCTCCTCGCCCTCGTACCACAGCCTGGGCACAAGCAGGCGGTACGGCACAGAGATGCCCGCCGGGTCCCGCTGGTTGACCTCGACGTTCAGGCAGACCTCGAGGCCGCCCTCGAGGTTGACTTCGAGGTCGCGCCCCTGCTTCATCTGCTTCGTCGACAGGCCCGTCGGCGTGCGGTGGAACGGCCTGGGCTCGAATTCAGGACTGCGGCGACCACCGTCGTCTTCGGGTGCATTTCCAGGTGCCGGTCCCGGGACCGGGCGGCCCGACCTCGCGCCGATCGTCTTCGACCGCTGCGGGACCCGCACAGAGAAGTAGTCCTCGTCGCCCTGCTCGAACTCCTGCGCCGGCGGCTCGCCCGCGCCGCCGCGCAGGCCCATTCTCGGCGGACTGGGCGGCGGGGTCGGGTCCCTGTCTCCGTCTCCGTCTCTGTCCAGCTCCCCGTCGCTGTCGTCCCCCCAGTGTCCGTTGATGCCGCCGTCGTCGGGCCTGCCGCCGCCGGCCCGCCCCCGGGACGAGCTGAGCCGCCGGAAGAGGCCGCCCAGCATGCCGCCACCCTCCCCCTCCCCGCCGCCGCCGCCGCGGCCCAGGGACTGGGTGCTGGCGAGCCTGCCACCGCCGGGGTCGTCGCCTGGCGGTGCGCGGCGCGAGCGGGAGAAGGCCCGAAATATGCCGCCCGACACCGGCGGGCGGGAGTTCTGGCGCTGGGGGGCCGTGCCGTCTGGGCCGTGGAATGTCGGGCCGCGGTGGGACTTGGAGAGGCGGCGCAGGAGCCCGCCGGGGCCGGGGCGGGTTGCCGGTGGACTGCCGAGGGGGCTCTCGTCGTATTCCGAGGGCGGCGGGCTCGGTGGTGGGGAACTGCCCGGGACGTATTCCCGGATGGAGCACCAGTTTCGGTGCGGGAGGAGGCGCTTGTTGTTGCGAGGCCTACCATCGACACCGTGGGCGAAGACGGGAATCATGTCCTCATCAGTCTCCTTGTCGAAGTGGTGGACCTTGTTCCGCTTGTTGAGGACGTCTGCTAGGAGATCGGGGGGCGGCGTGTTGACGATTGCTGATGAGATGACATTAGGCATGTATCGGAAGTCCTTGTGCTTGGCCAGGCCAAGCTTTGGGTTGGAGTAGAACTGTCCGACTGCTGCAAGATGGACATCGCCGCTGTCGTGGTTCGTTAGTATTCGGGCGGGCAGTAATTGTGTGTTGGAATCAAGGCATACCTCAGGATGGTGACCCGGATGGACTGGTCTGCGGCCAAATCCTGCAGATCTTCAATCACAATCCGTCGTTCATGCTTGTGGGATTTGGCAGTCCAATGATCGTCCAGGTCATCCAGGAGCTCGACGCCACCGTCGAACTTATTCAGGAAACCACCAAGCATGCCGGTCTTACCCAGGGCCTTGATGGGGTCCATGAGGCGCGATGTCAGGCTTGGTAAATTAGTATAGGGGCCCTCATGTCACATTCAGGGCAACAACACTTACATGTTCTCCAGCCACACCAACCTCGGATACGCAATGGGAACTCCAAGAAGGACGAGCAGGTGTTGAGGTTTCCGTTTTTCGATTTCATCGTAGCAGCGGTCCATAATCCTCTTCCAGGTCTCTTCACGGACGACCTCATCCTTCATCCGCTCGGTTCGTGTGTCGACAGCCAGGAGGGCAACGCTCGATCCCAGCGACATGAACAGGGAGCGGCTTACCTCGTTGATGTACGGCCCTGGACGAGTACCGAGAATCCAGCTTGGCTCACTCTCCTCGGTCTCGCCGACGACGCTTTGATGCTGGAATAACATGTAATACTTGAAGGCAACATTACCCAGGCCCGAGAACACCGGCGACCTCATGAAGTGGTGGGGATAGGAGCCAAAGCCGTCGATGGTGTCGTGGTCGTCATACATGTTGACCATGGGGATCTGCGAATTGGCCATGCCGAAGAGGCCCTGTGAGAACCACATCGAGTACCTCTCGAGGAAGAAGCTCTCCAGCTCGTCCTGCATCTCCGGGGTGAATGGCGCATTGTGCTTGTTCAGTGGATTCTTGATCATCAGCCAATCCTGGAAGATTTTGGTCTGGCGCGTCACAGCGTCATTGTAGACTTGGTCGCCGCCGCCGATCATGACATGGAATGGCCGGCTCTGATGAGTATTGAGAACGTCGCGCCACATGGGGTCCGGCCCGCTAAACGGGTCGGACTCGACGCCGAGACTGAACCCGTTGCAACTGTAGAACATGATGTTCATGCCTGAGCCGCTGGCAGGGACCCAGAATCCAGTGGCCGGTCCCCGGTTGATCCGATATGCGATTCTCTGCTGCTTTTCTCGGAGTTCGACTTCGATATTGAACCTCCAGAAAGTGCAGCCTCGCTCGGAATGTAGCCTGAAGCCTCGGATGTTCTTGTACTTCCCAACCCTTTCCCCGTCGGCCTCGACGCGCTTGATGCGGGCGGCAAAGGAGCCCCGCGGCTCGGTCGCGCCCTTTTCGAGCGGCGCGTCGGGAGGGCTTCGAGTCTTCTCGAACAAGCCGCTGTCCGTTTCGTCCCTCGATAGGTCCGTGGCCTCCTCGAGATGATCTACGGGCCGGACATACAGGGTTTCGCCTTTGCGACCTAGCTTAGGATGTCCTGCGATGGGGTCGACATATTCAGGGGCCAGCGCCTCCTCGCCGCGTATTTCAGCAGGCGGAGGTGGGAGGAGCTCGATCGGTTGGGCAAACAGCCGCAGCGTAGGCGCGATATCATACGAGGAGCCCGCATCTTCGGTCACGATCATTACTGTTCCTCTCCAGATCTCTCTCTCGGAAACCACTCCATTCTGCGATGACCGCACACGCTCCTTGCGGATCCCGCAGAACCGCAGTAACGGTCCGCACTTTAAGTAGAGCAGCGGTCTGAATCTAGTCGGACCTACAGATATTGGGACGCGGTTAGACCGCATTGAGTCAGCGACGGGTTCTTCAACATTAGGGAAAGGGGGGGGCGGGGGTGGGGATGATATAAGGGATATGAATGCCCAGCATCGAAGCCAAACGGGCAGAAGAAGTGTTCCGGTAAACTGATATTCTGAAAGCGCATACCATTTGTATCGTCATACTCGCCGGCAAAGGCTTCCGCCGTTCTTGGTCGACTTGACATGCTTGGCCGTCTCGTGGATGACGCCGATGGCCGCCGCTCCCACCAGGTCTTATCCTTCTCCACCTTCTCCACCGACGGTGGCAGTTCTTCGTTAAGATCGAGCAGGGCACCCGATAGCGTGCCAATCGTTGCGTGTTGCCACTCGTCCAAGTACGTCGGCGGCTGGTATATGCCCTGTCCAGGCTTCAGATCCTCCCGGCCACGATATATCCGGTCCGAGAGATGGCGACGGTGATCATCGTCACTATCGCTATCACTTCTTGCCTCTCTCCTAGCCTGATGATGAGCACCTGCGGCAGCAGCAGCTGCGCCGGCAGTTGCGCCGGCAGCCCCCACGGCAAGGGCAGCGGTTCCGCGACCGTGGCCTTGGTCAGGGGCGGTCGGGGTAGTCGGGGTGCTCTGCGACGGAGTCCGACCCAGTAATCGGTCGGCCTTGCTCTGGCTCGGCGCTTTGGAGAGCCGCGCAACCGCCGGTGACGGACCGACTTCCCGTTCGGAAGGAGGGGTTCTGTTCTCAGGTGGAGATGCAGATTCAGTTGGATCTGGCCCCCTGGTGCGTGATGCCACCCCGCTAGAGCTTTGAGCTCCGGCTCCGGCTGCGGCGCCGGTTGTCCCCCTTGCCCCGGTGATATACTTTTCCGCTGCCATCTTCTGGTTAAGCCAAGGGTCTCTGGGGGGACTTTTCTGCAATTTATTACTTCCGCTCCTCGCCAGAGGAACCCCATTCGCAGGTGTTTTTGGTGACGGCGCTGCTGGAGAGTCGCTCTCCAATCCACTGGGCAGCTTGACATCGTTCTTTGCAGCCCGCTCACGAAAGCTAAGGTTGCGTTGAGGAATGCCTGCAGCCTGCGCTTTTGACGGTACCGGTACTGGTACCGGTATTCGGGATTCAGGCACTTCATTCTGATGCGGCCTCCCTGCCTTCACATTATATCTGTTTCCTTCTCCCGGCGGATTCTGCACTACTCGCCCTTTCTGGGTCGCAGGGCTAACTTGTGCCGCCGCCGTAGTGCTCGTTGCTCGTGGCCTCTGCTCCTCGGCGGGAAGATTCGGGACTCGATCACTAAACCGAACTTGTTTGTCCTGTTCTGGGGACCTGTCTGCTTGCGGCCCCGCCCGTTCCTGCGTGGCTCTCTCCCGTGCTGCTTGTTCGGCGGCTTCGACTCGGGCGCGTTTCTCTTCCTTGGTGATGCTACCGAGCGTCAGCTCCAGCCTTTGAAGAGGCGAGCGCTCATCTGCGAACTTTCTGCGACCTGACTGCTGTTGTCCAAGCGGAAACCTCCTAGGCTGGTGAGCAGGATCGGTGCTAGATGTGCTTGCCCGGCGTCCATTCACCGCATCCCCAGATTGACCCGGAACATGAACATCACCTTGCCGGTCGACAGCTGGAACCTGGCTGTATTTCCCATCCATTGTGGAAGGGCTTACAGGCCCGTCTGGCCTGCCCCTAGTCGACCGAGGCGGCCCTCCAGCTGCCGGATAGGGATAAGGAGGACCACCGGTCCCATAAGGATGCTTATAGCTCACGGGGGGAGCTTTAGGAACTTCTGGGGCGGCTGGTGGGGGAGCGGCGTCGGCGTAGTCGTAGTCGTAGTCGTTCTCGTTCTCCTGATTCCGGCTCCGTCGCCGTCGGCGATTCTCTGCGAACTCGGGCGGATATTGGTCTGCGCCGTATGGAAGCGACGGTGGTCGTGGAGCTAGGCCCTGAGGAAGGAAGCTCGAACGGGTCGGCGACGTAAAGGGGCTTAGGGTAGATTCGGTGGGCGCATCGGTATTTGTAGTCTGGACTGAGATACGGTTTTGTCTTTGCGGAGGTTGGTCACCATCCAATGATGGTCGGCGGTCAGGTGTCGAGCTGAGATGGTCAGGCGGACGGCGAGCTTTCGTCTGACCCGACTTGGAGCTGGGGAGCTGACCCCAATATGGGGCAGATGGAGCAGCCATGGCAAGACGGCGATTGGGCTTGTCTTGTTATGTATGTACAGGTGTTCGCAGCCCAGCGCGCCTCCAAACGAGCCTATGGTGGTCAGGTTTTATGTTTGGCCATTTGTGGATGGATCTATGCACGTTTCCATAACCGGCGGCCAATGTTGTGCAGACACATGCGACTCGGGACTGCAGAGGACAAGCATGGGCATGGGATTCAATTAAATACCACCGAGAATGGCGAGGCTGTACGACCAGGAGGACGGAAACCAAGGGTGTTTTCCGTTGCTTTTCTAGAAGTCTTACAATTTATCACGCCGTCATTCTCGTTTGCAGGGTTTCGGGGGCCTGCATCGGGAAATGTCGACAGGGATCACGGCCAAAATTTAAAATGGAGGAGGCGGGAAGGACCTCCACGATGGGTGTGACCCAAAAAAGAGGCAGGCTGGGAACTTTCAGACGACGAACCCCTGGTTGGTGATGTCGGGCTTGAAATGAATAATAATGGTGGCGGGAAACCAAGCCTCTGTCACATAGTTTCTCTCTCAAGAAGCCCCAAATTCAAGAATCGACGTGCGAGTTGTGCATCTCGCTGAGAAGCATCATCTAAGGGTCTCGGCGCATGGTTTCAGCAATGTCGGGGACTTGAGGCACTACGGAGGGGTCGTTCAGTTAAGCGGAAAGAGCCGCGAATCTGGAGAGAACTTAAACCATCGGGGGATGTCTTAGGTGACTCGATGATTGGTATGAAAGAGTGAGGCGTCTTCACCCGGTACGCCAGTACGGAGTAATCAAGACTCTACCACCTTCCATTTCTTTATGATCCCCAGAGAATTAACTGGCAAATATTACATTGCTTATAAGACTCGCCTGCCCCCCAAAAGGAACTCTTATAACCTGCCCTTCGCCCTTCAGAATGAGGACTCCCCTGGACTATGGAGAACAATGTTAACGACCTAGTTATTTCCCCAGTGGGTCTAGACGTTATGCTTACTGGCTCCCGTTCTTGTAGGTACAGTTTTTTGGCGCAGGTTACCTTAATAACTACCGCTTGGGCGCTGACTAGGCATTGCGCTTGGTATATATTCTTAGGTAATTAAGGCGTAGTTCGTGCCACAGTACACGTGTGTACAAGTTGTACATACGTTGCAAACCAATCGTACGGATTACATGCCAATCCTTCAGGCATTGCCACTCTACTTCGTCCCTATTTCCGTGCCATAGGAAGGACACATCTCCACTGCCTCGTTAGATCTGAGACCTGGAAACGGGAGGGTCGCCAAACAGATCTCGAAACACGTCGCCCGCGCTTGTCTGCGTCTAACACTTCGAAACGGACTAATCTGCGCTTCTTCCTCCCTTTGATGGTGCGACTCGACCCGGCCACGTAGGGCTCCTGACTCTTCGCAACTCCCGTCCGCAGACCTTAAATCATCGACACAAGGAGGCAACTCGTCCCTATACCCATTCTCGGATTTGGCCACATGCTCTGAAGTGTAGCTACTCTCGTCGATTCTCTTCCTCTCACCGAGGGGCTTTCTTTCCCCCCCGTCGCAATCCGGCACAATGAAAGTTACGTCGATTGCCGCCCTGCTGGGCCTCGCGGTCTTCTCGACAGCTACCAAAGTCCTCCCGCGAAACTTCGACGCCAACGATTACTATGTCCTCCATCTCGACTCGCAGTCGTCGCCTGACGAGGTTGCCCGAAGCCTGGGCCTGTCTCATGAAGGTCCCTTGGGCGAACTGAAGGACCATCATATATTTGCGGCCAGGAGGACAGAAGGTGATATTGTCAAGAGAGAGTTGACCGAGAGAAGACGGCGGAAGAGGGATTTAAACGACCGACATGTGCTGGACGGCGTCATGTTTTCCCAGAAGCAACAACTCCGCAAGCCGTGGGAGAAGAGGGTCCCGCCTGCTGCTCCCGCTGGTCCAATTAACTTGGCCTCTCGGCAAGCAGAGGTTCCTGTTGAGTCGGCTGTCAAGAAGCAAGAACAAGTTGCTCAAACCTTGGGCATTCGCGATCCCATCTTCAACGCTCAGTGGCATCTCTTTAATCCAGTGCAGGTTGGCCACGACGTCAACGTGACCGATGTGTGGCTGCAGGGTATCACGGGCAAGAATGCGACAGTCGCTATCGTCGACGACGGGCTGGATATGTACAGCAATGATCTGAAGGCAAACTACTATGCGGAAGGGTCGTATGACTTCAACGACAAGACGAACGAGCCTAGACCACGGCTATCGGACGACCGCCACGGCACTCGGTGCGCCGGCGAGGTGTCCGCCGTCAAAAACGACGTCTGCGGTGTTGGTGTTGCCTATGACTCAAAGATCGCCGGTCTGCGAATCCTTTCTAAGCTGATCTCGGACGCCGACGAAGCCGTTGCGATGAACTACGATTTCGAACATAACCAGATCTACTCATGCTCCTGGGGACCGCCGGATGATGGCAAAAGCATGGACGCCCCTGGCATCCTCATCCGGCGTGCCATGCTGAACGCCGTGCAGAACGGGCGTGGTGGTCTCGGGTCCATCTATGTGTTTGCCAGCGGTAACGGGGCCGGTAACGACGATAACTGCAACTTCGACGGATACACAAACAGTATCTACAGTATCACCGTTGGCGCAATAGACCGGAAAGGGGCTCACCCGTGGTATTCTGAGAAGTGCTCTGCGGGTCTGGTTGTGACCTACTCCAGCGGCGGCGGAGACGCAATCGTAAGTACATGGGAGGATTCCCGACCGACTCTGACCAGCTCTGACTGACTCTCCGCAAAGCACACCACTGATGTTGGTGAAAACGCTTGCTACGACGGCCATGGCGGCACCTCTGCTGCCGCTCCTCTTGCTGCTGGCATCTTTGCGCTCGTCCTCCAGGTCCGCCCGGATCTGACGTGGAGGGATCTGCAATATCTTGCTATGGGCACCGCCGTTCCGGTCAACCTCGACACGGGCGAATGGCAGGACACGACGAGCGGCAAGAAGTTTAGCCACACCTTTGGTTATGGCAAGATTGACTCGTACGGTATTGTCGAGGCTGCCAAGACGTGGAAGAATGTCAAGCCACAGGCCTGGTTTTTCTCTCCTTGGGTCCATGTCAATAAGACCATTCCCCAGGGAGAGAAAGGCCTGGCAGTTAGCTTCGATGTCAACCCGGATATGCTCCGTGAGGCTAACCTGGAGCGCGTCGAGCATATCACCGTCACTATGAACGTCGATCATACCCGCAGAGGCGACATCAGTGTCGATCTGGTCAGCCCCGACAATGTCGTCAGTCATCTCTCTGTTCCGCGCCGGCTTGATGACACCAAGCAAGGATACGTCGACTGGACGTTCATGAGTGTCGTTCACTGGTAAGCAACAGCGAGCATTCTCTTAAGAGTTGTACTGGGTTTCAAAGCTCAGGCTTGCTAATACCCTCTTCAGGGGCGAATCTGGGCTCGGGACGTGGACTGTCATTGTGAAGGATACCATTGTCAATGAACACGAGGGCACCTTCGTCGATTGGCATCTCAAACTCTGGGGCGAGAGTATCGATGCCTCGAAGGCGAAGAATCTACCAATGCCTACTGAAGAAGACGATGACGACCACGACGCTGTGGCGACCACCACCCTTCCCGCCTCAACCACCACACTTCCGCCTGTCGCGACGGCCACTCAATCCAAGCCCCTTACTGCAACTTCCGGCCAACCAGACCGACCAGTCAACACCAAGCCGACCGCCACTCCTTCCCCGTCGAGCGAGGCCGCAGAAAGCCAAACCAGCAGCAGCACCTGGCTGCCTTCCTTCCTGCCCACTTTCGGTGTCTCCGCGAGCACGCAAGCCTGGATCTACGGGTCCATGGTCCTGATCGTCGTCTTCTGCTGCGCGCTCGGCGTCTACTTCTGGATGGCGCGCCGCAAGCGCCTCAGGAACGGCACGCGCGACGACTACGAGTTCGAGCTCCTCGACGAGGAGGAGGCCGAGGGCCTCAACGGCGGCGGGGAGAAGCGCGGCGGCGTCTCGGGCGGGAAGAAGGGCAAAGGTCGGAAGACGAGGGGCGGCGAGCTGTACGACGCCTTCGCCGGCGGGAGCGAGGACGAGGACGACCTCGACGCCGAGGAGTACCGCGACCGCTCCGACGATGGCGCCCAGCAGCAGATGAGCGAGAAGCGCGGGCTTCGGGGTGATCGTGGTAGCCACGAGGAGGACGAGGAAGAGCAGCATCACGTTATTGGTGATGATGATGACGACGACGACGACGACGACGACGACGACGACGACGATGACGACGAGGAAAGGCGACGGGAGGAGGGTGGAGATGACAGGAGGCCGTTGAGGAGTGGTGGCAGCAGGTAGTACATTCTTGTGTGTGCGCGTGCAAAATGGATAAACAGCAGTGGCTCATGGCGTTTCTGTATAGACATAGCTTGTATATGTAAGGTAAAGGAGTGAAGTGCTTCAGCCAGAGAGGCACCATATATACTTATTTGCATCTTCAAGATACTCGGTCATGTAATTTTTGAGTGTCTTGTTTGTGTGTATGCCAAACCATAGGGGCCGATGGATCTACTTGGGAACCTTTGACAAAGCCCATACCGACTCGAGCAAAACCCATGTTTCTCCTCATTAAACGAACCACGCACAGCCAAGAAAGAGGGAAACGATCCAATTGCCGGATAATGCAAACGCCAGTCCGATCTCGAGGACTTCCGCATGCACCTAACCTACGAATGAACACAAACGGCCGGGTAGCGAATGATCGCGAATTACTTTCCACCGCAGCCCTCGCCTTCTCCTTCCCCCCTTTCCCTGCTCCCTGATATATTCTATTTCCATTCTCTAAACCACCCTCATCCAGGGCAAACTCAGCCACCTCCCCTTCCTCCCCCAACCCCCCTCAAGCAGGCAGCACGACGCCCTCCCTCTCCATCTCCTGCACGTACCGCTCCCACACATCAGCGACGCCGTCGTAGAAGGCGACATGCGCGCCCGCGAGGCCGGCCAGCTGGCGGCGGAACTCGAGGCGCTTGACGCGCTCGAACGTGGCGACCTCGCGGACGACCATGTCGTCGAAGACCTCGGCCTCTGCGCGCGCGGCCTCGACCTCGCGGGTGAGCTCGTCGACGCGCAGCTCCAGCTTGCGCTGGCGGTCGCGGCGGCTGCGCTCGTGGTCGACGCCGCGCACGTCCTCGATCTTTGAGCGGATGAAGCCGCCGGCGCCGCCGAGCGGGCCCGAGCCGCCGCCGTAGTAGCCGTGCCCGTGGCCCGAGGCCAGGACGTCGCGGTCCGCCGTGCTCTTGTTCAGGTACTCGGTCAGCTGCTCAAAGTCGAGCTGCTTCTGCTCGCGCGCCTTGAGGAGCGTCTTGAGCGCCCCGCTGTACGCCGCCATGTCGCGCAGGCTGCCGATGTAGTCGCCGTCCGTGTGGTCCTTGAGCCGCTTCAGCCCCGCCGCCGTGTCCTCGACGCTGGCCGCGAACGCGTGCGTCGCCGCCTCCACCCCGGGCTCCAGCACGATCAGCCGCTGGAACTGCTCTGCCAGGTCGCGCATGTCTGCCTCGAGGTCCGTCTCCCGCCGCGCCACGCGCACCATGACCTTCTCCACGTTGGACAGGTCCTCGTCCAGCTTGTCCGACCGCTCCTTAACCTCGATGAACCGCCGGTCCGGCCGGTGGACCTTGGTGAAGGCGTTGATGAAGCTGTCGGCGAACGTGTCGAAGACGCCGCCTCCGCCGCCGCCCGCGGCACCACCGCCACCACCACCACCGGCACCTCCACCACCCCCGGAACCGCCGCCGCCGCCGCCAATCGCATCGCCGGGGCCCCCGACCCCCAGCCCGCGGGCCGACCGAGCCCGCATCGTGGCGTTCCAGTCGTGCGACTCGAGGAAGGTGTGCAGGATGGGCGCGCGCCGGAGGTCCGGGTGTAGCGCCAGGCGCGCCAGGAACCGCTGCAGCGAGTGCGCGCGCCGCATCGTGAAGTCCGCCCCGAACCGGTCCCCCCGCACGTACTCCATGCGCTGCTTGTCGGGGAGCGGCGGCACGGCGGCGGCCTGGTAGTCCCGGGAGAGCGTCTTGTACAGGAAGACAAAGTCGGTGAAGCGGCGGCGGACGGTGGTGGTGGGCTTTTGGAAGGATGGGAAGGTGGACTGGGGGTGAGAGAAGGGGGCATGTTAGCTTGCTTCCTCGAGCCCGTTCGCGGTTTGGCTTTCCAGGCAGCCGGGAAAGAAAGGGCTGGGCATGGAGGAGGAACCTACGTTGGTAGTGATCAGATAAGATACATATGCGTCTTTGGTGCCATCGTTCTCCTTGTGCGGCTCAGATACAATACACTCGAGGAGCTCCTCGCCGTGGCCAAGCTCGAGGCCGTGGGGATGATGGTGGGTATTTTCGTCTCGGTCTAGCCCGGCGTCTTGTCGACTGGTGGAGAATTCCGGACTTGTAGCATCATTCACGGCGGCACTCGAAGGTCCTAGGCCGGCATTCTGCTCGCTGTGCCATGAGATGTTGGAGAAGTTGTCCTGGTCAATGCCAGCCATCTTGGCTACTTGGTTGGTTCCCTCGCTGGCGTGGAGCCACGCCGGCCTGTGGGGGGAATAGGCAGTGCTGTGCAGGGAAAGATGGGCGGAAAGAATTCAGGTCAGCGATATGGCTATGGGGCAAGGCACAAGTTGTATTGCAGTCAATGTTCGTCGTCAAAGGCGCGGGAGTGTTTGCATGGCAGGAGTAAGGTGGGCAGGAGGTAGGTAGGTAGCTTAGGTGTGTTGGTGGCAGCAACCTAGAATTGACGTATACCTGGGGTCGGCTGGTTGGGTGGTGGGGGGGATGAACCTTGTCGCTTGGCAAGGGATTGTCCCATCTTGGTTAGTGTGCTTTGGTCATCAAGTGTCACCATTTGTATCGTCGTCTCATACATAGAAATGAACTTTGGATAGGTGCCTACCAGGGGAAAGATGACCTACGGTATTTGTTGATTACAGTTTCACTATAAAGGCAAGATTCTGGATGATCCATGTCTAGATAGGCTGGCTTTAATAATCGGACTGAGAGAGAGTTTGGGAATAGGGACCAAGTACCCAGAGGCACCAGCCATCCTGCTGAACTGACATCCTCGGTGGAATTTACACATTTTCCCCCTTTTACGTGGTCTGAATGCATGGTCAAGTGTTCGCCGTTGGAATGATGCTAATATGTGACTGGATTTGGTCTATGAGCAGTTCCTGTGTCGAGATGTTTGGTCTAAGCTCCATTGCTGGTGTCCCTGATACTCCTGAATCCCTGAGTGTATCTTCACCTCTAACCCCTCCCTTGGGGCAGGGCAAAATCCCCCCGGTTCCGTAATGTCACATCACAAAGGAAAAATCCCCAGGTTTGAGGTAAGCTATTTCTCGGCGCTCTTGGCCGGTTTGTCAACCGGCGCCTGCTGCTTGGCGTCGAGCTGGTCGTGTTCGGCGTCCACGGCCTCGCTGACCTGGGCCTTCTCCACTCCCGCATCTTGCGCCTGCATCTGCCTTTCTTCTTTCTCGTCGATATTCTCCGTATCCCTCGGCGTGGCGAATCCGGTCTCCTGGTTCTCCTGGTTCTGCTCGTTCTCCTCCTCGATCAGCTCCTCCTGTTCCTTGACCACTTCGAGACGCTGCTTGTTAGTCGCTGCGCCCTCGGCATTGTGCACCTCCAGCTCGATCTCGTGGAACAGCTCCTCCGGGATGGATGACAAGACCTGGGTCAGCGTGTCGATCTGGTTGGTGATCTCGTCCTCACTCTGCGACTGGCCGTACATGTAGGCGTTGCTCAGCACCAAGAGCGTTGATGGGACGCCTTCCCTGAGTCTGAGATGCAGCCAGGTCTGGAGATCATCCCTCAACTTCGCCGGCGATACACCATGGGTGCGGATGCCACGGCTGGCACAAGCCGTCTGCAGCTCCAAGACGGTCAGGCTGTCAACCCCCTCGTAGCTGAGGACCCGGTCGTCGCGCTTGATCTGTCGCATCCTATGGCGAATCTGGTACCGAAGCATCATGTCCGTGCCGAACGTGTTCAGGTTCATGTATCGGCACATGGAAACGAGCTGCGGGCGTGACAAGTTGTCCAGAGTCACATCATCCTTGAAGATCTTGCACACCGTGATCACGTCGTCCACCGTGGGCTTTTCTCCGGTCGCCCGAACCTTCCGGAAGAAGTTGGTGAACTCCTCCTTTTGAGTCGTGGCAGGGGTCAGGGGCAACCCCGTCTCCCTGAGGGTCTTGCGCAGGAACCCGCTCACTTCCTTTCGAGTAGCCCGAAGGGTAGAGGCTTTTTGGTCCTTGGTCTTCTGGCCCTCATAGGTGCTTGGAAGCATGTTGGGAAAGAGCTTCAACGCGACCGGGAGGAGCAGCTCGGCAAAGGGGACGATGACGAAGACTGAGAAAGGCACCAAGCGCCCAAGATCCTGAACTGTTCGCTGAAGTTGTCGGTGTTCGCGCCTTGTGAGCTCATAGCCGGCTGCCATCTTTAGGGCAAGCCGAGAGCTGATCCTGACCTCGGTCGCCAGCAATTTGGTTCCGTCCCAGTAGTGTTGTGCCTCCCTCTTGATCTTCTGCGCCACAGTGAGCTTCTTCTCCTCCTTCTTGCCATCCTTCTTGTCGACAGCCACCTCCCCGGACGCGTCCAGCTGAGTCAGGCGTGCGGCATCCGAGCTCAGGCCTGCCTCCTTCTCCGCCGCCGTTTTCACAGCGGAATCCTTGGACGTCGTCGGCTTGTTCGCGTCGGCTTGTTTCGAAAGGGGTTTCTTAGCCTCCTCGACGTTGAAGCCCGGCGGCGGGCCGGATGGCGGCCCCGAATGAGTGTGAGTATCGGTTGCCAAGTGCCGGACAGGGATCAAGATGGCAACGGCGGGATTGCGGAGCGCGCGGCCTCTGGAGTTTCGCACAAGCTGCGCCGAAGCGGCTTGGAAAGCTGATCTTGGGATCGCTCGTCCTTATACATTCAAAGGTCAACATGGGATCTGGAAAATTGTGCGACGGGGTGGCGAGAACATACCTGGACCTGAAAAGGGGTTAAGGACGACAGCCCGTCTTGCGACAGTGGCTGAAGCGCTCATGCTTGTGGTCTGCTTAAGGGGTGACTTTGTAATGAAGAGCGAGAGTTGGAATCCAATACAAGAGTAGCCAGTAATACAAGAATGAAGATGAAAAAGAAGATGCACAGGATGGAAATGAAGAATTCAAACGGGTTAGTGTCACACGTCGAGATCGCAAGTCCCCGTCTTTGGATCCTGCAAGTGGTTCCAGCAGTTCCGCCCGTGGCGGCTCCTGAGTGGTCCAATCACGTAGTGGATAAGTCTTAGCTGTACCCGACATGTCCACCGTTAGCACGGATCAACTCAGCAGAGGCAAAAGCTTGTTTGGGTTTGAAGAGCGGCTGGGCGATCTCGGTTGGCCGGGTGTTACCGGACTTCTACGGAAGTACATGCCCTACCACATGCAGTTTCTGGGCCGTGACTCGCGGCGGCGTCGCATGTGAAAGCAGGGGAATACGGATACCGACTTCAAGTTAGCATTTGTGGCGCTGAGCCTATCCAGTCGCTGACAATCCCAAAGGAGGAACCTATTTCCAGGTTGACTACCTACTTGTGTTGACCAGCTTTGCCGAAGCTCTCCGTCTTGCCCCTGAGGTTCGATGCTGAATACTGCGTAGGTACCTAAGGTTGGTACGGTTAGGTACCTAGGTACCTGGTTGAATGAACACGGACTTAATAGTCACCGAGGACGGAGTGGAGTTTACACACAGCCCAGCCTAACACACATAATTCCCCGTTTCTTTTCCGTCACAAGAGCTAAGTACTTTTCAGGCGAAATACACCCAATATTCCATGTATTCTCTAGTGAGTAGTTCGTACAGTTTTGTAAGGTGCTAAACCGAATTCATATGGGCATATCAATAAAACGGAATTCAATACCTCCGTCTTCCATCCCATCCTCAACAAAATAGATGTACCTTTTGGTGAGGGAATCTTGCCCTGTGAAACCCACTCGCAATTGTCCACTCATGCTTCGGGGATTCCCCAAGCCAAATCTGTACGCGTACCTGCCTAGAGGTAGAGAAGCCGCCTCTGCCTCGGACTACGCCGTAAGCGGAAGCACACCACAGTGACTACACCACCTACGAATATCATTTCACCCCTCTTTAGGGTGTTCTTTCGCCTGTCTCTGCTCCTTCTGCAGTTCTCTCCTTCCGTCATGGGTTTCCCTTGAAGCGCCGTGGATATATATATTTTATTTCATACCCCATCTAAAATACTTCTATATCCTGGAGTCATAGAGAGGATCGGTCGGCAGCCTGTGTGCTTCCCCGCATCCTTATAAAATTGTATAACATCTCGCGCCGACCTCGGTCTGCCTCGACATCGAGAGGCGCTTCTACCACAGCACAATCCTTTACCATTTGGATCCTGTCTTTCCTTCCACCCCGGATCTGGGCATAATATGAGACTCCGAAGGGCTGCGCGTGTCATCTTAGTTGGAGCTCCTGGCGTGGGGAAGGGCACTCAATCAGAGAGGTTATTACACCGCTTCCCGCAGCTCTCCGCCATAAGCTCGGGGGATCTCCTTCGCAATAATGTCAAGCAGAGAACACCACTCGGTATGCAACACCCCATAGAGATGCCCCCGCATCGCACACAATGCCATCTCCTGCTGACAGACCCTTCACAGGCATCAAGGTCGAGAGCACGATGAAAGCCGGCGGTCTGGTCTCCGACGATTTGATCCTGCGCCTCATCAGCAACGAACTCAACCAGCGGGGATGGCTGTTCTCGGGGAACAACAAGGCCAACGTCATGACCCTATGCTCGTCGGGGATGGCGACTGAGGGACAGTCACTAGACGACGATGCCGAGGTGGCGGCGTTCCTCTCCTCCCCCGCGCTCGCGCGGAACAGCTACGTCCAGCCCCGAGCATCCGACGACCCCTCGGCCTCGTTCCTCCTCGACGGCTTCCCGCGGACGGCGACGCAGGCCGAGCGCCTGGACGCGATCGTGCCCATCAACCTCGCCGTGTCCATCAACACGCCCCTCGAGGTCATCGTGGAGCGCATCTCGGGCCGGTGGGTGCACGAGCCGTCCGGGAGGGTCTACAACACCACGTACAACGCCCCCCAGGTGCCCGGCCGCGACGACGTCACCGGGGAGCCGCTGGTGCGCAGGTCCGACGACGACGAGGAGGTCTACCGATCTAGGTTCCGCAAGTTCCGCGAGACCAGCGAGCCGCTGCTGGAGCACTACGCGCGCAAGGGCGTCCTGTGGGAGGTCGAGGGCATGAGCAGCGATGAGATTACTCCCAAGCTCTGCCGGGAGTTCGAGAAACGATTTGTTGATTAGATTGGGCGCAGGGGGGTGCGTGTTTAGGTCTGGGGCGCCAACTGCTACCTCAATAGGGAGCAGCCTCCGTGTATGTATGTATCGGCAGCGATGCCGTATGGGTTTGCGATTTTGGGAGTTGGGGCACGGCGTTTTTGAGCGGCATCAAATCCGAGTTCACCGAGTTTGAACTCTGGCCTGCTTTGGGAGTGGCTTTAATCGATCAATATTCATTTCCCCGTCCCCGGTCCGATGCTTTGGCCTGATATGTCACGCTCTTCGGTTGTACAAGACGCTCTGATGGGATGGCCTCACATAAGGTCAAATACAGACAGTAATGGGGTATAGAGGCTATCACCAGGACCCAAGCATTGGAAGGGTGGGATGGAATCAGGATCATGCAGGGGGGTCACGTCTTGCAGCAGAGCTGCAGAAGCGTATGCATGGATTCCATATTTACAGAAGTTGCAAGATAGGAGATAAATGTCCATTGGTGTGTACAGAAGTGCTAACCACCGCCCAGTATTTCTCCTTACCTTGCTGCTATCGTGGACTCTACGGAGCCATTTACGAGGGCGCACAAGTACAAGTGCGGCTCTAGAAGCGGCAGGCTTCCGAGTGCAAACTGCACGCGGATATCTCTCTTTGACTGTCCTTCTCGGCAAGCACGATTCGCCACTCGGAAGCCTTGCAAACGGTTGCTCAGCCCAGTCACAACCTAGTCCTTTGTTACCCCGCGCGGAGGCTCGCCGTCCCCAGTCATGTGCTCCACAACGGGGTGCATCCTGCACTTCCACCAACCATCAGCTGCACCAGATCGCCCTGCAGACCCGAGTGGCGGCAGCTGCCACAGCAGGGTCAGATCGGGGTTGGCAGAACTGCTCTGGCCGCTGCCCACCACCACCCTCCTCTGGATGTCGAGTTTCTTGTGGCTTTGGGGATTTCTCGTTGCTGTAGCTAGTCTTGTTTCATCATCCAACGCAGCTTGTTTCTGCGTCATATTTGGCCGAGTCTCTTCTCCTGCGAGCTCTCAACCGTCCCTCAACCGTCCTGGCTACGAAGCACCCCCGTTTTCCTGAGGCATTATTAGATCGTCCGTCAATTTCAAGCCTTCAACCAGTTCTCTCGCCCAAGCAATGGAGGCTCTCAACCTTTGAGTGGCTCAGTTGCCTTTCGGCAAATGTGATGCGGTGTTGGTCTCTTGGGCTGCTAGCCTTGCGAGGACGACCCCTCTTGTCGGCTGCTGTTCGGCTTCCTTCCGATCTGTCAGATTTGCTTTTTCAGGTCACCATATCTTCTTAGGGGGGAGAAAGCCGCAAATCGGCCTCTGTGGACGTTGGCAATGCTCCCGGGCTTGTTGTTCACGGCGGTGCTTACCGCCGCCGGCTGTGCGGCCTCGAAGTCGTTCTTGCCATCCGACTTTCCAGCCAGCAGGGCGGCAGGCCAGTCGCCGGATCTCCAAGTGCTCGAGGAAGTTCTCGATGCACTTCGGGTGCTGCAGAGCGAGTACTTCCAGCCATGGATGGGCCACTGGCCCAAGGCCATCGATTGGACGGCCGCTGTCATGGGGTCCCACGTCTCTGGGACTTTGACATCGCTTTCCCAGAGCCTGGACCTCGTTCGGCTCGACGAGAGCGAAGACTACAGGGTCAAAGAGAATATCATAAACCATTATTTCTCACAGGTGGTGAGCTCGTACTTTGGACAGAATGACCTCTCAATCAGACACCAGGCATTTGATGATATGCTCTGGGTCGTCCTGGGCTGGCTTGATACCACCCAGTTCGTCGAGCTCCACACAGAGTTACGCTACCAGAAAGGGCCGCAGGCGACCGGCCTCGGCGAAGACATACCATCCATCCTGCGGAACCAAACATGGCATGGCAACCTCTGGGTCCCGTCCTTTGCCCACCGGGCGAGGGTGTTCTGGGAGCTCGCCTCGAAGGGGTGGGACTATACGCTCTGCGGAGGCGGGATGACGTGGAACCCGCGGCTGGAGCCCTACAAGAACGCCATCACAAACGAGCTGTTCATCGCCGCGTCGATATCGATGTTCCTCTACTTCCCGGGGGATGTCAATACCTGCCCCTTTGGCTCCCGCTCCGACTGCAGCGGCGGCGATGCAGATCTGTCGGATGTAGCTGATTGGAAGCCCCATGATCCCAGATACCTCTACGCAGCAGTAGAAGGCTACGCCTGGCTCATGAACTCGAACATGACGAACGAACAGGGACTCTTCGTTGATGGCTTCCACATCTCCGGGTTCCGCAACAAAAGCGATCCCAACACCAAGTGCGATGCTCGGAATGAGATGGTCTACACCTACAACCAGGGAGTCATCCTCACAGGCCAACTCGGCCTATTCAAAGTGACACGTAACACATCCTATCTCAAAGATGGCCACAGCCTCATCCAGAACGTGATTGCAGCGACGGGGTACGACCTGGCCCGAGACCGACCAGCCGACGACCTCCCGGCGCTTCAGCCAGGCAGCCCCCTGCCCCGCTGGCACGGCCTAGGCAGGGCCGGGGTCCTGGAGGACAAGTGTGACGTGCGCGGCGACTGCTCGCAAAACAGCCACACCTTCAAGGGGATATTCTTCCACCACCTCGCGGCGTTCTGCGCGCCCCTGGAGCCGGCCCCGGACCTGCCACCCCCGCACACCGTCTACGAACAACAACAAGACGACGACGGTCTCGAGAAGGCCAGGGAGGCACACGCCAGGGCCTGTCGGGCCTACACCGGCTGGCTCCGGCACAACGCGATGGCGGCGCTGCGCACGCGCGACTCGAGGGGCGTGTTCGGCATGTGGTGGACCGCCGGCCTGCTGAACCTCACGTCGGACTACTACGTGGCCGACGGAGATGCGGAACCGCAGCAACATGGCGGCGCTGTAGACTACAGGAATCGCCGAGTCCCTGACGATCCTCGGTGGGACACGGCTCTGGGGTCGCCGCCACCGCACGAGCCGGCAGAGCCAGGTCAACAACAGCAGCCGCTGAGTGGTCCGGTTGAGCGTGCATCCTCGGGCCGGACGGCGCCTGTCGCCGGGTCCGGGACTTCGGATCCCAATGACCGGGGGCGTGGGAGGACGGTGGAGACGCAGGGAAGTGGACTGGCTGTGCTGCGAGCTCTGTGGGAGGTTTCGAGGCTGGGCTCGGTTTCATGATTGGGTGTTATAAGGGCGCATGGGTTAAGGCCGGCTAGGGGGGGGTCAATTCACCGTATATCTGGAGTGAAATTATGTTCTGGAGGAATGAAGGTGTTTGTTATATATATCCCATCTTGATGATCTCACATACGCTTTTGGGTTACAGTTCGCTCTTCATCCTGTTGTCTTGCATAGGAACAAATGGGAACATGGGTCATTTGGTAGGCATTGCGTTCCGACCTACTGCTCACCTCAACATTAGTCGCAAACAATAGATGCCGACTATTTTTGACCCGGAATGCTGCCAGCTGTCTCGCGGAGAAATGAACTTGTCATTGATGAGGGTATCGTCGACCCCTTTTCCAACCGGCCCCCATAAAATCCTACGCCTCGTCTTTCTCCAAGTTTGACGTTGGTAGATATATATATTTGTACGCCAACCCAAGTTTCGCCAAAGGTCGCTTGCGTAGATTCCCATTTGTCTGCCTTCGTAACGCCAGCCACCCAAGATATCGACCCATAAACCCAAACCCATCCCAACACCCGCCCCAAAAACACACCCCGTCTCATACCGCCCCATCCTCCACCTCCTGGTCGGCAGGCAAATTCCCCCCAAAAGCCAGCGTCAGATTGCCCGCCGGCAGGCCCGCCCAGTCCCCGACCAGGACAGCCGTGTCGACGGGGTTCCCGAAGGCGCCGGCCGTGTCATTCTCGCCCGTGGCGTTCTGCAGGTGGCAGAACTGGGCGGGACCACGGACCAGGGCAGCCGAGACGCAGATGCCGCCGCCGACAGCCACGTCGTCGCCCACGGCGTCGCTGTAGCCCGCGTTGTAGGCCGCGCACAGGCACAGGCACGCGTACATGTCGGGCGCGTAGACGACCAGGATGTCGCGGACCGACGGGTTGGGCCCCATGGCCGCCCAGTAGGTGTTGCAGTGCATGCGGAAGGACATGGGTTGTTCTTGGTTGAAGACAATCTGGGGGACGGTGTGGGGTTAGGATTTATGTGGGCGTTTGGGGGTGGGGAGGATAAGAGGGAAGGAGGAAGGAGGTTTGGGGAGGGAGCAGGGGAGACCTACGGGAGAGCCGGATGCGTCATATGGAATGATGACGCTGTCGTTGCCATCGGGGCAGTACTGGTTTATCGGGGCGGGCGACACCACTCCCGGAATGCCCTGGCTGGTCGGCGTCGGCGACGACGAGTTTCCCGCCGCGGTCGCACTAGATCTTTTCTTCCTAGGTAGGGGCATCCACGTAAGTGTCCGTTCAGGGGGGCAAGATGCAAAGACATGCAAACATGGGTTGGATCCGGGGTAAGGGGGAAGGTTCCCCGGCTTGAAATGGACTTACGAGTTGGTCACGCCGAGGGCAACCCCAACCGCCGTGGCGTTTGCTAGCAGAACAAGGACGAAGACCAGGATCCAGAACCCCGCAGCCGGCATCCCCAAGATGCGTCTCCCCCGCTTCCCCTCCGGCGCGGGCGGCGTCGGCGTCCCCTCGACTTTCATGGACTGCAGGTGCGGGCTGGGCGACACCTCTGTCGGGGACCGGTGGCGCAACTCGCCGTCCCCTTCGCCCAGCGCCGACGATCGCGACCGGGACGTCGTCGAGGCCGACCTCTCCGGGCGGGAATCCGCCAACTCCGGACCGGCATCGTAAGGGGACTGGGCCTCCGGCAGCGTCCTCGCCGCCAAGTCCAGGTGGGGCGGCGGGGGTGGTGCGACGACGACGACTTCCGGCGACGACGCCTCGTTCTCGGCGAAGCGGGTTACCTCGAGGCCGGGCTGTGCTGCTGGCCGCCGGGGGTCGGGGATGATGAATTTGAAGGGCTCGGAGGCCCCGAGTTCACCCTTGTCCATCTTGATACGCTCGTCATCTTTCATCACTCAAAGCGTCCTCGTCATCCAGGCTCGTCCTTTTTTGTTCCGAGGTTGTTGATGGCGCATCCGTTGGCTGGCAGCTGGCAGTCAATCGCAGTCACCAGGGAGAAGGAGCAAGGTCGGAGGAGAAGACGGAGAGCAGCGAGAGTGAGAGCCACCACCCTTTGAACAGGGGAACAGCGAGACCGAGAAGGGTGGGGGCGGGAATGGTCGGCCTAAACTGCTACAAAATGCAACCTGCGGCACGATATTAGACATGGGTCAGGGGTCGCGCGGAGTGAACCCCCGTGCCCTGTGGCGTGAACGTACGAGAGAAGGCACCAAGGGGCCAAGAGGTTGCTTGCGCAGGTCTCTATAAGTAAACGGGGATTTCGGAAGATCGCAGTCCAGTGGCCGTCATCTACCAATCGATGGGGGCTAGTGGCGCGCAGTTGCAAAGAACAGGACGAAACCATCGCTAAGTGTGCGACAGGCCAATAGCTGCAAACTCGAGGGAGGAGATTGGACCAGGCTGCCATAATGCTGCTTATTCCCACGCCGGTCGAGAAGGCATAGACGATAACCACTCTGATAAGTTTGAGCGGGATCGACCTTTTGGTTCCCACTTCGTCAACAAACTACCGCCGTAGTGTCCGCCGGTACAGATGCCAAGGACGCCCTCGAACAGGGATCCAGATCCTTCCGTCCAGTCCATGGGTTGTATTAACAAGGGTTCTGGGACCTCCCAGTCGTCAATCCGGGCGCACCCCCGTTTGACTGCCATGACGCCCCATACATTAGCCGGAATCCTGCGACGGGGCCCGAGATAATGTCGGTCCATATCCGCTCGCGTCTAGAAGCTGGTCGGTGATCTTCTTATAAATAACTTCCCGGGACACTCTCATGTACCCTAGAAGCAGCCGCGGACGACAGAGCTGGAGCATTCTGTGTAGAGACGTCCCATCATTCTGTATAATATAGGAGAATGCGACAAAGCATATGCACAACACTCGTCCACCAGCTCGCTAGAGCTTCTCTGAATGATCCGTGAATAATACCGTCCCAAGATTACCGGGTTCCCGTTTGGCCCCCAGAAACTAATGAATATGTCTACCCTCCTGATCCTGATTCTAGGAACGGTCTTTTTTCTCCCATCGAAATCCTGGTGGTTGCGTAGTCAATCTGGTGAATACAAAACGCTTGTGCTCTCGTTACTCCCTCATAACTCTTCAGTTGTCGCGCCATTCATCCCCATTCCTCACACCGCTGGGCCCACCTCCCGAGCCCCCTGACGCACCCGGAAGGACATCATCCTCGTCATCATCGAGCGCTCTCGCCAGCTCGTCCGGGTCCTGCATCTTCGCGTCCGGGTCCACGGCCGCGGTCACCCCGTGCTCCTCCTCGTCGTCGTCATCCAGCGACCGCCCCCGCTCCCGCTCCAGCACTCCGTCGTCGGCGCTGATCGAGATGCCGCGGGCGCCCCACTTGGCCCTGGAGGTGCGCTGCGGCGGGGGCGCTCCCGGCGCCGCCCCGTTGCGATCGCGGGCGCCACCGCCCAGCGCCGGCGCGCTCTCCTCATCGTCGGCCCCGTCGTCGTCGACGTGCTTGCCGAATATCCGGCTGAGCAGCCAGCCCCGGCGCAGGTCGTCGGCGTCCACGACGCCGCCGTTGCGCAGCTTGACGCGCTGCCGCGTCCAGTACACCCACGCAAAGTCCAGGTAGAGGGCCGTCTGGATGAGGCCGAAGATGACCGAGATGGCCTTGGGGGGCTTGTCGTTGGAGTCGAGGCCGCGCAGGATCCAGTTGAGCACGTAGAGGCCTCGGTAGGAGCCGAGGAACAGGATGTAGAAGGATGTGATGACGGTCGGGACGGTCGTCTGGCGCAGCAGGAGCAGCTGGGGGAGGACACACACAGATTCGAGGACCTGAGAGAATGCCCAGAGGAGCTACAGTACGATGCGTTAGATTTTGAACCAGGCTCCGCTCGCATCTTCGGCCAACTTACAGTCCCAAAGCTCCAGTCGACCTTCTTCTCGAAAATGAGCATCGCAAGTGGCGAGACCACGAGAGACGCCCCCAAAACGACGGCGCCCATCTTCCATGCGATTTCACGCTCTCGAGTCCGAGGATACAGCCAGCGCATGATGACAATGGTGTAGAATGACGACAGGATATAGAAGATCTTGAAGACGTAGTTCCAGGCATTTGTCGTCCTAAACAGGTCGGTGTATCTCGTGCAAAATACGGCGGCGTAGAATATCTGGGTAATGAGGGATACACCTGCGATGTCGCCATCAGTATCAAGCCATTATGCGATGAAGTCCGAGGAAACACCCACCTTCGGCGCTCCTATTGCGATGGATGGAGAAGATGAGGATGCATTTTGCCGCCAGATGGGACAGGTCGGCAGCTATCCGAAAGATCTGGGCCTATTGTCAGCGCACTTCATATCGCCAGGCCAGCGCCAACATACGTTCCAGGCACCCATCTTGGGCAGGTCGAGAGTTTTATCTAGGGTTGTTCTGGTGACGACGAAGCTCGAGATAAGAGGCCACTCGGACAGAACGGGTTACCGCATCACTTGCCCGCTGTCTAGAGCTCGAGGGTTTGCGGAGGTCGGGAGAGAAAGGGAAGCTGTAGCGTTTGGATCTCAAGGTTCATATGCGCTCCACAGTTGTCAGAAAGGATGGCTTGAGAAGATCCAGGCGAGATGGACAGCTGATGTCGTCGGCGTTGGAGACAGCACAGCTCCCCCTCTCAACCGCGTCAGAATGCCAAGCAATCAGGTGCAGTACGTAATTACGACTGGAAACTCGGAGTATCTGGCAGCTGGCTGACATCTGCCAATTCTCAACGCCAACTCCGCGGACGGTGGCGGCCTCACCATTTTCATTCATGAACTTTGAAGATGAGGTATGTACCTGTTCTCTTTTTCTCCTTTATCACTGTGCCCTATGGTACTATTGAGACCATCTGCCTTTTTAAATCAAGCAATTATGACTCGTAATCCCTTTTTTGTAACTCTGTACAATTCAACAAAGTCCTGAATCAGATCCCTTCCTTCGAATTCTCGGGTCCGAGGCAAATGCCATGACCAGACTCCAGAGATATTCGGTGGGAACATGGGTAGACGTTGGTAAAGCAGCCCAAAACATGTGGCGGGCGAGAAGAAAGAACAAAAAAAAAGGCAGGTTGCCGGGGAACAGGTCCATCGTGAGGTGGCTTCGGTCGAAGTCGGATCCGGTATGCCCTCTGTCCTCAATCTCAACGAGAGGCAGTGGCGGTCAGGCCTGCCCGGAGGGTTTTGTGTGGGGAGGTATGCCGTGGTGTTTCTGGTAGTGATGCACACATCCAGGGTTGAGGTCGAAATTATCCCACGGCGTGGTTGTCATCTCCTCCCATTTCGCATCCATGATAGCCTCGGCCTCCTGAATCAGCTGCTTTCGGAGAAGTTTGGAGATGAGGCCCCGAGAGGCAGATGGGTCCTGAGCCCCCTCACACCAGCCGCTGTTCCAGCAGATGTTGGCCTTGTTCGGACGCTGCTTCAGCCACAGCATGAGTGACTGAACCCATTCACAACTCTCGGTGATCTCCAACATGTCGATGACATCGTCTCTGAACTTCTCCTCCTTGTTTCGGCAAGTGACGCATGGCTTGATGATATCTCCAGTGCTGATACGGAACCAGTAACCATTTTCGGCCAGATCAGGGTCGATCATCTGGATGGTCTTCCAGGCTGAGGCGTTGGGCTCAAACTCGATCTCCTGGTCGATATCGTCTTCTTCGTCGATGCTGGTGGCATTTTCGTTGCAGATGTTGCAGAGAGGAATCCACACGGTGAGCCAGGAGCTGTCAGCCTGGTCTGCTCGGACCTCCCAGTAGTCATGTCTGGCGTGCTCCTCAAGTTCAGTCAGATAGATCTGGGCTTTTAAGGAGGCCAAAATGTTCTTGTAGCCGTTCTTGCGCATCAGGGCCGTCCAGAAATTCGGAATACCATCCTCAGCCGGAAACATGAAGTCGGGGTCGTGGTGTAGATTGGACTGGGAGAAGTCCTCGTGTAGCGACCGGTGGATATAAGGGGTATTTGTCTTCTTTGCCTCGCCTCGCGTTTTAACTCGTCTGTGGACCTCCTTCAGGACCAAGTTGAAAAAGTGCCCGTTCTGGCTGGTGCGGAGATAGCTCATCTCGTACATGCAATGGTCGCAAACGTGGATCTTCATACCCCCAAACGCGGGCCATCTGAGCTCGGGACAGTGGAAGTGAGTGCCGGGTGGGATGTGGCGATCTAGGTTCGGGTGATCCTGCAAGGTTTGCGACATGAATTCCTCGCATGGCACAAAGAGGAATCCCTCACGCCAGTCACAAACAAGACAGACTGGTGGATGGAAGATACACATGGCGGGCCATGGAACTGTGAGAATATGTGCGCCGTGAAAGAAGGTTGGTGGTGATCAAGGCCGAAGGTGGGCTGCGGATGACTCTGGAAGTTGCTCCAGCAACACCAGCACCGGTGGTAAAGAAGTCTTGTATGTAGAGTCAAGGAGGCGATATTTTATGTTTGTGTGAATATCAACAATGGACCGGCGATTTTGATTTAGGAGAGGTAGGTTGGATTTGTCGGTGGTTTGTAGATTGTGACTGCCCTGCACCGCGTCGAGGACTTTATTTTTCACCTTCTCTTGTTTCCCCGGAGAGCGGACGAACCTTAACTGTCTTGTGGCCGATAAAGTGACAAAGTTGTCAAATACATGACCCAATGATATTCCAGCCTCCCAAGTGAATAGATGGAACCTACGAGGTCAGTCAGTACCTTGTACTGTTCTCTCCTCTTCCTCGTCTCCCATTCACCTGCGCACATTTTGATAAAATAGGAGATGTATTGCCAGACTATACGATGATCAGCACCAATGCTCCAGGTAGCTGCTTGGCCTCCTGCTGAGAACCTGATATTGCCCACCTGCCGTATCAAAAACTCAGGGTGAGGGCCGTAACTGCCACAAAGCCGCCTGGACATGACGTGGAGAGGACAGCAGAGAACACCCAAGAAGGGGCATCCAAGAGGGGATATCCAAGTAGGGATGAAGATAATACCATTCCAATACCTAGGTGCAGCTTATCGGCAGAGGCCGCCATATTCACACTTCTTCCCTCCGTGGCAGTGATCTAACGATTCCACCGAGGAAGACATATATCTGAACCAGGGACGACCTGTTGTTCATAGTCGAAAGAACTTGTCTTGAAGGCTCTCTCAACCACACTGGTGGGTCGAACCATGATTACCTGACAAATTCCCGTCTGTGACATGAATCAAGCCCGCCTGGCTGAAATGGCCAGTCATCAGAGAAGGTAAGAACTCGAGTGGCGCAAACTGCAGAGCCTGGCCTGCCTCAGACATTGTGGACAAACAAGCATACGGGCCGGCCTGAGAACATTCGGGACACTGGCCGGGTCGCAATGGACGATATTGTACAAGGAAGCCAGGGTCCTTGGAACTTCCAAGGCAGCGCAGGATAGTCTCGAACTCTCGATGGAAGGGCATATGAGACAATCTTGGCCTGGCATTTTAATGGCAATAAGGGCAAGGCCGATAAAGGGATACGATGCAGGTACACAGACACATTTAGTTTCGCAATATCATTCTCCATTGGTGCCCGGCCTTTAGTCGTATGTGTCGAAGGCAGAGCAATACCTTACCTGCCCAAGGTAGGGGTAATGGGTGGAGGCTGAGAGGGGGAAGGTGCATTCCAGATTGCTACATGCGCAATTAATTTCCTGGTACCTACCCGTTACTACCCCATTCAATGAACCCGGAATCGGGAGACCGGCCGAATAACGGGGTCGTATGCACGCCACAATGTGGGCCCCAATTCCCGGCTTGGCGCTCAGGGAGGCCCAAAATCGGGTTCGAAACAGGATGATGTGGTGCGACCTTGTCCCCGAGAGGCAGAGAAGTAAGGTAATATAAGGTACGCAGTACTCTGCGATCAACGAGCTGGATTCCAGTCGGGTCTCGGATAACTGCGTTTCGTCATGTATCTGGTGTTGTTCCACTGGCACGCGACCGGTGTCGGAATGCGACCCAGGGAGAGGAGGCCGGAATGTATGGATGACGAAAAGGCTCGAAGAGAAGAGTGTCCACTCCCTCCCTTCCGCCCTTCTGAGAATTCTGGGTCTACCTTCCTTACAAACTAGGTAGTAAGTAAGTAGGTAGGTAGGTAGGGTAGGTATCCGTGCCTACCTAGGTAAGGTGGAAGGTCGGCGGTAGCTACCTACCTAGCTAATAAGAAGGGCGCGTGCCTCTGCTTCTCCCTTCTCTCGCCCTTGCCCTCCATTATTCTGCCCACCATGACTGTGGTCTGGCCAAACGACACTCTGGCAATTCCCAGGAACTGGCACTCTCTTGCTCTCTTGTTCTCTTGCGCGCGTTCTCGCATGCTCTCTTGACCTTCAGTCTCCGGATCTGTTTCTAGAAATAACGTCTCGTCGATTGTGCCTTCTGGGGGACGGTTAACGCCTTGTTGTTGCAGGCCTGCAGTCTTGGTTCCCAATTCATATACCCCTCGCCTTCGTTTCTGGGACAAACACCACAACACCTTCAATAGTTCGTCTGGTTGGTTGCCGGGCCTTGCTTGTCACGATGCGCATCTACAAACTATTTAGCCTCATCGCCCTCCTATCCATTGCCCACTCGATCCCGCTTCGAACAACAGATGCAGACTTCTTGGCCATGAGACGGAAACTGTTGAAGGATATGAGAGGTGGTAAAGCAAGTGATAAGAAACACAAATACTTCCGTAGGTCAACCCCGACGTGAGCATTTTTTAAAACAAACCTTGGGACCCAATGGCTTGGCCCCATGTTTTGCATCTATATAGTTCGCTAACAATGGACTTCAGACGAATCAAGGTAAGAGCTGATCAACCCCATGTGCTGCTTGCTACATCACTAACAAGTGCATTACTTGGAAGTTTCCATCCGCACTACGATGGCCGGTAAGTGGTAGCCGTCCTACATGGCGACCGAGGTTTTCTGATGGCCCGGTTGCAGATTTACGGACCACAAGCTCGGCTATGTTGAGCAAAAGAGAGCACTGAAGAACTTGGCGCAGACCTTCCTGGCCACTTTCTCAGATCTCGGCGTAGAGACATGGCTTGTGCATGGCAGCCTTCTGGGCTGGTGGTGGAATAAACAAGTCGGGCCCACCCCCTACACTCTCCTCGGGGCTATCACATGGGCTAACCCGACTGCCAGATCATGCCCTGGGACTCCGATGTCGATATGCAAGTCACCGAGAGCAGCATGTTTTACCTAGCTGCCTACTACAACATGTCCGTCTTCCACTACAAGACTCCCAGGATCCCGGAGGGGCGGGATTACATGTTGGAAGTCAACCCACATTATACGAACCGAGAACAGACGGACAAGATGAACGTAATCGATGCGAGGTGGATCGACACCGCGAGCGGCCTCTTCATCGACATTACCACTGCCCGGTACAACCTAACTCACCCGCAAGGCGAAGGGATGATGAGTTGTAAGGACGGCCACGAGTACAGGGTATGCTATCATGTCCTCATCGCCGCTGGATTCTTGTCTGACTGTTGTCAGGATACTTACGTCTTCCCATTACGTGACACCATTTTCGAGGGAATGCCAGCGAAGATCCCCTTCAGATTCAAGGAACTCCTGGCCGCCGAGTACGGGGAGAGGTCTCTCACCAAGACCGACTTCCACGAGTTAGTTTACCCCCAGAGGGAACCATGACCCGGGAGGGCTAGATGCTGACTGTAATTGTGCCGCAGCCACTTGTTCAACGAAGAGAAGATGGAATGGATCCCGAAGATGAAACAGATAACACTCGAGGACCCAAGGAAGGGCCAGATAGGGGCCAAGAAGGGACAGGGCAAGAAGAACGGGCAGCAGGGTAATAAGCACACCAGCACGAACAGCCCGAATGGCCAGAAAGTGGGCAACCCGAAGAACCAGAAGAGGCCCAATGAGGTCAAGCCCGGGCAGCGAGAGTCCACGCTGGTACAGGTAAAGGATGTACAAGTACAGGCAAAGGGTGAGACGGGGCCAGGCGAAGTCGCGTTGGAAATAAGTCGACCAGGAGCAGGCGGAGAAACGGCAGGAGAGAAGAAGCCTGGTCAGGAGTCCGCGCCAAGACTAGTCCGGATATCTGGAATATCACCCTGACAACGGGAGGATGGATGATTGGTCAACCAGACGAAGGGTACCTTATTTCGAAGGTGGGAGAGAAATTTCGCAGAGTTGCCATTGATCCCCTTTCAAGAACCTCTAGCGTATTGAAACAGCTCTAAGACGGTATCGACATGGATAATAATAGGTTTTGATATTGAGCTCCTGGAGAAGGCAGTGACAATGGAAACGAGCATCAGAACCACAAAAAGGTGTTTGGCGAAGATCCTGGCAAGGGTTGGAACGACAGCCAAGTTGTAGTTAAAAAAACTCTAAACCGTCGATTCTTTCAATGGCCATCTCTTCCAAAACTCTAGCAGCAGGCTGATGGTGAAGTGTTCCGCGGTCGGACGGAAGAGCTGCGACATGGACATTCAACACCATCTTTAAACACGTTTTGTCCAAAGGACCAGTTTGGACTCGGCGATTATGTACTCGATTGTGTAAGTCCTCCCAAGAGCCGGTCAAGTACCGCACCAGACAACCCGTCACAATGCGCGGTGATATTGAATCGACGAGAGGAGCAATCCTCTATCCCGTGTTGAAAGCAAGCATCAAGGTGGTGCTATTCTCTGATTGGCCTGTGGGTGGATGGCACCCAAGCGTGCCAAGCAAGCTTGGCCCACGAGGAAACGGACCCCACGTCGCGTTTCCCCTTTGACGCGCCCACAATCTGCTTACCATGACATCAATCCATGTTTTCTAGAGCCAAATAACCAACAATTGGTGCACCATGGCGACAGGTATGCCCGCAATTGATCAATATGGCACCCACCTTACTGACAGCGTATTTAGGCCGGGAGGAACGGATGGCCTCGCGCCTACGCGGAGCGCAGTACGAACACCTCCCCGTCCTTGCACCGAGATAACACAACTCTGACCTGAGATCTAGGCGCCACCAAGTCGAAGACGTCTCCTTCGGGATCATCCTCCCCACCGAAGATGAGCAGCCCGAGGTCCACACCGCCGCGCAATCCCCGCCAAGCGCACCGGCGCCAACACGGTCGACTCCAAACACGTCCGCCCAGAGGCGACGAATAGCCGGCCCCAAACCAAGCAGCGCCGACCGCCCGGCCGCCCAACCGTCCACGGCAACCAGGACGCGATCAGCCCGGGTCCCGGCGCCACCCGTTCCCGTTCCGGCGCCCGCTACCAGCGCAGGCAGGACGCGCCTCGCCGCAGCGGCGGCGGCGGCGCGGCCCAACATCTACGACATCCCCGACAACACCTCGGACGAGACGCCGTCGCGCCGACGAGGCGCAGTTGTGACGACGGCGGCGTCGTCGACGACGAGGCGCTCCTCCGCGCTCCGCCGCCCCTTCACCCGACCTCCGCCGGCTGACGATGGCGACGAGGACGATCTCGAGTCCCTCCCCGGCGGGGGACCAACACCGACAAATCCGGCCCAGGCGGCGTCTCGGCAGCGGCCGTCTCTACCGCCGTCGTCCCTCCGCCGCCGCGGTGCCGGTTCGCCGACCCCAGCTGCCGCCGCCGCCGCCGCTCCTCGCTCCCCCGGCGTGCTCGTCACCGAGGAGGTGGCCGAGAGCCCCGCGGACGCGCCGGGGAGCGGGCAGCGGAGGATGGTGATGCGCGGGGCGGTGGCGTCGAGCGCGCTGCTGCAGAGGATTGTTGGCGTACAGGACGACGGGGATGAGGACGAGGTCGGGGCCGTCGGGGAGGAGACAGTGGATGTGGCGCGGCTGGCGCAGGCGAGCTCGCCGCTGACGAGGAAGTCGAGACCCCTAGTGGCGGGCGCCCGGTCGTCGACGACGACGAGAGCAAGGAGCGTGAGGGTTGAAGGGGGTGGCGGGGTGGATGGGTTGGATGAGCTGTCGCCGGAGAATGTGAGGCGGGGTGCTGGGATTCCGAGGAGAGGTGTGGCTGATGATGTTGACGAGCTGTCGCCCGAGAATACGAGGCGGAGCGCTAGGCTTTCGGCGGCACATGTTGCCGACCAAGAGGATGAGCTGTCGCCGGAGAAGGCCGGTGAAGATGAGCAGCCAAAGTCCGCCGCGCCATCCCAAAGGGGCAGAAAGGCGAGGGGACCTGCGGTGTCCTCGCAAACTGGACAGAGCAACCGATCCGGGAGAGGCGAGACGATAAAGCGTCCAGTACAGCAGAAACAGGCCGCGCCCGTCACCGAGAGAGAAGAAGAACAGGAGGAGGCGGAGGAGATCGATGAGCGGGAGGCTGCTCGGCGACTAGGAAGGAAGCGGCCTCGACGGAGCATGCCGGAACCATCACCGGAGTCGGATCCCCAACCCGCCGAGGAGGAACGGGCCGCCAAGAAGCGCCGCCGAAAGGCCCCAGAGAGCCCGGCAGTGCAGCGGCAACCAAGGGCGGAGAAGCATCCCGCAAGGCCACGGGCCAAGCCCGGGAACGCGGCCAGGCGGAAGCGCGACGCCGTCGATGAGCTCGAGGGCGACGCGGCGAACGGGACAGTGCCGGTGACGGTTCAGAGATTTACGAAGAAAGTGGTCCGTTACGATGCCGACGACACAGGCGCGGACATCCTCAGCTCCGATATACCCTTCGCGAACCGCGGCGGGGTCAACGCCATCGATGTCCTGTCGCAGATGTGCGAGGTGCTCATCGATAATTTCCTCTCCAACCTGGAGGAGCGGGCGAGGGATGCCGAGGATAGTGCTGCCAGGCGGGAGTTCCGGACCATGATGAGAGCTCTCGAGGCGTTCCGTGAGGAGCTCAGGACGAGATTTCTGGAGCAGGTACGTACCCGGCGCTGAAGAACGCTGGACAGAAAGCACCCCGAGGGAAATATATCCGGACACGTGAAATACTGACTGAGAACGACTTGCACAGACTATTGCGTTGGATGCGCTGCACGCTCTGCGGAAGCGAGTGCGCGCCGCCCAAAAGGAGAAGCTCGCGCTTCGCGATGAGATCCTCAGTATCAGGGCTGAGAGAGACCAAGTGGGCTTGCGGATGGATGCAGTGCGAATCAAGCACGAAGCAGACAGCAAGGAAGCACTGGTATGTCTATTGAAACCACAGTTCTACTGGCCCCCTCCCTCTTCCTGGCGCTTTCTCCCGGCTAACCACGACACATAAAAAACAGCGCAACATACATTTATCCTCCACCATGCACGACATCGACCTCGCCGTCGAGGAAGGGCTGGCGGCTCCCCCCCTCCCCGCCGCCCAGGAGAGGGAGGCGGAGCTGGCGAACCTGGAACTGCTGATCGCGAGGGTGGCGGACCAGGCTTGCACGAACAGCGACGGCGGCGGGGCGCTGGGGCGGATGAGGGAGTTCAATGCCTTCTTGGAGCGGGCTGCTGCCGTTCTAGAAGGGAGGTAGATGGGCGCCTGGATGTTACACAACACACACGAGAGACAAGATGCTAAGGATGGGACAGGAAAATGTTAAGTGGCGTCTCTTGGCGGCCTTGCTTAGTTGGGCATATGACGGATAATGAGACATGAGTCAAGGTATACGGCGGTTTTCATGGGATTGGCTGTACATTATTATCAATGAGGCAGACGTATAAATCCATGAGGAGCCCGGTAGGCAAGGCATTCCATCCGATTTGAACTTTGTCCACAAGTGCCGCAAGTAGCCTTACCCGGAGACAATCCTGTGATAGTTTCATATTTGATTGATAATTTTATTTGACATGAATCGTGTCATGTACGGCCCTTGCGGGTCACCTAGCATCACTCTAGAAACCCCTGGATCCCGCCCGGTTGCCGAGCAATATACGAGAACCCCAACACCAATTCCACGCCCCAAGCAATGCATGATATCTACTACTCGTGCATTTTCGTCACCTGTGCAAAATCCAGACGAGATCAAAATAAACGGCTGATGTACTCTGCCTCCATGCGTAGAAATCAGATGGCGAACCAAGCCTACCAGTAACTCCGGAGAATCCATTGTTTTGGGTTTCCTTCCCCTTCATGCATAAAGCTTCTTCTCGTAGGACTCCATGTTTACTCCGCCCTCGAGCTGGGCACTGGCAGTGCGGATCTCGAATCTCACGACGCCACCGTCAACCCCCTGGTGAAGCTCTTCGAGGCTCTTCATGCCGCAATCCTGCATCGAGTGCTTCAACCCGGCCGCGAGATAGGGTACGAACTTGCTCACAGAACTAGGATATGTCAGATTTCATCGTCTCACAGCACTCGGATCGGAGGTTATGAACTTACCCTCTGTGGGAAACAGACCCTGAGACGCCCTGGGCAACAAGCACGCTGTCGCTCTCCGAGAAGTAGCGAGCCGTGCCTGCGTTGCTCTTCTGGCTGTCCTCGGAGCCAGCCCCGGCCTTCTTATCCTGCATAGCATCGATACTTCCCATACCCCGGTAAGCCTTGACCAACTTGCCTTCCCTGGAAACGAACGAAGTTCCGGGAGACTCGGTAGTGCCTGCGAGTAGACCGCCCATCATGACAGTGGTCGCACCCAGAGCAAGGCCCTTGACAATATGACCAATATTTTGGATACCACCATCGGCGATGCATGGCACTCCGAACCTTGCGGCAAAGGAGCTGACGCTGTAAACAGATGTCGCCTGAGGCCGGCCAACTGCCATTACCTCCTGGGTAATGCAGGCACTCCCGCTACCCATGCCAATGCGGAGGCCATCGACACCGGCAGCAATCAGAGTGGCGGCCTGCTCCCTGGTAACGACGTTGCCACCGACAACATCCAGTCCAGGGAACTCCTTCTTGACCCACTTGACCATATCGACTTGATACATGCTGTTACCTTGGCTGCTGTCAAGGATAACAACGTCAAGACCGGCATCCACGAGTTTTCGCAGCCGATCCTTGTCCTCTGGCCTGGTGCCAATGGCAGCGGCGCAGATCAGCTGCTTCGAGTCAGGAAGCTTGGAAGCAAGCGGGAAGTCAAGATTCTTGGTCAAATCGGACCGCGAGATCATCGAAACAAGGTTCCCTTCCTTGTCCACGATGGGTAGCTTGCCCTTCTTCGACTTTGCCAAGATCTTGTTTGCTTCCATCAGCGTCACGCCTGCCTGCGCCGTGACCAAGTCGGTCATCATGACTTTAGACACGGGTTGGCTCAGATCATCCTCAAACTGGATATCCCGATTCGTCACGATACCTAGCAGCTTGGAGCCGAGCTTGCCGGATTCTGCAGAAACCCAATGTTCGTTAGCCGAAACAGTTACTCGACAACTTGGGCTGACAACAGAGAGGTTTGATGGGCGTTCGTCATAATTTTCAGTGGATATTTCCTCATGACACATAGGTCGATACGGTGGAACGAAAGTTATGATTTATAGGTTTGTAATCATAAAACGCTTTGATTTCTCAACGGCACTGGAGCAACAGGAAGAAATTCTGACTGACCTGTAACGGGGAAACCACCGAACCCCCACTTCTCCTTTAGCATTTTAGCCTCCCCGACGGTGGTGTCCCGAGTGATCAGGACAGGATCCAGGATGAAGCCGTTCTCATAGCGCTTGACCTTGCGGACCATGTCGGCTTGGGAATCGGGGTCACAGTTGTGGTGAATAACACCCAACCCGCCCTGAAGTGCCATATGGATTGCCATTTCGTGCTCAGTCACGGTATCCATGGGTGACGACAGGAACGGAGTCTTGAGGGTAATCCGCTTCGTCACCGGAGAGTCCAGTGTAACCTCCGATGCAGGGAAGCCGATGTAGCCCGGCAACAGAAGGAAATCATTATAGGTCAAGCCACCGTGGACCTTGGAGTCCATCAGCTCCTGGACGCTGAGACCATCGCGGCTGTTATACTCCTTGAGGACTTCCTCTGCCGTCCGGTAGTCCAGGACCTTGGCAGTCCCGGTTGTGGCTGACATTGTTTAATCCGGGGAATGTAAAAGGAGAAGGGGAAGAGTATAGTAAGGAAGAGGAGACGGAGGATTGGGTAGAAGAGTGTCAGTGATGTGATCGTGAGCGTCTGACTGCTTGTCTCGCTCTTCTCCAAGGAGGGAAGTATTCAAGCAAGACCGCCAGCGAAATTTTTTCTTTTTAAAAAATTAGCCCTGCAGGGTTCTAAAGGCGGTGACAGGGATGCGGGGCTGTATGTTAGTGAAATTGGTAGAAACACAGTGCTCGATACTAACATTGCCTAAAGCCGGCAATTTCTAGCCTGGAAAGGCGGAACCATGGCCCCGCTAGCGGAAGGTGCCATGGCAACCGGACGTCAACATGTTGACAATCAGGGAAGGGCATGAACCCGGTCAAAAGTCCCGACCAATTTAAGTGCCGTGACGATGCGGCTCATCGCTACCGGGTGAGACTTAGAACCTCGTTTGGTTCGCACTTCCCAAAATACTCCTCCTTGACAACGCCCTTTTCACTATTCCTTTCCCTGCGCTGTGCGCGTGTTGGCGCCCTTCTACGGACTAGATTAAACGGAAATCTGTCGCGCTATGCCGAAGGACCGTGGCTGTTCCTCCTCGAGAGAATCCACGTTCGACTGAAGCCCAGCCAGGTTGGTCGAGAAGCGCCAAAAGGAACTGCATTACAATCAGAGATTGCTCCTAATGTTGCCACCTATTTCGAACCCCCGCGAACTATACCTCAAGCGCAAGCATCCTCCACAGTGAAAGGCCCGAAACAATGTCGCTCCGCCCGCACCCTCTCCGGCAAGCCCAGACCGCCGACTACTCGGTCAACCGCCAGCCTTCAAGTGCATCATCGTCGGCATCCTCGGGCTTCTCCAATTCATCTAGCGGATTCGAGAGTCGGGCAAGCACCCTGCTGTCAGCACCTTCCAGCCCTTCCAGCATGTACTCCAATCTGGGGCATAAACGCGGGCAAAGCGAGGCCAGCCGACTACCATCGTTTGTACCACCACCCACCAAGAGCTTCAACCCTAAGCCAACGTCGGAAAACATCTACAACGCGGCTCGTCAATCCCTTCGACCGCTCCCCCAGGTCCCCGCAGCCTCGACTCCATCCAGGACCGTTACCCGTCATGATCGGGGCCAGAGCCTCGACATCAGCAAGTTGTCTTTAGAAGATAACTGTCGAGGTTCGCCAATTTCTCCTCCACGATCAAATGCCGCCCGACCATATTCCATGCTCCTGACTCGATCAGATTCTATTAATCGCGGCAGCACCGCCGTGGCCCATGCTCACTCTCCCTCCTCTCACCAAGTCCACTCCAGCCCGCTTGCGACTCCGGATCTTGAGAGGCTTGGACGGTCGTCGACAAATCAGCTGCGGACACTGTCCAGGCTGGCCCAGTCAGGTGCTGCCGACGAGTTTGCCATCACCCTCCCCGCGCAAGAAGTTGTTGGTCTCCGTGGTCGTCGTAGGCTTCAGCGGGCTGACAAGCCAAATGCCTTGCAGGTGGGCCAGCGGAACGGAGGCTACGGCTGGGAGGGCCGAAATTGGATGGATAAGCAGAGACAGTTCCTCCAAGCATATGAATATCTCTGCCACATTGGAGAGGCCAAGGAATGGATCGAGGATATTATCCACCGCTCGATCCCGCCCATCGTGGAGCTAGAAGAAGCTCTGCGAGATGGAGTTACGCTCGCCGAGGTTGTCGAGGCCCTCAACCCCGACCGGCGGTGCAGGATATTTCACCACCCACGACTTCAATACCGACACTCGGACAACATCGCCATCTTTTTCCGGTACCTGGACGAGGTTGAGCTCCCAGATCTATTCCGCTTCGAACTGATCGACCTTTACGAGAAGAAAAACATTCCAAAAGTCATATACTGTATACATGCTCTGAGTTGGCTGCTCTTCCGCAAGGGAATCGTCGACTTCCGCATCGGCAACCTTGTAGGCCAGCTTGAATTCGAACACCATGAGTTAGAGGCTATGCAGAAAGGCCTCGATAAGCTGGGAGTAAGCATGCCTAGCTTCGGGACCATGGGAGCCGACTTTGGCGTCGAACCTACGCCAGAACCCGAAGAGACGGAGGAGGAGAGAATTGACAGGGAATTGGCCGAAAATGAGGGCGCAATAGTCGACCTTCAAGGGCAGATGCGCGGAGCCCTGCTGAGGATGAAACTCGGAAACACGATGCAGCAACTATGGGACTCGGAAGCCATGCTAGTCGAGCTCCAAGCTCGCGTACGAGGAGACTTCACACGTCAGATCATGGCTTATAGGCTCCAGATGCGGAAGTTCGCAGTCGGCTTACAGAGTTCTGCGCGCGGATTCCTCGTTCGACAGCAACTAGCTCAAAAGGAGACGTTCTGGAAGAGCATGGAAGGCGACATCTTGAATCTACAGAGTTTAATACGGGCCTCCAAGGTCCGCAGCGAGGTACGAGATGAGCGGTCCCAACTATCCAGGGCCAGTGGCCCCATCCGAGACGTCCAGGCGCTGGTCAGGGGCTTTCTGGCTAGAGAGCGGGTGCTCGACCAGCAACACGAGACGACTCGCGCGGCTGGTGCAGCCCCGGAGCTGCAGGGTGCCATTCGAGGCATGTTGTTAAGAAGGGCGCTGGAACGTCAACGGGAGGATCTGGAGCGACAAGCCGGCGCCATAGCTGGCCTGCAGGCTGCTGCAAGGGCAATGCTGACCAGAAACCAGATCGGTTTGCAGTTGGAGAGCCTCGACAAATTTGCGCCGATATGGGAGACACTCCAAGCTGCCTGCCGAGGAAACCTTGCTAGGTCCAATGTCCGGGCGACTAAGGCAGAGCTTCGACAACATTCTCCAGCTCTGGGTCTTCTCCAGGCCTGCCTGAGGGGGGCTGCCGTGCGGAGAGAAGTATCGGAAACTCTGGAGGGATTGGGAGAGAATGAAAAGAGTGTTTCACGGCTCCAGTCGTCTATTCGAGGCATGCTTCTTCGAAGTCGACTTGCAGACGACCTCGAGGCCCTTACGATGCAGACACCCAACATCACAGCCCTCCAGTCGTGGATTCGTGGATTTCTGTATCGAAAACAGCACAATGATTTCCTCAGCCAACTCGGCTCTTACACCCAAGAAATCATCTCTCTCCAGTCTTTCTCCAGGGCAATGCTTCTCCGAGCCGATATCGCGGCTCTTTTGGAACAGCTCGAGGACCAGGAGGAATCCATCGTTACATTCCAGGCCGCGGCCAAGGCCTTCATCATCCGAAAAAATTTCGAGGAGAAGAAGCGATTCTTTAACGAGAACATGCAGAAAGTCGTCAAGATCCAGAGCTTCGTCCGGGCAAAACTTCAGGGGGAAGCCTACAAGAATCTCACGACGGGCAAGAACCCACCGGTTGGTGCTGTCAAGAACTTCGTCCACCTTCTCAACGACAGTGATTTCGACTTCAACGAAGAGGTTGAATTCGAACGGATGCGGAAGACTGTGGTCCAGCAGGTCAGGCAGAATGAGATGCTGGAACAATACATCGACCAGCTCGACATCAAGATTGCCTTGCTCGTCAAGAACAAGATCACCCTGGACGAGGTTATCAGGCACCAAAACAACTTTGGTGGCCATACCAGCAACTTACTCGCCAACAGCTCCATGTCAAGCGCCAACCAGTTTGATCTGAAGGCCCTGAACAAGAGCTCACGGAAAAAGCTGGAGTCGTATCAGCAGTTGTTCTTCACCCTTCAGACCCAGCCTCAGTATCTGGCTCGCCTTTTTAAGCGCGTGCGCGAACAAGGGACGACAGAGAAGGAGTGCAAGCGGATCGAACACCTGATGATGGGCCTCTTCGGCTATGCTCAGAAGCGGAGAGAGGAATACTATCTCTTGAGGCTCATCGGAAGATCGATCAGGGAGGAGATCGAGTCGTGCGGCCTGCTTCAAGACTACCTCCGTGGCAACTTCTTCTGGTCGAAACTCCTGAGCAACTATACCCGATCACCCCGAGACCGGAAATACCTGAGGGACCTCCTTGGCCCCCTGATCCGCGACAACATTATAGAGGACCCGGCCTTGGACCTGGAGAGCGACCCAATGCAGATATACAGATCAGCCATCAACAACGAGGAGCTACGAACAGGTCGACCGAGCCATCGACCTCTGGATATCCCCCGCGAGCTGGCGATCAAGGACCCCGAAACCCGAGCGCTCTTCATCGACCACCTCCGAGATTTGCGCGAGATTTGCGATCAGTTCCTCTTGGCGCTGGAAGATCTACTTCCCCGGATGCCGTATGGGCTTCGCCTCGTCTGTCGGCAGACGTTCGAAGGACTTTGCCAGCACTTCAAACGAGAACCACAGCAAAATCTCCTTCAGGTTGTCGTCAACTGGCTCTGGCGCTTTTATCTGCAACCCGCGCTCACCTCGCCCGAGAATGTCGGCGTCATCGAGAAGCAGCTGAGTCCTCTTCAAAAGCGGAACTTGAGTGAAGTTGCCAAAGTCCTCGGGCAGATTGCATGCGGGCGTCTATTCGGTGGCGAAAACATATATCTCCAGCCCCTTAATGCATTCCTCGAGCATTCGATTGCACGGCTCATGCACATCGCCGGCGCACTAATCGACGTGCCAGATGCAGAGAGCACGTTTGACATTGATGAGTTCAACGACCTCTACGCGAAGAACAGGCCAACTCTCTACATCAAGATGACCGACATCTTCGCCATCCACAGCCTCGTTGCCGCGGAGCTTCCCTTCATATGCCCGAACCGAGATGACATGCTTCGCGAGATCATCCAGGATCTCGGTAGTGCTAAGAATAACGAGAACGAGATGACAGCTGCGGGCTCCTCGGACATCCAGATGTTCCTCACCCCGAAACTGCATGATGTCGAAGACCCCGATGCGGAGGCTAAGGCATTGTTCATGGAGACCAAGAGGTGTATTCTATATATCATTCGTGTCCAGACCGGGGCCAACTTGTTGGAGATCCTCGTCAAACCCATCACCCCGGAGGACGACCACAAGTGGCAAATGCTCCTGCACGAGGACTTCTCGGCCAGCTCAAGCACTAGAGGCGCTTATTCCGATACCAACATGGTCGACGTGACCCGCATGTCATACTACAACCTGAAGAGGATCGCTCTCGAGAATGTATTGCGGCTCGAGCACATGGGTCGGATATCTAAGCACAACCATTACCAAGACGTCCTCAATGCGATAGCCCTCGACATCCGCACCAAGAGTAGAAGGAGAGTCCAGCGCCAACGAGAGCTGGAAGGTGTGCGGTTGACCCTCAGCAATTTGCACCAGAAGGCCGCATATCTCGAGCAGCAACGCAAGAGCTACGACGACTACATCGAACAGGCCATGGCAACACTGCAAAACAAGAAGGGGTAAGTGATTTTTCCTGACCATTACCAGACCGTGACGTTTCGGAAGCCCATGCATGATGGCTAACGCACCTTTCCCCCCCCCCCCCTCCCCCTTTTAGCAAAAAGCGCTTCCTCCTCCCCTTCACCAAACAGTACAACCACCAGCGCGAGCTCGAGCGCAGCGGCCGGGTGCCCAAGTTCGGGTCGTTCAAGTACAGCGCGCGGGCGCTCTCGGAGAGGGGCGTCGTGGTGTCGTGGGCGGGCGTGGCCGACCGGGACCTGGACAAGATCAACCTCACCATCTCGTGCGACCAGGTGGGCGTCTTCTCGATCGAGGGGTCGCGCGGCCACATCCAGATACCCGGGGCGAGCGGCCTCGTGCCCATCGAGGACCTGCTGCAGGCGCAGTTCGAGGCGCACCAGTTCATGAACCTGTTTGAGGGGAACTTGAAGCTCAACGTCAACTTGCTGCTTCATCTGCTGTACAGGAAGTTCTACAGGACGCAGTAGTAGGGCGGTTCCTTGGCGTGGCCCACATGGGTTCGCGCGTATTTCGAAGTTGGGGCATCGGTGTAAGGGCGGATCGGTGGCTGGAAACAGGGAGGATGGATCTTTGCCTTGATGATGGGCGTTGCATGTTCGATGCGGCCACGGATCACGAATTTTGTTTGTTCTTTTTTTTTTTCTCCAATGGAGCGGACGAACGAAAGAACGAACGAACGAACGACTGGTTAGATCGACTGGAGAGGGTGTTCAACGGAGGGTGCGAAGGTTTTTTGAGGGACTTTTTTGACTGCATCGGATCGGCACGCATGAGAAAAAAGAAAGGAGAAAGTGTGGATTTTGCATGGGACAGTGGTGTGTATGAAGTCTCGGGGGGGAGGGGGGTGGCGCTGGTGCCTCCTCATGCTTGTTTATGTGTTTTTTTGTTTTTTTTCAAACTGTCCCTGTTGGAGTACATACGAGGGAGACTGTCGCCCTTTCCCATCACCTTTTTCACCCATTCTCTGGACGGTGTGTTCAGTCTCGGCATTTGATCTGCCACTTAGGGGGCTTACAGTCGAATTACAAGGAAACTGGACACTGAGGAAAGGGTGGCGGTGGAATATGCCTTAGATAGTTAGATATTTGAGCTCCATCCAGCAATCCTGTAAGTTGCTGATACATCATTGGCAACTTGGGGAGGGTAGGAAGGTGTTTATAACCAATCTTGTCGACATTCACTTGTCGTGATGCTTGTATGTATCCAATGTATTCATTCTTCCCTTCTTCCACATTAGTCTTCCCGCCAGGATCTATCTAGCTTTATTCAAATCAAGAAACCTTTAAATGCCTCTCATGGAAATGCTTAACCAGGGAATGCTGTGTTTTCACGTCCAATGCATGCCAAACAAAGTACTCGAGTGTGTCGTCGGTTCCCAAAGGGTATCATCTATCGAATGCAAGGACAGCACCACCGCCACCTCCCCAACAAACTCCTCTCGAAATGCAACAAACTATAGCTTTATTCAGGCTCCGTTACCCGTGCCGTGTGCCAATCCTCGTTCTCGGCTATCGTGTTCCACACTCTGGCTTCCGGCAGACACCGGCCGCATCCTCACCTGGGAGGGAAGATTAAACGCATCGCCGTCGCTGTCCGACTCCGAGGCCAGTTCCTCGGGTTCCATCAGGATGAGGTCTTCCGAGCTAGTGATGAAGCGGGTTTCTGCCTCGTCCTCGGCACCGGCACCATCTAGCGTGTTGTCCTCTTCCTCCTCCTCTTCGTCCCCGTCCTCGTCATCGTCCGTGTCCGGTGCTGGCGTCGGGCCCGGGCCATCGACGATGAACCAGACCGGGATGGCGCCGACGAGGGAGACGGCGGCGAGGAGCCACCAGGGGAAGATCATGTAGCCCTTGCGCACGCCGACGGTGAAGACTGCGCCGGTCATGGCCGGGCCCGCGGCCCTGCCCAGGCCGCTGAAGGCGGTGGCGAAGCCGTTCAGCGTGCCGAGGATGCGGAGGGAGGCGGCCGAGTTGGTGAGCAGGATGGTGGTGCACGGGAAGCCGATGATGACGACGCAGCCCTTGGCAAGCATGAGGGCGAGGAAGAGGGTGTAGCGGAGGTGGTCATCTTGGACCAGCGCGGTGTAAGGGACCAGAAGATAGATTATTGGGAAGATCAGAGCTGTCCTTGAGATTAGATTCTGCCATCAACATCTAGGATTTGTGTGGAGGATAACTTACCAGCTACTTTGAAGCAGTTCAGCACACCGAAACGTGTGCAAAGTGGTGGAAAGACGAAGAACTGGATGAAGCCGCATGCAATGCCGTAAACGGTAAAAATGGTGCCGATTCGGTCGGAGCCGAGCCCAAAGCCGCCTGAGAACCTGAAAGGGAGTTGGGTATTATGCTCGTCGGGAACTTGCTTGGGATAGTTTAGAAAGACGGGTAGAACCTGGTCGAACGCGACGGAGTGTAGTGCGAGGAATGTATATGACACGAGGTTGATAATGGTCTGAGACGTGAAGATCTCGCTCGCCGACGGCGGTCCAGTACGGACGTTGACCTTCTTTGAACTAGTCATGTCCGCCGCCTGTGGAAGCAGAGGTGCTTGGGCTTCGTCATCGACGAAAGACCGCCTGTGTTGCCGCTGATGCTTCGATCTGTGGAAGGTGCGAGTCAACTTTTCTCCCAAGATCAAGCCCCAGTCCCTGGAGTGACGTTTGTTTTCATGAGTTTCCTACATGGAATGGTAAGCCGGTGCTTAGGGGTTGGTCATGCGTATGGTTCATACCTTGAGGAAGAGAAGCCCGGCCATCAAAGAAATAAAGAACACAAAACAAGCCACGATATTTGGGAGGGCAAAGGGGTATCTCTTGAAAAACTCAAAATTCCCAAACAATCCGGGATACTGCTCAGCCGGTCGAGCGAAAAACCCTCCGAAAGCAGGTCCAAATACACTTCCCACGGACCACACCAGCGGCATGATGGAGAACGCCCTAGGCTGTAGCTCCTTTTCGGGAACCATCTCGGCTACCATTGTCCTGATGATACCAACTGCGACGGTGTTAGCGAGACAATACGGCTTTTGGTGCGGAATGACTTGACCCTACCATTGCCGTTTCCTCCTCCCATGATGCCTCTCACAATGATGGCCATTGGCAGACTGGTTGATAGCCCCCAGAACATGAAACAGACCATCGTACTCGCGAGGCCAACTAATATGACAGGCTTTCGGCCAAACTTGTCTGATGCCCTTCCCCATGGGACGGCCGTGATGCTTTGCGACAATGAGAAGACAGAGCCGGTGACGCCGGCCCATCTTGCGATTTCCGTCTTCTCGACGCCGAAACTCTCTATCATTTCAGGCAAATAGGGGAAGACCGACGTCAGGGCCAAAGGTTCAGCGAATCTCGCAACAGCTAGAAACGTGCGTTAGCCTCGAGAGTTCGGAGTGGGTATGATACCGGGGTTTCCAACTGCTTCTTGTGCCCTACCCGCCCTTGGTTGGGCTGTCATCTTTCTTGCCGCTGTTCCACATTGCTATAGAGTAGCCCTGCTTGAGAGTGTGAGAAGGTAACAGCCTCGACTTAACGCTATGCGAGTTCAAAGGCTCACAGCGAAAGAGACTATTCGAGTGATTCCAGAAAGACGTGGGACTTCACAGAAGCAACGAGAGGCGACATTTGAGACGAAAGACGGGGAAACGCAGAAGGCAGACTGGCCGGGAGGCCGTATACAATAATGAAAGACTTCGCCTACCTAGGATTGTCAACTGTTGCGCCGGCAATTTCGCGCCATACCTCTTGGACCTCGCCATGATCGATTTGCGAGATGGATGATCTTGGTCGATATGTAACCTTATTTTGTCTTATTCCCCGGTTTTTCTTCTCACTTGGGTATTGGATAGGTACAGATGGTGGGGGATTGACCAGTAGCTTGAAGTCGAGATAAAGGTCCTATCCTAGGCAAAGAAGGGACGAACAACCATTCAGGTGAAGAGATGGAAGAAAGGGAAAGTGGATCGAAAGTAAGAGATTGTACAGAGTATGCAGTACTTAGTAAATGACGGCGAAGTGACTAACATATTGAGTCAAGGGTGGCGGGGAAGGCTAACATGGAGCCCAGACTTTACAAGGCAGGAAGGCCGGGGCGGCTTGTTCAGTGGCTTGGCTCGGTGGCATGGTGTCAACGGCGCCTTACCCCTGCGACCGCTAGCAAACCTAACGACCACTGCAGTTATCCTATCATCATTCTTTCCGCCGCTTCCAGTCTCCCCAGTCGTAGTCCAGCGCACGGCGATGGTCGAAACACGCCAAAGCCGCCCAGATAACAGCTACCACGGCAATCTGTAAGACCCCCATCGCCCCTGCCAACCTAGAAATTGGCCGCCCCATGAGTTTGGCCAATAAGACAGTGAGCGCCCCCCAGACGGTTGAAAAGGCAACACCGACAGTCAAGAAAGCAAACGAGGCACTCTGATACATCTGGAGACGGGGAGGACCGGACGAGAAGAAGCCGAATCGGTCGGGGATGTGCAACACGTGCGACTGTATCCAGTAACCTCGGGTGGCAATTGCAAGGTGAACGGGGTTGAGGCGACCATTGGATATTTGAGGATCCAAGAATCCCTTGACGGCCGTCAAGGCGTTGTTGGTGAGGTTGTGAGACATCTCGATGGTGTCTTCTGGCCGGGTGTCAGCTTGCTGCTCATTGAACAGGTGTGCTACTTTGAGTGGGTCGTGGCGTACGGGTAGCCAGGGTGTCGAGATTTGGAGTAATGCCTTACTGGCTGACAAGAGGATCGGCGACCGGGGTAAGAGTCTGCTGTGTATGTATAAAGCACCGGTGAAAGACGGTCAACACAAGGCCGTTCGGATAGCCCGTTGCGGATGCAGCCTGGCTGCGCTTCACCATGCTGAGGCCAAGACATCCGCGATCGGCTTGGCCCAGCCAATGATGCAATATCACGTCCGGTGGGGGGAACCTAGTTGTTGCTGGCGGGGTTGTCCTACTCCACAGCGGGTACCTTTGACTAAGCATATTTAATTACAGTCCTTCTTTGCGGGGGTCATGGCGATTTCGAGCGTCGACCAAAATCCCAAGATCTGACGCTCTGAGATGGAATTTAGCTGATGCCGGCCGGCGAACTGACTTGCAAGATAATTTAGAGAATGTCGGGTTTCGGGCTATCTTAAGCCGGTAGTAGGCCAGTGAGGTTGAGCAGGACTAGCACCAAGACAAGACGCAAAGAAGCACACTTAATTACTAATCCGACGGCATTGAGAAGCCGTTGGAGGGGCAAGGTTGTTGCCGCCTTAAACCCGAACAGGCAGCTGCCCTCCAATCGCCTGTCACGAGCTTCATCTTGAACATGGCGCATTGCGTCGGCAGCTAGGTAGGAAAACCAAAGCTTCCACCTTCATTTCGCCTCCAGTGAGGTACTGAAGCAACTCATACTATGGTTCCTGCTTGACTTGAGCATCCCGTAAGCTGTCTATTTCTTCTTGCATTGAGCCCAATCGATGACGATCGATGGCGAGTTGTGTTTAAGCCATCAACCATTCTGTTTGCAACTCGTTACCCCCATACACGGAGACTGCATCTTTAACTTTACTAACAACTCCATAAAGTGTACGTAATTATGGCGGGCGAGCACACCCCTTTGCTTGCGACGGTCAGGGTCGGCCCTCCCCCGAGGCGGTATCCTCATCATGTGCTGCGTCGATTCTGCACCATTGCACTCTCATCCATTCTCATTTGGTTCTTAATCTCTATATTCGTGACTATTATCGTCTATCCCGACCCACCACACCATCCAGATCACTCTCGTCACGACCATCCTCGATGGAGATGGCCAGGATGCAAGGGTAGGAAGCTCACATACGAGCAACTCAAGGAGATCCTGCTTGAGACACCGAATAGTGAGAAAGCAGAGGAGTGGAGTAGGTATTATACCGGAGGAGCTCATCTGGCAGGGCAAAACTACTCACAGGTTCGGGGCCTCGATTTATTCAATCCCCCCCTTCATTGATTCTGCCACTGACACTCCCCAGGCTCTGTGGACTAAAGAGAAATGGGAGGAATTCGGAGTCAAATCAGACATTGTTGCCTACGATGTTTATCTCAACCGGCCAGCTGATCACCGTTTGGCACTGCTGGAAAAGGGGCACGGGAAAGATGCTTCAGGCTGGAATGTTGCGTTCGAGGCTTCGTTGACTGAGGACATCCTCGAGGAGGACCCGACAACCGGGTTCGATAACAGCATTCCGACTTTCCATGGTTACTCCGCCAGTGGGAATGTTACTGGCCCCGTTGTTTACGTCAACTACGGAACCTATCAAGACTTTGAGGATCTGCTCAGGGCCAATGTCAGCCTGAAAGGCAAGATTGCCATTGCGCGCTACGGGGGCATCTTCCGAGGCCTCAAGGTTAAGCGTGCACAGGAGCTGGGCATGATCGGAACCATTCTCTATAGCGATCCCGGTGACGACGGCAAGAACACAGAGGAGAAAGGGGTAGAGAAGTATCCTGACGGGCCCGCCCGGCAAGCCAGTAGTGTACAGCGAGGAAGTACGCAATTTCTTAGCATTGCACCAGGAGATCCGTAAGTCAGGAGTGCTATCTTTCAAGCCAAGCAACCTGCTAACCTGTGCATAGGACAACACCGGGATATCCATCCAAGCCGGGGGCTCCTCGGGGACCTACCGACAAGTACATCCCCAGTATTCCATCCATTCCAATTTCCTACAAGGACGCACTTCCAATCCTCAAAGCTCTCAATGGTTATGGTCCTCGGGCCAAAGACTTTAACAAGTACTGGACCAGGAACGAGGGACTTGGATATAAAGGCGTCAAATACAATGTCGGCCCAACACCAGAAGATGTTGTCGTGAACTTGTATAATCAACAAGAGTATATCACTACGCCTATCTGGAACGTCATCGGCACCATCAACGGGACGATCCCCGACGAGGTCATTATTGTCGGGAACCACCGCGATGCCTGGGTCGTGGGAGGCGCGGCTGATCCGAATAGCGGTTCCGCCATCCTCAACGAGGCCATCCGGTCCTTTGGCGTCGCCCTCGAGAAAGGCTGGAAGCCTCTCCGGACCATCGTCTTTGCCTCTTGGGACGGAGAGGAGTATGGGTTGGTCGGAAGCACGGAATGGGTCGAAGAGTACATCCCTTGGCTTAGCGGAGCGAATGTGGCTTACATCAATATTGATGTTGGCGCCAGGGGAAAGCACTTCAAAGCCTCGGCTGCCCCGTTGCTGGACAGCCTCATCTACGAGGTTACTTCCCAGGTGCAATCACCTAACCAGACTGTCAAAGGCCAGACAGTCGCCGATGTCTGGGATGGACACATCTCCACGATGGGTAGTGGGAGCGACTTCACGGCCTTCCAGGATTTCGCGGGAGTTCCCTCCCTCGACGTCGGTTTCGAGTCTAGCCCCAGCGATCCGGTCTATCATTACCACAGCAATTATGACAGCTTCTACTGGATGAAGAACTACGGCGATCCGGGATTTCTCTACCACCGCACTATGGCCCAGGTCCTGAGTCTTCTTGCCGCCCGGCTGGCTGATACATTGACCATCCCTTTCAGCGCAGAGGACTATGCCCATGCCCTGAAATCCTACGTCAAAAAGGTCGAAGACATCCTCCTCACACCACCCTCAGCCCGGTCCTCCGAGGATGACGAGGATATCTCGCTACTCGCCGATGATGATATCTTCAATATTCGCTCTAGCATTCGTTCGGGCGACCTCGCCGTCACGGACAGCTTCCCCCCTTCTGACGAACTATTCAGCCGCCTGTACGACGCGGTTGAAGAGCTGACCAGTGTGGCCATCGCCTTGGATGAGCACGCGAAGGACCTGGAGCGCCAGGCCGCAGACCACATCCCCTGGTGGCGCTGGCCGGCCAAAATCAAGCTGGGTTTCAAGATCCGCAAGGTGAACACGAAATACAAGTACCTCGAGCGGAACTTCTTGTACCCCGAGGGACTCGACGGCAGGAACTGGTTCAAGCATGTCGTATTTGCGCCTGGACTGTGGACCGGATATTCTGGCGGTGCGTTTCCCCCCTCCTTCGCCCTCATCTTTCTTGGTGGTGAGCATTCTAAGAGTAGAACTGCTTAGCTAACACTGTCCTTGCTGCAGCTGTGTTCCCCGGTCTGGTGGAAAGTATCGACACGAGGGATGAAGCACGATTCAACAAATGGACTGATATCATTGAAAATGCTATCCTGGACGCCGCGGAGAGCCTGAAATTGCACCGATAGTTGGGATCGCGCGGCACCTTGCTATGTTTGACGGGTTCGTACAATGCAATGTCAAGACCGGAATTATATCTGGGGATGTGGCCCTCAAAACCTCAGGGGTATATATGGTCGACTGAATCGGAGGGTTGGTTAATAGAGAATTGAGGAAGCTCATCACTGCAGGCAATGGAATAAACCGTTGATGGTGGCCCTTGACATCGAGAAGGCAGTATCCCTTTTATAGTTGACGCCTGGTATCCTGATTGCTATCTTTATTACGGGTATATAGATATATTTCTACCGACTAGACAAAAACGCAGTAAACAAAGGTATCCCGCATGCCCTCTCAACCCTCCTTGGCTGGTTCGCCGGCGCCGGAACCGCACAGTACGCCTTCCAAGCTTTGGGGTCCAAAGAAAGTGAAAGAGAAGAATGTGCTTGAGGGAGGAAGGGTAGGGGTAGAAGAAGGGAAAACCCAAAATTCAAAAGCAAAGATATCTAGAAGCCAAGATATTACGGCCATCGGCCATTTTCACCACCTCGAAATCCAGACAACATAACCTCCATCTCCCCCTTAGTTGACACCGGCGCGCTTGCTCAAACAAGCCCGACTCAAGCCTACTGGGTCTGCTGGTACACAACCGGCTGCTGCTGCTGCGGCTGCTGGACATAGCTCCCACCAGTCTGGTGCGCGGCCAACGGGTCCACCGTCTGGTGGTGGTACGCAGCGGCCTGGACGGGCGCGTACGCCTGCGTCTGGGGTTGCTGGGCGTAGACCTGCTGCTGTTGCGGCTGCTGGGAGTAGTGGCCGTTGGTGGCCTGCTGGGCGGCGACAGGGTACGCCTGCTGCTGCGGGGCCGCGGGCTTGGCCTCGGCGTCGGTGGTCGGGATGGTGCGCGGGACGCCGGGCGTGCAGTGCAGGCCTACGGAGCGGTGGCGGTGGAGCCTGATGCTGTGGATTACGAGGGAGACGACGAAGAGGACGCTGGGGTTGGGTGGGAGGATGGTTAGTTGGTTGGGGTGTCGTTTTGGATGTGGGCTCTCGAAATGGGGGGAGGGTAGAGAGGAGGGGGGATGATGGACTCACAACTCGGCGCCGCCTAGACCCGAAGCGGCGGCCATGCAGTCCAGCCAGGCTTCCGACTCCATGTCGAAGTAGCTGATGCCGCCGTAGTAAGAAGCAATCGAGAAGAAGTCAGCGACCTCGGAAGCGAGGAGCGCGAAGGAGGCCAGCCACATGACGATCAGGAAGATGTCAAGGGCGAGGACGGCCCAGTAGTTGTACGCGTGGGGAGCGCTGTACCAGGCGACCAGGTGGTAGATGGTGACGATCAAGGTGAATATGCCCTAGGGATAGGTAACTTGTGAGCCCCTAATGCTCGCCACGGTGGATTCATGGATCTGTACTGGCTGCAACTTACAACGACCATGATGAAGATGTCGCCATCGAAGGCAGACACCGAGAGGCCAAAGGCAGCCAGACCAATGACCATCAAGGCAAGAACCAGTTGCACGATGCGGATGGCAATGAAGCCATTGGGGTACAGGGGGATGTGTTCCCGCCCAGCAACCCGCTCTGCGGAGTGTTTGGAGATACTCATGGTGATGGAGTGTCTTTGTTTACGATAAGTGGGAGTATAATATCAAGAGGTTAGTCGGTGTAAAGGAGACGGTAGAAGCAGGAACAGAAGCAGAAGAGAGAGAAATCCGGAAAGAGGAAGAAAGGAGGAAAGGAAAACAAGGCTCTTGGCTCTTCTGCCTCTCCTTTTCTTCTCCCACTGGGGGGGAAGCGGCTGAAGCCGTCGGGCCAAAGCTCATCAAACCCAACACCGGAGCCTCACATGGTCGGCCTTCGACGCGACAAATTTGGGTCCTAGACCTAAACCGAACGAAGTATAGCATGGGATCAGACAGGGACATAGCGCGCAGTCGTTGCCGTGCTGGTCCATTCATCGAGGCACGGAGAGCGCCACTACCAGGGTCCAGATACGGACGGTGACAGGTCGTGTGTGCAACACAGTGCCGGGTGAGGATGGCTGTGAAGATCTGGGGGGACTGCACGCGTGAGGACTACGGGAAGGGCACAATTGGAGCCAGCACTGTGATGCCCAAGATGATTTGGTGGTTGATAGGCAGGTAGTGTATGCATGGTAGAGACTTTGATACAGCAGCTGGACCAGTCTCAGCCCCAGCCCCAAGCCAAGCCTCCCTGTAATTGGATAATTCCGTCGTATTATTGCCTCCGCCATATTAAATCCACCCAGGCTTCGCTCCCGGGTGTGACCCTGGCCGCTTGGCATATGAGTTATCGAAGTTGTTGCTTTTAAAGATGGCCAATAAGTTACGCGACCCCACAGACCCGGACATGCCAAGGACATGAGTGCCGGGCCTGCTTTCAGCTCCTTGCCATGTCTTTACATAGCAGTCCAGCGACACCGATGCCCGAGGCTCTGCATCCAGCCTCATGCACGATTGCGAGTGTTTCGAGGATTTGCGAGTTAGTTTTTTGGTTGTATACTGGGATCATCGAAGTCAAATAAACATATAGTTCTAGGCTCCCATGCTTCTGGCTACCCGTGCGGGAACGAACCGCCTCACAAACAGGGCGCAAGCGATGGGCAAAGTTTTTTTTATATAACGTGTCCGCCCGACAATGTCAGCCGCCTCACCCGATAGTACAGGAGACAGACGACAAGCAGCTACCTACGTAGCAGATTCTCGTATCAGGGCTTTCTTGGCCGGCCGGCCGATTCTGAAGCAACAAAAAGACGTTATCTCACACAGAGCATTCCTTCCATGATTTCTTCCAACGTTACATGCACCCCCGCTGCTCCGTCTCAAGTTTCGCCATGCACCCTATCTATACATGATCCCAGGCCAAGGTAGCCAGAAAGCGAAAGATACAAAAATCGGCAGATGCAAGATATGTCCAGACCGCAAATACGCAGCAGGCCCTGGGCCCCGCGATGGAAAAAGAAAAAGAAGAAAAAGAAGAAAAAAGGGAAAAAAAGAAGATATGAATAAGAACCCACGTAGGGTTACGATGCAGGCGGGTATCAAAGCGGTGCTAAACCAGAGAGAAAATTATGTAGGCGATGCCCAAAAAAGCTCGGTGCGAACTTCAATCGTGCCAGAGGGGAGCCCCATTTGGTCAGAGCCAGGAGAGGGCGCCCATTTCACATTGCTCATCCGTCATGCAAATTCGTCAGCGCCGTCATCGATCACCAGCTGGTCCATACGCTGCACTAGTTCCTTAGTCTCGCGGGCGATCTCGAAGGCGATGGGGGGGAGAGTCTGGGTCCACATGCGCCATTCCCGGCTCCTGGGATCCTTCCCGTCGGCTGCGAGATCCATGCCGCGGTCGCCAGCCTCCATGAGGCGCTGCCGACAGGTTCCGAGCCGCCCGACGAGAGCCGCCCCGCTGGGACCAAGCGTCTCTGTCTCCGACACCACCTGGCCGACGACGTCTACGATCGAGTTGATCTCCTCTGAGATCTGGTCGATGTTGGCGTCGCTCCGGATAAGTTGGACAAGGTTCTGGATCGTCGGCACAAGGATTGCCATCTGGTCGTCAAGGTATATCTTCACGTCCTCGGTTCGGTTGTCTCGCCGTCGCATGCCGTAGCCATTGCCATTGCCATTGCCATTGCCATTGGGTGCCAAAGGCAAGCTCTTGTTGATGCCTAGGCCATTGCCGTTGCCCATCGGGGCGCCGCGGGAAACGGGGCGTCTAGACGAATATGATTCTCGTGGAGAGCTGACCGGGCTGTAGGCAGAGGAGTCGGCGCTGACTCGGCTACCCCCCAAGCCCTGGAAGGGTGGAGCGGGGGGAGATAACACGTCTTGCGTGAGGCCCGCGCTCGATATCTGGCTCTGGCCGCCGCTTCTCGGCGAGAAGAATCCCGTGGAGTCAACAGGAGTTATAGTACCGTCGTCGTCGTCCTCAAGCTCGCCAGCAGGAGTCGCCCGGATCTTGACGGTACGGAGCAGTTCCACAACTGCCGCAACAAGGTGGGATGCCGCGGCATCAAGAAGAGAGACTGGGGACATTCCGGCCGAAGCGGCGAAGTTCTTGGACGCAGTAATTAGGTTGTTGGCGGTTGACGACACCCGGGACTTCAACTTGGCCGTTTGTTGAGCCACACCCTCGTTATTCGGGGCCGAGTCGTCGATATCCTTTGTGATCCTCCTCACGCTGACCACGACCGCTTTCATAGAGTCGATCACCTTCTCAGGAGGATCGGCGCGTGCTCGCTTGAGTAATTCGTCGATGGAAATTTGGAATTTGGTGACGTGGACATCCTTCACCAGGCCGTCATCCCGCGCGAAGCCCTGGTCTCTCACGTACTTGGCGGCGTCGTGCTCGATGTTGAGACCCAAGGAGGATGCCCGCATGTTCCGCAACTGCGTCTTAGTACGGGCGTATCGGTTCCGCCAATCCCTGACCTCGTCCTCGAGCTGCTCGATGATCTTCTCGAGTTCGCTTTGCTTCTCCCAGGCTGATCCGCTCTGCTGGGAAAGCATCTTCATCTCGCGGAGGAACTCCTGGGCCTCGCGGCGAACCTCCTCCGTAACCTGTTGCTGTTCCCGAAGAGATACACGCAGGTCTTCGTTCTCCCTCTGAAGCTCCTGATTAGCAGCACCATTATCGGAACGCTTATTTCCCCTCGACTGTCGGTACTCTTCGATCTCGTCTCTGAGTTGCCGAGTCTCGCTAGCATGGTCGTCCCTGATGCGATCCAACTCTTGTCGCAACGAGTCGTTCAGGTTCTGCGCTTCCGCGAGCCTGTTCTCCAAGCCAAACCGGACGTCATCCCAGTCCTTTTTCTCCAGATTTGCCGCCGTCGCCCGAGACCTTTCACCATCCAATACGTTATTCAGCTCGTCATCCTTCTTCTTCAGGTCGTCTTCTAGGTTGTCAAGTTTATCGCGGAGGTCTCTGACCTGTGACTCGTAGTCCTCAATGAGCTTTCTATCGGTCTAGAGATGATGTTAGTCTCGCTCGCACCCGATTGTGATTGAAGAGGGGCTATGTCCTACCTCGGAAGGTACAGGGCTTCGCTCAGTGGCACCGCTACGCCTACCCTCGCGGCTGCTCACCAGTTGATCCTGTCCGAAACCATCCGCACCGTCATTTCTAGGGCTGAGAGGGCTGACCGGGTCATCGTCCTCCTCGACCATTGTGCTCTTGTTCGGCACAATGGTATTGCTCTGGAACTGTTTCGGCATGGGTCTGCCATAGTCGCCATTGGGCAGGCTCGGCGATGGCGGAACCCCGTATCCTCCGTTCATCGGTCCTGGGCCACCTCGGCCACTCCGTATCGAGCTCGCCTCGGAAGGTCGCCGGACGCGACTCTGGCCCCGCGGAGGGAATCCAGTCATGCCGGTGCCGTTGACGGGGGTTTGGGCCCGGCTGGGAGGACCTCTAACGGACATGGGACTCCCTACCCGAGGGATGTCCCCGGCCGAGAAGCGTGGGTACCGGCGCTCCAGCTCACAGAAGACATCAGTAGCGAGGTCGCGGAAGCGAGGTGGCCCGAGCGATGACAGCTTCTGGCGCGCCTGGTTTCTCTTAGGGTGGAAGTTATTTTCGGGTAGAAGGTACGGAGGAGGTCCTTGTGAATTCGGATTCGAGGGTCTTCGGGCGGAGGCCTCGCGCCGCTTCAGCTCATCGTAGACATCTGTGCTGAGCTCGAGGAACTGCACGCCGGTAAGGCGCTGTAGCTTGTCGCGGGCCTTGTTTGGTGGGGCATTGGGTTTGCCGTCGCGCGAAATGGAGGAGAGGAAGCGTTTTAGTGACACATAGTGCTCCCCGAGTATCGCCTCGGTGTTCTCTTCCCTCTGGCTCCTCCCGCTCTCGCTTCGCGCATACAGGTTTGTTCCGACACTGGAGCGGCCGATGGATGGGGGTGGAGATGGTCCACCGACGCTCCGAGGCCCCGGAGGGAAGCCCCCATTCATAGTCCCGATGGATCCTCCGGAATCGGGTGGAGAGATGAGCTGGCCGCGATTGTTGTTGGGATAAGGGCCGTCGCTGTCGATGAGTGTTGGATAAGACCACTCGCTACCGCCTAGAGATACAGGTGACAGCGGAGCATTTCGGCCATTCATGGTAGTCGCAGGGTCGGGATGGAGAGATTGGAGGTCTCGGGTCAAAGACTATCAAGACAAAGGGGAGCGATTGATTTGACGATGGTCTCGCCCGTAAAACACAAGCCCGTCGGTCCGCTAGTGGGTGTCACGAGTACGAGTCCGACAATAACTCGTCTCTTTGCTGTGAATGTTGCACTGTCCGGGTTGCGATGAATGCGAAGCGGGGAGAAGAGAACAATGTGGAAGGCCGTGGCGCCTGGTGTCGCAGATTTCGGCCTTTCGAGTGAAACACAATGCGCAGCCAATGGGCTGACACGATGACGGCCGGCGAAGGAGAATTAAAAGGAATGGAAGGAGAAAAAAGAACGAAAAGAACGCGGACGGAAGAACAAGCAAGTCCAGTCCAGACAGGCAAGGGGCATGAAAGAGAGGCAACCTGTTAGATATCGAATTCTCACTGAAAGCAACGTTGTTGCTTGAGCAGCAGCAATAGCAACAGTAGCCTTGTCCGGGTACGCAGTAGGTGCTTAAAATGGCGGTGCAGACGACCAGCACACAAAAGTCAATTCCCACCCCCTTTTTGGCTACTTGAGACTTGATCACTACAGATTTGGGGTGTCGATCGCTGGTTGGCTGATGTTGGTACCAGCGCTACATGGGTTACCAACTTCTGGTGAGGGCCGCGCGCTAATAAGAGGGCTGTGTCTTGGGGAAGATTACACAGGGAACCAGCCAAAAGGCATCCATTTCGGCCTCTACGATCGACTCCACAGGTCGGCCACAACAGCAGCTGACCAGTCCACTTGATTTAGACTAAATAAATTAGGTACCTATGTATATAGGTGGTAGTAGTCGAGGCAGCCCGGCGAAAGGGACATTTCGTTTTGCGACCACGGGATTTGCCATACCTACTACGTACACAAAAGACAAAAAGAGGCTCCAAGAGGTCAGACTGCCCATGTATCTTGACATTTTGCAACCTTTGTAGTTTAGCGTCTGATGTTGGTGCCTCGCAATTCACCCCGGCATTGCCATCGGGCCAGACCTGGCCACAATCTTGAGCTTTCTGGTAGCATTGAAAAGAGGGCCCTTCCTCAGCATAGGTATTCCATTCCCACGTTTGATGAACTTCCCGGCTAAATCTGTGGATTGCTATGACCACCGTTCTTCTGTGTGAGCAACAAGCCGTCCGTTGTTCCGAGAGAGGGAGAAGAAGTTTATCCTAGACGGCCATGTTCTAGAAAGTCACAAGTCTGGCAACTTGGGAATCGAAGGAGCATGAGACCTCGACATGGGTGCCGACTCCCTCCCTGCATTCCCGCCGTGCTAGCGGGAGGCAATCTCGGTCGATGGAACCGCTTAGCAGGCCCCTGCCACTTCATATTACTTACATTGCCCTAATGGGGAAATCTTTTTTGCTGGTAGGGATTACGTAGGCTCCCAAGTCTACCCTGGAAACCGAATTACTGAGCAGGCATGCCGACAAGTACTTGATCGAGCACGCCCGAAAGGGTACAGTACAGAGTCTCTTGATACGATAGTGTCTCGGTGCATAGCGCATATAGGCAAATCACCTTCTGTCGTGCATTCATCATTCATAAACATACCTAGGTATCTAGCTAGGTAACGGGTGTCTCGGCCTACTGCGTAAGCGCCCAAACGAGCATCCTAAAACCAGGCCAGCGTCCATGTAGCTGGGAGGTGCGGCCATCTCTCTTGCCACTCCGCTATGATATCTGGCACCCTCTCATCGAAGGCTGATCTGCTCGCAGCGCCTCCAGCGTCAAAGGCGATGGTACCCACCTTCTCCCGCTCCTCCTTCGCCGCTGCATTTAACGAATGTGCAAGGTCTAGGATGCCTCTACCCCCAATCGAGGCCTCCTCATGGTTGTCCCTGATATCGACGTTAATGACATGGACAGGCCGGTTGAGCGGAGAGCCCCGGTTGAGCAGGTCGTCGACAACTGCATCCCAGCAACGTTCTTCACAGGTTATGACAACGTCAACGAGGCCACCCTCAGTCCCTTGGCTGCCAAGATCTTTATCGTGAGACATTCGAGGCATACCAACCTGCCAGTCCTGCCACCGCTCCGGTCCCCACTTGACGCCTCGATTTCTGCCCAGCATGTTCAAGAGGCCGTTGGCTCGATAAAGCCGGGGATCCTTGGCCTCCAACTCCTTGTACATGCTATCGTACGAGGTCTTGTTAAACTGGTAGACATTAGGTTGTGTTATTGTAGGGCCGGGTAGTCGGACTAAAGATCCCGTGCCGAAGGAGATGACTGGAAAATTTGCCTCGGAAAGTCGAAGGTGGGCTTCCATCGACCTTTAGACATGTTAAAAAAAAACTGTCCGCCATGGCCAGATAGGACGGGGAGCTCCTTACCTGTTCTGATTACTCGCACATACTGTGCAAAACTTGAGCTTGTAACCGCCAGCATTTTGGGACTCGCCGTTCTGCTGAGTCTGGCCTTGCGCCAGCGCTGCTCCAGCTCCGTTTGTGGGGTCCATAGCGACTGTCACTTGAGGCTTTCAACCCCGCGACTGGAAGGTAAGATCTCGAGGTGAGGGACTGTACATCCTTGGATGGGCTGTCCCCCTTGGTCTAATACTGGGGAGACCCGGGTCATTAGCAGTTGCCCCGTGAAGGTGACAAAACTGATTTTTGCGAGGTTGGGAGGCTCATAAAGTTGCGTATAGGTAATATTGTTTTTCGTCATTGAGAAAAACTCCGACAGCTCCAAAAAGAAATAATCCTAGCGAAAAGGCGGGGGGGAGTGATGCGGCGAAGCGCCGTACAATACATACCTGATATGAGGGAGGCAGAGAAGATGGTGATAATTGCAATGAGGAGAAGGAAGATTTTAGCAGAAAGTCAACATGGAAGAAGGTTGGTGTAAATTTTAAAGTGGGGGGGGACTAGTGAGCCTCAGGCTCTCGGCTCACAACCAACCACGGCCAACCTCCCCCAACCTGGCATTGGTATGTCGGCCCAGAAGTCAGCGTTTGCTTCTGATGAGGGTATGGATTCTCAACGAATCTACTCTACATGACACAAGCTTGGCTGGAGGTCTAGACAACCACCTCCCGTCAGCTGTGACAATATGTATCTATCCTAAGAACCCAAACTAAAAAATGAAAGGGGATATGTACATACGCTCTAGTCAATCACTGACCTCGAGATTCAAGATCTAGGTAACTCTGCGTACTGTACCCTGTACAGCGGGACAAGCATGTGTAGGCCACATGGGAAGACTCTGCTCTGCACCTCGCAGTTCTTTCTTTTTCTTTTGGTATCGTAATGTGGGACCAGTTAGAACTCAAAGCAAGGTTTATTGGCCAGCGTTCATTCTGAAACAGTCCATCTAAAAATAACTGCTCACCGTTACCCCACATCGTCGACCTTCCAGAGCCCGCTGGCTCCTCCTTCTTGTCCGAGCAGTTATCCAGCATTACGGTAAGGTAAGTATAGACTATTGTCTACGGATCCGTACCTACCTACCTGCCTATGTATGCAGCACCGCACTTAAAATGTCTATGCAGAATCCTCTTGGGCCTCCTTTCCCGTTCTGTAGTCGAAATGAAATGCGGAAGTAAATTGGAACTTCAAGCAGAGTTTCAAGTTGCTGTTGACCGATATCCATGTAGTGTAAGTGTCATGACCATTTATCAGCATCATCTCGGATGATGACTATGATGACTACGAGGGGATGGTCAATCGGACCATATGCGCACTGCATCTGAGTCGTGACGCAGAGGCGGTGTCTTGTATTGAAAACACACAAAGTGTCCGGGAACACGCTAGGCAGGGCGGGGAGTATCTCGAGTCTCAGCTCAGCTCAGCTGGCTGTTGAAGAACCAGCTGGTGTCTGGGCAAGACGTTATTTCTCCCATACATATGGATGGCATCGGAGTGCCTCGTTGCAGGAACTTGAGGTACAAAATAGGGAATTGGCCCTAAAATGGGAGACACATAAACAAAAAAAGAGACCCCCGTTTGCTGGCTCAAATTGCAGGCAAAAAAGAGTGTATCACTGCTACTGCTGCCGTCGCGCGTGTCCAGCGGCTGGCTGACCTATTAGATTTTCAGTTCAGTAGATTCCACGCACTCCCAACCATCTCCCTTCCCACACAGCGAGGCGCAACCGCTCCTCAAACAACTCCCACAAGTGATTGGGAAACCCCATTCACTCTCCTTCCTGTGGCTGGGCGTCAAACCTTCCGCCCAACTCTAATATCATTCGCATCTGTGCAAGACCCGAGACCAGAGTGGAACGACGACTCAGATAAACCCGCCGCATCCACGCCAATCTGTTCCCTCGCGCCCCTCCAAAAAAGATCACAGCCAAGGTCTTGACTGTTCTCCTGCCGCCCAACAAACCACTCAAGCCCGGGCGCCATTGTCTTGCCAAAACAGACAAGCGCAATTTGCTGGGGCTGACAACGGTGGCCCAGCCTCAGCCTACCCTGCAAGCAAGCACATACCATCTGCGAAATTTAAGCCCTCTGCCAACAATAATAACATGGCGGCGATCATGTCGCCATCATCATCATCTCCTGCGACTTCGCCGCCGGCCATTCCATCTCCCGGCTCGAACCCGAACCCGAACCATCCGCCACTACCACCGCTAATCACCTCACCGCCCGCTCGCAGAAGCACCCTGCCACGCCCCATGTCTCACGCCTCCAAGAATCGACTCTCACAATACTCGACGGGTTCGATCCCCTCTCGGTCGCGGCCGCCCTCCCACATTTTCCCCATCTTCCCGTCCAGCCTGCCTTATACTCTTGTGCGCGACTTCGCCTACCCCGCTGGGCACCCGCTGCATTATGGGCCTCCGCCAGAACCCTCGGGACCCCCCTCGGGAATGACCACCCCGGTCAGCGAACAGCGACGGCTATCAGACCCTCCGGCGTCATGGGAGAGCAGGATGGGCTGGGACTCCGGGTCGTGGGGGAACGAAGGCTTCGGGAGAGCGAATGACCTACCACCGATGCAATTTGCGGATGGCCCGCCGTGGAGCGAGGATGAGGACCTCCAGAGTCCCGTGGTCAGCTCGCGACACAGGAAACACAAGTCCTCCTCGGGCGCATACGGCCATGGAAGGACTCGAAGCGGGCGGGATGTCCAGGCATCAAGCCATGGCGGCTCTGATATTCTCAACCCGGACAACTTCGACAGGGAAAGGGGATACTACGTCGGTACAAGCGGTGACGGCAGCGAGAGGTACTACGTGAACCAGGGAGACGAAGCAAACGGCCCCGGAGGGGAATATGTCACATACCCTCCCGACGCGGCACGCCACACCAACAATCCTTACCATCTTGCCGGCCGACCACCTCAGCAGTACATTGACCACGATGCGGGATATCGATCCGAGTCTGACGAATCGAGTGCTGCCTCGTCCCCCGGTTATCCCGAAGAGGACCAGTCGAGATACTCGCGAGACTATCAATTCACAATCACATCTCCCGACGAGGAGATGCACGGCAAAGCGGTGGCATTGTTTGATTTCGAACGGGAGAACGAGAACGAGTTACCGCTCGTAGAGGGCCAGATCATCTGGGTCTCTTACAGGCACGGCCAGGGCTGGTTGGTCGCCGAGGATCCCAAGACGCAGGAGAGTGGCCTTGTCCCCGAGGAGTACGTCCGCCTCCTCCGCGATATCGAGGGCGGCATGAACAGTCTCACGGGCAACCTGGCAGAAAGCCCCGCGAGCCCCAACGAGGTTGGGACGCCGACTCAGGCCGAACATCCCCATTTCGGCCATACCCCTACTCCCAGCAACGTCAACGGGTATCACCAGCCTGTAGTTTCGACCTTCTCCACCTCTAGCAAGGATCTAGACCCTTATCCGCAGCATCTCTTGGGCACGCAGGCGGGCCAGGCACCGCCCCAAGTTGTCCATTACCACGGGCAAAGGGGCGGCAGCCAAGCCAACACTCCCACCCTCCTGTCCCATCAAGACGTGGGCATGATGCGACGCGAAAGTCTGGACACAACAGCCAGGAAGAACGACATGACCACGGTCGCGGAGGCACTTGGTGATCCTGCACTGACGGACTCTCCCGCCATCCCTGATGGGGACAAGATGGACACCGACCAGTAGTTTTTCTCGATCGTGTGTTGGGGGTGCGGATTTCGCTTGGAGGCCTTAGATACGGGCCAACCCCCCTTGTATCATTATTATATTTGCTTTTTTTCTCTTTTTTTCGCGCCCCTGTTTCTTTCATGATGGGGGTAGGTTTCTCTCTGCGTTCCTGGATTTACTTGCACTGCTACGGAACGAGCTTGGCGTTCGTGCGCATATATGACGAGGAGCGAAGGCTGGAGCATTCAGGACGGTCGTTTCTTGATACACACGGCACGACTTACGACTACTGCTCTTGGGGACCCGGGCCGAGTGAGTTGGGCGGGCTCTTTCGCATCAAACAGCTGGGGAGGGTTGGAGGAACTTGCATTTGCTTGGCTCAGGTGTCTTCTTTTTTTTTTGGCAGATATTCCCCCAACCATAGTCGGGCTATATAGGAAAAGGCTTATTTACTTCACTTTCTGCCATTATCTCGCGCTCTCTCCAAGCCTCGGCGTCGGGAGGATCGGCGTCAGATTTCACCTGGTGTTAGTGGCATGTATTGCAATTTGGATATCCTCATCCATTTTCCTCGGGCACTCTCGCAAACTCGACACTGCCGAGTCACACATCTACACGATACCCACCTTACCTAAATATATATAAAAGTTGATGGTGGAATGTATTCGCAGGGAACGCCCCATTGATCGGAACCCGAGAGGCTCCCCGTTCCTGGACCACGTGATCGTCGCCCATCGTACCTGATGCCATGACGTAGGACTTGGCAGGTCTCCAGCTGCTTACCAATGGTAGGTAGGTAGGTATCCTTAGAGCCGTTAACGCCGCCAACACCTGGGCCCTTCCAAGCTCCCCATCCGTCTCTCCGACTCAATTGACTTCTCCGGGGATCACCAATCAGTTCTCGCCATAATCATGTTCGCAAGATCTGCATTCAGGGCCGCTGCGCCGCTACGACAGGTAAGTTCCAAGCTCCGTCTGATCGCTGGGATCGCCCCGTCCCTTAGTTCCCGAAGTAAAATAACGTGAAGCGGGATTAACCTCATCCGCAGCAAATCCGTCACTACGCGACCGAGCCTGCTCCCGCGCAAGGCAAGAGCAACAAGGCCTTTGTTTATTCGGCCGCGGGCCTCGGCGCCGCCGGCGCCGCCTACTACTTCTTCGCGGGCACACCGGCGGCCAAGAAGGCCGAGGCCAAGGTCAGCGAGGCCGCGAGCGCTGCCTCGTCTGCGACCGCGGATGTCAAGAAGGCCTTCACCGGCGGCGACCAGGGCTTCGTCAGCCTCAAGCTCGAAGAGGTGCAGAATGTCAGCCACAACACCAAGCTCTTCCGCTTCAAGCTGCCCGAGGACGACATGGTCTCCGGTCTGCACATCGCGAGCGCCATCTTGACCAAATACCAGCCCCAGGGCGCCGAGAAGCCCGTGATGCGGCCGTATACTCCAATCAGTGATGAAGGTGGGTTTTCTATGTACTTCATTGTTCCATCATTAGAGCTGTCGCTGACGCCGGTGTAGATTCCAAGGGCCACATGGACCTCCTAGTGAAGCGGTACGAGAACGGGCCCATGTCGACCCACCTGCACGACATGGTTCCGGGCCAGCGGCTTGACATCAAGGGCCCGCTCCCCAAGTACTCGTGGACCCCCAACAAGCATGGGCACATCGCGCTGATCGCCGGCGGCACGGGCATCACGCCCATGTTCCAGCTGTGCCGGGCCATCTTCAAGAACCCCGAAGACAAGACCAAGGTGACGCTCGTCTTCGGCAACGTGACTGAGGACGACATCCTGCTCAAGCACGAGCTGGCTGAGCTGGAGAACACGTACCCGCAGCGCTTCCGCGCCTTCTACGTGCTCGACAACCCGCCCAAGACCTGGGCCGGCGGCAAGGGCTACATCAACAGCGAGCTGCTCAAGACGGTCCTCCCCGAACCAAAGGCCGACAACATCAAGCTTTTCGTCTGCGGGCCCCCAGGCTTGATGACCTCCATCTCGGGCAACAAGAAGAGCCCTAAGGACCAGGGCGAGCTGACGGGCATCCTGAAGGAGCTGGGCTACACGCCCGAGCAGGTGTATAAGTTCTAGACGGTCGGAGGCTGTATCGATTAGACATTATTGTAGACATAGAAGCCGAGGCATTCCTAATCATGATGGTCCTCTCCCCGAGCTGTATCTAGAAAACCTTTGCTCTCCACTGCTGAGTAGCTTGATGTGTGCCTTTCTGATGACCCCTTTGATAACGCCAGACGCCGCCCGTTCCCAAAACAGTCTCCACATCTTCCCCGGCTCTCCGATTCTAATCTGGAAATACCAAGATTTCAACCCAGTTAATACGGACAAGCTCGAAGGTAAGTGCCATTAGAACCTAATCATCCTGTCATTACGAATCTTCAACCCCTATGAGCATATACCGAGGTTGTAGATATCAGCTAGGTTGGCTAGTCGGAGGTGCGCAATATTCTAACACTAACACCCATTGCCGGAGCCAACTGAACGCTTCGCTGTTAACTATCTCGTTATTTTTTAATGAGCTAGTTTCTCGCTCACCAACTTGACCGTTCAAACTAGGCATCCCAGACCCAACCCTTTGACTTGCAAGGTTACAGACTCTAAGGGGACTTTTTCTGCATTCCAGTTGTCAGAGCATTGGAGCAGGTGGCAGAAGCTGGCATCAGCTGCCATTGCTGTTGCCTCCACCTGGTTGAAATTTTGGCAGGCCACTGCCACCTGAGATGCACTAACCGCCTGCCCGCCGAGCAAATGGGCGCATGCCCCTGGAGAAATTCCCACTTCGAAAACCAGAAAGGCCCATGACTGATATGGAGATTATCGCTTGAATGACGCTGTGGTTCTCTTGGAGCCGTCAGGCATACACATATAATGCAGCAGAAATACATAGGGAATGCCCTATGGCAAGGTCTACTACCTAATATAGTTATTGTGGCAGTCTGGAGAGCAACACGTCCACCAAGGGTGTAGTTGTTATTTCGTATTCATTGGTACAATACGACCTTCCGAAACCGAGATCGGCTCCGGTACAGGTTCCGTCGGTCGATCGGAGGCGGGAATATTTGGGCCAAGTGGGGACGCCGGCGATCGCCCCAGCATCGCTTTTAAACAGCCATGCGCCAGCTTTCTTACCCCCAAGAATCAACCTAGACAGCCCCTATCCAGCTCTTCTTCAATCCATCTCCATAGGCTGTGCGAGGACACAGTGCACCTTCTACGCCAGAGAGTAGATACTCTTCTCCGAGCGAGGCTACAACCATGCCTCCACATATCGTAGTTCTAGGGTACCGCAACCCAACCCAATAACCCGCCCCAATAACCCCCCAGACAGCAGGTTTTATCCCAGAAGTCAGTCTAACCCAACCCCCCCCTCAGCGCCGGCGTGATCGGCCTCAGCTCGGCGACGCGCCTGCAGGAGGCGGGCCACGCCGTGACCATCGTGGCCCGGGATTTCCCGGGGCCGTTCGAGACGGTCGACGGGACCACGCAGATCAACTACACCTCGCCGTGGGGCGGCGCGCACAACCGGTGGGTGGTCCCCACGGGGGGCGACGGCCCTGAGGCGGCGCAGCTGGCGCGCGAGCACGAGCTCGCCCTCGAGACCTTCCGCCGCATGGACGCCCTCGCCCAGACGAGCCCCGAGGCCGGCGTCATCTTCATGAGGGGCGTCGAGTACCTCGAGGCCCCGCCGCCCGAGTACCGCGCCCTGGACGCCGCGCGCGCCGCCGAGCTGGGCGTGCAGGACTTCCGGCTGCTGGGCGCCCACGAGTTCCCCGACGAGAGGGTGGCGTGGGGCTGCGAGTACCGCACCTGGTGCGCAAACCCCATGGTCTACTGCTGCTTCCTGCTGCGGAGGTTCGTGTACCGGGGCGGCAGGATCGTCAAGAGGGAGGTGCGCGACCCGGCCGAGGTGTTCGCCGTCGCGGACCTGGGCCGCGTCGACGCCGTCGTCAACGCTTCGGGGAACGGCTTTGGCGATGACAAGATGTCCATCACGAGGGGCAAGTATTCGTTCTGCTCGCTCTCTTTCCCCCCAGCTGCTCGCCTAATCAGTTTGATATCTGGCTTTCTTACACCCCTCCTACAGGCCAGACATGTCTCGTCTCAAACCCCTCCGACGCAACGGTCACCCGCCAGAACGCCGACGGCAGCTGGACGTTCTGCGTCCCCCGTAACTTCTACGGAGGCACCGTCATCGGGGGCACCAAGGAGCCCGACAACTGGGACCCGGAGCCGTCGGCCGAGGTGCGGAACAGGCTCCTCAGCACCTTCGCCGCAACGTATCCCCAGATCCTGGGGCCGACCGGTAAGTTCGAGGTGATCAGGGATATAGTAGGGCGTCGTCCGACGCGGCGTGGTGGCCTCAGGCTAGAGACGGAGGAGATAGGGGAGGAGAAGAAGGTCGTGGTCCATGCATATGGCCTGGGCGGGCGTGGCTACGAGTTGTCTTGGGGAGTTGCGCAGGAGGTGGTGAAGCTGGTGAATGCTGGCGTAGGAGCAGGCTCTTAGCTCCAGGGGAGGCGTTGTTTCTTGGACATAAGTTATCAGACGTTGCCCTCCCGACGTCGAGTCTTAAGACTACGAGACTGAGGGGATTACGACAATACCCCTTGTGCGACACATAGTACAGAAACTCTGAATTGATTGACAGGTACAGTGACTTTCTCGCACACGCTCAGCCATGATCTAGGTATTATCAAACATCAGCGATTTTCGTACAGAGTAGCGTAATCCTCAACCCCCCAAGGCCAGGCAAGGCTTCCCAGCCTGGCTCCGAACGCCAGAAAATGCATCAGATCTCTTCTCCCACTGTCCTATCTTCCAGGTCCCGCCCTCCCCGTCACCTCCTCTCCTCCCCCCCCTCGGCCCCGCCCCCGCCGACCCTCCTCCTCTCGCGGCTCGCAAACCCACCGATCCTCTCCCCCCTCGCGAGCGCCTCCTCCTCCCTCCTCCTCTCCTCGCGGTCCCGCTCGGGCAGGCCCCACCACTCGCGCAGGAACGCCTCCTGCTCGGCCTTGCGGCGGGCCTTGCGCTCGCGCTCGCGCTGCCGCTCCTGCCGCTGCGCAAACCAGTCCTCGCGCGCGGCGTCCTGCTCCGACGGCGTGGCGTGCGCCTGCATGCACGAGTTCATCAGCCGCTGCTGCGGGCGGCACGCAAAGGACACGGTGAAGGTGCGGTTGAGGGCGCAGGCGGCGAAGGCTGTGGAGGGGCGGGGGACTGGTTAGCGGTCGGTCTTCCTGGAGTTTCTTTGCTCATTTGGAAGGGGAGGGTTGGTGGGATGAGTCGGTACTGTGTAGTTATATGTGCGAGTCGGGGGAAAGGGAGGTGGTGTTTGGTGATCAGGTTTCGCAGGCCATTGAATAGTGCTGGGGGAGGGAAAAATGGGAAGAAGACATACCCTTGATCTCCTCCGCGCAGTGGTCCCTCACACGGGCGTAGAATATGTCGCGGACCTGAGCTTCTTGCGATGCTGACAGCGGGAGCGGGTTGCGAGACGGAATCGGCAGCCGCTCTGGCTGGCCGGGATCTGGTGTTTCGAGGGCCATCGCGGCCATACGGGGAGCAAGAGGAGGTCGGGCGAGATCAGCCACGTGGTTTCAACGGTTCAGGGCTCTTCGTTTGAGCTTGGGGTATCGCATTGAAGGGTTGTCGCTGTGTCCCGATATCCGTAGTCGGCCGAGTCGAACGACTTTGAATGGCCCTGGCCGCCCGAGCTTCAGAGCTCCAATTTGATCGGAGGATAAACCCACCGCCGCAGGTGGGGGCTCAAGCCACGAATGTGGAGCTTCAGCCACACTCACTCACTCACTCACTTGAATCAAACCACTGGAACATGAGGCAGAGGTATAGGTAGGTCCCCAGGTCATGGGATTAAAGAGGCACACATTTATTTCACGCTGTCACAATTAGGATTTTGGTCAACGCAGATAGATGCAGCTATAGTCGTCATGTTTGTTCGCTATCGCCGCAACTACCTAGTGTTGTCATCCGTGAACCCTTCAGACTCCGACACCCTGTCTCTCTCCAGGTCTAAGCTCTCCTTCTCCTTCTTCGCCTTCTTGCTGAAACTAAGCCATCGCGCACTGCCCGTCTTACCGTCTTTAGCGGACCGAGTATTGCTCAGAATTGGGCCCAGGCTGGGACTGCCAGTAGCGCTATCATAGCTTCGCCCAAGCGAACTGCTGCCCTCATCCCGACTATTGACATCCTCGACCTCCCCGATGCTGGCGCGCTCCGCCGAGTTGCCCTTCTCCGAGTTTCCGACGCTGGTAGCGCTGCCCGGCCCCTTCTTGAACAGGCTTGAGCCGTCCTTGCCACCGAGCCGCCCCGGGAGGCTGAACTTGCTGGAGCTACCCTTTCGAAACAGTTTTCGAACCACGTTATCGTCCTTAATACTGCTCGCCAAGCCGGTGCTCGTTGCCTCTGAGGGGGTGTTGGAGAGTGGCTGATCAAGCGACAGCGACTCGCGGGATTCCGAGATGGATGGCTGCGTGTGGACGGACAGTCCGTCGCGGGACTTGCGTGAATCTGTAGGAGACTCGGCCTCGAAGGGAGGCACAAGCGGCGTGTCGGCGACAGACCCGCCCTTTGTTTTCTCCTTGGCGTCTTTTCCCTTGTCTTTGCCTTTGCCCTTCTCCTTCTCCTTGCCAGAATCTTTGTCCTTGTCGGGTTTGCCTCGGAAGAGGGAACCCATGAATGCCGGCGCGTTCGGGTTCAGCCGTGCAAAAGACCTTGACGATGCTGGAAGCGGCCGGCCGATAACACCGACTTCGCTGGCATTGGGCATGGTTTCCTCATCCAGGATTTCATCGTCTGCTGATGCCAAGGTCGTCTTCAAAGCCGACGGTGAGCCGTGGAGAGATGCTCGACGGGACGGATTCCTAGACCAAGACGCTTCCGGAGACCAGAGACGGCTTTGCTTGCCTAGAGTGCTTCCTTCTGCAGGATACGGTCCCCATATCGAGCCGCCCTCGGTTGATGGTCTCGGAAAGTCGGTTGAAGCAATGCTGGCCGGCCTTGGGCTGCTGGGATCGGCCTCTGAGAATATGGCGCTTGATCCCTTGTTTGAACTGGAGAAAGGATTCAGTGTTCTGACTGAGAAGCCTCTGGAGCCCGTTACATAGCCTTCGAAAACAGCGGGTCCAGCTGAGTTTCGGTTAAACATGTTCCAAGAGCCAGATAAGCTGGTCCTGCGTTTGTTGGTCAACGCATCTGGTTCGCCTGTCTGTCTCGGGAAGGACTGGCTTTGTCCCGCCTTCAAACTACCGAGGGCAGGGCCATTTTCGTCAACACCCTTCAGGTTCCTCGATCTCTGGAAGCTGAAGAAACTGCTGAGCTTGTTCGTCGAGAGCCCTGTCGAGACGGGCGAGGCCATATTATCTGCGGCTTGAAGTGACCTTCCATCACTGCTGTCTGCAAATGCCGGGAAGGGAAGGTGGTGCGAGGAACCCCGAGGGCTGGACACAGGGATGCTCATGGAACGACTCGAAGATGCGGGTGACTGAGGATCATTTTCTGGGGAGCCTGCGTACTGGGGAAAGAATTCGGGGCCAAATCTCGACGTCGGGCTATCGTCATCGTCGTCGAAATCGTCAAGAATGTTCGAAGGCAAAAGCGCGGTCGCGGAAGGACTCAGGGGAGCTGACATAGCTCTAATGCCGGCTTCGTCAAGACGGGGCGGCATGTCAGCCGAGAGATCCATGAAGGGACCTTGAGCAAAGGACTGCGGCGCCTGTGGTCGGAGGCCACCAAATCCAGGGGGTCCATGGGTGGACGGGTCGAGCTGAGAGTAAGGGGGTAGCGGTGATGAGATGGAGACGTTCGACAGTGAGTTGCTATTTCGACTTCGCCTTTTGAGCGCGTTGACAGAGGTGTTGTCAAAGTCGATACCCGAGGAGTTCGCTTGAGTGTAGATACCGTATCCTGGCTGTGCGCCTGGAATGTGACCGACCTGCATCGACAGAATCCTCAGTTGCTCATCCAGCCTCCGCGTAATCCTGTTCTCCTGGACGAGCGCCTCGTGGAGCTCCCTCTGCCTTTGCTGGCACGCTTTCTTGAACTCGACATCCCTTTCGCGCCATTCCGCATCCTCTTCACCGCCCGGGAGCCTCTTCCTGGCATCCTCCAACTCCTTGACCTGTTCCCTTTTCTCCTTGAGCTCCGCCTCCAGGCGAGCACATTCCCGCTGCAGGTCATCAGTTGACCGACGGAAATTTTCCAGTTTCTTGTCGCGCTCGGCTTCGAGATCTTCTTTCTGGCCGTCGAAGTTCTCTTGTTCCCTGCGCATGTCGGCAATGCCCTTTTCCCACTTTGCAATATCGCCGTGGAATTTTAACCTCTCATTTTGCTTGTCTTTGAGAAGCTTCTCCTTTTGGGTTTTCCGCTGCATTGCGTTCCTCATGAGCCGGTCGGTCGCGTTGACCTCGCGCTTCAGCTTCTCTGTCTGCTCTTCCTTCTTTTTCTGCTCCTTCTTCTTCTCCTGCTTTTCCGCCTCTAGCTCGTCCAAGTGCCGCTTGTTATCACTTTCTTCCTTGGCGATAAGTGCCGTCAACTCCTCGGTCTCTTTCCGAATGCTCTCGAACCTTTCCGTAAGTTCGGGTAGACTCTGTCCGGATTCGCTGGCAGGCTCACTGCGGATGGGCGGCGCGTCCATGCTGGTGGTCGAGGGCGAGTGTCGCCTGGTCACCGTGTTTCGTCGGGGCCCGGATGATGCTGTGCTGCTCCCTTCGCGGCCCAGAGTTGGAGTTGCGTCCGGCGGCGGAGCAGACTCGAGAGCAAGGCCCGGGCTTTTGGGAACACCGTTTTCATCCACATGATCTCCTTGCGCTGAGCTAGACTGCTCGTCGGGGAGGAAGTTGGAGGGGAGTCTGGCGTTCCCCAGTTGAGGCCGTCCATCCCTTCCGAATGTTCGTAGTCGAATCACACGGCTGCCGGCCTGGAAGTTGTTCGATCCTACAGCGATGACACGCACATTGTAGAAGTGATTCGGCTTCAGGCCGCTGACGACAATAGCCGGTTCTTGGTTGGCGGCGACCTCGCCAACTGTTGAAACGCAGTTAGACCTCCTTCCGTCCTCAGGAGATTCAGGAGCAGGGAAAAGAGGGGTAGTCCTTACCAACGACGCCATTAACTTGGATCAAGAACTTCTGGACGGGACGGTTCGAGAGCGGCCGGCTCCAATTTACGGTGGCCGCATCGGAACGGATTCCGGCCAGAGACACATCCGGGGGGTGAGGAACGTCGACGCCGAGGATGCTGATCAGCTCGGGAACCGGTTTCCACAACGTCTGCCATGCCCGTCGCAGCAGCCTAGAAATACACACAAAAATGCCCAAGTTAGACACAGCCCAATCATGACGAGAAGATCGAGCGGTGGGGGTTTAGGAAGCACTAGGGCCTACATACCAGACGACTGCAGCGCCTGTCAAGAGCATATTGGCATGGTTTATGAGGAACAGGCGGAGGGGAGGGCCGGCGACGGCGTCGTAGGAGGAGGTGGAGAGCGACGCGGACAAGTCTCGGGAGAGGTCTGGGGCGATGGCGCAACAGAAGAGAACAACGCCGAGAGCGGCGATGAGGTTCACCCGCGCGTTCTTAGGCTCGGTAAACCACCAAGCAACAACGGCAGAGACGATCAGGAGAGTAGGAATCAGTGTCGTGCGTGCGGTCCATGACATATCGCCGTGGTTCGGTGCGTGCGGCAGAAGGAGGGCGGAAGAGCCGGACGAGAGGGTCAAGTCATGTGGGAACTGGGAATGGAGAGAAAAAAGGGTGGGGGCCGGGAGGGGAAAGGATGGGGGTTAGAATTGATGCAGGAACTGGGAAAATTCCGCAGGAAAATGGAGGCAAAAACAAACGGCGGTAGGTACCTACCTAGGGAAGAGAAAAGGGTCTTGGCTTTTGCCTTACGGACAAGGCGCGTGGAGTCACTGGAGTGCCGGCAGATTTAGCTCGCAACCAAATTGCCTGATACCTTATAAGGTTACCCTTCCACTCTTGCTTGTTTGGCCTCTCAAGCTAATAATTCCCCAGCTTCAATGCTTCTCCTTGGGTGCCTAATAATGGTTCAATCAATGGCATTGCATCGCGGCGTCGGCCGATGCGTAGTCACGAGCTAGTGGAGAAGGGCGGAACCAAAAAGGCTTTGTGAATCCCCTGGTCGGTGTTATCAGCACCACATGGCAGACACTTTGTAGCAAAAATACAGCCACGTTTTCTTCTTTTCTGATTACCTATACATATAGGTAGACCTCTGTTTTATTTGCTGCCGATCGAGCGCCATCAATAAACTAAGGAGAGAATCGTGAGGTCAAGGCCAAGAGGATGCTGCAAGTGGTCCCAACATGCAAATGCGACAGTATGGCCCGAACTCTCGAGTGAACCCCGCGATCCGGACCTCAACTATCACCTCGAGTTCGCAGGTGGCTGGCTCCCGTAGTCTTGCAAGATGCTTTTCCCTAAACTATTGCAAGGAGCTATCCCCTAGTGCTGAGCGGCTTCTGCGGCTGCTTCGCTTTACTTATACAGGAAGTATACGAGTACTCAACTTCTATATCCCCATCACTAACATGGGTCTGTACTTACGTAGGACGCGAACTGCGGCTACAGGGATGATTTCCTTGTTATATCCAGTGTAGGGTAAGCATGTGACTTGTAGTAACTCTGCTCCATGATCTCGGCAATGGCCCTTGCACATGCCATCCTTAGCGCAGATTTCCAGGTTTCGACTGGACGACAAGGCAACTTGATGAGCAATTCTCTAATTCAGTCTTGCGTGGGGCTAGCTGGACCCTCAGCAAGCTCGATCTGGTATCCTACATGTGGAAGAGGGTCATAGGTGGTTCGGAGACCACTGAGGCGCTAATAAATATGTAGTTGTCTTATTACACCTCGGTACCTACTACCTAATCATGTCACTCACCTGGGCCTCGGCAAAGCTCGGTTTAGCTGTTTTACGACACATACACGGAATGTTATAGCTAGTAGCTGCTCTTAGTGGGCCCAAGTTGAGCTGATGAATATGCAAAGATGCGACCGTGAGAAGGACCCTGGGTTGTGTCATATAAAAAGAAAGCGCTGGTCCCGCCGTGTTGGTCCCGCCGTTTGAGCCCATCAAGAATGCAGACGGGACTGCCTCGGATAGATACGGTGGCGGCGCTAGATGGAAAACAGTGGGGCTGCAGTGACTGGATGCTGAATGCTGAGCCGACTCCAATTGACAATTGATGGGGAGACAGGGATTACGGCCTTGTTGGGGCGCGGCGTGGGAAGCGGGAAGTGGTCATGCCTCCATTTCACAAGCTCAACCTTCTTCACCTCGTCTCGGCCACTCATTATCCAGTTTCTCTGTGCCAGAAACCCCTCAAAAGTCTCTTCATATAATCGTTGCGGTTCGATTTTTTACACGTAGCCCCTGCATTGCATCTCGAACCCCGTATCCGGACTCAACTTACCCAGTATCAGCTTACTTGAACCTCGCTCCTGCAGCTGCCCACTTATTCCCACCACCCCTCCCTCTGTAACTGCAAGCTCAAGACAGATCGAGAAAACCCACCGCGATATTGAAGCCCAAGGCCCCCGAAGCCCGACTTAGAGGTCCCTCTTCTCTTGTTGGGTCTTCGTCGCCCAACAGGCCGCCTCGGTTCACAGCCCTCATTCCCCAGATCCCCCTCCTCAGAGCACTGCGTGAACATCCACGATGCAGTACGTCAGAAACCTCAGCGAGTCTGTCTCGACAGCATGGAACTCGATAAACCCAGCCACCCTCAGCGGCGCGATCGACGTTATAGTCGTTGAGCAGGAAGATGGCACTCTGGCGTGCTCTCCGTTTCACGTGCGCTTCGGCAAGTTCTCCTTGCTTCGCCCGTACGAGAAGAAGGTCGAATTCGTGGTCAACGGGGTGAAGCAGGATTACTCCATGAAGCTCGGCGAGGGCGGCGAGGCCTTTTTCGTTTTCGAGACCAGCGAGACCATTCCTCTAAGCTTGCAAACTTCACCACTGGTGTCCCCAGCCTCCAGTCCGCCACTCCATGCTCAGCACTCTGCTGTTCCCGCCTTGCAGGAGCCCGAACTGCTCGAACTTAACGGGGAACCCGGGAAGTCTCTCCACAGACCGCGTCCTACCGTCTTGCCTTCCATAGAAGGGGCAAATGGTAAGGCAGACCTCCCATTCCCAAGAGTGAGAGACAAAAGCTGACAACCTCAAGGCATGCTCACCCCACGATCTACCTCTCCTGAGCCGGCCAAGGACCACTTGGCCTCGGCCAATTATTCGTCCATGGGCACCAGACCGTATAGTGACGACGTGCTCCAGCATATAGCACGAATGCAGCCGAGTGAACATGACTCCGGGGAAGCCTCGAACGATGTTGACAACCCACTATATTCCGAGAGGTCCCACAGCCCACCGCCTCTGGCACCAAGAGAGGCTTTCGAGAGAGCCATAACCCTCTCAAAAGAGTTGTCCGCTGTGAATATTCCGACACATATCACTGAGTCTGGGGACCTGATGCTGGACATGACTGGCTTCAAGAACAACGACGAGGACGCCCTCCGCGCCGAGATACTGGCCCGAAAGGTCTTGGCCGAAGAGATGGAGGGTAACTACGACATTGGTGCTCTATTCGGCGTCGATGATCAGGGCAACCTCTGGATCTACAGCAGTGAGGATGCAAAGGAGGCCGCCATGAAGAGAGCGATGGAAGTCTCTCTGCGATCCCAGCCCACTCTCGCTATTGATGCGGTATCCGATCCGGGTTATCATAGTGACGGGAGCGATACTTCGTCGTCTCACATGCTCCCGTCCCACAGGCGGACAGGGTCTGACCTGGGCCAGTCAGCATTGCAGACACCTCCGTCGTCGCCTGGTTCTCCCACAGCTGGTGACCCGAACCGCAATTATGCCAAGACGCTGCGTCTGACCAGCGACCAGCTGAGGGCTCTCAACTTGAAGCCGGGCGAGAATTCAATGAGCTTCACCGTTAACAAGGCAACGTGTTCGGCTTTCATGTACCTGTGGAAGCACGAAACCCCCGTCGTCATCTCGGACATTGACGGGACGATCACCAAGTCCGATGCCCTGGGCCACGTATTCAATATGATCGGGCGCGACTGGACTCACACGGGGGTCGCAAAGCTCTACACTGATATCGTTGCCAACGGGTACAACATCATGTACCTCACCAGCCGCTCGGTCGGGCAAGCCGACACCACGAGGGCATATGTGGCCGGCATCTCGCAGGACGGTTACCGTCTCCCACGGGGGCCGACAATCCTCTCCCCAGATCGAACCATGGCTGCCCTTCGTCGGGAAGTCTACCTCCGCAAGCCCCACGTGTTCAAGATGTCGACCCTCCGCGACATCCGTAGCCTCTATGGGCCAGGCCGTTCGCCCTTCTACGCAGGCTTCGGGAACCGGTTCACGGACCAAATCTCGTACCGCACGGTCGACGTTCCGCGAACTCGCATCTTCACCATCAACTCCAACGCAGAAGTGTCGCTCGACTTGCTGAGCCTGAACAAACTCAAGCTGAGCTACGTCAACATGACCGAGGTCGTCGATCATTACTTCCCGGCCGTCAGCACCCTGATCAAGGACGGCGGAGAGGAGTTCACGGATTTCAAGTATTGGCGAGACCCACCTCTAGACCTGGACGAGTTCTCGGCGAGCGATAGTGACGACGAGACCGAGGACGACGGCGAAACCCACGCAGACGACCACGATAGCCAGTATGCGGAAGGGGAGGACGACGATGAGGGGGTCGATGAGGGCATGGGTGACAGCTACATCTCGCGCGGATCCCTCGACGAATACGGCGAGGGGGGCGAGAGCATCATGAGTGGCAGCTTCGAGGGCGAGGAGCAGTTGATGCACTCGATGATGGAAGACGAGGACGCCGACGATGAGGACGAAGTCGAAGACGAGGACGGCGATGCGGCGAATGGAGAGGATGTGCAAGTCGAAGAGGACGACCACGACGTGACTCCTGTGCAACCCGATGGACCGGGTGCGGAACCACAGCTGAGGCACTCACCCCGCGCTGCCGTCCAAGACGTCAATGCCGAGATGATCACGGGTGTCAAAAACCTATCTCTGGAGAAAGAGGAGGCCAAGTAGGGAGTCGGGAAAGAGGGCCGATTTGGTCACACAGCGCATTTCGAGGGCCCGGTTTAAACTGAAAGCATTTCATGAGAGGGATAAGAGCGGTCTAGGATACATACCATGGGGGTCTGGGTTTTTTCTTTTCCTACTATTCTAGACATGGGCGTTTCTGGGAGTTAGAGCATTCTGCATAGCGAAGCGCATTGCATCCTTGTTTCTCTCGTTCTTGTATTAGGTAGATCATACAAATACAGTCGGGTGCGCTGTACACACAGCAAGGTACTGCCCGAGCCCAGATCATTTCATCGTGTCCCATCTTCTTTTTGCTGCCTCTTCCTGTCGATGGCAGTGGGGTCTTTAACCGTGCCGGCGGGCCCTGCTCTGAAAATGGATTCGCTCTCTAGTGAGCTCACGTAACAGATCAGGGTACCCAATCATTGAAAACAAACGCTTCGTAAGGGCCTAAAAGAAGGCATTTCGGAGGAGGCTGACAGAGGTCTTCACTCCTCGGCCATCTCCATATCTCCAGCCTCAACCTCATCCCCAAATACATCCGCCATCGTTCCCCCCTCGATGCCATCGCCTCCCTCGTCCTCCGCATCGGCCGCCGCCGTTTCCACGCCCTCCATCGCCTCCCCGGACTCGTCATCGTCGTAGCCCTCGCTGTCCTCCCCGTCTCCAGCCCCCTCCCACGCCTCCTTCAGGCCCCAGCTGACGCCGCTGAGGACGAACCGCTCGTTGGGCAGCCGGACGCCCCATTCGCTGGGCGCGACGCGCGGCAGCGCGACCCTGTTGCGCTCGCGCGCGAGCTCCATCATCCAGTCCTTGGACACGCCGCCGGCGGCGGAGCCGGCGCCACCGCCGCCGCGGAACTGGTAGCCGAGGCGGCTGGCGATGGCGAGCTGGACGGCATTCGCGGAGACGGCGGCGTCGCCGGCGTTGACGGGGGCGGCGCCCGAGGTGGCGCTGGGGCGGGCGCCTGCCTGCGAGGTGTACGGGTCGGCGGCAAGGTGGAGCGCGTCCGAGAGGACCGACGACGTGTGCCGGTACGCGAAGTCGAGGAGGAGGAGCGGCACGCGCGACTCGAAAGCCGTCACGCCCTGCGCTGTTAGGAGGAGCTCGAGGGTGCGCGAGTCGCGTGGCCGGGGCGCGGCGGCGCTGGTGGATGTGGGGTGCTGGGGGTGCTGTTGTTGTGACGGCTGTTGCGTCTGTGACTGGGTTGCGTGCTGGGTGGGCGGTTGTGAGCCCGCCGCTTGGCTGGGTGTGGCGTTGGCGGGTTGTGATTGTGTGCCGCCTACGGTCTGGGAGCCGGAGCCGGCAGAGGATGAGGGGCCCAGGACACCGTTGGTCTGCGGCGTGGCTGTTGCCGTCGCCATGGTTGTGTAAAATTAGAAGTAGGACCGGCTCGGCGAGGTCAAGCGGCAAGAGCGCCTCGGTGCGATCGGTCGTAATAGGTGTCGCGATGAATCAGGTTCGTCGGGGATGGGGATATTCTCTCGCAGATAAAATAAGATTGACTAGAGAGTCCAACTGATGGGCGAAAAGGTGCTCTTTAATGAAGACGATGGGTTAAACTTGGAAGTTAATATCGAGACTTCGATAATGGATGTGCTGGGTTCGGTCTAGGTGAGGCAGGTCGCGGGTGTCAAGCTTAATTCGGCTTAATAATAATCCGCGCCGCTGCGAGTTCCGCACAGGCCACACCTTATTTGCGTCTTCAGGCGCATAACCCCACCATTCACACCGTCCGTTTTTGGGCTGATCAATGAGGGGCAAATGTGGTGAGGGGCGACGCGATTTTTTCCCCTTCAAGCGTAGGGTCAAGATACTGCGTACTTAGGTGATGAGTCAGAGTCGACGATCGCGATAAATTCCTCTCTCTCCTGTCAATTACACGCCTCAATCGTACAAGAGCCCACCCGTACCGTCACGGACGCAATGGAGACAACCCTCCCCCTCCCGTTTTTGGTCAGCGTCGCTGCTCCCCCTGGTTTGGATGGAGATGTGCAAGGTCTTAAAAGAGAAGAGGTCTCATGTTTGGGTGTGGTGTTTTTCGACGTGAACCCGAAGAACTTCGAGAAGTTGCTTCGATTCTTGAATAAGCACAACTCCGAGTTCCAGCCATACTTCGACGTCACCCGGCTCGAGTCCCAAGACGATGTCCTCTCGCTACTCGACAGCGGCGCTCGCAAAGTGTTTGTAAACCCGGAACGCCTCGCAGACTATGCCCAATTCGGCTCCCGGGTTGCCCCCGTCGTGGCCGGCAGCAGTGCTGCCCAGCTGGATTCAGCTACTGCGCATGGATTGCTCATCACCGACTTCGACCCGACCAAGTGCGATGTTGCAAAGTTGATCGACGAGAGAAAGACAAAGAAGATATCGCCCCTTTTTATCAAGCCTGTTTCAGGCACGAATCTGGAGCACTTCCTGGACATTGCGACCCAGCTGTCTGCAATTCCGATCCTCCCGTCGACTGGATTGACCACAGACCCGACTGATACCGGAAAGCTTCCAGTATCCAAGATCCTTGCCTCGTCTTGGACCTCTGATAGAGCAGACGGGTTGGTGCCTACCGTTGTCTGTGACGAGGGAGGCATTGCTCTCGGCCTAGTCTACAGTAGTGAAGAGAGTGTGGCGGCGGCGTTGAAAACCCAGACTGGCGTCTATCAAAGTCGGAAGCGCGGACTTTGGTATAAGGGCGCCACCTCGGGTGACACGCAGGAGCTCGTCAGGATATCCCTGGATTGTGACAATGACGCATTGAAGTTTGTCGTGAGGCAGAAGGGCAGGTTCTGTCACCTGGAGCAACCTGGCTGCTTCGGTCAAGTCCAAGGCATCCCTCGTCTCGAGCAGACGTTACGATCCCGAAAAGAGTCTGCACCGGCGGGCTCGTATACAGCCCGGTTGTTCTCGGATGAGAAGCTTCTTCGTGCCAAGATCATGGAAGAGGCAGAGGAGCTCTGCGACGCAAAGACACCCCAAGAAGTGGCGTTTGAGGCTGCCGACTTGATATACTTTGCCTTGACAAGGGCAATAGGTGCCAATGTCTCGCTCGCAGATATCGAGAAAAACCTCGATGCCAAGGCCTGGAAAGTCAAGCGGAGGCAAGGGGATGCGAAAGGGAAATGGGCTGAGAAAGAGGGCATCAAAACAACTGCACCTGCGCCAGCGGAACAAAGCACGAATGGTACTGTCGCAAATCATCCTGCCACGAAAGTCGCCCAGGATGCTACTCCTGAGAAGATTACGATGACCCGATACGACCTAAGCAAAGTGGCTCCAGGCGAGCTGGATAACGCGCTCAAACGGCCATCCCAGAAATCTTCGGAAGCAATCATGAAAATCATCATCCCGATTATCAACGAGGTCCGCAAGAACGGCGATAGCGCGGTTCTGTCCTACACTCACAAGTTTGAGAAGGCAACCTCGTTGACATCGCCTGTAATCAAGGCACCGTTCCCCAAGTCATTGATGCAGCTCCCCCCTGAAACCATCAAGGCGATTGATGTTTCGTTTGAGAACATTCGCAAGTTCCACGCGGCCCAGAAAGAGGAAAAGCCCCTCAAAGTCGAAACCATGCCAGGGGTCGTGTGTAGTCGCTTCTCCAGGCCCATCGAGGCCGTGGGTTTGTACGTTCCAGGAGGTACAGCTGTACTACCAAGCACGGCTCTGATGTTGGGGGTGCCGGCCATGGTAGCTGGGTGCAAGAAGATTGTCATTGCATCGCCTCCTCGAGCGGATGGTAGCATAACGCCGGAGATCGTCTATGTGGCCCACAAGGTCGGCGCCGAGAGCATCGTCCTGGCCGGCGGCGCGCAGGCGGTCGCGGCCATGGCATACGGAACTGAGAGTGTCACCAAAGTTGACAAGATTCTTGGACCGGGAAATCAATTCGTTACGGCAGCAAAGATGTACGTCAGCAACGATACCAATGCGGGCGTGGGTATCGACATGCCGGCAGGGCCATCCGAGGTTCTCGTTATTGCCGATAAAGACGCCAATCCAGCTTTCGTCGCCTCGGATTTGCTCTCTCAGGCTGAGCACGGCGTTGACAGCCAGGTCGTACTCCTTGCCGTTGATCTGTCCGAGCAACATTTACAAGCTATCGAGGACGAACTACACGGCCAGGCGATGGAATTGCCCAGAGTAGAGATCGTCCGTGGAGCAATCGCCCACTCTATCACCGTCTCAGTCAAGACCGTCGACGAGGCAATGGAAATAAGCAATCGGTATGCGCCCGAGCATCTCATCCTACAGATCAAAGATGCAGAGAACGTTGTCGACAAGGTCATGAATGCCGGCAGTGTATTCATCGGCGAGTGGACGCCGGAGAGTGTCGGCGACTATTCAGCGGGAGTCAACCACTCTCTTCGTAAGTGACTCTCTATCCTTGATTTCTATAAAAAAAAGTGGAGCTAACTTGAACAGCTACATACGGGTATGCCAAACAATACTCGGGCGTCAACCTGGCATCTTTCGTCAAGCACATCACGAGCTCGAATCTGACAGCCGAAGGGTTACGGAACGTTGGAGAGGCGGTGATGCAGCTCGCGAAGGTCGAGGAGCTGGAGGCCCACAGGAGGGCTGTGAGCATTCGCATCGACCATATGAACCGTTCTTGAGGGGGCTTGGAATTCGGTAGATGATAGAAGCTAAAAGTTTGCGTATCGATCAAAAAGAGGAGTCTTCGTTGTTCGGCTCCAGCTGCCTTCTCGCGTTAGAGGGTTTGGGAGCGTTATTGTCAGCCATGCTGACATGGACCATATCTTCCAAGAAAGGTACCCACTAAAGCTAGCACAGCACTCGTATGTCCCTGCCTCCAGCTGAAATGGATTATAATGCATTTCCGTTGTGGAACCAACCTTATTTGCTCTCGTGACAACAATGCAAGTCATCAGCATAGAGTTTCTATACTTCTCCTGTCTGTAAGTCACTCTCCAGAAGCTCTAAACTCAAACACATGCTCACGAAATTGTGAATCGGCATCGGCCACAAGTTGTTAATGTCATGCCAACTTCACAAGGCCTAGAGCTGGCAAGTTCCATCTACTCTGATTAAGGTTCCGCCTGCTCCACAATGAATACCACTGTCCGGAGATGTCTGTCGCGTGACAAGCATACCTACTGTGTGAGCCACAGCCTTCAGGCTACCTCTACGCTTATTAGGGCAAACAACATTTTCGCTCCTCATGCATAGGTGGTTTGGCTAGGTATGTTACAGTAGTAGGTAGTGCTAGTAGGTACTCGTGCCCGCCCCCACTTTATTTGGATTCGTTTTTTATGTACTCACCCCACATAAAGTGGTGGCCGGCACGAGTAGCTACATACCCTGTCTCAAACCTCTTGGGGAGAATTGAACACTGGACCTCTGGCTAGCAATAAGTAGATGCGGCGAGGATCATACCTCTATATGTAGACCACAAGCCCGAGTTGGTGAAAAATTTGTCGTTATTCCTAACGTCGATTACTGTGGTAGGCACCAGTTATGCGGCGAGGGAGATACGGAGGGGTTGGCCCGGCTTCTTGATAGGTGACCAAAAAAAAAGAGAAATCCAAATTACGGAAATGCGGATACTGCGTACATTTAAAACAGTTGACACGAGGCTGGGCCGTCAGATGTCGCGTTGGATTGAATTTCACACGCATTCGCCTATCCACAGTGGGAGTGGAGACTTTCACACATGACCCAATAATAACCTGTTGGCCGAGAAAAAGAAGCTTTTCGGTGCCTGATGCAGACCCCCTTGGCATTGACACTGACGTCTTCCTACCTGATGTAATTTTGTCCATCACCCCCAGAGAAGAGGGCGCAAAAAGAATGGTCGACTGCACAGTGAGCAAATGAGGAGGATTTCTTAATACGAGGGTATGTATCTAGTTATACGGATACGCAGGACGGCATGCTTATGGGAATCAGGATTGTTGAATGCACATACTAGTGTAAGTACTTATGGGTACGCACTCATAGCAAGCAGCCAATCATAAGCTAATCCTGAAGAAGTAGTTTTCTTTTCCCTCTTTTTGAAGACCCACAGCAGCCAAACCATGGGACGCGCACAGTGCACACTAGCGATACTGTATGTGGCCCCCCGGCCGGGCGAGGCCATTTGTCGATCTCACACAAGGGAAAACGCTTGCCAAGAACTTGGCAGTGAAATCCCCCCAGTCCCGCCGTTCATCCCCTTCCCGGTTCCCTGGCTCTCCTGCAAATTCACCTCACAGCTCACCGCCAAGCCCTCGACGCAACGCCGGCCGGCCCATCACGAACCTCAATTGTGTGTCGCCCTCGCTCGTCCACCCACGCGCCCAAAGGCTGGATGCTTCCATCTTTTGAGTCTCCGGGTTCCCTGAACCCGTCCGAAATGACCGACAATGTCAATGTGTACGTGAAACCCTGCCCGCCACCATCGGAGCTACATTCTTGCCTCCTGCCCTCCCCCCGCCCCGAACCTTGTTTGGCATCTTGGCTTTCTGCCAAGCCAACGCCAAGCCTGGGGTTGATCTGTTATCGGGTACTGACGTCTCACAGCCGTTGATGAGATCAGTAATGTTGTGTACGTGCTCATTTCATTCCTTTTGTCTATTCCGAGCTGCCCTGTCCCTCTAAATCCGCCGAGCTTCTCGAGGAAATGTGTGGAAACAAACGCCTTCGCCGTCTCGGCATCGTCGGCGCAACTCGTCCCCATCCGGCCGCCGAATATGACTTGGACAGCTCTCTGGGCAGTCGAGCAATTGACTGATTGAATGATAGACTTCTATTCAGCAATCCCGTATGGACCGGTGTCGGCACCATCCCCAGCACCATCATCCGCAATATCACGGCGCTGTCGGTAAGTGTTGCCGCCAGTCTACGGCGTCGATCGACTACTGACCGGCCCAGTTGGGATATTCGTCCCACATCACTGAGAACGTGACCGTCTTGTCGTCAAACTATGCGTCAACCACGGACGGCGTCATTCAGGGACTGCTGTATGTCCCCGATATCAAGGATGATGACCCGTGCCGAGCAGCTCTAGACGCTTTCCTGCCGAAGAAAGTCGTTCGACACGCTGACCTACCCCCGGCAAACTACAACATAATCGCCATTGCCCCCTGGATCAATGCAACCTGCACCCAGTCCTATCTTGCGTCTGCTCGCCTAGACCCTCTACGCGCATTTATCTTCTACAGGCCGTCTAACGTGTCATCCGATCCGCCCCCTGCCGATTCCCCGGAATGGGATCTCGGCGACCGCGGCCGTTGGAAAACCCAGAATCGCTTCCCAATACTGGCCGTCTCCGGCCTTGCGGGCCAAGAGCTGATGCACCAGGCTGGTCTCTATTCGGGGAACCTAAGTGATGTTCCATACGCGAGAAATATCACCTCGGTATACGAAGCAGACCCTAGCGATTACGTTCGAATTTGGACGCAGATCTACGTATCCACATCATCTAATGCTCCCAGCATATGGGTACTCGTCCTCGTCATTCTCGGTGTCCTGGTGGGCGTAATCGGCTCGACATCCCTACTCATGCATTTCCTCCAGAGCAGGAGGCGGGCATCTCTCCGTCGCCGTGTCCAGAGCGGGGACGTCAACCTTGAGGGCATGGGTATTAAAAGGCTGACTGTTCCAATTGCCCATGTCCAGACGTTTCCCCTGTTTACTTACAACTATGAACCCAAAGCTAATAGTGCGCCGACATCTCCCACCTCGTCAAAACACCCTCAAAACGCTAGGAAAAAGGGGAGTCGTGGCCGACCCAGCAGCATCGCTACCACCACCCTTCCCATCTCAGAGAAAGGACTCGATAGCCCGTTTGCTCTCTCGACAACCGCGACCGACTACCAGCCCATGTGCGCCATCTGCCTAGAGGCCTACCAGAATCGAGTGACGGTCATCCGTGAACTGCCGTGTGGCCACATCTTCCATCCAGACTGCATAGACGAGTTCCTTGCCGAGAACAGCTCTCTGTGTCCAGTATGCAAGGCTTGCATACTTCCAAAGGGGTATTGCCCCAAAATAACGAATGCCATGGTGCGACGTGAACGTGCGATACGGCGACTGCGAGACAGGATCGAAGTCGACGACGACGTTGAGGCTGACGGTACCGGTGGGAGATTCCACAATTGGGGAGGCGAGATCAAGAAACGACTCTCGCTCTTCAAGCCGAGTGGCCCGGGCCCGTCATCAAACCCAACCGAACCCGAACCCCAACCCCAACCACGGAGACGATCAACCGCACCCGAAGTTACCTCAGTCCACCACCAGGAATGTAACAGCAGTTCTTCGAACAGCCGGGCAGACCTGACGAGAAAACGCATGCGACAGCTCGCGGGGTCCGAGCCAGATGATGAAGATGCTCGACTTACTAGATGTACGTCGATCATGGAGACAAAAAGAAAAACTAGTGATTCTGAAAGGTGTTGCTGACTCTGCTATCACAGGGCAGAGGATAAGGCATAGGGTGTTCCCTGGATTCTGAACTTGTCCTGGTTTCTACAGGACTCTGGCTTTAGGGGTGGTGTTTGGTCTGTTTTATTGATATTCGTCATGATACCCTGGGTTGCATGGTCTACGGCGGCGAACAAATAGATTCCTGTTTGGCATTTCGCGCAAGGAACGGAAACGGAAGGGAGGTTTACAATCTGCATTATAGGGGATTCAAGCATGCCATCAAGACGCAAAAAAAGGGTAACGGCAACGGCAACGGGGCGCTATCGGACTTGGGACCTGGACGGGAAGACGATAGTTGAAGTTCATATCACGATTCACACCACTATTTTGCATGGTAGCATGGAAAGGAGTTTTTCAAGATCCGAAACATCAACGACCATCACGGCGTCTCGATGTTGCATACCACTTCCTAGCAAGGGAGGTACCGCGTTGGATGCTCAAATGCTTTTGCAATTGCTATTTTGTTTGTAATAGTTATCATCATGGTCAAGTCATACGATCAATGCCCCTTATAACATCAAACCTACTCAAGGCAAGTAGGTGCCAAGCAACGCCGCATCGCCAGCCCTGTTACCATCCAGGTAAAGCCTAATCCAGGGCAACCAGCCGCCCCTGGAGTTCCCCCTCGTGTCGTATGAACGCCGTCGCCAAAGAGAAGAATGTAAGACCCGAAAACCCAAAAGAAATACACAACAAACCGAGCAACCAGCCCCCGAGGTCTCTTTCTTTTTCTTCTTCTGCCTCGACGAAAACTACGTCCAAAGCACTCTCGTCCCAGACGGCCGAGGAGGAAAATAACCCACCGGCGTCTCACTCCTCGTCCACCTCCTCGTCCCAGGCCTCCTTCTCCCTCGCGACCAGCGCCGCCATCTCGTCGGCCTTGAAGATGGTGCTCCCCGGGTCCGACGCGCGCGGCACCTTGACGAGGTTCTCGCCGTCGAACACGGTGCCGATGCTCTCGATCCACCTCCTGCGCCGCTCCATCAGCGTCCGGGTCATGTCGCCGATGCCTGGGCGCGCCGTGCCGAGCCCCGACGAGGACGCGGCGGCGGCGGCGGCGACAGCCGCGGCCGATGAGGCGCCGGGCCGCGCCTTCTTCGGCTTCTTGCCCATGGTGCGCGTGCGCTTGAGGTAGGCTGCCTGGACCTGGCTGTCCAGGTCCTCGAGGATGGTCTGGTACTCCTGGTAGGCCATGCGCTCCTTGACTAGCTCCGTCAGCCGGGCCTTGCGCGCCCCGTTGACGAGCATCTGCTCGCGTAGCCGCGACTGAAGCAGTCGCAGCCGCGCCGCCACCTCGTCGTCGTAGTGGCCGTCGTAGTTGGCCGCCGCGGACGGGTCCGCGCCCCCGCCGCCCGACGAGGAGCCCCCCGCTCCTCCTCCTCCGCCGCCGCTTGAGTTGCCGCCGCCCAGGGAGGAGGAGGCGCCCGCGCCGGTCGAGGAGCCGCCCTCGTCGGGCGGCGTGGGAAGGAAGCCGATGTGCCGGAGCTCCTGCTTGATGCGCTCGTCGACTTGAGCGTACTCGAGTTTGGGGTGCGAGGCCTTCTTCCAGGCTTCGCCGTTGGACTCGGGCATGTAGGTTGCTGGTGGGAGCGACTGGTCGGCGACGCCGATTCCGTTCGTGGTGGCGCCGTTGATGATCGTGCCGTTGGGTGTTAATTGGGATTGGTTCGGCGCCGTGCCGTCTCCCAGGCCGAGGTCTGGATTGGTGACTCCGCCCATTGCTGTGTCGACATCGCCGTTATTACCATTGACGGCTGGTTCAGCTGGTGGCGGGCGGTGTTCCGGGCGCATTGCTTGTAGCAGCCGTGAGAGCAGCGGGCCGACAGAGAGCCTGTCCGTCTCAGCAACGGCATCGTCTATGCTCTCGATTGTTCCCCGCGCCTGGTTGGGCGGGAGTTTATCCCGCCCCTGAGGCGACGAGTCAATGGCCATTGCGCCGTCCGCTTCAGCCCATATCTCGGTGTAGTGTTTCTTTCCGCGCTTCGGGATAACGAACGGGGTAACACGGTCGCCGCGCTCACGCAGGAATGCGAGGTCTTCTTCTGTGAACGGTCGGGAATATGGTTCGATGTAGGTTGAAAACGTGCTGAAATTGATCTGGTTGCTTGGCTTGGCACTACTAAAGTCCTTGTCGGGCGGATCACCAGCAATAAGATCGGATAGGTCACTCTTCGGAAATGTCGCGACAGAGTATATCTCTTTGATCTCGTCCTCCGTCATGCCCGGCTGAACGGGCAGGATCTCGTAGACGGTCGGGTCAGGGAATGTGGAAGGATCCTCGCCAAAGGTGTTGGCTTGAGGCCTCGCTGGCGGCGGCGGTCGGCCATCGTCTTCGGAGCTAGACTCGTCGTCGTCATCGTCGTCCCTATCGGCTTTTGTCTTGTCATCCACGTCCATGTTGCTCGGGGTTCGGGGCGCGACCGGAGATAGCGACGAGCTGGCGGATTCGCTCCCGCGTGATCGCTTTCTAGGTTTCCCAGTCGACGATTCTCGAAGAGGGGAGGAGCGCTCTGGGCTGTTTGTCAGCTTCGGTTCCATCTGTATGGTGGTCATTGTGACGAGGTTTGGGTGCTTGTTTGGCAGAAGGCGAAAAGGTGAGAGTGGTAGCCCTTGGGTAAGGGCCATGAGAACAAAATACTGAATTCACCAAACAACGACTGACCTATGTTGCTAGCCTGTGGCGCCAGACTTTCCGTCACCTTTCTCTTCTTCTTAGTAGCCTTCCTCTCCCGCTCCTCATCCTCGGCTTCCCGCTGCCTCCGCTCGTCTTCTTGTCCCCTTTCCGCTGCCATCTCGTCCATCCTCGTTTTTCTATTCGCCGCCAGGAGTCTCATGCCCTTGTCACAGAATTCTTCTCGCTTGTCGATGAGTTCTCCTAACCTCTTCAGTCTGGAAACGATGCCGTCCAATGCTCTGGAATCTGGAATTAACGCGGTCGACGCGCCCTGGTCGACCAGATCTTCAAACGTGATATTCCGGAAGAGATCGAAACGCAACGATAGAGTTTCTAGCTCGGATACTTCGAGAGCAGGTAGGTTCGCCGTTGAAGGCGGCACGGCACTGGGTGTCGTATTGCGGCTTCGAGGTTGCTGCCGTATTGCCCCGGCCCCCCCTTTCTTCCCCGTGCCTTTCTGACTTGACACGGGAGGCATCTTGGATAGTTCGACAGCTTCGATTTATATTCGCCGTCTATTTCTGCGCTCGAGTCGTTATTGAATTTTAAGCGCGCCGTTTATGTATATAGAGAGTTAACTAGGTAGGTAGTTGACTGAGGTTATAGGTCCCGTCAACGTGACTGCGGTTCGGAGAATCCTCTATCTTGATGACTCAGCGGCAAGCTTGGACCCGACTTTGGACCGCGTCTCCCGTCGCGCTCTCTCTTCTAAGAAGCAACCTCACAAGTTTTAAGTTCAGTCTCTCGACATTAACTTAATCCTTTCATATTTCCAGACGTAGGATTCCGGTGCCCGGGTTCAACAAGGTTCACAATTTCAATATGCTCTCACCTTCGCACTTGCCCTACACTTGAACCCTTCGTGTTTCACGATTAAGGTTTCGGTACCCAGGACTTACACTTGCTACTCGATTTACTCCCTTCGTGACGACCGGGATCCTAGTCATCAAACTCATGGTAACATCAGAGCATGAGGCTTTACACCTCGATCTGTTCACGAAGACTGTTCACGCCTGGGCCTTTTCCATGGGTCTGAAACGGGAGCTAGCCTCGTGTGGCGCCAACCGATCAACTCAAGATCGCGATTGACCGATCCTTGAAGGAACTTCTACCCCAACAGCAAGCGTCCGCTACTCACAGATGCGCCCACTCTGGTTATCGAAGCAGGCTATTACGAGTCGCTGCGCCGCCTCCGCACAGATGCAAGCTGGTGGCTGCAAACCCAAGACGGCGCCGTTAATGTAGCCGTTAATGTAGCTCTCATCATCAAAGTCAAGTCTCAGACCTGCGAGATTATTTTTGAGCTGTGGAAGCTAGGTACAGTCGCTGGAGACAGACCGATGAGAAGATCCTGCGCAAGCGGGTCCTTGGTTACCAAGCTTTTAAGCAGAGGCTGGTAGTGAAGATAAAGGAGGGTGTTTCTGTCTTCTGCTGCACCTCGGCCTTTCTGATGATCTCGCTTGTAACAATCGCGACGCCCTGCGGATCAGACTCCTCAGGGCCCTCCTCCTCCTCCACAAGGTCGTCCGAGGGGTTCAGGGCAAGTGATTTCATGGTTGTGGGTGAGGACTTGGAGGGGCATTTAGGTATTCGGGCAGGGGCTTTCAGGTAATCGGGCAGGGGCATTTAACTGGTAGGGGGCATTCAGCTTTCTAGGCAGGGGCATTCAGCTATCTAGGCAGGGGCATTCAGCTATCCAGGCAGGGGGTACTCGAAATATTTCTCCACTATGATTCCCGGAGAAATATGGACCTGACAGTCATACTGGACTTGTCGCAGACCGACCCCCCGGAGGACGTGCTTCAAGGCGAAGAAGTCTGATATGAACCATCCATCATCGGTGGGATCAGCGGCAGAAAGGTCTGTAATACCGCAGACGCTAATAGGAGCATTTGGCTAGCCGTCGCTATCGCTATTGCTAAAGTACTCTTGCTGTCGCCGTCTCTGTTGCTGTTGCCATCGCCATCGCCGTCGTAGTCGCTTGTTCCGTAGCTGGCAGCTGGTCTTTTTCATTCCCCTCCTGTCCTTGGCGCCCCACTATGTATTCTCTCTCCTCCCTCCTTTCCTCCTTCCCCCTTTTGACTTTGCCCGTGTCGTTCTTTTCTACTCTGTTACTGCGCATGACTCCGAAGCACCCTTCCACACTTAAGTTAGGTAGTCTCTGTACATTTCGTTGGGACAGGCTAAGGCGCAGATCAGCCTTCATATCCATCAGCGCCTGCCCATCAAATGCCCAGCCTTTTGTCGCCATTTCTCCAAATCACTCCAGGGGCGAAGGTGTCGAGTGGAACATCCAGGTCTTGATGGCCTTCCAGCTTGATCGTGACACGACCCGACAGTCTCAGTCTCAAGAAGAGGAATAGGGCACACTTCCATCCATTGCAGGGCCTTTTCCTGTATTATCGTGATCATCGCTTAGTGCAACCTAGGGGAGGAAGATAGATGCCTAGTATTCTCCCATATCCGGCCGGGTGCAGGCCATCCTATCGATGCAGCAACCTAATAACGAAACACCGTTTCCGAGATCTTTGTCAAGTCTCCAACCTTTGCGGCCGACGCTAGAAAACCGCCCCAAATAACTCTCCCATAACTCGGGATACCGTACTGGGAGGTCGTCCTATTATATGAGCCGTCTGAGCAGCGTGGCTCAACACATGTGCTTGGACCAGGATGCGCCATTGGTCCCGCAGAAACGTTCTTGTGTGGGGCCTACCTTGGCCCGCATCATCGCACGTGGCAACTCTTCACTTATTGAGCCCATAGGAAACTGGAAACGATGTCTCCCACTTGGGAACCAAGGTGATATTCACCTTTCCGGTCAGCATGGGAGAGGCTCTTCTAGCTCGCTGTGGCGTATGATCTCAACGTTCGGTCTGTTTCTTGACGTGTCTAGAATCGTGAGTGACAAGGTTCACAACTTCACAGATCTCGGTGAATCGCCTATCATGCCGACCCGCAGGATCAGGGGGCGTAGATGAACCGACATGGATACTTGCAGTTGGCATTTCCAGGAGCTGGAGTTGTAAGGCTGGACCCTGAGCCCACGCTCGCCCATCGTGACAGGTGATTGGTGCCGATCGAGAGCACATGTCGAGTCAATACCACGCATCATATACCACGGTATCTTTGGCCAGATCGGCTGTGGACCCTTCGTTAGAGGTACGTCTTCCATCGAAGTGCTTCGCCAGTGCTACAAGTTGTATCTCCCTCTCTGTCTTGGCCGCCTAGATTGTGACGGATGTATGTATGTATGTACAGTACATACATACATAGGCAGCCGAGGGGGGGGCAAGTCAGGTTTAGGGGTATAAGATATCTCTGTAGGTCCGAAAATATCGACCCTCTTTCTCGTTCCTCTTGTCGTATCCAACGAATTGCTGCCAGTCCAACGTGCGCGAACCCCTTTCCCTCTCAAACAAGGCTTCTCGCCGTCCCGCGATGAGAGAGTATCATGGCTTCAGCTGGTGGTAACATCTTGCCGGCCGACATCAGTCCCAACCATGTTCTTGCTGGGATAGCTGGCGTGGCATTATTTGCCCTTGGCGTTTCTCAGCTTTATACGCAATCCGACCTGGAGAGCGACGAGGGCCCCGGCCTCATCACCTCCTTGTTCCTCTTCTGCTACTCCTGCTTCATAAAGCCCTATGGAGGCGATTCGAACGGGTCCCAGCAGGGCCAGCTCGAGTCGTTCTACGCAACTCAGAGTGGCATCTATGACAAGACCAGAAAACCGCTCCTCAAAGGCCGGGAGGACATGCTGGCGCTGGTCGCCGCACAGCTCCAGTTCAAGGCCAAGAGGGATGGCGAGTCCAGGGACGGAAAGAAGCGTGTCTGGGTTGATGTACTGTTGCCCTCCCTGCCCTCTTTCATGGCGGCTTCCGGGACTAACCAAAGGACCAGGTTGGAGGAGGGACTGGCTGGAACATCGAGGCTATGTCGAAATATGTCGACGTTCCGAGCTTCTTCTCCAGGGTCTACCTCGTCGACTTCTCCCCGTCTCTATGCGAGGTGGCGCGCAAACGCTTCCAGCGACTTGGTTGGTCCAACGTAACTGTGGTCTGCCAAGATGCGCGGAGCTTCAGGCTCGAGGACCACGAAGATGGCCTTCCCCCAGCGAGGACCGCCGGTCGTTCCCCCCGTCTCGGCTACTTCTCACAAAAACCGGCAGAGCACGGCGGTGCTGACTTGGTCACCATGTCCTACAGCTTGTCGATGATTGTAGGTCATTCCCAGGCATCGATAGAGGGGCCTGTTAACAATGAGGGGCTAACCCTTGCATAGCCTGACTACTTTTCTGTCATCGACTCCCTGTCGTCGCTCCTCTCGCCAAACGGCGTCCTGGGCGTGATTGATTTCTACACCCAGTCCGACGTGGACGTTGCCTTCCGAAACTACACGGGGGGCGGTATGGGACGCCACGTCAACTACGTTGCCCGGACGTTCTGGCGTGCCTGGTTCGATCTCGACCGCGTCAGTCTAGAAGCAAGCCGCCGAGATTATCTCGAGTACCGTTTCGGGACCGTCCTAGGCATCAACTCGCGGAATCGCAGTCTGGGCTCCATCCCCTACTACATCTGGCTGGGCTGCCTCAAGGAACCGTTCTCTTCGTCGAGCCTCCCACACGAGATCATTGAGCGTATAGACGCTCTGGCAACCGAGTCCCCTCTCATGCTCCCGGCGGACAAGATGAAGACAGCAACAAGTGCTCTGACCCGTGCCGTCGAGAGGACCGCACCTGAGATACGATCCAAGGCTTTTGACGCTGCAGTCGAGAACGTTTCTGCCGGCCTCCCTCTTCCGTCATTCTTCTATCAGAACCACCATTGGCGCATCTATTATGACGATCGACTGCAGAAGCACACCCAGTTCAAGGATGAGTACATTTACGCTTTCACGTGGGAAGACTCTCGCGTCGACGAGAGGATACTCAACCTCGGACCGGATGACGTGGTTTTGGCAATCACGAGCGCGGGAGACAACATCCTCTCCTACGCGCGGCAAAGCCCGGCCACGATCCACGCCATTGATCTCAACCCGAGCCAGAACCACCTCCTGGAGCTCAAGGTTGCCTCGTACGCAGCGGCACTGCCATACGACGACTTCTGGAAGATGTTCGGGGACGGCAAGCACCCTGACTTCCGCTCCATCCTCACCTCCAAGCTGTCCCCTCACCTCTCCAGCCGCGCCTTCCAGTACTGGCTCGGTAACGCGCACATATTCACCAGCCCGCGCGGCCGCGGCTTGTACGACACGGGCGGCTCGAAGCACGCGATCCGCATCTTCCGGTGGATCTCGCGCCTCTTCGGCTGCCGCCGCGCCGTGGCCGAGATGCTCGAGGCCAAGACGCTGAACGAGCAGCGCGAGATCTGGCACCTCAAGCTCCGGCCCGCGCTCCTGTCGGGGCTCGTCAGCCGGTTCGTGCTTAGCTCCGAGGCCTTCCTCTGGACGGCACTTGGCGTGCCCAAGAACCAGCTCTCCATGATCGAATCCGACCACGCCGCCAGCGACGCCGTCCGGGGGTCATCCGGCGTCCCCGGGTCGGGGACGGCGCGCAACACGCGCTCGCACGCCCTCTGGCATTACATGGTCAACACGCTCGACCCGGTCGTCGAGACCACCCACATGGCCGCCGACAACCCCTACTACCACGTCTGCCTTGCGGGCTCCTTCTCCCGCCGCTGCCACCCGGACTACCTGGCCCCCGAAGCGCACCGCCGCCTCAGCCGCCCCGGCGCCCTCGACGGCCTGCGCATCCACACCGACGAGCTCGCCGAGGTCATAGCCCGCCTGCGCCCCGGATCCCTGACCGTCGCCGTCGTCATGGACAGCATGGACTGGTTCGATCGCGGGTCCGCGGCCGCCTCGCGGCAGGTGTCGCGCCTGAACCGGGCCCTCGCCCCGGGCGGCAGGGTCCTGCTGCGCAGCAGCGCCCTGGACCCCTGGTACGTCGCCGAGTTTGAGCGGCGCGGGTTCGCGGCCAAGAGGGTCGGCGAGAGGGTCCCCGGGCGGTGCATCGACCGCGTCAACATGTACGCCAGCTGCTGGGTCTGCACAAAGGTCGATAACCTGCGGCCCGATAGCCCGCCCGGCAGCCCGCCCGCGCCCATGGTCGCTGGCGGCGAGGGGATTGAGGTGTTGCCTCTGTGATTTTCGGGCTGCCTCTCTCTGATCACCCCTCCACCCCAACCTACCCCTGAGTTATCGGGGCGCTGGGATAGGGGTTTTGCGCCGCCCGCGCAGTGGAAGGGCCGGATTCGGCATGAGTATTTCAACAATGCTCTGTCTGCCATGGCCGTGATAACAATCACTGCATATTCCTCAAAATTCGATGGGCTGATCACCAAGCACTTTACTACTTTGACACTATGTTTGGACGGGTATAGGCGGGAAACTGTGTCTGGGACGGCGGCAACTCACAAGAGGGTACCAATACCGCTGAATGTCTTTCTTACCAAACTAAAGTTAGGCCATGGTCTTCCTCACTGTATATACCGGTAGCTTGCAATTGAAAGTAGTTAAGGCCGTCCGAACGTATGTCACACAGGAGTTATGCAGGTCGACTTTGTAAGCAAGTCTCGCTCGAAAGCTTGGAGACGATCGATCAGAAGAATCCATGGTTCCTAAACCAGGGTTCCTTATTATATTTTAGCAGAGGTGATGCTCATAGCAACGTCTTCTTGGGCACTTCCACACAAATTGCTTGGTCTATGTATGTGTGTGGAACGCAACTAACTACAAACAACTGAAGCAGAAATCCCGTTCGCACCGGAAACCGCCCTCCCCGCATCTACGTAACGACCCTCCCGGGGTCCTGACCAAGTCGGGGTCTATAGTAGTAGGACTGCTAGCCACCAACTTCCTCGTCGCAGCGACCGGGGTAGCCCGTGTCTTAGCCAACAATGGGGACGACTTGGTATGCTGCTGGTCGAGCCGGCTGCGCCTCGCCCTCATGGCCAAGATCCTCATCGAGGCCACCGCGATCGGCGATGGACGACTCCTGTTGAAGAGGACGAGCTGGCGGCTGGACGAGGGGAGGCTGACGTGGTCGAGCGAGAGCTCGTCTTCTTCGCCTTCGGATACGAGGGAGACGATGCTGAGCCGCGAAGACGAGGCCGGCTTCGTGTCTGGTGTGGTTTGATGGGTTACGCGGTCAGGGGTCACTGGCGGCTTTGCCCTGACCGCAACGCTGCGCTCCTTTGCGGGTGATTTCGTCTCAGTAGCAACTGTGCCTGACTCCTTGCTCGGCGAGAACTGTTCCTCCGCGCTTGCAGCTGACGGTGGATCTTTTCTTTTCCTCAAGTTTGGCCTGGCGTCTTTTGGGAAGTCGTGAGTGGTTGGGTGTTGCACGGTGTTGGACAAAGTCGGGTTAAGCACTGGTCTCCCGCCATGAAGAATCTTCCTTTCCGACAGCTCCGTCGAGGGAAGATGCTTCGTCACAGGATAAAAGGACTTTCCGAGAGCAGGTAACGACCCGGAATCCATGAGCTTCTTTTGCCCGTTCTTGGTGCGCAATGATGCTTGCAGAGTCCTTGAGACCCGTCCATTAGATAGATCTGTAAACCGTCCAATTTGTCTTCTGCTCGGCGCTGTGGGTTCATCATCGTCAGAAAAGATATAGGATGGATCAACCATGTTTCTTGAGAACGTTTCCAGAAGGTTGGAAGACCGTGTGGGGTGAGCGGTGTCCTGGGCCCGTGTCGAGTCTGGAGCAGTGCCGTGGTCATGATCGTCCCGCCTAGGTCGAGGGGCTGGCAACGCTTGAGCTGTCTTCCGCGATGCATCTTCGCGCACATGTCTCCTTCTCTTGTCTCTTGGAGCGGAGTGTCTTAAAATCAGCGCTCTGCTAAGGTCTTCGCGGCGGACCCCGTTCGGCGATCTCTCATTTGGAAAGCAAATATTAACAAAGTGGACCGGCTCTTTTATCTCCCTTCTTGGACGATTTCCAAGCTCAGATGACGGAGGAACTGCGTGTCTGGGGTTGAGTCTGTTCCGCTGCCGCCGCCTAATAGTGGCCACTACCAACTGAGTCTTTTCGCCGCTGCCGCTCGCTGGTTCCGTTTGTTGCTGAATCGGAACACTGGGCCCCAGTATGATCTCGTCTTCGAGGTCATTGGTGGCCGATTCTGGCGGAGGAGGTGACTTCTGTCTGTCCTGCAATATGACCACTTGTGCTTTCCTTCTCCCACGATCTCTAGAAGTCGGACTTCTGACAACACCTTTATGCTTCATCCGTTGTGGAGATTGAGATTGGGTCCCTGCCGCATCTTCCACCCTTCTCTCGGAAACAGGCTCGGAAATCGGCTTGTGGCTACCGATTCCAGGTACGGCCGAAGAAGGTTGGGGTTCCTTGGTTCGTTGAATGGTGGTGGCATTCGCCGTAGTAGATGCCAGCCGCGAGGAAGACGTGCCCAGCAGAATGTCGTCCTCGTCAACTTCATCTTCCCGAGGCGAAAGCAGGGACTTCACTGTCACTCTCCTAGCAACAGTTGAGGTTGTCGATCCCGTTTGGAACGCTGTCTCAAACGCCTGCGCGGGGAGGTCCGGGACTTCCCAGGCGGACTCGATATTGTGATTTAGAAGGCGGGCGGGAGTCGAGGGCTCGTACCGAGGGGGGAACATCAAGCTTGACAGTCGAGGAGGGCCTGAAAGGAGTGATTGCATACCCGCCGGCCGGTTATTGTATGGCACAACTGCGTTTGACCCCCCTCTCCCGTGTAATATTCTTTCCTCCTCATGGACGGACCCTGCTTCGGACCGGATGTCGGAGGCATCCTCAAGAGAACGTATGTGGCCATTGTCCACAACGACCTGGCCAGTCCTAATATCAATCTCATCACCAACGCCAGAAAAATCCTTCCCGTACTTTTCGAAGATGGATTCCCACGAGGATTTCAGCTTGTAAGCAGCAACAGCGCGTGATCTTTCAAGCTGAACGGCGGGGTCGCGTCTGGCATTGAGCTCCTCGGGTTCGTGAAACAGTTCGTCATCGTTGTCCTCCTCATCGAAGGGCGAAGGGCCGAATCGTGATCGTTTTGCGGGGGGCTCCATATTGCCGGCACCTATTGGAGTCGAAAGTGTGCTATGTCTGGCGACCTCCAAGTCAAAATCGCAGTCGCAATGTTTAAGTGCAAGTCGCGTAAATGTGGGGCTGGAGCTTGAGCATGGACTCGAAACGCTAGCATGGTGCATAGTGCATGGTGGGGCACGTGCACTAAAGTATAAGTGAAGGTGTGGGGCCTGCTACCTATTTACTCAAAGAGTCGGGGTGTTAAGTCCAAGTTGCGTCACAAAGCGTCGAGTAGAGCGCATCGATAGCTCTCTTTGTCCCCGAGACAGGCAGCTGAACCAGCATGGACTGGAACCAAAGTTGAACCAACAATGTATTGTCAAAAATGCCGCACCCCGCTCAAGTTAGATGGCTCGTTGGAAGACCTGAATCCAGCAGCGTATGACCTTCTAGTTGGTGAGCATCCCGTCACTCCCGAACGCGGTTTAGTTGCTGGCCCTTCTGACTCTCCGCCAGCGACACACTCACAGCAGCCTCCAAGGAAGCTCCATTCATCACGACCGCTTCAACCTCAAGACAAGGCGCGTAAGTCCCTGTTGGACAAGGTCTCTCAAAATGCCGGTCCGGCGACGTTCAAGCGCCACAACGCCCCTAAACGAGGCAGCGGCGGGCTAAGAGACAGCTCTGCCATGTCCTTCATCCTCTTGACCGAATCCCAAGTCGCGCCGCCGAATCACTCGTTGCCAAGGAGTCCTAGCCGTCAGAATGCTCTACCACATCAAGGACTGCCTGGGGGAGGGGAGAGCGGCCAAGCAGATGACGATGACTCGGCAAAGTCACACGAGATGGAACGCATCGCCAAGCTCTTCGAGATCCTATCAGCGCGCTCAGATGTCGACCATCCCATTTGCGTCGAGTGCACGGAAATATTAGTCGAGGAAATGCAGAAGAAACTTGAGACGACAGCCCGTGAACGAGATGCCTACGTCAACTTCCTCCAGCAGCTGCAAGCAAACCTCCCGACGGATGATGAGCTGCGGGTACAGGAGGAAGCCGTAGAGAAGGCGAGGAAAGAGGAGGCGGCGGCGCTTAGCGAGCTACGGAAGTTGGAGGACGAGAAGGCCAGCCTAGACGCGGAGCTACTTGCCTTAGAAGCAGAGGCCCAGCAGCTAGATGAGGAGGAGGAGGGCTTCTGGAGGGAGCGGAACGCCTTTGCGGCAAAGCTAGCAGACTTCCAGAATGAGCGCGACAGCATCAACTCGAAGTTTGATCACGACTCGCGCCTGCTGGAGAAGCTACAGCGATCGAACGTATACAACGACACCTTCTGCATTAGCCATGACGGCACGTTTGCTACCATCAACGGCCTCAGGCTCGGTCGGCTGTCTAACAAACCTGTCGACTGGCCCGAGATCAACGCCGCGTGGGGCCACTCCCTGCTGCTCCTCGTCACGGTCGCCGACAAGCTCGGCTACAAGTTCGAAGGCTACGAACCCCAGCCCATGGGTTCGACCTCCAAGATCGTGCGCTACGACCCGGTCTCGCCATCGTCAAGCCGCCTAGGCGGATACCGCAACGCGCCGCCACCCGCCCCAAAGAAGCATGTCCTGGACCTGTACTCGTCGGGCGACATGCCGCTGGGGCTGACGTTTATGCACCGCAAGTTCGACAACGCCATGATCGCGTTCCTGGAGCTCGTGCGGCAGCTCGGCGAGCACGTGCAGCGGCAGACGGGAGCCGACGGCAACCCGCTGGGCCTCCCCTATAAGATCGAGGGGGACAGGATTGGGGACGTCAGCATCAAGCTCGGCATCGCGCAGGACGACGGCTGGACCAAGGCTTGCAAGCTGACGCTCACGTGCTGCAAGTTCTTGCTCGCGCATGCGAGCAATTTGAGTTCTGTTTCGAATGGCCGGGCGTCTGGGGGTCCTTAACTGGAGATATACGGACTTTGTTAATATGGGGTTGATCGGCTTATTGGGTTGCACGATAGATTGGCATGGTCGTAAGGAGTTTCTAGGTCTGGTCTTATTAGCTGAGTTGCACTTGTACGTACATAAGTGACGTGGGGACAGCGACTCCTTGGTCCACGGGTTAATTCAGAGGACTTGCTGGCTGGATTTGTTTCTGCCATGCCTCTTTTTAGCAGGACTTCCTTGTTGTAGATGGGTGCTTTAATAATTGGCAAATTAAATCTGCCGATAGAAGCTTAAAGTCTGGCTACGAGGATATCATAGTCCTATACATCTCTCAACATCGTCCCCAGCGTTTAGCATAAGTCAAGTTCAAGCAAGTCAGCCCTCTCACTTGACTTGGCCCTTATCTAGTAACTTGCCTTACTTGGTTAGGTATTTCTTAACTAGGTTGGCTTAGTTACTTGCAAGTAGAGCTTGTCTCTGCAGGCAGGTGTAGCTGCTAGCTACGGAACAAGCGACTACAACGGCAATGGCAATGGCAATGGCAATGGCAATGGCAATGGCAACAGAGATAGCGACAGCAAGAGTGCTTTAGCAATAGCGACACCACATACCCCTGCCCTTACAGTGAAATGCCACTGCCCAAATAGCTGAATGCCCTTGCCCAAATACCTAATTGCCCGTGCCTGAATAGCTGAATGCCCTTGCCCAAATACCTAATTGCCCCTGCCTGAATACCTAACCGCCCCTGCCCGAATACCTAACCGCCCCTGCCCGAATACCTAACCGCCCCTGCCCGAATAGCTAAATGCCGCACCTGCCCGCGGAGACAAGCTCTTAATAATTGGCAAATTTAAACTGCTAATGTCTGTGAGGACGATCTCACACTGTTTAGAGCGCGTAAGTCCGAGACACAGCCGCTTAAGATCTCCGCAGAAACCTGGGTGGGAGGTTTGTACCAAGTCCACAATGACAAGATCGTTATGGTAGAAGGTCTGATGATGGCTTGCCTGAAGGGAATTTCTCCAGGGGCATGCGCTATTTGCTCCGCGGGCAGGCGGTTAGTGAATCACAGGTGGCAGTTGCTGTTGCTGTTGCCTATTGCTGTCGCTGTCTATCGCTATTGCTGTTGCTGTCTATCGCCCTTGCTGTCGCTCCTATTGCTCTTGCCGTTACTATCTATCACTCTTGCTGTCGCTGTCTGTTGCTATTGCCGTTGCTGTCTATCGCTATTTCCCGGTCTGTCTATTGCTCTCGCTGTCACTCCTGTCACTCTTGCTGTTGCTGTTCATCGCTATTGCCGTTTCTAGAAATAATAATAGTGACAGCAGAGACAGCAATGCAGCTGTTGTTGCCACCTGCCTGCACCCCTGCACCCTGCGCAGAGTCCAGCGTGGACATCTTGACTCGCTTGGCCTCTTCTCGTGTAATTCTACCTTTCTCCACAAGGTCCTCAAGCGCCAGTTGGTATGTCCGCAACTGCGCCCGGTAGAATGGGACGATGAGGATTCCGGCAGGATCGGGACTTGTGAGCTTTGGTCAAGTCTGGTTCTTGAGCGCAGTCACAACTTGGTTCATCACCCACTCCACATGGATGCTGTTATAGCTCGATGTGTCAAGCTTTTCGGTCTGGGAGCCCGAGAATTCCACGAGTAAACGACTAGTGTCTGGTCTGATATCAGGATAGATATTCTTGAGCCATGCTCTGAAGTTCTTGAGACTTTGCGGGAAATGCGCCTTGCCGATGTTCCCATTTCTCATGCTGTTATGAGGATATTATAGGCCTATACGTCTCTCAACATCGTCCCACCTACCAGCGCGCATAGAATCGAGAGCCCGCACCTTCGCCAGCCAGGTCTTTAAACAACTAACCCCGTCCACATCGCGTTCTGCACGTTGTTCTACCCGCTCTAGTGCCAACGTGCACTCCAAGAGGGCCTCGTAAATCCACTTGATGTCGTCGTAGTCCTCCAACAGAAGCGGTACGGTGAAGCCAAGTTCGGACTGTAGGACGTTGTCGTCTGACTCTTGGTTCTTGGCATCCAACGCCTGATCTTCTTGATTATTTGACCCCTGTGGATCCGCCGTGGCCGTCGATCTGACAGGTGTTGCACCACTCTTCCCAGTTATCGGGGAGCGCTGGTCTGGCGAGATCGCATCCGAGAAGGAGAGCAATGATGCGTCGGAGGACGGTCTAGTAGTGGCCTTCGGAGAAGTACGCAGCGATGCCTCCGAGGCCGAGGATCCACCCGACCGTCTGGTCAATAAGCCCGAGATTAGGCAGCGGCGACGGACGTTCCATATCGTGTAGTGCTCGGGGTTGAGATGAAGAGCGTGGCTACTCGTGTGCCTGGAGTGGTACGACAGGAAAAGGCAATAGCTAGGTACCTACCTACAATAACGGCGACGAGGATTAGCAATGGCAATGGCAAAGCAATAGCGATAGCTGTAGTGATGGAAATGGCATGGCAATAATGATGGCAATGGCAATCTACCAAGACCCCCCTGAGGCATTACCTAAAAGGATGTTGGCCGAATGTCAATACAAAAACAATCTGTCCCTGAGAAAACGCACATCCGGAATCAAACTAGGGTAAAGCTCGGCAATTACATAGCCGTCACCGTGGCAATTAGAAACCCATGTCCGACGAGGAGACGGCATCATCGTCGCTCTCGCTGTCCTCCTCCTCCTCCTCCTCGCCGTCGTCGTCGTCGGCCTCACCCACACCCGCCTTCTGCTTCCGCAGGAACTCCCTGAAGCCGCTGCTCATCTTAACGACGGCGCGCAGGTGCCGGTCCGTGACGGTGACGGCGGCGACGCCGCCCTCGAGGGCGTCGGTCTCGGCGAGGGCGACGGCGGTCTGCAGGGCGTTGCGGATCTCGCGGCCGTTGAGGGCGAGGCGGCGGACCTCGTCGCTGGCGTAGGCGAACTCGCGGGCGCTCTGCGGCACGTAGCACCGGCCGCCGCTGTCGCGCTCGAGGCGCTCAAAGTTGTTGGCCCACACGCGCAGCCGGTCGCCGTCGCCCAGCTCGCGGTAGTGCAGCGCTACGTGGATGCGCGACGTGAAGGCGCTGTCAAAGGCCTCGACCCGATTCGTCGTCAGGAAGAGCACCCCCTTGTAGTACTCGAGCGCCCGTAGGAAGACCGACACCAACCCGTTGCGGTGCAGGTCCCGCGTGCGCCTCTCCTCGAGGTACACGTCGGCCTCGTCGAGCAGCACGAGCGCCCCATACCGCTCGCCCAGCCGGAGGAAGTAGTCCAGGTTGCGCTCCACCGAGCTGGCCGACATGCTGGTGCCGAGGTCGCCGCTGGTCACCGACAGGAGGGGCCGGTTGGTCAGCTCCGCGACGCACTCGGCCGTGCACGTCTTGCCCACGCCCGGCGAGCCGTGGAGGAGGAAGATGCGGCCTTCGCCCTTGTTCTTGACGATGTCGTTCGGCCACGGAGACACCTTGCCGTCGGAGCTGGCGAACTTGCCGATGAGCGATCTCACCGTCAGTTTGATCTCGTCGTCTAGGACGAGGTGCTTGAACGCCTCTCGGTCGGGTTTGACCTCCTTGAGATTTTCCACCTTCACCATGGCCCAGCGTCTCTCGCTGAGGATGAAAGCATGGACTGTGTCCGACATGGTCTCGAAGAAGAGGTCGTTGTCCGGCGCCTCGTCCTTGTTGGGGTCCAGATCTTCGAAGCCTGCGAATGGGCCCCTCTCCGCTGGCGACTTCGCCTTGCTGCAGCTGGCACACGGGCAGTGAGGCTTAAACTGCGGAAGCTGATCCTTCGGAGGGGGGAGGGGCTCTCCGGGCCGCTTCCGATGCCGAACGGGTTCAGGGCGGCGGTGATACGATTCTTGGTTTCTGATGCCATATTGACCGCCGAGGTCGACGATGATTCGAGCAGTGAGATGGCCCGTCGGGTCTCCCTCACATCCGACCATTGGCCCATCGTACTCCTTGTACTCGGGCCGCTTCGCTAGCTCCCAATAGATCTTCCCAAGCCCAATCTGCTTCTCGGCGGCAGCCTTGGCCCCGCCTGGGAAGAATCGGGCGGGTATCACTGGAAGATTGGGAATGGACTGTTCCCCATTGAAGTGGTGGATAGTCAACGACTCCATCAGCCGCTGGATACGGCCATCCAAATACTGGACATTCCAGTATTCAACAAGATAGTCATCGATGTTATGGCTGTCTCTGCGTCTCGGGTAGACACGGCTGACCACGACGGGGACCCAGTGGCCGTATTCCTTCTTGTAGACGACCTCGCCCGGCTTCATGAGGAGCCACAACAGGTCAAATGTAGCGGTAGGAGTGCTGTTGGCCCAGCGACGCTCCTCTTCCTCGATCTGGTCGCCGAGGGTGGTCTTCAAGAAGGAGAGCAGGACGTCGATGTGCTTCGCAGTAGTGGCCGCACACTCGGCGTCGTGGGTCTTGGGCTGGTTCATCTTGTAGAGCTCGAGCTCCTTCTTATGATGGACCAGGACCTGATACGGAGCCGTGATGCTAACTCGATCGCCAATGAAGTTGACACCAGGGTAATAGCCGACAACAGCGGCGAGGGCGTTCCTGAGGTGCTTGGAGTGGATGACCATATTTGTCGCGGAACCCCCCTGCCAGTAGGTCTCATCTTCATCAGGGTAGTACTCGTCATGGTGGTATCGTCTCGGAGGGGGAGGAACGGTGGAAACAGTGTTGACAATCTCGATGACAGGCTTCTTCTCTCCAGGAACTTCATCCTCGGCAAGGTGCGAGGTGGAGTCGAAGGGCTTGTTACTCTTGAGAGTGTTGACAACCTTGCCACCAGCCCCACGGTATTGGACGACATAGAGAACATCGGGGACCTCGCCACCATCCAAGAAATACTTGTCAGCAGTACCGAGCCCCTTGACGACTGGCTCCTCAGAATGCGGCCGACGTCCGACGTCTTCATAGCTGGCGATGGAATTCGCCTCGTCGTCTGAATACGACATGCCGTCTGATATACCGATGGTAGTTGGGATGTACTCTGGTGATTTCTTCTGATCTTGGAATATGATCTGATAGGTGCTTCTGGTCTGGAGGGTGCTTCTGGTCTGGAGGGTGCTTCTGGTCTGGAGGGTGCTTCTGGTCTGAAGGGTGCTTCTGATCTGATGGGCTTCTGATCTGATGAGTGCTTCCTACCTACCTTGGGAAGTTAAAACCTCTAGCCCCGTACAGGAGGAAGCAAGCGCATCCCTCTTTATCTTGGGCGTAGAAGTCGGGCATACGGCCTCCACACGAGCACAACGGTTGGACAGCAGCAGGCAGCCATGGGCTGCCTGGAGAGGCCATCCGATGCATTGCAGAAGAAGGCGACCAACCACGGTGTCAAACGACCAACCATCGGCCCGTTGGAACGTTTGTCCAGCATCACTAGAGGTCCAATCATGCAAGTAAGCCTACCGCTGCATTGACCGGGCATAATCACGGCATGTGATAGGGCTGACACGGAAAACCAAGGCACCTGTAAAACGACGTTGTATGGTCAGTTACTCACGTCTCACAGGACAGCGACCGCATCTTCCCACCCCACTAATAAGTAAGAAGCTGGCGCCTGTTTGAGGCCGATTCTGCATCCAACAATTTTTAATTCGTTTGCTTTGAAGTCGTAAAACCCCCTGCTCTGGGTACATCCTTCCTCCAGCCGCATCAAAATTTTGGATTTAAAGTGCCCAGGCAGATAGCTCTAAGCATGATTCCTTATTATATAGGTAGGACGGATGATGGAGGGTGAAGGACTGAAAGTTGTTCGTTTGAATAATATCCCAAGGCTTGAGGGTTGGCCCACCTACTTATACAGCATGCTATTGTGAGTACATCTGTCCCTACTGTAGGTAGCTAAGCAACAAGCTACCAGGTAGGTACGTAAGTCTCTATCTTGCAAGGCCACTATTTCCTCCCAAACAGGTTGGCAACCTTGTCTGATATCGTCTCCTTGCCCTCTGATTTCCGAGCCTCCCGTTCCTTCGCCTGTTCCTGCCACAAACCTTGTAGTTTCGATGCCAACTCGGCCTTGGCTTTCAGCTCTCCCTTCATTGCTTGCTCCTCCGCCAGCCGATCTTGCTCTGGAAGCTTCTCTAGATGTTCCTTCCACTTCTTCTGTGCCTCTGGATTCATGCTCGAGATGTCGAACTCCTCCTTTTTCACGGCCACTGCCGACTTCATCAACATGGGTTCGAGCTTCGGTACCGGCCTGCCTTCCTTCTTGGCCTCCTCAATGGCCGCCTCCTGTTCCAGCATTCGGTGATACAGAGAGTCTGCGTGCATCTGGATATCCTCGTTGATTTCCGACGGCCCGTCGTAGTTTGATAGATAGCCCAAGGCCTTGAGCAACCTCTGTTCGAGACACCCGTTAGCAACTGGCCGCATGGCGAAAAACATAGATGCATTCCCACCGATTGAGTAGTGTAACATCGTTCAAACTTCTTCACTTCGGCCCGACACATGGTCAACCTCGCAGTCAAGTCCCCGCTCTTCATACAGTTGCTCCAGTCCAACTGCTCCAGGGCACAATTCTCCAGCGCTGCCCTCCCAATCTGGGCTTTGCGCTCCTTGTAGCCGTCTAGAACATCCATCAACTTCTCATGGTCGCTCTTCGTCTCGGCCTCGACCGCGGCCAGTGGCCGATAGCTCTTCCACAAGTCTGCATACCGCCCATCCTTGTACTGGCTCTCTGGTGGAACCCCCGCGGGTTTCTGAGCCACCGTAGCAGGGTCTTCTGCAGTGGACTGCCTTGCCGTCACCGTGTGGCGTTCATCTTGGCTTGTGGTAGCAGTTGGGGGCTTGTTGAACTTGACTGGAGATTCTCGCTCCAGGAACTCGCGGAGCTTGGGATCGAGCTTTGAGAGCGGGTCGCTGTCGCCGCTGCTGGACCCAAACCAACCATCGAACCACCCCATCTCAGGGAAGCCAAGAGGCTGAAATTCTTGAATAACTTGATCAGAGCCGCACCAAGTCTGCGCCGGGAAACTGGTCCTTCGACTCGTTCCGAGTGTGTTGCAAGTTTAAGGCGGTTTTCAGTGGCAGAATTGTATGCTCAGAACGCACGTGATTCCCTTGAAGGCGACATGCCTGTCGGCTTCCACCTACTGACTTGACGAGGTACCACTGTACTTATCCACGTCGCATGCTCTCCATGATCTTCATGATAATTCTCCCAATTGGCTAGGCTGACGTATGTGCAAGAGATACTACGTCCATATGGGCGGGAAAAGTAATTTCGTCACGGTGTTCATTCGATTCATGAATGGCAGACTCAAAAAAACAACATTGCCTAGGCCATCCTGGGGCATGCAAAAGCAACTCTTGACCTTTTCCAAGGCATGCTGTGCAGATCCCAAGAGATGATCGAGACCCCCAGATTCCACTTGACAGACAAGACTCCTCCACGTAGAACAACCGTTAGTAGCCTTCTGGGATCACTCCTGTGTCTTCCTCTTTCGCGAATTGGCTTGATATTTTTCATTCGAAACTGCATCTACGAGATTTTTCGTGCTCAAGCAGTTTCTTCCCTGCCAGCCGTCCCATTTCTGAGAAGATGAAGCCCCAAAGCAAACCGCGCCAGAAATGCCCAATAAAAAGCCCCTTGCCCTTAGAACTTGCTGAACTTCTTGACCGCCTTGCCAGTTCGGGGAAGCACACGGAGAACGTTGAATCGGACCTGTTCCTGTTGTCAGAATTGTGTTATGGAGAAGGCGTGGACTGCAGTGGAAACCGACCGTCTTGCTCAGTGGTCTGCACTGGCCAACCGTAACCTGGTCACCCTCCTCAACACGGAAGGCAGGGGAAACGTGCGCCGCCAGGTTCTTGTGGCGCTTCTCATATCGGGCATACTTGGGGATGTAGTGGAGGTACTCTCGGCGGATGATGAGAGTTCGGTGCATCTTGGTGGAGACGACGGTGCCGGTCAGGATACGGCCGCGGATCGAGACGAGACCGGTGAACGGGCACTTCTTGTCTGCGGAAGCTATTAGCACCTGTGTCTGCCAGGCTGTTCATCTCCACAACCAGCTGCGATCCATATGGGTCGGGTGGAAGCATGCGCTTGACCCAACCGCCTCAACATCTCGCGCTCGCGTTCGTCGAGACATACCGATGTAGTTGCCCTCAATCGCTGTTTTCGGGGTGCGGAAGCCCAATCCGACATCCTTGTACCATCTTCTGCCGTTCTTTCCAGGCCGGCCCGACTTGATCTTCGTCTTGCTGTTGAGGAAGACTAGAGTATACGAGTTAATATTATCACGCCCAACCAAGCTCGGAATCTGTCAAAATGCAAGAGAAAACTTACTATGGGGCTGCTTCTGGAAAGCGCGCTCGCTCTGCACAGTCAATTCGGTCGCCATCTTGACGTTGTGTTCAAGCAAGATGCCCTTGTCGAGTGTGCTTGGTGATGTTGAACAAGTGCAAAATTGAGCGCTTGGGATTTTGGAGTGTGGATTGGTATTTTTTCGGTCTCGGTTCAAAGTTGTGGGTAGGGACTGAGCCACATTTGCGGAGCCACAATTTGACCAGCCCCTCGAAATGTGGCTAATAAATGGGTCCCAGCCTTGGCGGATGACCGTGCATCCTTTATTTACATTTACAAACCGCTAGCCAATCAGTGTTGTTAAAGCTCCACGTCAATACCAGAAGCAGGGAGGAACTGTCTCCCCGCGCCTGTTCCAACTTGTTGCGATATCTACTCCCCCCCTCCCTCAAGGAGCAGTACGCGAACCTACCCGACTCTAAATTCCCCATGATTACGGCTCAGTGAAGTCAGATCAAACCAGTATGTCGTCGCGTGCAGATGCAACGCTGCCTGCCACACGCAGGTCGCGCAAGTCAGTTGGCGGCCAGTCGCCGTCGCGAAAACCAGCGGATAAGGAGAACGCCACGATCGATGTTGGAACTACTCTGGCCGCTGGCAGGAAGAAATCACGAAGCAAGAGCATAGGGCCTGGTGGGTTAGATGTTCTCAAAGCCGGGACTGGGAACCGAAGAGTTGTATGTCCATCCCTTCCTTGCCTTGACATCGAGATTCGCGCTGGATTTAACACAGCCTCTAGTCTCTTGCAGCCCCTTTGCGCCCTCCTCCCCCAAGGTCAATCCTAAAGCAAACGATCGCATTGCTGCCGGAAATCCCGCCTCATAAACCCAAGAGCTCGACAACCGAGGGCAGCAATGCCGGACAAGCAACCAATTCGCCAAGTGATAATGAGCTCTCGGGGCCTGGAACCAAGGTTGCTCTACGTACCGAGGAAGAACAACAAGCTGCCGCCCGAGCGCGCGAGGAAAAGGAACGCGCTGAAGCTGAGAAGGAGGCCAAGAACAGGCGCGAGGCGCGTCGCAAGTCGTTGGCCAACCGCCGAGTATCCTTCGCCGCGGAGGCAACGCTACACACGTTCCACGAGGTTGAATACATGCAAGATTCCACCACTTCTACAGAATCGACACGTCGTGCATCGTCGGTCGCCGCGCCATCTCCAGCTTCGCGGACGCAGGACTACCTAGGATCTGATGCTTCAGAGCCGCCGTCAACACCCCCAGGACCGGCTGACGGGTCCGAGAGAGATGCCCAGCAAAAGAAGCGACGCCGTAGTTTGGGTATCCCGCCACTGAACTTCAACAACCCAGAAGACGACACTTTGAGCTCTACAGTCTATAGTTCCGACTCGGAGCATGCTGACGGCGTCGAGGAGATCCACGGAGAAGAAGTCTCAGGCTCCGACTCCGACTCAGACGTGGAAGACGGCACCGTCATGACTGTTGATGCTGACGAAATGACATCCGCATCCATCGCGTCAGTTCAATCAACGTCGGCGGCGAGTGACTCCACTTCCTTGGATGAGAATCTCCGACTTGCAGCCCAGATGGCAGCCACCCAGCAGCTTGACGAAGAAGAAGAAGCAATCCCCGCATTCGCCGGCTGGGGAAAGAAGAGCAAGGTTCCTCAGTATGCTCTTCCCAATTTGCAAGCAAACGAACCACGTACTTCTCAGCAAAGCCCAGTCGAGCGAGAAGACGGGACGCAGATGGATATGGACATGGATATGGACACGGATATGGACACGGACATGGACATCACAGGCGCCGTCGGCCGTATTATTCATCAACAAGCTACATCCCCTCAAGATGGCCAGGATGAGGACATGTCGATGGATGTGACTCGAGCAATGGGCGGGATCATCTCACAAACCCGGCCTCCAACACGAGTGCAGTCCAAGCTCAGCCCGGAAAAACAGGTTGACGACGAATCTTCACTCGGCGAAGAAACCATGGACCTCACCACGGCGGTTGGTGGTATTCACAGTGGGAGACCCTCGGGCGCAAGCCATGTAGACCTTGATGGGAATGAGGACATGTCTATGGAGTTGACCACGGCAATCGGAGGCCTCTTGTTGCCCAAGAAGGTTTCAGCCCAGACTCGACGACGAACCATTTCTGCCCCGGACAACGCCGAGGACGACGATGCGACAATGGATATGACGGTGGGCGTCGGTCGTATTCTTCTGGCCTCAGGCGGGAAAGGCGAAGATGACGGCGCAACCATAGGCATGGACATGACAATGCCTTTGGGTGGCATCATCAAGCCATCGTCGAGCCCAGTTGCACGATCGATTGCCAAGAAGGTCATGGAGCAAGAGGCTGATGAGCCGGACGCTCCGACCGCCGCGCCCGTTGAAGCCAAATCGTCCCCTACGAAACAGGCCTGGACAGCAACTGACGAAGTAGGGAGTCCAAGCATGGCAGGATTCCGTGGAAAGGGACTCCGTCGCACACCTGCACGCGCTGCTTCGAGTAACCGCAAATCCCCAAAGGCTGGGGCGGCTACTGCGCCGAAAGTTTCCACTCCGTCGAAGAAGGTCTCGTCTGGAGCACCTACTGAGGCTTCACCAAGAGCGCCTCCCCCACGGATGATCAGTAGCAGATCGAGCTCTCCGGAGAGGCAAATGTCGCCTAAACACCTCAGCACCCCTCAATCTTCTTCCAAAGCGAAATCAAAGGATACCTCCGTCTTCCACCAAGATCCTGCCACGGGAGCCACGACGCCACGAGTCGTATTGACACCTCAGAGACGCCGCCTGTCTGGCATTGGCATTGACCGATCCGGACTAGGCTCACCAAAGATTGCCGAAATGTTCGATCGTCGTGATTCCATTGGAAACTCGGCCGAAGCATTTATCCCAGGCCAAGGCAAAGCAGTCCGCAGAGGTGTCGCCTTTGCTGACCCACGGGAGATGGAAGGAGAAATCGACCGCGAACGACAAGAAGACGAGGAAAGAGAGAACAGGCGGAAAATCCTTGAGAGGGAGGCGGATGGCTCGCAGGATGAGGGGGACGCCACTGTTAATCTCATGGAAATGATCGAGGGGCTCACTCCGAAGAAGAACCCACTGAAAGGCCGCAAAAGTCTGCATGTTGGAAGCGCAAGAGGACTCCTTGGCAAGCGTCCGTCCGAGTCGGACGACGATGACGAATGTGAGGAACGGGACGGCGTAAAACGACTTAAGGGGCACCAAGGAAGTCCTGTCAAGAACGTCAAGCTGCGGTCGCCGCCATCCAAAGCCGAGACAACCGGCCGGGCGATGCGGTCAAGCAGGAAAAGCACGGAACCGACAAGTGATAACACCGTCACTCCTACCACTGCGCAGTCACCCACCAAGACGACCACGCCGAGGGGCCAAGGGCGTTTCAAGACGATTGATAACGACCAGCCATCGACAGCCATCGACTTTGACCATAACATGCCTCACGACGAAGCCGAAGCAGAACAGAGTGACGGTGAGGAACGAATCCACCTGCAAGACTTCCTGAACATGACGAGCATTCGCTTCATGGAGTTGACGACCACAAAACGCCGACATACCGTGGCACCAAATGCCCTGCTAGATAGCGAATCTGCAGATGGCAAGGTCGACTTTTCGTTGGAGAGTTGTGTGGTTGCGGGCGCATGCACCGTCCCGATGTTGGAGCTGTACCAGCACGTAAGTCGACAAACCCGCTCTACCCCAACAGTTGGATCAAGCTGACGCCGCATCATGATAGTCTTGCCGTGAACTGAAGAACTATATTTCCGAAGGGAGACGGATTGTCCGGGAGATCGAATCCGAGACTTTTGAAGAGAACCCGCCTCTCTTCCGCGAATACATGTCCGCCTCTCCAGAGTTCAAAGTCATCATGGACAACCAGTTCAAGAATGTCAAGACTCACGCCCGCCTGCTGAGCAAAGCCATGTGGTACGAATGGCGTATGAAACTCCAGGACGGCCTCAAGGAGGGGCTCGTCAAGATCGCAGAGGGCATGGCGGCAGATGACGAGATCCTAACCAAGCAGGAGAAGCTCTTGGCCTCGGTTGTTCCGGAGATGGTGCGGCGATACGAGTCTCTGGAGCGGGAGCGTGAGAACCTCGAGGCCGTGGCGAGAGAGTTGGCAGATTGCGATCCAGCCGAACTTGAAGAAGCCCGATCGGAACTAATCGCTGTGGATGAAGACATCGAGGAGAAGGTAAGGAAGATTGAGGAGCTTCGGCAGCAACTTCAAGAGTCGGAAGACAGCATCAGCGCCATGGCGAGTCAGAAGCAAACTTGCTTGGAGGAAATCAAGATCTCCGAGAAGATTCGGGAGGAATGCAGAGGCTGGAGCTCGACTGAAATTATGGCACTCAAAGGTAAATTTTTGCTACAAACATGTTTGGCGCGGAGAATGCAAGCTAACAAACTTGCAGCCAAGGTAGATGAGCTGGAGAGGCAGCATGGCTGGGCCATCACCGGCATCGCGGGCACAACCGTGTCGGCAACATACCAGCGTGAGATTGAGCTCGTATTTGACGTCTCGTCTTTCCAGCCCGGCCAGCAAAATTCCCGCGTCGATCTCTGGTATATCGCAGGGAACCGGGAAAATAACCCTGTGGCGGTCACTCCCGAAAAGGAATTCTTCCTCCAATGCATCAGGGATCAGGTGCGGGGATTGCAGCAGGCGCAAACAAAGTTGAGCCGCATGCTTGGCGTGGTCAGTGCGGCGTGGGACAGGGCAAATGCCGTGGCCAATCACGTGCGACTTCTCAACGTCACCTTTCCCACCACTGTCACCAAAACATCGGACACTTCCATTGCAATTAAATCTTCGCTGCTTCTGGTCCCTCTATCGTCGAAGGTGGAGGTTGTGCTGAATTTGAACGGCGAGGTCGGCGCCGACGATGTCGAGGTCGCCATCGTACCCCAGGCTTCGATCGTTTACGGGGAGCAGTTCAAGGTCGCCAAGATGGCCGAGTTCCTGGCGACGCGGATTGGCAGCAGCGTGATGGGCAGGAAGGAGATGCGGGCGGCAGAGTCATGGTGCGATGTCGTCGTCGAGCTTCACGGCCGGCTGCTCGCCAGGGGCAAGAGATGATTGAATGACCTGCTAGCGAAACCATCACCGCACGCAATGATTTATGTATTTTCAGTAATTACCTACTTGTTGTTATTATAGCCAGCTTTTGTGTCGTGCGAATCCGAATCATTATCAGACTCCAACGCTTGCTCAATACTTGATATTCATCTCCTCGTTACATTTAACTTTGTAATTGAACTAGGCGTCCGTAATCTAGAAATGGTTTCTTACTTCTTTTTCTAACCTGGGAGAGTTGGGCAAGGCAACGTTGCCGACGACGGACGATACGATATAGTGTATATATATATATATATCTTGCTTCGTATCATTACCCATAAAACAACGTCAAACTGTTCGCAAATCATGGGTTTCCGCAAAGAAGGGGGAAAACTGGTTGTCAGGGCAACCAAAATATCGAGTCTGGATATTCATTATATTATATCAAGGAACGTCGCCATTGTATGACCGTTAAACACTTGGTTCATTTGCTATATATATCCAGATACTATTGTGCAAGTTCTATTGAAAGGAGGGCGGCACTCGCTGAACAACGCTCGAGTGTACCTCCGTACCTCCGTACTTTACCTACCCACGGAGAACATCACAAAGTACCAGGGCAGGTACTGTCCGATGAGAAACTGGGGAGATATACCGCCCGGAGGCAACGAAGGAATGGTCGTACGTACGCCCAGATGGCTGCATATATCCGTATGGAATTTTTACAACGATGGTATCGTCCGGGTTGCAATGATTATTTACTTTACCGTCGGCCCCGATGAGGATCGAGTTGCGCGTGGAAGGGGGGATATTCAAACTTTTTGCGTCCCAGGGCATGGAGGTAATCCGCACCTGGGTGAATATCTCAGATACTCGCAGTATCGCGATTTTGGCAGTATCTGGGCTCGACTGGTGACAAGCCCGGGCCCCGCAAGGGCGGTCGGGTAGGAAGATTCACCTCAAGGGTAGGGGTGAATACCCTCGAGGCCCTCTCATTGGCCGTTTCCAGGGCAATAGACCTATTTGCGATCATATTCACTTGCCTCGCGTACCGGTGTATCTTTGATTTCGTCAGTCTGAAGTGAATATGAGTGACGGTACCTAGGTACTCCCCGCGAAACGCGTCCTGCCCGGTAGGCGACCAGTATTTATTCTGCCAAAACACCAGTCCTCTCCTCTCCTCCCTCTTTTCTACCCAACAGAGAAATTTTCGTGATTTTCGAGCGACAAGAAACCACACCAATTTCTCTTCCCCAAGCCATCCTATTTGACGCTTACCCATCGCTGGGTAACATCATCTCTTTTTACAGCGCCGAGCGATCGTCAAGAATGATTTCCGGCATCCTCTTGTTCCTCTGCCTCGCGGCGGGGGGCCTGTGGGATGCCCTTTCGTTTTGCATGAAGGGCCTCGCGGCCTTGATTGCCATCTTCCGCGCCTGGGACACGGAGCTTGACTCCAAAGTCGTCTCGCTCTTCGTGAGCATCTACCTTCTCTTCTCTTTGTGGGTTCATCTCGAACCTGTTGGCCGTGCGGTACGCCGCTTCTCCAGTTCGTGTGTGGGCAGTGTGCGCGAGCACATTGTTCACTTGCTCCTCCTTGCCCTGTCCCCGGTCGCCGCCAATTTTCACCTGGCCTCGAACCGCCTTCATGGCTGGTTCGACGGTGCCGTTGATTATTGGACCACGCAACCTCGGTTGCGTGGGCGGACCCGGAGGGAGCTCGCGGACCAGAGAGGTCGGCAAGCCGCGCTCTGTGAGGCTATCGCTAGCCTCAACCGTCTGATTCGCGCGGGCCTGCGCCGTCAAGATTGCCTCGCTATCGACATTAGGTCGGTCGGCAAGCTGCAGGCTCCGCGATACCCATTGTTTCCTGGACCCTTGGAATCCGAGTTCCAAGAGGTGCCATTTGTCGCCTCGGGTGGATACCCTTCCGAAGTTCCGGAGCTTCCTGGCCCTTGGGCGAGGCTCTTGTCTCGCACTGATTATTCGGTGCGTAACATGGGCTTTGCCCTTCGGGAACTCCCTCCTCTCATTGAGGAGAACGAAGGTCGGGTGTCCAAGCTCCGCGAGGAGTTGGCCCGCGTAAACGATGGGGTGAAGAAGGCGGAGGACAAGCTGGCCAAGGCCCAACGCCAGCATGAGCACCGCTTGCGGTGCGAGGCTGCCGCTGCCGCCAAGGTCAGGGCCCAGCAAAAGAGAGAGACCACCCCACGCCGGATTGGATTGACTAGGTTTGTTCTTCCCCTTCTCTACTACCACCGTAAGATATCGAGCCGTGCTAACCTGACCGTACAGCAGCAGAGGTCCTGACTACTATCTCCGGGTGCCCAGCTTCACACTCGGCGCGAGCCGAGTGTCCCAGCGGCCCGGACGAGGGCCACTCTCGACTCTCTCTGCGCAGTTCCTGCCCGTGGTCCAGCCACAGCCCGAACCAGCGCTGCCAATCCTCTCGACCAGCTTCCGCCGCCAGGAGAGACTGCCGCCCCCCGCCCAGGAGCCGCAGCCACTGGCCAAGAAGCCTCTTTACCTGGCCGCCCCTCTTGCCCCGCCACAGCAAGAGGCCGGACCCTCTAACCACGGCGGCTCCCAGCTGGCCGTTCGCTTCAACCAGTCGCCCGAGGTTGTCGTGTATGAGCCGCTGGAGCCTGTCGCTGCCCTGATGGCGCCGCTACCCTGCATCGCGACCCAGTACGAGGAGGCACGTGCCCAGATGCACCTCGAGCTGCAAGCTTCGCCGGTAGTAGAGCAGCCCGGCCCCGTTACCCTGACTCGTCAGGAAGAATCTGTCCCGCCGCCCACGGAGACCGATTTCAACGCTCAATTTGTGGAACCCTACCACGCGTTCGCTGCTTTCCTCGCTCGACAGGAGGAAGCAAAATGGATCCAAGACGTGCGGAACGCGTTCAAGTTCCCAGTCGACCCCGTCTTCCATTTCGCCGAGCCGACACCACAGACCGAGCTGCCCATCAACGACGCGATGGAGGTGGACGAGGTCCAGATTCAGGACGAACAGCCGATCCTGGAGCCCATCCAGGAGCCGGCCCAGCAAGTGATCCAGGAGCCGGCCCAACAGGGGGTCGCGCTACCCGTGGTGCAGCCGATTGACGCCGGCACCCACGGCCTGGTGAATCTCCTGGCCCGTCTGAGTCTGGACCAGCAGCCCGACACGGAGATGGAGGACGCTGACCAGCTGGTCGAGCAACCAGTCGCTTCGCCGGTCGCCCAACCGGTCGTCGCGCAGCTGGTTGCCCAGCAGGTCGCCCAACCGGTAGCCCAGCCGGTTGTCCCCCAGCCTGCGGCCCAGCCGCCCCGTGAACAGGTTGTTATCCCTGTGATCGTCCAACCTGCGCCTGCCCCAGCGCCCGCACCTGGCCCGGCCAGCCACCAAGCCCCTCGCGCCCAGCCGCCTGCGCCCGCGCCCGCGCCCACGCCCACGCCTGCCCCGCCCGCTTACCAGCCCGCGCCAGCACCCGTGCCCACCCCGCGCAGCCAGCCAGCCCCGCGCACCCAGCCGCCCGCGCCTGTCTCGAGCGCTCAGTCCGCTCCTCGCGCACAGGTTGTCACACCTGTCATCGTCCAACAGGCGCCCGCCCCCGCGCCTGCACCTGCCCCTCGCGCCGCGCCCGCCCCGACCAGCCAGCCAGCAGCCCAGCCAGCCCAGCCAGCCCAGCCTGCTCCGCGCGCCCAGCCAGCCCAGCCAGCCCCGCGCGCCCAGCCAGCCCTGCCAGCCCTGCCAGCCCTGCGTGCCCAGCCCGCCCAGCCAAGCTCCAGCCAGGCAGGTCCCAGCCAGGCGGGTCCCAGCCAGGCAGGACCTAGCCAGGCAGGACCCAGCCAGGCAGGTCCGAGCCAGGCAGGTCAGAGCCAGGCTGGACCGAGCACGCCAGCTGGGCGCTGGTCAGGTGCCTACACTGGTCGGCGACGACAACCCCGGGTCGTGGCGCCCGTTGCCCTTGTCTCTGCCCACGCCGGCCCCTCCACCCCGGCGCCCCCCCAGCTGCCGCTGCCCGCGGCACCCCAGATCCGGCAGCTGCCGACGACCCCCGCGCCGGTCCAGCCGACGACCCCCGCGCCGGTCCAGCTGCCGACCCCCGCGGCGCCAGCACCCGCCCGGCAGCTGCAGCTGCCTGCTGCGCCAGCGCCGGCCCCGCCGCTGCGTCTGCCTGCCGCGCCCGCGCCCGCCCCAGTCGCCGAGCCCGCCGCGACTACAGCCACGTCGAGCTCAGGGGCCGGGCTGTCGGCTGCGCAGGCGCTCCTCGCGGGGTCCTCGGTTGAACCGGAGGACGTAGTCATCTGGTCGGACTCGGCCTCCGAGTCCTCGGACATCTCGGCCGAAGCGGCCAGCCTCCAGGCTCTGATGGAGGCGGACCTCGACGCCGAGATGGCCGCCGAGGGGGGGGATGGAGGGCCGAACCTGGAGTCATCGGCCATGTCGGCTGACAATGCTGATGGTGTTGCGGGTCCGTCGTCCAGCAATGGCGCGACAGAGTCAACCCCCCGCGCACCGGACGCGGAGTCATCCGGCGGGTCGGCGAAGAATGAGGACGACATCCTCAGGGAGAAAGGGAAGCAGTTGCTCGTCGACCGCCAGCTGCCGTCCTCGCGGACGCCCTTTCAGGTCGTCCCTGACTTCAACTTCGGGTCCGTCGCAGGGCCCTCCTCGTTCCAGCAACCGCCGGCGCCGTCGCAGGCGTCGGTCGGCATTGTCCAGCGTGCGTCTGCCCAGCGACCAGTGGCTGCGACGCCGCGGAACGTCACCGATTCTCGCGCTGGGGGCATGGACGGCGTTCAGCCGAGCGCGTACACGGTACCGCTCGCGCCGATGACGTACCCAGCCCAGAGGAACCAGCCGAGTTTCGTGACGTATACGGGCACGCAGCTCCAGCGCACGATCATGGACATGCTGGGACTTGGGGTCAACATCTACCTGAGAGCCACTCCTCGAGATGAAACGCCTCTCGACCTGATCGAGCTTGTCGGGGCCGAGCTCGCCTCGGAGCTCGTTGAAGGTGGGAGGCCCCTCAACCACGTTCAAGCCGTCAACTATCTCGAGCACTGGCTCGTCAAGGCTGTTGAACGGGAGGGCATCAAGAAGAGGGTCCAGAAGGAGATGCTTGCGGCCATGCGTGGCAGGTTGGGCGAGTATTTGATGGGCGTCATTCGCTGAGCAACGGATTGGTCTACCCAACTTTCTCTCTAGCATTGGGAGGGTAGGGAGGGCTAGAAGAAAGAGGTGTAAGCTGTGCGCTGCCTACGGGTTAGATCCTATTCCGGTCTCTGTTTAAGTTTTGTCCACCCATTCCCGCCAGAGGTTCGACTCCTCTCGGCAACACCCCCGCCAGTCCCCGGCAGACGACTGCTGCTCTCTAATTCCCCTTCGGCCCCCCGCGCCTCATTCCCATCGATCTTCTCCCATTCCAGCATCGGGACTTCGCTGGAAAGCTTCTTCTTAATACGATCGACGAGCTTCGTGGGGTTGAGCAGCTTGAAGCTGCGCACGAATTCGGTACCCTCCGCGCTACCCAAAAAAGAGTGCGATGAGCCATGGGACCACCGACCTGTCTGAGTTTTGTGCTTTCCAATATCATCAGAACCATCGTCTTTCGAAATGTCGCCAGAAGGACTAAACGGCGTAGGGAACGCCGGTTCGACAGACTTTCGATGGAGCTGATCACCGATGAGAAGTCGGTAGAGATTCTGCCCCATATTGCAGATGTCTTCGTATGAGTTTTTGTCACCGAACGAAACGCCTTGAGAGCAGCATGCCCAGGCGATATTGTACGATAATAGCACCACCCCTTCCAGGAACAGCGCGTATGTCGACGGATCCTCCTTTGCCAGCGTCGAAAGTGGCTTATCGATGAACAACGGCCGCGGACGAGGAGCAGGCACGTCATCTCCTGCACCGGCATCCGAAGGAACCTGATACGGAAGACCAGATCCTGGGAACAGCGCCTCGCCATGTCGATACGAAGACGCAACAGAGAAGATCGTCGGCCGCGGATAATCACGATGGGGCAACGTGACCTCAGCAGGCAGACGGATGGCAAGGTAATGCGATGCCAACATCAGAATGTGCGCAACATGTGCGAGAGACGTCGAGATACCCTCGGGCGTCATACCTAATAAAACAAAAAAAACAAAAAAAAACACCCAGTCAGCCACGAGGATCATCACCACAACATCATGCGGAGGAGACAAGCTTACCATTCATGGCGTGGAGTTCGACGATCTCGACACCACCAATCTCGTACCGCTTGGAGTTCCCCTTCTTTACCTGTCGGAGTCCATAGAGTCGCGCGGCTTCTTCGCACAAGAAAGCTCGAGTCGCCGCCGTGGTACCAGCACACCGATTCCACTTATACCTCGTCATCTGAATGGCTCTCTCGGCTTCGTCCAGCTGTCTGGCCCTTCTCGCAGGGATCCCATTCGACACCGACTCAAGATCCGACCGTCTCCGGGCGATGCTCTCCTTCCGACCTTCTATCTCCATGCGCGCGGCATCCACCTCTACCTTCAGCCGGTCAGCTTGGGCAATGATCTGGCTCGTCCTGTCGATACCCGCCGCTTCCGCAGACTTCCAAATATCCATCTTAACTCTCGGAGAGCCACGAAGGTGCATCGACTCATCCGCCGACGGCGATAATACGGCGTTGATTTGTCGCTCGAGATCCTCATTTTCCATCAAGGCAAGCGCATTCTGGAGTCGACCCTCGTACAGCTGGTTCCTAGCATCCACGGCACAAAGAAAGGGCAATCTTTGGCCATGGTGCGGTCTCCGACAAATATCGCAATGTAACCTATCCATCGCAATCCGGGACGACTACCGCTCTCAAGAATCCTTAAACTCGAGAGCGTTGATCAAATGTGACGGAGCGAGACTTTTGGGCAAAAGTCAAAACTCCTGAACAAAGCTACCACCCGACAACACCCAGCGGCAGTGGCAGTGAATTCCGATTTATATTCGAAAGAAGGAGCGAACCGAGTCACCAGAGCGGCTGAGGCAGACAGCTGCCTTCCTTTGGCTGGAATCCAATCATCTGATTCCCCGATACCCCACGTCACGTCACACCCCTACCTATCGAGTAAGGACATCCATCCCTGCATGCGCCTTCCACAGCAGTTACTGACGTTACCCAATAAGTGGTCCCCTAATAAGTGGTCCACCACTTCTCCATCGTGCATAGGTACCGACAGCTCATCATCCACGCATACCCAATTGGGCAATTGGGAAGTGGAAGAACAAGCTGGCGCACATTCCAAGATTGTATTGGGCATCAATATTGCCGCCTCGCACTCGAAACTTACCTACCTACCTACGGAGCCGTCGCAGTCACATAACATTTCCTCCTGGCAACTTCTCGACTTCTCGATCCGACCTTGATGATGGGCAACACCGAGTGCTGAATAGAAGCCGGTGAAATCATCAAGCGCCATACCTACCTCAACCTACCTACCTCAACCTACCTCACCTCTCTCTATCTTGCCGATCCGATTCGTCTGGGCAGACGAGACAAGGCATCCATCCGGCATCCATCAAACTACCTTAACTTAACAGTCCCGTCCGGGCAGACGAGACTCGACATACGTCGACCTTCCTTACCTCACCTTACCGATCCGATTCGTCTGGGCAGACAATACTCGGCATCTATCGACTTACCTTACCTTACGGTCCCGTCTGGGCAGACGAGACTTGGCATACATCGACCTACCTTACATTACCGATCCGTCCGGGCAGACGAGACTCGGCATACGTCGACATACATAAAACTTCCTACCTCTCTCAACCTCGCAATCCTCCCGAGTCAAGCTTACCATCAGAAATGGCATCGCACTCACCTCGATCTACGGTCTCTCCGAGCAAGCAAAGTCGGCCTCAACCAGATCATCCAGAATCACCCATTGTACCGCCGCAAGACTCGGAACCTGTCGGAACCAACAAGATTGAACCGGCCACCTTGGACACGACGGGCTTGGATCCTCCGATCCAGCAGCAGCCACTATCACGTCGAGCCCAAGTCAAGACCCCGGAACCTCAACCCTCACTAGATTGTATGAATGGGCACAAGGACAATACCGAGAGGTCACCAAGTACACCGGGACATCTGGCACCCTTCGATTGGGACGAATTCGAGAGCCGCTACGAACAAGCACTTGCTGGGGCCAATAATCAAGAGCAAGAGCTATTGGAGGAGTTCGATCGACTGGTGAAGGTACGTGGTGCAACATCCCAGCTTACACTGCGCATCTCGTTCTGACACTGACACTCGTGCAGTACTTCAACGTCTGGGCGTCCGCAGGTTCAGTTCATGACAACGAACGCGGAGTCAAAAGGTTTGTGGCCCGAACATGGAGCGAGCACGATTTCGGCTGCTAACTTTTCTTCCCACCAGATTGCAAACCCGCGAGAGATACGTCAAAATTGCAGAACAGAGTCTGGCGCAGAAGAAAAAGCACCGTCAGTCATGTCGTATTCATCCCAACTACTTCACCTACTGACTTGACACAGTTACCGAGGTCGTCCGCGCCTTCCAGAGTGCACTAGCCCTCCTAAGCCAGTCTTAACGAGGGAGCACTCTCTGGGTATTATCTGGGGGTCAACATCACGGATCCACGTGACCCACTCGCTTTCGACGTCGTACCTTACCTCGTCAGCGCTAGCCGGCAGCTTTACCGTTGTCAACCAGCAACCCAACATGGAAGCCCCTGATCTTCGAGTCCCTGAAATTAGCCAGGTTTGTTTTGGTCCCATCTCCCACGTGCTTTTGCCTACTAACCACCCTCCAGGCTGAGCTCACGTTCTTCAACGAAGCACACTTCTCCCAATCCGCTATCCATCACTTCGATACCGACTTCATGCGACCTTATCTTGAACGAATCCCACGAGTCACGAGTCACGAACTACACGATGAATGTTATGATGATGACGATGGTCTTGGCTATTACGAGGACGGGACGAAACGTACCCTCACAGACGAACAAATCGCCATGTTCAAACATTCTGAACTCGAAGCCTTGCGACGCGCCCAAGAACGTTCAACCCCTCGTCATGCAGCACGAAACACTCAGCTAGAGGCAATCAGCGCAGAGGATGCAACCCACGCTGAACTCACCCAGCTGTGTTCCGAGGACGAGCCCTCCACACTTTCCAATGCGGCAACCTCGAGAAAGAAGCGGAACAGGAAACACAAGAATCGTGAGCACGTCGAGAAGCCTGACCTGCGCAAGCGAACATGGGACCGCGTAGAGCCCGGCCTGGCAACTCTAGACTACGATTGATGGGACTCAAGATCCTTGCTCGGCTTCTCAGGCATCACAGCGGCGTCGCATCTCCTACGGCGATTGAACAAGCACACCACTCGCGACCCCGCTTGCCTGAAGAACAAGCCGGCATGGACTTGCCTCGGAGGCTGTCCAATGAGCTTTGAAAAACGTAAGTGATCATATACTTCCTGCCTCCCCCTCCTATGATGAGATCTTTTCGTATCGTCATCCTTAGACGGAAATCCTGCCAGGGACATTGTCCCTCGAGCGGAACGTGTCGAGTCATAATCTTCTCTCTGATGGTCACCATTCATAACACATTGTCATTGCCCTTCTGATTCTACAGGTTGCTGACAGTTCGCGATACTAGGAAAATACCAAAAAAAGGTTTAAATCAAAAAACAATCACCAAAATATTTGCAGGCGGCACTGTAGCTCCAGCTCCAATTATGTATGATTTGGGAATGTCAGAGTATCGACGGCGGTCTCAGTCCCCCGGAACAGACGGCTTCTCGACGCTGACTGCTTCCCGAGACGGACAGCTTCTTGAGACAGACAGCTTTCGAGACAGACAGCTACTCAAAACTGACCGCTTCCGAAACAGACGGATTCCCGAGCTGACGGATCCCTGAGCAGACGGATCTCAGAACAGATGGCCTCCAGGGGTAGAAACCTCTCTGAGCAGACGACCACGACCCTCGCGATCCCGTCCTGAATAAGCGGCTACCTGAATACACGGCGGGCCTGGTATACGGCGACGCTGAGTAACCTGCCTGGCTAAGTATACGGTCTTTCAGAACCACCAGATTCTTTGAACACACGACCTCCTCCCCTTCGCCGCCCTTTTTCTTTTATCTCCCATTTCCTGCCCCTCCCATCGCGTCCCTCGAGCCCGTTGCGCGTCAGAAGTCCTCGCGGTCCCATCCCATCACCTGCCTCTCTCATCCTCTCCCATTTCCTTCCATTCAACACCTGGAGGTTTCCGCGGTCCCATCACCTCCCTCTCTCCTATCCTCTGCCATTTCCCCTTCCATCTCCCACCTGGAAGTATCCGCGGTCCCATCACCTGCCTCTCTCCTCCTCTCTCTCATCTCCTTCCATCACCTACCACTCTCTCATCTCCTCCCATTTCCTCCCGGCCTCTCCTATTTCCTCCCATCCTCTCCCATTTCCTCCCATCCTCTCCCATTTCATCCCATCCATCGCCTGCCTCTTTCGTCCTCTCTCATCTCCCTCCATCCCCTGCCTGGAAGTTCTCGCAGTCCCATTCCCTGCCTCCTTCCCTCTACCCCCCGCCCTCTTCCAGCACCCATGTACTCTTTACACCTTTGTATACCCCAGTTTCGATCCCCATTCCCGTTCCGTCTTACACATTGCCCAGCACCTTCTAACCCTAGCTGTGTTCATGGAATCTGACGGTTCAGAGAGGCCGTATGCTTTGTCAGGCTAACTTCTCGGGGAAACTGTATACTCAGGGAGCCGTATGATCAGGGAGCCGTATAATCAGGATGCGACGCGAGGAGGTGTCGGAGGGGTCTGCTTGTTGAGGTGGATATCCTTGGCAGCCTTCTGTTCTGGGGGAAGGATGTTTGGGGAGATGGATGCTTTGGGGTGAAGGATGTCTTAGGAAGGGGTGGGTTTTGGGAAGCCTATGTCTTGGGAGAGGTCTGTTTTTGGAAGCCTACGTCAAGGGAGGCATATGTTTCGAGGGCTCTTTGTTCCGGGAGGCGGAGCGAGCTGTGTGTAATACATCGAGGGGGGGTTGGGGAGTTGGAGGGGGTCCGCATGTGGACCTTGTGAATTTGAGAGAGTCCAAGTGTGGACATTGTCGGGATATCGTCAATTTTTGGAAGGGGACGTACGACGGATGAAGTTTTGGCAGCCGGACACCTGTTGATACTTGGATCCAGGGCGGCAGAGATGTGGAGTTGGGAGTCATGGAGCACAATGCCGCCTAGCACAATCACCTCGTGTATATCACGACGGTCACTTCAATACAACTTGCTATTGAAGCCATCTAAGCAGTCCCTAATTCGACGTCCGAGAAGGACCGTGACGTGACTCCATGTTGCTCTCGCTGCACCTAGACAGCCCGGCAAGAAATTGATATTGCTACACTCGGTATGGTACGGTACCTACCTGCCACCTCCGAAAGAATCGAGTCAGAAAACTGGCGTCCGCATCTGCATGTGGTTCTTCTGTACAGCCTCATATTTATAGATCTGGGTTTCTAATCAACATGTACATACCTACGTTAGTCTGCGCTACGCACAGCTTGTTCGGTATGGAGAGTGGAAAACTCTGGACAGATAGACATAAGGGGATTCTCCCTGTACGCTTCCCTGTGAACCTGAAAGTCTCAGATGTAGAAACATTGTGCGGGTACGACGATTAGACGAAGGGTTTCTGTTTAATTCTACATAGCATGTCAGGTGAACTCTTCAGTGGGAGATCTGTATCTCTGTTTCCGTTGCCCGAAAGAGTACCAAATTAATAGGCACCTATAGCGATGAGCAAAGCTATCATGGCTATGTATCAAAACGGAACACCAAATCTGCACCAAATCCTTCTGAAGCTCACCACTCCGGATTACTGTGGCCACCAGGATTAGCAGAACCAGCCACCGTCTGATCCGAGCCGTCCCATCCACCGCCAGCAGCAGCCGCTGTCTGGGGTTCCGAGTTTCCCAATACATCGCCGTAATCACCACCATCCTGATCTTCAAGTTCAGACGGTATTGCGATATTGCTACCGGGAAGTGACTGCTGCAGCTGAACACCCGCCTTCCTAATCTGCTTCTCGAACTCGGTCAGCCTTCACGAACTTCTTCGGGTGGCACGCCACGGGACTGAAAGCCAAAAGGGAGATTCGATCTCGTTGTCGGACTCATGTCTGGAATGCCTGTCTGCTGTGGTTTGTGCCCTGATCTTCTTGCCTTTAGTGTGCGAGCAGCTCTGGTTGTCATGGCCGGGTTCATGGCAAATCGAACACTTCGGGGAAACTTGGGGCAGTCACGGCTCAGGTGGCCGATTTCTCGACACTTCCGGCAAGGCTTGTTCGTGGGACATTGGCCGGTACAATGATCTCCATTGCACTTCCTACACTTCTTCGGTCGAGGGCAATCCTTGATCAGATGGTCGGGGGAGTCGCAATTGTGGCATCGACGTGAAGGGTCCTTCGGACAGTCCTTGCCCATATGACCCTGTTCATCGCAGAGATTGCAGGTACCGGTGAAGGGAGGCTTGTCAGGGCAGTCGTTAGATTTATGATCCAAGGTGCGGCAGTAACTGCACATGAGGCAATCCGCTCGAGATGATCGTCCTTGTGGCAACGGCGGCACAATTTCGTCTTTGGCTTCCGACAATCCTCTGTAACATGGCCGTCATCGGAGCAATTGCGGCAGACCAATGGTTCAGGGCACCGGGCAATCATATGGCCACGCTGGCCGCAATTGACGCACCGCTTGCCGACATTTGGACAAGTCGTTCCATTGGGCAGCTCAACGACCATGTGAGCTTGAGCATCGTAAAGCTCTTGGTATATCTGTCTGAGAATAAAATGGTCGACGTCAGGATCCTTCGAAATCCATTTGTAGCTGTTCGCATGCACCCCTCGGTTCATGAGAACAATCTCGGCCTGGATTGAACACGACAGGGCAACGCAAATGCGACGAGTATCAGCGCAAAAGCCTGGCTTCGTTGTTTGGACGAGATCCACGATGACAAGATCCCGAGAATCTCCCTGAGAAGAATCTAAGGTGCGGACTTCGACGCGCCATTTCTTTTGCGGTGAGAATCTTGTCCTGGAAAGCTTGTCGAGGACGCGTTCATATGCCAATACTTGGGCCTTGTAAAAGGGCAAGATTAGGACTCGGGCCAGAGCATCACTGTTCACCGCTGTGAGGGTGCAGTCCTTGAGGTACTTGACTACCTATTTCGTGACCCATTCAACGTTGTCCATGTTGTATGCCGATGTGCCTAACTTGGAAGAGGACGACCAAGGAAGCTCAAACAAGGAGGCGATGTTGGAATTTCGGCAGCGAAGGGCAGATGCCGCGCAAGAACTCTCCGTGTGCCTCGACAGATGGCGGGTAGAGGTCTGTTGGGTCTCTAAACGGATCCATGACATCGCCATAGATCAACTTTGAGACAAGCTCACACAAGTTGAACGATGGTTGAGCCGAAGGCCGGGGCTACGATGCCAGCATTTACAAGCCGTGCCAAGGTTGATTGACGACGCTGGAACTCGTATGGATTGATTATCAACTTTGCTTGACCGTGACCAACGTGCACACCGAGCTGTTTTGGATCTCCAAACAGACCGAGGAGTTGCGGTTCGAAGCGTGCGATCGCAATGAGGAGAGAGAGCTCGCTCATGCGGCAAGCCTCGTCGACCGATACGAAATCCAAAGCCGGGCCGTACGCTGTCCTGAACTTGTAGTTGTTGGCAGCCACAGGGGTCGTCGCCACGACACCGTTGAATTGTGCTAGGAAGTCTTGGTACACCTTGAGGACGCAATTTTGTAACTTGGCCGTTTCCGAGGGCTCAAGTTGACCAGTTCGCTGCACATCGTCTAGGGATGAACTGACTTCTGTATACTTGTCTCAATTCTTCATGTAGAAGCTGAACGAGGCTGTATGGAGAGACATCTCGGTGCAGCGTGGAGCACGGGCGGAGCGGCGGGCCTTGTGCATATCCGTCGACAGCTTGGACAGTTGGTGGTGGGCAAAGAAATGGTCCGTCACCTTGACGACGGCATTGCGTGCCTCTTCTTCGTCAAACGGGTCGCCAAACGTCATTTCCCCGCGGCTGTACATCCACTCGTCGATTTCGCTCTCGAAGTTATGCAAACGTACGACCATGTCCTCCTTCCCTAAGGCTCGGTGATGCTTGGCCATCTTGGTGGCAAAATCGTTGACGGTGTTGTTGGAATTGACAAGATGCAAGATTTTGCATGGATGCTCCTTATCCTTGTCTCCAAATTGCATCATGAGAATTATGAAGATGATCAATGTCGTCTTTCCAACTCCTGCACAGCCAGCATTCATGCTGAGCCTATGTGGACAAGCGGCGAGCTGCTCGTAAAGCCTCTTCTTGTCATTGTCGAAGTCATCCCACATCTCTTGCAGGTACTTTGACACTCGATTTCGATCGTTCAAGATGTAGGCCATGTGTGGATAGCTGTCGAAGATGTTGTAAATGTCGGACGCGTCAACTTCAGGGAAATCGAGCTGCCATTTGTAGAGACGGAGAGACCACTCAGAAGGCGGAGGGTTAACGCCTTTCGGGATGTGCAGGTCATTGATCGCGGAGACCTCAGCGCACATGGTCCTGTCCGACGGGTGCGTTCGGAACCTGGCCTTGAGTGGCCTGTTTTTCGTGCACCATTCCCGGAACAAGCCATCGAGCTTCGCATCTTCCTTGTCGGAAACTTTGAGCATGGGAACGTCCACGTCGATAGGAAGCCGCTCTTGGCCCTCGGGAACTTCGTCTTCCGGTTCCAGCGGAACGGTAACCATGTAGTAGTGAACGTCTTGCTCCTCATTGAAGGGATGTGCCATTCTCTCCGCAGGCCAGAGCGTCTTGCCATTGTTGGAAGTCTCGTCAGCTCCGAAGCCATCGTCAGCAAAATCATCCTGTACCAGGGCAGTGGCGTGGACGATGCCTTCATTGAAGCCGCTGGTAACGTAGTCCGAGATCCGAACTTCCCATTCCTCAATGGTCTCTACAGATCTCTGCTGAAGAAGTCGACTGGTAGTCTCCTCATCGAGACGCTTGGCGAAGTACATGCTGAGAGACTCCATGATAACCGAAATACGGTCAGGTCGGTTGAGGGCACCTCGAAGCACCGATATGAAGTTACTAATCAGAGTTTCAACAGCTTTAGCAGATGAGGTAAGAGGATTGCGTCGCTTGCGCTCGATGCCGATGATTTGGATTAGACATTGGTTGCCCTCTCTCGGGAGATAGACGTCGTCCGTAGAGGGAACGACACGCACCACAAATCGTCGATTATTCATGACGTGTGAAAGCTCCATGGCATGGATTTCGTACTCACAGCCGCGGAGTGCCTCTGAATTGCCCGACTCCATGTACTGGTCGTAAACCGCACCCATGACCTGATACGCAAGCTGCTCTTCTGCATCATGAAAGCGAGTATTGGCTGGCAGGCGCTGGAGATCGGGAATTTGGCCAGGCTCATCTAGTCGAGGACAGTTACCTAAGTGCAACTGATGTACTTTAAGAGACGCTCTGAAGGCCCAGGCCAGAGGCTTGACAGAATCACGGCCAATTGGGGTCGTGTCCTGCTGCTGAATGACGGCAAGCAGTTTTGCTTGGTTCTCCATCGTTTGTACAGGGAGCACGTCGGAAAGGCCGAACATGAAGCTCACTTTCACAACACCCTCTCGGGTTGATTGCGAAATGAGTTGTTTCAGTGTCATGAGCTTGTCGTGCAAATTCGGATCGCGAGCCTTGACCTTGTTAATCAAGTAGGGGTCGATATCTAAATACGCCTTCGAAGCGATGAGGTCCATGATGTATGCAGAATCAGGGAGTTTGTCGTCAGCGACCTCGCTGTTGAACTGCTCCAAGTACGGCTTCACCATATCGGGTGACTCGAGGTGCCGTGACTCAACTTTTGTCATCGCTGGGCCTTTGATGATAAGCTTCGCAACAGGCTCTCTCGTGACGTTCAGAGCAAGATTTCCGTGCATGACTCGGCATATCTACCACTGTAGAATGTCGCGTAGTGACGGAAAGCAAAGGAATCCTTGATTGGCTTGGCCAATTTGGCAGCGATCTCTGCAGAGGGGGTACTGAATGGCTGAGCGTTGACCATCAAATAGGCGAACAATTTGGAAGTCTCGTATTTGGCGTCTTCGCTCGACGGATTTTCATCCGAGGCCAAGAAATAGGCTAGGCACGCGTCCTGTATAGTTTGCTTCGTTGGTGTTAGCATTAGGACGGTTGGCATCATGACGGGAAGACGACTAACCAGGTTGTCGGCACCCTCATCAGCCTGCTCAGAACCCCAAAGATGCCGAGCAACCACAGTCGTGGCCTCGGCGGCAACTCAGCTGCAATATCGGCGAAATCATTTCCATGGCCAGGATCAGGAGGCACATTGTCCTCAGTCGGAGAGTTCAGCTCGGCGGGAGTGTTAGCTTTCTCTGAAGCCATTGTCTGGTGAGGATAGATAGTAAGTATACGGTTACAGTGAACTTGATATAACCCAAACGACAGTTGGGGTTCGAACACTTACCATGTTAGTGACGACCGACTGGGCGTCAAAAGCAGATGTCTGCGTCAGATTCTCGCAATTCTTCGAGGTAGAGTCTGCCATATGATTCGCCTCTCAGTACCATGCTTCGCCTAAGAAAGTGAAGGACACGATGGAAAGTATGGAAATGAACGGGCAGGAAAATGTGCTCGTTAATTATCTTGGGAATCAACTTCAGAATTGGCGAGAGATAGTAAGGGATCTAAACCGAGAAAGAACAGGACAGTGTTAATTTGAGCCACGCGATGCAGAGCAAATCTCGAGGTCGTGTCCGGAAATGTTGGACAGAATGGAGGCGAGAACCTGTTGGGGTGGTTTTCGAGATGCGGAGTATGTGAGCATCTGACAAAAAACTGTGTGCTTACCTTGAAAGATGTGGAAATTTTGTCAAAGCATCTGTGACCTAGCTTTGAGAAGAATCGGGACCGCCTGGTGAGGGTTGCAAAGGTCTAGAAAACGGTGCGTTAGGAGGGACGAGAGAAGAAGAAAAGACAAGACAAGATATCGGGGATGCTTGTCAAGGTGTGGAAAAGAATTACGAGGCGGGAGCTGATGAAGGAAGGGTATATTTAGGTAGGTAATAGAGAGTGTATCCAGTACTTGGCCTGACTCACCTCGAAGGCAACCGTCAGTATGGTAGGTCTGTAGGCTGTGGCGAAGAGAGGGAAATATTTACCTGGCTGCACGAAGGAGTCAACAAGCGTACAAGATAGAGAGTCCACCTACCGCACCATGGTCTGTCGGCACAACATATTATCACTTCTACGGCAATCCGTGCGCAAAGTGGTAATAAACATTGTGATTATCTGGTGATGATTGCTAACCAGTTCTCCCCAACTGTTTGCATCAATACAATTCTACAATCTTGTCCAGACAAAAATCAGCTGAACGCAAAACATCTTGCAAGACGTGAATCCCTTCTTTTGAGTTTCTGGCTCGTGCCCCCCTGTCGTACCTACTAGCCTATCTCGAGTCCCCTGTCCTCTCAAGGGAAAGTTCAATGATATTTCCACCACGGTGGTGACGGCGGTGGTTTTGGGAGCAGCTATCTGCCTCGGACCTTGGGCAAGATTTCTTGGCCGCCAGGTCAGATTTAATTCGTCGTGATATGCCTTCGGGAGTTTTGAAATTGACGGCTTTAGTGTCTTAAGGGGGGCTACTGTTTTGATGACCTACGAATCTTTGCCTTGGAGGAACGCGGTCTTATTCATACATTTTAGAGACCTTCTCTTGAATCCCGGTTTATCCATTCTCTTGGCGATAAGTCGTTGAAAAGCTACCCCCCGTTGGCCACACCAGCGAGGAGCCCTCGACATACCCCAATCGTCGGGATCGATCTTAATCGGTGGCCATCAGTGACGTCGATTTTATATATGGGTTGTACTTCTGTCGTGTAACTGCCCTGTCGATGCCCTGCCAAAGCCTTGCTGTCCTGGTCCGCGAAGGCGCAGGAGACTCAGTAGGCCACATGAGTAGGTGTGCCAGGCCTTGGGCGCCAGTGTAGGCGCCGCCTAGACGAAACGGCCATGCAGCTAAGGAATTATTCCCGCCAGCGGATGATGTCTACATGTGTAATGACGGTGCAACTACAATGATCAAACGTGGTTCGTTGGTACAAATGGTCGGATGCCACTCTATTATACGACTTGGCGTGAGAATTATTCACTCCCACGGACTTTCAAGGGACGTCAGTCAGCGCACCGGACTTGACCAAGGTTTGCCAACGGGTTTGACGTAAACTGCTCGCGCCGGAATATCACCATACGCTGGTATCTAGAGCTAGATGTCGAAATATGCTCAAGTTACAGCTACCGCCTCTCAAATTAGCCAGTGGTACCCGTTGTCCAGATTTTTTGGGTGTGGTGGTTCAAACTTGTGACCTTTCGGTGTAGTCTGTAGCTCCCTGCCCGGGAACATCGCGCCATTGCCTCTGAAACCCATGGAGTGATGAAATACGGTAGGTGATATGGTATAATCTGTTTTTGAATGAGCTTTGCCTCATTTTCAATGGGCATGCCCCAGCGTATAGTCATGTACTGTACATACAATAGCACTAGCCCCGGAGGAAACACGTGATATATCACGTGGATACCGGTATCCAATGCTTTTGTGGCTAGGCACAGACCCCCCTACGTACACTTCAAGTGGCTTGCTGCTGTTCCTTGGTTTCCCCTATTTCTCTCCAGCCTTAATCTCATCTGCCAGAATCTTACAAACTTCTGATTCAAGATGGTAACCTTCTTAGCTAGACATTTCGAGTGACATCTGCTCCCTAGTATTGCTTGAGCCCGTCTAGATGTCGGTCCAGACAGTCGTTGACAGCGTGGTATTATATATACCCTAGTAGATCTTAGTTGATCAATTAATCTAACTACACAGTGGTGTATTTGCGCTGTCGATGCTTGGCATGAGGAAAACAGCATGCCGCCGGCGTTTGCTTGACCGTCGCCGGTACCACCCGCTTCGCGCTCGTTTGCCGCGGGAGAGAGACGACGAGGATGGGGTGAATTTGGAGGGCTGGTCGCTAGCAGGCGGCACCGCGCATATTCGTGGCCGATGCGATGATGAAGCGGTGTCGACGAGGCGGGTCGATACCCCTGCTGCAAGCCACGCTCGTGCCGCTTCTGCTGCGGGCCTATTCTCTTGGCGTGCCGTCTTTGGTTGAATCCAAAAAAAGGATCCTTTGCATCGTGTCAAATGGCAGGAAGCAGCAGGGGTGCTGCCTTCCCCGCGCGCCTTGTGTGGTTGATGCCAGTTGGGTCGGCGTCTAGATGCAGCGTGATCCCGGACTTGATTGGCTCGCTGGCACCCGGACGCCCTCGCGTTCTATTTTCAGCCGCCGTCAATCAAAATGTTCGTCCAGTCGAATCCCATGCATGTCATTGTCAACCTCCTCTCCTCGACCCCTCCTCGTCAACCAAGCTCCCTTGTTGTCTAAAGGGTGTATAAGCCAGGCGCTTAGGGATGCCCTGCAGATTCTGCAGCGGCAAGGCTCTTCCCGATGAATCGCTCTGTCTTTTTGGGTTGGGGGTCGGGCCTGATGGTTGTATTTTTGGCGGACCAGCATGCGCACAGAGGTATAACTCTGTAATAGCACCCAACCTCTTGCTCTCTTCTTTGCTCTGGGATAATACTGGCTCCATACCGATGCTCCCAAACTGTCGGTTCTATCTGTTATGCTGTTGGAACCCCATCCTTGACGCTTGATCTTTGGTGCCACTTCCTCTTCATCAGTGATCATGCGCCGGTAGCAGGCAATTTCCCCCCCCTCAGTAACCAACCCATTGTGAGCTCTGCCCGAGCGAGACCACGCCAAAAAAAAAAAAAAAAAAAAAAAAAAATGTCCCCGACGGTGCCCTCTGGAGGGTTCTCTCTCTTCCCAAACACCAACCCATCACGGCCACCCTCGAGAAACCAGACACCCAGGCCACGAGCACCCACTCCTCAGTCTGCAGTACAGGAACCATCTTCGGCGGTGGAAAGGACCCCTCCCCGGACCGGGAGGAAACAGTCGATACGTAGAGCAGGGTCGGTAAGCGACGGGAAGCAGCCTGTTTCCAATGGAAGGCCACCCGAAGTTCAGGTTCAAATGTCATCTCTCGGGAGCGGCCATGATCCCGTGATAGATAGGCCGGCACCTGTCGCCCTCGCAGTCGCCCTCGCAGACGTCCCTCCGCGGTGCGAGACCGCCTTCTCCGAGGCCCAGACCCTCGTCCGCAGCAACAGCAACAGGTCTCGCAGTTCCATTGCGAAGCCGCCCATCATCTCCGAACCTCCGGGAGCGTCGTCTTCATCGGGTGCGGAGCAGCCGGCCCTGAGATCCATCTTCCCGACCTACAACCCTAACCTGCCCCTGGATCGCCAGGAGTACTTCCCAACCCAGGCCAGCCCCACGCACATCCCCCGGTCCGCCATAAGCCGGCCGCTCTACAGTCCGGAGCCGAGAACTCCTGGCCCCGCCTTGAGAAGTCCAATGTTGTCTGCCGCAACCCAGATGAGTGCTGGATCGACGGGCAGATGGCCGCCAAGGACCGCGGAACCGCCCGTGATCCCGCCGACCAGCACGACCGAGGAGCTCACGGGGCTATGGAAAGTCGCCAACGGATGGAAAGCATCCGCGTCGGAAGGGCGCGTGTATTGCCTCGAGATGACATCCGAGAGAGATGCCCCCGTTTACGCCCTCTCGTCGTCCGCCGACCAACCGTTCTACAACCTCCGCCTAGACCCAACCTCCACATCTGCCTACGTCACCCTGTCGCGGCACGACCCGCAGAAGCCCTTCAAAGGCGCGTCCGCAGCCGGCAGCAACGCCTCGGCGGGCAACGGCAGCAAGACCGAGGGCAAGCACTGGCAGGAGGTGCTGACGACGACGCTGGAGGAGGAATCGCGGCGGCACCCGCCGCACGACGGGCTCGTGGCGCTTTTGTACCCGTCGGCGGCGGCGCGGATGGCGCTGGAACGGCCCGACAGCGCGGCGACGGTGATGCTGGCGGAGAACGAGTGCGCGCGCCTGGTGTGGGATGCCGACTCGGGAAACCACTTCCTGGCGCACCCGGCGCTGGCCATGCCGTTCTGCGTCACCGTCGAGCGCAACGCCGTGTGGTCGAGAACCGAGTATACCCTCGAGCATATCGAGTCGCCGCGACACCTCGCTCGCCTGACACGCGACGGTACGGGCAACGGATGGCTCGAGATCGATACCGCCATCGCGGCCAAGATCGACTCCGTCTACCTTGCCGACGTTGCGGTCACTGCCCTGATGTTGGTCGCGCACAAGGATGATAGGTTCGCTAGGGCCGAGGTCTTCGAGCCGCCTCCCATGCCGGGCTCGCCGGCAGCTGGGAGCATCGCCTCCGGCCAGGCAGGGAGCGGCCGCGGGAGCAGGCTGGGCCTGCCGGGCTGGAGGGACAGCAGCGGCGGGCGCGAGGAGAGGTTGGCAGGGAAGAAGATGACGAAGAAACAAAAGAAGAAGACGGCCGGCGGGGGGGGTGGGAAGCGGCGGATGGAGGAGTTCGAGATGGACATTGAGAGCCAGGACAGCGAGATGGGGAAGCTGGACCGCAAGGAGAAGGAGGAGAAGCTGCCTGGCGTGGTGCGGGCCCTGATCAAGATCCTGACGGCGGTGTTCAAGTGCGCCATCTGGGTCGTGTCGATCGGGTTCAGGGCGCTGGCAGCCATTGTCGGGGGGCTGGCAAAGTGTGTAACTTCTAAGGCGTGAGATTGGGAATGTCTGTTAATCTGACCTTGGGGCAATGATGGGATCACGGGAGGAGCGGGCATGGTGGGTTTCTCGTCACGCAGCGAAAGGGTCTAATGAGTGTGTGTGTCTTGTGTCTCATCATTTTGGCGTTGGGTATCGCATAAGCATCCGGGGCGTGGCCAGCTAGATACCTAGGCAGCTAGCTACCCTCGCTCCCTGAATAGGAGGACCAAAGGAAAAACAAGAGGGAAGTCCTACGGAAGGAAATGCCCTCTTCCAGCTTATCTCTTCCGCTCTCGAGCCTTGACCTTCTTTCCACTTTTGGTAATGCCGCTGTACGAAGGTGTCTTTGCCATCTTTGCCCGTTGCGCTTCCAACTCTGTCTCCGCGCCTGTCAGAGCTCTGAGCTTTCTCCTTGCGGTCTGTAGCCTCCGCTGTAGCCTTGCGAGCACCTCCGCCTTCTTGTCGGCCTCTGTCTCAGCATCCGAACCGTTGCCGTCGTCTTCCGTTTGATCCTGTTTGCTCAATATTTGATCCCTTTCTTCGACGTCGTCCGTGAAGACAATCTTCCTCGGCATCCCCCCAGCCGCTGGGGAGACCTCCTGGTCCTCGTTCTCGTCGTCCTCAGCATCTATGGGGAGATCCGCCCCGCCGCCCGCCAGGATGACCCGCTCCCGTAGGGCCGCGACCTCCTTCGCCGCCACGTTCCGCATCGTCCGCAGGTAGCCCATGTCCTGTGTCTTGAGCAGGCGCACCGTCTCGACGTCGAGGGCCTTGTTGCCGCGGTCGCCGTCGATGGTCCCCGTCCAGGCACGGCCGCGAGAGAGGCTGGTGCCGGCGCCCTGGCGCGACATCATGCCGAAGTAGAACTCGTCCTCGTTGCGCTCGGCGGCCTTCTGGCGCAGCGACTTGAGCTGCGTCTTCTTCTTGTTGTGGTCCTTGGCCCGCAGCGAGTAGTCCTTGTGCTTCTCGAGCATCCCAAGCCGCTGGCGCTCCAGCGGCTGGGCTCGCTCGCGGTGGGAGCGCCGCTGGACGGCGTTGCGCATCGACGACATGGTTCGGTGGACTTTTTATGTGTTTGATTCGGGTTCTCGAGGAAGACACCTTTAATCGGGCAGGTATTGTGTTCTTCTGGTGGTCCCCGGGCTGGAGGAATTGAAGCGAACAAATTTTGACCGCCTGGAGGGGATGCTTATCGATAAGAGCCCGCTTGGCAGCTCGGCCGCTAGTGATGTCGTGGAACGCTCGACTTGGGCGCCCTGTAAAAACTTGGCACATAGTTGATGGGGGGTCGCTATGGTTCCATGTTGTGCACCCGGTCTATCCCTGTGGTATAGGTACGTGCTGGAAAGTTCCTTGCGAGCCTTTGGCCTTGCGCCCATTAGATGCTAGACTCGTAGTAAGCTTAAATGCCATGGTACGAGTTCACTCTTTTAAATAAAAATAGACAGTTCTACCCCACCTACCCCTGGCAGAACCATCCAAGGCAGCTTTCTCATCCTCCCTGCCTCCCAAGCACCAAGTACTTGATTGTAGATCTGAGATCGCCACGCGACGCACTCGGGGAAGTAATCAACGAAAAGAATCCAGCACGGTATGTTTCGAGGCGCCAGGTGCGGGAATGTCGAGTTTGGGGTGGCCGCGTCTTCCGGGTACGAGGAGGAACGGAGGGAGCTATCCTGATTGGCTGTACCAGAGAACTGTACCTCCAAACTTGCTCCTTTTGGGAATCGTTCCAGGGGGTCCAAATCTGAGGACTGCGCCTACCCTGTCGATCCTAAGCCACAGGAAGGAGCATGCGATCAGCGGTGGACCTGGAATTCAGCGCGCCGCAGGATTGTCAGTCCTGCTGGTCTTCCTCCTGGTCTTCCTCCTGGTCTTCCTCCTGGTCTTCCTCGACGACTTGAACAACCTCCTCGCGACCTCCCCGCCGGGTCTCTAATGACACGGATTCCGCTCTTTGAAAATGGGTCTAATCGGTGCTCAGCGCACGCTCTCCCGGCTGGTTGCCCTCGCCGTCTTCGGCATCTTGGCCACGTATCTATTGCTTAGAGGGCTCCCTTTCCAGGGCGACTGGAAGTCATGGGGCTACGTCCGCAGCAGTTACGACTGGGAAAAGCGAATTTTTGAGTACCCATTTGAGCCGTCGGACATGATACATCCCCCGTCGGGAACCCCTCACAAACTGCGCCGAATACAGCACGACTTCTCACACGAACCCAAGGACAAGGCGCACGACAAGCTCCAAGACGAGCGGAGGGAAGCGGTCCTGAACACGGCGAAGAAGTGCTGGGAAACCTATCGGGAATTCGCCTGGGGCCATGACGAGCTCAAGCCCTCGTCGTTGGTAGGAGCAGATCCATTTGGTGGATGGGGTGCGACACTTGTCGACTCGCTGGACACTCTTTGGATCATGGGCCTCAAAACCGAGTTCAAGGAGGCCGTGAAGGCAGTTGGGCTTATAGATTGGGATAAGACTACAGCCACCTCGTGTAGTGTCTTTGAGACCAACATTCGCTATCTCGGGGGCCTGCTGTCTGCCTACGAGCTCAGCGGCGAAAAGACCTTGCTCCGTAAGGCATTGGAGGTTGGCCACATGCTCTTCGCGGCCTTCGACACGCCGAACCACATGCCGCTCGGAACGTTCTATTTTGACGAGGCTAAGGCTGGCGGGATGACGGCAGGCAAACGTGTGTCTCTGGCTACAGTTGGGACCCTGTCGCTGGAGTTCACGCGGCTCAGCCAGCTCACGGGAGATCCAAGATTCTACACTGCTATCGATGGAATCAAGCAGCAACTGATCCGGACTCAAAACACGACAAAGATCCCCGGACTGTGGCCAACCTATATCGACTTGCGCAATGGGTTCCTCGTCGAGCACGACTCCTTCACGCTTGGTGCTTCAGCAGACTCGGGCTACGAGTACCTGCCCAAGATGTATGCCCTGGTTGGAGGGCTAGACGACTCCTACGCAGAGATGCACAAGCTGGCAATGGAAACCGCGCGAGAATATTTGGTCTTCCGTGCGATGCTGCCCCGCTCTCCGGGACCATCCGCCACCTCTCCAGGACCATACCCAGACGTTCTCTTCTCCGGCACGGTTCTCTCCAAAGGTCAGGACATCAACCTCCACCCTGCGATTCAGCATCTCGGGTGCTTTGCCGGAGGGCATTTTGCCCTTGGAGGGAAGCTTTTCGGCCTAGACAATCACGTCAAGGTTGGTGAACAGATTGCCCGAGGCTGCGCATGGGCATACGGCGCTTTCCCCGCTGGTGTCATGCCCGAGGGCTCGGAGCTGATTGCATGCGCGGGACCTGATTCCGCCCCCTGCGAATGGAACGAGACAAGGTGGGACAAAGAGGGGGACAAAAATATCCCCAAGGGCTTCCAAAAAGTGCGTGATCCTCACTACCTGCTGCGCCCAGAGGCGGTCGAGAGCATCTTCATCTTGTACCGTATCACCGGGAAGAAGGACCTGCTGGATCTTGCTTGGACCATGTTCGAGTCTATCAAGAAGGCGACCGAGACCCCCTTTGCCCACTCAGCGGTTGCCAGCGTCCTGGCTGGCGGACCTGATATAAGGACCACAGATTCCATGGAGGTAAGACACCCTGTGCAGAGGCTGCTCGGTGTTGGTTGCTAGTGGCTAATCATTTTATTTAGAGCTTCTGGCTCGCCGAGACCTTGAAGTATCTCTACCTCATCTTCTCCAAGCCTAACCTGATCAGCCTCGACGACTACGTCTTCAATACCGAAGCTCATCCGTTCAAGATCCCGAAGCCGAAGCGTGGAAGCAAAGAACACTAGGCCTAGAACGGGTGACGGCACTCACGGAAGGGGGTAGGAGACTATGAGTATGCTTAAAGCCACAGCAAGAGAGGGCTGGATAGCACTGACCTTTCTGTTGTGTGTAGCAAAGGCTAGATACTAGGACTGGAGGCGTGGTAGGACGCTGTATTGCCTTGTACTGCCGACCCTGTTCTTAACGCCGCACCTCTGGCAAGGTTTCTTAAGGGGAGGGGGACGGAGTCGTGTTGAAGCAGTGTCGCGAAACCAGCAGGAAACCAGTAGCAATTAATAAGGTGGTGCCCATCACCGGCGTCCTGCATGTCCCTTCCTGTATTGAAGAGATAAATCCATGCTTGAAAGATTGGCTAGGCGTCGAGGTAGGAAACGTAAGTCCTGACTGCATCCTGGCCAAGCCGCGTAGAATTCTTCGTCTGGGACACCCTTTCATACTTTGATTAATCAGGGGTTTCCCAACGGGGCCATGAACGATGCAAACCCCCCCTATCATGATGCCTCTGCCTCGCCAGCTCATTGCGGTTCCTCAGGTACATTACCTTTCTCCGACATTGCATAGATTCCAAAATGTATCACGACTCTATTATATTTCCCAGACTCCCAGCAGCCCCTTCAATCGTCATCACCATCATCATCCCCTTCCTCATCCCCGCTCATCTCCCCCTGCCTAAAGACAACCTTCTCACACAGCTGCAAGCACTTCCTAACAGGCAAGCCCACAACATTGTCAACGCTCCCCTCGACCCTCTCGACAAGCACCATCCCCCCGATCCCCTGCACGGCATACCCCCCGGCCTTGTCGGCGCCCTCCCGCGTCGCGACATAGCCATCGACGACCTCGTCGGGCAGCCCATCGTCGGCGGCGGCAAAGTAGACCCTCGTCTCCTCCGTGTGCATGGCAAGCTCGTAGCCCGGGTGGCGGGCGTCGGCGCGCGGGGCGAGCACGCACACGGCCGTCAACACGCTGTGCCAGCGCGCGTCCCGCAGGTGCCGGAGCATCTGCGCGTGATCGGCCGCGCCGCGCGGCTTCTCCAGGACGCGCCCGTCGCGCGTCACAATCACCGTGTCGGCGGCGATCACAACGTCTGGGTCCGGCGGCGCGGGGGAGGAGGAGGAGGAAGAAGTTTGTGATAGTGCGGTTTCGTAGACGTCTAGGCACTTTTGGCGCGCGGTGGCGGCGACGTAGCCGTGTGGGCCGAGGGTCTTCTTGTCGAGGTCTTCGGGCTTGGTGGAGGGGATGATTTCGAGGTTCGTTAGGCCGATCTAGCAGGGGAGGGCAGGGGGTCGTGGTTGTTAGTCAAGAGATGGTGGGGAGCTGGCTGCCGGCTGCCCGGCTCTGGGGAGGTAATAGGTGAGTGGAATGGGAATTGCATACTTGTGCTAGGAGGGCTTTCCGTCGCGGTGATGCCGAGGCGAGGATCACCCTCTTGGACTTGAGGTAGTTGAGGATCGGGAGCTCTAGAGGCAGTGGCCCCTTGCGAGGGGGGGCGCTCTGGCGGAGGCGGATTCCATGTTGGGCTGCGGCGGTGATGTAGCCTGGAGGAGCTTCGGATGGTGTCATTGGATCCATTGCTGCAGGTCTTGGCGCAAAGGCGTCTTGTTTAGCTGAGATGGTAGGCAGGTCTCGGCGCGAATGATGGGAGAGCTGGTCAGCTCCTGCGTAAGGCTATGATGGTGGGAAGTGCTGCCCCGCATCACCTAAGGCAAGCAACTGCTGCGCCGCCCGTGCTTTTGTCTTACCTTATCTTATCGGGTTATACTGTAGTTGTACAGTACTGTACATACCGCGTACGGTATTTACACATAATTACCACCTAACCTGTGTAACCAGGTTTCCGGCACCGTCACATGCTAGTACTAGAACATACATGAACGTGCAACTTCAGGCCCCGACCTGGCCAGCACGTAACGAGCGACCCCCCCATTGAACCCGCTGGCCATATTTCAAACCTTCTTCAGCACTGCCCCCTCCCCCCATATATACACTACCATGTCGTCCCCCAGCAAGCCCGCCTCCCCAGGCCGGGAAGGCGGCGCCATAGCGGGCGATGACAAGCCCCGCCTCACGGAGGAGGAAAAGAAGCAAAACCACATTGCCTCGGGTATGTGTCTGTCTCTATGCTCCTGTGCAGCCTTCCAAACGACCCGGCCGCTGATATCATAACCTTCTTTGACAGAGCAGAAAAGACGGCAGGCAATTAGGGAGGGTTTCGACCGGCTGACTGAGCTGGTTCCCGGACTGGAGGGCCAGGGGCGTTCAGAGGGGGTGGTCTTGAAGCGCACCGTGGAGTTTATGCGAGAGAAGCTGCAGGAGAGGCGGGATCTCGTCGCGAGTGTCGAGAACGAGGGCGGGCAGGTGGATGACAGCATGAGGCGGTAGGAGGTAAAAAATGCTGCTCCTACGCTCCTAACCACAAAAGCTCACTTACAGTTTCGCAGGGTATCGCGTTCACGAGCTGAACGAAGAGAAGCGGGGGTCGGGTCAACCACAGCCAACAAGTAGTAGCCGGGACAAGAAGATCACGGGTTCAACTCGGATAGGACCGTCGAAAGACGAGCCCCATCCAAGCTGCGGGATACCCAAGGCATCTGGGGAGCGAGGAGCACCCTGATAGCACCCCGACCGTGTCACGGGCCATCGCGAAGACAGCCGGATTCACGCCCCACAGAAGGAATGAGTCAGGGGCGAAGAGGCCATGCTGATGATAGCGACTTACTATGACTACACATGTTGATAACGGTAACGGGCTGGGCTGGCTGGGCTGGATGTGCAGAGGAGAGGCGCGGTTGAGAGGAGAGACTTCATTGATATGATTCTACTTTGGCTCTCATGAACTCAAGAAGCTCTTCTGGCGTCATCTCCAAGGACTTCTCGGCCTTCGAGTCGGTGCCTTGGGGTATCCCAGCGGTGTCGATAGTAACAGATCCCTTCGACACATTCCTAGGGCCAATTACAATTATGATTCCGTATCCTTTGCTCTTCGCCTCACGCACTTTCAGTGCGAGGCTACGAGGACTGTCATCCACGTCAACAGTCAGTTCCGAGGGTTGTATCGGCCTATCCATTAGGCTGCCGTCCCCGCTCGTGACCGCCGTTCCCAACAGCGTGTCTCGGGTCTTCTGGGCCCAACCAACAACCGGCGCGCTGTCGTTGACGGTGAGAATCACGGCTTGGCGGGGATTGAGCCAGAAAGGCCACTTCCCGTCGTAATGTTCTATCAGGAGTGCCATAAGCCTCTCCACGGAACCAAGGACAGCTCTGTGGATAAGGACCGGGCGGACGGAACCGGAGACGGCTAGAAGTTCCGGGTCTGTCGTCGTTTCGCCCTTCTGCTCCAGCTCTGGGGCTGGAGCCTGGTACTCCAGCTCAAACCTCTTGGGCAACTGGAAATCTAGCTGTATGGTAGCGGTCTGATGCTCCTTGCCGTCGGAGTCCCGCAGTATGATGTCGATCTTTGGCCCATAGAAGGCCCCGTCTCCCTCATTGAGTGTCCACTCCTGGCCCCCCGCGTCAAGCGCCCTTTTCAGGGCCCCTTCGGCGCGGTCCCAATCATCGAGGCTTCCAATGTAGTGCTCGGACGGGCGAGTGGACAGCGCCAACCTGTAGGGGCCGAGGCGGAACACGCTGTAGGCGACACGGACAAAGTCCAATGTCCTCCGGATCTCTTCCTCGACCTGCGCCGGCCGGCAGAATATGTGCCCGTCGTCCTGGTGGAAGCGCCGTACGCGCGTCAGGCCGCTCAGGGCACCAGAAATCTCGTTGCGGTGGAGGGGGCTGAAGTCGGCGTATCGGACCGGCAGGTCGCGGTAGCTGCGTCGCTGGGAGGCGAAGATGAGACAGTGCCCGGGGCAGTTCATGGGCTTCAGGCCGTACTCGTCGTCTTGGGCGTTCTCGGAACTATCTGCACGTGAGGGCGATGTGCTCGTCACCGTGAACATGTCTTCGGAGTAGTTCTCAAGGTGGCCTGACTTTGCCCACAGAGCCTTCTTATAGATCGTCGGAGTGATTACTTCCTGGAAGCCGTAGTAGACGTACTGCTTGCGCAGGAAGTCGACGAGCCGGTTGAAAATGCGAGCGCCATTGGGGAGGAATATTGGCGAGCCGGGGCTATATATCGATGTTGTAAAGAGCTCTTGTTGGACCCCGAGATTTCGGTGGTCAGGCGGGATCCTCGGGGGAGGAGACGAATGCGACGAGCATTGTCGACAGTGTTGGCGCGACAGAAACAAGACGGGCGACGGTCGAGATCTATGCAGACTCCGCGGCATCCATCTGGCAGCCCGTGAACGGAGCATCCCCTTGCAACTTGGGCTTCTCCAGCCTTCAACTCTTCAGTATCGCCAAAGATTGAACGACCTGAAGGGGAGCTTTCCCTCATTTTTTTGGTTTCCCGCTTTCCGCTCGGGAAGTCAAAACAGCTCCACACCCAAATTGGACTAGTGTGGCCTATACTTTCTGCGATAATATCGACCCCTGTCCAGAGTTTCGAATAACTGCAAGGGGTTGACAGCTCAGATGACAGGGGTCATGATCACACAGTGCGGTCAGCAGCTCGGCGCGTCGTCGCCACAGTGAATCTCAACCCAGCCCTCGCGGCATCCATAACAGCTTCGACGAGGACATCGAGGCAGCAACTACTCATAGTAGACCCGGCGCCTTGTATATACCCTATCATTCTAGCTACATTTGGGGAATATCGCTGCATCGACACTTGGCAAACTTCTATGAGTCACTCCGGTCTGTGCATGTGGAAGTGAATACCTACCCCGGTCGGTGCCTATTTATTTATTCTATAAAAGAACGCTTCTGCCTTCAAAAGCTGTTCGCCACCTGCCTCGGCGCGGGCCGCGAAACATCAACTCAACCCCAGGGCTCAGCACTCGTCTTCGCTTTTCACCTGACGTCTTATCGCTGGGAGGGCGCCTAAACCAAGATCTCGTCCTGCTCACTGTGGCGCACAAGATGCCTGCGACCAGGAAGCAGGACTTGCCGGTCGAGAGCTCCTGGCGCATGGTCGAGGGTGGCGAGAACGACAGTTTCGATACTTCCATCGTGCGTGACGACGACGACGAGGAACTCATCCTTTCCAGCAACCCCTCCCAGCTGTCGGGGTCCCAGCCGTTTAGTATCATGGGTTCTCAGGATGACAACATCGAGAACTTTTTGGACAAGGCTGAGAATGACGACCAAGTCATCCTAAGGTCTCCTTTCCGACCATCGGTTCCGCAGTCGGTGCGCCAGAGCTCGAGGGAAAACATGAGGCACCGCTCTCCAGATCCCGAGTTCTACATGCCCACCGTTGATGTTGACAGCCCCCGACGCGCCAGCGCCCGCTCCTCGAGAACAATCCGGTCAGGTGGATCTTCGGCGCCAGCGACTCGGCGCCGGCAGCCCAGTTCCAAGGCCAGTCCCATGAAGCCTGGCCGCCGCTGGGAGCAATCTGGAAGTCACTTTGAGGACCAGCCAAGCGGGTTTAGGGACAGGGTTTCAGGGTCGTTGCCTGGAGCAATGTTTAACATATTGAGCTGGATCCTTGGAGTCATCGCCCTCGCATTCAGCTATGCGCAGAAACCACTCGCCATCTTCCTCGCCATCTACTTTGTTTTTGGCGGCCTGATTATTGTGCAAAACATGGCGACCAAGTCCATCTACGCGTCCTTGTCTCCGCTGTGCCGGGTACCAGGGGTGGCCTGGCTGGACTTGCCATTCTGTCCAGCCATCATTCCCAAGGATGCTCCCCACCCGGCCAGTGACAAACCAGTCGAGTTCGACGGGTTAATGGACATACAAGAACGATTCGAGGAAGTTCTCGAAAAGTCTGCACAGGGTGTCTCGCTGCCTATGGAGATGAAGCGGTCGGAAACCTCTGTGCGTGATCTTCGCACAATGGTGCGATACAGCAACCTTCAGAGCAAGGAGGAGCTCGTCCTGGAGTTTGATGGATACATCGAGGCCGCGCGAACGGCATCCAATGATCTGCAGAAGTTCAACACCCACGTCGGCTCTGCGGTGGACTCGGTCATCAGCATCAACAGATGGACATCACGGTACCTTGACGGCATCGCCACTGAGCGCGACAGCGAGGGCTGGCTGAGCGAGTGGGCGAGCTGGATCTTTACGCCATTCCAACCCGCCGTATTCTCGGAGCGCATCCTGCTTGACAAATATGTTGAGCACACGTCACTCGTGTCGGACAAGATCGCGGATCTGATAGTTGAGGCGCAAGCCGTGCTGCGCACTCTCTCCAAGGCGGAGGATCACCTGGGAATTATCTACGACTTTGTCACACGAACGCAGAAGTCGATACAGAGCCGCAAAGACGACATCCTCTGGACGCTCTGGACGCTGGTGGGCGCCAACACCCGCCATCTTCACAACCTCAACGGCCAGCTCTCCCTGCTCCGGCAGGTGGACAGCCAGCGCGCGGGCGCCGTCAAGCAGGTCAGCGAGCTGATCGTCGAGCTCGAGAAGATCCAGGCCGGGCTGGGCGACCTCCGCGATAGGGTGGCGGAGCCGGAGCTCGCCCGCGGTAGGGTCGAGGTGCCGCTAAGCGTGCATATCGAGACTATCAACAAGGGCGTCGAGAGGCTGGAGCTGGCAAGGGCAAGAATAAGGGCCATCGAGGACAATAAGATCAGGGAGGTCTTGGCAAGGGGGAAGGGGGAAGAGCAGTTGATCGATTCAGCATAAGCGGGCGCATATGTGAGCGGCGTTTCTGGGCGAATTTTGCAGTCTGGATTTCAATACGGCGTTCAGTCCGGTGCGTGATTTTGTGAAGCCGCCGTTAAGACGGTGTTGGTTTAGGGTAGCTCCGCACGCAGGTCATGATTACGTTTATGTATTAGTCATGAAATAAATGATACCCAGTCGAGAGCAGCAAGCATATTTTCCAGTGTTAATTAATTCCCGCATGCCTCATTGTAGAGCGAGTCTGCCCATTGTGCCAAGGATGGTGATTGCTTCATTTGCAGGATGGATAGCTATCAGCGCCTTTTTGGGATGCCCAGACCAATAGCCCGAGAACCAGGGACACCCACACCCACCCCATACATAGTCGTCTCGATCGCCATTGGTAACCACCAAAACGGAGACGATAAGAAACCTTCCCTGTTTGACTAAGCCGTTAGTGTGAGGTTAAACCAATCTAAGCCTTATCAGTGACTTGGTCGGCGGCACTGGAATGCCTATGACAGCATCAAACGTGGAGTCCACAATTGGAGAAGACTATGTAAGATGATAGCTCGCTACTAGAGTTCCCACTTTCTCGCTTTCCCGTATGTTTTTTCTTCAACCGGGCCTGCTGGAAGGACTGGTGTTAAATATCGTAGCCAATCCAAGATGAATCTCGTGCCCAAAGAGGTAACGTAACGAATTGACCTTTTCTTTTGATTCGGCCAGACATCAGATGCTAAAGGATGCGGAAAGCTAACTTTGACGCAACCGACAACAACAGGTCGATAAGCTTGTCATCTCCCAGCTGGGGATCCTAGCCCAGCGACGGCTTGCCCGAGGTGTCAAGCTGAACCACTCGGAGGCAGTGGTATGTAAACCTGGAACCTCTCCGTTTGCACTCCCTCCCCCCTGGGCCCTTCCCCCACTGCGCTTCCTCCACCTGCGCATCTTTGATATTGTTGACAAGAGCCCTGACCGACCCCGAATTAGGCCCTCATTGCCAGCAACCTCCATGAGCTCATCCGCGATGGCAACCACACCGTCGCTGATCTGATGAACCTGGGCTCGACCATGCTTGGCCGCCGCCATGTGTTGCCGTCGGTGACTTCCACGCTGAACACGATCCAGGTCGAGGGGACCTTCCCGTCAGGTACCTACCTGGTGACGGTGCACCACCCCATCAGCACCGACAACGGCGACCTGGAGCGGGCCCTGTACGGGAGCTTCCTGCCGGTGCCGTCGGAGGACTTGTTCCCGATGCCCGAGGCGTCGGCCTTCGCCCAGGAGAACCAGCCCGGCGCCGTCATCGCCGTCAAGGGCATGTTGACGATCAACGAGGGCCGGCGGCGCATCCGGTTGCGCGTCACCAACAAGGGTGACCGGCCGATCCAGGTGGGCAGCCACTACCACTTCATCGAGGTGAACCCGCACCTCGAGTTCGACCGCGCCAGGTCGTACGGCTTCCGGCTCGACGTGGCCTCGGGATCGTCGATACGCTTCGAGGCCGGCGACGTCAAGACAGTCACCCTGGTGGAGATCTCCGGCGGCAAGGTCATCCAAGGAGGCAACGGCATCGCCACGGGCAAGGTCGACCCAGACCGCATCGACGACATCGTCACCAAGATGCAGAAGGCGGGCTTCGCGCACGCGCTGGAGCCGGCGGGCGACATGGCCCACATCGACGTAGCCACCCTGGACAGGGGAGCGTACGCGACCATGTTCGGGCCCACGACGGGAGACCTGGTGAGGCTGGGGCTGACGGACCTGTGGATCAAGGTCGAGAAGGACATGACCGTGTACGGGGACGAGTGCAAATTCGGTGGCGGGAAGTCGCTCAGGGACGGCATGGGCCAGGCGACGGGGCGGTCCGACGCCGTGACCCTGGACATGGCCGTGACCAACGCGCTGATCGTGGACTGGACCGGCATCTACAAGGCCGACATCGGCGTCAAGAACGGCATGATCGTGGCCATCGGCAAGGCCGGCAATCCGGACGTCATGGACGGCGTCACCCCGGGTATGATCGTCGGCAGCTGCACCGACATAGTGGCTGGTGAGGGTAAGATCATCACGGCAGGCGGAATCGACACCCACTTCCATTTCCTCTGTCCGGAGCAGGCGGCCGAATGTATCTCTTCCGGGGTCACGACCATCCTTGGTGGTGGAACAGGGCCGAGGTAAAAGAGAACCTTCCCAACTCGCGCAATTCCATCCATGCTTGTTTGACCCTGCTGACCAAAACGTTTTCTATCACAGCGCCAACTCGTGTGCGACGACTTGCACTCCGGGCGCCAACTACATGCGCCAGATGCTCCAGGCCTGCGACCCGCTGCCGCTAAACGTGGGCATAACCGGCAAGGGGTGCGACAGCGGGATCGAGGGCCTCCGGGAGCAGATCTACGCGGGGGCGTGCGGGCTCAAGGTGCACGAGGACTGGGGCGCGACGCCCAAGGCGATCGACACGTGCCTCGAGGTGTGCGACGAGGAGGACGTGCAGTGCTGCATCCACACCGACACGCTCAACGAGTCGGGCTACGTCGAGTCGAGCATCGCGGCGTTCAAGGGCCGGGCGATCCACACGTACCACACCGAGGGCGCGGGCGGCGGCCACGCGCCCGACATCATCGCCGTGGTGGAGCTGCCCAACGTGCTGCCGTCGTCGACGACGCCGACGCGGCCGTTTACGCGCAACACGCTCGACGAGCACCTGGACATGCTGATGGTGTGCCACCAGCTGTCGCGCGACATCCCCGAGGACGTGGCCTTTGCCGAGTCGCGCATCCGCGCCGAGACCATCGCCGCCGAGGACGTGCTGCACGACCTGGGCGCCATCAGCATAATGAGCAGCGACAGCCAGGCCATGGGCCGGTGCGGCGAGGTCGTGCTGCGCACCTGGCACACGGCCCACAAGAACCGCGACCAGAGGGGCCCGCTGCCCGAAGACCGCGGCACCGACGCCGACAACTTCCGCGTGCGCCGCTACATTGCAAAGTACACGGTCAACCCGGCCATCGCTCAGGGCATGGCCCACCTGATCGGCAGCGTCGAGGTCGGCAAGCTGGCCGACCTCGTGGTCTGGGACCCTGCCTGGTTCGGCACCAAGCCCAGCATGGTCATCAAGGGCGGCCTGATCGCCTACTCCATGATGGGCGACCTCAACGCCTCGATCCCGACCGTCGAGCCGACCATCGGCCGCCCAATGTTCGGCCCCGCCGTGCCCTCGACGAGCATCGCCTTCGTGTCGCGCGCCAGCGTCTCCGACGAGTCCGGCCGCGCCGCCCTGGGCTACGGCCTGGGCAAGCGCGTCGAGCCCGTCCGCGGCTGCCGCGACATCGGCAAGAGGGACATGCGCCTCAACGACGCCATGCCCGCCATGCGCGTCGACCCGGAGAGCTACGAGGTCGAGGCCGACGGCCAGCTCTGTACCGCCGCACCCGGCGGGGACATGCCCCTGGCGCAGGCGTACTATGTGTACTGAGGTTGAGGACGCGGGGGCGGAATGAGGGGGGAAAGGGGCATGGCAGGCGTTGGACTTGCTAGGAATAGGTCTCTTGGTTGCCATTTGAGGGAGAGAGCGAGATTACCTGAGGGAAGGGAAATAATGAATACCTATCTACCATGGTCCTACCACAGCAATATCAATGCCAGATGAGGCTCAATGCAAGTCACGCAATTGCCGATGACGCGATATTGGGCAGGGTTACTGCAAACCAACTACCTAGTCTTGCGCGACTGCAGCATGTGCAGCCCTACGAGGCGATCACTCAGTGTAATCGGTTCGTTTGAATCGTTAGGTACTGTCGCGGCACGCGTTGATAAAAGCAGGCGAAATATAGTTAGTTACACAATTCATGGTCATCTTCGTAACCCATCCGTAACAATCAATGCCCATTCCCTCCCCTCCCCTTTTCACAATCCCCCAGCCCTACCGAGTCCTAGCGAGGGAAAATACCACGACCAAAGCCCGCCTGAAAAAGGAAAAACCTCCCTAGCCCCTTGCCGTCGTCCAATGACAATACCTACATAAACCCTAATGAAAGCATGTAACAGTGATAAGAAGTGCTGCGCCCCAACACCCCCCCTAAACACACGATCTGGCAATCCCATCCTGAGAAGGTAGGGGGAATAGTGCGAGATACCAGGAGGTCATGGGGGAAGAAACCAGCCCCTCCGAAAAGCGCGAGACAAGAAAGACGGATCTGGCAGGCATCATGACAAGAGGAACAGTCAAGCGCAGCTGACCGAATCCAGCCACCTCAGGCAGGTTATTAGCTGCTCTTAGTCTTCTTGCGACCAGACTTCTTAGGTTCCTCCACCACCTCGGCGGCAGCCTTGGAGGTTCGCTTGCGCTTCCTGTCCGGGCTCGCAGGCGTGGCGGCGGCCTTGCTATCGGCCTCGGCGGCGGCGGGCGTGGCCGTCTTCCTCTTGCGGGTCTCCTTCGCAGACTTGCGGGGCGTCTTGGCCTCTGGGACCGGTGGGGCTGGCTCCTCGTCTTCGTCCTCGTCAGCCTCATCGGCGACGGCGCTGTGCTGCTGAAGCTGCTCGGCGATGGCGTCCTGCTCGTTGGCCAGCGGCTCCTCGATCGCTGCGCTGACGGGCATCTCGATGTTATACTCGTCGGCAAACTTGAGGGCCTCCTCGTCGCTCATGTCCCTGGCGGCGGCGTTGCCGCGCTTGTAGGCCTGAACACGCGCGTTATAGAGGCGCAGGTTGTACTGGTACGCCTGGTTCCAGCCCTGCTTCTCGGAGGCTCCCATGTCAGCCCACCGGCGACGCCCCTCTTCTTGAACAGCGCCCTTGGGAGCGCCCGTACCAAGATCACTAGCAATGATGGGGCGGGCCGTCTGCATGTACAGGAAGTACGGCGTCAGAGGCCGTTTGGGCGCGTTGAGATCATGAGTGCGCTTCTTGCGCTCCTTCTTCTCCTCAACGGGCGCGGCCAACGGGAATGGCTGCGGCAGGAGGCCGCCCAGAGCATTGTCGAAGACGCCGGCGTCCGGAACATTGTCAAGATTAGTGCCTTCCCCGAGGAGGAGGTTGGTCTGGCGCAGGTAGTCAACCGAGAAACTCTTAATCAAGTCCTGGATGGTGGTCAAGCGGGCATAGACCTTTTATTCCGAGATGGTTAGCAACCAATACCTGTCGAGCTAGACTGCACTTTGCGGGAAGGCCGGTAAGATTTTGGCGGGGGTGGATGATAAAATTAAAGCTGCGGGAGCATGGAAGCAGGGAAGCAGGGAAACAGGGGAGCAAGGAGCTTGGGTCTCTGTGGCCATAGCTCCTTGAGATGGTGGGGTGAACAAAGCACAATTCACACAATGTAAACAATGGTCGCGTCGGAGCCCCGAGTCACGCCATGGCGGGGAAAGGGATTCAGACGCTGCGGCGCCGCGATATGAGATATGAATGATGGCCTGTACAGCAATTGTCTCTACTTGAAGACTAGCTGGCTGCAACAGCTGGGTGTTGGGGTGACTGGCATGGGGATGCTCAATGATGCAGAAGGACGGATGAGTGCGGACTAAAAGGGAAAATGCGCGCAGTCGCATCGCGGTTGTTGTGGTCTGGGGTTGGGGCGGTAGAATTGAGGCAGGACGGAATGGAGCGACGTCGAGGGCGACGCACGAGGGGGGATATGATAAATATTGCAGTGCCTGCAATGGCGATCGAGCTACCGAAACAAAAGTGAAGCTTGCTTACCGAGTCTCTCACGCGAATGAAGTTGTCAACATCGATGACCTTCGCAGGCGCGAGCAGAGGAGCAGCGGCGGGGAGAGCAGCGGCGAGGACGGGCTCAACGGCCTTGTTCTTTGGTGGGCGCGGCATTGTTTTGGGTTTTGGGTTTTATGCTTGTGCGCTCGCTGGCGTGTTGTGCCGAATAGTAATTATAGTGGGTGGTGGTGGAGAGAAGCTGAAGATTCGGCACGGGAGGTGCTGGAAAACCTGGAAATGAAGGGTGAGGACGAGAGGAAAAAAATTCCAAGGCAGGGTTGGGGCGTTCGGGGGAGGACGGGGGACCCCGAGAATATAAGCGGTGGCACTTGAAGGGGTCGGCCAGTGCTGATTGTCGCTGGCCTGGGCAAGGGGGGGGGCAGAAATTTATTAAAAAAATAAAAATTTGTCAGATCAGCAGTCACTGTATGCTGACAGTGAGCCTGGCGCGCCTACCACACCATTTCACACCACTAACCAATACATCCGCCTCCTGCCTATTTACTACCAGGTACCCAAAACGGTCTACCTGGCAGGTATTTCCCATCTCGCTCTCTCCAGTTTTACTCCAGGACTACAGGCGCAAATCACCGCACTGTCAGCTTGGATTTCCAGCCATCCCTCCTCAGTCCTTTTTCCTTTTTCTAGGTTCCCTTCCAACAACAGAACAACCACCACCACAACGAAAGTCGTAGGTACCTGACCCAGCTGGTTGAAATTATAGGTACTCTCATGGTCCCTCCCTACCGCAATCGACTGTCACTTTCAGTGATCTAGCAGTTTCTTGCTAGGTTGGTCCGCTGGTCCTTTCGTTTTCCTCCGCTTACAGACCATCTCTTTGATTTTCTGTGATTTGGTGTTCTGTCGCCAGCGCGACGGGTTCGCCATAGCGGATTGAATCCGTGTTTATGGTGCCGAAATACTGACCCCAGCAGCATGTTGACCTCTGTTTTGGGGTTGGGGGGGTGGGCAGGCCTGAACCCAGTCGCCAGCCAGTGGCCCAGTTTATGTCCAACCCCGAATCTCAAAATGGGGCGCGATCCAGCCTATGGGGCACTGGAAATCCAGGCTACCCCCAAAAGCAGCAGGGGTCTGCCGGAGAAGAAGGCGCGGTCTGCACTTTGCAGCAGCACACATTGCTTTGGGGCGCAGGGCGCAATCCATCAACCTGTTACTTCCTCCCCCAAAAGGTAAAGTGCTTGATGCAATTTCAGCACAACCCCAACCCCTTCTGAATTTCGGCGCTTCTGAGGACCACAAATGCCATCATTTACAGCAGTCGACCACTGGGTCTCATGATAATGGTTTTCGCTCGGCCTTCTGAATTACCTCCCTGGATAATCCACCCCTTAAACTTAACCTCACAAGAGAACCAACCTACTATATACCTCACCGTTCGCCATCATCTGATTTAGACGCTCGTAGCTCTCATGAGCACTTGTCTGACATCCCGTTATTGAGAAACGTATCTGGCGGCTCGAGTCACAACCTCTTCGTCTTCTCTTGCACGTGGAAACCGTCTTTCATACCTAGACAAACGGCGGGCATCACAATCCTTCTGGCATCCGTACTGCGAATCCATAATAGGGTTGCACTGTACTTGTACGTGCGACAAACATGACCTAATGGGAGCTTGGGCCGACGCGTGGCTGTTGATGCCTTACGCTGCACAGAAGAGGTGCAGCTTGTGTTTGTTCATCTCTAGGCAACCCCCCCCCGGCCCGCCCCCCCATACACTGGTCAGTTGCGTAGGTACCTGAGGTAGGTTGGCTGGCTTATGAGGTAAGGTCCATCACTCCATTGGTTTCAGAAGCAACGGCGCGACGTTCCTGGCAGAGAGACTTTTAGGTAGAGCTAGCACGTCTCTCTTATCAACGTCCAGCCGCAAGTGTTGGATTGGAAAGGAACGCCATCTTTAGAAAGCTTCACACTACTGGGAATCATCACTTCTTGACTGAAAAACACAGATGATTCCACACGCTAATTGGAGCAGAGATATTTCCCAATTCAACTGCCCTGCCTGTAACATGCGACTAGCACCAGTCTTGGGCGTCGTACAGTGCGCACTGTAGATCGAATGGCAAACGCTGAGTGAGTTGGAGGGGACGGTACGTGGGTACATAGTAACTGAGGGGTTGGGTGTGGATCGTCATTTCTTCAGCGAATCATGCCTCACCCAGGGGACCTGAGGTAAGTACCTAGGTACATACCTCGTTTCGTGCTACAAAGTAGGTGCCTGAAGGGGAATTACCTAGGTACCTAGGTACCTCCCGCGAAAGGGTACCTTGGCCCCCGCCTAACCCCCTCACTAACGCCCATCGATCCTTGTGAACCCCTCCATTCTCAGCTGGTCCCTTGCCCCGCCATGATCCCAACCTGGATGCTCACAGGCGCATAGGGATTCTTGGCATGTTTCCAATGCCGGCGTCACTTCAGAGTTGCACATACGGAGAGGTCTAGGTATTTAGCTTAGTCCTCCTCCTCTCGCACACACCAGCTACCTGACGCATAAAGCCTCTCGTTTTCGTATTCACCGTCACTTCACCCATTTAGCTTGGTCCCTTCTCCCAACTACAACGACAGTTCTCCCGCTGAACTGTGGACTTATCGACACTCACAACACTTGCAACACTCAACAGCGGGGTTAAACGTCATCGCTCGCACCAGGAATAGTGATACGCTCTCCACTGCAGTCATGGCATTCTCTGCCAGGCCCTTTTCTTCTCCCCTCGTCCTGGGCTTTCTCCTAATCTTCGTCTTCGCCCGCCCGACTCTAGCCTTTGGAGCTGGCAACATTGCTGGAATCTCCAAAGTAGAGGGGCAGAACTGTGAGCCAAGCCATCCAACCCCTTTTCTCGCAGCTCATCTTCCTCTTTGTGGAATCCCAGCTAACCGGGGACACTCGCGATGCACAGGGCGCCATGGCGACATCGAAGACGTCCTCCTCCAGGTTCTCATGGCCCGCGCTGCCGGCGGCAAGAAATTCGACAAGCTCATGGTCACTCGAGTCTACTTCGGCAATTGGCTGCGGGACTACTCCCAGGCCATCGATGTCGGCACCGTGAAGGCTGTCTCTGCCGAGGCCATCCGCCTTCTGGTTGCCGTGCTCGGCTTCTTGACCTTCGGGTACGGAAGCCGCGAGTTCGAAGTCACCGCCGACCGCCTGGGCACCTACCGACCTGAGGAACACATTGACAACCCGAAGGACTACGCCGACAACCTCGACGCCACGCAATACGATCGGCGGCTTCGTGGTCCTGTTGATGAGCGCGTCGAGCTGGCCATTGACCCAGAGACCGGCATGAAGAACTACATCGCGAACGAGCGTGTAGGCATCATGAACAGCGCCATTCATGTCCGTCGCCTGCTTACTACATGTATCGAGCTTGGCCGCCGGTATCACCGCAACCAGAAAAAGGAGGATCTCTATGAAGCCCTGCGCGTCATGGGCAGCGGCTTGCATTGTTTGGAAGGTACGCTCGCCCAAGCTGTCCCCTCGCTGTCGTGCCCACCTTTGGGCTTTTGCTGACCCAACCGAACAGATTTCCTTGCCCACAGCAACTACACGGAACTCGCCTTGATCGAGATGGGAGAGCGCGATATCTTCCCTCACGTCGGCCGCGGGACCCAGATGCGGCTTCGCGGAGCTCGCCACTCGGTCTATCCTATCACCACCGGCACCTTCGGGGGTGTTGATTTCTTGCACTCGGTCGCCGGCGAGGTCTCGGACAAGTTGACCCAGAACGAGCTTGATGTGCTTGAAGGGACCCTTGAGAACAGCAAGAAGAGCGACACCAGCGTCCTGCAGAACCTACTTGGCATGATTCCCGACGGTATTTTCGGCGGCGAGGATAAGAAGCAGCAGCTGCACAATATCCAGGACAACGCCAGCGCCGCCCAGATGCAGCAGATGAGCGTCTCTCCGAGAGAGCCCGAGGAGTACACGAGATACATCCAGCAGCTTTTCAAGCAGATCATGCCCGCCATCAATTTCCACGATGAACTGCTGCAAAGCATCTCCCAAGCTATTGAGAAGATCCCCGTCTTGCCCAAGCTCATTGAGCAGCTAGAGGACCAGTTGTCCATCTTCGTCTTCTCCATCATTGCACCATTTATCATCCCCGTGCTCAACCAGGTCAAGAACGAGATGCGAACCGGCTCGTCTGAGATCATCCAGAGCAGCAAGGATGAGCAGCACATTGTCTTCGACGACGACAACTCCTCTGACCCGACCCACTCGATGTTGTCAAAGGATCACTTCTCTAACGTAAGTGCTGGCTCCGGCGAACCGCAGACATTCGTACATGATCGCTAAACAGAGACATCGGTGGCAGCTCCTCAACGAAATTGCCGGACGTACCGCCTCCAAGGTGGTTGGCTGGGTCGTCCCTCAGCTCATGGAGGCCTGGGACAACGAGAATATCGACATCAACCGCACGGTCAATCGCATCATCTACGGTGTGTTCCACCATCCCGCCCAGCGGGATATGGGCGAGGATGGTGCTAGCGATGGCCGCCACCTCATGTTTAGGTCCGTGGAAGAGTGGTGGAACGAGAAAGGAGACCGCGAGAAGGACGACTATCGTCGCAAGCTGAGCCGGGACGGCGTCTTCCAGGGCGAGAACCATAAGGAGGGCGTCCACGACACCGGCCACGGCTGCGGTAAGCCGATCGGTATGCATAAGCAGTTCCCCTCGGGCGGAACCATGGAAGACAGGATCGTCGACGCCGCAGCGGGCGCCATCATGGGCGGCTTCACCAGCGGCGTGTCAAACATCGTCGCGAGCCAAACCGGCATCCACCTTCCCACATTTGACCAGCAGAGCTCCCACTCTAGCGGCGGAGGCGGCGGAGGCGGCGGAGGCGGCGTGCTAGGGGGCCTGCTTGGCGCCGTTGCTGGCAATCTCTTTGGTGGCGGCTCCAAGGAGGAGCAGACGACCACCTATCATTCCAGCGGCCGCACTGATGATGGCGGCTACAACCAGACAGTCTCCGAGTACGGCCGCCAAGGCGACCGCTACGGCCAGGCTCAGTACTCGGAGACGCAGTACCCTGGCGGTGGCGAGCGCACTGAGTACCGCCGCTACGAACAAGATCAGAGCAGTGACCGCTATGGAGGCCAGCAGCAGCAGCAGGGATACGGCTACGAGGAACGCACCGATACGCGTCCGAGCTACGGTGGGGGCTACGAGGAGCGCACTGAGCGCACATGGGAGGACAGCCAAGGCGGGTTCCGACGCCAGGAAGAGGTCAGTAACTGGAGCGGCGGGCGTGAGAGTCATGGCGAACGGCGCGACGATGACACCGGAGGTTCGGGCGGTGGTCGTCGTCATCATCATCGTGAGGAGGGCTATGGTGAGCAGCGTGAGGAGGAGCGCCGCGACGACGGCGGCTCAGGCGGCTGGGGTGGAGGGTTGGGATCTCTCGGCGGTAACATCCTCGAGAACATTGCTCGGCAAGCCGAAGAGACGTTTGAAGAGGCCCGCGACGAAAACCGCGGGGAGCGTCGTGGTGGTGGTGGCTGGGGCTTCTAGAGGGGAGTGGGATCTCGGGGAATAACTGCTTGACTAGGTACCAGGTCGCCTAGTCAGATATACCCGGTTCATACGCCTAAGGTCACTGGACGGACCTGTTTCGACTCGACGCGATATGGTAGGTTGACCGAGAACCGCACACGCGCTCGAGTAGGCGAGCAGCAACACCAAAAAGGTACCGAATAAAAATGGAGTGGTCCGTACTAAGAGCTGCCGTTCCATTCACCATCTATTTGCCTGCAACTGCCCTTGCATACCCTGCCTTTCTGCCCAGTTACAAACCCCTCGCAAAGCGATTAATATGGGGGATCAACTGTATCTCCACACCTCAACGGGAAGTTGAGTGTGCGGGGAAGGGCGTGTGAGGCCATAAGAGGGGGTTGATATCAACCACGACCCTAAATCCCCCAGACGCCGATCATCTCGGAGCTCCAGAGAAAATAGAACACACACCCCCACCCCTTGCAAACGGGTGATGTTGCCGGCGGGCCTACATTTCTCTTTTTGGGACCTCCGTTCCTTGTGAGGGATCTCCTCGATCTCCTCCTGGTCGTCATATAATATCGGGCTCTTCGGGCCCACTATCCCGCTCTTCGCAGAGATTGTTTCATTTGGATATTATACCTACCCTCTTGGGACATACTCTTTGTTCGGGGTTGTCGAGTGGTTCTCGACTGGGCGCCCAGGGTTTTCTGGACCCGGCTGGTGTAGCCACTATGTCGCAAGGTGGGTATATGTTTGATGGCCGATCCTGCGGCGCGAACATTCTTATAAGTTGAGCTTTCCCGGTTAAGGGTCTCTCGTCTTTCCTTGGCCTCGGTTCTTGCTAGAATTCTCCCCCTTCCCCCCAAAAGAAAACAACAAGAAAATGCGTCTCCCGCTCTCCACCCTCATCGCCCTCGTCCCCTTCTTCCTCGAGGTGTCCGCCCAGGGCTCCTCGGGGTCGGGCCAGACGACGCGGTACTGGGACTGCTGCAAGCCGAGCTGCGCGTGGCCGAAGAAGAGCAACTCGCTGACGCCGGTGCAGACGTGTGACAAGAATGACAGCCCGCTCGACGACGGGGGCAACACAAAGTCCGGGTGCGACAACGGCGGTAGCGCCTTCATGTGCTCGTCGCAGAGCCCGTGGGCCGTCGATGATAACCTTGCCTACGGTTGGTCCGCCGTAAGCATCTCCGGCAGCAACGAGGCCAACTGGTGCTGCGCCTGCTACGAGCTCACCTTCACGAGCGGGCCCGTCAGCGGGAAGAAGATGATCGTCCAGGCTACCAACACGGGCGGGGACCTGGGGAATAACCACTTTGACTTGGCTGTAAGTCCGTTCCTTGTTCTGGTGTGTGGCAGGGTGTGGACGGTGGAGGGGAAGAAGAGGCAGAGGCAGAGAGAGCGAGAAGCGAGAAGTGAAAACGAGAAACGGATGCATGAGACGGTGACTGACATGAATCTTCTTCTAGATTCCCGGAGGAGGCGTTGGGCAGTTCAACGGTAAGTCAAGCTCCCCCTAACCTCCAGCTCCATATCTCTTCCCTTACTTTGACACCCCCCATCAAGAAGCCCTACCTAGCAGCAGCAGCAGCAGCAACGTTGCTAACCCATTACAGCCTGCACCAACCAGTACGGCGCCCCGTCCAACGGCTGGGGCGAGCGGTACGGCGGAGTCGGCTCGCGCAGCGACTGCGACAGCTTTCCCGCAGCGCTCAAGGACGGCTGCTACTTCCGCTTCGACTGGTTCCAGGGCGCCGACAACCCGTCCGTCAGCTTCCAGCAGGTCGCCTGCCCGGCCGCCATCACCGAGAAGAGCGGCTGCACCCGCCAGAACGACGTCATCGACGAGACGCCCACCGGCTCCAGCTCCTAGGTCTCGTTGGCTAGGAGAGGAGGAACTCAGGAAGGGTAGTTGTGGTGGTGTGCCATGCGGCATTTCGTCATGCCTTTGTACATATTCGTGGCTGCCTCTGTCGAGGACCTCGTATATAGCCTCTGATATGTTTATATATATATATATATATATATTGGAGTCGAAAACTCTCGAGCACGTGGGTTGCCAGTTGCATCCAAACTGTTCACACCTGAAGAAACCGTCTGTTTCAGTCAGTCCAGTCCGGGCAGCCACCCCTTTCATGATATAAATCCCACGACGATTTCGTCTTCCAACACATTCCTTGCTCAACCGGCCATTCATGACGCTCCGCTCGTGGTCGAGATCTCATACCACACGCAGTTGAACACTCAAGAGAGAGCCCCCCGTTCCTGGTGGGGTGGTGGATTCGGTTTCCATTGTTGTAGACTGTAGGGCCAGTAGGTTGTTCCCCAGGCTAAGGTCAAGACAGACAGGAGCCCCTTGGGCAATTGTGAGTCCGGAATTACGTCCAATCACCCCAAGGGTGCCGGGGTCTTAATCCGACAAACGCGAAGTTTTCAATAACTCCAGGCTAAATAATCTATGCATTTGAGTTATTAGGGGGGGGGAAGATCAGGGGCGGAGGTCACAGGGTGCCTACCAAGGTCCCTGACTTTTGTCAAGTCAAACTCTACAGTGATATCTCATTGAACTCTGCTCGAAACGATATGCAACGCACTCATGCTGCTACCGAAAACACCCGCTACTCACCATATTCTGTTGCCTTGTGCTCCTTGATTTCGATAAGCGATGAACGAGTCCATTCCGTGTAAGCCTATAGATGTTGCGATGAATCGATTATGGAAAGCCCCCTTCGCATAACGCCTCCATAGCAGTTCATAAAACTCCTCGCATATTGGACCGACGAAAACAACAGCATGTCGAGCGGAGATACGCCGAATCTTCCGCAGCACCGCAACCCGCAACCTGCACTGCTTCGACCCTTCAGATTCTTCCCATCGAGACGCACCCGCAGCTCGGTTCCGGACAGGTACGGTTTCACTCCATGTCCGTGGAGGTGCAAACCCGCGTCCGCGCGACCGAAGGGGATCCTTCAGCATCTTGTACGCGTCCCTCGCAGGTCTGGGAAATGGTACGCGATTTCCTTGCCCCTTCTAGGTGTGGGCGCTGCCACCCGTACCCAGGTACTGCTGCATGGTCGCCTCGTCACGGATCGGGTTGAAGTAAGGGTGGGCCATCGCCTCTTTCGCAGTGAGGCGTTCCTGGCGGTACATGTTAGCACATCGTCAAGCCCGCATATGTGGGAACTGATAGTACATACTTGGTGGTCGTATCTCAGAAGCTTGTCCAGGAAGTCGATTGCCTCGTTGCTGACGAACCGCTGGTTCTCCGAGTTCACAAAGCTGTGCCACGGCTTCTTCTGGAACCTCCCGAGAATGTCGTCGTACTGGGCATCGAGCTCAATCTCATACTTGTCCAAATAGTCGAACAGATCATCCGTCCCGAGGACCTTAGCAATCTTGACGAGTTGGTCCGAGTTACTATTTCCGTGGAAGAAGGGCTCCTTGCGGAAGATCATGGACGCGAACATTGCCCCGAGGCTCCACATATCCAGACTGTAGTCATACTCCTGGAAGTCAACCAGTAGCTCAGGGCCCTTAAAGTAGCGCGAGGCTACTCGGACATTGTACTCGGTGCCAGGATGGTAGAATTCCGCCAGACCCCAGTCAATAAGACGCAACTGGAAACGGGCGGGGTTAGCTTGTTGGCAGGAGACGCAGTTGGTTGAGGGAAGGACGAAACATGCCTTCCTGTTCTCATGATCGATCATAACGTTATGAGGCTTCACATCTCGGTGCATGATGCCCTTGCTGTGACAGAAGTCGAGCGCCTTCAACAGCTCAGAGATGTAGTATCTGACATCGATGTCGTTGAACTTGGGGTAGAGGCTCCGAAAGTCGGTATTATTGACGTATTCGAAGATTAGTGATGGCGTTTTGCTCTGGTTGTTTCGTCAGCATGGGGCCAGGAGGTAGGGCAGGCCTGGGGCAAGACCGGTGAAGGACGAGAGGCCTAGAACGTACCTGGGAGTCCCTCACCACGTCGAGCAGCGCAACGACGTTGGGCCCTCCGGCTAGGTTTTGTAGGATTTTGATCTCTCGCTTGATCTTCTTCTTCTTAACCGGCTTCAACACCTTGATGACGCATTTCTGGTAGTTGACTACGTTGATGCCTTCGAAGACCTCAGAATACTTTCCGCGGCCTTAGAGGTGGTCAGTAGGGAGTCGCGTGGGTGAGGGCACAGAGGGACTACTGGGCAGAACAAACCGATCTTTCGCACCACTTCGTAGTTCTCCAAAACACCCCAGCCTAGAAACCACGAGGATCAGTAAACATATCGCCGCGCGCGGGACGAGTGCGGGTGCTGGAGGAGGGTCAGCTCACTGATATTGACCGAGTCGTAATCCCAGTACGACCTGGGCATGTTCTGGTTGACCTCAGAATAGACTCGCGCCATCTTGAAGACGGTTGGATGCGATGCGCGTCGTTGCGCGCAGCTACTGATAATGGAGTCGTGAGGTGCTTCCAGAGTCCCGACAAGGAGGGGTCCGATTTTCAAGGTGGGACTCTGGAGTTTTGCTGTGGCTGCCCCAGGCCAGGTCGAGGTACAAGCACGGCCCAACCCCCGTCCAGCCTTGAAGTGGGGCTAATGGGAGTGAATTGCCCGGCCCCAGGCTCCAAGTACACAAACATGGCACGTGCCTGGGTACCTGGGTGCTCGGGCAGGTACATAGCAACAGACATCAATGGGTCCATCAATGGCCCCAGGTACCTAGGTACCATTGGAATCCCTGCCCTTATTAAGATGCCCCTTATTGCTTTGTGTTTGACTAGAGAAAGGCTGGCGAGGGTGAGTCGTGTGAGTGAAAACAATGCTCTGTTGTGTCCCTCACCGTCAACTATTCTCGCTATGCGCCAAGTAGGAGCTCATATACCAGTATGGCTGATTCTATAGCTCGAGGATCAAGGGGCCGCCGAGCCCGGGTATCATCGAGAGGATCTTCAGCTCGCTCTTCGGCCGTTTTTGATGATTTTCTGTATCCCGGGCCTTACCAGGGATCTCATTCTCTCCGTCCCGCCGCATCTCGCTTCTCCTTGCACGAGCAGTTCGCCGCCACAAGGAGAGAGTACGAATTCGGCTACGATGATGCCTCCTCTATCCTGGAGCGGTACAGCACCGTCGATGGAGACCAAGAGGACACTGTCGTCTTAGACGGGACCCAGGTGCGCACTGGCGACGATGTGAAGTCTGGACAGCCACGGACCACTTTAGACAGGAGCTACTATGAATTGCTCTGTCTGCCACAAACCCCATCTCTCTCCCCATATGAGATTCGGAGGGCTTATTATCGGCTTGCTCAACTACTCCATGCAGAAGGGCAGCCTCCAAATCTGGCACCTGTGGTGGCTGCCCTGTTTATCTCGGTCCAAAATGCCTTCGAGACACTTATCGAACCATATAGGAGGGTCAACTACGATATATCAATCACAGACCCAAGCCCAGAGCCAGATCAGATCGACGGCCTCGAGCAAGTTCAAGTTCAAGAAGACGCCGACGAAGATTCGTATGTGCCTCGACTTCGTGAGGAGTATCTCAACTTGACCCAGGGAGAGATTCAGACATCCACGGACCTGAGTCTACGAGTAGAAGCAGCCACTGCCCTCTTGGGCCCTCGTCGAGGGGTTGTGCACCCGAAATGGCGTGTTGCTGCTCCTCTGGACTTTGGTCTTCGCCAGTCTACTACTTTGGGAATCCCGATCCTAGGAGGGAAAATCCAGAAGTTAGTTACCTCGACAGAAGACTGTATTCAGACGAAGATCCTATCGGCACCACGGAAACATCCTATCCGTTGTGAAGACCCAACTGTCACCGTGACCGGATCAATCCACGGTCTGATGGATGAGCCCTTCCGGCTGGCGACCTTGCTCCTTGACCGCTACCAGCCCCCAGGTCCCTCAATACATGGTCCTCGTCGCTTGGAACAACTCATGTCATCACGTTTCCTGCCGTCCCTGAGCGTCAAACTGCGACAGGGGTTCAACTGGCGTGGAATAGACCACGATGTAGCGGGAACTATACCTGCGAGGCGACCTCCCGACACTGTCGTCGAACAGGAAGTGGACCTCCTCTCAGACCCGGCGATAACCACCCGTATCGGTCACTCTTTCGATCTTGCTGATGGCGGGGAGCCATTTGATGTAGAGATCTGTGTGCAAAAGAGGATGTCCGGGGGCGTCAGTGCCCCAAGCATGGGACTGGCAGCTCATCGCCAAATCGGACATGGGACAGCCTTCGTCGCTCTGGATGCAGGGGACTGGGCGCTGTGGCCCGCCCGAGAGTGTAGGCAGTACTCCAACTTCTCTCGGGCGACCAAGAAATTCGCCCATGCGGCGGTCGCTCTCCGTAACGCACCGACCGCCGAGGCTGGCTACACGTTCAGTTCCTATGACATGGGCCTCAGGGCCGGGCGGGCCTTCACCAGGCCTGCCGACAGGGGCGTCAGGGGCATGGATTTCGACATCGACAGCGACGCGAACGGGTCCTGGACGGCCTCGCTGGGGGCCACGACCGACGTGCTCGCCGGGTATCTCAGATATGGTCGGGACCTGTTCTCGTCCCTTTCGTCGTCGCAGACATCGGACCTACCCCCTGGCAACCACAGCCACAGGGGCACCGGGATCCGTGTCGAGGTCGAACTGGGCTGCACACATCAGCGGGATCTCTTCCTCGCCTGCCGGACCCTGAAGAGGATCGGCAGGTTCTCCAAGATCGGCTTTGAGGTCGGCCTGTCTCCCTCCAGCCTGCACCTGTCGCTATACTGGTCCCGCCTCGGCCAGCGGATCAACCTGCCGTTCCTCCTCGCCACCCGATCCACCCTAAGCACGGAGCTCGTCTTCTGGAGCACCGTCGCCCCCTTCCTCGGCCTCGCGGCGATGGAGTTCCTATACTGGCGGCCCAGGTGCAGATCACAGACCCGGGCAGGCCGCGTCCTCGGCAGGGCTGATCTCCAGGAACTTATAGCCCGGAGGAGGGCCGAGGCCGACAAGCTGACGGTCATACTCGCGGGCGGCGTCGAGCCCCGGCAGAGGGCGGAGCGGCAGAGCGGCGGGCTGGTGATCCTCAGCGCCAAGTACGGCGTGGCTGGAGCGCCGCCTGACGAGGTCGCCGACGTCACCGTTGCGGTTGCCGCACTCGTCGACGGCGGGCAGCTCCTCATCCCCGAGGGGCTCAGGAAGAGTCGTCTCCTAGGCTTTTGGGATCCGGCTCCGCTCACGACCAAGGTGCTGCTTGTGAGGTACCTGTATCAGGGGAAGGACTACTCGGTCGAGGTTTCCGGGAGGGAGGAGCTCCGGCTGCCTTAGGTGGGATGTCTGATGAGGCTTGGGATAAATGAATGGATGCTATGGCATGACTATGTGTAACTGAATGATGATGGGCAGCGATTTGATATTACAACTATATCCACCTCTATGCAATTGCCATAGTAACCGCCCACCTTGAATTCTGAAGTCACAACCATCGAAGAGTTCCCAGCGTTCTCGGCCCATAAACTGCACTCTCACACAAGAATAAGAATGCAGTCACTCCTCCACCTCCCTAGCGAGAACCTGTGGGTTGTCTCACGACAAAATTGAATGCAAAATATTTTAAGGGACTCAGGCGAGGCCTAGGAACAGGAGGTGGCAGGGTTGGGACAGAATGATAATCATGAGACGGGGGGTTGATTTATGTGTTGCGTACTGGGGGAATCCCAGAAGTATATTGATTTATAGACTGAAGGCCTCAGCTTGAATGACCTAGAGACACTTGGTTCGGCTTTTATCTATCCCCTACTTCTACCACCTTTGTCTGGGTATTATCAAGGTGGTCAAAAGGCCGTGGCCAGGCAGTCGTCCCAGGGACCGCTTACGTCAAGCCACCGGAAGCCCACCCAGTTGGAAGCAGCCCAACCTCGTTCGGGATTGCCAATTACAACCGCCTGAGAATATCCGCCACGACCTCCTCCGTCAGCGCCTTGCCGCCCAAGTCCGGGCTGAGAAGCCTGCCCTCCTCGAGGTTGGCATCCACAGCAGCGTAAATCTTGGCGGCAGCCTCCTCTTCGTTCAGGAACTCCAGCATCAGCGCGGTGCTGCGCAGGGTTGCGATGGGGTTGGCGATGCCCTGGCCCATGATGTCGGGAGCGCTCCCGTGGCAGGGCTCACCGATGGCGAAGCCCTCGCCGACGTTGGCGCTCGGGACAAGGCCGAGGGATCCGACCAGGGCGGCGGCGCCGTCGGAGAGGATGTCGCCGTACAGGTTCGGGGCGACGATGACATCGTAGGCCTCGGGCTGCCGGAACAACTTGTAGACCATCGAGTCGACGATCTGCTCCTCCACTGAGACGGTCTTGAACCTGGGATCAGCCAGGGCAGCCTTCGCGGCCGAGCGGAAGAGGCCATCTGTTTGCGACAGGACGTTCGACTTGTGGGTGATGGTCACAAGAGGGCCATTGTGGATGCTCGGTGAGCCAGCTTCGCGGATCTTCTGCCTCCGCAGCGCAATCTCACCAGCCATGGTCGCAATACGGCTACTTGCTCGTTCGGAAATGCGCTTGATGGCCTCGGCGATCTTGCCCTTGCCGTCCGGGGAGTCGTACGTCTTCTCCTCCTTAACGTACAGGTCCTCGGTGTTCTCGCGGACGATAACCATGTCGATCGGCTTGGGGGAGGTCAGGACGGTCTTCACGGGCCTGACATTGGCGTACAGATCCAGCTTCTTCCGCAGCGCAACGATCGGCGAGCTGTAACCCTTGACGGCGGTGGTGGGGGAGCTGACGGCGCCGAACAGGGCTCCATCGCATTCGGTCTTGAGCACCTCAACGGTCTTGTCGGGGAGGGCGGCACCGGTCTGCTCAAATGTCTTGAAGCCGGCCTTGAGGTCGACAAACTCGAACTTCAGGCCCAGCGATGCCGGCAGGGCCTCGAGGATGCGGCGACCGGCGGGAATGACTTCCCTGCCGATTCCATCGCCAGGAATGAGACCTTCGAGTGAAGCGTCAGTTAGTAAAAAGCGGCCAAAAAGTAGTAGCTAAAGATGCGTAGAACAAGCGTACCAATTCTCAGAGTTCGGGTTGCCATGGCTGCTCTTCAATTGCATCAAAAATTGCAGTGCCTAGAAGAGAAATTTGTGGCAGAATTGGTGGTCCCCGGCAACCAGATGGCGTTCCGAGAATCGGATGAAGGCGGCATGGAGCTTTGGAGCCCATGTTCGCGGCTCATTCCGGTCAGTTCGTGGGTGGCATGTGGGGCGGTCTAATGTAGAAGCTCTCGAACTCTGAAGCAGCTTGTCATGCAAGCCAATGAACGCATCCAATCTCGAATCTCGAAACTCAATTCTCGAAACACAGGGTCAAGATCGGAATCTGACTCATCAGGAGCGACTGGAGTGACAGGTCGGGGCCACACTAGGCCACACCCGACATCCAATCGTGCACCTAGAAGGAGGCGGATTGGTATCCGTGTGGCTGTCTCATCACTCGCAACAGCATTTGCTCGGCCCCCAAGAAGGTCGGATGGGTGATGGCTGAAGGAGGAAGGCAGTCTGGAAGGTATGCCAAGTTAGCCTGCCTGAACCAGCCAAGTCATGATATCAATGCATGAACGAAAACTTGCGAAACGCCGCAATATGATGAGTTTGTTGAGCGTCTACCCAAACTCACAAGATCCGTTTATACTGTGCACGACGGTGACACAAGCTTCCCCTGGTTCGTCTGAAGTTTAAGCTCCGTTGTCACGACTACAATGGTATCCGTATTGACTGAGAGCAAACGCCAGCTTTGCGACCAACCAGAAGGCACCCAATACCTCCTTCGTTTGAGCCAACAGGGGCTTTTTGCTAGGGAGGTAGGTACAGTACATACCTAGGTACCCTTGCCTATCCAGGCACCCACCTACCAAAGTGTTCTGGATGCCCAAGTGCACATTCCCTTTGTGTCTTTCTCTTGACTCCTGAAACACCGTTCCAGTCCTCGGCTGGTTGGCACCCGTTCAGAATATGCTAGATTGATTGCTATAGTGACGCTCCTTGATGCGATGGTTGTGCCGTTTTGTTGCCTCCCGATTGAATGCTGCTCCCTTGAAGCTGCATGTACTAATTTGTACTTGTCTACCTATTTATTTGCTGGGCCCCTCTAGCTCCCCTGAAGTCGCGGTCTTAAAAATGCACCTCTAATTTAAGGTGCTTTAAAGGTCACGACGCCCGACAGCAGCCCCGTTGTGGTGCGCTCCCTCTTTCTCGTTCCCTCCTCGAATCTCCTGCATACGAAACCTTGCGGCGCATTTCATCGGGCCTCTGGGGACTTCTTCCCAAGCTTTGGCTTGCCTTCCGAGGCCGCAACGATTCCCCCAACTATCAGTTGCTGCTGGTCGCGACTGCCTACCTAGGGACTCACTTCCTAGACGCGGGGAAGGTTTAATGAACGCCTTCCCCCCTTGGCCCAACTCCAGCTCCGTGCCACATAAACAATTCCGAATCGCCCCTTCCCTTGCTGTCACAGCCTCACCTTACGAGTTTGTCGTGCATCGCAAGACCCGCAAACATGAGTCAAGTCAGGAATCTCCGGGCCATGTTCGAGCAGAAGCCCGACACGACGAGCCCGCCAGACGACCGAGGAAGATCGCCAGGCGTCACATCCAGTAAGTCTTGCCCCTTCCTCCCCAATCCCGAGCAGCGAACCCCATGCCATCTTGGGTTTTCTTGCTTTGCTTCTCTTACCCTCTTTTCCTTTCGTGCAAACCCTCTGTGCAAAAGCTGATGTGGCCTGTTTGAATAGCTGGCACCGAATCCCCAAGACCCCTTTCGAAAGTCCGCACGAACTTCATTGCGATCGAGAAGGACGGCCGAATAGGCTTGCAAAGAGAGCCGAGCCGAGACTCGAATGCTAGCGTCTCCACGCGAAAGCCCAGTAGCGAGCTAGGATCTCCACCGGCTGTCCCTGAAGAGTCAATTGCCCCTGCCGAGAACACGCCAACGAAGGCTAATCTCAGGAACCATTCCATCCCGGAGCTCCCGCGCTCAGGTACAGGAAGCGAGGCCACGAGTCTCCCTGCCACGAAGCCAACTGCTACTAAAGCAGCTAAAGCACAGCCTGCGCGTCCGAATCCAGAAAACAAAGTCGGCGTCAAACAAGTCCATGCGAAGATGGCCCCTGGTGCACTTACCGATAAGGCGGCCGTATCCGGCGGTGGATCTACACTATCCAATGGAGGGGAGGCCCTGAACGGTACAGGGGTTGGGAAAGTCAAGGGACAGGCGGTGTCCAAGGAAGCATCAATTACATCTTCTGGAGGCCCTTCGAAAGCGGCAACAAGGACAGTCCCTATTTTGACCGCCAAAACCTCGGCGAAGCCAGCAAAATCGCCCACTGTTGCAAAAGCTCCGAAGAGCCCAGCAACAACAACGACCCCAAAGGCCAACACCAAAACACCGGATAAGAAGATGACGCACCCGGAGAAGACAGCTACCCCGAGAGCTGCCACAAGTGCAGCGAAGTCTTCCGGTTCTACCTCGATACAGCGGCCACCGCCTCTTCAGCCTTCTCCATCGGGCACAGGATTCATTAAGCCCAAGGTCAAGTCTCCAACTCGGCCGGTCAAGCTCCCTCCGGGCCTGACGACGCACACCGCCGCCTCGGGCTCGAAAGTCAATGCCTCGCGTCAATCTTTATCCAGAGCAAGTGGCATTTACCCTCATGCCGATTCACAAGGACGATCTCCAAGCCGGGTCAGTGTCTCGACGGTGGGTACGACGAGAACCTCTGGAACTACCGCCAAGCCTCTCAAGAGGCAAAATTCAACCATCAACCGACCTCGTCCAAGTTTTGGTCCTCCTCCGAAGCCGGTGGCTAGAGATCACCCGCCCACAAAGAGGGAGAAAGAGGTGGACGAGGGCTTCCTCGCACGGATGATGCGACCAACGCAGGCATCTTCATCGAAGACGGCAGAGAAGGCAGCCTTGTCGCCTCCCAGAAAGGCAAACCCCGCACCCGTCTTGAAGAAGACGGCCGTCCCGAAACAGGACTTGAAGACGCTGAAGAAGCCTACCGCCAAAACGACACCAGTGGTAGCCTCAAACACCGACCGGGAGGCACAATCCTCCTCAGCCCACGGGGCTGCACCTGTGACTGAGAAGCCCTCCACGCAGGAGGTAGCGCCGGTTGCAGAAGCTGCCCCCGCCGCCGAGCCGTCCTCCACACAAGACGTCACACCTGTCGTCGAGCAGCCAGCTGCTGCCGAGGAGGTGATTAGCGTGGCCAAGGAGGTCGAAGGCCCGGTTTCATTGCCCGAAGACGCTGGGCGCGAAACAACAACACAGGAGACTGTACCGGTCGTTGAGCAGCCTGAAACGGTTCAGGAAGTGTCCGAGGTCGCGATGTCAGCAGATGGTGGAGCCATCCCTCCAGCAGAAGGAAACGTAGACGCGGGTGACAACGAAGTGCCATCTTCGGAGGTCGCCGAAGAACCGGAACAGGCAGCGGCCGTATCTCCCGAGTTTGGAGAGCCAGAGCCCGTGGAAGCGGAAGCACCGACGGTGAACGGGGACCACGAGAAGCCTACTCCCGTTGATGAGAACCCAGGCTCCGCCGAAGTGGCCCCTGAGAGCGTAGATGAGCCCGAGGCGGAAGATGTTGTGGATACCAAGAGCGAGACAGAGGCGGCAGCATAGCAAGATTGTCAGCCATGTTTATTTCCTCCCCAGCCTGTTCCCTGTTCCATCGGAGGAAGTATTATTTTAGGAATTCGCAGTTTTATGATACCTGACGGGAGCAAATATGGACTCGGCAAGGAGTTGGTGATTGAACACAGCAGATGTAGCATCAGAAGACACCCCACTAGGTAGAATGAATACTTGATTCATAAAAAAGAGATTGAGCCTTCCTTTCTGGTTGACTATGCCAGGCTTCCCAGCAGAGAGAGGGTGAGATATATGATACAGTCGAGTAGGCTCTGTTCCCCCTTCGCGCTCTCGGCGACTAGGCTTGGGTGCCACGAAGTGCGAAACTGCCTTTCCTTCCTCCCAGAAACCATTTATACACAGCAGTAGTAGCTATCACAGACATAGCCCCTAACATGCTTTCCCCCAAGTCAAATTCCCCCTCCAGGCCTTCGCCATTGCCCCGGATCATGCCCCCTTGTTCCACGCTCCCCGATCACGAGACCCTGCACAGCACGAGGCCGCCGACCTTCCTCTCGAGGGCCTCCCTGACCTCGAGGACGCCGCGGTCGGTGCTGAGGAAGAGGCACTCGCCCAGGTTGAGGCCCTTGACGTAGCCGGCGGGGAAGCCGCGGGCGACGCGGCCGAGGTCGGACAGGCTGGCGGTGACGAGGCGGCTGGGCCGGCTGACGGCCTCGAGGCGCCGCAGCACGGGCTCGTCGTTCCAGTACTTGAGGCCCAGCCACAGGCGGCGCGTCGCCACGTTTGCCGAGGTCACCACGGCCTCGTCGACGGCGGAGGAGAGGTCGGGCGAGGCGGGCGAGGACGGGAGGAGGAGCGGGGAGCCCGGCGTGGGCGGGTGCGGGCCCCCGCGGGCTACGGAGGAGATGAAGCCTGCGCGGTGGAGGGCGAGGGCTAGTCGGAGGTTGTATTTGTTGTTTGGGAGGGAGGTCAGACCGAGGCGGGCGCGGCTGGCGTTTTGGAGGTGGGAGCAGGCGTTGGCTATGCTGTGGATGCCCATCTTTTCGGTTGGATTTGGGGTTGCCTGTTGCGGCTGGGTGGAGGAGGAAGATAAGGAGGAGGACTCGAGGGGACGAGTCGAGATTTGTCGGCGGTAGAGAGAGTGTGTGTGTATAGAAGGGCGAGCACAGCCCTCGATCGGGTTGAAGACCGAGGACCTCCTGGTCAGGTAGTTGGGAGTCGCGAGAGTTGTGAGTCCAGGACTGCTTCGCACGCTTGGACAATATCGAGACACAGATAAAGGGGTGTTCTGCAATGAAGTGGAACTGTGATTGATGTCGTTGGATCGTGGTTGGAGCCGCAAGAGGCCTGATGTCCGTCAAACTTCGGCTCTTTCCGTCCAAGTCCCAAAATTTTGAAGCTGTCTCCAAATCGGCCTTCAACCCCTGTTGGTACCTTGGTACCAAATTGCCCCACAGTTGTCGCCTGGAAATACAGGCAAAATGCCAATCAACTCCGCCCATTGGCCCACTGTGATGGCAACTCCTAAGCGCCCAGTGGGCTCGACCAGTGATGCGTCTGAACCACATATCTCATGCATCTGCAAGTGCAACCCGTCTGACGGGTGGACGGCTGCGGTGGGATCTGTCCGCTGTCCAGTGAGAAGCCGAATGGCTCCCTGGCTGGTCTGGCTCGGTTGTTGCCATGTGCTGCTGCTGCCCTGTCCCGCATCAAGCTTGCGCGAGGTACAAAAGGTTAGAAAGACACCAGGTTGCCCACAGTCCACAACCCTCCCGCCTCTCCTTGCTGTCCATCTTGTTGGCAATTTGAATTCCGTGATCTCTGAGCCTGTCTATAACACGGCTGTCAGACAGTGCTTCATCTTCTGTCTTGTGCTTGCGCCTTTGAGAGTCTGTCTTCCATCCGCCCGTGAGCACCACCCAACATGGCCGCCCGGCCAGGAGAAGAAATCGTAGCTACGCTGTAAGTCCTGATTGAACTCTGGACATTGACGGATGGAAGAGCATGCCTGACAGATGCGACTGAAGCTTTGGAGATGTCCATTATTTCTATGGCCCGCCCACAGATGACCCTCCGCACCACAGGTTTGACAAGGGCTCGTATGTCTATCTGTTCGAGGACGCGCACCAGGCGCGCGCTCGTGTCGAGGTCGCGAACAAGCCAGGGACAGATGACCAAGACGCTTTCGAAGGATGTGAGGATCAGACAAGGCCCGAGAAACCGAGTTTGCGAAGGAGCTAATGGGCAATGGCTTTACAGACTTGGACACTGCCCAACTACGCTACTCGTACAAGCAGACCTGCGTGGTCACCTTGACACCGGGTGAGGTTGACGGCCACGACGAGTGGCACCTGCCCACGTACGATCCCCACAACCAGAACAAATACCATTACAAGCTGCACTCGCTCGACATCTATTTCTGGACCCAACAGGATGCCCTGCAGTTCGTGAACGGCATCCGGCGTGTCCTTCCGCCTGGGCAATGCGAGGTCCTCGACGAGCCCGGCCCGCCGCCCCTGCACTCAACCGATGTAAGCCCCGTGGTGCAGAATCTCGAGAGAGTTGCCATATCCGACAACGCCCTGTCGGCAGGGAGCAGCGCCCCAGGCGTGCCCTCCTTCGGCCCGCCCCCCATCTCCGCCGTGTCCCGCGCGGACCCCTCCCCGCCGCAGGCCTTCATCCCGATTCCCTACAATCCCGCCTCCCCCGCGGCGCCGGAGCAGATCCGGCCCCGGGAGAAGACACCGCCACCCGAAGATGGCGGCGTCAACCCCCTGCACCAGACCCTCGCCTACGACGCCACGACCCCCTTCTCTCCGGGGCTGGCACCGAGCGGTGCCGGACCCCTCAGCCCTGGCATCCCGCCCCCGCAATTCAGTCCCCCTCCCGGCGCCCCCTCCTTCCCCGGCCCTCCCCAGCACGGCCTCGCCAGCCCGGGCCTCCCGCCGCAGGGCTTCGGCTCCCTCGGCGGCGCCGCCAGCCACCTGGCGTCGCCGCCCGCGTCGTCGACCCCTCCGCCGCCACCGCCACCACCACCACCCCCGGCCCAGCAGCACCCGCACCAGCACGCACACCCGGGCATCGCCCGCGCGGCCACCATGCCGGTGCACGGCCTGCCCAGCCCCGGCATGACCAGCCCCTACGCGGCGGGATTCCCGTTCAACGCGCGGGACACGACGCCCACGCCGCCCGGCGTCGCGAGCCCGGGCCTGCAGGCGCCGGCGGGCGGGTTCTCGCCGTACTCGTACGTTCCCGGCGCGGGTGCGGCAGCCGGGGCGGGAGCGGCAACGCCCGACTACGGGGTGCACCAGCAGCTGTACCGGCCGACGGAGGGCGAGGCGGCGAAGAAGTACAAGCCCAAGCAGGAGCCGCGGGGGAAGCTGGAGGAGAATGCCGGGCGGCTGGAGAGGGGGGTAACGGGGATGTTCAAGAAGTTTGAGAAGAAGTTTGGCTGAGTGGGGGGTCCTGTCGTGGAAGCAAGCATGATTGGTAGAATCTACAACGGAATAGAGAACATATTTAAGATAGTCTCATGGTGATGGTCCGACTTAATGATTATACCTACAATCACAAGGAAGGCTCTCGGCGAGTTTGCGATGGGACCTATAATCCCATTTATGCATGACATGTGAATGGCCGGATCGACGACTGGAGATGAAGGAACCGGTGGATTGCTCTATATCTACCCATAAGCCCCTACAGTACAGCCTGGGCCGGATACCACACAACTATTAGTACACGACTGGAATCCAACCCCCTCAACAACACACGTGGACCCCCGCTCCCCGTGCTGCCCGACAACCCCCCCAACCGGCGCAAACTTAGAAGTTCCTGCTCATATCGTTCCGGATCCTCGTATAGTCGAACAGGCCCGAGATGCTGCCGACGGCGCTGATGGCGATGTCCTGGTCCCACAGCTTCCGGTTGGCGAACTCCATGACGTCCTTCTCGGTGACGGCGTCGATGACGCGCTCGATCTCGCCGGGGCTCATGCGGCGGCCCGTGGTGACGATCTGGCGGCCAATGTCCTCGGCCACGGCGGTGGTGCCGTCGAGGGACAGGAGGATCGACGCCTTGAGCTGGGCCTTTGCCCGCTCCACCTCGGCCTCGGTCACGTTGTTCGAGAGGCGGGACCACTCCCGGAGGGCGAAGTGGACGAGGTCGTCAACGCGCGTGAGCTTGTCGGTGACGAGGTAGATACCCCAGAGACTACGGCGGTTAGTGTTCCTGTACATGGCTCCCGAAAACGCCCAGATATATAGAAAAAAAATACACGGGATGGGGTAGCTGAAACTTACCCAGTGTCGCTGTAGCTAGTGGAGAAGCTCATGAAGCTGGTGGCGAGGTCGTTGTTGTGGACGAAGGCGCTGAGCTTGCTTCCTTGGTGGGGGGCGTTGCCCATGGCTTTGTCGTAGTTTCCGACAATAGCCTGGGTGACCAGGGCGGTGAAGTAGTCGTCGTCGTTCCAGCTGACACCCTCGACGGCGATGGCGATGTTGGCAGTCGGGATGGTGTCGTCACGGATCCGGATATCCGAACCAATGAAGTCGGGCTTCTTCTTGGAGAGGATATAGGCACCGGTCTGGGGAGTCGTGCTGGGGAGCTTGGCGAAATACTGATCCGCCATTTCGACAAGCTTGTCGTGGGGGATACCACCAGCCCCGACCAGTACCATGCGATCAGCCGTGTAGTTGTGCTTGACGTAGTTGACGAGCTCGGTCCGCGTGATATCCCGGATATTCTCCCGAGGACCCAGGATGGTCCGGCCAAGGGGTTGTTGCTGATAGGCGGTGGCGTGGAGGTGGTCGAAGACAACCTCCTCGAGTTGCTTCTCAACCTCTTCAGCCTCTCTCAGGATCACATCGCGCTCCCGGTTGATGGCCGACTCCTCGAGCTTCGAGTTTTGAAGGATATCGGCGAGAATGTCGACGCATTTGGGCACGTCCTCGTTAAGAGATTTGGCAAAGTAAACGGTGTTCTCGCGCTGTCTTATTGTTAGCCTGGCCCTTGAAATGGGAATATCGCATCACCAACCGAGGTGTAGGCGTTCAAGTGAGCGCCCATGTTCTCGATCTCAAGCTCCAATTGCTGTTGTGTCCGGCTGGCGGTCCCCTATTTTTATCAAACCAAGTCAGCCAGCCGTCGCCTATTTTGCGTCTCATGATTGATTGTACCTTGAAGGCCAGATGCTCGAGGAAATGTGCCGTGCCATTTGTCTCGTCTGTCTCGGCCCTTGAACCGGCATCGATCCACATGCCCACGGTCGAGGTCTGCGCATAAGGAGAGTACTGGGAGGCAACCTGGAGGGATCAATTGACGTTAGAACGTGTATCGTCAGCCGCCTTCCCTCGATTACAGCGGACTCACAGTCAGGCCATTCTTCAATGTTGTGGTCTGGGTCTTGATCGGCGCGGACACCGGGGTCGCGAAGCCTCTCTTCAGCGGTAGGGAGAGACCTGCTCGGCCTCGCAGGCCTTGCGCAAGGTTCAAAGCTAGTCGCCGGGACGCCATGGGGGGTGATGGGGATGGGCAATGGTCGCAATGAGCGGTTTGTAGGAAATCTTTCAATGTCGCTCGGCTCGGTTTTGAGCTTCGTAAAAAGTGGCTCGGGAATGGTCGGACGGGATGTGCCTCTCACGTGATCCGCATTATTGACCCACCCATGCCTGACGTAATCATTCCACCTCCTCTCCCCCATGCTGCAGGCAGGCACGCTAGTACAGAGTAGGCGTGTGTGAGCCCATGGGACAGTTTGGGCATCACTTGCCTACCTATCTATTTCAACTTGGCACCGTCTTCTTCACAATACATAATCCCGTAAGGATCGGGTAGTCCATCGAGTTTCTACTAAACTGTGCGGGCCGCCAAAACACTCGGCAGCTATGGCATCCGAAGAATACGACTTTGGAGATGTCTTCCAAGCTGTCTTCATCCCCAAACAAAAGCCCCCTCCCGATCCAGTCTCACCTGATATGACGGCGTCGGTCTCCACGTACCCGCCCCTGGGCCAAGTAACGCAACTGAAGAGCGGAGATGTGTCGTTTGTTGCAGTATTGGAAGTTCCTGAGAGCCGGGGAATCGACCCATGGGAAGTTGCCCTTTGGCACTCGGGTACTACTGGCCAGGAGCAGGAGCAGGAATGGACTGAGCATGGCCTTGCTCCAAGTGGACAAGGTCAAGCCCCCTTTGCCCTACAAGCTAGCAATGACACGTCCCGGCTCTACTTTGCTGGTAAATTGTCTGTGCAGTCTTTGCTGAACTTCACCGTGAAATTCCGCCCTGGGCCTGATCAACCCTGGCGTTGGATTCGGGACGAGATGAGCATGGGAGACGGTTCTATCGTTATAAACGACGGCCTGGATGAAAATGATGCGAAAACGGACTTACCAGACCTCATCCAAGATTTGAATCCAGATCTGAAATGGAAGTCGTTGATGAGCCAGTGCCCGGGAACTCGGCTATGGCACATCGAGGCTCCGGTTGCTGCTTCTCAAAATGACCAACCTGCGATCGCTGATATCCCACTTGGCATCCCGTGGGGAGGCTTCTTGAGGTAGGTCGGCTTGATGTCTTGCTCGGGCCATTGTGCTTCATGCCGTTTCCTAATATGCCACTGATGCATGCTAGGTGGTTCGCACTGGTACGAATCTGGACCCCTTGGCTTGCACCGCGACACGGTAAAGACACATTCGCGCTGGACAAGGAGGCTGTCTTGGTCTCCTTCCTTTCCCCTCAGGGCAGACATATGGTTCTTCTTGCCATTAGCGGTCTCAACGACACGATGACTCTGTTCCGCAGCAGTGAATCCGGAAGTGTCATGCTTCACGTACGTTGGTCTCAGAGGCCCATTTCACCCCCTTGACTATTGTTTTCTGCCTTATTGATGCAAAATAGATACGTAATGACGAGGAGGTTGCAACGTCAGCTACAGTATTGGTGGCCACTGGTGACGACTTCGAGAAGGCGAACGCAGCCGTTATGTACCATGCTCGATCCCTTGTAGTGTCGAGCAAGAAGTGGACCGGTGAGTATGACGCAGAGATGAGCGCCCTGAAGGCGGACGTTAAGCCCGAATGGTACGAAAACTGGTATGATGGACTGGGGTTCTGTAAGTTCTGACCGTAAAACTCGAAGACGACAGAGACTGACATTTAAAGGCACATGGAACGCTCTTGGTCAGCGTCTGACCGAGGATAAGGTGCTCAAGGCTGTTGACACTCTGGCTGAGCATAAGATAAACATCACCAGCTTGATCATCGACGACAACTGGCAGAATATAGATTATCGAGGACAAGGGCAGTTCCAGCATGGCTGGAATGATTTCGAAGCTGAGCCTAAAGCGTTCCCGAGGGGCCTGAAAGCCATGGTGTCCGAGATTCGCTCCAAACACAGGAACATCCAGCACATCGCTGTCTGGCACGCACTCCTAGGTTACTGGGCTGGTATCGCCCCTGATGGGAAGATTGCCAAGACGTACAAGACCGTCGAAGTAATACGCGAAGATTCGCTGCGACGGAATCTTCCTCTCGGCGGGAAGATGACACTCGTCGACAGGGAGGATACGCACAAGTTCTACGACGACTTCTATCGTTTCCTTTCTTCGTGCGGGATCGACGGTGTCAAAACAGATGCTCAGTTCATGATGGATACCTGGGTCTCTGCGAAAGCTAGACGAGAACTGATCCACACCTATCTCGACGCGTGGAAGGTATCAACCCTCCGCCACTTCAGCATCAAGGCGATATCCTGCATGTCTCAGGCACCGCAGATTCTTTTCTACTCGCAGCTCCCGCAGAACACGCCCGCGGTGCTCTGTCGGAATTCGGACGACTTCTTCCCCGAAATCCCGGCTTCGCACCCGTGGCACGTATGGACCAACGCCCACAACAGCCTGTTCACGCAACATCTCAATGTTCTCCCGGATTGGGACATGTTCCAGACGGTACATGACTTTTCTGGCTTCCATGCCGCAGCCCGCTGTGTCAGTGGAGGGCCGATCTACATCACCGATGTCCCGGGGCAGCACGACGTGGACTTGATTAGCCAGATGACTGGTCTGACGACTCACGGCAAGACCGTCATCTTCAGACCAAGTATTGTAGGGAGAACGATTGACCAATATGTCGGCTACGATGATGATTCCCTCCTCAAAGTTGGGGCATATCACGGTATGAAGGCTTGTGAAGACCTTTGACTTTTTGTGCAACATGGTACTAATTTAGGGTCTGAAAATAGGCAGGGCCACCACTGGGACGTCGATAATGGGGGTATTCAACGTGTCCACTCGCCCATTGACTGATATCATCCCATTGTCTCGCTTCCCCGGTGTCAATCCGTCCAGTCACTATGTTATCCGTGGCCACAGCAGCGGCTTCGTCACCCCGCCGGTCCAGACAAGCTCGCCAGCCTCATTGCTAACGACTTCACTGGGTGTGAGGGGATACGATATCCTCTGCGCCTATCCCCTGTCAGTCTTCAACAGCGAGACAAGGGGCACGGTTTACCTGGCAAACCTTGGCCTGGTCAGGAAGATGACAGGTTGCGCCGCTGTCCTCAACAACAGCTTCCAGCTCCTCGAGAACGGAAGGTTGTTCATGGACACCAGGGTGAAAGCGCTCGGAGTGCTTGGTACGTCCCGAACCATATTTGCTAATCGGATGAGCTGACTTTTCCCTCTAGGAGTCTACATTTCTACTCTACCTGATCTCACAGTCGAGGGTGACCTCATGGTGACGATCCAGGGCCAGCCGGTGCCACCACATACGGTGAACAAAGGCAACGAGCACGTCTTGGAGATCGATATTGAAACCGCGTGGAACGAGATGGGACTAGAAAGCGGGTGGTCTAACGAAATAGAGATGAAGTTATACTTCCCACTTGAGAAGTGAACAAACACATCGGTATATCTAGAGGATATACGAAAATGAGCAGAGACAATGATGTTACGTTTTAGCATGCATTGCACGGAAGCTACACCACGATGTTACGGGCAGAAACCCCCCTTTTATTCTATTCTTTCGATCATTACACTCAGACTTTTAGCAAGAACAGAATGTGTTTACCAACCAATACAGCACAGTCAATTATTTTACTACTGTATTGACCTCCTCACTTATTTACTCGGCTTGATACCAAGCCTCGCGGCCTCGCTCGCGACAATATCGGGGATCTCCTCCTTTAGACTCCGCCCCTTCGGATCCCAGCCGAGGTATTTCCTCGCCCTGGTGGCCGTGCCCTTGGAGTTGGTGCCCCACGAAGCATTCGAGACGCCGTCCAACTTGATCCCCTCCATATCCGTCTGCCTGACGCTCGCCTCGGGGAGGAACCCCTGGCGATGCGCCTCGTCAGCGACCCACCGCGCCACCTCGCCCCACGAGTGCGTCCCGTTCTCGGCGAGGAAATACGCCCGAGGCCCAAACACCTCCGCGTCCCCGCTCCTCCGCGGGTCCAGCGCCGCCTCGACGAGCGTCACGAGCAGGTCGCTCAGGTCGTGCACGTGCACGTTGTCCCACTCGACGGCGCCCGTGCCTACGTAGGGGACGTAGCCCTTGCGCAGCCCGAACCGCGCCAGCTGGTACACCTGGATACTACGCCGGTTGCCGGGCCCGCGACCGGGCCCGTAGATGGTCGGCGGCGCGACGATGGCCGGCTTGACGGCCGCCGGAACCGTCGAGGCCGCTGCCAGGACGATCTTGTCCACGTCTCGGTGGAAGGCTTGGTCCGGGAGGTTGACGAGCCGGTCGAGGTCCTTGACGTCGTCGTACTTCTCCTGCGGTAGGGGCGGCTGGCCGTAACGCTTGGCCGTCTCGTCGTACTGGGGAATTGGATTAGTTCGTCTTGGAATGCTCACGTGGCTGGGGAAGAAAGGATATCCGGTGCTTTGGCTAGCCCCTCCGAACCGAGGATCTCTAGGGATGTATGTCTGGACTCACCCACTGCAGAATACCAGTGCCGCTGATATGGATCCAGTACCCGGGCTTCTCTTTGGAATGGCCCGCCGCCAGACCCTTCGCTATGGCATTAGCCGAAGGGACATTGTCCGAGGAATCAGCCGTATCTGCCCGATGGATGTTTATGTGAGTGAGCATATCCCCTCAGGGGCGAGCAAGACCAAGCAGAGGAACACTTGGACGTACGGATAACCACGTCCGCCGCAGCGGCGGCCTGCTCGATGACCTGGGCGTCGTCGAGGGCGCCGAAGACGAACTTGGCGTTGGGGAATTTCTCCCTCACGAGCTTTGCCCTCTCCTCGTTGCGGACGAGGAGGGTGTACTCGAAGTCTGGGTGGGCCTTCTCGAGAGCATAGAAGGCGTCTCCGCCGATGTAGCCTGTCGTCGGGGGTCAACATCTCCCATAATTATCTTGAGAAGGTGCTGTGGGTCTTCACCTGTTACGCCGGTCCTACGAGACGTGTGAGTTTCAGTAGAGGTAAAATGTGGGGTAAGGCCTGGGCTTACAACAAGATCTTGGGTGCCATGGTGTTGATGAGAGAGAAGAACAGATGAGCTACGCTGATCACGATGAGGTCTAATTCCCTCAAACTTAAGTCGGATGGAGGCTCTTATAGTCGTTTTATTTGGCTTATGCTTCAGGTCACGGATGGCATGATGATTTACAATCCGATCCCAAACAGAGGGGCTGCATGACATCATCCGCGCCCTGGAGCACGCCCACTACGGCGGAGACAGTGATCTGTAATACGGCTCTTTCAAATATCGAAGGGTCCGAATGTGGTGGCTACGGTTACGCGGTTGCTAAGCGCCAAGGGCAGGTCAATGTGAAGCAACTTGGGAGAATGCCCCGTCTTAGTAATGGTTGCCCATGGCTTGACTCCTGTCGGGTAAACGATTCCCCAAAGAGCAAGAACCTATCTAACACACCTCCTAAACATTATCTTGGGGGGGGGGGGGGGGTTGGCAGGTATTAAGCAGGATGCCAAACAAGGCGACAGGTTCCATTTTGCGAAAGATATTTGCAAGTATTATAATCCAAGGTTCGCCATGTCATATCTCCACCAAGGACGAAAGACCCCTATCCAGTCGTCTGGCAAGGGACCTGAACCGGCTTCCATCGACGTGCGATAACCGGCTTATGTGCCTCGTCTAAGCAGTATATCGTCCAACACGCAAGGCGCCTCGTGGAGGGGCTGTAAGCCTGGCGCTTGCAGGCTCTTTGAGTACTCATCCATGTGCCTCATGTCTTCTTCCTCAAGTCATCCGAATTGGAGACAATCAGTCTACACTCTGCAAGGCACGTCCAAGTGGCTTGCATGGCTCTATGGAAAGACGTTCAAGAGGCCCGCAAGGCCCTTCCTCCAGCGGCAGAAGGACCTTGTCTGCACCTACCAGACGAGCCGCTATTGGTATGAGGTTTGGGCATCTGCCGTCGATGAGCGTTCTGCAGATAGTTGCTGTCCATTTGGGGATGGAGTTCAGTACGGATACATCATGCATGAGAGGAAAACGCCCGAAGTCGGCCAGAAACAGACAGCATGTTATCGGACAGAGAAACGAGGAATGGACCACTGCCGACCTTCAGAATAGTAACACGGCCTTGACTAGACAAGCAAGCACATGATAATTTACTAGGCTTCCTTTGTGTTCCTTCCCAGTTGTATTTCATCGTCGCACAGAATGGAAGCCAATAGGTCCCTCCTTGGTTGAGTGCCAAGAATCGAATATCTGCCTCAGGCAACGATTTCTCTTAGCGCCGGCCGCCACCCCAAACAACCGAACAAGGCTTTCAAGCCGGATCACGACCAGTCATCACGGGTTGCTGATCGGCTGCTGCTCCCACAGATCTTGTGGGCTCTTTATGTTTTCACCCCATCTAGTGATACCCTTTGAATTGCCCACAAGATACGCCCATATTGGAGTGGTAGAATGTTGCCCTCATCCGTCCGTCGCGTAGTCTCGACGGCAGCGCCCCAGTCTCCGGTTCTCGCAAGCTTCTTGTCCTCGGGGCCGCGAGCTGCCGTCACCCTGTCCGGTCGGCCAACCTGCCACCAGAGACGATGTTCCTCTTCAAAACCGTCGAGCCCAGATAACGGGTCGAAGGACATCTCAGCCGGGCAGTCCGTCCCCGCCTCGTCGGCCGAGGCAAAATCTGCCAAGGCGAAAGCGACCGGGGAACGTCGTAAGAGGAGAGCAAAGGATTCGTCGCAGGCGAAACAGCTCCCTGTCGTCCCTAGCACACAGCACCTTTCGCAAGAAGGTGCGTCTATTTACTCGAGAAACTTCCCCCCCCCCCTTTCGCGAGACTAACCGCATGCCTCCTCAGCTCTCGGCCTATCGACCTTCTTCTCCCTCCACCGACCCATCTCCGTCACCCACAGCTTCCCCAAGTCCGTCAGCGACGATGCCTTCGCCGCCATCTTCACCCCGAGCACGCGGGGCGCCAAGGTCTCGGACGTCATCTCGACGCTGTCCCAGACGGTCGACCAGCTCGAGCAGCCCATGTCGAAGCTGTCCATCGGCAGCAGCCAGCGCCAAGACCTCGACGAAGGCAGCACGACGACCCGCATCGACCTGAAGCACCCGGACGGCACCGAGTCCGCCACTTACGTCCAGCTGAACGCCATGTCGGGCCAGTTCCTGCCCTTCCGCCCACCGCCCGCACCCCGGCCCGAGTCATCATCATCTTCCTCCGCCGGCGCCGGCGCCCTCGACGCGGCGTCGGAATCGGCCATCGACGACGTCGACGCCGACGCCGGACCCTCGCACCGCGTCTACAGGGCGATCCTGACCATCGAGGAGACGACCGACGCCGACGGGCAGGTCAAGGTGGTGGCGCACAGCCCGCAGCTGATCGAGGACCAGGACCAGGCCGCGCCGCAGCCGCGCTCCTTCCTCGAGCGCATGGCCCTCCGCCAGCTGCGCCACGAGGACGTCATCAGCCGCAGGCGGTTCGGCGGGGAGGAGGGCGGCGACGGCATGCTCGCCATCAGCGTGCGCCGGCAGAAGAAGCTCAAGATGAAGAAGAAGAAGTACAAGAAGCTCATGAGGAGGACGCGGAACCTCCGGCGCAAGCTGGATCGGAATTAAGAACGGTGGGGGTAGACGGGAAGATGGAGGATGGATGTCGGTGGCTTTGAAGGGGGAGGGGGGTGAGCCAGTGTACATATTAGGTTCGGTCTGGGAAGGGGTGTTTTAACAAACCCCATGGGACGGACGTTTCTCTGGCCGACAAATCTTTTCCAACTCTTTTTTTCTTCTTCTCTTTCTTCTTTCCAACCTCCAAAAAAAAAGGCATTTTCATGGATTTATTCCGCATAGGCGAGAGTTGCATACATAGACAACGGAAGAAAGAGGGTGGAAAGGGGGAGAGCTGCGCAGGTCTGAAGAACGCCCATTTAATATCCAAAGTCATGGAATCGCTGGGGAGCCCTCCTCCGTGTGCGTGTGTGTGCGTGTGTGTGCGTGAGTGAGAGCGTTCGGGTGGTTAGTCTGCCACGCGGGTGCTCTTATTCCTCCTCGTAAGGTCAATGCATCGAGTCCCATGGCACACCAACTGCGTACGGGTTTTCAACTTGGGAGACCTGGTTGTATCACATTTTTGATGGTGAGTGTGTTGTTCTTGAACAAATGCCAAACGATTCCATTCCGTATCGAACCTTTTTACTGAACAATCCTAATAATACAACGAGGGCTATCTCTCAGCAAAAGGGCATCACCCCTGTTATGTGTCTATAACCCTAATACCGTGTTGATATAGATGCTTGAAGACGCGTCGTTATCAAGACCAGTTCATAGCCAACGCAGTACTCCAACATGTAACGTGGGGGGAACTGAAAAAGCACCCCCCCTTGCCCTAAACTCCCAATGATCAAAACTCCCCCTTTGTGACATGAATCGTGAAAAACCAGCGAACCAGCTTGTACTAGTGATGCCAAATGCTAGATACTCCCCGTTCCAAAAACACTCAGTCGCAGCCATTCCACGAGGCGTCCTTGCTCTCGCTCGTCACGTCGAGCCCACAGATGCTGGCGATGGTGACCTCTAGCTCTGCCTCGGTCATGGCCTGGCCGGCTACCTTCTGGCCCTCGAGGACGTCGTGGAGCTTGTACATGATGGAGCTCTTCGACTCGAGCTCGCGGTGTAGCTGCTGGATCTGCGCCATGACCCTCTTCCGGTCTCGCTGGCCGAGCGACTTGTCGAGGCTGCAGTAGAGCCTATTCTTGTTCAGCAGTTCCATCTCCAGGTGCGCGATCTCATCCTCCATCTCCTTGATGACGATGGCAAGCGCGTGACCCGGAGCCATCGACGGGCGCATGGTGGGCTCGTCTTCATATGGGCCCGGCTCAGGCATCCGGTCCGTGACGGGGATCGGCTTCTGGACACGAACCGTCTTCTTCTTCCCGCTGCTCTCAGAAGTGGTGGATGTCGACTTGGCGTGAGCTGAGATTCGAGTGCAGACGGTACAATTGCGGGATTTGTGGTTGCAAACACCGTCGAGGACACGGCGCGCGTCCTTGCTCAGGGAAGGGCCAGATTGTTCGGCAGTAATGTGTTCCTCGCCATGCAGGGTGATGTCGGGGACGAAGAATGCCGATGTCATGTTGTGTTCGGTGGAAAACTCGGTATCGAACCGGGCGTTGTCCGACTTGGTCCGGCGATGGGGATGCGAATCAGGGCGAGATCCCTGGACACTGACGAGGCTCTTGGCCGACTTCTGGCTCTGGGCGGTCCTGTCAGACTGGTTGCTTTGCAGGCTGACGAGACTAATGCCAGATTTAACGCTGAAGCGTCCAGTAAAATCATCCTCCTGCACGAAGTGGCCGGTCTTCTTAAGGATGCCAGCTGGCTTGCTTTGCTTATGGATGATGGTCTCGTCAGACTTGGTTCGTCTCATGGCAGGGCCCGGGAGAGGGGGGAGGTCCGAGTCAATAGTATGGACGGTATTCCCGGCAGCCGATGCTTCCTCGACACTCTGCTGCTGCTGCTGACCCTCGCGCAAGTACCGGAGGGTCTCCTTGAGCCTGGGAATCTCGTCATCCGTGAAGATGCTGGCAAAGTCAGAGCTCAGAGTCGGGTCGATCCGGGTGGTAGGGTCGTCTTCCACGTTCAGGGCATCGCTCTTAGCAGACTGCTCGCTTCCCGCATACTGGCTAGATCTGGTTGGTTCGACGATGCGGGTAACCTTGGCTGCCTTGGCTGAGATGTCGCGAGAAAGAGAGAGGTTGGTGATCTCCATCGTCAGCTGCTTCGCCTTCTTGATGGCGGCATTTCGGCGTTCGAATTGTTGTGTCAGCGTCGCCTCTTTCCGAGCAAGTGCTGCCTCCTTCTGCTTGCATTGCGCCTCCCGCCGTTCACACTCTTCGTTGTGGTCGTTGATGTGCTTGAGATACCGAGTCTCGTTCTTCATGAGGGCCTGGCTCAATCGAATGTTCTTATGCCGATCCGAAACCCACTGGTCCTCCTTCTGTTTGCCCTCGGTATTGAGTCTTTCGTTCTCTTGGGCAAGGGTGAGGTTTTCCTCCCTCATGGCAGCAATGGCCTCGTCCTTCTTCCGCAACTCAGATTCTTGGTTTTGTAGCCGTTGCTTGAGCCTCTCAATCTCGGTCTCAAGCTGCGTGTATTGGTCCCGAAGACCTGCCCCCTCTGTGGTGCGAGTTACATCAGCTTGAAGTGCGTCTATCATCTCGTCACGGTTGGCAATGCCCTTCTCAAGGTCGTGGATACGCTGGTCCTGCGAGGCGATCTTTGTGCGTAGAGACTTGTTTTCCTTAAAGTAGGTCTCGTTGTTCCGCTCTAGGCTAGCATGGTCCTGGGAAATCATGGCGTTCTGCTCGCTGAGGATCTCATATTCGACGTGAATGTTATGCAGCTCTTCACGAACAGAATCTAGCTCTCGTTGAGCTGCTTCAAAGTCTCGACCCAACTTAGCGTGCTGAGCGTTTAGGGACTTGTTGCTGGCGACCAGATCATCATGTTGCCGTGATAGAGTGTCGTTGGCGGCTCGGAGAGACGTGTTCTCTTGTTCGAGTGTCTCCTTCTCGAGACGGTACTTGAAACTTAATTCGAGATCCTTCTGTGACGACTCGAGTTCGGCCTGATATCTCTTGGCCCTCTCGCGGGCCATTGACGCCTGGTGTAGAGCCTCGTCACGTTCGGCGGTGAGGGCCGCACTATGAATATCGTTGACGCCAACGAGACGGCTGGCCTGCTCCAGACGTTCCTGAAGGCGAGCAATCTTCTCGTCATATTCTACAGCGACGTTAGAAGAGTAAAGGTTGTCTGAGTCAGGGAAAACACTCACTGTTTTTCTGGGCATCGAGTGCCTTGTTGATGGACTGGTCCGAGTCAGAACCGATGGCGCTATCTGATCGTTTTCGCACCCTGAGCCTCTTAAGCTCTGACTGGAGCTGGTTGACCTCGGACTGGAGCTTTTCGGCTTCTTGCTGGACCATTTCATCGTGGTCCTGGAGATCCTTCACTTCCTCCCGGAGTTTGTCCATCGAGACGAAGATCTCCTGATCCTCCTCGGGGATGTCGATGGCATCGACAGTGTCATGCTCGTTTACAGCCTGTTGGAATCGACTGCGAGCTTTGCCATGCTTTACAAAGACGGGAACGCCGTTCCTCATGGTGCTAAACTTGAGCGTTCCGGAGGTCCAGTCGAAGATGTTATTATGGAGCGAGGGTAGGAGGAAAGAGCGGCCAGTAGCGCTCATCCCACTCCTGTTCATGAATGGGCTGGATGCGTGTTTGGTCGCGACGGCATTCAAGGATGGATGATTATGCTCAGCAGCTCGCTCCGAAGAGGCTGGAGGAGCGTACTTTGACGTTGGAGGGTGTGATGTGGGCCGTCTCTCGCCTGAAGCCTGGGCAGCGCGAATCTTGGATACAAGCAAGTCGGATACCGCCTGACGTGCGGGCTCCTTAGACGAGCCGGAAGCGGTGTTAACTTGGGCTTTGGCAAAGCGGGAACGACGCGACGCCTTGAAGGGCCCAATCGATGTCTGCGATAGGACGGTAGAGCAGTCAGAGGCAGTCTCGACGCGAGGTTGCATATCAGCTCGAGTACGCTTCTGTTTGAGGTCGAGGATGTCGTCGATGGGGGCTGTGTCTTCGTATGGCGGAGGGACATTCTCCTTGCCTTCATCGTCGGCCATAGGAGCAGGGTTGACCTCCTGAGTAGGAAGGGTAGATGCTAAGCTACTCCATTCAGGGAATGTGCGTGCGAGGGCAGACGTGTTGACGATGGTTGAGGGCCGGGTGCCGAATCGGCCAGATCTGGCAGCACTGGGGCGGCGGGAAGGTTCCTTAAGGTCTTCACTGAACTTTCGCGTGCCCTCGCCGTCGGGGCTAAACGAGAAAGTGGAGAGGTTGTGGGTGGTGAGATCGACGGTGGTCGTGCTGACGGTGCCATGGGAACCGGTAGAGGATGGGGGGGAGTTGAAGGGGTTGAGACGAGATGCGTACATCTCTCTCTTCAGTCGACTCTGATGTCTATGGGTGTTACTGTTGGGATCCATGGTGAGGCTCCTCCGCGTTAGACGCGACGTTGATGTTGCAGGAGCAGGAGCGATGGACGGCGGACTGCCCAAGACGCGACGCGCCTGCGAGCTTCAGAACGAAGAATGGGTACCGAATGCTTGATAGCAGGAACAAGCTAAAGAATAGATCCGCCCTCAAAGTAAGAGCGCCGACGCAATTGAGTTGAGTTGCAGTGGGAAACAACGGCCCAGCGAGGATGATGGGAAGAAGAGAAGAGGGAGAGAATGCGGGACACTGGCCAGGGCTTTTGTTTACTTTGACGGGGGGCTACCCCCAGGGTGTGGCTTTAGCCCGGCGTGTTTTGTTAGACTTCCCAAACACTCAATTGGTTCATGGGTCGCAAAATAACGTTAAGGAGATATGCCTCGGAATTACGCACGGTTTACACGCCTTTAAATGCCTAGAATATTGGGTACTGACGAAGGAAACCCGGGCGAAATAACACAATATCATCGCGATATTCCAAGGTGCTGGGAGCTAAGGTGGGGCAGTCGCGGAACCTAGGGAACGTATTTAAATCTAGCGGAGATCTCTATCCATTACTATGATTGGCCAGAACACCTCCTTGGAAAGCCTCATCCTTAGCAGGCCTGACGATCGACAGGTGCCCAGTGGTTGGCAAGGAGATATTTGGTGGCATTTCGACCATAATGTGGAAGACACCGAATTTCACTTATCATTAGATTATCGGCTTGTAACTAAGAGCATCTTCGCAAGTTAGATAATCAAGTAGGTGTAATCACTCGCCGTCTTACTCTCTCAATTGCTCTCCTCTACGCCTCCATTTTCATCGATCTCTTGCACCTACCGGACCATAGCATTCGAGATATACAATGTCTACACACTCAACCGGCACTAAGTACCCCAACCATCTCCAACCTGATCTACTATGAAGAGAGCTGGTACGCCCCATGCTAACTACCTACCTCAGACACTCCGGTTGCGATGCGCCATACAGACAGGAGGCACACTAGTTGCGGCCGCAAACGCACTACTGGAAGACAGCAAATCGCTCACAGCATCCGGCTTCATGTGCTGGGCAACTTGCCCCCGACGACGAGCCTTGGACCCGAAGAAGAGGCTCACAGGATAAATACTTCAAGGATGGGTTGCATGTTCTAAAGTCGAATAGCTAAAAGGGCGCCTACCATGGCAGATATGGATTATGCCTCTACCGCGGGGAGTCTCCATCTTTTGATCAAGGGAATTCATTTCACCTTTTCCAGCAACTGTCCCGAAGCGTGCCACTTTTGTTTTGGTTTCTGTACCCCATGTATCCAGTCTTTTTGTACCAGGAAGCCCCTTTCGTTTTGTTGTACAAAAGACGCGGCCTGCCCAATTCCCCGACCTTCATCGTCGTCCGTCTCGCGCCTCGCACGCCAAGCTCCTCGACTGCCTTATCTCAAGTAGCGAGCGCCCTTTTACCGCTCCCCAGCAAGCCGTCTGCTCTGCACCTCGCCCAGGGCCTTGGGCCCGCTGATGATGGCGACGGCGCCCACGATCCCAATGGCCGGCAGGACCTGGAACAGGTTCCAGGTGCTGTAGTACAGGAAGAAGACGAACTCCATCGCGATGATCGAGCCGAGGAACGCGGCGTGCGAGAGCGGCGCTTGCGAGACCGCCTTCGGAAGGTGGCTGAGGTTCGCGCCGAGGCCGAGCCACTGATGATAGCAAGGAGGTTAGACAAGGGAGCGCAGGACAGACGGTTGACGAGTGATACCCCCGGAAGAGGTGAGGTGAGGTAGAGTTACTTACGCTGATGAACAGGACCGGCACGGTCAGCAGTACCGCTAGGGCAAAGAACAAGGATACGATCTTGGGGGGGCTCTGGGGGTCGGCCCTGAACGTGTGGGCGATCTCGGGCCGTTTGCCGTAGCGGACGGGCTTCTCGTAAGCCGGGGCAGGGGTAGTCGAGTCGGGCTTGATCTCCAGGTCGAAGACGGGGGTGTTCAGGCCTTCAGCCGATCCGAAAGATGCCACGATGACTGAAGCCTTGAGGGGTTTGGTCGCGAGGAGGAACTGGACTGGGAGGTCCTTCCGGGACTGCGCCACCATGTTAGTCAAGCAGCTACGTGTTCAATCATGACACAGGCACCCACAATCTGCACCGTTCCCTGTCCGTTCTCCTTCACCGAAAGCGGGAATGGGGCCTCCAGTCCCGATTCCACCTCCCTAAGCACCACGAATGCCTGATGAGGTCGCTTCGCCTTGCCATTGTCCTTCGCTGTCAAGGTGACCTTGACAGTATCAGAGCTCCCAAGAGCAATTGGCTTCGACAGAGGTGCCTTTGAGCTGAGCCTAGACAGAATTTGTAAGCAAATTGGGTAGAGAGTTGGCAATAGAACTGCTTAAGATAGGTTGTCACTCACTTTGCCTTCGCGCCGGCGGGTCCTTGCTTCGACGACACAGCAACGCTTGCTTCGTCAAACCCCCATGAAGACGCGGCCTCCGCAGCACCAGCTGCTAGGAGCAGAAATGCAGAAACGAGCGAATTTGAGATGCGCATTGTGGGATTTTTTGGGGTGTTGGTCTGCCCGTGGTGAAGAACAGATGGGCGAGCAGAAGGCAAGGCTGAGGAAGTTCCAAAGAACACTTGTTCGGGAGCTTCATGCAATCATTTGCCAAGACATTACGTGGAGGTATGGTGCTAAAGTCACGCCGGGGTGGGGTAGTACTGTCTTTACCACGTGACCTGGGCTGGTAGCCCACATCAGGACCAAAGGTAAGGTAACTAGGTAGGTAGTATGTATAAAATGCAATATGGGACCTACCTACGAACTACAAGGAAAAACACAATTCATAGAAGAAATGTTTCGACTAGCAGACCTAGCTAAGGTATTCCGACTACGGCGTGCTCATCCTCCAGCCGCCCAACTCAACTCTGTCAAGACCAATAGTAACGGAGCAGCCGTCTTCAGGGTTGATAGCTTCCATCCAGCGGGCTTCTATATACAAGGTACGTATATACAGGTCTTGCAGCCCAAGTCCATACCAGACCCTCGAAGTCGTCTCGATAAGCTTCCCTCCAAGACGCCGCTTTCCAGGCTGCATACCCAAATGTGTATGCGTTGAAGTAGGTGGTTATAGGTATGTTACAATAGGATCATGTCGTGTGCACGCTCTAGCGAGGGTGTCAGCTATAACTCTGTCTTATCGGAGTAAGCCCTGTTCACCTTCTCGTGCGGGAGCTGCGGCAGGTCCCCTTCCAGATCCATCCACTCGGCCGCGAACGCCGTCATGATCCGGGCCCAATCCCTCACAGTTGGTATGTCGAGGTGGTCGGCATCGTCTTCCATGGTGTGCCATACGGACGGGAAGGGGTAAGGTATGACGTGTAGAATATCGACGCCGCGCGCCATGAACGGGACGTGGTCGTCTTGTACAAAGCCCCTGCCGAACTGTGTCTTGTCCTTCTCGGGGAGGAATTGCGCCGTCGGTTTAGACTCGAGTAGCTCGAGCTTCCGCATCCGCTCCTCGATCGTCGCCAGATTCCTGTATGCCCAATGCGTGGTCGGGAAGTACGACTGGACCCTGGGACCCGCGGCACCAAGGAGATCGAGCAGGACGAAGAGGCTTATGGAATTTATCGGATTGGGGTAGGTGGAAAGAGCCGCATGGGGTGTTGTTTCCCAGGCTTCAGCCAGCGCTCTGTACAGAATCAGTATTTTGTTCCTCTCCCACATCTACGTCTCGAGTGCCTTACCTTGAACCGTAGAGTGAGTCCGTAGCGGACCACGACACCCAGGCTTCCTCCCCGTCGAGGAGGATGATCTGGACGCCTTTTTCCTCCCCGAGGCCGTCGCCAGTCTGGCCGTTGGCCTTCATCGCATCCCATTTCTTCGTCAAAGCCTCGTCGATGCTCCTTGCAACGTGCATGAGTATAGCACACGGGGCGGCACTGTCGGTCGCCCCGATGAATCCCTCGGGTTTGTATAGGCTGTCGTAATGTGCGACCAGTGTCAGCCGCCCAACGTCACCCACGGCTGCCCACGGAGGATCGCGCCGGAAGATGAGGTTGGAAAAGGGAACCTTGCGGTCGCCCGTCGCGGGCGTCGTCGAGGTTGAATTGTGCCATTCAATAGCCCAGTGTGGGAGGTGCTCCTTGAAGAAGGAAACAAAGTGGTCCTGCACCTTCAGCGACCCTGGCGTGCCCGGCACTCGGGGTATCAATATTGGCGCAAGCAACGCGCCGCTGTGAATGTCGAAATCAGAGCCTCCGGAGGGGAGGCTTCGCAAGCTACCCTCAGACAAGGGGGTGTAGGAAAGAGCCGTTTCGTACAGGAGGTGGAGGACGACGAGGAGCCCTAGCACGGAAGTCCAGCGGCCCATGGTCGCCATTCCGATAGGCAAAATGGCATACAATGGTATCGATACACGGTCATGCTGTGATTCAGCTCTTGACCTCCAACTAGCCCGTCACGCGTTGGAGCTTGGAGGTGTGCATGACAGTTGTTGAAATGTGTCAAACTGCGACGATCCAAACCGCATCCCTCTTTTGGCTATTCGAACTGTGTCTACTAATGCAGGGGGACCAGGTGGGGTTGGCAAATTCATGACACGCCTCCCGTGCAGATAACACCATTCAACTCGGTGATGGCAGGTATGAATATCAATCAGCTCCATCAACCAAAAAAGGGTCAATTGACTTTCCATGTCACCTTGTCCTCTAGAAGGCGACTGACTTAGGTAGGTAGGTACCTTACCTTACAGCACTGGAGAGGGAAAGCTAAACCCGGAGCACGGCCTTCGTTGTATTATTCCCCCCCTTTAAGGTCCAGCCTGGCCCAGCCTGCCTTGATCGAGCTTGCCATGGACGGATTCCTGCAATGAGAGTTCTCTAATCCGCCGAGATCGAGGTATAAGATGTCTGAACTGTGGCAAGTTCAGTCGCCGTAGACCATCGACAGATAGAAGTTATTCCCTCCTCCATGCTTTCCCCTCTTCTTGATTCCCATGCGACGGCAGTCAGTTCAACGTGGCGCCCTATAGGTATATTAGCATATCCGTTGAGTCCCTACACGAGCAAGCCATTATTTCGGGGCCCGACAATCGGGAGTGATAACGGTCGCTACTACGTCTCTGAAGAAGCTTACCGTATTGATCGACTCACGGCAGAACGGGGATAATTCGCATAACAAGACTCCCCCCTTCTTCGTATCCTAATATTCCAAAGTCGGCGGTTATCACCAAACCAACATGTATCCCACCTCTCTCCACGCAGTTCCCATACCGTCAACCCGTCTCGACACAGTCAACCAGCTCCTCACCGGCTACAGCAGCCTCTCAGTCACGCAGCTAACCTCCACGCTGTCGCCCACCTTCCAATACCGCGTTCTCCCCACGAGCCTAGGCATGCCCCCCCTCGACCGCGCGTCATTCGCCCGCCACGCCGCCAGCGTCTTCGCCGCATTCGACGAGTTCCGCCTAGTCCCGGACCAAGACTCTCTGCTCGAGGACGCGGAGCGGTCGTCTGTCGCCGTCTACGCTCGCATGGAGGGCGTGCTCAGAGGCGGCGGCGGTGGGACGACGACGACGCCGTGGGCGAGCGAGTGCGTCATGCTGATCCGGCTATCCGTGGACGGCACCGAGGTCGTCGGGGTCGACGAGTTCGTGGATAGCGCAAAGGCTAGGGAGATGCAGCTGGGGAATGCTCCTGGGGAATTCGGTATCGGGGCGCGGTAGGGGGCGGAGGTGGGATGACGGGCGGCGGCTGAAGGGAGGCTTCACCTTGTCTGCTCTTATTGGTATAGAGTATGTGGCCTTTCCCATGCCCCTTGCTAGCAACCGGTGGGGAAGAAACGAATAAAACCCTATGAGCTTCCCGAGTATACAAGAGAAGCCTGACTGTTATTTCGGGACTACAAGTTCCCAGGGGAGTGTGTTGAGTCCTTTGCCTTCTGCAGTAGAAGATCCTATTGGAACTGTACTTACTCAGGTCTTCATCCTCTCCGTTGACTTGCAACGGCCCTCCTCGTCCCTTGCACACGCACAACACCATGGCAGGATCCAGTTCTGCTTGATTACCGGTCTAATGCTCATCACGGCCATAACAGCAATAGGGGCACAGAACTACTTTGTCTGAATAGCATATAATTCGGGTTCCCATCGAACCAACGACGACGTAGAGTATAGCACCGAGGCGTAACAGCAACAACAAAAATAATAAACCTCTGGACTCCTTGCCCTTCACCTTAACATCAACCTCCCATCTCCCTTACGGATCCCCTATCTCACTCCATAATAGGTCCAGGAATCCTCCTCCTCCCCCGACTCAACGATCCCTCATCATCTCCAAAAGCGCCACCGACCCAGCAACCAACGGCATGACCATCCTCAGCAGATTCAGCCTCGCCCACCGTCTCGCCAACCCCTCAGCACGAACGACATCCGCAGCGCCAACCACACTCCCCTCCTCCAGCCCGGCACCCTCGAGAGCCATCAGCCTCGCATTAATCGGCTGCAGGTAAGCAGCAGAATGTACGACGGTGACGACGTGGCACGCCGTCGCCAGCGCGAGGGGCCTCCAGTCCAGGTCCAGGTCGTTATGGGATGCCGACGATGATGAGTACGCCTTCCATGCCACGTAGGCGTAGTTCGCCGCGCCGAGGTTGTTGATGGGACGGAAGAAGGCGTTGCCCACGGTCCAGAAGACGCGCCACTGCCGGGCCAGCCGGCGGACCGCGGCGGGGTGGTCGGGCGAGGAGGGCTTGGGGAAGTCGACGAGGAGGGCGGGGACGCTCATGAAGGATTGGGTTATGGCGTTGCCTGGTGGGGTGGGGCGGAGGGGAGGTAGGGAGTGATTAGTCTCGGGGTGAACAGACGGTTTCACTGGAGGGCGGGTTGGCTCACCGAAGAGGGCGAAGGAGAAGGCAATGGTGATGCTGAGCAGGTTCTGGCAAGCGGAAGCCATTGTTCGAGTTGATGATTGTTGGGTTTGGAGCTGTTGAGAGTTTGTCTTGGTCGTATCTTTGTGGTTCGTCCCGAGATGTTATATGCTTGGACTGAGTAGAGTGGAGGGAGGGAGTTGACATACTGGACCTTTGCTTACCAGGGAGGTAGGTTGATGCCTTCCCCCTCAGCACTACCCACCTTGGGCTTAGAAGGAACGACCGGGAACCGGTTTAAGATAATCTTTACCTAGGCACATAACTACCTAGGTACGATCACCTAGGTACCCTAGGTAAGTCAGGTTACCTGTACCTACCTAGGTCCGGCACTTCTCTCACATCGGACGACTCTTGATCCCCCAGAGTGAAGAGCAAGTGCCGTCGCTTCGCTCTCAGCCCGTGGGTCGCAGATCTATGTTCCGGACCGGCAGTCACGGTTTTCATTACGAACCATTCGAATGCTATCCCCGGACCCCTATCCTTCCACGTTAAGGTTCTAGGGCTGCATGGTCGAGTGTGCTGAGCCAAGGCCGAGTCAAGCTCGTACACTCTGACCTGGAGAGTTGCTCTGGGAGATCCTTCAAGCTATAACAGTCAGTTTGACTCAGGGGCACTTAAATGCTTGCCCATGGTACGGTAGACTACCCGCATAATAGCATAACATGGAACAGCTTACCTTCCCCAAAAGGGAAAATACGTGCCATCTCACGAGAAAAGAACGTTCTACTGGGAGACATTGGGGGCTGGACAGGAATCGCCGAAGGACAGAAATATCCGTTCAGGTGCTATTGGAAGTCTTTTTAAAGGGGAACAGCTGTAAGAGATACAGGAATCACAATACAGAAGTGGTTGAGGTTTGGCATTGTGGCATTATTCTATTTTATTTGTATAACAGGATAATCCATAGCTCGCCAAAGTACTTCACGCTGCCATATGGTTATAACAGTTGATTCATACCTACCTAGGTATTAATACACCAGAGTATTAGGTATTAGTCCGGATCCCCGTCCCGGGGGAATCCAATGCGGGATGATCCTTCGCAGGGCTGTTTAGTCACTAAGTAGCCAAACGATGGGACGCTCTCTCTATTTGAGCATGTAGGTGGACGACAATCAGGGAGAAAACCAAGCCAACCCACCTCCCCAATCTCTCCCCTTCCCCCCCAACGCACTCCCAGAGACCTCATTCAAAACTGATAAACAAAAGGATCCAGAATTTGGTGAGCCATGAAGCGCCTCCGCCCTGCTCGCAATGACAAGGCGTGGTGCCAAACATCGGCACATCACAAATCGACTTTCAGCTCCGAGTTGACGCTCCTGATGTGTTCCAGGATTTCCTTCTTCAGCTGCTTGACCTTCTAGAAGCACACCAACGCCCTATCGTCCGAGTAGCTCGCTGCTCCTCTGCCGTCCACGTTGCCTGCCGCGGCTGCGAGGAAGGCCGCCCTCCGCCCCTGATCCTCGGCGTCGGCGTCCTTCCAGAGGGCGAGGGCCTCGAGTTTGCGCTCCTCGCTGCGGGGCTCGAAGACCATCTCGAACGGGTTGGGCTTGATGATCAGTAACGAATTGGACTTGTCGAGAGGCACAGGCAGGGGAAGCCCCGTCCGGGGGTCTATCTTGGGCTTGAGGTTGAAGCACCAGGCCAGTGCGGCGCACGAGACGATTAACTCGTCCTGAGTCAGGGTCTGGCCGAGACACTGCCGCTGGCCCCAACCGAAGGAAGTCATACCTTTGATGGTCGGGTACTGGGTAAGCGGCTCTTTATACGTTGGCCAACCCGGCTTGAGCCATCTCTCTGGGCGGAAGTTGTCCGGATCGGGGTATTTGTCTGGGTTCCGGAGGAACGCCCTGTTGAGACATAGTCAGGACGGGGAAAGGGGGAAATAGGGGGGTGGGAAGTAGGTGGGGGGCGGCGAACCAGTCCAAGGGGAGGATGCGGGTTCCCTTGGGAATGAAGTAGCCATGGTAGATATCGTCTCTCTCCGTTTCGTGTGCCACCCCTGTGGACCTGGCATTAGGAGGTGTTTCCAATTAAGTGAGTGACAGACGGTATCGTACCTGTCGGAACATTTGGCTTCCATCTCATAGTCTCTTTGATGCAAGCCCGCAGGATCGGTAGGCTTGGGGCGTCGTCAAGTGTGGGAAGTCGGCCGTTGCACTTTTCATCAACCTCCTTTTGCACGGCGGCCTGCCATTTCTGATGGTGAACCATGGCGACCAGAAAATACGAGAGGGGGCCGGCCACGGTGAAGATGCCAACCAGAGCCATCATACCCAGGGTGCAAGATGCCTCGTAGTCGCCCGAGAGGTTGGTGTTTTTAGATTCCAGAAACTGCCGGGTCCAGCACGGTCGCAGCTCGCCCCTGGCTATCTTGTCTCGGGCAGTAAGCAGCCTGCCCATCCACCAGGCCTGCTGCTCGTCATGACGCTTCCGCTCAGCCCTCTTCCAAGGGTTTAGAAACGAGGGCAGATGCCACAGCGGGGTCAGGACGTTGGTGATGGGCCCGGCAGGGGACATCTGCGTCAGGAGGGCCCAGGCGCTCTGGGCACAGTACTCGCTCAGGTTGGGATCGTCCCATGTCAATCGGCACATGACCTTGGATGCCATATCCTCGAGTGAGAACTGGAAGTCTTCCGGGTTCCGGATTAGTCTCGCCAGCCACCGCTTCGCTTCCAAGTACATGAAGCCGTGGTATCTGGCGCCGGACGCTTCCATCAGGTATGCGTGGGTCATCCGTCGCTGCCGAGCCCAGTATTCTAGCTGGAGTTAGCGAGGTGGCAACCATAAGGGGCAGAGAGAGCGCCGCTGGGGCATCACGTACTGTTCCTGCCCATCAGGGGTAAATACTCCATCGAGCCGCAGGCGCTCTTCGAATCAAAGAGTGAGTTGATGGCAGGCCGGTCCGAGTTGAACTTTGCTCGCCTAACTAGGAGGTCCTCGGCGACTCGCTCGTCCGAGATAACGAGGAACTTGGCTCCCAGCATCTCCGTTCGGTAGAAGCCATTGACTGCGTATTGGTCTGCCCATTCCTTCAACTTGATCCACATGAAATTGATGGGAAGATCATGTATCCGGCCAATATATGGCAGCTGTATGGGACCTGGGGGAGCGTTGGGGTTGTTAATTTGATGGTATTCCTTGACCAGGTGGAACACAGCGAAGGCCACGAGGACGGCACCGAGGGCGAAAATGGATATGAGCGGCATGTCTTTAGGCAGAGTCACCAAGCACTTATGAAGCACTTGTGACTGCCGCGAGCAAGCCAGACTCGGGGAACAGAAGCAAGATAGATGTCTAGGGCGTCGAGAGTTGCCAAACAGGGCCCCGGGGGGGGGGGGGGGGGGTGGGTACACTGCCGCTCTCCTGTCTGTTAAGAAGTGGTGTTGGACCAGCCACGTCGCGTTTTCAAGGAAAGAGATGATAGATACATGCGGAGCCACCAGGGCGTCCTCGCAACCAACGTAGGTAGCCAGGCAGGTCTAGGATCGGGCGTTTCTGGACAGGGTTGATCGTATACCGGTATGGCTAGGTGTCTTTGGAATGTGGACTGCGCTTCGGCGTTTTGATTTAGGTTCTTCACGACATCGGATCTTAGGGCGTTATCAGGTAATATATTGGTGATAGTACTGCGGTGTGGAACACATCCAACTCGTTCTAGGTCCGCAGAGAAGTTATCTAGTTGGTTTTGAGACTGTTGTCCACAAGGTGTCCTGCCATGGCAGGCACCATCCACCACTCGACTTGCCGACATGGTACCTACCTACTGTTACCAGGGTTCCCACCTTGCACTAACGGTCTTGCGTCAACGAGTTCCTTCTCCAGAGAGAGGATGGGCCGGGTGGTTGAACTTGTTCGCAAGAATTACCTACCCGTACCTTGAAGCTGGCATTGAAAGCTCGGATAGATGAATATGGAAGGGCTCACTTCCGTTGCCATCCTTTGGGTACTTACCTAAGGTACTGTACCTCTGGGTAACATGGATGAGCTTCTATTCTTTCCCGTTAAACCTCAATTCCCCGGATGTGCTGGTCGGGCATCAGACCTACCTATATGGATCTCCGCCATACAACCCTTTCTGCCTCGAGCTCAGAAACCTTGTCTTGACCAACCTCCTCAGAACCATGAGCGGGGAAATAGCGTTGAGCATTCAAGTCACGGATATTAGTATGAATATCACACGGAGTCTCGTCGGGCCAACAGGCCTCCAAGGTTCCTTCCAATTCCAAGTGACCACGCTGCTCCTCCCCAAATAGCCACCTGCACCTGTCGGTCTCGCTGACCAAGACCTGCAACATGTGTCGTGCATTACATTACCTGTTGCCATCTTGAGCCCAACTCCTTTCCAGTTCCCCCAACCAACAACCTACATTAAGGAACAACATCAATAAACAGCATTAACCAACATGACACCCATCACAGACTCTGATACCTCTGATACCTCTGATACCTTTGATACCAACTCTGATATCAACTTTGACATCAACGATATCATGCCCGATGGCTCATATCCGTTGACAGGGATCGACGTCCTCATCGTCGGCACCGGGCTGGCGGGCCTCACCGCGGCCATTGAGTGCGCTCGCAAGGGCCATTCTGTGCGCATCCTCGAGCGCAACGCCGATATCAACACGGCGGGGGACATGTACTTCATGGGCCTCAGCGCGACCAGGTTCTTCAAGCACTGGCCGGCTATGGCAAAGCAGTACGAGGAAATCTCGCTGCACGACGCCTGGATGGAAACGTACAAGCATGACGGCGAGCGCATGGTTCCCGCACTCAAGGTCGCCGATCGCCTCCGCGACGCCGGCCTTGACCCCGACACGCCCCCCGGCAAGTTTCAGATGCGCCCGCTCGTGTACACCATGTTCATGCTCCAGGCTCAGAAGCTCGGCATCATGATCAAGCACAGCACGCGGGTCGTCGGCTACTGGGAGAGCGAGAAGCGCGGGAGGGCCGGCGTGGTGACCGACACCGGCAAGCGATACGAAGCGGACATAGTCATCGCCGCCGATGGTGTCGGCTCCAAGAGCCAGAAACTTGTCGGGGGACAGGTGAGGGCAATGAGGTCGGGCAGAGCGATGTGGCGCGCTGCATTCCCTGCCTCCTATCTCGACAGTAACAAGGAGGTCGGGGAGTTCTTCAAGATGCATAATGGCGAAACCGGAGAGGAGCCCATCGTCCGTACCTGGCTAGGGTAAGTCTCGAGGCCTGCCATAATTCAAGCCGACTATGACTGATCTGTGCCTGCCCATGTTCCAGCCCTGGGACATACGCCCTGACGCTCACCCGCCATGATACTTTTGTATGGATCATGAACCACGATGTAAGCAATGTGCATAGAATGGATTACCCGTCCTTACTGGAGGGAACTGACCTAGAACTAGGTGAGCGGATCCGAATCGGAAAGTTGGGAAAACACGGTCTCGGTGGAGGACGTGCTTGACAACATGGACAAGGGCGTGGGGCCTCGGCCGTGGGCGTCCATCTTCAAGCAGCTCGTGAAGCTGACGCCGCCCAAGACGATCATCAACTTTGAGCTGTTGTGGCGCAACCCGCAGCCGTCGTGGGCGTCTCCGGTGGGACGGGTGGTGCAGATTGGGGACGCGGCGCACTCGTTCCTACCGGCGTCGGGCAACGGCGCCACGCAGGCGATTGAGGACGCCGTGTCGCTGGCGAGCTGCCTGCAGCTTGGAGGCGACCGTGAGAAGGTGCCCGAGGCGGTACGCGCGCATGTGCGCCTCCGGTTTGTCCGCACCGCCTGCGCCCAGAAGGTAGGCTTCGCCAACGCCGAGCTGCTCCAGGACACGGACTGGAGCAAGGTCAAGCTGGACCCGCGCCAGGCGCAGCCGAAGCTGCCGCGGTGGGTGTGGAGCCACGACCCGGAGGTGTACGCGTACGAGAACTACCACAAGGTGTTGGAGAGTATGCGCAATGGGGTTCCACTCGAGGAGGACGACAGCATCCCGCCAAATTATCCCCCAGGGTACAAGTATGAGGCGTGGAGCATCGAGCAGATCATGGACGACATGAGGAACGGGAGGCCCGTGGATCTCGGTGCGGGTGACTGGAGCTGAGAGTCGGTGGGATGGATGCTCTCTAGTCGGGCCCTCTCATCGCGATAGGACGGGTATAGGTATGGAGATGGGAATTGAGGATGATGCCCAGTTCTTTTACCTTGATCTCCCGATGCACAAACGGCGGCTCCAGTGGCCTGCCTGGAGTGCGCGAGGATCATGTTTATCCTAAAAACATTCCTGGAATCGAAGCCCTATGATTGATCTTTCACTGAGAGGCTAAGTGTGGCAGTAGCATTGTTTGTCTAAGATATAGCGAAGGCAACGATGCCAACCTATTCGCCTTTCTGGGATGGGATGGGATGGGATGGGAGGGGATGCCATGTCAGAAGAGAGGGAGTTGTGATGGACAAAGTACCGTAACCCCGGGCTGTAAAGGACGGAGGGAAAGACATGGGAACTGCAGCTGGTTGGCCATACCCCTTTGGCTGGTGTTGAGCTGCGCCAACTGACTCTCGACGTTGTCATTGGCGGGCTCTAACCTCGTCAGGTGTTGTTGTGTCACTGTTGAGGCGGTGTGACACCCCTGTCAGGCACAATACAATGTCTCACCTGTGAGTGAGGATTGGGGTCCGTCCAGCTTCCTAGCGAGGTGCTGACTCAGTCGCAAGGCAGACCCTGGAGACGATCAGCATTGTGGCTGAATTCTAGAAGTCGCCTTCCAGTTGTCAGTCTTGCGCAGTTTGAGGTGGTCAAGAGAAGAGCGATAGGAAAGATGGAAGGATCAACTACTTCTAGAACGACGGACGGCAGATACAGAGGAGGCAACTTGCTCGCAGTTAGTGATTGCAGGCGGCTGATTCGATGCTTTCCAGTCGGTCCAGGCTCGCTGCTTCCAGCATTATGGCGCCAGACGCCTGATTTGGGGCTGACATGACATCAACCGCAGCCCGTCGATCCTTGAGGTAGCATTGAGCCGGGGGCTCGCTTCGCCTTGGTATTCGTATGGAAGTACTCCGTACCCCGTACTCCGTAATCTGTACTGCGAATGGATTCCGTCCCAGTCTCTCTGTTTCCTGCCATCTCCTCAAGTTGCCTGTCGTGCGTTCATTCAAACATCTATTGCGAACCCCTTAGCAGGACGGATCAACACGATTAATTAATTTATTTGTTTCCTGTTGTTTCACCAGACTGCCGACCCTTAATTGCGAGAACTGACGAGCTTGGCCTGTGCTTCTTGTCGTTGCTCCATCCCAGCCACCACGAGAATACCTCTAGGCTACCTACCTACCCACCTGGGCCTCTGGGACGACTGGCAAAGGCGTCACACTGCCGGCCTCGCACCCTCCGCCGAGAAAAAAAAGACCAAGAGCAATGCTGGAGAACTCTTCTGTACCACGACGATAACTAATATCCAACGGTTCGACTTTGTTCAATTGTTGTTGGGGGGGGGGCTTTAAAATGCCCGTACCATTTCGAATCCCCATCCCCGTCCTCCATCTTGAATCCGCCTCAGATCGCTGGCAGGCGAGGGACAAGAGGAGAAGAGCTGGAGATAATAAGCCGCCTCTTACAAACGTTGTATGCCTAATCGCCGGACACTCTCTCGTACCACATCAACTTTCCATATCATGAATAGGATCCTGACCATTGTGTGCACAGATCGTCGTCGCTGTCATTGCCGGCCTCATTGGCCTTGCCGCTGCAGTTTTCCTAGTCCGCACCCTACGCAAGCGGAATCCGAACCCGAAATACATCCCCACCCCCTTCCTCAAGCGTCTATGGACTTCCTGGAAGGTCCCCGCCCGCCGCTCGGGTCCCCGCTACGAGCTGTCTCCCGACGATGATGCCGACTGGTCATACACCAGCCCGGGTCGCGCCCCCGGCTCCCAGGCCGCGGTTGGCGAGATACGGACGGCCCGGCCGATGGGAGCCGTCCGCAACAGCCGCGTAGCGTCGGCCTCGGCAGCGGCGGCAGCGGCAGCCGGTGACAGTGGCGTCGACCGGAACACCAGCGTCCGCAGCGTGCTGACGCTGCCGGCCTACCGGATCCAGCCGACCGACACGGAGCAGGTGCTGGGCCGGGAGGGCGAGCGCGACGGCATCGACGTGGTGGTGGAGCTGCCGACGGCCGAGGCCGACGAGGCCATGCGCGAGGAGGAGATGGACGCGCTGTACCAGATCAGGATGACCCGACGGCGGCAGGTGGCCGAGCGCGAGGAGCGGCGGCGGAGGCGGCGGGAGGCGCGGGACCGGAACGACCGCGTCGCGCTGCAGGAGCTTGCGCCGCCGGCCCCCGGCGCGAACACGGCCGAGGTGGAGGAGCTGAGGAGGGAGCACGAGCGCATCAAGGCGACGCGGCAGCGCGCCGTCAGCAGTGTCAGCTACCACGACGTGGGCATCGCGAGGCACGACGGCACCAGGATAAGGGCGAACAGCACCGAGAGCGAGCGGGTGGGCCTGCTGAGCGACGCCGCGAGCATCGCCGCGTCGGCCAACGGCACCACCACCACTTCAACTAATACAACCGCCACCGGCCCGAGCAGCCTGTTGCACCGCCGGGACTATAGCAGGAGCTCCGCGCTGAGCATCGACACCGCCCACAGCTTCGGCGGCGAGCCGCCCGGCTCGCCCGGCCTGGCCACCGCCGGCAGCCACTACAGCCTCCACAGCCAGGCTCGGTCGCGCGCGAACTCGGGGCCCAACACGCCGCGCCTGTCGGGCATCACCACGCGCCGCGGCTCCATCATCCCCGACAGGGCGGGCGCCGAGGAGGCGGACCTCGGGGACGCGGACATGCCGCCGCACTCGCCGCCGGGGTACGACGACGTGAGCCTCGACGACGGCGCCAGCGCCAATAATAACAACAACAGCAATAATAATAACAACGGTAATGGCAACGGCAGCAGCGGCAGCACCATCGCTCTCACGCCGGTGAACTCCGGGGGTTCCGGCGCCAACAGCCCCTACAACGAGCCGCCGCCCGACTACCCCGGGTGGCCGACGCGGACGCGGAATAACAGGCTGTCGGCGCACATGGCGGACCTGGCGGCCGGGGTGGAGGAGCAGGAGCAGGAGCGGGAGCGGGAGCAGCGCGGGGAGAGGCGCGGGTCGAGGGGCGTGGGCGGCATCCCACAGCTGCCCAGCCTGAGGCTGAGTCGGCTGCCGCAGATCGTTATCGAGCCGTCCAGTGCGAGGCCTGGGGATGACTAGGAGGGAGGTGGTGGCGGTTATGGGAATTGTTCCCCTCTCCCCCTCTCCAGGGCGACATTTGGATATCAGAGCGAGGGCATGCATCATATGGGCCTTAGGTAATGGGGAGTCCTGCCTGGCTTGGTCGGCTGGCTGGCAGTTGAGAGGGAATTTCTATTTGTGGTCTATTGTCATGGCAAGCAATCTTTGGGATTATTTACGAAGGGATCATACAGTAACGATGGATGACTATCATGCCGGACAGCGGAAAGGCGTGCTTGTGCTGTCCATGGGTCTTACATCGTTCCAGCGTCTTCTGACAGAAATACCTTTTCTGTTTTTTTGCTTATTTTGTCGGGTTTCAGAGCACGCCTGAGGTTATCTACACTTGTACTGTATAACTAGGTGCCGATGTCTAGGGAGTAGGGGTCTGGACGGGGCGCTTCTAGGTAATAAAGTCGCAGGGGGCCTGAAGGGCTCAGCAGACAAGCCAGACAAGAGTTGGTAGAACTCGGGCTCTTCAAGTTGATATTGCATTTGAATATCTATGCTCTATCCTTATGTGCTGTTCTTCCAACACTACAAACAGCTGGAAGGCATCGCCGGCAGGGGGGTGGTTGCGCTTGCTAATCACAAAACTTACCTCGGCTCGGCTTATGATTACATCGATCTGTCATTGATAAATGGAGAAATGACGACATGGCCCCCGAGTTTGCTTACAATTATGATTGAAGCCGTTCTCTTGCGTGCTCGCTCTTCGGCCTTTGACTTCGGTCTTTGCCTTTTTCGTTTTCAACCAACTCGATCAGCTTCGTATCCAGGAACGAACCGCGGCGGCAAATTCTTCCCAGCATATACGTAGATGCCGCCCACCAAAACTGGGGGCTAACGAGCTAAGCTTATTTAGATTGCAAGAGGGCCGTTCGCGTTGAAAAGTAAGAGGCGGGGTCATCAATTCCCCGTCATCCATGCTCCCCCCGTACAGAACCACCATCTGGTTGGTCACCAGAAGGGCGGTAAAGAGGGTGGAGGCCAGTGAGAGAAGCGGCATGTAGCCTCATCGGCCAAGGGCGTACATACGCAGTACGGCTTAGCATTTTCGTGCTATTCCCGAATGGCCACTGTCTCGGCCAGGGGGTGGGGGGGTTTATTGATGGGTTTGATTTCAAATCTCCATCGATTGACTCTTCTACTTCAGACTGTCTCTTCCTCACCGTTCTAGGGGCTTACTACTGTCCCTGACGGGCGCTTTCTCCACGCCACGCACTTGACCTTGAGTCAGAATAGGGGGGAAAGCAAGAATTGAGGAATACATGCCGAGCCGCTTCGGAGCGTGGCCTTCCCAACTGCTATAAATCGGGAGTGCTCCACTCTTGGAACGTATCTCGACGGCCTCCTCTCTGGCATTGAGATTGAGCTATTCCCCAAAGGTGTGAGACAGTGAAACCCATCAACGAGCGACAATGGAGAAAGAACTTGGGGTAGAGAAAGAGCTTGGAGCATCTTACTCAGACTCAGACCGGCAGGAAGAAATCCGGCAAGGAGAAAAATCCTTCGAAGCCGTGGCCTTGGCTCCCGATGCCCCGCCAGCAGCCACCTCGGACGAAACCGAAGAGCCGACGCCGGCGCCGGCGGCCAATGGCGGAATACCGGACGGTGGGACCCAAGCCTGGCTCCAAGTTCTTGGCAGCTGGGTGATCCTAGTCAACACCTGGGGTCTTGTCAACAGCTTCGGCGTCTTCCAGACCTACTACGAGACGGATCTGCTGAAGGCCAGCTCGTCGTCCAACATCTCGTGGATCGGATCCGTGCAGGCGTCGCTGCTGATGCTCGTGGGCGTCGTGTCGGGCCCGCTGTACGACGCCGGCTACTTCCGGCACCTGATCGTGGCGGGCCTGGTGCTGATCGTGTTCGGCCAGTTCATGACATCGCTGTGCACGCAGTACTGGCAGGTACTGCTGGCGCAGGGGTTCTGCATGGGAATTGGCATGGGCCTCACCTTCCTGCCCAGCGCGGCGATCCTGAGCCAGTACTTCTCGCGGCGGCGGGCCCTCGTCCTGGGCATCAGCTCGAGCGGCAGCCCGCTGGCGGGCATCGTCCTCCCCATCATCTTCAGCCGGCTCGAGCCCGTCGTCGGCTTCGGCTGGGCCACGCGCGTCATCAGCTTTGTCCTGCTGGCCATCAGCGCCGTGCCCGTGGTCTTTATGCGCACGCGCGTGCCGCCGTCGGCGCGGGGTGCGAGGGCGCTGGTCGACTGGACGGCGCTGCGCGACGCGCCGTTCGTCGTCTTCGTGGCGGGCAACGTCTTCGCCTTCCTGGTGCTGTACGTGCCCTTCTTCTACACGCAGCTGTTCGCTGTCGACCACGCCATCGCCGACCCGGGCTGGGCCCCCTACCTGGTCACGCTGCTCAACGCCGGCAGCGTGGTGGGCCGCATCGTCCCAAACGCGCTTGCCGACCGCCTCGGCAGCCTCAACATCATGGCCTCTTGCACGGCCGCCAGCGCGGTGCTGGCGTTCGCGTGGCTGGGCATCCACAACCTGGGCGGGCTCATCGCCTTCGCGCTGCTCTACGGCGCCTTCTCCGGCGGCGTCGTCAGCCTTACCCCGAGCGTCGTCGTCGCGCTGTCGCCGGACATGGGCCGCGTCGGCGCGCGCATGGGCATGAGCTTCCTGGCCACGGGTATCTCGATCCTCATCGGTACGCCCATCGCAGGGGCCATCCTCGGCGACTTCTCCGAGTCGCGGTGGTTGGGCACCATCGGCTATGGCGCCGCTGGCCTCCTGCTGGCCGCGCTGCTGCATGTGGCTGCGAGGTTCGTGTTGTATAGGAAGAACGGGGTGTTAAGAGCGTGAGAGGCCATGCTTAATGTTTCAAGACGGCAACAAACAGCCTTTCCTTGTTTGCATCGCGCGGAGTACCATATTTGCATTTGCGGCTTGGGACTGGCATTCGGCTGGATATACATCATGTTATAGACATATCGGACCGGATAGCCTGGTGAAGATCAGAGTTGGGGATGGATAACTCTCATATGTAGTACTTAATAGGTTTCTAATTGCCACCCTGCTTTCAGACGTGCCTGGAACTTCAACCTCTGCTCTCTTATAGTCGTGGAAACGCTCGCATCATGCCAACTCGACGCTAGAGAATGATAATGAAGGTGGCTTGTCAGAGAGATTAGGCCGAGACATCAAGGGACGTGAATGAGGGAGATAGGGAGGAGAAGGAGAGATGAGAGATAATTAATATCCACGTCCAGAAGATGGACCACTGTGTCAAAGTAGAAGCTCCGAGTCCACGCCTTGACCAGATAGTTTGGCTGATGCCTGGATTCGTCCCTGCCTACATGAAGGTACCTACATTAGACCAAGCCGCTACGGGTACCCAATGAGGATCACGGCACTTATGCCTGATCTCTGTGGGTCTCCTGGCCAGTTCGGGTCAGTCAGGCGGGGTAGGTGGATTTGAAATTCACATTTTTCGTCTGACACATTGCCATTGATGCGCATCATTGAGGCTGAAGATGGTCACGATTGAAGGTGAAGATTTTCTGCTTATCATTCTGTTAATAATTGAGCGTTGGGGCGAGAGATCAACAGCGAGCCTTACGAGATTCAAATGTCAGCCCTTATTAAGTCCAAGCGGGGCCAAGAGGGGCCAAGAAGGGCCGTCATTCGGAGCTAATCCTAATGAAGTACGAGCTACGAAGTAGTGGCGGCATAATTATGTATACATACTTACTAGTCAGCTAATGGCGGGGCAATTGCATCATCTCAGAGGTTCAAGCGGTCCTCAGCAAAAGGTGCCCAGATGGGAATTCTACCGAGACGGGATCCCTACCGCGCCTTCCGGACAGCAGAACACCTAGAAAGCAGGTCTAGGTTAAAAGAGAAGTAAGTACCGTGCCGTGCTTGCCTAACCACAAGCTCCCGCCTGGGCCCAGACCATCGCAGCCCCAAAGAAAGCTTCATCCCTGCCACTGTCACATCGAATGCCCGTCCTGGTGGCGCGATTACATGATGATATCATAATAGGTTGATAAGGTAGATACCCAGAAGCTTAATTGTGCTGATTAAGTACGTACCTACCTAGGTTAGGTGCGCTGGTACCTCCCTCCAAATAGAGACAAGAGACAGACAAGAGCTGCCCCAGTTCCTGGCCAGGGAAACTCGCGCTCGACCGGAACAGGTATATAGACCCAGATAACTCCCGGATTCCGGATTCCCCTGCGATCTACCTTTACCTGGCCAACACCCTTTGGAGCAACTACCACTTAATCGTTTCCCGCATCTCGAAAATCAGAAAAAAATCATCCAAGATGGCACCCAAGATCGCAATCGTTTTCGTAAGTGCCCTTCCCTCGGCCATGGCCTAGGTTCGTGACGAGACAAGGTCTGGATACGGACAGCACAGTCTGAGTTGCACGACGGCTGCGTACAGCAGTCGAATCCTCACTTGTCTCGACGGTAAGGGTTCCTCGCTAACAGGTATTTGGCGACAGTACTCGATGTACGGCCACATCAGGCAATTGGCCGAGGCCGAGAAGAAGGGCATTGAGCAGGCCGGTGGCACTGCCGATCTGTACCAGTGAGTAGCTCCAACCGGGACTGCAAGACCTCACCCAGACCAGGACAGGTCATGACAATTGGGCGGTCTATTAACGATGCACTAGGCTCGCCGAGACTCTCTCCGAGGACGTGCTCGGCAAGATGCACGCCCCCGCCAAGCCGACCGACATCCCCATCCTTGAGGACCCCGCTGTCCTGGAGAACTACGACGGCTTCCTCATGGGCATTCCGACTAGGTACGGGAACTTCCCAGCGCAGTGGAAGGTGTTCTGGGACAGAACGGGCAAGCAGTGGAGCACCGGCGGGTTCTTTGGCAAGTACGCCGGGCTGTTCATCTCGACGGGCTCGCTCGGTGGCGGGCAGGAGTCGACAGCCATCGCAGCCATGTCGACGCTCGCGCATCACGGCATAATCTACGTGCCACTGGGCTACGCAAAGACTTTCCCCCTGATGGCGGACCTGAGCGAGGTGCACGGAGGCGGGCCGTGGGGCGCGGGCACTTTTGCTGGTACCGACGGCAGCCGCCAACCCAGTGCTCGGGAGATTGAGATTGCCCAGACGCAGGGCGGGCTCTTCTACCAGGCGGTCGCCAGGGCCACCGGTGCGTGACTTCATGATCGTGATAGGAAGGGTAAGGCCGGCGATGGTGCTAACGGGACGGAAGGCGGGAGCCGCGGAGCTAAAGCGCCGACTCTGGCCACGCAGAACGGAGGCCAAAGTAGTAATGCTGCACTACCAGCGGCAGCGAAGAAGGAACAGCCGGCATCGTCGCAGCCACAGACAAACACTCGGGCAGAAGAGTCTAAAGAGGGGCCTTGTGGGCTGCCGGGGAAGTGTGCTATCCTTTAATCCGTAAATTCAATTGATTGCATGAATTACTCGAGTATGAACCTTGCCAGAAGCGCTTCCCAGTGTCCATCTATGAAAAGCCATCATCTGGGTCCGTGCACGCCTGGGGGGTCACTCCAGCCGGCTCCACTCTCACTCCCCTCCTGTCGGATCATAACCAGACTGACTGCACGTGGAAGGCTGACAGGCCAGACCTGGAGGTATGCTCCGGATTGACCCCCTTCTCTGGCCCAATCTCCAAGCTTGCTCAGGTACCAATGGTTGTCTGGTTGTAGGGCGGCTGGATATGCATGAAGGGTGCCCTAGCAGTCGAAATACGAGATATGGGCGCCGCCATGCCGTTTACAAACGTGCGCTGACCCCCTCCTCATATTTTACTAAAAAGACGCCACACTGAAATGCCTGTCCATCCATCCCTATTTCTCCCTGCTATGCAATTCTTCGACTGCCTCCCTGGGTTCCCCAGCCACGGCCTCCCTTGTCTCATAGCTTGCCGTCCAGTGCCAGCCAGGGGGGAGTGAGGGTGTACGGATAGCCCGTATGCTTCGCAAGGAATGTCTACCAGCCATTGGTATTGGCTGGCATGCGTCTCCCTACCTACTATTAACACGGATGTCATTTTAGCTTGTCAACTGGATTGAAGGCTGCCTTCAAGCGTCCCCTGCCTCCACTCCACGGCGATCCAGCCCAGTCCAGGGCGGCGCCAAAGAAGGGATATGGATTACCGGTACGGATTATAACGATGGGGTTTAGCACTTCGGACCAAAAGGTGACAGGCATTCCCCACGAGAAACATGCATCTCTCAGCCCCCCAGGGAGGTTGACGCGCTCCTTCGGTGGCGCCTCCCTAGCGTTATCCTCTCCCATCTTTCTTCTTCATGTCATTATGTCCATGTCCCCCCATCCTGCCGCGTTTCCTTTCTCTTTCACAAACCACCTGTTTCAACTCTCGTTCAAACTTTCAGCATGGCGGTCATGAATCCTTCGCTCGTCTTTAGCAACCCCAAGCGGGTGACGCACATGCTCTGGCTCGCTGCCGCCGTCATGTTCGTCCTCGCCGTCTTCCACTCCACCCACATCGGCTCCGCCTCCAAGGACTGGGTGGCGACCAAGGTGCAGGGGATAAAACGGCCGTCGGGCCGGTCGTCGTTGGAGGAGTACATGAGTGTCGCCGAGGCGTCGTGGGCTAAGACGGTCAAGCAGCGGCATGACCTGATCAGCCAGGACTGGGGCACGGCCGACAAGATGCCCATGTAAGTGTCATCAAGCGCACCGCCCCCTCCCCCACTCCCGCGCCGCGCCATACTGACACGCCCGCGCCCCCCACTCCAGATACGCGGCCAAGACCGGGCCAACCTACCACGCGACTCCGTACACGGTGTGGGACTTCACGCCGGCCTCGTACGGCTGCCCGCACGAGATGGAGCGGGTGGGGCGGATGGGCGACGGGGGCAAGTGGGTGTGCGGCCTGTCGCGGATCATCGAGTCGTCGCACTCCCGGCCGTGCGTCATCTACAGCTTCGGCGTGCGCGACGAGTCGTCCTTCGAGAACGAGATGCTGTCGCGCACGGCTTGCCAGGTCTGGGCGTACGACTTCTCCGTCGTCGACTTTGGCGTCCAGCTCGAGCCGTCGAACCGCGACCGCGCCCGCTTCATGCAGGCCGGCATCAGCGGCAAGACGGACACGACCAAGGAGCCGCCCTTCTACAGCATCGCCGACCTGATGAAGATGAATGGGCATGATTACATGTGAGCCCGGGCCCGCCCTCCCCATCGCCCCTTACCTTCCTCCTCCCTGGGCTGACAAGATGGTTGCCACCTGAAACAGTGATGTCCTGAAGATGGACATCGAGTTCGCCGAGTTCGAATCTATGGACGCCCTCACCCGTGACTTCCCCGCTGAGGCGGGCATGGAACTGCCGGTCGGGCAGCTCCTCGTCGAGATCCACCTGTTCGCTGGGAGGCAGACTGCCAAGGGCTATCTTGATTGGTAAGTACAACCCAGACCATTCCCATGTGTCTCTTGTTTGGCGGTCCAAGAGCCGAGGAGCTGACCAAGTGCGAAATCAACTAGGTGGGAGAATCTCGAGTCGCGCGGATTGCGACCAGCTTGGACGGAGCCCAACTTGCTCGCCGTGACGATGAACGTCAATGGGGATAAGGACCCCAACATGGCCGAGTACACGCTTATCAATGTGCAAGACCGAAGGAATATCATCCTCGACGGAGCCAGGGGGTGATTTGCTTTGTGTTCTTATTCTTGTTTTCTCTCTCTCTTTGTGGATCAGGCGTGCATCTTTGTCCTCTCTGTACGAATACATAACTGTCTGGAAATAGAGATACATCACCGTTTGGCTGGTCAAACACCCTCTGCACGGTCGGTTTGTGAATCGCATTTACTGCAGCATTCCGTGTGGATTTAGAGTCATTTTGCTCCGCGGTCGCCGGATTGCCGCCATCACGAACTCCAGGAAACGCGCTCCTTATCCTCCTCGCATTCCTCCGCGTCGCCGTCTCTCGCTCCCCCTTGCGTGACCGCGTGTGATCTCACTTCGCACCCCTCCCTCAGTCAAGGGGTAAACAGAAAAGAAAAGGAATTCTGGAAGAAATTTGTATCATGCCAACTTTTTCTCCCTGCAGATACCTTGAAAACACCTCCTGGTTCCCACCCAGTTAGACCCGGAGCGGACGGAAAGGTTGCAACGGTAGAGGTAGGAAACACACCGGCATATCCCAACCCCCTTAGGAAGACAATGCTGTCATAACCAATGGATGACTTTCAGGTGGAAAGCATCGATAACGACTGATCTGCGTATACTTCGGAATGGAATAAATAGCACAAAGATAGGATGATGGAGGCCCAATCACTACACTACCTCTTGGGGCGTGAGAGTACAAATATCCTACCTATGCTATACCCCGACAGATCAGCCAGACAGTCACAAGAATTGGCTGAACGTGAACCCGGAGGGCCACTCCGGAGCCGTACTTGGGGCCGAGAGCTTCCCCATGCCCCAGCTAAGTTCCGATTGAAGCGTCTAGGAACGCCTGACTGAGCTCGGTCTCCATTTCGCAGGCTTCTAAAGTGCTGCAACCTTCCATAGGGGCCTGGAGGGCATTGCGGACGCACATAGTAGAGTGTCATCGCCCCCGTTCCAAGGTCCTAATGCCTCATCATTCCCGCCTACGGGTGGGCGGAGAAAACGACCCGCCAGTCTGCTAACCATATATACATAGGAACGCACATTTGGAAGAGCTCTATACCGTAAATCTGTGTGTGCCTGCTGATGTTTTGGAGACTCCGTACTTCCCATCCTCGGCTTGAGGACGATTCGACCTGTGCAACAGTCAGTAAAAGTTTTTTTTTGGCTGCGCAGCCCGAGACAAGGTGACGTACAATACAGACTTTGGTCTTATCATTTGGATCCCTGTCGCAGGCCGCGCAACGACAATGATTTCCGCGCAAGGAAAGCCTGCGCCCACAATCCACGGGCCCTGACCCTCCTGCCACGCCCCAATCGCGAACTCGGCTGTACAAGCAATAGTTGAATGGCTGAGGCATGCAGGACTAACCATGATAGCCGTGTCTGTCCGATGCCGGATTGGGGAAACTTCCCGCAGCGGACGGGTCTGGAGACGATAAAACCACTCTTTCCCCTCACCACAGCAGCGCCTCCCGGGACTGAGCCGGCGCCCTGATCTCCGTCTTCTTCGGCGGCGGCTGCTCGGCGTGGTCCCTCGCCGCAGCCTCATCCTCGGCCAGGACCGACAGGTCGACGCCCCACCTCTTGACCTCGGCCTGGACCAGGGCCTCCCACCGCCTCAGCAACGGGTGAGCCGCAGCGACATCCGCGAAAACGACCTCGTCGTCGCCGGCCGCCCCCTCGTCGCCACCCTCCTCCTGCCGCTGCCGCTGCCCATCGCCACCACCGCCGCCGGCGACCTCGTACTTCCACGTCCCATCCGCCTCCCAGTACTCGCTCCCAAAAACGGACCCAACGCCAAGCTCCTCGCGCGCCCTCCCCAAAAGGCGCACCACCGACCCCCCCGCAGCACCGTCCTCCTCAGCTCCCGGACTCACCCCCGACTCGGCAGTAGCAGCGGCGGCGGCGGCGGCGGACGCGATCCCCTCAAGCAGGCCCAGCAGCCTCCCCGCGCGGGCGCCGACCGCGGCGCCGAGCCCGAACCCTTCGTCGAAGCCGGCCTGGGCGGAGCGCGCCTTGGCGGCCGCGACGCCGTCGCGGTAGCCGGCCGTCGCGTGCTCGCGGCGCAGGCGGGGGATGTCGGAGGGGTGCTGGTGGTCTGCTGCTGCTGCTGCTGCTGCTGCTGTCCCTGGTGGTGCTGCCGGTGCCGCCGTTCCTTCCGCTGCCGTGGTGGGGGTGGTGATGGTGGGGGAGGCGGCCCAGACGTCGTCGGTTTGGTGGTTTGGTGGTGGTGGTGGTGGTGAAGGGGGGGAGTTGGAACCGGTCATGGTGCTGAATATGTCCTCGTTGGAGGTCGAAATGGGTTTTAGGAGCATTGCCTTGTGGAGGGGGTTGAGGGCAGGTGAAGAGATTGGAATTTAAGTGGGAATCCCTGGTATTATGGCGATGCGGTTTGACGAGGTTGGCGTGTTGGGTTTGTGAGTGTCTTGATGAAAAATTGTCCACAGCATCACAAATTTCACTTTTCTAACACAAACACCGAGTTCGGGGCATCAACCTGATGGATGGCCGATGAAAATCCCCAGTCGTTGCTGACTGGCGAGTTGTCATGATGAGGGAGCCACACCGGCGCTAAATGCCCTATATTACAGTGGGGACCAGCTCCAGCCTAGCTGCGGCGCATCATGATGTGTGTGTGGCAGTTGGGTGTTTCCTCCTCATTAGAACTGTCCAGTGTCTAATTAACCAGGAATGCAATCAATATTTCATGCTGTTCCCTCTGCATTGTAAAATCGCCGTATTCTTCAACATGTGCTATATTTCTCACACCGGGACTTGACACCCTATCCTTACAATCTGTCAACCACCACTTCTTGCTGCTCCCTTAGAGAGAAAAAGGGGTAAGATAAGGAAAACGAGTAATCGAAGGAATTTGTGGCGCCTATATTCAGGAGGTGAAGGCCTGCATCTCATCAGAACTATAATGCTTGTCAGCTGCAGACCTGAGATATTCCGTGCTGGCCAGGCACATTTGCAACACTTCAACGAGGTCAAAGAATGACTATTGCACCAACTCAAAGGATATAGTTCTGCTCTCTGTTCCCACAGGATCAATGTCAGTGCTCAAAGGAAGTGTTCTTTCATAATCCGTGGGAAGACAAAGGCGTTGTACAAGAGGTCATTATCTTTAGAACAGTCTGGGGGACCGTCTGAAGCCTATAAAACGGCCATGAGCCCCTGTCCCTTACAAAATCCTAAATATCTCAAACCAAGACATCTTCAGAATGCCGATTTCAAATCCCGAAGCCCCCTATCTCTAGCCCCTTTTGACCTCATAGAAGAGATACATATATCCACCTCACCCGACACCACGAAGCAAAGATGTGCCGCGTTCGCATCCTCCATTTCTCGATGCACGACGTCCGCCCGCTCATGACGACGGACCCCTTCGGCACAATTGAGCGTGCCCCCTTTCACCCGGGCGACTACGTCGACCCGGAGACCGTGACGCCCTGCCGATGCGGCATCCTCCTCGTCATCCCCGCCCCGCGGCCGAGCTCGCTGCCCATCCCGGGCCGCCCGGCGCCCCCCGCCCAGGGCTTCGACACCTGCCCGTACCACGACTGCTGCGCCACGTGGTCGAACGTCGTCCTGTGCCGCTGGGCCTATGACTGGGTCGCGGCGGGGAACCCAAACGTGAACCCGCAGCAGCGGTGCCGGAACCTGTTCGTCACAAACGAGTACCACCCCGTCCAGCGCGCCATGGGGCCGCACCCCGAGACGGGCGAGCGCGCCGCGCCCGCCTGGAACGACGGCGTCGGCTCCCCGCCCACGTTCCCCGTCGAAATGTTCTACTCGCACCGCCCGCCGCCGGACGCCAGCGACGACGAGGTGGAGGAGAACGCCGCCGTCCGCGAGGACTTCTTCCTCATCTGCCGGCGGATCTGGGAGATCAAGAAGGGCGTCGTCGACCGCCTGGCCGTTGCCGAGGACAATCTGGGGATGGCGATGTGGTTGCGAGTGCGCGATGGGGATCAGGAGGAGGGGGAGGAGGAGGTGGTGGTGGTGGAGGAGGAGAACTACGACGACGATGGTGACCAGAGCAGGAAGACCAGGCCAGAGCGGCTTGCCGAGGGGCTCGTGATGGCGCAGGAGGCGCTGCGCCACCTCGCGCCCGTGTTCCGGCAGCTCGAAATCATGTCGAAGTTCCTCGCCGGGTCGGCGGGCTGCCAGCTTTACGTGCTGACGTTCCTGGGCAAAGTCCCGGGGCCCGGCGCTTCCGCTGTGTCGGCGGACAGGTCGTACAGCGTGTCGCGCGAGAGGCTGGAGCTCGACAACAGCAATGACGCGATCGTCGCTGCGGCCCGCGGCAGTGCGCACTGGCGGCTGGCGCAGGAGCTGTGGGATCGGGCCATCGGCATGCGGGTGGCGCTGGAGGCCGCACTGGAGGAGGAGGCGGCGGCGGCGGCGGCGGATGCTGGGAAGAAGCGCAAGCGGGGGCTGTGGGGTGATGTGGTTGCCCAGGCGTACGAAACAGCGAAGAAGAGAAGTATGAGGAGGAAGTCGAGGGCATCGGGCCTTGCTGTGCATCCACAGGACAGCCCCGCAGGTGAGTAACACAATGTTGATGTCCCCTTGAAGTGCACCATAGTATAGTACCTAGGCAAGTTGCCAAGCTTGTCTTGGCAGGTTTACTGACGACTTTCACAAACCTAGATCGCCCTCTCTGTTTCCTACTATGCATTCCCTTCGTGCTCCGATCACGGTGAATGGTGGTGGTGAGAGCAGAGGCTCTGTTCAATGAAACCCGTCTTTAGAATACCAGTCATTTGCGGCCCGAGTCGGATAAAGCGTGGATATGATCCTGCGTGCAGTTCCTGGGTAGCCAATCGCCAACGCATTGGCCGGATACCCAACTCGCTGCTGCTGCCCACGAGCGGTCCGACGTGGGAGGTGGCACGTTGATGTGGTTGATCTGTGCTGCACTGGAGCAGTCCAGCCCCGAATTTGGAGCGGAATGACCTCCACCTCCATAAAGCAGTCCGAAGCGATTGGAAGGCGGAAAAATTAAAGCTAGAATTAATGACCGTCTCGCGTCATGTCGGGTGGTTAAAGGCGCAAAAACTCTTGGCTAGGTAGAGTTGGAGTAACGGCTCGGAGAACGGGATTCTGGGAACCATGTAAATAGTAATCCGTCCCAGTCTCCGTGTAGGGGAATCTCGCCCCGGCATAGGCAGTTACCACCACCCAAGTAGAGGCAGACGGAGCCAAAAGGGAAACCATGCTGAAGGCTGCGGAAATCGCCACGCTCCTGGCGGTCGTTGTGCCGGGCGCATTAGGTGTGACATTCGGCGTCCCTAGCAAGGTCGGAACTGGAGGATACGCATACGCGCCGTTGGACAAGGCGCCGATTGGCATCTCGTTCGAGTTCTTCACCTTCCCCTCGTATTTCACCAATGTCACGGCAACCAACCAGTGCCTCTCCAACTGGAAAGACCTGACCGGAGTCTGGCCCCCCATTCGCATCGGCGGGACGACCCAGGACCGCGCGAGGTACGACCCTTCGACCTCGGCCTATGTCGTCTACAACGTCGCAAGCGCGGGCGACGCGCCCCAAACGTTGACCTTTGGGCCCAAATTCATGACCCTGGCGAGCACATACGGGGGGAGTGTCGTTCTCGGGCTGAACCGGGGGAAGAACGATATCGCGAACACGATCGACGCTGCAAAGGTGGCCGTCTTGGAGATGAGCAATCTGCTTGCAATTGAGTTGGGTAACGAGCCAGAATGTAGGTTAAAGGCTCTTTGCTTGACTCGCAGTTCCCCCCTTTGCCCCCTGGCTGACTGTTTTCCACCTAGATTGGAAGTCGAACGGCCAACCAATTGCTGCCGGCACATGGGATCCCGCCACAGACGCGGCCTCGCAAAATAACTGGGACATATCGGTAGGGCGTGCGGTCGACAGGAAGAATATTATCCAAGCAGGGAACTCAAACGACTCTCCGCCGAAATGGGGTGCCGCCGAGTTGATTGCATCGGGGAATGCGACTGTGAGGGAGTACGTCGGCATATATGCTCACCACAATTACCCCGGAGGCAACGTCCAGTCATTGATGACCCACTCCAACACCGTGAAGAACATCCACTCGTTTGACGCGGATATCGCTGCGGCTCTGGCCGCCGGCAAGCCGTACGTGTTTGGGGAAACAAACTCAGGTAGGTAGGAGTCGTCCTGTGGTAACGACAGCTGAGGTGTCTTCGACCTCCATCGGCCCCCTGACTGACCCGCTTCCACCTCTAGTCTCGGGTGGCGGAGCAGCCGGCGTCTCTCCGACCTTCGGTGCCGGTCTCTGGACCATGGACTACTCCTTGCGAGCCACGTATAGCAACATATCGCGCACCTACTTCCACCACGGCACTCTGGGTAACTGTCAGTACTGCTTCTGGGGCCGTTACAGCATGGGAGCCCCTTACTACGGGGCGACGGCAGCAGTGGCCCTTCTCGCCGGTGCCAGCCACCTGACTGCCCTCGACGCCGGCAACACCAACTATGCGGCCTATGCCACCTTCGACGAGGCCGGCGCCCCGCTGCGCGTGCTCCTGTACAACTCGGATTACTACGCCGGAAGCGGCACGAGGTCCAGCACGTCGTTCACCCTGACTGGGCTGACATCCTCGGACGTCAAGGCGAAGCGACTGACGGCGGGGAGTGCGATGTCGAGGCAGGATCAGGGTGCCAATCCTTCCTTCGGCGGCCAGTTCTTCGACAACGGCACGTGTGTTGTCGGTGGGACGGAGACGTTCGAGACGGCGAGTGTATCGGGGGGTCAGGCGACGTTTACGCTGAAGGCAACCGAGGTCCTTCTTGTGTACCTGCAGTAAGGGTCAGTGGGAGTAAGAGCGAAGAGTGGCCTGTCTTATGAGACAGGGTGCTTTTCTGGAACCTAGGACACATTAATGTACATACATATATATTATTTGCACATTTAACCCGACATGGCTTTGGGTCTTGCCTCTGGTAAGATGGCGGCGACTCAGGAGCACCGATTCGTGATAGAAGGTGAAGCGTTTGGCAAAGGTCGCGAAACTCTTATCACCTTATCCAAGCATGCCGGCTCTGACAAGCTCTTCGCCGACCGCCCCTATGTGCTCCATCTTAGCGTCTTGCCTCTCCTTCAGGATCTCGCACTGCAGCGCAAGCGCCTGACATTCTTTTCCCGGGTTCTCTCGCAGTTTGGCCTCGACCGCCCGGGCGAGCTGGTCTACTCTCCCAGAGAGCATGCCGAGTAGATGCTTCATCAAAAAGGCCTGCACGAAGGCCGCGGAGGCCGGGGGAGGGGTGAAGGACCCTACGCGGAGCTCTGGGACCGCGAAGTCGGGCTCCCTCATGGTCGGAGATCCTTGGTGGACCTTGAAGCAAGAGAAGACGAGGAGGAGAAGGCGATCGAGCACGTCGATCAGGCGGGCATGGCATGAGATGAGAAGGTTGGCCAGCGAATGATCGATGGTCGACGGCGAGTTTCGCGACAGTACGAAGGCCTCGAGTGCGCTGAGGCTGGGAGGGGTATTAATGGAGTGGACGCAGTTATCGGTCTCGCACCGAGGCACTACCGAATCGAGCGCAAGCGAGAGCGGTATGGCTGCGGGATAAATATCTATCAGGCGCTGGGTGGCGCCGAAGAGGGTCTCTAGGGCTTTGTTCTGCGAATATCTCTCGGCGAAGGCCGCGGTGTGGTTATCCAGGTTTTCGTCAACGGGGAAGTGTAAGTCCGAGTTGGGAGGCAAAGTCACCCATACGGTATCCAGATCAAGCATGATTTTGGTGAGCTGCTGAGTACAATGCGATTTGGGATTCGGGGGAGTTGGTCCAGGGTCGCTTCCGCTTCTCTTTGTCTCCTCGGCTGGGCGACAGGACGGATCCGGCGTGGGGAAGGCGGTGGCACAACCCGGTCCCGTTTGTCCCGCAATATCGGCCAGCGCCATATATGCTGATGCATCCGTGAGCCCCAAAGCCGGCTGGAGAAAGGACCAGTCGAAAGCGGCACCAGGCTCACTGCCACAGATGCCACCACTCGATGGCATGTTGTTGCTGCTGTAACCCAACGGGAACGCGGGATTTCCATTTCCATCGTTGCGCGACGCCGCACCTCCCCCCGGCGGGCTGAAGATGCAGAGAGCTCCAGCTTTCATGCATCGTGTGCAGACTGTGCTGCCAATCTGCTTCGGACACTTGAGCTTCTGTGCATGGCAGCGATCACAGCTTTGCCGAGTGCGGATGGGGCCGGGCATCATGGCCCTGGAGACGGCGGAGAACGGGACAGCAAGAAGCACCCAAACGACAGCGACACAGATGGGGAGAGAGGTATACTGTGAACTAAGTTGGGCTGGTTCGATGTTGAATGTGGAGTAAAGCGACGCTTGGAACCTGCCTAAGATCTACGTGTCTAACAGCCGACAGAGGCGCAGTTGAGCTGGCGGGCCGCAAGCCGGCTGCCAGGGAACCGTTACTGCAGTTTGTTAGCGCTGGGAATTCTGATTGGGGTACCAATCCGAACTAAAACTTGGGCCTTGGCTGATGATGGAATGAATGTCCTTGGCCAAAAGCGCACTGTCGGATCCGTCCCGCATAAAGAATCCCGATCGTGACTCGTAACACCACCTCTCTCAGCCATAAACAACGCCACCATCTATGGACAACAAAGGGCGGGAACCACATATCAACAACACCCGCAATTTGTCCAGACACGCCCGGAATGGACAGTATTCATCCCGCTGCCAAATCCTGTTTGTAGGGCTGTGTGTTTTCCAGCCATGTCGGTCGTTCCCTATCATTCTCGCGAAGGTCGAGAAATCGTTCTGTACGTCATATCATGCCCTGCCACTGCTAATAAGCTAGCTTCCCCGCCAAGCCAAACAACCCCAGAGCCTCGGAAACTGTTCGAGGCAAGGATCTAACCCCGGGTGTTAACTGACAACTCGTTCGTCGCAGCCGCCATCACAATGCCATCGTCGTGCGCGACCCTCATTCCCAGCGGCTCGAAATCCGCGGCTTGACCGAATGCCCCACCTGTCACCAGCCGCTGCGCTCCTCCTCGCCCGAGAGACACTACGAGGGCCCCTCCCAGCATGAGACATACGTCAACCCGGATTACTTCCGCATGCTGCGGGCTGGGAGCGATCATACCCGAGCCGACCGCCCGCCCTCGAGCCCCATACGCCGGCTAGTTGAACCCGTGCCTGCCGAGGACGACGTCGAGGTCGTGCACGCTACCGAGTTTGTATCTAGCACGCCGGCTGTTCAAGAGGGGAGCCGCATACGGAGGGAGGCCTTCAGCCCCAATTACTTCAACACATTCTTCATTGAAGAGAGGGAGCTGGGCCGCGGCGGCAAGGGAGTCGTCCTGCTCGTCCGCCACGAGATCGACGGCTGCCACCTCGGCCATTTCGCCTGCAAGCGAGTCCCCGTCGGCGACGACCATGACTGGCTGGAGAAGGTGCTCACCGAGGTCGAGCTTCTGGCTCGGCTGTCGCACCCGAATCTGGTCTCGTACCGGCACGTGTGGCTGGAGGATGTCACGCTGAACCGCTTTGGGCCGAGCGTGGCTTGCGCCTTCATACTGCAGCAGTACTGCAACAGCGGTGACCTGCTCCACTACATCATCGGCGACCAGCCCAAGGAGACCACAAAGGAAGAGCTCAAGGCCCAGATAAGGCGACGGTCCAAGGGTCAGCAGTCGGAGCGGCCCCAGGGTCTGTCCTCCCCACAGCGTCGGCTGCCCATCGAGGAGATTTACTCGCTATTCAAGGACATCACTTCGGGGCTAACCTATCTCCACGCGGCAAACTACATCCACCGGGATCTGAAGCCGAGCAACTGTCTCCTGCACCGCGAAGGCAGGAGCCTGATATGCTTGATTAGCGACTTTGGCGAAGTCCAAGCGGAGAACGTGGCAAGGAAGTCGACGGGGTCCACGGGCACCGTTTCGTACTGCGCCCCGGAAGTGCTCAAGAAGGACGCCGCGGGCAGATATGGCAACTTCACGACCAAGTCGGACATCTTCTCGCTGGGCATGATCCTATACTTCATGTGCTTCGGCCGCCTCCCGTACAGGAGTGCGAACGCGGTGCAGGAGGAGTTGGAAGACATCGACGAGCTCCGCGCCGAGATCACCGGCTGGAAGGGTTTCCAGGATGAGAGGCGGGAACGACCCGACCTACCGTCTAAGGTTTACCAGTTACTGAAGAGGCTGCTAGCTCTGGATCCGCTCGAGAGACCCAGTGCTAGTGAGGTGTTGAGTGCCATGAAAAACGAGTCCAGTCTCGAGGGCTCTACGCGCGGACGAAGCTCCAGCCCGACCATCGGCCGCAGGATCCAAAGTCTAGACTCGCCCTTACATCCAGGCACCCCTGTCCCTGGTTCGTCTCTCCTCACATGACATGACATGGCGATTTACATACCTACTGACAGTTTCATCCCCTGCAGATCCCACGAAGCACGCGAGGGTGACATCTCTCGCCGACGAAGATCTTACCACCGTGCTGGATGAGCACAGTCTGCAGAAGCGGCCCAATCCCGCCCTCCCCCGCCGCCGCAGCCACGCCATGACACCATCCCTCCCCCATACCGCCTTCACCCGCCCCCGGCCCCAGAATTCGCACTCGCCCCCGCGCTCCCCGGGCCGCAATGGCACCACCAGCAGCAACGCCAATAACAACAGCAACAACCACCGCCACAGCCTCTCCCTCGGCGGGCCGATCCCCTCCCCCACCCACGACCCCTCAGCCCCGACCTCAGACGATGACATCCCCACCTCCGCCGTCGGCGCCGGCACGCCGCTACTAATGGCACCGCCCACGACGTTCCTGGGCGAGGTCCGCCACCGCGCCAGGGTGGCGCTGCACGTGGCGGCGGGCGGGCTCGCGGCGCTGCGGCGGGACGGCGGGGGCCGGCAGCAGCTCGCGTTCGCGGCCAGGCTGGCGGCGTTCCTCGCCAAGATGGCGGCGCTCGCGCGCGTGTGCTGGCCCTACTCGGCCGACTGGGCCGTGGGCGCGGGGCTCGTCGCGCTGGCGGCGCTGGACCTCGGGTTGCCGCCGGCGTCTGGGGCGAACGGGGGGCCTGTTGCGGCGGATGGTGTCGGTGACAAGCTGGTGCGCAGCAGCAACATGCGCTCTGGCCTCGACTACGCACTGCAGGCGGAAATGGACGGGGTGGGAGGGGGAGTGGGGGGTTTGCAAGGCGGCAGCGGCAGCGGCAGCAGCTACAGGGATGTGGGCGGCGTCGGGGCGAGCCGACGCGGCGGAGGCGGCGGCAGCAGCAGCGGCAGCAGCTGGGAGCGTGGATGGGGATGGCGGGCTAGTGTGATGCTGCTGGTGCTGCACTTTTTCGTTTTATGGGTTACATCCCGCTACGGGACCTTGTGTGCCGCCGCGCAGCAGCACCACGAGGGGGGGTGGACGGAATGGTGAGACACGCGTCTTGCATCCTGTGTTCCCCACCCCCAAAAACTCTATCGGTAATGTTACATTCCTGTGCGTTGTCGTTGTTTCCGAGGGGTTGGGTTGGGCAATGAAGAAGTAGCATCGGAGAGAGGCGGAGCCAAGCTTGCAACCTAGCCTCCAGCGAGAGGGGGTCGCCCCCCTTCCTGATTTGGATCATGAGGCAGCGAGCAAATACATGCCATCCACCCTGACTGGATGGATGGCGTGCTTGGTGTCCCAATCTATGACACATTCCCCCGCCTCGCAGGACGAAGCCTTGGCTTAGGGCGAGGTTGGTGGGAAGCTCGATGGAAACGCGAGCTATCTCCGCGACGGACCGCTGCCCAGGAGGGGGTTTGTGGTGGTGGGGGTGAAGAGGGGAGAGCGTGGAAGGGGGGTAACCTGCAATATGGCTACCCATGTAGGTATCATATCGATGGGGGGGGGGGGGGGGGGGGGGGGGGGGGGCGCCGCCGGGGGCGGGGGGCGGGGCGGGGGGGGGGGGGGGGGGGGGGGGGGGGGGGGGGGGGGGGGGGGTGGTGGGGGCGCGGGGGGTCGGGGGGTACCCTGCAATAGGGCTACCCATTTTGGTTCAATATCGTTCCCCCCCCCCCCCCCCCCCCATCCGCCTCCAAGGTCTCCCAGCCCAGACCGTGGTTTCTCGGGAGCGATCTTACCCTTGGAACGGAAGAGATAAAGATCACGGAAACAAGAACCCCACCCCACCCCCAGATATTAATAGGTACCTTACTCAGCGCACGGACATCCGATGGTGTGGGCTTCGTGGGGTTCGTCTGATAGTGGTGTCGGTGGTCGCGGTGGGTTGGTGTTTGTATGAGGGAAATGGGGGGAGAAAGGGGGATATCCCAAAGTCGCGTGCCCGGATGAGGGTTGTCCTCCCCTTTCTTTAGCGGCATGCGGCCTTGTGTGTCAGATTTACAACATGCAAAGACGGAAACACCTTTCGATTACGATTGGTATCGTGGCCGCGACGGGAAAGACTTTGTTAGTGCGGGTGGTAAAAAAATCAAAGCAAAGAAGCCAAAGCGAAGTGGTGATATTGCGCAGGGGAGTCTAAATAATCAGTCATTTGACCAGTTTCTCGAAGCTTGATCCTTGAGCTCTAGGCGGGGGGTTGCTATAGCGGAGTGCCAGCTTATCTGCCTTTGATTGAGGGATCATGTTTCTGTGGCGCGAAACCGTTTTCTGAGTGGCCGGGTTCAAAGGGAAAGGGAGCTTGGGCGCGCGGTTGTTAAAAGCGGGTGGTCTCAACTGAGGAAACCGAGTCTCTGGAGCCATTGACGGGTTCATCGGGTTCATCAAGTTCTTATAGCGGGAGAGCTATAGCTTGTGTCGACTACCACACCCTGTTTTTCTTGACGACGTCAAGTGGGGGAAGATGAGGGGGATGAGGAGGTTCACTGCTTGTCGAGGAGAAATATAGTAGTGTAGATGCCTCACCCGCTCCCAGGACGGGTATAAGAAGGCGCAATAAGGCACCCCACTGGTTCCAAACGTCAGCACTGAATGGGTACCCGGCGAATTGCCAAGGCGCGAGTGCACGACCATAGTGGCCGTTTCATGGGGACGGGCAATACTATCTCGACAATGGGTATAGTTTCCACCCTCATTCCCTCATTTGGCACACACCGCTCCTACCATCTTCCCATTCCCACTTCAGCCATATGGATAACCCCCTATTCGACTTTAGGGAGGTGGCCACATGATGGCTTTTTCCATCTCTTTTTTCTCTTCTTGGGCGGGAAAGGGGGTAAGCACCCCTCCTTTCTCTCTCCCTCTCTCTCTCTCACCCACGCCCAGCAAGGCAGCTTTGTCACTTTCCAGGCCTTCCTTACAAACCCGTTTCCCAATACACGCACGCACACGCCTCGGCCTCGATATGAGGGACTGGTTGGTTCCAGAACGAGTTCCATATTATCCTATTTGCTAGCCCGCCACGACGGTCACCGCCGAAACTTGCACATACATACATGATCACATCGCGAATTGGGATAGCGGCATCCGAGTACAAAATGCCGCGGCATCCGGGCACCGAACTGAGATGCCCTCGAGAAAATAATTACTTGTTGCTTCTGATACGGAAAGCCTTCGAAGAAACTCTCGCCAACCCCCCTTTTGCTGAATATTTGACACGTCGTGTTCGTTCATTGCCCTGAAGACTACATACATATACATATATATAACTCCACCAAGGACCCCCATCACCGTCCAGAGTCAGACCTAAATTTCCATTCACACTCACTCGCCAACCACGACCCCGAAGAAAAGACACCTCGCACTCTTCGTTCAAACCTCCGGTTACCAGTCCTGTCTTTAGAGTTCTCGCCCAGACAACCCCCCAACCAACCCTCATCCCAGCCCCAATGTGTCACCGCAAGCTATTCATCCACCACCGGTGCGGCCACAAGATCACCGAGCTGACGGAGCCCTGCGGCAATGTCGAGTGCAAGAACACGTCGGACCGGCCCGTCATCACGAACAAGTACACCTGCGTCGTCATGTCGTGTCCCTACTACGGGCACTTCTGACCCACTGCACGTTGTCCGTTCTTTGGGTGAGTTTGGACACTGAAGCAGCAGCACGGCAGGGGGATGCTTCACTGTCATGGTGTCCTCCACTTGGGGGTTTCTTGGCTGCCTGAGAGACAATCCTTGAGGTCAGTGCTAATGAACTCTGGGTCTAGAGCATCCTCCGTGTTAGTCGACAGCCCCGGGTCAGACAGAGGAATCACGAAATATGTTTTGGCAGATCGTGGATTTGAGCAAGGAGTTTTTGAGGGGGTGAAAGAATCACCATCATTTGGCATATGGCATTGAGATATCGCGCCTACTGGGAAGCGATTCGGAGTTGGGATATCAGACGTTCGTTCAAGCATTGAAATAGGGGTTAGGGGTTACAAGACACGTACTGCACCATCATTAGGCCCTTGCAGCTTCAGGTTGCAAGTTTCATATCATGTGTTGGGAAGGACTGGTTAGTGATTAGGAGCAGGGTAGATCGAAGGACGGAGGGCCCTGGGTAGAGAAGAGTTGGGAAAGCCAAGTGTAACAGCTCTAGGGAGCTTTGATATTTTGGGATTTTAATTTTCTATTATATATGCAAGGCTTGTCTACCTAGACAATCCACACTCCTCATTAGCTATCATGTCACCCGTCGCTGCGCTTATGGATGCTTCCTAATTCTTTGTCCCTACCCCGGTGGCCCGTTTTGTTGCAGAGAGCATGGATGGTTTCAACTCTAGCTGAGGGAGCATAGATGGATACAGATCTTTCTACGGGCATTCCCACATTCCCACATCTTAGCATAGTTATATTATCATATAGGCGAATCCATCAAGGTACCCGACCCGCGTTCCAGCAGGTGGCACATCGGCTTCCCGAGGTCCTGGGTGCCTTGCTGAGGTATTTCCTATCTTGCAACCCCGCACATTGTCGTCGTGGAGCCAACCCGTTCCATCCCGTCAATTGAACGTCACCTACAAGATAAGATGGATATTTGCCCAACGATATGGGCTTCAATCAAGGTGGCTTTCCCTCGGACCAGCCAACCTCCGACATGATCCAGCCATGTCATCAGTAAGCAATCATCGACGCCAGCTCAATCTAAAACCCGAGATATAACTTCCCCCATTTATTACCTATTGATCTCGGCCCATCAGGCACAGCGAGTTTCTAGATTCTACTTCTTCTTGCCGTCCTTCCCCACCGAACCGTTGACTCCGAACTTCTGATAGAGCATCCACCCCAAGATGCAGAGAAAAAATGTACCGGCCACGCTACCGACTGGAACAATCGGTTTAGCACTAACAAAACCAAGCGAGTTGAGATCCAGAGTACTCACGGGAAGCTGAATAATATGCACAAAGACTACCGTCGCCCGGGAGAAGGTGGACAGCACCCTGGACTGCGAGAACAGGATGTCGGACTTCCTCCCGGGGCTGGTGGCGTTTTCCGTGGTGGCTTGTCGCTGCCGTATGTCAAAGAGCGTGATAATTTACGTCGATGCCCCGGCTAATGTTTCCTTTCGTCTACCCAGTGAGTTGGGCATTTCAAACGACACTTAATTACCGATGTCCTTGCTCTCATGGCATCTTCCTCCAGCCGGACCAGCTTCGCAATTATGTGCTGCCAGCCGGACAATCTCAGGTGGGCGTCGGCCGTCTCCGCGGCCTCGTCGAGATATTCGGCAGCCGCCGCCGCCGTTGTCGCCGGCCCGTGCTGCTCGCCGGCTCGCGGCTGTGTTGCTGCTCCGGGCTCGGGGCCGCCTCCTGGTGGGGCCGATGCGGCGGTATTATCCCGTCTGTGGTTTCGCCGCGCGTGGTGCTTTGGGCTGCTCCTCATCGAGATGGCGACGTGGTCTTGGTCCTGCTGCACCAAGGCCCTCGTCTGCAGTGTCTGCCTCGCCTGCAGCCTCCCTGGTGAAGGATGAGACTACATCGGCCGGTTTCTGGCCATATCTGGGGATCGCTGCAATGGGAGGGGTTTGCTTGTTCCCCCGACGTCGGGTAATCCAACTCCAGGTTCCAGGAGGCGCTGCTGTATTGTCTTGACTTTCAAGGCGGGACGGGGTGATGACTTTGGGGTCGACAATGTCTCTCGCTCCGTATGACAACTGCGAGCGTATTAGCATCATGCTGAATGGAGGTCGCTATATGCCGTATCTGACGCTGAAGTACGAATGTCGACGCAGTGTCGATATGCCCGACTTACCGAGCTCAGCATTAATGAAACGCAAGATGGTCCCCGGGGAATTCCTCTTTTCTTCCCGCTTCTTAGACAAGTCTTCCTGATTGTCTCCTTCGTTCGCGGGTTCGTCGTACGTGTACCTCTCATCTATGGACGGCCAGATGAACCCCCTGGAAACGCGGCTCGCTATCTCCTGCTCCCGATCCGGCTTGGAGACCAACAGGTCCTTCTCCCTCGGCCCCAATACCTCATTCCGGCCGAACTTGGTCCGCACGACCTCCACGACCTCGGCGTAGCCCTTCTTCTGGGCCAATTCCTCGGGCATCTTCAACGCATTGATGTAGCAGGTGATCTCGGCGCCGGCTCGGATGAGCTCCCGCATGACCAGCGTGGACATTATGATGTATCAAGCTTGAAGACCTTAAGGCCGCTCTCGTCGAGTGGTGCAAAAGCGAAGACAATAATGTCGCCTCTTAAACTCCGCCCAGAGAAGCGAGACTCTGGTATAAGAAGGCTTCAGAGCTCACCTCATCTTGGACCGGAAATGCGGCAGCGATTTCCCCCGTAAATGGAAGATCCGAAGTCAAGATGCATGATACTATCCCCTTTTCACACCTGTGGCTTGTAAAACTCATTCTGATAAGGGCCGAACCTAGAGCTCTACTTGATAGCCTGGCAGATGAACCAATTTCCAATTGTGATTTAAAATATGTTCGCCATCTGAAGCGCAATTCAAAAATCCCCCGCGAGGGTCAACCCGATTTTTTATACATTAGGCATCGTATTGGTTGAAGAATATGGACAAGACCCCATCACTGTCAATAATGACCTAGACTTTGAGGGAGAAGGAACAAGTAGGGTAAATAATTATTTATTCACTTATATGAGTTAAAGGGAATTAAGCTACGCTAATTATCATGTTAAGTTCTTTTCTTGAGAGCATTGAAGCTGGGGAAGATGAGCAGTCATGATTCATACAACTGCCTTTTCTCGCCACCAATTATTCCCGGCTTGGGAGCTGAGAAGACCCTCATCGTTCATCACGCATTTACATCTAGAGATCGCAGCCGATGTTTATGATGTTATTCCTCTTAAGAAATTGATGCTGCACTATTCAATCTTCACTTCACGACGCCCCTACTCAGCGGTCGAAAGAGTGTTAATCAATTAAATACACAAAGTTCAAATAGCCCGAAATTGCCCTAAAATATCATATATTCTAGAGCCTTACAGGCCCGTCCGGCCAGCCCGGGCTTGCGGCGGAACAGCAACGCGTCTCCGACGCCGCGTCGCCCTCTCCGCCCCCGACGACGACCTCCTCGCAAGATCCCCCGACCCCCCGCCGGGAAGCACGCCGGCGCCGCCCGTCAGGCTCCCCGGCCCGAAGTCGGGTTCGCCGCCGAGGCTGCCGAAGACGTCGCCGATGTAGTTGGTCGGCGCGATGCCCCCGGCGAAGGAGCAGTCCCAGTCCGCCAGGATGCCCTGCACGATTTCGATGCCGGCGTTGTAGATGTTTTCGATGGCGATGTGGAAGCCGTTCTGGTTGAGGATGCGGAGGTGGTCGAATGGCGTCACGTCCGGTGGTGGCCGGTCGAAGTCGGAGGCTGCATGTTGCAAGTTAGCTTTCTGATGCCGCGCGGAACAGGGGGGATTACATCGAAACGCCATGCTTACCGGTCCGCATGATTATGATCCGGGCAAAGTCGACGAGGCCCTCGATAGCCATCCGCACAAGCACCTCGAGCGTGGCGTTGTCTTCCTGGGCGGTCATGCAGTAGATGCCGGAGCCATTGGTCCAGACGGTAGTGGTGTTCTCAAAGGCCTCGCTCAGCAGCGCGCCTGAGAAATAGACATCGCTGGTTGAGGCGTCACACTTGATGACCGACGGCGGCTCCGTCGCGGCCCGGTGGAGCGGCTCGTCGACGAGGTACTTGGCGCGGTACTCGGCCGACTCGGGCGAGTCGGCCAGCGTCGCCCGGGAGGCTAGGCTGTACGCGACGTCGCGCAGCGCCGCGTTGACCTCGAAGACCTCGGTGCCGTAGAGGACCTTGGGGTACTCGCCCGGGAGGTCCGTGTCGTAGGCCAGGTAGCCGGTCGTGAAGTTGGCGGGCACCTCGCGGGCGTCGAACTCGTACTGCAGCGCCACCTGCACGGCGTACCTGGCGAGCGCCACGCTGCCCAGCGTGCCGTACTTGGGGTTCACGCCCGCGATGCCGGCGACCAGGAAGTACGTCTTGGTGAGGTCGAACTTGCCCGAGAGGACGACCGAGGTGACGGTGACGGCCGCGTTGATCTCTGCCTCGCCAACTGTGACCTGGCACACGCTGTAGTTCGCAAGGCAGTGCACGTGGGGGAAGAGCATGGAGAGGCCGGGCACTGAGATGTTCCTGGCTAGGATGTCACCAAGCCCGCTGGTCGGCATCGTCTGGTACCAGACGTCGGCCTCTGGTGTGAACTGCAAGAGGTGTTAGACGAGCCCCTGAAACCAGTCTCCCGCGCCCCCACGTGATTCTCGACTGACCATGCTGATGATCAAGACTTTGGGCGCAACCTTGCCACCATTCCCGACCGTGTCCGGGGGCGGCACATAGGCGGCCGCGAGCTGGGCGAGATGACACAAGCCCACTAGGGAGGCGGCTGTCCACGAGAGGAGACGCATTCTCGAGCTGGCTAGGTGCTTTCAAACTCCAAATAGTCAAGAGGGATCCCAGAACGGAGGCGAGTAAATCTGAGGGGCAGAGGATAAACGCAGTCTGAATCTCTCTCGCCCAAATCTACCTCGGCTGGCCTCGGAAACGTGCAGCAAGGCGGGATCACAGCGCAGGAGCACAGGACTTGGGAGACAGGCTGCACAGCGAGCCGTAGTGCGAGGCACAGAACACTGCTGTGAGGTGTCATTGGCTAATGGACTGCAAAATCCAAAATTCTGGGTTCGAGATCGATACAAGATCTGCAGGGGACCGGCCGAGGAAGCGGAGATGATCACCACCATTGGGGGCACCACAGTGCTGATAAGGTCATCTACTGACATGATTGGCAAACACCTGTTGCATTCTTCCTTATCTATACTTTTGCACCTGCCTACTTGGGGAGATGTGAAGAACCTACGAAGGTAATTCCAAGTCGGTATACCTAGCTTGTGGTGTGTTGTGTAATCGCAAGAAGCGACATACTTTAAAGATAGCTAGATAGGCGGTTTAATTACCACTTCCGTGCCTTCTCCCCGAAAGGCATATCCTCCACCCACCTTCCCGCCAACTGCCTTACTACTGCTGCTGCTGCAGTTTAATAATTATATCTTGGTTTTTTATTTTTATTTTTATCGCGGCGGGCAGAGGCAGTTGCTTTCGGATTGCCTTCTCCTTGAATCTCCACTTTGGAATATCAATCTGTCGAGTGGGACAAGCCACCAAACCCGCCAAGGCAGCTGCCGTTCGAGTTGCATCCATCCCAGGGTCATGAAGGTAGCAAGAAATTCCGGACAGAATCGTCGTTGACTAAACCAAAGGTGAGCAAAGTGTCTCTGAGAGATCGTTTTCGTTTCTGCTTTGTCCGGATTCCACTCATGTAGGAAGTGATATCTGCGAGATCGATCCACCGGAGTTAGAGAACCTGGAAAATAAGATTAGACAGTTGCTTACCGCGCCGGGTGAAAATCCATTACTAGTATTATTCCTAGGGCTGGCTAAACGTTATCGCCTTCGTCCACAAACACGGATGCCATTGAGGCCTTGGGGGCCGTAGCGGCAGACCGCCGTGAGTATAGTCGGTCTGTGCCCAAACCTAGGTTACTACCATGAATACTTGGCATGATAGCACCATGGTATCTAGGGGAGCAAGCAGAGAGCGGCTGGGTTTATTCCATCGCTCCATCAAAATGCTTCGAACATGTCCGCCTTGAAGATCACACTCACTCCCTCTTACAGATGAGCACTCTGACTTGATCCTTGCGATAGGTTCGCCAGGGCGATTGCCCCTTGGTTCGGGTCATTTCCGGCGGTCGCATTTCCTCCAGTAGTACCAGTAGTAGTGCCGGCTCTAGGGCCACCTACCGAATTGGCATCGCCACCAGACCGTTTCACAATCTCCCAGATGAGAGGTCCGTCTGCACCATCCTGGATCTCGAGCTCTGTATCGACCCAATCGGGGTACCTCTGTCGGTCGGTGTTGTTAGCCCGCTTGCACAGCGCCGGGTGGTGGGTCATTTACCGCCTGGATGACCCCCTGAGAAAAAGACGAAACCAACCTTTCCTAGAGCCAGTAGAATCACCTTCTTTAGGACCTGCGACGCACTCACGCACCCGATAACGAAGGGGATCAGCTGGCCGGTGGAGTCGATGGAGTGGACGCCTTGGATGTTGTTCCACCGGATCGTTGTCTCGATGCTCGTGATGAACCACGCGATGCTGAGGACCATCGAGACATTCCACGCGACGCAGAACAAGGTCAGTGATCGTCCGCTGGAGCCGCTGCTGATCCTGAGGGTTAGGCATTGTCACTTGTAGGATGGCCAAGGGGCCTGGAGAGCGGAATACTACCTACTTCAAGTGATCGATCCTCCACCCCGCCGACATCGTCTGTGCTCTACTGACGCTGGGCTCGCTGTCTCGAGCTTGCGACTGGCGTTTCACGGGCTTTCCCATACCTAACGACACGCCGACCTTGATGACGTCGGAAAAGCGAATGCTGCTGTCGTCACCGTAGGCGGACATGAACTCGAGTAGATCGAGTAATGACCTCTCCATGCCAGCCATGGTTTGCAAGCCGGTAATGGTTACAAACGGGAGGATAGACGAGTAGGATTCTAGCGTTTGAGTGACGGCGAGCGTCCTGTGGCCAAGCACGTTGTTGACTCGGTCGAGGATGTCCTTGAAGGACTGTGGGTCCCCGGAGGTGACGAAGAAGTAGGCGTCGCGGTAGAGGAAGAGGAGGGCGTACACGAAGATGCGGAGCGTGAGAATCAGCAGCACGAAGGTCGGAATGCCGACGATGACGGAAATGATGACGGCAGCGACACGTCCGAGCGTGACGATAGGCCCTCCCAGGGGCTGCATCGAGAACATGAAGACGGTTGGGGGCCCGCAGCCCGGGCTAGGCGGCTCTTGGACGCCGTGGCCGCCTTCGTCGAACCAGTACGCCAAGTTGTAGCCCATAAGAAGGGCGACGGTCGTGCTCCTCCATAGCACACCCGACCACGAGAGTCCCGGGAACTTCAGCGATGAGAGCAATCGCACCGGAAGCAGGACCGGCAGGTGCCAAAGGATGTAAAGAACGTGTACGGTAATATCGGAAGGTACACTAGTAGGAAAAGCCATCCTGGATATCACAACCGCCCCCTCGAGTACCCAATTCCACCACCTCGGATTCTGTGCACTTGCGCGTTGCTGGGGTCTTCTCTGTTGGAGCAATTCGTGTCTTTGCTGTCTCTCCCGTCGAGGCTCCTCCTCGCGCTCCTCCCAGGAGTCCCATCCCTCCTGTGGCATTAATACGGCGTCCCGCACGTCAGACAGCCAATTTTCAAACGCTGATCTATTTGCATCCACACGTCGCTGGTCTCTTCTCCGCTGCAGCTCCTGGCGGCGATGCTCACGTCTCTGACGGGCTTCTCCCTTCCGCTGTTCCCTCTGTCGGGCAGCCTCCCTGCGCTTTTCGCAGTGTTCTCGCCACAACCTGCTCATTTCGCTGCGCAGTTTATCGAGCCGGCGAGGGCTCATCAGCCACAGACGAAAGCCAAACGAGCTGAGGGTCGTGACGGGGAAACCGAGGAGGATCTGCAGCATGATGTACATCTCGATGGCGGGCGCGTCGCGACTGGCGGCGATAACCGTGGCGATTGCGACGGCGAACAGCGAGACCGAGTTCGCGTCCAGCACGCCCTGCGCCGATTCCGGGTCCAGAAGCAGGCTGAGCCATGCCGACCCCCACTGCAGGTAGATGCCGATTCGAATCCCGAGGCCGTAGAAGTCGGAGTTGCCCTCGAGCGACTTGCAAGTTGACATGGTTTCCTGCTAGGCTCGATGCATCATAAGCGATTTGCGGGAGAATGGAAGAGGAGGACTCTTGAAAGAGGAGTCATTTGGGCGACCGGGCCTGGGGCGGCGTTTTCAGCTAGTTCTAATTTACGCAGGCGCTTACGGCGCTGTGCGGCTCTTTTATCTGTTTGATCTGGTTGGTGGCCTTGTGTTTCAAGACCGATCCATGGCCCGCGGCTCTGCAGATGTTGTGGCGTCTGTGACAAACCATGCCATGACGTACAGACTCGTCAGGAGGCTGCAGCATCTTTGGATTCATCCAGCATGATATATTCTGTGAGATCGACTTATGGTCGAGGCCTCGTCGACTTACCATGAATAGGTAAGTAGCTGCAATTTCACTTGACTTAGGTACCTTATTGTCGGCGGAAGGCGCGCACCGGGCTCATGGGAGGCATTAGAGGGGGCAAAAACGGTGATAAATTAAGAAGACGAATTCTGTGGTGGTTGGGATGGTGTATCAACAGTTATATTTCAGTACGGTTCAATATATAGCCCAGAAGGATAGCCACGTTGCCTACATTCACTCTCGATACAGTGTCAAATAACAACAATGGAAATCGCTCTAGTCCCAACTGTGTGGTATGCACTTGCTAAGCAACGTGAAAGACCGGTGACAGCTGCCCAACTTCTGTCCTGGAAGGCCATCAAAAATTCGAGCCCCAATGTGCTGTCTTTTGTCTCGTCGCCCCCCCTCGCCCTCCCTCGCCTCCTTGTGCGCGCGTGTGTACGCCTTCATTTTCCTGAATCGACCCGCCCCCTGACCTTAATCATTGCTCAATTCCTAGACTCAGAGTATAAGGGCCGTCGATCGTTCTCTTGTCCTAGTATCCTCTAGATAACCAACCCAAATGGGTGAGCCTCGACATGCTCTCGCCGAGTTGCGCAATGTAAGCAATACTGCGACGAGATTACCAAGACGCAACCGCGACAATACCTTTTGGAGCGCCAGCCATGATGCCGACGACAAAGAAAACCAGGGTCAACAGAAGAAACCTCAGGCTTCTTCATCCAGCCTCAGGCAAGAGACCGATCCCAAAAACATCCGCCTTCTCTGGGCCCAAGTCGCAGCCTACAACGCGTTGCCTTGGACATGCACATCCGCAGCTTCTCTTACTTGCCCCTCTTCAGTCTCCACAGCCAACATAGCTCCAGCTGCTGCCGTATCAGACTTCCGCGCCCTCTTGGGCACGTATTGCAACGCCGAGATTGTCCAGAAGCCCTTGGCGTGGACCCCTGAGAGCTACTTCGAGCAGGAGAAGCTTGGCGGGGATGCCGGGGACAGCGCGGAGCGAGGAACAACCCGTGACGAGGAAAGTCTGCGTTGCGTTTTGGGAACAGCCTACATTTCACTCGACGAGGCCAAGGCCTTCGCGGCAGAGCACAGGACCATTGTGACTGTCTGGGCCGGCGGGGATGACATGGTCAAGGCCAACTATCTCGGGCGCCTGCTGCTGCGCGGCCACGTCCTGTCCGCCGTTCCCGAATCACCAGACAACCAGTGGCGCATCGCATGTCTCATTCCCGGCGACCCGATCCAGCAACGGTCTCAACTGCTCCAGCTCAGCCTCCTCTCCGCGCCGCCGGACGCTCTTCATCGAACCCCCCCGCGCCCGCGGAGTTGGCGAGGATCCCTTCCCGGGGTGGCAGGGCTGCACGGTGCGCAACGTCGCGACAATCGGCTGCACGGGAGAGAAACCCTTGGCACGCCTCGCGGACTGGCTTGACGCCATCAACCGCTGGGGGCTCGAGACCTTTGCCGTCGAGGTCCAGGAGGATCTGGACCTGTGTCTGAAGGCCGAGTACGGGGCCATCTAGGGCACCTACCGATCGACCATGGGCCGACACAATGGCTTGGCAAATTGGAAGGGGAGAGAAAGGGAGATGATGTTGGTTCGGGCTGCTGACGGATCCCGTACGCAGATCCCAACGCGTAGTGCATCGAATCTTCAACGCGGCACTACCTGACGTGTGTTTCTAGCCTACATGTCTTTTCCCCAGCGTCTCCTCCCATGCCTCGCACGAGGGCTTCCAAGGAAGGCGTCAAACTGCAAAAGTACGCCCTTCTCGGAATCCGTCCGGTTGTATCAACTTGCGGTCTCTCTGCAGGTAGGTACCTGACAATACCCATTGTCTACATGCGGTGTTTGTTTGCCTTCGACAAAGGAAACAGCCTCTCACTCAGCAACAATGGCCTTGTGCTATAATTCAAATTCCTACACACACGAGTAGGGAGCAGGTCAAAGAAACAATTCCCTCATTTTCACCTGCTCACAGCTACTTTCCAGCACTATATATCTTCGTCTCTCCCTTCGCGTTGCCCCGATCCGTCCCTCCTCCAGGCAGCCCCAGCTACAACCACCATCCTCAAAGCCCGACCCCCCATCTCGCAAGGAGAGTTATTTTACCAGGATCATCCGAAGGCAAGTTTTGAATATCAGATCCGGTACAGTGTCCCACATCTAGCTTCACTCGCCAAAGCTAGGGTTCTTTGGCAAACGTCTCGGAATCGCAATTTCCCCGGAGTTGAAGACACAGAAAGAAAAACCTCAAAAAGTTGGAAAGGGCAGAAAGATGTGCAAGCAAGCGTTTGCCCACTTCCAGTGCGGCCACAGCGTGGCGGCGTCCAACGGCGTGACTCGCTGCGAATGGGCCCGCGCGAGCGATCGGGACTGCCCGGACTTCCAGACGCAGCCGGACGAGGCCAGGTCAAACTCGGTCTATGGGCCCTGCATGGCTTGCGCAACTCATGGGGGCGAGTCTAAAAAGAGTGGTAAGTTGTTTGGGAAGAAGGGGAAGGCGAGTCGCAGGTAGGGTTCGACGCCATGAATTAGGGCCAGAGGTTTCTGGCTGTGTTTGGAATAGGTCAGTGGGGGGTTAATTCGCTGGAGTAACCATGGTAATTATGATTGATGGTGACGTTCCTGGGTGCCCTGTGCAACCCCTTTTCTGTGACTTTTTTCCCCCTATTTTCCCGCCACCTCTCTCTTCGTTCAACATGGCATTTAAATCATCAAAACAAAAGCCCTGGATCCCCTGCATACCCGATTCCTTAAAATACCTATTCCTAATTTCCCCACATTGGAATCTTCTTATATCCAAATCCGGGAACATTTTCTATCCCCAGTCGAGATTTCCAGCCAATGTATATACTTTGTCCACATGGCGGCTTGACTATGATACAGATACATAACGCCACACTGGCCTCGTGAGTCACCTCGTAATCTAAACGGTGGTGCTGCTTCTGGTGCTGCTGCTGAAATGGCTGGGCAGGGTTCTTGTTTAGCTCGACAAGGGGCCCTCAGCCCTATATGAGAGATCATGGCCCGATTGGCCCATCCCACGAAAGCCGAAGACTTGCAGATGTGGTGGCAGGACAAGCCACCGCGCAGTGCCACAGCAGCAGGTTTCATGTGTTTCCAGACATGGTCAGCCACTCGTTGCTCGCCATCCGACAGGGTCCAGAACGCCCAATCGGGATCGTGACATTGGATGTTTCCTTTAGTGCCTCTCAAAGCCACCACCATCCTCCATGCTGGCAAAAGCCACTATGCCATGGGAGCAACGGTATTGGTTATCGTCCGCCATTCTACCTACGCATACACGACGCGAGTTCGGAAGATGCCGCTGCCAACCCTGCTTGTTTGGTCCAGCAATGGGTGCCTGCGTATATACCCGTGACCGACCGCCTCCCTCTAGCTTTTTGCTCACCACCATGCCTCTTTTTATGGCCCTGTTCAGTCTCTCGCAGTCCAGGACCGTTTATTGCGTGGAATATGGCTGGAAGTTGAGGGCGGGCATGGTTGCACCTGAGATACAGGGTAAGGGTAAACACCAGGAAACTCTGATCCAAGGCGGTGTCCAGAAGAGTTCCTCGACGACACACGAAGGCGACGTTATCCAAGCATGTTCCAACCGACGGACCCTCGGGTCGAGCCCACTGCGTACGAATACAACCGTCAAGCGATCGAGGATATCGACGATCGTCAGTCAGCAGTCCAGGGTTTCCAGAAGAGGGCACATCTGCGGGGAAAGAAACCAAACTACCGCCCAACCCCCCTAAGATGGCCCTTCATTTTGACACTGATCTTCCTCATTTGCGTCGCAATTGGCCTGGTTGTCTGGGCCGAGAAGGCGATGCCGAACTCGGATAGCACTGCTATCGTTGACCACCCCGGTACGCCTCCTCGAATGAAACCGAGGCTTTGGCATGGAGTGAGAAGGGACAACACCTCGGCGCCGAGCACGACTCTTAATCAGGAAACGGCCCTTTCAGCGGCCGACCCCGTCTCCATGACAGATTCAATCCAAGCTCCGTCGTTGCTCAGCAGTGTTTTGAGCCTCGAGACATCTCCATCCATCTCCGCATCCGTCATTTCCAGTCAGATTACGGCCTCAAATCTGCTAAGCACCTTGACTTCGCCCAGTGTTGCTCCAGCGACGTCGACCGTTGCACCCAGTAGCACTTCAGTCCCGCGCGAAACCCAACCCCCGCCCAGCAATACGCTGAGCCCCGAGGCTTCACCTAGCAGCATGTCATCGCCAAGCCGAACAGGAGCCTCGGCTCCCCTTGCAGTTACCACTTCTTCTTCTTCCAGGTTGGAAGCCGGAGTCCAACTATCGGATGAAAAATCCAGCGCTCGAATCCCTGTCAAGGAATCCACTTCGACTCCCCCAACTTCTTCGCCGCAGACAACCCCTTTAAAAGCGACAGGAATATATATTATATCGGGAAGCTCAACGATTAGTACTGTGGACCCGTTGTCGGTCAGCCGCCTCCTGGGGCCATCCTTCACCCTCAGCACTTCTACTTCTCTGCATACAAGTACGATCATCCGCACATCGACGCGAACTACAGAGATCACAAGCATCGTGACAGCCCCTCCGTCCACCACGGCCTTCAATACGACTTCACTGAGCTTCATAACCACATTCTCGACGACGACTATGACTATTACCCACTCGGGTTCGACGTTTTCCACTGTCGAGACCCTCACGACCGAGCTTCCAGTCACCCAAACTATTGCGCCTTCATTCACCGAGGGAACCTCGGTCGTGTCCACCTTTCTCACCGCATCCACGATCGTGAGGACGTCGTTTGGGACTGCAACCGGCTCAATCGAGACCAGCGTGGGCACCGTCCCGGTCACATCCACTGTCACCGCCACCTTTTCTACAACATTGGTCGCTCCAGGTACAATCAGCCAAACAGTCATCACTAGCGACGTCCCGTACTACGTTACTCTGGGACCAACAGTTGTTACAGAAGTGCAGACCGTGATCGTCCCCTATTCCCAGACCCCAGATCCGAAAACGGGGGCCCCAGTCAACGTCGTCGTGACTATAACAGAGGGCGGAGAGGTCCACAACGTCGTGCAGACTTTCGCCCCCCAAACCAAGGTCATCGAGGAGAATGGCGGCGTCCGCACCCAGGTTTACACACCTCCCCCACAGACGGTGGTGACAAGCATTGGCGGGACTCCAACAGCAAATGTGATGGTCTTTACACCGTCCGCGGTAGCTGGGAAAGTTTCGGTAAACGTTGTATCAACATTCGGCGGCCAGACCGTCACACTCGTCAATACCCAGGGCCTCCAGACAATCGTCACGTCCCAGGGAGGAGGTCTCGTGACGCTTGTTACCGCTCCGCCGCCGCAAACCCAAGTCCAGATTATCGGCGGCACGGTGACTACAATAGGGGTTGTCTCAATTCAGGCTGATGGGCAGGCAACCTCAGCCAATGTGGTAACCACCATCGGTGGCACGCCGGTTACAGTCGTCAACAGTCAGGGGCCCCAGACGATAGTGACGTCTAGCGGGGGGAGCCTGGTCACGCTGGTGACAACGCCTCCCCCAGAGACCGAAGTAACTGTGGTGGGTGGGACTTTGACGACAGTCGAGCTTGCTTCAGCGACTACAAGTTTCCAGCCCATATCCTACACCGTAACAACGGATATAGGGGGAACTCGAACCACCGAAGTGATGGTCACCACACCAACAGCTAGTGACCTAATAACCATCACCCTCGACTCCTCCATAGTCGGCGGCACTGTCACCACCGTAGTCCAGACCTTCGAGCCATCGACCGTCGTCACGGAAATAGCAGGAACTCTGACTACCATCGTATCGACACCTGCCCCTTCGACCATGCTCTCGACGGCTCCGAAATCAACAATCACCCGGACGGCTACTTCCACTCCAAGCGACACCCCCACCGCCACGATGAGCGGCGGCCCGACATCAGTGACATCGCTGATCGTAACCGTCAAGGCCTACAACCTCACAGCAGGCGACTACTTCATCGGGACCTTCCTCCCGACCTTCCTAGCAGTCATGCTCGTCATCCCCCTCCGCACAATCGACCTCAACGCAAAGCTCTACCAGCCCTTCAACGCCCTCGCGTCCTCCCCGCGTGGCGCGCCCGGCCCCGAATCCATGACCCTACAGTACACCGGGCTAGCGGGCCTCCTCACCCCGCTCGCGACCCTCCTCCACGGCCGCCCCGTGCCCTTCATCACGACCCTCGCCGTCGCCTGCGCGAGCCTCGCCGTGCCCCTCGCCGCCGAGGCCGTCGGCCTAAAGATGCACGGCCACTGCCGCGAGGCCAGCGCCGAGCACTGCGCCGCCGCCCTGGGCGTCTCCCCCGCCGCCGCCACGGCCCTGGTCGCCGTGCTCGCCTGCGTCGCCCTCCTGATGGTGGTGCTGGTCGTGCTCTTGCTGCGGTGGCCGACCGGCGTGGCGTCCAATCCGTGGACTGTCGCGGGCATGGCGGCGCTGGTTCGGAACCCGGATGTCGCGGCGGGGTTGTTTCGGAGGCGCGATGATGCGGGGCTTCGTCGGGCGGTGGCGGATAGGAGGTATGGGATTGGGTATTTTGAGGGGCGTGATGGAGGGGAGGAGTATGGGATTGTGCTGTTGGATGAGTCGGGGCGGGGACTGGCTGCGGAGAGCGGGCGTGATGATGATGAGGAGGAGGAGGTGGTGGTGGTGTGGCCACCCCAGACCGAGGGGGCGACGGCGGTGGCGGTTGGAAAGAATGGCAGGGGAAGAAGGAGAAGGAGGGAAAAGGAGCTGCCGTTCATGACGCTGCGGTATCCCTGGCGGATCGCGTTCCTGCTTTACATCGTCGGCTTGTTGGTCTTGATCCTTTATTATCACCTGACCCTCAGAAATCTGAACTCCGATTTCAACAGGTTCATGTACAGCCACAGCTTCGGAGTCCGGTTCCTCTTTGCCATTTTGGGCGTCATCGTCACGTCCTGTTGGCAGGCATTCTTCATCGGTAAGTCGACGAGCCTCCCCCTTCCATCTTCTTCCCCTAGAATCAGCAGCCCACTAACCTCCATCCCCAGCCGTCACCACAATGGCCCCCTACCAACTCCTAGCAACCCATTCCGACTCTCCACCCCAGCAAGCCCTCCACCTCCCCCGCCCAACCAACCCCATCTCCGCCATCACATCCTCAACCCTCCGTCTCCTCCGCCACCGCCACCACCGGCCCCAGCTCTTCCCCCTCGCGACAGCAACAGCGGCCCTCCTCGCCGAGTTCCTCCCCGCCCTCCTCTCCAACGTGCCCTACAGCCCCTCGCAGACGCTGCGCTCGCACGACGCCTGCGCCGCCCTCTCGGCCGCGACCCTCGTCTGCCTGGCGTGGTGCCTGGTCGCGTCGCTGCTGCCCCCCCGGGTCGGCGGCCAGAGGTGGCCGCGGATGCCCGTCGATCCGAGGTGTGTGGCTGGGGCGGCGTGGTATGCTTGGAGGGTTGGGGAGGGGGAGGGTGTGTTGCTTGCGGGGGGGAGGAGGGAGGGGAGGGAGGCGTGGTTTTGAAGTTGGTTTGTCTTGTGTGTTGTTTTCTTTGAGATGCCTCTGTTTGGGATTTGGCAAGACATTTGAGTCACTTTCTAGAGATGGGAAGCGGGTTTCTTCCCATCCCCGTGAGATTCTGGGGAGTATAATAGCATGGTGGAGTTTGCATGTGTGTATTAGGATAGCATGGGAGTAAAGATAATACTTGGGGTTATAGACTGATGGAGATGATCTCGGAAATCGTTGGGATTATTGTGTAATTTTGTATTGTTCTTTTTCCGAACTGGAATTGGACCCCTTATTCAGTGTCTAGACAGTCTGACGGTGGAAGTCCATGTATTATATACTCTCAGTACCTACCCGTACACGTTGCCTTGAACACTCGACACCTACTTCAGTCATCTTGTCCAGCACAACTCGGGTAAACTCGCATTGCTTATTGTCGACAGAGAAGTTGATATGATATATGGAGCGGATCTCAAGACGCATCAAATAGCTGGACATAATACAGCCCAGCGACAGACACGGATGCACTTCCAGGCAATTAATCAACCTTCATCCCCTACTGGCTCTCACAATTTCGTCCCCGTCTATCTCTCTAGATGACATGACTATCACCTCAGCCCACTATGTTTCAACATGCAGAACCATTCCCACGTATGTGAACTCCGTCCAGCCAGAAAAGAGGTCATAGCCAGGGGAGGCTATTTGCCAGCACAACTACGCAGCAAGGAAGAAAACCTAAAAAGAAAAGAAAAGAAGAAAAACCGGTGTCGTCCACGTCTGCCACAAAGGAAGGGAATCTCAAAGAGACAAGAGAAGCAACGGGAGGCTACATGCAGGCCGCGCCGTCGATGCCGAGGACCTTGCCGTTGATCCATTCGCCGTCTTGCGAGGCGAGGAAGCAGACGACGCGGGCGATGTCGATCGGGAGCCCGACGCGGTGGAGCGGGGACCAGGTGGCGGCGTACTAAATGGGTGTCAGCTCCCGATGATCGTCTGCAAAGGGGGGGGTTCTCTCGGGTTACTGACCTCGTCGACGCCCTCATCGTCGAGCATGTGACCGTTGGGGATGTATTTACGGCACACCTCTTGGTACATGTCGCTTGTGTAATGGGTTAGCCGGGATTGATTCGATCATGGAGGGGAATGAGGGAGAGGTTTCCGATATCAATCGCAAGGGCTGCGGGGCCCTCGCAAGTTCAGGAGGGAAAGTAGCACTTACGTCTTGATACCGCCGGGGGCGACGGCGTTAACGGTGATCTTCTTGTCGCCAAAGTCTGCAGGTGTGTGTGTCAGCGTGTGAGAGCATGTGTTGGGGGCGGGAGGTGTGAACGGAGATGAGTTGGGGAAATTGGGACTGGGTGTCCGGGTATGGAACACTTTTTGGGAATTTTCTGGAAATGCCGGTAATCCTCGCTTACACGGCTTATCGTGCAGGAAGGGCATGCAGGCGGGAGGGGCATCCCGGAGAGAGGGGCAGACTCACCGACAGCCATGCAGCGCACGAAGGTCTCAATGGTGCCCTTGGAGCCCGAGTAGACGGCGTGCATGGGGACGGCCTTGGCCTGGCCGGTGATGGAGCCCATGAGGATCAGGCGGCCGCCGACCTCGAGGTGCTTGTAGGCCTCGCGGGCGACGAAGAACTGGCCGCGCGTGTTGATGGCGAACACACGGTCGTACTCCTCGGGCGTGACATCCTTGATGTGGCCAAACGAGACGACGCCGCTGTTGGAGCACACAATGTCGAGCTTGCCGAACGCCTTGACGGCCTCTGCGAATAGGCGCACGATATCGTCGACGCTGGACACGTTGGCCTTGACTGATGCCGCGTCCGACCCCGACTTCCTGATCTGCGACACGACCTCCTCGGCGGCCTCGGTGCTGTTGGCGTAGTTGACGATCACTTTGGCACCCCGTCGTCCGAGCTCCAATGCCATCTCCCGGCCAATTCCACGACCTGGAGGCGGGCAGTCGTTAGCACCTCTCAGGCAGCCGATTCCATCCCATCCCGGACTCGTCACTTACCGGCCCCGGTGACAAGCGCAACCTTGCCTTCGAGCGACGCAGAAGCAAGGCCCAGGGGGCCCGGGATCCGGTTGAACTTGCTCCCTGGCGGAGTAGAGGTAGTAAGAGCAGGCATTGTGGCGGGTGGTGATACTTGTTTGATCTCGTTGATGGGCTGGGAGGAGTTACTGCTTCGATCGTCGCTAGAGTCGTGCAAGGCCTTGCTGCTCGGCGATGCAAAAACCCTCGACAATGAGCGAAGCCAATTGATCAGTCTTGAAAACATGAATTGATTTGTTGGGTCCGATCCTTCGTGCCTGGCCGTGGGACCGGAGTCTGGCTCATCTTTATACTTTCGGATTTAGCCAAGCAATTCCTATGGGGGAGGGCTCAACCTTTCCCCTTCGCCCCGGCCGGCATTCCGATGATCCACCGTAAAGTAGTCGGACTTCAGTAATGAACTAATGTTGGGCTGGGATCTGTCACGTATCACGTACCACGCACCCACGCATCCAGAACAAATCCGTCGAAACAGCTTTGCCAAGAGACGAGCATGCGTAACCATATCAGTAACCATATCACCCGTTCAGATACACCTCAACCAAAGCTTGTCCAACCCGTATCGACACCCAACAAAAGCTTGCTCTGCTTGGGTGATTGGATCCATACCAGACGCGAGGGGGTGAGGTTGGCCGCCCCGGGGTGTCGCCATGGCATTCCCCCATCGGACCCGACGAAAAAGACTTGGCAGCCAAAGGCTAAAAGCGCCCTGCGTCTCCGGACAATCAATCCTGTGGTGGTGGTGGGCTAGTAAAGTATTGGCTTACTTGCTTTCCCTTGAGAGGATAGCCTATCATCCTCATCTTGAGAGATCAATCCAGCCAGGCGCTTGGGAATTATGTGTAACCCGCCAGGACGGCTCGATGGACCACCGGTTTCCCGGTCGCTATGCTTCCACTGCATCATTGAACCGTTCCTCTCGGGATGGGAATCCAAGCTCCCGGGGCCGGAAGGGTTCTTCACAGAATATCCTTATCCTGGCGATATTCTCAAGAATGCGGTCTTCGATGCAAAGAACCTGAACAGCCGTGGATTGATGTCCGGTGAGGTGGAGCTCTACGATCCGTGAAGTCTTACATGGGTGGATGGGTTGGTCCGGCGCCACAGCTTTTGATTTTAGCCCTGGTGGCGCCCGACGTGGCGCCGCTGACTGCCGATCGCCCTTGGGAAGAAGTCTGTCCGTCCACGTGAGATGTCACGCACCTTCCACTTTCCCAGTTGTGCATTCTACCAGTTGTAAACTTCATTTAGCCAATGCGACTCGATCATGTACAAATTATGCCACCGCACTGAGATTGAGCACCGGAGTCGCGTGTTCATTTCGGTGCCTGTCGACGGCCATATCTAATGCCTTCCCCCCGACCTCGACCCCGCTACCAATTCCGCTCTAGCTCCAATCGTCACAAGACGGACAAACTCGTGGCGCCTGTCCCGATCGACCGCCGACAATATGAAACGCCGCTCGAAGACAGAAGCGTCCCGGGAATATACTTCTGGCCCCCACCGTCTGCGCTAGCATCTAGCCCCATACATTGACATTACGGGCGCGGAGAGCAAACCCGGCGAGTTCTATCAACAAGGCGAGCAGCGGGTGGGGGCCGATATAAGCATCTTCCTGGGCGCCAAGAGGCAATGATAAGAGCGGAAACCGTACTGCAAACAGCGACCGAGCCTGCGCAGGCCAGTCGAGAAGCCGGCAGGGATTCACAGTACAACATGAGTTTTGCTTCGAGCCCTTCTGGCCGGCCTATGTGTGTGTGTGTGTGTGTGTGGACTCCCGACACCGACACCGTCTACGAACGCTATCCGTCCCGCCTAATACCCCCGCGCCTCCCGAGCCGGGTCGTCCTTGACGTTTAGGCGCTCGTGGCATTTATTGGCCGGGTGGCCGAGCGTATCCGAAGCTCGTCGAGAGGCTTTGTACTAAGGCGTTTGGCCGTAAGTAAGATGGATGACAGTAGCTGGTAGGTAGGTCCGGTGAGCTTCGTTTTCCCTCACCCTCGTAGTGGGATATAGAGTTCTTTCAGTTTCCTCCGTACGTCTGTGGGTAAGTTGCTCAGGCAGGCGTGACCGGGAGAGGATTCCACCGCGTCTTCTTTCCCTTCAATGGTATGAGTCGTGTTCAAGATCGTGTGAGAGAATTTAGATCCGGCCGAACGTCGCTGAGTAAACTATCCTGGTGATTCGTTGCGAACATGAACATTGCGGCTCCATGCTGATGTTGAGTCAGGCGTTTTTTTGTGCTTCTAAGATATATATATCTATATATACATTCGAACCCCTTTGCTGGGTTATTCTAGAGTCTCAGACTCCCCATCACACACATAATACCTCAACTCAGCCCAGGCATCCCTCGAGATCCAAGGACTCACTCCACCACCCCCGAGCCCACCAAATCAGCCCTCTAGCAAGTCTCGGCCGCTGGGCCGGGAGGCGTGTACGACGTGGGGATGGGGTAGTAGATGTTGATGACGAGGCCCGGGTCGGTGGCGGGGTAGGCGCCGGGGAAGGCGACCTGGTTCTTGGGCGCGTAGGTGCCCGACCCGCCGCTGACCGAGATCTGCGCGCACGAGATGTACAGCTGCGCCCCGCCCACGGCACTGGCGCTGTGCAAGCCGATGTGCTCCGCCCGCAGCAGGTACTCGCCGTCCGCTAGGCACTTGGGGATCGTCACGCTGACCGATTGGGCGCCTGGTTTGGTTTGAGGTTAAAACATATTTCGTGAAACCTAACTCGGGAACCCAACTCCCACCAGTTATTCTTCTTCCGTTGTGTGCAAAGACTTACCCTGTGATGGCCAGGTTATGCTGCTGGCGGAGATGCTGGGTTGGTCCTGGTAGATCTTGGACCAGACCTTGCCGTCGGCGTTCCAGTCCAGGACGCTCTGGCCGGCGGGGACCTTTGCGATGTAGAAGGCCATGGGGCCCGGGTGGGAGATGGAGGTCTTGGCGTTGTACGCGAGGGTCGAGCCGGCGGTCACGTTGACGATCTGCGTCGCGCCCAGCATCTGGTAGCAGCGCATGTCGGGCGACGCCACGTCCGTCACGGGGCCGTTGCTCTGGTAGTTCTTGGTCTGCCGGACCGCCGCCCAGTCCGCTGTGTTGCCGACGCTTGGGAATACGTCTGTTTGTTTTGAGTGGTATGTGAGCGAGACGTTCTGTTTTCTGATGATAGCCCCCCCGAGGGTTCGCTCAAAAAGAAAGGGGGCAAGGGGTGAGGAGGGGGTCATCTACAGTGTGCCTCGGCTGCTGCCGACAACGCGAGCGCGATTGCTGTGCTCAACTTCATCTTGGCTTTGCGACGCTGCTGTGTCGAGACTGTTGGTCTGTCGGACTGCTTATTGACTTCCTACCGGCGGAGATGTCTTTGGTTTTGTTGCGAGATGGTGAAGATTGGGAATTCGATGCAATCCACATCCACAGGCAGGTCTGCTCCTTATATTCCACATCCATTGGCATGCGCAGAGGCGCGTCGACCGCTTGCCCGCCGAATTCATTTCCATCTAATATCAAGCCCGTCTCGAGAGTAGACAAATTCAAATCCCTATGCTGTCATTCACGGGGTCCAGGGAGCAACAGGTGCCGACGCGGGTAAAGCGAACGGTGGTTAATATCCAGAGAGCCAAGCGGCCACTTGGGAGCTTCCGGTATATTGCTCCCCATAGTCGGTACAAATGAAAAAGGTCGAGCGGATGAAACCGCGCATTCCATCCACGTAATAAATGCCCCCGAATCCGGGGTGCAGTTGATTGTCGGTCCCTGATCTGCTATAGCGGGCAGCAATGCGTAGATGGGAACGCCGTGACTTACTGCTCTGGAAATCGTTGCTGACTCCCCCGACGGGAGAGAACGGATCCGGCACCTTGTGAGTTGTAACCAGGTCGCGATACGGATCAGTAAATGAGGGAGAGTGCGCCAAGACGTGGCTGGGCTTGGCGGGTTCTACCAATTCTATCATGGAAGCTGCCTTGATATTAAACCACAGTATATGTCTCGAATTTGCAGAGAAGGTGAGGGATGACGCCCGCACTTGTTGCCCAACTGCATCTACCTCCTAGATAGGAACTACCTATCCATTGGTTTGCAGGTGCTCAAGCCCGTACAGATCTTCTGTTTCTGTGACGGCAGCACATGTTCGTTGATGCTTGAAGTGCCACAGCCACAAAACAATCAATTGGGAACCGGGAAAGCCAGCTCGCTCCGAGGCTTGGCAGATAGAACGATCTGCTATTTGTGTGATCCGTGCTCTCTATCAACCCGAAATGCTATTATTAAATATTCAACACCGGCGGCGTAGTGCATGAATTTGGATTGATCATGCTCCGTCCCACCGAAGGCATGATAAGAGGTAGCCAACCGAGCGAGGTAGGTAGCAGGAAACACGGCGTGGAAGTTGGGAAGTCAAGAAAAATGTCAGCGGGTGAGAAGCAGAGGGAGCGAGCGAGCCAACAGCAACTGGTTGCATGTTTGTGAATAATTGCTGACAACAGACACAGAGAATGGGACGATGGCCACCGCCACAATTGGAAGATCGGCCTTGTCTTGCTTGCTCAGCCTTGTGAACCGAATCATCGTCCGAACTCGGTGGCATTGATCGGATGGAGAACCCGAGTCTCTTTTTGGGTGTATCTTCAGCCCTAGTTTGCAGCTTTGACCAGACTGGGACGAACACTCCATTACAACCGTCGAGGTAGACTAGAGCATGATCGCCGATCGATCCAAGCTGGATTGGCGAACCATTCCCCAAAATGGTCGGTCCCAGGAGGCACCGCCCTCAGTCAGGGGGGCCTGGAGACTTTGCCGCCGTCGGCAACGCCATCGTGACAGGCGGTGCCGTCGCCGAGGTGGTCACGAGGGCAGTGGAACTGCTTGGGGGCATAGATATTCTCTTCTGCTTTCCCGGTGTCTAGTACGATGCAAGCTATCGACGTGACGCCGGCAACTTCAAGACCATCTTCGCCATCAATGCCACCGGCGCCTTTCTTTGTGCGCAGGCTGTTGCTCGATCGATGGTTAAGGTGGAGAGCATTGTTTTGATCGCCTCCGTCTCAGCTCATCGCATCAGATTTCCGCAGGCGCAGGTGCATTATAACATAACGTCGCGGGTGTTCTGTCGATGAAAGGCTCAGTAGCCGCTGAATCGAGCCCGGCAGGGGTGGCACAAGGACTTTGTGAGTCAATGCACGTGACAACGAGCCACCTCCATGGAATTGGCTTTGGGTCAGGTTTCCTCTTAAATGTAGGTTGAGAGTTGCCCGACCAATATTGAGTGAGGGAATCTATGTATCTTTTGCTAGCACATACCTTAGGTAGGTACCTTGGTTATTTTCTCCCGTAGGCACGAGCACTTGATCAAGCATTAGGGTCTTTTCCATCTACCTATTCCCTGCCCGGGTTTTGACCCTTGGGTTGTCCCTCGGTCGAGCCACACCACCTCAGCATCAGCCACATGCATGACCAACGATTCCCCTGCTCCACACTGGGCTGGGTGCTGTGGTTGCGGTAGCCGCAGCACATTTCAATATCCTACTGATTGACGACGCTTTCCTCCTCCCTTGTCCAACACCTCATTTCCGCCCACCGCGACACTGGCCCCCCGGCCGCCGACAACCTCTTTCCTACCCCCCACGACAGCCTTAGTCTCACTGTCTGGGCCAGCATTTCCCACTTCCACGACGGCCCGGCCTGCAGGACGCCAAGCCTTGTCCTGGGCGTCTAATCGTCTTGCAACGACGGTCGTCATTCCCCTCAACCCGCCCCTGCTGCCGTCATGAATCAACCTCAACAACAGCAGTACGCCCCGCCACGGCGGACAGGGACGTACGGCTCCCACAATGACGAGCTGCACATGAGCAGCGGCATGAGCCAGCACAGCCAGCATGGCCGGCATGGCCAGATGTCCCCTCGGGAATACTCGTCAACCGGCGCGCCGCCGCACATCAAGCTCGACCAAGCGCCACCGAACCCCGCCCCAATGCAGGGCTACCAGAACAGCTCCGCGGTGCCCAACGTGCTGCAGCCAGGGGGCTTGGCCGGCCGACCCCCCGCGTTACCCTCGAACGCGGCACCAAGCCAGCCCGACTATTCGACGCCGTCAAAACCTTCCAACCTGAGCCTCTCCCATACCTATTCACGCTCAAGCCCTGCGGCCCCATATGAAGGCGGCTCCGGCTATGTCCCCTACACTCCAACCACGCCAAACGCCGGCTCATCGTCCCAGTTCATCTCGCCCTCTGATCCCAAATATGCATCTGGCTCGCAGCGTAACATCTCCAACACCCCTCTTGGTCTTGCAGATATCCGACCACGTGCCGACTCGAGCCTGTCGGACGGTATCCCTGGCAGTTCGCAATACGAGATGGTGAACAGCCAGCCGGGCACGAGCAAATATCTCGCACCATGGGCTCTATATGCCTTCGATTGGTGCAAATGGCCCGCCAATGACAATAGCGCAGGGAAGGTGGCATTGGGAAGCTACCTCGAAGACGGCCATAACTTTGTGGGTTCCTATGCCCTCCCCTTTCCCGACATTTTGTACGTGGCTCTATGGACCGTAATGCTAACAGCCCGTTCGCAGATCCAAATCCTTGATACCCAATTCGTACCCACTCCGTCCGATGTTTACATGCCCGGGACGTCAAAGCACAGCATGGAGTTTACCAAGATCGCCGAGGCTACGCACTCGTACCCGGTGACCCGCTTGCTCTGGGAACCACCGTCCTCCCAGAAGCAGTCGACAGATCTGCTGGCCACGTCGGGCGATCATTTGCGGCTATGGTCGCTCCCTGCAGACGTCCCAACGCCCCAGAGCAACTCTATTACGGGAAGAAATGGCCGGGATTTGCCCATCACCAAATTGACCCCGTTGGCTCTGTTATCCAATTCGAAGACGCCCGATCATACCGCGCCGTTGACTTCTCTGGACTGGAATACTGTGTCGCCCAGCTTGATCATCACGTCAAGCATCGACACAACCTGCACCATCTGGGACATTCCCTCGTTGACAGCCAAGACCCAGCTAATCGCGCACGACAAGGAGGTATATGACGTGCGGTTCTGCGCAAACAGTGTTGATGTGTTTGTTAGCTGTGGCCAGGATGGGAGTGTCCGCATGTTTGATCTGCGGAGTCTCGAGCACAGCACTATCATCTACGAGCCTACCGGCAAGGAAGAACGAGGTATGTTGGCTTGGCGTCCCGGCTCATAGGAGCGAGACAGATGACTGACTACAAATGACTCGTCTCAAGACCCCAACGGTGGCCGGATGAGTCCGACTCTCGCGCAGCAGACAATGTCGCACCCTCCCCCGCTCCTGCGCCTTGCAACATCCCCCCATGATACCCACCTCTTGGCCACATTTGCCCAAGATTCCAACGTCATCCGAATCCTGGATGTGCGGCAACCGGGCCACGCTCTCCTGGAGCTACGGGGTCATGGGGGCGCGCTGAGCTCCATCGAGTGGTCGCCACATCGGAGAGGGACCCTCGCTTCGGGGGGTGACGACTGCCAAGTTCTCATCTGGGATGTCATGAGCCAGTTTGCCCCGGCCGTTAACGGTGCATCCCAAGCCAACGCCGCTCAAAGTCCCGTTGCCAGCTGGCAATGCGATTACGAGGTCGGCAATCTCGGGTGGATTCCACACTCCCCCGGCGGCGGTGACTACGGAGATTGGCTTGGTGTCAGCGGTGGGCGGGGCATCTGGGGTGTCAAGATGTAGGGCGATACCTAACTATCTATTGTCGATGTCGACGACGGAATAAGAGGGCCGGCGCACCCGGGGGCAAAAAAGGACGGGGGGTTGGGGGACGGGAGACGGGGGACGGTGACCGGATGGATCTAGCAACACGAGAATCCAGATAGAATTCTTCGTATCTGTCTGGTCAGCTATAGGATCTGCATTGCGAAGCCTGGCGTTTGGGAATCTCAGCTTGAACTTCAGAGAGGTGCGGGATAGGCGAAAATGTCGTGCAGCTTGCTTTGCAACACGCACCGGAGACCTACTAAGCGCTTTCAATCCGAGCTTGGAGCCTGGACTTTCCATATAGCATCTACTCGTTACTGTTGACCGGCATTCACCCCGTCAGGTAGAAGCGGTGTGACAGTTGCAACCTTGAGTCAGACCCTGATGTACAGTACATCTTGACTAAGACCAACCCTTCAGAGCCTGGCCTTCTGGCCTTCTTCCTCGGCTGTGTCAACGTGTACCACCGCCTTACCCCAGATCTTCCCCGACGCGATGTCCTTGAGTGCCCTTGGGACACTCTCAAGCCCCATATACTTCTCATCATACAGGACCGGCTTGATCTTTCCGGCTTCTATGAGCGGCCAGAGCTCTCTCCAGATCTGCTCCTTCTCCCCGGGGTATCGACGGTGACTCTCACCGAACCTCTAAGACGTTCATCAGCGCCATGTGTTCTCTGATTAATTCACGAAACGGTCACGTAAATCCATTGGGTTCCGGTTAAGGGGGCCATCCGTGAAACTCACATATCCAATGAGCTCCGCCTGCTTCAGCAGCACTCTATTCATCATGACGCCCTCCATACTCGCCGCATCCCGCCCCGCAAACCCAACGACCAAGATCCTCCCCCGATGCGCCAGACACTTCAAGCTCAGCCCCACCAACCCAACAGGATCAAACACAACATCCACCCCGCGACCCCCCGTCTCCTCCATCACAGCCTCCCACCACTGGCCCCTCCCTGCCAGCCGGTCAACGCACCTCACGCCCGCCCCAAGCCCCCGCACAACCGCACACCGCCCCGCCCCGCCCGCAACCCCGATCACCCGGCACCCGCCGCGCCCCGCCGCCGCAGCAGCGACCTGCACGGCCGCGACGCCGAGCCCGCCCGCCGCGCCCAGCACAAGCACCGTCTCGCCCGCCGACAGGCGGCCGCGCAGCACCAGAGCGCCGTAGGCCACGGGCAGCGTCGCCGCCACGCCGGCTGCGTCGGCGAAGGTCCAGCCCCGCGGGATGGCGTGCAAGGAGGCGGAGGCGGGGAGGGAGAGCTGCGTCGCGTAGGAGCCTGATGGCGCGTCGCCGAAGACGGGCGTGCCGGGGGGGAAGGGGAAGGGGGATGGGGAGGTGGTGGTCGTCGGGGGGACGGAGCGGACTACGCCCGAGAACTCGAGACCGAGGGTGAAGGGCGGGGTGACGAGGTTGCGGTTGTTTTGGTGCTTGCCTTGGGCCTTGGGTTGTGGGGTTTTGGTTGTTAGTTACGGATGTCGCGTTTGTACTGCCTCTCCCATCATTGCTGCTCTGGTTGGTGTGGAGGGTGTCGCGAAGTGGAGTGCGAGGTCGGCCAGTTGAGACCTACATAGAGTGTATCGACAAAGTTCACTCCGGCCGCTTTCACGTCAATGACCACTTGGTCGTTTGTCACCGGCGGAGGATCGACGTCCGAGGGATGGACCTTGTCCAAGTCCTAGGCACAGTTTAGCTACGATGCCTCCCCTTTGGTGGCTGCTTGGGAAACACACCGTGACGAATTTATGGATCACAACTGCCTTCATAGTTGCGATGGTGATTCAAAGGATGGAAGTGAGAGGGTGGGCTGGCAGAAGCCAGAACGCCTAATTCTAGTTTGGTGCTTGAGACCTCCGCCCGGATATCATCTCCCATCTCCAACAGCCGGGGCTTGCAGTCTTGCATTACGCTCTCGTCAACGTCGGAAGGTACGGGAGACTGGGGGCTGAAAAGAACGTGCCCAAATGATCCATATGCCTCGAGTCATTTGAATCGTATAGAACAGCATCTGCCCGTAATTTACACTCCCCCGCAGGGGGATTGAGCTCTGCCCTTGGCATCAAAGGTTTCGGCAAAGTCAAGTGGGGCTCACCGAGGTGAATCGGAGCACTTGCATTGGCGATACCCACCTACCTAGGTGAAGGGGCGACGGGAGGCAAGGGCGAGCCGGGGGAAGATTATTGCGCAGCCGAACACTAGTCCTATCCTGGTACTAGCCAACCTTCATTGTGCAATTACATAGCACGCGTTCTCCAAACTTACTGCCAGCCGTACTCCCCTCGGCCATCACCAGACTTTTCTTCCTCTGCTCTATTTCGTCCACCTTCCTTTCTTTGTGGACTCACCAGTAATCCTCTTTTGGCCCTGATTCCAGCCAAAATGGCGTCCAGCGAGCCACGGCATTACGATTCCGAATCCGAGGATGATAACTTCAACCCGGCGCCTGCAGACCTCTCCGACGACGAAAACGCTCCCGTTGCCCGCCCCAGGCATGACAGCGGACACGGAAAGGATGCAGGGGATAGCAGCCCCGCGGATGACAACCATGGGAATGATGAGGATGGTGAAGATGAAGAAGATGATCGCCCCGTCAACGGCGCAGCAAAGGAAGCACAAAAAGAAACGGATGAAGTAGAGGGTGAAGAGGGAGAAGGTGGCGAGGAGGATGAAGAAGATGAAGAAGAAGAAGAAGAAGAGGATACTGGCAGACCGAAGAACGTTTACGATGACGAAGAAGACGAAGAAGAGGATGACGAGGATCAGGACGTCCATGAGGTGAGTTTGAGGATCTCGCGTTTTCCCGCGCATTTTGCGCCATGAGTGGTCGTTCGGCGATCGCCATTGAAAGCTCTGCAAATACCCGACATGATGTGCGTAAACCGGACAGTAGCTGACATGCCGTGCTAGGGTCATCGCCGGAAGCGCAGGCGAGACAGGCGGGCAGCCTTCTTCGATATCGAGGCCGAAGTCGACGACGAGGATGAGGCCGAGGACGAGGAGAAAGACGGCGAAGAGATTGAGGATTTCATCGACAACGCGCACCCCGACGACATCGCCGAGAGCGCGCGGCTTGACGATGATAGGAGACATCGCGAGCTCGATGCGCGGCGAGAAATGGAGGCCAGCTTGGATGCTGAGAAGCAAGCCGAGATCCTCCGCCAACGATACGGAAATCGCCGGCCGGCAAAGGGCTTTGGAGATTCGGCCGTGGTTCCCAAGCGCCTCCTCCTCCCCAGCGTCGATGACCCGAGCATCTGGGCTGTCCGCTGTAAGGAGGGCAAGGAGCGCGAGGTCGTCTTCTCAATCATGAAGCGCATCGAAGAAAGGATGGGGACCAAGGACGAACTTGGCATAACCTCGGCCTTCGAGCGAGGTGGTGCTCAGTCCGTCATGAAGGGCTACATCTACGTCGAGGCTCAGCGGCAGACCGATGTCTTGATCGCCTTGGATGGTATGCTGAATGTGTATCCCCGGACAAAGATCCTCCTCGTCGAGATCAAGGATATGCCCGACCTCCTCCGAGTTACAAAGACGCCCAGTTTGGAACCTGGCTCCTGGGTCCGGCTTAGAAGGCCTGCTAAGCACGCCGGCGACCTGGCTCAGGTCCTTGATGTCACCGAGAATGGCCTCGAAGCCCGCGTCCGCTATATTCCCAGGCTCGACTACGGTGTCCGCGATGACCCTCTCGCGAACTCCTTGTCTACCGATGGGAAGCGCAAGCGCCCTGGCGTGCCTGGGCCCCGCCCCCCGCAGCGTCTCTTCAACGAAGCCGAAGCCAGGAAGCGGAGCCCCAGGCACATCCTAGGTAACCCGCAGACAAACACGTGGAACTACAACGGTGACGACTTCGAGAACGGCTTCCAGGTCAAAGACATCAAGATCCACCAACTCACAGTCAAGGACGTCAATCCGACTTTGGAGGAAGTCACAAAGTTCGCCTCCGGGGCAGACGATGGTACAGAGAACCTCGACCTCAAGGCGCTTGCTGCCAGCTTGAAGGACAGCAACGCGAACGTCGCCTATCTGCCTGGGGATGTCATCGAGGTCTACGATGGCGAGCAGAAGGGGGTTGTCGGCAAGGCCACAAACGTGCAGGGAGACATTGTCACAATCCAGGTGACCGAGGGCGACCTGGCCGGCCAGACCATCGAGGTTCCGAACAAAGGACTCCGCAAACGGTTCAGGGCCGGCGACCATGTCAAGGTCATTGGCGGCAGTCGATTCCGCGACGAGGTCGGCATGGTTGTCAAGATTGCTGATGACCGGGTTACCCTCCTGACCGACCAGTCCAACACGGAAGTGACTGTCTTCAGCAAGGATCTGCGCGAAGCAGACGACATTGGTGGTCAGGGCTCCCTTGGCCAGTATTCTCTGCTCGATCTGGTCCAGTTGGACCCCACGACCGTGGGCTGCATTGTCAAGGTTGACCGTGAATCCTTGGTTGTGCTCGATCAGAACGACGAGACAAGAAATATCATGCCCTCGCAGATCACAAACCTGCTTCCCAAGCGCAAGACCGCAGTGGCCGCCGACCGCAACGGCTCCGAGATCAGGCTGGATGATGTCGTCCGCGAGCACGGCGGTCAGCAGCGCCAGGGCAAGATCATCCACATCCACCGGTCCTTCATCTACCTTCACAGCAACACGACGAATGAGAATGCCGGAGTGTTCGTCACGCGTGCCAGCAATGTGACCACGGTCGCGGCCAAGGGCGGTCGCATCAATGCCCCGCAGTCTTCGGGCCCGGATCTGACCTCGATGAACCCGGCCCTCAAGAGGCATCCCAATGGGAACAGCAGCGCCGCCAACATGCAGCCGCCCAAGGTCTTTGGCCGCGATCGCGCCATGGGTCAGACCGTCAGCATCAGGAAGGGCGGCTACAAGGGCCTTCTAGGCATTGTCAAGGACACCACAGATACACATTGCCGTGTCGAGCTTCACACCAAGAGCAAAATTGTGACCATACCCAAAGCGGATCTGATATTCAAAGACAAGGTTACTGGCCGGGCGATTGATATCAACAGCCGCGGAGGTATGGGAGGGCGCGGAGGATCGCACGGCGGCAGCGGCCGCGGCGGGTTTGGTGGTTTCAACGACTGGCAAGGTGGAAGCCGGACTCCAATGGCATCCGGCGGCTCGGAGCGTACGCCGGCTTGGGGCGCATCTAAGTGTAAGCCAACTTTCACCCACCCTTTTCTTCCCTGGCAAGAGCTGCAGTACTAATTCGGCCGACACAGCTGGCTCGCATACCCCCGCCTGGAGTCGCAGTGCCGACCCCTCGGGCTCGCGCACACCGGCCTGGGGCGATGGTTCGCGAACCGTCAACCCCTACGATGGCAGCCGCACTGCTTATGGCGGCTCAGGCTCCCGGACCCCGGCGTGGTCATCTGGCGCAAAGACACCCGCTCCGGATAGCTTCGGTCTGGGTTCCAAGACTCCCTCCTACGGCGGCAGTGGCGGCGATGCATGGGGAAACAAGACGCCAGGGTACGGTGTTTCCGCCCCTACCCCCGGCGCGAGCGGCAACGACACGTGGGGCTACACACCCGGTCCAAGCGGCCCCTCGTCGCACCCTTACGACGCCCCGACCCCGGGCGCAGGCCTCAGCGCGCCCACCCCCGGAGCCCTCAACGCGCCGACCCCCGGGGCGTATTCCGCGCCCACGCCTGGCGCCGTCAACGCACCCACTCCCGGCGGTGGCTGGCAGGGCGGCTGGGGAGCCGACGCCGCGCCGACGCCGGCCGCCCTCGGTGCCCCGACTCCGGCCGCCAGCGGTTCCTACTTTGGCGCGCCCACGCCGACGGCGTACGGCGGCGCGCCCGAGACTCCGGCCGCCAGTGGACCGCGGTACACGGATGATGACTGAGGGGGCTTTTTGACTGAGGAAGAAGGCTGGCACGAGTTAGCTTCAGCGGCGTTTTGGGGGGGAGGGCGGTTTAATATTATGCCAATGGCTTGCGTCGTTGGCGACAGGGACATGTATAGTAAGTTAGGTAGAATGCATCCACCAGGCAGCCAAAGGGGATTTTAGTTTATATCTTTCCGTTTCCACTTGCGTGCTTGGTCTGGAGGTTTTATGGCAGTTCCAAAATCGCCAATTGTCTACCAGTTTTCGAATCGGCAGTTGTAGTGTAGATGTTTCCTCGCGTCTTCGTTGCCTTGACTTGGAATATCATCAACCAACCCCCTTTCAAAGCCATGCATGCCCATGGAACTAAAACAAAGAGTCGGGCGAGTCTAGAACAAGCAAAGGCCCTCCCTCCATCTCCCTCTAAATCCAAAATAACCAAAAGCAAATCCGGCGCCAAGCTCCGGACCCTCTCCACTCTCATGATCTCCTTCCATTTCTCCACATGAGTCCACACCCTCCCGCGCCCTAGGATCCACCGACGAGCTAAAAAAGAAGCGGTCCACCCATGCTTGTTTACATACGTGCTCCGCAGTATATAGTTAGCGGACGTTTTAAGATTTTACCACGCTCTGTTTTCCAGGGGGCGGGGGGGGGAGGGTCTTTTACTTTTGGCGGATTCTAAGAGTTCGGCACATGGGAAACTAACGGCTTCTATTAGTCAAAGATATCTATCTATCTCTACTCCTCTCTGCCATTTTCATCAATGCACACCTAGCTAGCCCAGTTATACTGAGGGCGGTTTATGAGGGCCAAGCCGAACTTGGTGGTGAGGAACTTTGCCCATTGAACTGTTCAGAGTTCAGACGGCTGGAAATAGGAAAGAAATCATGACATGAACGAGTGATCATAATAACCAAACAACGCCTTCAGTGTGTTAGGACCTCTAGCCAAGCAACCAACCAATTGGGTATCACTTCTAACAATCGCTTTTCCCGCTTTTTTTTTTGTCCCTCCATCTCGCCACCCCCCATACGTATCGTACAAAATAAAGTCCCATACCTAAAAGCCAGATTTCGCAATGATGACGTCCCTCTGGATGCCGATGCCCCTGCCATTGGGCCCCATCCTCTGCCACGTCGGCTGTGGCGCGACCCGGACCTCGGTCTTGACCGACGACCTCAGGCCGAGCTGCTCGTCGTTGTCAAACGCGGACCCCAGGCGCGCGTGCCCGAGGTCGGTCCGCGACCCGCGCTCGCCGCCGCCGCCCCCGACCGCGACACCGACGGCGTTGCGGTCCGGCTGCTGCTGCTGCTGGCTCTGGTGCTGCAGCTCCTGCGGGCCGTCCGGGTCGCTGTCCATGTGGCGCAGCTCCAGCTCCTCGGCGGACAGGACGCCGCGGCGGCTGCTGTTGCTGGCGCAGCTGTCCTTGCCGAAGCTGCTCTCGAGGTGGCGGTGGTGGGAACCGGGGCCCGAGCGCGAGTTGGGCGGGTCGCGGCCGTACGAGTGCTGCTGGTAGCCCTTAGTGTTTGTGAGGCTGCGGGAGGAGAGGAGGGTGGGCGCGAGCTTGGACACGACCGGCCGGAGGGTGGGCAGGCACACGCAGATGATGGCCGCGGAGATCTGGGTGACGGACCAGGTCGAGAGGCCGACGTTGTCCCACGTGGCGTCGTCGCTGGTGTGGAGGTACCGGATTCGGATGACGGAGATAGCGCAGGTCTGTGAAAGGGAGAACGCTGTGTCAATGGACGGGGTAAAGCAGAGAGAGAACTGGGCGGGGCGGGCCAAAACTCACGAAGAATCCAAGGCTGAAGATGCCGACGAGGAGAAGCTTCTGGGGTCTCCGGAGTTTCAGGCTGCCCAGGACGGGAAGAGGTAGCACAAAGATGACGACGTCGGTGATGATGTTCCCGGCGGCATTGATGTACCAGAATGGGAGGTTGGGAATGCACGTCCCGTCAGAATCCCGCATCCAGAACTTGTAAATGGGGGTGCAGTTGAAGATGGAAACGAGCAGCTGGGACACGGACCAGCACCCGATGAGCCCGAGCGCCGCGAGGACGAAGATGCGCATTTTCCGCATCGTGAACACGCGGTGGTACTGGAGCAGAAAGGTGATCTTCACCGACATCAAGGTGGCGTTGTACAGGACGATGGAAACGTAGAACGACTTCGGATAACACTGCATGTTAGCGGGCTGTCTCTTCCCCGTATCTGGGGGGGGATGATGACGCATTCTCACCCGGAAGTACAGAGGGATGTTTGAGGCATCAAACGTCCCCATGTGGCGACCAAGCCCGTACTTGACATCTATGGGCGTCGTTAGTGAAGTACATACGACATTCGTCCTTTAGGATTGCTTACTTGTCAACACAGCGGCGCCGCAGCCAAGAGCAATGAGCTGGGAAAGCGAGGGTTAGCAGCCGATGCTTGAATCAATCAGTCTCAATAGGGTGGCGTGGAGTTAAGCACCATAGTGACAACGGCCGCAAAGTCGTCCCTGCCAAACTGTTTGATCAAGGCCATGCGGGTATAGACACGCAGCAGGACGGACAGCGTGGCCAGGAACAGTGTTACTGACGCGACGCTGATGGCGACCCATGCCCTATTCTCGGCGGCATATGTCGGATCCATCGGTGGCTGATCGGCCATGGGAGTAACTCGGGACCAACGAGCTGTGCGGCGGGTCCCATAGCAAACCCGCCTGCTTCAGTGGGGAGGGCGACGTGAGAGGAGACCTCCTGGGCCCAGATCTGCGAGGCTTCCGATCAAGATATAGTTTGACAACCCCTGAGAGCGCGTTGCCTCCGGCCTAGCCCCCTAGCTCCTCCCCACAAGGCAAAGGGGAGGGCTAAAGCGAGATCTACTTATACCATAGTAGCTAGCTCCAAATTCATGGGGGTCCATGGGGCGGCTTGGGGGATCCGTAGTCGACCCCACCGGTTTTTGTTGTCGAAGGCTGGTGGTGTGGGACCCGGCGTGAGTGGAGGACCTTCAGCTAGCAAACCTGGGTACAACCCACCCACCTCCCAAGGTACGGATACAGTAAGGACCTTCCATTCCACCAAGTGAAACAGAATTTCACGACAATGGTAAGCTTAGCCCCAGCTCGGTTCGCTTGGGAATGAGTGCATAGCGCACGTACACTAGGTACTATGTACCACAGTAGGTTGACTGCCTACCTACCTAAGTAGGTAGGTGAGAGCTTGGGGTTGTTTACAGCCATACTCTGCCGTGGCGGGAAGACGAGCCAGAGAAGACTGGTACCTGGTACACTAGCAGGGCTGTCACACCTCCGCACAGTCGCCGCAGAAAAAATCCTACAGTACGTAGCTGTTGGATTGACCACTGTGCCACAGTGCCAAAAATTGCGGCCGCTTCTTATGCCTTACACAATTGCAGCTTATCTCACAGTTGCATCACAAGAACGCCAAGTGTTGCTGGGACGGACGGACGGAACGGGACTCGGGAGCAGCAGATTGTGCCATTGTGAACTGTGTGTGGGCTGTGTAGGTAGATGATGAAGGTGTGAACTGCACCATGGCTTTCTGCCATCCAAGGCCAGTCCGTGCACCCCTTTTTCCAAGCGAGCCCCCCCAAACAGGCAAGCGAGGCGAGATGGGAACACCCAAGAAGTCGCATATCTTCTGATAAGTGTACGACAACAAGACGTTGGGAATCGACCACAGATGGCCGTGCTTAAGGATCTACATGTCGAGGTCGAGTCCTTTGTGAGTATCCCTATGATCTGCCTGTGGATATCACCTTCATCATCGGGTAAATTCAGGCTAAGCTTCCTCACATGTGTTCGGCCGGGCACGTAGGTCAGCCACCCCTGATTCGGCGTCTGTGCGATGGTGGAAGTCTCCAAAAAAAAAAAAAAAAAAAAAAAAAAAAATTCTCATCTCTCAGAACCATGGCACGCAGATGCCCACTACCAGGAAACTCGTGCCGCCCCCGTCCCCCCGCAGTCTTCCAGCCTCACCGATCCGTCACTTGTCAATTTTCCAATTACAGCGACCAGATCAGTGATCGACATGGCTACAGATCTACTACTACTACCACTAGCGCACCTACTAGCCATGCAGTAGGCTCCACCGTCTAGCCGCTTCCAGCGTCTGGGCCCAACGTTCCGTACGTGTAGATTTCCTCGTACAGCTACGCTCCCTTGTATATTTAATGTCCGAGCCCAATCTGCACATGATTTTACGAAGCATTCATGAAGGCCTTTCTGCGAGGCTCTACGAATTATCATTGGAAATGATACAGTGACAAGGTGTCCAGGCGCTGCTGGCCTCAGTATCTCATTGGGACAGTTAAGAAGTTGACAAGTGCAACTATTCGAGCCTTCACAACCTCTCGCCACGGATCTGCCATGGCGCACTCACTAGAAGCCCACAAATCCCGCTAGAGCTTGGCCCCATACGGTATGCCACTTGGTGTATCGTGGCCTGGCATCGTCACTGTTTCGCCTGTTGCCTAACACTGAACACTGTCGCTCCGCGCGAAGTAAGCACTCGTTTTGGGATCTGTGCACAAAACTTTTGCAGTCCACGATCTGTGCACAGTTGTGACGATACCTTCAGATCCGCACTGCTGGACGGCGGCGAATACGCCATAAATATAGTAGTAAACAGGTGACGGACATGTTGTCCCCGAAATAAGGCCTTAACCCCCGAGTCGCCGGGGCTCAGCCGTCTAATCCTACCTACCTACCTAACCTAACATACCAAAGCACATGCGTATTACTCCTTCCTCTGTGGTTTGAAGGGTATTCTAGGCAGGTGTCCAACATAAGTAGATATCACGAAACAAGGGCAACCCCAGGGCAAGTATGGGGGCTGAAATGTGTATCATGTGCACGAAAGCCTTGATACTTTATCGTCCACCACGATGCAGTCAACAGTAAAAAATGAAAAATGAGGAAGAAGAAAAAGGGAATATTTAATCACAATACCTGCTGCATCTCGATTCGTAGGTTGCGTTCAGCTGCAAATCCGGGGACCCCAGTCCCAGTTTCCTGCATTAGGGCACAGGGCAAGGATTCAGGCCAAAAAAGACAGTGGGTGATCTCGGTTCTTAATTTTGTGATCTCCTAGGCTGACCCCCGGTCTTTCTCGGCCCTAATAGTAAGCCAGCTTGGGTGTTCGTGTTTGACTGCATCCCCTGCGACGCCCCCCTCCGCGTAGCCGGCCCGTCGCCGAGCTCGTTTCAGCTCTGTGAAAAGCCCCAATCACGATTCAGTACCCAGGTAACTTGATCATACGCTAAGAAGCGAGCAAAGCGAATAAATGTTTGCCCTTCATGACATCTCCTCTTCCTAGCTATATGTAGAGGGCCCCAACTGCTATTTTCTCACATTGATGAGCTTCGCTTAGCATCAGGTTAGAATACCTCTTCAGGCGGACGGAATTCAAGGATGTTATTTCTACCTACCTACCTACCTACCTACCTACCTAACCTACCTAGTTCTGGGGGCTACAGTAGTACAAAACGAGAGATTCTAGAAGCCTGGATAGCTTGGGGATTTGGGAAGGTGCGACAGTAGGTAGTGTCGGAAGTTCCTACCCTCAGATTCCCAAACCTAAGTACAGAGCCAAACTCATATTTTCGTTTTGCTTTCCTTCCATGACTTGTCATTATCCTCAGTAGCCATGGAGGAGCTCGATGCCGCCTCATTGCAATGTCTCAGCTTAACTGCGCTCTCATCCCCGTAGATGCAGCCACCGAGCCGGCAATTGGGGGCCCCGGAGTAAGTATGCCAATCCTTTGGCACTCCTGCGGAATCAAGACAGTGATAGCTGATCTTTCACCTCCCCCAGGCCCTTCTTACGTTCATGGTTACGACTGTAACGACTCTCTTCCTCAGCGTCAGACTTATCGTTGACGATGTTCGAGCTCGGCAGGGCGTTCGACGCAAACCGTCCGTCATCTGCCGAAAAATCATACATGGATACAGTAATCATCAGCTGGCGGTGGGCATAGGGCTTCAGGCAATAGGACTATCGAGAACCGAAGTCTTTGTTCCGTTTCACTTCTTGATGCTCTGGAATCTTTCCCTCACCAGCATGGCCACCCACAACTCCACCCTCCTCGTCCTGGGCCCCTACTATAGCCGGGACAAAGTCCTGCTCTGGCTACGGCAAGTCTTGATGTTTTTTCATCTGGTTCTGAGCTGCGCATATGGGACCTTTGTGCTCCAGATCGAGGCCGTGTCCCTGCCCGACACATTACCCGTCGCTTGTGCCTGGCAATACAACTACAGCAGCACCATCGCCAGCAGTTTGTCGACATAGGTGCTGACAGTGCTGCCCATGACGGGAAACTGCCTCATTTACCTCGTTGGGACCTGGTATCTACACAGCCAGTCACAGAGGTTCTTCGCCGTCTCACAGGTTCTTGGCGTGGCTCTGATGTGCCTCAACGCCCTCGTTGCAATCACCCAAATAATCCTCAGCTCACAATCTCTCGGGAATCCCCCCGTGCCGCTACGCGATAATGGAGAGCGGGAGTGGGATATGGGCCAGTTGATAGCTGTCATGCTGTTGGGATTGCCACTCATCACGGCACTCGAAATATACAGGGGCAAGGACCTTCTCCTCCTTGTCATGGTTTCGTATTGGCAAAGGCCTTGCTGACTCTTGCGTCTGCAGGCGAACATATGCTTCCGTCTTCCAAGTATGTCCCTCCACCCAAGTTCAACGACGGAGCCACCGCTTCGCCAGGTCTGTTCCAGGATTCACTCTTCAAGAAGCAGAGAATTAGGTGAATTGGTAAGAGGGTCAAGGGCTTCCCTTCTCGGGAGGGAACGACGCGACGGAGATCCCAAAGAGCCGACGGGGACCCCAGGTCAAGAGAAAAACCCAAGCCAGAGTGAACATTGATTGACGGTATGTTCTGTTGATGGGTCATCAATGCTGTTTAAGAATATTGGGCTTTCACTGGTGTAAGACGAGACCCAACAGACGTTGGCTAGAGCCAAGTACGACGGCATACCAGACACAGGCAAAGGTGGGCATGCTATTCTCCGGCATGGGAGAAGACTTTCACCTAGGCATGTAGTATAAAGCAATAGACATGAAATAAGGATATGTTTATATCAAGATTGAAACACCTCGACTCGTAGGGAGAAACAAGGAGAATAGTTTCAAGCAATCGTTCACTAGCCTCTGACTGGATAGAGTCGAACTTTGACTCAAGATAGCCCTGGTATATTAATTACGCCGTTAGCCCCGTCACCCTGATGCTTGATACTCCCGGTTGTTACTCTTCGTTTTCATTCTCACATATCACGGCGTGGGGGGGCCTCAGAGGCGAGAGGAAAAGAACTAGTGCATGCCCGTCCCTTCACAACCTCAGGTCCCATCGCCACTCAGTCTTTGTGCGCAACTAACTATAGCTACATTGGGTCTGATCAGAGATACATTCCCTCCTTCGTAAGGATTTGTTTAACACGTCAGGATTACTGCTGGTTGCGCCGTGACCAGGACATGATCCAAGAACGGGGAGGCCTGCCATGGTGGGCATGGCAACTGGCTAGATGAAAGTGCTTTCGCAACCTAGGCAAGGCGGGCGGAAAGGGGAAGAGAAATGGGATTAGACTGAAGGCAAGATTCCAGGCATGGATACCATTTTCGGGACCTTCCAAAACCACCCCTATCCCCCCTTACATTGTTCCCGAGTTGCTTTGAACAAGGCTCTTCTCCGGTTGACCATGTGAACAAAGAGACCACAATGATCCGGCAACAATGAGGTATCCATTTCCATAGGATATAAAGAACCCCCTACTCCACCCGCCTTACCGGGTCTAACCATCTTCTTCATCTTCAGTCCATCCTCGCCCTTCACCCGCCTCTCCGAAATTCCGAACTCGCAACAATCAATCCTCCAACCCCCAATCCTCCACCCCCGACCAACGATCTCCGTCCCAAGATGCCCGCCCCACCCAACCGAGCCGTCCTCCTCCTCCTCCTCCTCTTATTCAGCGCCCTCGCCCTCCCACCCCCGACCGCAACAACCGCCCCCGCCCCCGCCATCGTCATCGGCGGAGACGGGACCATCCGCCCGTCGGGGACGCTGACGATCACGCACGCCCCCGCCGCCACCGGCCAGATTGTCGCGGCCACGCCCGGGAGCACACTTGGCGGCGGCGCGGGACACCCTCCGAGTGAGGCTGCTGGTGTTGTCGGCACCGGGTTGACGGTCGGGTTCGCGGCCCTGGCTGCGGTTGTGGGGGTTGCTGTTATGGTGCGGGTGTGGTGGGTGAGGAGATTGGGAGAGGGAGGCGGCGAGGGGAGGGGAGGGGAGGGGTTGAGATGAAAACGGGGTTCTTCTGGCTTTTGGCGCTGTGATCTTGACTGGAGGTGGCTGGCGTCTTTGGCTATGGGGGGTTAGCTTGCCTAATGGGTTTCCCCGGACTCTTGAGAAGCCGGGACTTCTTTCACTTGGATTGCCCGGTTATTACTGGGTTTCTGTTCTCGTCATCCTGGTTGTTTGATGTGAAATGCCGTTGAGTGTGAATATGTGAGGGCATCTCGAAGTGTTGGAAGTCTAGCTTCGAACACAGGTTGCGTGGAAAGGGGTAGTACAAAAGATGGGAGGGGTTTTTCTGCAGCATCAACCTAGGAGTGGGGGGCGGGAGATGCTTGGAGGAGACATGATGGGAGATTGGTGGTCTGGCAGCAACCGGACCTCACAAGGCAGGGCCCAGCCCAAGGCCGGTGCAAGTCAAGATGGAGGTGGGACTTGTTTAGCTCGTCATTCGTATCTACGTCATTCGTATACTACGTAGCTGTATCTCTGCCCTAGGACACTGGAGTCCCCTCCTCATGCGGTGGCTCTTGCGGCGGCTCCTGCGGCGATGCCGCGGGGCGGAGGGACTTGGCCTCGTTCCCAAGGACGACTATCAAGACATGTCAGCGGGGCAAAGACGAGTTATGGGAGGGAGGGGGGGAGGGGCTCACGTCTGTCGAAGAGATAGTACGATGTCACCAAGAGGATCGGGAGCGAAACCATAACCGATGTCCACTTTCGCGACGCCTTCTTGAACTCCGGACTGGAAGGGTCGACATATGGAATCTCCGGTTCGAGCGGTGTAGGGGCTACACCATGGTCTGTCACATTCTTGCCAGGCGTCGGGGGATCCAGGGTCGTCTGCGAGGGCGGGGGCGGGGGTGGGGGCGGCGGTTGGCTTGCTGTCGACGTTGACGCCTCACTCGCGGCGACGGTTGTGCTCTTCCGTGTCCGAGGCGTTGTGGTTGCCTTCGCCCGAGTGCTCGCCGGCTTGTCCCCGGCTGCATCTGCGTCGGCCTTCTTCTTTTTCGTCGTCGTCGTCGTCGCCGTCGCAGAGCTTTTCGTCGAAGCTGACCGCGTTGTCTTCCTTGTGACTGTGGTAGTAGGGGGGTCTGACGGTGCGCTCTCAGTGGGGGGTTCGGCCTTCTTCCTCGTTCGAGTCTTTGTGGGTGTAGCCGGGGTGGTCTTGGTGCTGATCTTCTTATTCGGCACACTCGCAACGTCGGACGGGGTCGAACCGGCCGACTTCTTCGCTCGTGGTTTGGCGGCAGTCGAAGCGTATCGCAGACCGTGGCGGAAGAGGACGTTGGTCCTGATGACCGGAGCCACTGGCAGTTGAGTTGCCAGGCAACTTGAGCATCTGCCCAGGATTTGGGGATTTATTCCAAGCCACGACATGTTTGCCAATTTCCAACAGGTTGGGGTTGCGATGGTGCCAAATAAGAGATAGGGGTCAGGGGTAGCCAGGCTGGAAATATATAGGGAGCTGCTTGAGCGTGGGTGTGGAAGGATAAATTCAAGAACACCTTGTAATCTGTAGTACCAGCTGCTCGAGAGTCTTCTAGATCAGGCTTGCTGAAGTGCCAAACGATGCCAGAGAGGAGGTGGACGACATGCGACGCGTCTAGCCTACCCGCGTCGTGTCGCGAAAAAAAAAGTAAAATGAACTTTAATGCACTAGCAAAGTGGAGCCGATTTACCAACAACTTCTATGTACTGTACATCCGCACTCCGTACGGACGTACTCTTCTAGCTTCTAAGCTTTCTGATATTAGTGACGAAAACCTAGTCGCTTTGCTATAAAAGTCTTTCTTTCTCCATGGCCCTCACCAATTCCACGACCACACCCACAACCATGACGATACCTATTCCAAAACGACAGGGCTCTCTAGACTCTCATTGGTCCAATCTGAATACACCTCACGTGATATTCGAAACCACGTGACCAGCTTCTCCTCCACACTGACCCTCATATCTGACCGGGATCGGCTTTGCCTTTGTAGGTGCTCGCAGTCGGGTATTTTGTATATGTACTCGGCTTGAGTCTTCTTCTTCACCATGAAGCGCGACGACCTCCCGTCCCTCCTTTTACTGCCATTTCCGCCCAATCCCGCCAGCCGGCAGTCCCTCAGTGCGGCCTATCGACCCCCACTGACGGCTGCCCTGTCCAAACTGAAGCGGCCCGACAAGGCATCGAAACTAATCATTGCGGTGGCCTGTCCCATCCTCCATGGCCAGTTTTTTAGAGACAAGACCTTCTCCTGGGCAGAGTTGCAATCGTTAGTTGCGGGGATCTACTCTATAGTGTCCGTCATCTGTGCCCAGCAGTCAATCGCCGCGGATGTCGAGGCTGGGCCTGGTTCCGTGGATGCCACTGTGGTCCTGGTAGACCATGACCGGGAGAAGCGCTTCATGCCCGACTTCCGCCCTGCCATTGAACCCAACAACACTGCAATCGTGGATCTTGCCACCTTTTCCTCGGCCTATTACCCATGGAACTTTATCTTCCATGTCAGGTGCGAGGCTGGCCTTAAACTGCACCAGACATACCTGCAGCTTTCCGAAGGGAGACAAACGCTGTTGCAAGAACAGCTCGTTCCTGTCGAGGGTGGGCTCAGCATGAACGTTACCGGGGACCAACCAAAAGTGTTGCCAGCACAGACGCAAACTCGTTCTGTCGTCTGCCTGGGAGGGACTTTCGATCATCTGCACCCTGGCCACAAGTTGCTGCTCACCGCCGGAGCATTCCTGCTCAAGGTGCCAGACGAGGGTTCCTCGGAGACATCCAAGTTCATCATCGGCGTCACCGGCGATGAGATGCTAAAGAATAAGAAGTTTGCGGAATATGTCGAACCCTGGGACACGAGGGCTCGCAACATTCTGCGTTTCCTGTCTACCCTGTTAGGCCTGTCGAGCAGAGGGTGGAAGGACATTGCACATGCCCAGATTCGGGAGGAGGATGGCCAGTTTTCCGCGTCGTTCAGAGACGGGCTGATTACGGTTCACTGCGTCGAGATCCAAGATGCCTTTGGTCCGACAATCACAACCGAGGATATGGACATACTGGTCGTTTCGGGCGAGACAAGGTCCGGCGGCCGTGCAGTGAATGACAGGCGCGTTGAGCGGGGTTGGCACCCACTGGAAGTCTACGAGGTCGATGTTCTTGACGCTGAAGAGATTTCGGACGAGCCGTCGAGGGGAGAACAGAGCTTTGCTTCCAAGATCAGCAGCACGGCTATTCGGCAGCAAAGAGCCGAGGGGAAGAAGACGGGCGCAGGTGCCTGAGCTACGATGCCACACGATAATTAGTAGTAAAAGATAAGAGAGGACACAGACGGGTACTCGGGCTGCAATGGAAACCAACCTAGGATGGTGTTTTCGTGCGAGAGCTCGTCTTTACCCACTATCGTTAGTACTGGTGGGATGAGGTAAATCAGCCGTCTCTCACAGCACCGGAATGTGACAGGACATGACGTTTATAATAATATGAGACTGCAGCCACTCACAAATCAATTAAATTTTCTGTAGTAACTGCATATCTCACTGCCTGAATCACCGTACCAAGATAACGTAGGTACTTCTGCCTCCGCTTATTTTATTAGTGGAACTTGACCATCCACTCGGGCCCGCATCTTTTCCATTTCCCATGACAAAAACGCCACTCACCGACAGCAGACCGCCAGCATGCCGGCGACATTGTTGCATCTAACGTTAATCAACATATTAGTTACAGCATCCGCCCTCATCCTTTACTATGTCCTTGTTCCCTACTTTGTAAAGCCAAAGGTGCCACTTCCCCCCGGTCCGCCGGGCGAGTTCCTACTGGGCCATTATCGAATAGTCCCGGTTAACGAGGCTTTTAAGTGGTATGCGAAATGGGGAAAGGAATACAGTAGGTGCCTCGTTCTTATGAGAAATAGCCATCCTAGGAACTGACTCCCCAATCTCGCAGAATCCGATGTCTTGTTCTTCAAGACCTTCGGCACCAAGTGGATCGTCCTGAACAGTTTGAAATCAGCCGTGGAGCTCTTGGACAAGTGCGGCTCCAAATATGCTGACCGGCCGCGGTTCGTCCTGTTCGAAGAGTGAGTACCCCATTTGCCCGAGACTATGACCGTTGTTTGCAAACTAAGCCATGACTCGAGGATGGGCTGGTCCCCGACCCTGACTTGGCTTCGCTGGGGCCCCAAGATGCGCCTTCACAGGCGGGTCCTACAGTCGCCTTTCGCGCGGTCAAAGATGGGCCAGTATGCCGGTCTCCAGCGAAGGGAAGCCCTCATCTGCTGCAAGGGCTTCATTGACGACCCCGTAAACTGGACTACCGCTATGCGGAGATTTGGGGTCGCTATCGTGCTCAATATCTCATACGGTCTTGAAGTTGACGGGCCTTCAAGCCGGTGGATCAAGCTGGCTGAGGAGTCGAGCAACGCGATTGGCAAGTCTGGTGCGCCGGCAAGCTCGATTATGGATCGGTTTCCCGCGAGTAAGTCTTGAGTTTCGGTCCCTAGTAGCAGAGAAATCCTTGAGGAAGGCAATGCGCTGATATTGCGAAACGCGGTAAAAGCACGCTACCTGCCGGCCTGGCTGCCGTTTCTAGAAAGACTACGATATGCCCGAAAATGGCGTTGGGCAATCCAGTCCATCACGAGTCTCCCATTCGAGGCATCCATTAAGAACATGGTACGCATGCCTCGCCATCTCGTTCCGAGTCGGCATAAATCCATCTACAGCGCCGAGCGATAATCTAACCTGACTGGCAACAGAAACAAAATCTCGACCGCAAGTGTTTCGCTCACAACCAGCTTGCCACATACGCAGACAATGTAGAAAAGGGGTTGCCCAACGAGTTTGACCTCGAGGACATCAAAGGAGCAGCAGCAACCATCACTATTGCTGGGAATGACACTGTATCGTCCCTTCTTATCCCCCCCCTTTTCTTGCACCACTTGGCTGACTCGCTCCCAGACATCTGCGAGTGTAATGCTGCTCGTCCTGTATCTCATGCAGAATCAAGACACACAACGCAAGGGCCAGGAGGAAGTCGACCGGGTTGTGGGCAAAGACCGATTGCCAACATGGGATGATATCCCGAATCTGCCGTATATGAATCTCATTCTGCAAGAGACCTACCGGATGAACCCCCTCTCGCCACTGGGGATTCCCCATGCAAGCATCGCTGATAATGTCTACGAGGGCATGTTCATCCCCAAAGGAACGATCGTCTACCCGAACGTGTGGGCCATGCACCATGACGACTCTGTGTATGCTGACCCCTACCGCTTCTGGCCTGAGCGATATCTGCCCAGGGAAAAGGGCGGTAACGGAGAACCATTCCCCGTGGGGAATTTTGGTTTTGGGAGACGGTACGTTATGCAACGAACTTGCTTGACACGGGAAGTTGTATGCTGATAATTATCACGCATTTCAGAATCTGCATAGGCCGTAATCTGGCGGAGAATAGCCTTCTGATTCAGCTCGCCACGATGCTTGCCACGGTGAACATTGACTGGCCCCCAGGACCGGACGGAACACCAACTCCATTTGAACCCGAGTGGTCATTCCGAGGGCAAGCGTATGATGAGTATATTGACTTAGTAATTATTGGTTTTGGTTTCTAACGATTTCATAGCATCGTCCTGCCTTTTCCGGCGTCTTTCACCAGCAGATCTAAAGCAGTTGAGGGGATGCTTGACGAGGAAGTTCGAAGGATTTAGAAGATGGCGGTAAACGCGACTTCTCGGCCCAAAGAGCTTCACCCTTGATGGCCTGCTTTGAGCCATTGTTATGAATAACGTTAACAGACAGCCGGTCGTCTAGGCGTCAAGGCTGGTTTTGAATTTATTGCTGGGCTGACTATGATATCCGAATAATCGAATTCACTCTTTGGGGGGGTTAAACTGACAAGGATCTTGTTCTTGGAATCTCGCCATCCAAATGTGTCTTGACTGACTGCTGAAGAAGAGGCTCTGAAATACATATGAGACCTGGGGGGGACCAAGCATACCTCAGCACAATCCAATCTTGCAGACGATCTTCATTACGACCCAGGTCAATGCTCCTTTGCAATATTTCAATCATTCCTCATGCCTACACACAAGTATATACGGACCATTTTCAGCACATATTTGATAGAGATTCGGGCATAATTTCTTGAATAGTCGATAGATGTTGCGAGCCACCAGCAATAGTACTGCCATAAACATCTTGTCTATGAGCCTGGTGTGAGACAGTCAATGGATAGGTAGAGGGTACGCATTTAATTATAGATTCAATCCAACGCCACAGATAATTAGCCAACAATCCCATGTGTCACTTCATGTATATACAGAAAGGTTGATTGATATATATCAAGATCGCCCAAGGGAAGCTCTCAAACCGCATCCACCACGACAGAGAACAGGGTAACAAAAATCACAACCTCGCCTCAACAGCCTTCTCCTCCTCCTTGGCCCTGACGCCGCTGAAGGGGACCATCTCCCTCCCCGTGACGGTGCCGCTCTTGGACAGTAGCTTCCTCCGGCCGGCGGTGGAGAGGGGCGGGTCGTCGTCGCGCTCGCGGATGTAGTAAGCCCAGTCGGCCGTGTTGTCCAGCTCGGTCTGGCTGTAGCCGTTACCGAGCCAGGCGAAGCGGTTGCCGGCGTAGCTGACCTCAAGGTCGTCGAAGCGCACGTCGCGCAGCGCCTCGAGGTAGTGCAGTACGCTGCCCGGCCACAGCGCAACGATGGGCCCGTCGGGCCGCGGCTTGTACCAGCTCCGGCACGGGTCCGCCCACACCGTGCCCTTCATGAACCAGTCCTTGTACTCGACGAAGTCGCGGACCGCGTCGGCCGTCGGCGCGAACGTCGCGATGTTGCTGGACTGGTACCGGTCCACCAGCTTGCACATCCAGTCGGCCTGGGCCTCGATGGCGCACAGGACGGGCCCGTTGCCGATCGGGCAGTTGGGGCCGAGGAAGACGAGGTAGTTGGGGAAGCCGTGCGCCGCGAGCCCGAGGTAGCTTTCCGGGTCGACGGCCCAGCGCTCCTGCAGGTTCTCGCCCGAGGGGGCCACGACGGGGAAGCGGGGCTTGAACGAGGTGTCGAAGCCCGTGGCGCAGATGAGCACGTCGACGGGGTACTCCTGCCCGTTGTCGCACACGCAGCCACGCTCCGTCACGTTGGTGATCTCGCCGTAGACGACCTCGACGTTGGGCTTGGTCAGCGACTCGAGGTAGTTCACGCCGGGGGTGAGCCGGCGGCAGCCGACGCTCCACTCGGGGATCAGCTTCTTCTCGAGGTAGGGGTCGTTGAGCTTCTCCTTCATCTGCGCGAGCATATACTCGCGCGTGTCGTTGTTGACCTTGTTGCCCTTGAGGAAGATGCCGAACATGCCGTTGAGGCCCGTCTCGATGATCTTGCGGTACTTGAGCAGCGCGTCGGGCGTGTTGACGAACTCGGCCTTCTCCTCCTCCGAGTAGAGGTGCTGCTCCAGGCCCTGCACCGGCGACACCCACGTCGGCTCGCGGATGAAGGTCGTCACCTTCTTGCACTTCTCGCGGATCGCCGGGAGCACCTGGATGCCCGACGAGCCGTTGCCGATCAGGCCGACGTGCTTGCCCTCCAGGGAGACGGACGGGTCCCAGTTGGCCGTGTGCAGCAGCGTGCCCTTGTAGTTCTCCAGGCCCGGGATCTTGGGCCACTGCCAGTTGTTCAATATGCCGCTGGCGTTGACGAGGATGTCGCAGTGGTCGTTGACGACGGTCCCGCTCGACACGTCCCGGACCTTGACATCGTAGCCGCCGTTCTTGTGGTCCCAGTAGGCGCCGATGACCTCGTGCTCAGTCTTGACATATTGGCCGAGATTGTACTTTTTGGCAAAGCCGTCGAAGTACTCGAAGATCTCCTTGGCCGGCGGGTAGACGGCAGACCAGTCGAGCTTGGGCTCGAAGCTCCACGTGTAGTTGTGCGAGGGGACATCACAGGCGCAGCCCGGATACCGGTTTTCGTACCACGTCCCGGCCACCTCAGGGTTCTTCTCGTAGACGGTGAGACTGAAGTTGTTGAAGTGCTTTTGGAGCTTGTATGCCATGAGCAGGCCGGAAGCGCCGGCGCCAACACATATTACTCGGACATGTCTTTCGGCATGGATCGGACCCTCCAGACGCCTCAGAGCTTCTCGCTCCTGCGGGCAGGTGCCGTTTGATCGAGAGGCGACCATGGTATGTGTGTATGTGTGATAGGAGGGGGATGAGGGTGAGGTGCTCAAGAAATGACTATGAAGCCAGGCGGAGAATGTTCAAGAAGGGGTATCAAACAGAAGACTTTGGGACGAGGTTTGAAGCACGCTGAGGATGGGAATGGGGATCAGACTGGATCTGGAGTTTCTATAGTTGGAGGAAGACGCTACCTACGCTGGTGGATAACCTAGCTCGAGGCAAGCACTGCAGGCAGGGGACCGCGTGAGGGGAGGCGGGGAATGAGGGTGGGAGAGGTGATTCAGCATCCAGTCCGGCCGTCTGGGTATCAAGCGATGCGCATGCAAGATACATAGACGGGGCTCGCCTCGTAAACACTCCGAGTTGAAGATTTCCCTTGGCGTACGAGCAGATCGCAGGGCCTAAGCCGCCATCGTTTGGGGATCGCACACGAATTATTAGATGCATGACTCAGGTGGGCTCGTGGCATTCATACAAAGGCAGAGAGCCACTGACTCGTGCGGGAGCAGGCCAGCAGGCAGGTGGGAATGGGCTGATGGTTGGGAATGCTTGTTTGGGCGCCTATTTGGGGTTCGGGAAAGCTCAACCGGCGTGTCGGGTTGGAGAAATTGGAGAAAAGGGGGGAGTGTGGGGTGTGGGGAATGGCATCAGGGGGTGAGCAAAGGTACGTGGTACCTATGTACATACGGCAAAGCTTTATCCACCCCATCTGCTGACCGACTCCGATTCATGATGTACTTAATAGGCTGCCTGCCGGATACCTTTTCTATCCGCGCCTCCTCGTCCGTCCTGAGCCTGTCTTTGTCCGGTGGCCCTTGAGCCGAACGAACAGAAAAGCTGGGCCACTTATGTCAAGTCAGCTGTACCGAAGGAAAAGGCTGGGAATCCACACCGCTGGGAACTCCCGTCTTCACTTGGGTTTGTCATATGAGAGTTGTTTAGGTGGAGGTTCTACTCGTAGACAGTTCGCTACATTGTGCTTCCCGGGCGGCTCAACTTTTGCACATGGATAACCACAATATGGGAATTGGGGACCTTAGAAACCACTCAAACTGGGATGCAATCGTAGCCCTCTACTAGCCATTTGCCTTGCTTTCATCAACCTGGGATATGTTTATGTTTCTATTGCACAAGTGTCTATTATCCATGGTTGGACAGGTCAGAGTCTCGATCTCTCCACCTTGGCCAACGCTTCTGCATCCTTCTTGGCCCATTCTCGCATCGTCTTCCTCTGGATCTTGCCGCTTGCAAGTTTAGGGACCTCGTCGATGAAGACTACGCCGCCGACGAGCCATTTGTGCTTGGCCAGTAGCGGCTTGACCCATTCTTGGATGTCTTTCGGCTGTATTTTCCCCTTCGACCCTGGCTGGATCACCACGTAGGCTCGTGGCCATTCCTGGCCGTCTCTGTAAAGCACGCACACAAGTCACATCAGCGGAAAGTGACACATTGGGAGGGGCCGGGCTCTCGACGTACATGGTAATTCCCACCACTGCTGCGTCGGCAACGTGCTCGTTCTTGAGTAGCACCGCCTCCAGCTCGGCAGGGGCAACCTGAAGGGCGTTGACTTTAATGAGTTCCTGCAGAACACACACAACACGGTTAGTAGAGGCCCACGGGTGAGACAGACAGAATGGTAAGATTCGGAAAAGGCGTGGAGATATTTACCTTCTTCCGGTCCACGATCCAGAAGAATCCCTCGTCGTTGCACAGGGCGATGTCTCCGGTCCTCAACCAGCCGTCCTCGCTCAGGCTCTCCTTGGTCGCCTCGTCGTTCCCCCAGTATCCGAGGCAGATGTTTGGGCCGCGGACGTACATCTCGCCGGGCTGGCCCGTGTCGACCTCCTTCCCGTCCTCATCGACGAGCTTGCACTCGCAGTTGGGGTCCAGCCTCCCGACACTCCCAGAGTCATCCTTGATGCCGCCGGGAACGTGCAGGGCGCCGCAGGTGACCTCGGTCATGCCCCAGCCCTGGTTGATCTGCATGTTGAACCTGCGCTGGCACTCGTTCTGCAGCTCCCTGCTCAGGGGCGCGGCGCCGCACAGCACGTCCTTGACGCTGCTCAGGTCGTAGCGGGACGTCTCGGGCCGCTTGCTCAGCATGACGAGGATGGGCGGCGCGATCTGCAGGCTCGTGATGCGGTAGCGGCCGATGGCGGCCAGGAAGTCCTCGTAGCGGAACTCGCGCATCACGTAGATGGGCACGGCCAGCCGGACGGCCATCAGGATGGTGTACAGCTGGCCGTAGGCGTGGTACAGCGGCAGGAACCCGATCCACCGCTCCTGGGGCCGGCGTGAGAAGGGGTACGGCTTGTGCGCGTACCGCATGAAGATGGTCTGCTCCACGTTGGCGATCAGGTTGTGGTGCGAGACGCACACCCCCTTGGGCAACCCCGTCGTCCCGGAGCTGTAGTTGATCGTCGCCACCGTCTCCTTGGACTCCTCCGGCCCGAGCTCCGGCCAGCGGTACGTCTCGCCCTGCGAGGAGGTTCCGATCATGGCCCGCCAGTCGGGAATGCCCAGCTTGGGTGGGTTCTCCGAGTCTGAGAACTGAAACACCCGGCTCCGTGGGATGCCGGCCTTGGATGCGGCCTCGAGCGCCGTCGCGAGGTAGTCGGGGTGTGCCAGGATGATCTTCGCGGTGGTGTTCTCCATCTGGTGGGCCAGTTCTTTCGGGAAGTGAGTTAGTAAACACCAAACAAAACCCCTGATTTTGTCAATGCCTCGTGGTCATCACATACCAGGAATCGTATAAGCCGGGTTGGCGCCGCTGAAGACCAGGCCTGCGCCGACAATACCCAGATAAGCCACAGGGACGAAGATGTGGTTAGGAGTGAAGATCATGGCCACATCTCCTCCCCGTAGGCCGAGACCCTCGAGGCCAAAGGCCAGGCGCTTCACCCATTGTAGAGCCTGCTTTGGGGAGAGCCGCCTGCTATTGTCCTTGCTGTCTATCCAGATATCCTGCTCGAGGGGCTCCTGGTCCGGGGGGAAGATGTAAGTGAGGATGTTTGTCTCGGGGATGGAGATGATTGGGTAGGGCGACTTGTAGACCATCTTGAAGCGGGACCAACTATGTGGCAGGACGATCTAGGAGGATCAAGTTGTCCAAGGGGAATGAAATGCCAACAATGCCAACACACTCCTCCGAGATATTTCAGTCGACATCGTCTTCCAAGTAGGCAGTTCCACCATCCACGACTACAGTCACCTCGCGACGATGTCCCATGCTGGTACCTTCGCCCAACCCCCCAACCGGTCCCTCCCTCGGGTATTGCGGGGTAAGCAAGTCCACACACTACTGGATGCTGTCTGCGCGTAAGTCACCGGGAAGTGGAACTGAGGGACAGCGGAAGCCTTCTCGGCGGGTGCCACATGCCCCGCACAGCTGCTTAAATACAGTGGATTTAGTGGGCTCAATGCCGACTACAGCCACGGAAACGCGGCTGCTTACACAGGCCGAAGAACAAGGAGGGAAGCCCAACGCCAGTTTACAGAGAGGGCAAGGGAGCATGATGTAGTTAGTGCAGCTTCAGAGGGAGTCAACCGAGTCCTTCCAGTCTCAATATTTGACCTCAGTTGTTGATCAACACAACGGCAGATTGCTTACTCCTCAATTGACTGCACTCCTTGACCTCATTACCCACATTCTCTCCCTCTCTAGGCCCCACAAACACAAACGCAAATCGCCATGTCCGACCTCCCCAACTTCAACTCCATGTTCTCCCTCGAGGGCAAGACCGCCCTCGTCACGGGTGGCTCCCGTGGCCTCGGGCTGCACATGGCGACGGCCTTCCTTCGCGCTGGGTGCTCGCTGGTGGTCGTGACGGCGCGCAAGTCGCAGGGCGAGCAGGGCATCGACCAGGCGGTGCGGCGGCTGAACGCGCTCCCGGGGATCCGGGGCCGGGCCGTGGGCGTCGCCGCCGACGTGGCCAGCTCGGACGACATCGTCCGGTTGGTCGGCCGCGTGCGGGAGGAGCTCGCCGGCGCCGGGAAGAAGGGGCTCGACATACTCGTGTGCAACGCCGGCGCGGCGTGGGGGTCCCGGTTCGAGGACGCGCCGCCGAGCAGCTCGATCAAGATCCTTGACCTCAATGTCAGGGGCGTCTTTGAGCTGGTCCAGAAGTCGCTGCCACTTCTTGAGGCGGCTGCGTCGAAGACGGACCCGGGGAGGGTGCTTATCATCAGCTCTACGGCCGGGTCCAACGTGCCGCACGTCGGCGAGCATGGAACTATCATGTACTCGGCCTCCAAGGCCGCTGCCCACGTGAGTTCTCCTCTCCTCTTTCCTTTACCCCTTTCCCTTTCGGTCTTTCCACCGTCGACTCACCAACTCTTTTCAAAAGCATCTGGGCAGGAACCTCGCGGTTGAGTTGGGCCCGCGGAACATCACGTCCAACGTTATCGCGCCGGGCTTCTTCCCTTCGAAGCTGGCGCAGGGCCTGATTCAGAATCTCGGAGGGATCGAGTCACTGAGCAAGGATAATCCCATGGGACGGCTAGGAGAGGCGGAAGATATCGCCGGAGTGGCCGTGTTCCTGTGCACACCCGCCGGCAAATATGTGTAAGTCCCCTTTGATGACAGGTCTGATGGGGTATCCCTGATTTTTGTACTAATCTCCTGTAGAAATGGCGAGGATATCGCGGTGGATGGTGGTGCGAGACTCTCCGCGGGAAGGATGTCAAGGCTCTGAGATGTACGATAGACTAGGTAGAAGGCGCACACATACCCCAAATCGTGCACACGGGCTCTCAAACACTGATCACAACACGTGCGGGCAATTGCATCCAACATGTTTGAAGACAGGCCTCGGACGGACTCAGATAGCAAGCCCATGATTCGGAATTTCAGATGCCCTTTTAATATGTCACATTGAGCCTCTAAACTACCTAGAACAAGCACAATCCCCCTAATACGTCAGGTTGATAAACACCGTCTTAGGCTCGGTGAACATGCGGAGGGCATTAATAGCATTCTCGCGGCCGATACCGCTCTGCTTGTTGCCGCCAAAGGGGGCCTGCAGGAAGGCCATGCTGACGCAGTTGACGCCGACCATGCCACTGTCGAGCTCGGCGGCCAGGCGCATCGCCCGGTTGACGTCCTGCGTGAACACGCCCGCCATCAGCCCGTACTCGCTGTCGTTGGCCAGCGCCACGATCTCCTCCTCTGTCCGGAAGCTGTTGAGCACCGCCACGGGGCCGAAGATCTCCTCCTGGCTAATCTCGGCGTCGTGCGCCACGTTCTCGAATACCGTCGGCTGCACGTAGTAGCCCTGCGGAAGGGGGTGTTAGTGCTGTTTCCCAGTACGTACGTACTTGATCTCGGCTTCTTCTTTTTTTTCTTACCTTGCCTCCCACCTTCTCTCCTCCCACGAGCAGATTGCCCTGGCTGCGGCCGCGCTCAATGAAGCCCGACACGCGGTCGAACTGCATCTTGTCGACGAGGGGCCCGATGGTGGTGGTGGCCGCGTCCGGGTCGCCGACGGCCGCGGCCTTGTCCTTCATGGCCTGCTTGTACTTTGCGACGAATTCCTTGTAGATGCCCTCCTGGACGTAGACCCTGCTGGCGGCGAAGCAGACCTGGCCCGTGTTGGCGGTGATTGCGTTTGCGCACCACGCGACGGCGTTGTCGAGGTTGCAGTCGTCGAACACGACGGCGGGGCTCTTGCCGCCGAGCTCGAGAGTCACCCGCTTGAGGTTGCTGCGCGCCGCCATCTCCTGGATGCGCCGCCCCGTCGACGTCGAGCCCGTGAAGCTGACCTTGCGGACGCGCATGTGGCTGGCCAGCAGCGCGCCCGTGGTGCCGTCGCCCGAGATGACCTGGAACACGCCCGGCGGGAAGCCGGCCTCGCGGATGAGGGTGCCCAGCGCGAGGGCCGCGAAGGGCGTCTTCTCGGACGGCTTGAGGATGAAGCAGTTGCCCGTGCTGAGGGCGGGGCCGGCCTTCATGCCGACGTTGGCCAGAGGGCCGTTCCACGGGATGATGCCGCAGGTGACGCCGAGGGGCTCGTTGCGCACAATCTTGAGGAAGCCGTCCTCCTGCGGGTACGTCTCGCCCGCGAACTTGTCCGTCCAACCGGCGAAGTAGCGGAAGCCCTCGGCCGCCATGTTGATCTCGAACGAGCCGAACGAGCCAAAGGGCGCGCCCAGCGTCTCCCGGGTCAGCTCCGCCAGCGCCTTGCCGTTCTGCTCGATCAGGTCCGCCAGCTTGAGCATGCAGTCGCGCCGGACGTTGGGCAGCGTCTTGCGCCAGGCCGGGAACGCCGCCTCGGCCGCTGCAACGGCCGCGTCGACGTCCTGCTCACCCGCTAGGGAGACATCGTTGGCTACCAGGGAGCCGTCCTTGGGGTTGTGGAGCTCGAGCTTCTTGGGGTGTTTGCTGTCGACGTACTGCAACAGACATGTGAGTGACCACTTTTTTAAAGGGCAAAAGAATGGGGGGGTTCTGGCCGGTGGATATCCCTACCTCATTGTTGATGAAGAGTTTCTTCGGCAAGTTGCTCTTAGTCCAAGAGAACTCGGAGCTGATGTTCTTGGTAGACTCCTTGAGGGAAGGCCCGAGGGAAGTCATGGTGAATCACGATGTTTATTCTCAACTAATGCCACAGGCAGGACTTAGTCGGGAGAATACAAGGGGGTGACGATTGGGTCTCAAGTTTCACAGATAGCTCGTGTTCTCTTCCCACTTTCCCTCTACAATGGCTGACCGGGTGCCCATGATAAGGAAAGCAAACAAGCCACGCCCGCTGCGTCATCGCTCCTCCTCCCTCCTCATGTTGGAGAGGCGCCGCGCTACAGAATCGAAGACCCGCATGCATGGCCAGGCCATTTTGTGCTAGCCTCACTCCCGTGGGCTAGACGGCTATTCGTTACCATGTGCGTGCGACTCCTGCTATTGTTTCGCGGGGGCGGTACAGACAAGAGAGCCCGCGGTGGGCAAGTCTCGCGCATTCCATTTTGTTCAGACCACGAGTCACGATTGAGGCTAGGCGGGTCGGATCTTGACTCGTGAACTCCGGCTGTGGGTCAGGCTATCCATTTCCGTCGATAAATTGCAGCTAATGACCACTCTCACCAGGGCAGGCAGGGGGGTGGGAGACACCCTGCACCTTGCACCCTGCACCTTTCCCCCGCATTCCCCATCGCGGGGTTAAGTTGGAGATCTTTGCCCCGCTCATCGTGGTCGCCAACCTTCTTCCTGAAATCGCAAATTGTACACGTACTAGAGGATGGCGCAGGAACAGCGACTCCGCCCTTCCGCGATCGCCGGATCTACTGACTCTGCGGCACCTTAGTCGTGGAGCTAGCCGTGGCGGTTTGGGGGTGAGCAACAGCCTGTTCGTTATATGTGAGACCCAGTCGTGGTTGTGGTTGAAGCACCGTGAGAGCTTTTGTTGAGAGCTTGTAGAGTATCGTCAATAACATTCTTTACTTTGACTGTAGTTACTTGAATCCAAATCCAACCACATATCAATCCCCTCAGAACTTCTTCACGATGAGCCCGAGCATCCCCAAGACGCAGAAGGCGGGTCAGTGGGATCCGGTAAGATAATGACTTCACTCACCCTGACAACCTCTCTGGCCAGTCTATCAAGGTGTTCCTGAATGGGGGCCGGCTCCAGGCTCCAGCAGATGACTAGGATTACATTATCTAATACCCTCGAGTAGCAATTGCAGAAGGTCGTCATCAACGAGATCCCCGTACCGCAGCCCGGCCCCAATGAGTTCCTCGTCAAGATCCGGTCGGCGTCGCTCTGCCACAGCGACATACTGGCCACCAAGCAGGTAACCAAGCCGACAACTCTAAGCCACGAGGGCGTCGGATACATCGTGTCGTCGCACCCGTCGGCCGAGGGCAAAGGGTTCAACACCGGCGACCCCATTGGCTTCCTCTACATCACCGGCTGCTGCTTCGAGTGCTCCGGGTGCCACCTCCACAACCTGCACTGCGAGACGGGCAAGCAGCTCCTGCACGGCTTCACGACCGACGGCTACTTCCAGGAGTACGCCGTCGTCGACTACCGCAACGCCGTCGTGCTGGACGAGAAGATCTGGGACATGACGCGGGCATCGCCCGTCTTCTGCGCCGGCATCACCGCCTTCCACTCGGTCGACAGCTGCGAGCTGCAGCCGGGCCAGTGGTTCGGCATCGTCGGGTGCGGCGGCCTGGGCCAGTACGCGACGCAGTACGCCAAGGCCATGGGCCTCAAGGTCGTCGGCATCGACGTGGCCGACGCCAACCTCGAGGAGACGCGGAGGCTGGGCGCCGACGCCGTCTTCAACTCGAGGACGAACCCAAACTACCTCGACGAGATCAAGGAGCTCACCGGCGGCGGCTGCCACGCCGTGGCCGTCTACACAAACGTCAACGCCGCCTTCACGGGCGTGCCTGCGCTCATCCGGCTCGGCGGCACCATGATGGTCATCGGCATCCCGCCAGAGCCGCTCCAGATCAGCGCCATGGACCTGGTGCTCGGCAAGTTCAAGATCAAGGCTGACAGCACGAGCATCCCGCAGCGGATGAAGAAGGCCGTCGACTTCACGGCAAAGCACCGCATCATGCCCAACGTGGATGTCCGGGAGGGCCTAGAGTCGCTGCAGGGTATGATTGACGAGATGAAGCAGGGGAAGAACACCAAGAGGACGGCCATTGTATTTAACTAGGTGGTCGGTTGGTGGCTATTAGTATCTCCATAAAAGAGGTAGATGACTTGATGTGATGAATGACATGTACATATTTTACATAGATAGAATGGCATGCATTTTACATACAGTATGCCCACCACAACGCTTGAAGTGTGTATTGAGTGTGAGATTATGTCTGCCCAACTAATATATGTTCCTATCACACATACACACGACGTTTACGGGGACTCGACTGGGTCATGAACAAAATCCAAGAGTATTCCCAAGAGGTGCTAGCTAGCAGCTACAACAAAAGAAAGGACATGCTAGGCTACCTAGGCAAACGTGATATACTTCTCGCCGTACTGCTCAGCAAATTTCTTGTATCTCTCCTGGTAAACCTGGTGCCTCTTCCTGAACTCCGCGGCCGTCTTCATCTCCTCCCTCCCAACCTGGTGCCTATGCGCTGCGTCGGGCCCGTCGGCGACCCTCACGAAGCGGGCATATGTCCACATCTCGGGCAGCGGCGTGTGCTGCGTCAGGCCCTGGCCGCCGTAGATCTGCATGCACTCGTCGATAACGCGGGCGGCCAGCTCGGGCACGAGGATCTTGCTCTGGGCGATGGCGCGCTTGCCGGCCTTGTTGCCGAGCAGGTCCATGGTGTCGGCGGCGTTGAGCACGACGAGGCGCGCGGCGTCCAGCTCGAGCCGCATCTGCGCCACGCGCTCGATGTTGCTGTCGAACTCGCCGATCAGCTTGCCGCGCGGCCGCTTGCGCTCGTCGGTGCACCGCAGCAGCGCCAGCTCGTAGGCCCGCTCGCACTGCCCGATCAGCCGCATGCAGTGGTGGATGCGGCCCGGGCCGAGGCGGCCCTGCGCGATCTCGAAGGCGCGGCCCTCGCCGAGGATGATGTTCTCGACGGGCACGCGCACGTTCTCGTACAGGTACTCGCCGTGGCCCTCCGGGGCGTGGTCGTAGCCCATGATGGTCAGGTTGCGCACCTGCGTGATGCCGGGGGTGTCGCACGGCACGATGAGCGTCGAGTGCCGGCTCCACCGGTCCGGGTTGCCCGGGTCGCTGCACCCCATCAGGATGTAGAAGGACAGCTCCTTGTTCCACAGGGAGTTGCCGTACAGCTTGCGCCCGTTGATCACGTACTCGTTGCCCTCGCGCGTGATGCGGATCCCGATCTGCGTCGCGTCAGAGCTCGCCACGTCCGGCTCCGTCATCGAGTACGCCGACATCATCGTCCCGTCCAGCAGCGGCTGCATCCACTTCTTCTTCTGCTCGGGCGTGCAGTACTTGGCCAGAAGCTCGATGTTGCCCGTCTCTGGCGCGTGGCAGTTCATGGTCTGCAAGAGGAGGAAAGGGGGCATCAGTAAGAGAGAGAGAGAGAGAGAGAGAGAGAGAAAAGGGAGCACAGAAGAACGGAACACTAACCTGAGCGGCCCAGTAGCACCTCCCCATGATCTCGGCGCAGCACGAATACTCCAGGTTCGTCAGGCCAGGGCTCTCCTTGAAGTGGTTGGGCAGGAAGAGGTTGAACAGCCCCCTCTCCTTGGCCTTCTGCCTCAGCTCGTGCATCACCTCCTGCGTCTTCCACCGGTTACCTTCGAGCTGGGCCTTCATGATCTGCTCCCGCGGGATGCACTCATTCTCAACCCATTCGTGCACCGCCTGGATTTTCTCAATGGCCAACGGCGAGAGCTTCTGCCGGACCCAGGGCGGTATCCTCGCAAAAGCTGGGCCGCTGAAGGCCGGGTTTTCTGCAGCTGTTTGGGGAGACATGGTGAGAAGAGTACCCTGTTGTTTGGTATTCTCGGTAAGTATGGAGGTGAGAATGAAACAGCTCTCAACTTGTTCATATACCACTTCAGTGATCCCAACCGCTATTCGCTTCCTCCCATTCCCATTGTGGCTCGGCCATTCAGATAAGCTTGTTAGAAGTCGAACCACTGCGGGTGTTCTCTTCCCTCCCCGCAGTTTACCGCGGTTGGGAGGCTAAACTAGCCACCTGCAACACCCCCTAACCCCCCAAACAGTAACCAGACTACCTGTCATTGTGGAGTAGTGGAGCCTACCTAGGCTGAATCTCAGCGCTCAAACAACCAAGGATGGCCTCGGCACAAACCCCCGAGGCCCGGCGATGAAGCAACGGGAACACCTGGAATGGTAAGCACACCGAACAGGCTGTGGTTGGCCCAGCGAGAGGCACATTTGTGAGACATCTTCGACGTTTGTTTTCAGATCAGTCTGCGTCGCGGAAAGGACCGCGGGATATGAACATGTATGCACTTCTTTCCCCCCCTCACTCTCTCGTTCTGTATGAGCTACAAGTTATATACCAAAAAGCTGCTAGCAAAGAAAACTACGGGATGATCTTGGCCTTCTTGAACCGATCAAACGCCGTGTACCACGCCGTCTTAGTATCAACATTCTCGGCCAGGTCGCCCATCATCTCGTGGCACTTGGTCAAGTCCATCTGCCTGTCAAAGTTGAGCATCGTCATGATAAAGTACGGGAACCCGCCGTAGCTCCTGCCATTGCCGACGCGCCCCGTCACGAGCCCATGCTTCCTCTCCAGCACCTTCCACTCCTCCCCGTGCTCGGCCAGGTAGGCCGCTGGCTCGGGACCGGACCCCCCCGGCGGCGGCGGCGTGCCCTTGAGGCCAAAGTAGTCGCAAATTATCGGCCACTTTGCGCTCCACGTCGACGGCTGGGCGTTGTCGGCGGCGTTGTACCGCTGCTCCGAAGACTTCTCCGGGTGCAGCGAGGCGACGATGGCCACCTTTGCGCACACGTCCTGGCTGCTGTCGTTGCTCAGATTCCGCCACGAGACCTCGGTGCCGGGGAAGGCGACCTCGGCGCCCGGGCCGTTGATGTGCGCGTACAGCGACAGGTACAGGGACAGGGCCTGGGCGAGGCAGTATATGTTGTTGTTGGGCACGAAGCCGACGATCATGTCCGGGATGATGTCGCACCACGTCCACGCCTTGCCGCGCGACATGGACGAGAGCATGTCCGTCTGGCTGTAGTAGAACATCTCGGACGCGTACGGCTCCGGTATCCGCGGCAGCGTCTCGCTCAGCGGGAGGTCGTTGGCAAACGGGAACTTGTCCAGCAGGTGCACGCCGTACGCCTTGGTGCCCGTCGGGAGGACCACGAACTTGAGGTTGGGAGAGACCTGCTCGACTGCCTTGATGGCCCGCGAGATCAGCTCGACGTTGATGCTGATCTCCTTGGCCGGGTCCGGATCCATAATGTACGCTGGAGCGAGGAGGATCGTTAGAACGCGGACTAAACCAAGATATGAAGAAGGGACCATTGCCCTCAGGTCGTTGCATCCTCACCGAAGAAATAGACATGTGACACGTCCTTGATGTTCTTGACCTTCTCCTTCAGTTCGGCCTCAAGCGCCTCCTGACCCTTCGGGTTCAAGATGTCGACGCCGCTGACGACCTGCAGCTTGGAGGACTGGGGCCATTGCGCCGCCTCCGGGCTCAGCGGCCGGTTTGTGAGCGCGGTGACCGAGGCAAAGGCGTCGGGCGTAGGATAGCCGTTGAGGATCTGGTTGGTGATGGCCCATCCCGTGATGCCACTGGCACCTATACCCCGTTAGCTTCTTGGAATCTGGGTTGGGGTAAACATGGGCTTCTTCGTACCGAAGACGAGGGCGTGGTTGGCAGACATGTTGGATCTCGGAGTCTCCTTTCTACGCGACTGGTGACCGGCAGAGACAGAAACGATACAATGCAACTTGGATCAGAAAAAAATATGTTATCGCTTACGATGTCGTCAGGCGATGGCGGCGGGGACGTCTCTCTCAGATCTCATGTACTCCAGCCATGTGTGTGAGGGGTATGCGCAAAAGATCAAGCGTCCAACTGGGGGGAGTCCCTGGGGGCCACATTTGGACCCAAGCCATCTCCACGGGATACTGGAATTGAACCACCGGGCGAGAATCGATGCGCTACCATAGAGCTGTTGGTCAGCTCCTAGGAAACCCCAACTGAGGGTCCTTCAACAGCTTACCGATGCGGCGCGCGCTGGGCAGCCAGCCAGCCGGGAGACAGTAAGCATATCGCACAGAGACCCATCTCCAAGGCAGAGCTTCTCCAATCTTGGCCGGCATCTGCCCCACTTCTCCGCATAGCTGGCTTCGCATGCTAGGAAAAGCTTTCCCCTCCATCAAATCAGCACCCCTCCAGGCCTGCATGTCGGTAAATGCATGTGCGCATCTCCAAGGGAAACAACACGTGCTAATGATTCACTGGCTGCAGGGACCCTTGCAAGGGTCGGCTCGTCCGTGGCCGAGCCCGTGGAGGAGGGAGGCTGTCATGAGAGCTGTCGCCGCGCCGGAAATGCACATCCCACAAGGGCCGGATCTCCCAAATCTGGAGACTGAGAGAGGCTCAGAGATGGGGGGGATTTTCGCCCTTACGGAAGATGAATAGCATTAGCACTGAAGACAAGCCTCTGGGCCCTCTTCAACACGTTAGCTGCTTGCGAAGACCTTGACCTCGGGCGGCGATTGGCTGAGCCGTTCCAACTACGCTTAACGGAAACGCACATGCTCTCTAAGTCCACAGGCGCGGCTTTTGATGTCTTCTTCCTGCCCGCCGCCTTGCCCACTGTTTATCAGGTAGCCTCGCCATCTTGGCAATAGATCGTAACAGGTGGTGCCAGAACCTGATAGATGTCGAACCACCCCGACTACCACCCCTTCCGGTAATTTTCTCGACCTCCCGTCGCGCCGCAAGTACAAAGCCTCCGACAAGGAGAGTTGGTGATCTTCTGTCTTTCTCTATCGGCACCATCCTCAAGTCGTCGTCTTCTCAAGATACCCAAACCCTCTCTCTCGACATCAACATGGCACCCTCGGCGACGACGGCCCCTGAGGTGAACGGCACAACGCCTGCACAGGCAAACGGAGTCCAGGATGCTTCGAGCGAATTCTCATATCCCGAGATGGCAGCCCCTTACCGGGTGCTCAAGCAGTACCACTCCAAGCCGACGAAGCTGAGAGTCGCCTGCGTCGGTGCGGGCGCCTCGGGCATGTGCCTCTCGTACAAGATGGTCTGTTTTCTGCCCGACATTACCAACACCGGAACGGGGAAGATATATGGCTACTTGAAAGACTAACACGGGAGGGGAAATAGAACAAGATGATGGTCCCCGGGAGCTGGGAGCTGACCCTCTTCGAGAAGAACGCCCACTTCGGCGGCACCTGGTATGAGAACACGTATCCCGGAGTGGCCTGCGACATCCCCTCCCACCTGTACACCTTCTCGTGGGACCCCAAGCCCGACTGGTCGCACTACTTCGCCTACGGTGGGGAGATCCAGCGGTATTTCGAGAACTTCGCCGAGCGCCACGGCTGCAAGAAGTACATGAAGCTCAACACCAAGGTGGTCGAGTGCCGCTGGGACGAGGGCAGGGGGATCTGGAACCTCACGCTCGAGGACCAGGTGACCAAGGACCTCTGGCACGACTGGTGCCACGTGCTGATCAACGGCACCGGCATCCTCAACAACTGGGCCTGGCCCGAGGTCGAGGGGCTGCACGACTTCGCCGGCCCCAAGATGCACTCGGCGCAGTGGGACCACTCGGTCGACTTCAAGGGCAAGACGGTCGGTATCATCGGCACGGGCAGCACCAGCGTCCAGATCGTGCCGACGCTGCAGCCCGAGGTCGGACACATGAAGGTCTTCATGCGGTCCTCGACCTGGATCTCCCCGCCCTTCGGCGGCGGTGTCCTGGACTCGGAGCTGCGGAAGGACGCCGTGGACAACGACGCCGGGAAGAGGCAGTACACCTTCACCGACGCGGACAAGGAGAAGTTCAGGGACGACAAGGAGTACCACCTCATGTTCCGCAAGCGCATCGAGGCCGAGATCAACTCACTCTTCGGCATGTACCAGCAGGGGTCGGAGATGTCGAACCACTTCCGCAAGGCCATCACCGAGGAGATGCACCGGAGGATCGGGCCGGGCCATGAGAAGCTCAAGGAGTTCATCGTGCCGAAGTGGTCGCCCGGCTGCCGGCGCATCTCACCCGGCGACGGCTACCTCGAGGCGCTCGTCAAGCCCAACGTTGAGACGGTGTTCGGCGGCATCAGCAAGATCACGAAGGAAGGCATTGTCACGGCAGACGGCCAGCTGCACAAGCTCGACGTGCTCGTGTGCGCAACCGGGTTCAAGGTGGCTTTCCGGCCGGCCTTTAAGGTCATCAACGGCGAGGGCAAGACGCTGGACGAGGACTGGGGCGAGGGAGTCAACCTGTACCTCGGGGTGTCGGCGCCGCGGTTCCCCAACTACTACACCATCGTAGGGCCCGGGGCGACGTGGTCGTCGGGCACGCTACTGCCGTCAATCGAGACGACCATCGAGTACTCGGTCAAGATGATGAAGAAGATCCAGCACGAGCAGATCCGGTCCATCGACGTGCAGCAGGGCGCCGTCGACGACATCTACGCCCACTTCGACGCCTTCCACAGCACCACCGTCTTCCAGGAGGAGTGCCGCAGTTGGTTCAAGGACGGCAAGATCAAGAACAGGATCTACCTGTGGCCGGGATGCGTAAGTTTTGCCTGCCGCGAGCGGTTTCCCATCTAACCAACCCTATTCCCTGTCTGCCTTAACAACCTCGATCAATCAAGCCCACCCCCAATCTATCACCTCTTCTCCCCCGATGTCGCTCTCGCTTCATGTTGCCCTTGGTGGTTTTAGTAGCTCCTCTTCGCCCCTCCGACTACTTCGTATTATCCCAAGTCGCGCGTGCGGGGTAACCGGGGGGGGCGATATCGAGAGGGGAAAGAATGCGCAAAGCAATGAAGGCTAACCTGAACGGGCGGTTTGCAGACAATCCACTTCCTCAAGACGATCAAGGAGCCCAGGCTCGAGGACTACAATATCCGATACCGATACGGCAACCGGTTCGCCTTCCTCGGCAACGGCGAGGTCAAGGCCAACACGACGGGCGACGTCAAGGGCTTGAGCACCTATGTCCGCGACAGCGATCACGACTGGGATGTCGAATAATTGTCCTTCCTGCCGTGTGTTCGAAGTATATAAGGGATGAGGGCTTGGAAGGGAAGGAGCATCGCAGCATTGGTACATGGATACATCATCGTCGGTTTTTTCGGCAAATTGTGTGGAGGTGGCACATCAGGGAGAGGAGATGGATGGATTTCTGGAGAAATGAGGGGCAGGGGGCACTCGTTTGGCCAAGCAGGATCTCGCTTCTTGTTATTGGCTGAGGGCCATGGTGGGACTGAATCATTGCAATCCCATCGATCGACAGGACATCTCGGCTTTTCCCTTGTTTTGATTGATTGTGAACAGCATTTAACAATTCTCAACCCAAAAAGACCGCGTTTGTTTGTACGGAGTGCAGAGGTCCCCGATCCCGTGACGCAAATCTGACTGGGACCACCAATCAGAAAGTTGTCACGGCTCGATGAGAACGCGAGGATAAAATAATGATTGTTAGCCCGATTCTTCAGGCAGGGGTCTGTGTCGGAAGCCCCTAGTCCCCATATGCATACAGATGGAAATAGCCTTGCTGCGCAGCCATGTTACATGTTCACCCATCTGAGGAAAGAAAGCATCTCGACAATTTTGTGCATTCCTGCCTTACAACGTACCTGCCTATTGAGAGTCCAGGCTACGGGCTGCACTAGTTACGCGAGCTCGCAGGCAAGACCAATGGCCTCCCTGCCATTCACCCCCAGAGGCTCCCAGAGCTCCCAGAGCTAGCACCAGTTAGCAGGTGCTTGGCTGCAAGAGATCAGGCGATTGAACAACGGGCACAGGGTCAGCCGTGTCAGCCCTCCACAAACCTGCGCAAACTCCACAAACTGGGCAAAGTGGGAAAAGCTGGGCAAGCTGGGGAAGTAGGGAAGCACCCGGCTGGGGAAATGATTTCTTGGGTCTTTCCAATGCTCCGGACCCCCGGGTCGTTCGCGAGTCAGAGGGGGTGTCCATGCTTTGGATAGAACGAGTCAGTATCAATGCGGGGTTTGCCGGGGCCAGCCCCGATTCTTCCCATGGATTGCGTGTCATTGGCTGCGGCACCCCCCAAATGTCAACCAGGCAGGTGGATATCCATTCGGCTGGACCACGGCTAACGGGATTTTGCGCGGTTGAAGGGACACGGCAGTGAGCAGCTATGTACATGTACATGTACAGGCTTGCAACCCTCGTACAAGCCCCTGCGGCGGGGTAGGTACCTACCTAAGTGTAGTGTAGAACCGAAGCATGCTGGAAATTGGCATTCCAGCATCTTCCACGGTCATATCAGTGCTGGGGAAAGTGAGAAGGAAGATGTGGGAGATGAAATATATAATAAAATGTGAACGCAACAAATTAGGCCCTAGCCATTCTCCCTCGCTTCCTTGTTTTATTAAAAATGGGGGGAGAAACTGGGGGAGGTATTCGGAAGAAAATAATTAAGCAATCGCACGCCAATGCTTCCCATGCTCGACTCCGACCTGCGATATCTGGGCGTGACACACGTACTTGTAGTATAATGTACACGATACATCCTTGCAGAGCTGCCCGCCCCCAGATCTGTAACCCCACCCTCCACATTTCTCCTTCCCACTCCTGTGGAGTGCGATGGGGGGAGGAGCTAGGTACCTCGAAACTTGCAAGGCATGCTGTGTAAACTCGTACCCAGAGCCCGGATGCAAACCACTGATCCGAATAATTCCAACTGCCAGCATGATCCCACGTCTTCCGGGGCGGCGCTCAGCGTTCACATCAGATACGAATTAAGCCTATTTGGTGATTGGTGTGTTATCCGAGCGACTTCTGGGTCGAAATCATCGTCCAATCGTTTTCTCCACCAGGCTGGTCATGACATCCCCAAAGGGACTTGGAAGGGGGCTTGATGCGGTAGTTCGCACTAGCAGGGAGCTACCCAGGGCGATGGCGACGCCAAGAAGGCGAATCTGGACCCCCTCGTGGCTTCTTTTACCCCATTGTTGTCGTGAGGAAGGGGCGTTTCCCATGCACTACTTTATACATTTCTTCACACAAGCCCAAGCTCCCCTACCCTCCCAAAAGTAGAGACAGGTATTTTTGGGATTGCTGAGATTGCTTCTGCCTGAGAACGAAAACGAGAACTCGTCCTCCTCCGTCACAACACTAACACTGTTTGTCGTTGAGTGAGCCGATCTCGAGTGCAATAACACGGCTCCTCAGTATGACCTCCGCCAGATCCGAATCCAAGTCTCTGCCCGAGACCAGCCTCACAGACGCCTCCAACCCGGAGAACGTCTCGCCTCGAAACCATCCGGCGAGGCAGCCCACCAAGCAGCAGGTCAGACACAGGGCCTCTGTCGCCTGTGCCTCGTGCCGTGACAGGAGGATTCGCTGCGTCGTGCCAAAGGGGGCGTCCGAGTGCACCCAGTGCAAGCGGACGGGGACCGAATGCATCATCAAAAATGATGATGAGAGGAGACGGTATGAGCTGCCTTGTCCCGTTGCCGCAGATTCGACGGTGCTGATACGTGGGATAGTCCCATCTCCAAGGCTTATACGTCGTCTTTGTCTGAGCGCATCTCCCTGCTCGAGGCCATGCTGAAAGACCAGGGCGTGGCCCCCCCACCGGCGGTCTACCCGCCAAGAACAAGGCAAGAAGCCCAGGCGAAACAGCAGGAGGAGGAGCAGAAGCAGCAGCAGCAGCAGCAGCAGCAGCAGCAGCAGCAGCGACCACAACAGCAACAGAACCAAGCTCATGACTTTTCGCACCTCCATCGGCCCATCCCGGAGACCTCCCCCGATCTTGACGGCCCATCGCCGCCAGACTCGGGGAACGACGATTTCGCCATGCACGAACTCGACCAGGCCCACAGCGTCCACAGCATCCTCGCCAACAGCCAGACCTTCCAGCCCCTAGTGAAGGAGCCGTCACCATTCCGGAACCTGGACCCTCAGAAGGAAGACATTGTCAATCGCCTCTTATCGACCAAGGGCAACCTCTCCTTTGACCAGATTTCCGGGAGGTTCCGGTTCTTCGGCCCCACGGCAAACAGTCACGTCTACGCCGAGTCGTCGGACCAGCTCGACTCGCGGGAGCCTCCGGAGCAGGTCCGCCGCGCCGAGAGGATCATCCGGTCCCTGACAGTCCCCACCTACGACTACCTCATGAGCTCCTTCTGGGATTATTACAACTCGATTCTCCAGGTCATCGATCGGGAGGCCTTCGAGGCGGATAGGGATTCCCAAAACCCCAAGTTCTACTCGTCTTTCCTCCACATCACCATCTTGGCGGCCGGCTACCGATTTGCGGACCGGGAGCGGGAGGATATCAGGAGGATCACCGTGGGACAACGGGAGAGCACTCTCCACCGGGAGTCCAAATACATGCTGGACATCGAGCTGGAGCGGCCGGGCGGCATCCCCAGCGTCCAAGCGCTCCTCATCCTGGGCGACATGGAGTGCGGCGTCGGAAGGGACAACACGGGGTGGATGTATTCAGGAATGGCAAACCGGCTGGCGTTTGACGTCGGACTGCACCTCGACTGTCGCGGGGACAATATTACCGAAAGCGAGATCCAGATCAGACATCAGGTCATGCGGGCCTGCGTCCTCTATGACAAGTACTGGGCGCTCTTCCTCGGCCGGCCGACAAGCATCAAGAACCAGGACATTGGCATGGATCTGCTATCGAAGAGGTTCTCCATGCTTGCCTCGGCACCGGCGGCGGTGGCAGACAATGGCAGGCGGAAGTCCAAGACCACCGACGGCGAGGTCCACGAGCAACTCGTCGAGCTCATGGAGATAGCGGGCAAGATCGTCGACACGCGGGACAACAACAAGGTGAACGGCAAGAGCACCGAGCAGGCGGCCAGCATGTTTGGCATGAACGAGTCGGAAGAGAACGCATACCTGCACGTCATCAGCTTGGACCGGCAGCTCCAGAACTGGTATCGACGCCTACCCGACCACCTGACTTGGAAGCCCGCAAACATCAAGGCAGCACCGTTCAGCTACTTCCTCCTCCACCAGCAGTACCACGTGTCCATGATCCTCCTCCACCGGCCGTGGGCGAAGTACGGCGGCACCGGCTCCGACGGAACCAGCACCAACTCTCACCCGAGTCCCGAGTCGTCGTCGTCGTCTGCCCACCACGCCGACGCCAGCATCCAGCATCACATGTCCATCACCAACGGCGCTCTCGGGCTCGGCGACCCCCAGACCATCGTGGACGACAGCCGCACGTCTCTGTCCCGCAGTATCTGCACCCAGCAGGCCATCCGCGTGGCCCGCATCTTCTGGCAGCACCGCCAGCGCTTCGATGGCCGCAAGATCAGCGTGACGGGGATCCAGCACGCCGGGACCTCAGCCATCGCGCTCATCGCCGCTCTCGCCCACCAGACCTCGGACTCCGAGCGCCGCAGCTACCTCGGCTACCTGGAGATCCTCTCGTCCGCCATCGGCGACATGAGCTACACCTACCAACCCGCCGACCGGATGGATGACCTCTTGAAGGCAGTCCTCGTGCAGCTGCGGGGCGACATTCTCGGAGACGCCAGCACCGGCGCCGCGACAACGGGCCACTTCCAGGTCGGCAGCGGCACGACCACCCTATCCGGGCCGCAACAAACCTGGAATACCAGCCCGGGTTCCATCTACTCTATCCTCCCCGCCCGCCGCGAGAACCCATCCGACAGCGAGATCGCCCTGTCGCACCACAACCAGTCCTTCAAGAGGCAACGGCCCACGCCCGGCCGGCGGGCCTCCGAGTTCGCGCTCCCGCCGCCCCCGTACTTCGGCGCGGGCCCCACCCCTCCGCACTCCTCCGGCTCCTTCAGCGGCACCACCGCCGGCGGCGGCCCGCCGCACCTCCAACACCAGCAGCAGCAGCTCCAGCAGCAGCAGCACCACCATCATCACCACCACCACCACCAGCCCATCATGGCAAGCCTCTTCGACAGCTCCAACCACTACGGCCTAGACTGCCTAGACGGCTCGGCCGTCGACCTGGACGGACCAGACGAGCAGCAGCGCGATGGCGCCGCCGTGCAGGGCCGCGCGGCAGACGACTACGTCCTCGTCACGCCATCCTCGGACGGCTGGGCCCTGAACGGGATGGACCAGCCCCATCATCAACAGCAGCATCACGACGCACCCGGCGGCAGCTTCGACATGCCCATGACAGACTGGATGACTGGCGGCCTGAACAGCAACAACAACAACAACAACAACAACAACAACAACAACAACAACAACAACAACAACAACAACAACAACAACAACAACAACAACAACAACACCAGCAGCACCGCCGCCTCCGCATCCGCATCCGCACTCAAGGCGGAGAAGCCCGGCGGGCAGCAGCAGCAAGTCTCACCGGCGCCGGCGGGGGGGAGTCCCGAGCGAGGGGACGACGACGGCGCGGGGGGCTCGAGCTCCAGTCCGGGTGGTGGCGGCGCTGGTGCCGGGAAGGGGGGCGGGATGGAGTGGATGGGCAGCGAGGGGGGTATGAACGCGCTCAGCCCTGTCAGCTTGAGCGGGCTGGTGCAGAGCCTTGAGAAGTCTGGTGGCGGCGGGGCCGGCGGACAGGTGGTGGCGCCGGCTGGGGGGGAGGGCCAGCAAGGGGTTGTTGGTGAGGGCGGGGACGGGAGCGGGAGCGCGGCGGGGAGGAATCTTGAGTTGGATTTCTTTAGCTTTTGATTTTTGGGGGGGCAGGGTTATAAACCTGGGTTTTTTGGGGTAATTGTGCTTTCTTTTCTCTCTCTCTCTCTCTCTCTCTCTCTCTCTCTCTCTCTCTCTCTCTCTCTCTCTCTCTCTCTCTCTCTCTCTCTCTCGATGTTGCTGGGTAGCCTGTTGTCTTTCTTGTACTTGCAACGGGCGACAGGAGTCGGGGTATCCGAAGAATCTAGCCTCGCCTCGCTGCTTTTGTGTCGGAAGGCTGTATGACATCTGATGTGGTTTTGGATCTGGGAAAACTCTCTTGTCTTTATTCAGTCCCTTTAGCGGCCGTTCGTAACGTAGTAGTAGGTTATGCAGTCCTAGGAATGATCCTTAATGCCTTTCCCGCGGGTTTCCCCTTTCGGTGACCAAAGCACTGTTCTGTTCCCACTCCGTGCCTCTCCCTCTTGACCTAAACATCAACAAAGTGAGAGCTTACCAGTCTGTGGTATCCCAATCTGTCGAACCAGCGCTCTCAACCCTGTTGACAATTTCGCCCCCGCACATTCCCCAGTCGACTCTGGGGAAGGGGCCTACCCCTGGCCACTCAGTTGCTGGTAAATCCGCCATCGGCAACCAGGGTAGATCCGGTCATGAAACTGCTCATGGGCGATGCGAGGAAGGTGATGGCATCCCCAACCTGTGGAAGAGGTCAATATCCATCCATGTTGAACGTTGAGAGGGTGCGAGGGTGATCCTACTTCTTCCATTGTTGCCATCCGTTTCAACGGGGTACGCTCAATATCCAATGCTAACGGGGAGCCTGGATCATGGCTCATACTGGCCTTGATCAAGGGAGTCTCGACGTAGCTAGAAAGGGGGGGTCTGGTCAGGGATTCGCTTCAGAGAGCCGCGGCATACGGCAAGAGGGATGAAATGCCTACCCCGGGCAAATAGCGTTGATTCGGATGTTGTACCGTCCGTAGGTGTTGGCGTCGCCCTTTGTTAGGCCAACAACGCCTGATAATTATCAGCGCATCAGTTTCACCTCCTCCATGGGGAGCCGGTGGGAAGAAGGCAACTCACCGTGTTTGGCCGCAGCATACGCGGTGTGCGACATAGTGTGGCAAGGGGCCACGAGACCGTACATGGACGCCACGTTGATGATCCTGCCACGGCCCTCCCTCATCCCGAGGTCTCTGCAGCGCCGCCTTTTAGCATCTCACAAACTTGGTGCAGACCTCGGAGAGAAGGGTCCAAAAACCTACTCCTGCTCCACCATAACCTTCAGCTGCTCCCGCTGGCACCTCCACACGCCGTGCAGGTCGACGTCGACGACGCGGGCGAACTCGTCCTCGTCGATCTCGTGCGTCATGCGGCCGCTGCCGCCGACGCCGGCGTTGTTGACGGCGACGTCGATGCGGCCGAAGCGGCGCACCGTCTCGGCGACGCCGTCGCGCACCTCGACCGCGCTCCGCACGTCCATCTGCAGCGCCAGGATCTCCACCGACGGGAACTCGGCCGCCAGCGAGGCGTTGGCCGCCCGCAGCGCGGCGGCGTTGATGTCCGCCAGGGCGAGCCGCTGGATCCCGTGCCGCGCGAGGGAGAGCGCCGTGTACTGCCCGATGCCTTGGGGTGGGGGGAGGTGTGAGGTGACGTCGGGAAAGGGGGAGGGGGAGGGGGCAGGGTGGGTTCTTGGACGGGGTAATTACCTGAGGCTGCGCCTGTGATGAAGGCCGTCCCCTTGAGGAGAGATGCCATCGTGTCTGTATGGAACAGTTGTTCCGGGTGTAAGTCGTTCGATGAGAGCGGTGCTTAATTATATGCTGCTGTCGGATATTCCCGTCTCCCGGATAAGTACTTCTAAGCACACGGTGCTCCCACCACAGCCAAGGCCGGTTATTATATCGATAACGCGAGACTTGGTCGGTCATGGAACGCTTTCGCTGTGGGGTTGGGCTCCCGGTCTTTACTCGGCGTGTTAGCGCTGCGTTTGAGGTGGATCCCAGGGATATGGCTTCCCGGTAGCAACAGCGGGAATTTTGGAGAAACCACCATCCCAAATGCTCTCGTTTTCCATCGGCTGACTCAACGGGTCTGATCTCCGCGAGATCGTTTTACCATTGATACTTACACTTACTGTCGTTAATCTTCCGAAATGTCTTCAGCGGCCGGCAGAGTCGGGCGAATTGAGAGAATGCCTGTCGGTCCGAATCGCATTATTGCCCGGACTTGGTTTTCCGCCCTGCTCGACACGTCTTGCAAGCAGTGGCATGTGGCAGTCATGTGGCAGTCATGTTCGCTGAGAACCCCAAACCACTCGTGTCTTACCTCCTCTTTGCGAAAAGCTGATCCTCAGCATCGTAGTTGAAGATTCTTCGCAGCAAGTCATTGAACAATATCGTGTCCTCTTTTTGACGAACCAGATTCCATCTTATGAGCCATAAATCACCAAGATTGCATCTGGAACTATGTCGGCCAAAGCGGTGATGGCTATTCTCAGATTCTCTTGCAGCATGCGCAACCCATCCTTGGAGGCAAGAACAATACCCTCCAATACTTCGTTCTGTGAATCGGAAATGGCCACCGATCAGCCAACTTACTTCGACTTTGGTCTCTGCCTGGAGATGAGTCGGAGACTGGCTCGAGCTCAAAGGCGATCTCCTTGAGATTCTTTTCTGTCTCTTCTTCTAACACCTTCGCGGCAACTTCCTGGACCAGCCATCTTTTGACTTTGGACTCAACGTCTTGTCACCTCTTTTTCAGAACAAACCAACGAGGGATTCTGACAGATTACCCTCTGCCCTGAGAGTTGCAGTGTTCATGCTTAAAGCATGGTCAGTCACAGATGTGGCATTGCTGCTTGCCCAAGGAACTATATCTGGACGCCATGGACCACAGCCAACTACCTCTAGAACAGGCGCTTTGGCCGAGTGGTTAAGAGCGCCCTGCCACGAGCATCTGAGGCGTTGGGTTTGCCATGGTCGCGAATCTCAGGTGTTTTTTCCCCCCTTAAAACGGGGTTGAACCTTTATTGATCTTGTATTGAGACACACAAAGTTCCCCATGCCATTGACCATCAAGGGATTGAGGAGATTGCCCACGAGCTCCCTGAGCACCTATCCCACTCACGAGAGGTGTCCAAGGAGGTCCGCAGACTGAAGGGGCTGCATCCAAGACCATGGAACTCGACCATGCAAGTGCAGTGTCATTGAACAATTATGCGATACCGGAAGGGTCCACGCAGTCCTTGGGAAGAGCATCATAGCAATGCCTGCCATGAGCGATTACTAGAAGATCCAAATCGAAATTATAATATAAACTCTTCCGCTTGCGGAGAACATCGTTGGTGGATATGGGGGAACCAAATGCCGTTCACTCAGAAATTACGCCAATTACCTAGTAAGCAAATCCCCCGCTCCATCTCGATCCACACCCTCCCCCCTCACAATCTCGCGCATTCTTGTCTAAAGGCCTTTCTACTCCAGTCTACTCTTCTCCCACTCTCCCTTGTGATTAGCATACGAAGAACCGATCGAACACCCGGTTCAAGGCTAATACCTCTCATCAGCCCAAGTCCAACAAACACACGAGATAATATTCCAGCAAGCAACAATGACCAAACCCGAAGACAGCGGCCTGCCCGTCAGCTGCCAGTGCGGCTATATCAGCTTCAAGACCCCGACGCCCAAGCCGATCGGCATGGCCCACTGCCACTGCACCGATTGCCGGAAGCAGTCCGCCTCGGCCTACGGCACCTCGAGCTACTTCCCGGCGGACAAGTTCTTCCCGCTGGCGCCGGAGCTCGAGGGCAGGCTCTCCGTCTTCACGCGGCCAACCGACAGCGGCAACACGATGCACTGCTACTTCTGCCCCAAGTGCGGGGTGCGCGTCTTCCACGTGGGCTACTCCCCCGACGGGCGGCGGCGCGACATCGTCTCCATCAAGGGGGGCTGCGTCGAGGGCCTGGACTGGACGGGGGTCAAGCACATCTTCACGAGGTCGGCCGTGGTGAAGATCCCCGAGGAGTGTGAGCAGTATGACACCGTCCCTCCGTCGATGCAGGGGAATGCCGCGAAGAGGGAATGAGATAGAGGTTCTGATTACTGGCCATTTGTGTATCTACGGTTGAAGACGTTGCCTGTTGTAGTGCCAATGAGCCGAAACGAAGAGACGAAGAGACGAAGAGACGAAGAGACGAAGAGACGAAGAGACGAAGAGACGAAGAGACGAAGAGACGAAGAGACGAAGAGACGAAGAGACGAAGAGACGTA